CCTTCGCCGCTAGAGCCTCTCGTTCGGTCGCTGAGTAATTCCGCTCGGCTGGTTTACAAGTTCGACTCCAATAAGCAATGACCCTCTCCACATGGACGGTCGTTTCGTCCAATGTGGAGGCCCATTGCCCTGGTGGGGGGCTATCGTCGAATTTGTTGGATATCCGTGAGGTGAGGCTGGGAACGGCGGATCCTTCTCCGAACGCTTTGTTCAACCGGTCGTAGGCTCGAGTGCCTTTGAGATCGCCTACTCGGATAGGTTGTACTTGCTGTAAGCAAGCTCCTAAAGCAATATCGGAGGCGTCCGTATACAACCGGTATGGATTGCCGGCCGCAGCATGAGCCAGGACCGGTGCGGATTGGAGAACGTCCTTCGCACGCTGCCATGCTGATTCGCACTCGGCCGTCCATTCCCACTTATGATCCTTCTTCAACAGCTCGAACAGGGGTGAGACGATGAAGGAATAGTAAGGGATGTAAGTGGAAAAGTAGACCGTCATGCCGAGGAACGTTTGCAGGTCGAGTACGCGTTTGGGGCGTGCTAATTCCTGAACGGCCCGTACCTTCTCGTGATGAGTGGAGAAGCCCAAGCGCGACACCTTTTGTCCAAGCAGTAGGATTGAGGTGTATCCGAAGTGACACTTAGGGGGGGAGAGTGTGATGCCAGAGGAGATAACGGCTTTAAGGACCTTGTCTAGGTGATCGATGTGCTCGTTCCAGGACCGCGAATACACGACGATATCGTCGATGTACACCAGAGAGAACAACCAAAGGTACGGGGCTAGAACTCCTTGCATCACACGCTGAAAAGCGGAAGGACCATTCCGCAATCCAAAAGGTAATCGTTTGAATTGGAACAGCCCGTGGTGCGTGCGGAAAGCAGTCTTTTCTCGATCGTTGTCGGCGACCATGAGTTGCGTGAATCCAGATAAGGCATCGAGAGAGGTGAGCACTTGCGCTCCGGACAGAGCTTGGAGGATTTCGTTTTGTCTGGGAATAGGGAATTCGTCCGGTACGGTGACAGCGTTGAGACGTCGGTAGTCTACGCATAATCGAGGTTTACCGTTTCGGTAGGCGATCAGTACGGGGGCCCCCCAAGGACTATTCGACGGCTCGATTACGTCGAGATTCAACCAGGCTTCGTGTTGCTTGTCGATAACCTCTCGTTTAGCTGGGGACGCAGCATACATGGGCAAGGATACAGGCCGCGCGTCCGGCTGGAGTTTGATTTCGACCTCGGTGGGGTTCTGACCCAGCCGTCCGTCGAAGGCAAAGGCCGCTTGGTTCACGCGTAGCATACGAATAAGTCGGTCGCGTTGCTCATCGGGCCATTCTGGGCCGATGTCCAGTAGTTTTTCCAACTCGCTAGACGGGTAGGTTTCCAAGTCGGGAAGCTCGGCGGTCTTGGGTCCCCATTGATCGTCGACGTCTTCGGACAAACCCGACGCCTTATCATCCGCAGGGAGGGTATCGGAAGCTCCACGTATAAATGTCTGTACCGAAGCTGCGTGAGCTAGCAACTCTGGAGTGGAGTCGGCGAAGTATCCTTCGGGTGCATGGAGTAGACCCAACGTCTCGCCCTCCCGGATCATATATGGTCGGTCCGTGGGGTTGGTCACTGGAACGTACAAATGACCGGTATCGATCATAGTAGGAGTCGTCAATAAGAAAGTCCCGTCCGATTGACCGAGTACAGTCTTTTCGATGAACCATTGCGATTGGGTGCCGAGAGGGAGTCGAATAGGCACCGGGCGACAAGAGTGCGGAGCTATTCGCACATCTTGTGCCGCTAATGCTGAAGGACGTTGGGTTTTGACGAGTTCTCTATGACGATCCGCTCGGCGTCGACGATGCGTTTTTGCGCGTACAAAACTGGAGTCGGCCGCTCTGACCACCACCTTGAGACTGGGCCTGTCCTTGCGTACTGAAGAGGACGCGGGGATCGAATACCCAGTGTTTCCTACTCGGATAGCAGAACCTTCCGTAACGCTGCGAGTAACGCTTAGCTCGTAGTTTACGTGGAAGTCTTCTCCTAGGAGTAGCGGAGCGGACATCCCTGGAACCACGTAACACTCGGCCGTCATTTTAAGGACATGACCTTGTTCCGTCTCGACGTATACTTGTGTCTGAATATACCCCGATATGCGGAACCCTCCAGTCAACTGGAATAAATTCATGCGGAGTCCTTGCTTGACCTTAGGGCGAGAGGCGGCCGGGAGCGATTCAAGGTATTCTTGAGAGATCAAAGAGATGTCGGCCCCCGAATCTGCTCGGCAGGTTACGGTAGGGTGTGACAAACACCCTAGACGCAATGGAAAAGACAAGGCCGCGACTCCTACTGTCGAGTGACCAGCAGGTGGATCGCGCACTCTAGCCAGGGGAACTATTAGAGGCTCGCTAGACTTCGGAGGAGCGCGGGCAACAGGGACGTGGTCGTCCACCGCAGCCGCGGTCCCAGCGAAGCGATCCGGGTGGCTCTCGTAATGAGAGGAGCCGTCTACTGATAACGCTTCCGCAATCATATCAACCAGAGAGCTGGTATGATCTCGTTTGGGAGAGTCAATCTCCTCGAGGATATGCGGGTGGTCGAGCGGCAAAGGATGCAAAGGGCGCGACGGGATTTTGTCGACGTCCTCGCAAGCTACTCTCAGGGAACGCTTCAATCTTGAAGAAGCTTCGAGCTGTTCCCCTTCAGCCCTGCGCACATCCGCCCACAAAGCGCTAGACAACCTGGCATTGCTCATGTTACTACAGATATAGGCGACAAACGCCTCCTCGTACTCCTCGTTCTCCTGGTCGTCGCAATCGTACTCAGAATTGATTAGTAGAGCCCTCCGTCCGACGTCGTATTCGTTCCAGTGAGGACAGTCCCGATCCCAATGGAAGGGGCTACCGCATACTCGACAATCTCCTGGGGGAGGGCGCTTGCTCTTGACGGAATCGTCTCGAGGGTATTTGTGACCAGCTGGAGGCGGCCTACGACTCGCTCCTCTCGTCGGACGAGACGAAGGAGTCCTCGACTGGATATTGAGAGCAAGGGCTTCGCGTGCGGCATCTCCATTCGCTGCAACCGGAACGGCGTTCTCGTTCACGGGCGCAGGAGCGAGAGAAGGGTCGTCTCCCTCATCGAGGTCGGAAGCTGCACTTCCAGGTAAGCCATCCGCCGCGAAAGCGCGTCGCGCCGTGGAGAAGTTCCGCGACTCGGGTTTCGATGCAGGAAGATGAAGTAGTTGTTCGTATTGCGAAGTGCGAGCAGGGGCCATAGACGCGAAAGCGATCAACTCGTCCGACTTGTCCGCTACTTTAGACATAAGGGCGGCGACTGTCTCGATGGAGTCGAGCGAGAGGACGGTGGACCATGTGGGAGGAGCGTTCTGCATCACCGCCGCTATCTCGAAGGCCGGGTTCTCCAACGCGCTGGTCAGATGACGGTGGTACAGTAGCCTTCGGTCTACGAAATCCATAGGAAGTTCTTTGTCATGGCCGGGTTGGCGGAAGCGTTGACCGTCATACTGAGTTCGCAGAGAAACTTCAAACTTGTGCGTGAAGAACTGGAGCTTGATGCCTTCGTAAAGGTTCCACCAGTCGGACGAATACAGTTTCTGAGTTGGGAAGTCGAGAAGTTGCCACCAGCGCTCAGCACGATGTGTGCTGTTGAGTTCGGCTCCCTCCGTACAGGGTAAGGAGGAAGGGTAGACTTTTAGTCAAGGATGGGTAGTGATATTAGGTGTATGGGACGAGTGTATCGTCGAGAAGACAAGTCTATACGAGAGCGAAATATAGAGAGTTCCTTCCGAGCCGTCTGCCCGAGTTGAGAGCCTCCGAGTCCGAGTCCTAGTCCGCGTCCGAGAGTGGGTCCTACGTGTCCTCCCCCGCTCCCTCCGCCTCGCTACTTATCCTCCTTCAGCCGAGCTCACGTGCCCCGCCCTCCTTCCCTCCGGGTCTGCCCCCTCCCTCCCTTCTCTCCCCACTCATGCCTTCGTTCCTATACCGATGGCGCAGCCCCCGAACCCCACCACCTCGTCGCACTCCGCTCGCTACCTCCGTCTTGTCGATGTTCTCCGGTACGAAGGGACGTTCGAGCCCCGGTTCGACGTGGAGCACGCCACTGCCTGGCTTGCGTGGGCTCATGGTGCCCGCTGGCTCGTGGTTCGTCCGCCCCGTCGCTCTCCTCATCCCTCCTGACCCGTCTGCATTGCCCCAGCGAATGCTCTTCGAGTCGTATGCCCTAGCGACCGCTCACGGCGACGCCCGCGTCCCCCTTCCGTCCGGTATCCCCGAGGTCTGCGAGCTTATCGAGCACCTGGACCGCGTGTTCCTCAACCTCCGCTCTGAGCAGAACGAGGCGCCGCTCCTATACGCGACCATCCCCTGGTCCCCGGACCAGCTTCAGAGGGAGCAAGCCACCGCGGAAGAAGCCCGACCTCCTCCTCCTCCGTCGTATAACGATCCTCCCCTCCGCCTCTCCTCCCTCCGCGGTTCGACCGACAACTGGGACCGCGTCCTCGCCGCAACGGACCGTTCCTTAGAGGTCCTCCGCCTCGAACTCGGCCACCTCCACCGCGGCCTGGCTGAGGCCCGGATCGACCAGCTGTCTGTGATGCGCGAAGTAGTCTCCATCTCGGGCCGTCTAGAGGACATATGTGACGCGCGAGACATCCCTCCCCCGTTGGAATTAATCCGTGACTGAACCCTTACGAGTAGCATCTTCCTCCGTCCGGTTTGTTCGCCCCGGTACCCGTACGTCCTGGCATGTAACGGCTTGCGGAGTTAAATAGATCTGACTTGTGACGCGCTCGAATGACTTCGTAAGATGTCCCGTCGTGGCCTATTGCCGCGGCCCGATGCTTGTCTCCCCAGCTAACGTTCCCGGCCTCTCTGACTCTCCATCTTCCGGCGGTTCCGGCCTCAGCCCGTGGGCACCGCCCACAACGACCAGTGAATTTGTCCGGGGCAGCCGCTCCAAGGTCTCGCGCTATAGAGTCGTTCTTCCGGGCCAGGTTATTCATCTTGTGCAGGTAGATGAGGATCGTCTTGTGACTGCCGTCCCATCCGGGTATTGAATTTCTCGTGATTTTCTGATCCAGTCTGAGGCCAACCTCCTTAGGCGCGGGGATCTGGTGGATGATGATAGTGGGCCGGTTATCCGGAGAGGATTCCGATGTGGTAGCTCCTCCACCAGGAGGCTCTCCTCCAGGCGGACCACCGTAAAACCGATCAGGGCGTCGTCGTCCGTAGGGATCCCTAGAGGAGGGGTGGTCGTTTCCGCTATTTCCGCCTCCACCTCCGCCTCCACCTCCTCCGTCCCCTCCGCCTCCTGGAGGACCATTTGGTCCGGGAGGGCCGCCGGGTGGAGGACCTTCTCTTCCCCGGCTGGACTGACTCGAGTGCGAGGTACTCGGTGGGCGGGAATCGCCGCGTTTCTCGTCTTTTCGATTCGGAAAACTCGACGCAGGAGGGACATTTCCTCCATGCGTGGAATGACCGGAAGTACGAGATTCGTAGACGAACGTTCTCTTGCCGTCCGCGCTAGCCAACTGACGCGTTTGTTCGTAATAATGGCCAGCGTAATGAGGCGGAGCATCCCGTTGAGGAGAGCTCTGTCGAGAGGCAAGCGTCGGAGGTTGAGGTACTGAAGATGGTCGAGGAGCGGACAAAAGTCGAGAGGACGGGAAGACGGCGTCGCGCACTGTTTGCGCAGCCGCAGATTCAGGGAGAGCGACCGAATGCCCTCGCGGCCAGGGCGCGGAAGATCTTCGCTCGGAGGGACGCGGTTCAGGATCGGCAGCTCCAGAATCATGAGCCCTCGAATCTCTTCGAGGATGAGGAGGTTCTTGGAATTGAACCTTTCTTCCCACATCTTCGACCACATGAGGAAGCGAGAAATCGGGGTTCGCGAGACTGGTCCGATGCGAGAAGCGAGGACGCGTGTCTACAGTAGGAGGGAATCGAACACTTCCTCCTGCTTTGGCGGGAGAGGAAGGTTCGGAGGAGACTGAGGAGAGCGCACGGGTTAGGTCCGATTCGACCCGCGCGGCCGAAGACGTCCGGGAGGGGGGTCCCGCGCTCTCTGCCATCGACACGGAAGCTCCATGTACCACGGGGGTTACAAGCAGAGAGGACGGAGGCCATTTGAACCGTTGATCGGGCGGAATTTGCAAGTTCGTTAGTTCCGAGTCGATTCCTTCCGCGTTTCCCAGACGCCTCAAGACGACCGCTTGATATTCGGGCGTCAGGTTCGAGAAGATGTCGGGGTGGTCGAGCCACTTGTCGATGACCATACGCTTGGAGTTCGAGGATCGGACGTGTTGGCTGAAATCCGAGGCGGTAGACTTGACGGACTCAGGGTAGTTTGCTCCGTCGTGAAGGGCGCGTCGCTGGTGGATCAGCGTGATCGCCTTGGCCGCTCTGTACTGCACGACTCGGAAGGCGTCTGAAAGCAGCCCCCGCGATGCGGACGCCCGGAGGGCTCCCATGAGGGAATTGGCGTGGTCGGTCTTCCATTGGCGGTGAGCGTCTTCCAGGCGTAGCATCTGGTTGACTAAAGACTCGAGCCCTTCCACTATGTAATTGATACGCAAGATGGCTCGAGCCTTGAGTCGATAACGAGCTTGCTTTCGCTCGAATTCGGCGGCGTCGATGACATCACGAGGATCCAGGTCTTCAGCGATGAAGACGTTTGCTTCCTCGAATAGAGTGCTGAAGTTTCCTAGAGCGTCCCGCGCGTTGAGGTCGTTGAAAATAGCTTGAGCTTCAGCGGGCTTGCGAAGGTGGACCTTGAATCTACCCGTCCCATCCATTAGATCCTTGAGGTGAACCTTGTCGACTGCGTCCTTAGCGGCTTGCATAGCTTCGTCCACCGAGACCGAAGGGTTCGACGGGGCCGAGTTATGGGAAGGATCGTTCGACTTCCAAGGAGTCGACGTGGCCACCGGTTGGGGAACGTAGACAGGCATTCCGGAGTTGTTGACCTCCACGGGGCAGAACCAATCCGCGGGGGAAGGAGTGATAGGAGGCGACCGCCGGGCACTCCATCCGGGTGGTAACGCCGTCTGCGAGCTGCCGTCGGCCGGTCGAGGTCGAGGCGACTCGACGAAAGTTGACGGCTTGAGGTCGCGCGAGGGTTGAGCTCCCGTGGAGGAATCGTCGTCGAGACTCCCCGGGGCGAGCATCGTCCGCGGGAAGTTGAGGGGAGCGACCGGATGGGGAGAGACCGAGGAGCGGAGACTTTCGCGCACTCAGTCTAGAGGGGGAAGGGAGGAAGTAATGGGCAACTTACTGGATCCTCCCGAGTCCTCTACGTCCTCTATAGATGCGACTTTACTTCGGGCCGTCCCCTCGGGAGTCGGAACGGAGATTTGTGTGAAAGGTGAAGCCGATCCCGAAGGGAGGGCTGACGAGGGGCGAGATGGCCGTGAGGCGTCGCCGAGAAATGAGGTGCCCGCCGCGGGGGTGCGCGCGGTCATAGCGGCGGGTCGAAGGGGAGACTGACGTAGAGGTTAAGGCCTACGAACCGATGGGGCAGTGGACCGTTCCCCTGAGTGTCCACCAATGTGAGAGACGGAGGTTTCGTCTACTCGCACTGGGAGGGAACGGGCTGCCTGGCGGCTCGAACGTTGGTGGTCGCTCCGCGACCGAGTCGTAAGTGGGTCGTGAAGGTCGTGTGCTGGCGAGGAGCCGGCCTGAGATATACGGTCGGGTTGGCGAGGAGCCGCCGCGACACGTATACCGACGTGCACTAGCGAGGAGCTAGCGTGGCACGAGTCGTCGAGTCTTGGCGAGGAGCCGAGACACGAGGAGTCGTGGACGTACGCGGAGGTGAGGTCCGCGAGGTGAAAGCGTGCCTGCAGCGAGGAGCCCAGGAGGCCAAGACGGCGAGGAGCCGCTCTTGGGGTAGGAGACAGCGAGGAGCTTCTCCTCAGAGCGGCGAGGAGCTCGCGCTGTGCGCCGAGGAGCGAGGAGCTCGTGCGGCTGGGGACTTACCTCCTGGTTCGGACGGTGCGGTATCGCACACGGACGAGTGTGGTAGGAGTTCAAGAAGGTCTGGCGTCTAATTGCTGGACGCGCGCGAGATGACTGCGAGCGCGCGCCTACGTAATTACAGTAAGAATACAAGATGTACTAATTAATCTAGGGACGCGGTACGAAAGCCTGCGGGTCGCGATTATCGAAGGTAGTCCTATATACGTTGGCGTACGCAGCCTTGATGCGCTCTACCGCATCCATAACAGTGACGGTCCCGGTAGGATGCGGAATGACCTTCGTGCATACGAAAGAATACCCGCAGGTATCCCCTTTATCGTCGTTGGGAAAGGAGGGCTCGGAGGATTTCCGTGGCTGGCTGGATTCTCCACACAGTTCTGCACACGCCGCTCTGCCTTCCCGCTGCAAGGCAGCTTAGCAAGGTGAATATCTCAGGGTGCCAAAGACGACGGTACCGATTAGCTTTGTACTTCGCCTGCTGGATTCGCTTAGCTTCGTGCTTCTCTGCGACGGTGAAGTATTTCGCCCGTCGGCCCATGTTGATACGAAGCACACGAGGTATCACAAGAACGTATGGTCTCGGCGACGGGACAGAGAGATTTGGAGTGGGGATTACTGTCATACACAGCTGTACATAGAGGGTGATGATACATATGCAGACGAGCGCGACACGAGGATCAGGGGACGCATGACAATGTGGGGTATAGTGGAGTAGATCGAGGCACCACTGATCCGGCCGTCAAAACAGTCTACATGATAACGGCAACGTCGCCTCTGTTCACTGCGTTGATAAACGACGTTAGTGCAGCACCGAACGTCGCGTGCCGTCTTTGCAGCGAGCCAGACACATTGAGAGTCAGAGGGCCGACCATTGCCCTAGACAAAGATCTTGTTAGCGTACTGCAGTTCATGAACACGGGACATTCATTACCAGTCGGGAAACACGCCGATCGCTTTCCCTTTGGTGATACAATACCATCTTAGCCCGCCGGCGTTGTTCCCAGGATCAGCGTCCTCAGAAGCGCGGTTGTAACAGCCGCAGTTGTCACAGCAGCCGCCGCAGCGTCCAGCCCCATTATCGTCATTGCCGACAACAGCCTGAGAGGTAGCTACGCCGGGATGGGTGCCCCAACGACCGGTGGGCGGCCGCGGGGAGGACGGACGAGCGGGAGGCGCATAGTCCGCCGAAATCGGGTAACCGTCGTGCCCGGCCTGCGCGATGTATCCCGTTTGCGGAGCAACAGTTCCTGCACTCTGAGCAACGGTTCCCGCACCCTGAGCGCCAGCCCCCGAGTCCCGAGTGCCAGCTCCCGCACCCCGAGTGCCAGCTCCCACACCCCGAGCGCTAGCTCCCGCGCCCTGAGCCCTAGTTTCCGTTGCTGGGGCTGAAGGGCCTGACGCCACTGCGAACAATGAGTTAGACATGTACCGGACAATCAAGAACACTTACTGGGGTGACCGGGATCCTCGACGTCTCGCCACATCTGACGTTCTGCTATAGACATCTTGAGTTGCCTGAATAAAGAGATAGCCAAATGAAACTTACCTTCTTGCTCAGATGCGAGCTGAAGAGCCTCCACCAGTTGCTGAAGCTGGCTGATGCTGAACCGCTGCTGGCCATCGGGAGCGGCGGACTTGTCGGTCTGCTTCCCGTCTCTCATGGTGACGTCGACGTGGACGACCTAGCGGGGGGACGGGGAGATATGGGAGAGGATCCCACTGGATGGGGCCTGAGGTCTGGGATCTCGGCTCATTTATACATTGAGCCCGTCAAGGTCCGCGTGGCAGCCAATTACGACAGAGCATCAGAATGGGGTTGTCGGGATGACGCCGGCGAACTCGCATACTCACCGGTCCTTGCGCAAGTCCCATGCATGGCTATCGGGTAGTCCATGTGGAACATGCGACAGATTTTAGGGTCGCAAGCCGCAAGCGACTTCGTCCGTGGTTCTGATGAAAAACCTGTGGAGCCACCATATGAGTATTGCTCCCGCACTCAGATTCGTATCTTGAACAGCCGGGCACTGCGTGATGGGCGGCGCAGGGCGCAACATGGCGTGTGGCGCACATCCAGTTTGGGTTGCGACCGACGTTGGAGAGGGATCGTACCGGAAATTTCCTTTTTGCGCTTCGGCAACTAGGCGCAGTCGAACCGTCGCAGATGCTGCAATAAATATCCTAGGAGATATATGAGAATTTGTCGCTGCAGACAGAGCTCCGACGTACCTTAATGCCCGCACGCCGCTGGACAAACGACGCAGAACTGGACTTCTTGCAGTCCAAACTCGAGTCCTTCCGATCGTTTCAGCTCTCGCACACCCTCCATCGATTCTGGCCAGATGTCAATCGCGAATGGTTCCTAAAGTTCCCAGAGAAACCGAGGGTCCTTCCCGATGTCGACTCCGAAGAGTTATCAGAAGAACAGAACACGCGCTTGCAGCAGGCCATCAAGGAGCGTAAGAAGGTATGTGCACACTGCAAGGGCAGCACGCAGTCCCTTGACGATCACGCGCAGAAAATCTACAACTGGTTCAATAACCAGAATTGTCAGCAGACTCGTAAGGCGAAGGCAGCACACGTGAACCTGAACCTGTTCAAGCCGAAAAACCGACGCAACTTGAAGGATACCGAGGTCTATTCTCGCAAGTACTACGAGGAGCGTATCAAGCCGCGGGTGCAGGAGGAGTTGTCGGGGCGTGTCGTTCCGAAAGATGAGCGGCTTGAGGTCATTAAGCGGGTCACGAAGGAGGTGTACGATGGAGAGGATGAGGAGCTGAAGGAAGAGATTCGCGAGGAGATCAATGCTCTTCGGGCGATGACAGGGACCCAGGGGAAGCGAGGCGCGTCCGAAGGCGCCTCGCCGGCTGACATAGCCACAGAGGTCACCGACGAGCAGGCCATTAACGCTGTGTTCTGTCAAGCGTACGTACATCCCGTCCGATTTGCACGTGTTGAACTGACTTTTCCGCTCGAAGCGTGCTCGACGACATGCCTGCAATCTTCCGGCAGATTCTGCAGGAGCTGCAACGCCGGACCGGCTGGTATTTCTTGATCTTGGCTGCTGGTGAGATGCCCGGTTCCGATGGTGAAGTTGAGAGCATGGCGTGAGCATCATTAATTCGTGTCACTTCTATGTGTTTGACTTACACTCCCACGTGCAGTGTTCATCAAGAAGGGGATGACCCCGAGCACCACATTGGCAGATTGAACAGTTTCGTTGGACAATTCCTCAAGCCCTTCATAGAGTATGTCAAAGAAGAGATAGGTGAGTCGTATGAGCAGGAGACGAAATGTGTTGTTTGCTTACCTTGTCGCGCAGCGACTGCCCGCTCCCAAAGAACGTCGAGGCAAAGCACAAGGACGCCTGATCCAACGGCTGCTCCCGCAGTCCCCGCAACGCCTGCAACGAGCAGCACCCAGTCGGAGCATGTTCAAAGCTCGGAGCAGTTGCCACCCGCAAACGCCACACCCGTCAGTGCACTGTCGAGCCGAGAGGAACAGCCCGCTGCTACGTCGCCCGCATCCACTGGTCTGTCAAGCCGAGAGGAGCAGACAGCTCTTACAGCACCTGCTACCGCTGGTGCGTCAAGCCGAGAGGGACAGATCGCACCTACATCACCCGCGGCTCTTGGTGTGACGGGTAGGCAATACTATGCCTGCCCTAGTAGATAAGATTATGAACTGTATAGTGTAGATTAGATTAGATTGTCCATACTTAGCCATCTGCCTTCCTAATTGGGAAGTAATCTATTCTTACACCTGAACTACCACATCGTCTGTGTGCGAACCCCGCGCCATCCGAGTACGTTCAGTCCTTCTCGGCCTGCGCTCCTCGCCACGCCTAGGACCAATCCTAGACAAGGCTCCTCGCCTGCGTCCAGGACTCCCCCTCGACACGGCTCCTCGCCTCGTCTAGGACACGCCCTCGGCCAGGCTCCTCGCCCGACCTAGGACACACCACGCCACAGCTAGGCTCCTCGCCCGGCTACGACTATAGCGGGAGCTCCTCGCCTCGCTAACGACGTCTAGACCTCACGACATTCTCCCCGGTCGCGCCGCGACCACCAAACGTCAAGTTCACGGGCAGCCCGGCCCCCCAATCAAGGGTTCCAAGCCCACGAACTCTTACATTGGTGGACACTCAGGGGACCGGTCCACTGCCCTGTGAACTCCCTCGTATATTTAGACCTTGTCTATTCTCATTCTAACTGTTCTATATTCATCCTAACTTGAATGCCTTCAACGACGTGGCTCTCGCGATCCCATTGGGACGCCCTGTCACCTATTCGGCAGCTCAAGCACGCGTCGTCGTCGAAGAGCGCGCGCGCGCTCGGTGCCAGCACCCTCTCCTCGACGACCGCGCCTCGAGGCTACCTGCCACCTCCTTCCGCCACTCCCCGCGACTCGCCTGCACCCGCCGCGCCCTCTACGCCCATTCGGAGGCCCGTGGGAACCGCGCGATCGCACGAGCGCCCGAGCGCGGTGGACGCGCGGCCCTCGGCGCTCGACCGTCGCGTTGACCCTCACCGCGACCTCCCCCCTCCGCCTCTCTCGCGCCCCGCCGCCTGCTCGACGCGCCAACCGGACTGCGAGGACGAGCGACGGCTCCGCTCTCCTCGCAGCCGACCGGCCCCAGCTCACGACCCGAGCGACGACCCGCGCGCGCACGCGCGCTCCCAACGCGAAGACGACCGACCGCCCCGCAGCGCGACGCGCAACGAGACGGCCCGCGCCCATGCGCAACGCGACACGCCGTCGACACGCGCGGTCTCGCCGCGCTGGTACGAGGAGGCCCGGACGCGCGCGTTCCGTTCTGAACGCGAGCGCGAAGCCGCCGCGCAAACTGCGCGCACGAACCTCCCGGGGCACCGGACGGGGGCGCCACGCGCCGCGAGTACGAACCTCCGCGGAGGACCGCCGGAGGAGCTGCCCGGAGAGGGGTCAGCTGGGCGAACGACGGAGAGAGGTCGAGGTCGAGCGGGCATGGGAGCATTGGTGAGTACCCACGTCCCTTCGCCTGCTAGGCTCTCCTCTCCACCCTGTCCACGCGTACCCCCTGCGTACCTGCTCCCGATCGACGCGCTCGCGCTCGTCACGCGCAGCGCACTCTCTGCGGTTCCCTCCTCCTCACCCGACGCGCCTTCGCGCGCCGCGCCTGCATCGTCGCTTGGCGCACCACCACCCAAGCCAGCCACGCGTGCCCTCTCGCCGTGCTCGCAGGGGCGAGCCGAGGTGCACGCGTACTTCGCGGCTCAAGCCCAGGCGTTCGAGCAACGTCAACGAGAACGCGCTCTCGCGCAACGTGACAACTCGCCCGCTCGTCCTTTCCCGCTCGATGCTCCATCGCCCGAGCATCCGTCCGCCGACGGCGCTCTCTCACCGCGCTCGCGCGCGCGAGTCGAGGTACGCGCGCACCACGAGCGCAAGAACCAAGCTGCCGAGGCAGCTTGGAGAGCACATCAGGCAAGGTGGTCACCGGATCGCTGGCCCAGCGCACCCGTCCCTCTAACGCCGGCTCCCCCGCGTGCACACCGCGCGTCCATCCCTCCAGTCGACGCGCCCCAGCCGACGCGCGATCCCCGCGCCGACGCGCCGTCGTCTCGCGGCCTGGCGGGGCCCACCTCTGCGTCGCACCCTCGCCACTCATCCGACACGCGTACACCCGTTGAGCGCGCACACCGACCTCCACCTCACTCGCGCCCCCTCGACTGCGCGGCAGGTCAAGCCCCGCCGTCACGCGATAATCGAGACAGCGACGAGGGTGTGCAATCGCACCGCACCCCTCGTTACTGTACAGCTGCCACAGGAGAGCTAGAACAGCGCCTCCGCGCCCACGCTTCACGCGACAACGAGCGGACAGTCGACGGCGCGACTCGCGAACCAGCACCAGCCCACGCACAGTGCGAGCAATCGCCCGCCCGTGCTCGAGTACACGCACACCACGCGCTAGAAGGCCCGGTCGTTGCGCAAGCCGTGAGGGTGCGCGACGCTGCGCATTCAACGGAATACACGCCTGCTAGTCCGCAAACCGCCCCGGCCCGTTCGTCTGGGGGGCCCGTTTGCGCATCCTCAACAAGGAGAGATGCTGGGGCGACGGGTATACGAGAAGGCACGGATGCGGTGAGCACCCGTCCCGCGCACCGTCTTCCCTCGCATGGCTCAAGCGTGCCCGCCGAACGTGCATGTCGCCCGCCCTTGACCACCCGCGAGAAGTCGGTCTCGGGCGACCTACGGGAGGGCTGCCGAGCTGAGCGAGATCAACGCGCGCTCGGTAGCCTCTCCTCATCCGCCACCTCAGCACGCAAAGGCAAGCAAGCCCGTGTTTATGCCCCCTCCCTCGACGCGGCCGGCTCCACCTCGACTCGCAGACCAGTGCCTGCAAACGACGCGCGCGCTCCCTCAGAGCATGCCCACCACCCTCCATTGCCCACGTGCTCGCGCTCGCGCCCTTCCTCGCACTTGCTTTCGAACGGCGTGCAAATCGCTGTGTCCGACCGGCAAGCGCGCGCGTGCACACTTCCTCTGATTGACTGCGGGGACGAGCGATCCTTCCGCTCTCCTCACGGTCGGCCGGCCCCAACTGATGCGCCACGCAAGGATCGCTGCGCCCGCGCCCAGCGTGAAGTTGCTCAACCTTCAGGTGAAGCTTCTTGCGAGACGCGCTCCTCCGGCGCGCCGCGCCAGAACCGGCCCAACGGCAACGCTACGCCGCGCGAACATTGGCCAGCCCCGGTGCGCACGGGCCAAGAGTTCGAAGCCAGCTTGCGATCCGTGCAGGCAAACACGTCGAGTCACCCGAGCAGCACACTCCCCGTCGCGAGTACTAACCGCCATGACGGTTCGTGTGGGAGACACTCCCCTCCCTCGCCATTGATGCCGGGTATGCTCGACGCCTGTCCGCCCTCCGCTTGTTCGCCCTCGGTCTCGACAGATATGCACAGCTCCCCGCCTTCCCAAGCAATCAGCCTACCTGCCAATGTGGAGCCCTCTAGTCTCCCTCCGCGACGCGAAAACCTCGCGCAGTTCTGGAGCAGCTTCCTGCGGAAACCTCAGGTTTCGGCAAGTGTGTGATCTCCACGCCTTGTCTGAATCCTGGGGGGCAGCACTCCCAACACCTCTGTCTTGTCCCAGCCCACCCACCCTTAACTCCTCTCCTCTACCCTCACTACCTTTGTCACGAGAATCCCGAGCCGAAACTCACCGACCGGATCCTTCCGACTCGAGATTGGGGGGCAGTAGGGGGGGTAGGGGAGGATAGGGTCCTAGGGCAGCTATGCCAGGGCCTAGCCGACCCTAGCCCAAGGGATGTGCAGACCCTTCGCGAGGATGATAGCTCGGGACGCTGTACAAGCAGGAGAGCACGTCCTCTGTGTAGGGAAGAGGGCAAGGCTGCTACGGGCAAGGGAGGTTAGTGGAGCATGCGGGGATCTAGCTGAGCATGCGAGAGCGTCGCCGACGGTTGCCTGTGCGTCTTGTCTGATGCACGACAGGGATGGATGCTCGGATGTGGTGCATGCGGGACAGCTCAGCCTCTGCGTAGCGGAGCCGCAGTTTACTGCCGAAATTTTTTTTTCTTATCTCTTGTTCCTTTTTCACCCTCTATTCTACACTCACATTTACTTCTTCTATCTGCACTCATTTGTCCCCTCACCTTCACACTACACACTTCATAATGGGGGGCTCTGTGACGGGTAGGCAATACTATGCCTGCCCTAGTAGATAAGATTATGAACTGTATAGTGTAGATTAGATTAGATTGTCCATACTTAGCCATCTGCCTTCCTAATTGGGAAGTAATCTATTCTTACACCTGAACTACCACATCGTCTGTGTGCGAACCCCGCGCCATCCGAGTACGTTCAGTCCTTCTCGGCCTGCGCTCCTCGCCACGCCTAGGACCAATCCTAGACAAGGCTCCTCGCCTGCGTCCAGGACTCCCCCTCGACACGGCTCCTCGCCTCGTCTAGGACACGCCCTCGGCCAGGCTCCTCGCCCGACCTAGGACACACCACGCCACAGCTAGGCTCCTCGCCCGGCTACGACTATAGCGGGAGCTCCTCGCCTCGCTAACGACGTCTAGACCTCACGACATTCTCCCCGGTCGCGCCGCGACCACCAAACGTCAAGTTCACGGGCAGCCCGGCCCCCCAATCAAGGGTTCCAAGCCCACGAACTCTTACACTTGGTGCATCCAGCGGAGAGGGGCAGGCAGCCGCTCCTTTGTTGCCTGTTACGCCGAGCGGAGAGGAACAGGCCGCTCCTACCATCGCAAGCCGAGAGGAGCAGCCCGCTCCTACGTTGCCCGCGACTTTGGCGGCCGCTCCTACGCCCGCGACTCTGGCGACCGCTCCTACGCCCGCGACTCTGGTGGCCGCTCCTACAGCCGTGACTCCGGTGGCCACTCCTGCATTGCCCACGACTCTGGTAGCTGCTCCTACATTGCCCGCGACTCCGGTGGCCGCTCCGGACAGTACATCCCATCCCCCCTCGTTGTCGTCGTCGTCGTCGTCGTCTGGTGACATGATGGCTGTGCCTCATATGCCATCTGTGCCTAGCCTCTCTCTGTCCGACATGCTCTCGCGTGACGACGCAGACGACATCGACTATACCGCCATTGCCGATCAGTACTTCGACATGAACCCGGGTTCCGTCAACCTTCTGAACGCCCACACTATACCATCCGCGCCCCAATTCTCTGCCTTGGCCGCTCAGGCGCCGATGGCTTCATGGCCCACTGGTGGTGGTGAACAGCTAGATGGCCGTTTTCAGAACGCCAACTGGACGGACTTGAACCCAACGGCGCCACCGTTCTTCATGCACGAGCCCGGTATGTCGTCTATGGTAATGCCGGTCCCGCAGGATGTCCCATCCTCCTTCTCGAACGGCACTTCGTTGACGGCAAATCATCTGACTCCGTCTACGAATTTCCCCTCCTCATCTACGAACTTCACTCATCCCACCTTCAACTTCCCGCCGGTACACAACCCCTGGAACCCCGTCCCGCTACAGTCTCAGCCCATGACTTCCGGGCCATACGTGCCTGCACGAGGGCCAAGCACGTCTGCCGGTGTAATGCCCATAGGTGTCGCAGAACCTGGCGCACCTTCATTCCCAACAGCTCAATCTTCATCTCCATCAGTCTCCGGACCATCGCAGGCACTGCCTCGTTCGAGCGTCGCACCCGGGACTACACCTGCATCTTCGTCGAACAGGGCGGTACAGGGGGCGATGGGCACGCCACCTATGGCCATGAACGATTCAAGCTCGGCACCGGAGGTTGCACGGCCGGCTGATTGTCAGGCCTTGACGCTCGCTTCAGCTACGCAGCACGCTGCTGAGACTTCCGCGTCGCAGAGGCGGGAACCGCTAGTTGAAGCAGTGAGCGCGCCCTCTACGTCTCCGACTTCCACGCTGCCGGAGGCTGTGTCCACGTCGTCCCCGCCACCCGCGTTTTCCGCTCAGCATGTCCAGCCGGGTTCGAACGTACCGAGTGGAAGCGATGATTCATTGGCCTCAAAGGGCGCCTCTACGTCGGGAGCCGTGGAGACAGCATCTTCAGCGACAGTACCTGAAGTTATTACAGATGGCAATGGTGACGGTCGGAGTCGGCCCAAGCGTGAACGCCGCGCACCACCACGCCGTGACGAGTCTCCTGTTAGGCCAAGCAAGAGGAAGGAGCTGCCAGCGAGTGCGGAGACGGGAGTGATGGAAAAGAAGAAGCGAGGAGGTGCAGGGTCGATGAAATCGCAGGCAGCTAAGACCCACAAGTAGGCTGGTCCATCTTGAGGTCTTCGCGTTTTGAGGTAATGTCCATAGACTAGACCGTCATATTTACTGTACCTTCTTGTTAATGCACAATACATTGTTGATATTTGCTCGGGAATACGGTCTGCGGGACAAAGTGGACGATAAATTCATAGTATAGCTACAACATCACGGCCCAGTGGCAGAGACGCGAGCGAGCCACTAGCAAAGCACTGACCATCATAATACGCAGAAGGGTCTCTAGAAAGTGCTTACTAGTGATGCGTACACCCAGTCCAAGCCCCTCCACGTCCTACGTGCCGCGACCCAACACCCCATCTCCGTCGCCGCGAACGCCAGACTTCTGCCCTATCGGTCACTGCCCAGAATGAGGACCGGCGTTCAGTCGCACCTGATAGTCGAAGCAGAGAGGAGGCGGGGGGAGGAGGAGGATGCAAGTGAGCGTGACAAGACTTGCCAGCGGTACAGCAAGTCACTGGTCGTACTTGGGTCGTACTCAGGCCCAGGACTTAGAACGACGACGAGGCTATAGAATTGTCCCACGGTCCTGTGAATAGCTAAGCGCCATTGAGCCATCCACGTGATGTTGTAATATGAACGAGGCTCACATCGCGTGAGGCTCATAGCCTTATACATCGCGTAGAGGCTCATACATCCGTAGAGGCTCATACATCGCGGAGAGGCTCATACATCGCGGAGAGGCTCATACATCGGACGTTGCCCGTCGCCCGAGGGATGTATAAGGCATTTATACTACATCAGAGATCGCCCGAGCGATGTAAGTGGCAGGCGCATACCAATTGCGAGGCTCATACATCGGACGTCGCCCGAAGGATGTATAAGCCGTTCATACTACATCAGAGATCGCCAGAGCGATGTAAGTCGCGGGCGGGTAAGCTGGAGTACATTTTGGGACGATTGAGACTACATCAGAGAAACGAGAAACGATGAGCAATGTGTGTCACGGGACAACAAGTTGAGTACATCGGACGTCTACTGCGTGATGTACGCCGTGCGCGATGTATGTACGCCGGCAGTGTGCGATGTATAAACGGTACGTCACGGGAAAATTCTATACATCGTATGCTGACGTGGCCGCATACAGTGGGAGGGCTCATACATCCACTGTCGATGCGCGATGTATGAGGCATACAGCGCAGGACGCTTTATACATCAGATGTCCGCGGTGCGATGTATGAGGCACACATCGCGGGATGCTTTATACATCCGCTACCGACGTGCGACGCATGAGGCATACACCGCGGGACGCTTTATACATCAGACGTCCGTGGTGCGATGTATGAGGTATACATCGCGCCGCGCCGAGAGGGTTTATACATCCGCTGTCGACGCGCGATGTATGAAGCATACAGCGCGGGACGCTTTATACATCAGACGTCCGCGGTGCGATGTATGAGGTATACATCGCGCCGCGCCGAGAGGGTTTATACATCCGCTGTCGACGCGCGATGTATGAAGCATACAGCGCGGGACGCTTTATACATCAGACGTCCGCGGTGCGATGTATGAGGCATACATCGCGGGTCGATTTATACATCAGACGCCTACTGTGTGATGTATCATTCATGCATCAAGGCCTGCGTCAGCTAGCGATCTACAGTTACAGCATTCATGTATAACTTCTGGACTGTAACGACAGTACCTTTATGTATGAGAACGCCCTTTACGCCTGGTCACGAAGCGTACCTCGCGCGAGCTCTCTGTCGGGCTCCATCGCGCCTCGCGCCTCAAAACTTGAACGGTCGATCAGGGATGCTTCCGAGCTTCAAATCCCACCCCTCAAGTAAGGAAAAACGCGTCTTTGTTGTGAAGTTACGAGCCCAAAGCAAGGCCCTACATTCCAGTCATCTTGAAGCAAGCCCCTCCTTCGTCGGTGTGCGGAGCACGAAAACCACGTGGAGGCGGCTTGTTCCGAACCTACATTAACCCCAAGTGAGTGGCTGCGGCTGAGGAGTGCGCCACGTGTCAGCGCCCGACGGCGCGTCTGAGAAGAAGGGGGCGATAATAAATTTTGAAGCAAAACGAACACCATAAATCTGGATGCAAAGACTCGTGTATGATGATTTACAGCCAAAGACATGTAGAATGAGATGAAGCATGAATGTATGCAGTACAGTATCTGAGTAACCAGCACATGAACGTGGAATCTCGGGCCGTGACCACCATCAACCATCCTGTAGTGTTGCAGGATCAAACCTATGTACTGTCCGTATGGCCTCCAAGCCTTTGCGTGCAAAGACAAGCTGTGACAGACCACACAATGAGATCATTCATCACAGACGACAACAAAGTGACACGCACCATGTATGGATTGGCAGTTGAACCAGTCGTATCCGCCAAGACTTCCTCTTTCGACACGACGGTGACGTCTGAGTCATTGTACTTAAACCATTGGTCCGGGTTATTTGGTAGGTTGCGAGAGTAAAAGAAGTAGTGCCCCCACGAAGGCGATGATCCACGGTGGATGAACACGGACGTAAGTTCGTAGGCCGCTGTGGTATCATCCTTCCAGATGTCTTCAATCTTCGTCTTCAACCGCGCAGCTTTGCTCCGTTCATCCTCGAGACATCGCGTAACGAACTCTTGCTCCTTCTGTAACGCGGAGACGAGATCTTCTGTCGCTTCGGGTAGTGGCATCAACTGTTGCGTAGCCAGAAAGTCCGCAGCGGCACCCAGCGCAGGAGCGAACGGCGCGTGCTACATCGTACGTCAGGGTAACCGGACGGTTGCTAAAGCTCACACACGTTACCTTGTCTTGCGTCAGCCGCTGTATCCGTTCGCGACTCACGCTGAGTTCTGCTTGAATGGCTTTTGATTCCGCTTTTTTGGACCCGTCCGCGCTGTCAAGGAACCTGTCCACGTAAAGCGTCTCGCCGAACTTCACGTACGCTTGCGACTTGTAGGCTTGCTGTGTTTCTCTGTCGAACTGGGCTCGCTACGGCAAACAGTTAAGCCATGCTCTCTGTGATGTATGAGCAACCTACTTGGAGCTGTATCTGGAGTAATGGAGGAAGATCCACAAGCGATACTTCCATCCGCTTCTTCACACCATCGAACTCGACTACATCGTCAAAATAACGTGCGAGGCCATCGTAGAGGTCGAATCCTTCGTCCGAAACGTTCACGTGCAGGTGGGAGAAGAGATCTTCCTTCTCGTGGATGGAAGACTTGTGTCGTGTATCGTCCGTGGCCGACAGAGGCGTCAGCCTTTGCCTCTTCTTGCCGAAGAACAGTCTATCAAGGACTGTCAGCGATTATGAGAAGCATTTCCGAGTGTTCATACCTCTTGACGATACTAGTCTTGTCGTCCTCAGCTCCGGCCATCTCCTGGAAGTCGAGTAATGCCGTTTCGATCTGGAAAATGCAGTTGTCCATGCATTCGGACACATCGTGTTGACGGCCTACAGATGGGTCAGCTTCGTGGAGAGATGGACAGAGCTGGACGTACCGAACATCATGACAGAATCATCAGTTGGGCGAGGCCTTTTTGGTAATGGAGGTGCCTTGGAGACTTGACCGTCAGAAAGATCCCGCGCATCGGACTGATCGACGTCGGCATCCATCTGCAGCTTCGACGACGACGCAACTGCTTCGGCGATTGCAGCAGAATGGCTATCGTTGTCCCTCGCTGTTTCAGGCGGAGAGGATCGCATATCGACGTCCATGTCATCTGAGCCACGATGCCTCTTACCGAGTACACTTTCAGTCGGGCTAGCTAGCGGCGGCGGAGATGGCGGGTCGTATCCCGAATGCGACGGGACATCTTCAACGAGCGTCGCATCTGTGTCGTTCGATCCTTCAGTTCCGGGACGACTAATGTCGTCTTCTTCCTCGTCCTGCGAAGTGACCAATGCCAGCTTGGCCAGGTCGATGGACGGAGTAACGGCCGGGATCTCGCAGTACTCGAGGTTCCAAAAGAGACTGGCCAACTGGCGGACAACTGCACGTCATCATGAGCGGCTGCACGAGAACGGACCATAGAAGCGCACATTTCTTGGAACGCGATATCTCTCGTCTTGTGACCAATCTTCCGCCCACACGATGCCGTTTGAGGTCGTCATCCGTGAACTTGCTGTCATCTATCATCTTCTCGTCGCCTGATTCGGCGAACGGGGCGACGGCCTCACGCAGATCCTTGATGGTGTATAGATACTGGATATGAGAGGTCAGTGTAACTCGTAGCGGAGGATAAGAGTGCGCTCGCCTGCAGCAAAGAGTTAAGGTAACAGGTATTGCCTAATTGATTCAACCCGCGCGGCATCTCGGGTTTACTGGTTTGGTTCGCATCGCCCGCTACACACAGTATGTGTGAGGGAGGGCACATATGCAGAAACACAGTGAACCTACGATCCATTCCAGTTTCTAGGAACTTTCGTAGCCTTTCGCTGTTCGTAACGTCCGTAATGACGGACAGCGCCTCCTTCATCCTGTCTGTCTGACTCGGCTGATCCTCCACCTGTACCGACGATGAGTCAAGAGGACCAGACAGTCAATCTGACAAGGAACATACGCACCCGCATCGCATAGATCGTAATCAGCATCGTCTCGTCTACATCCTTTGGTACTTCCAGCGTTGAGTATGCAGTCTCCGGAGTCATACCACTGCCCTTCTCCCGCTCCCATGCTGAGTTGAGGGTCTGACTGTTCCTAGTATCAGCGATGATCTTGAGGGCGTCGTTGAGCCTCATCCGAATCTCTCCACCCTTTGCCGTGTCGGCCCACGTCCGTCTCCTCGCATTGCGCCACGCTTCGAGGATGAACTTTTCGTCGACGTCGTCATCGAACTCGACGCCCAGTTCGCCATCCTTGCCAAAGCCCAGTAGCGCAACGGATTCGCGGAAGTCGTCGAGCGTGAATCGATAACGTTTACGCTCGTCGTGGATCAACTGCTGAAGGTCAGGCGATGCCTCACCGACGTTCGCCAGCGTCTGGACGATTTGGCAAAAGTACGTGAAGTAGAGGGTCGTCCGTAGGGGGTCGCAGCGGCATTGCGCTAGGTACGCGAAGCCCAGTAGTTCTACACGGAATGAGCTCCATGTTGACCACCTAATCCTACCAACCTACCCCATGAATACGAAGACGGTGTCATGCCGAGCGCCTTCCACGCGTTGTTCAGGATGTCAAGATTCACGAGCGCGTCGGGCAGCAGGCCTCGCGGAACTGGGACAAGGTGTTAGCATTGGTCGACCCGCTGTCACGACTACTGTGCATACTCTGATTGACGTGTGCGCCAATTTCCATCTGATACATCTCCCGAACCTCTGTGGCGTCGACGTGCAGTATTTGCGTGGAATATCCGCCCAGGTCTCCATCTGTGCTATGTGTTACTACTTAGATGCGAACCGGGGGGCAAGTGACACTCACTCGACTTGCGATAGATAGCCAGCCAAGCCGATATCTCTGCCCATGCACGCAATAGCTTCGCCCGTATGCGCTTCCCTTCAGGCGTGGCGGGGTCGATGTTTGGAGGCTGCAAGCCAAGTTCTTCGGTGGTCGAGCGATTGTCAGTGGAGGTGGCTACCGTATTGCCGATGCGATCAATAGGGAATTCAAGGAGTTCGAACATCTTGCGACTTCAGTGTGTCAGCGTTAACCGTATGCGTCATTTGTGAGCACCTACACAGTATCGTTCCAGCCTAGCTTCTGCTGAAAGCGAGGGCGGGTGACGGGTAGCGCGCGTTGTTCATCCTTCCAGAGCCGGTTCTCGATGATGCTGAGGAGGGTCAGTCCAGGCCAAGAGCGAATAGAGCGAACTCACGTTAGCATCGTCTCCCATCCCGCCAATACGCTCGCCTTAGGTGTCCGACCGAGAGGAGGGTGGCTCCACCTATCACGAACGAACGATTGGTGGACATCTTGTGGGATGACGCCCGGAAGGACTTCGGAGACCATACAATATTTCGTGCACTGGCAGCAGAGATAAAGGTCGAGGAGGGTCTCCTCTTCGCGCTCGAACGGCGTGCTCAGGTACCGCGAGTCAATGGCGCGTTCGTAGCGATGCCAGTGGTGGGTGGCGTTCACTTGCCCGAACGGCTGTTCGCCATCGCCTACGCACGACTGGGTCCATTTCCGCCGCGTAGGGTCCGGGAGGTTATCAATAGTACGGGCGAGAGGCGGGAGAACGGTAGACGTGCCCCACCAGAGGAGGACCCAGCCGTTGTGCTCCGCGCAGTAGTACGACCGCGCATGGGGTATTGCCGTCCGTGCTTCCTCTTGCGACGGCGCGAGCTGCGCGCCGTTGGGCGTTGTAGGCGGAAGTTGAGTAGTGACATTGACAGAGTAGAGGGGATGGTCTGGATTGTGTAGTTCGTCCGCGAGTAAAGGAGGAAGCATACCCGATCCTGGCCTGGGCTTGGAATCATGCACTGCAAGGTTAGACCAGTTGAGTTCTTGGAACTCGTCGCGACCGTCGATGGCTATCTTGTGTGCCCCAGAGGTTTCCGGCCACAGATGACCAGACCACTGTGTCTCCCATCCGGACGAGGACGCCTGTTGCGCCGACCAGTCCGCGAGTGTGGAGTCCTCCTTCGGCTGGCTGGGCGCGGGCCTGTCCTCTACGACCTCAGGCTCGCGATACGGAGACGTAGTTGGTGCGATGTAGCCCGTATGAGACGAGCCAGCTCGCTCAGACCCATAGAATGTGGAGGATGAGATGGGTGTGGTTAGGGATGCGTTGGTGGGCTGAAAGTACTTGGATTGAGATCGTTTCGTCGAAGGGGATGGAGGCTCGGCGTCGTGCGCATCGTCGGATCGCTGAGGTGTCTGTGGTTCGTTTGTCATTTCACCGTGCCGAGAGGGCAACCCGAGGGGAGTGTGGGCAGGAGGAGGAGGTGAGAGAGCCGTCCGAGCTGAGCAGGCAGATGCGTCGCGCAGCTCGCCACTCGCATCCCAAGCGCCCTTTGTCTGCCTTTCGTCTGCCTTTTTCGGAAACCCCGGGCCTCGGCCGCCTATACTGAACGCCCCGCGCGATCATTCATGTCAGGCCAGACAGTCTGAGGAAGCAGCCTGAGTAGTACATCATTCACTGACCCTACGGGTTTCTCAGGCATCAGGCAGGTCGACGATGATCTTCATGTGTAACGAACATTGATGAATCTCCTATCACGTACGCATTGTCGCTGCGGACACAGTGTACGACACATCGGACGTACTAGTACTAGAGTCTAGTAGCAAAGATCGCTCTGACGGAGAATTTTCAAATAAGCGGCAGGATAGAGACGCGATCTTGACTCCTTGACTCCGGTATGGCAATCAATGCTGCATGTATTTCATAGCAATGCACAAGATAGACCAACAATGTGAACATTCAGGCCATGTCAGAGACTCTGTATGATCCACTGCAAGTCGACGGCGGCATGCTGGCGAGCGGTGCCGCGCGCGCGCATTGCTTGCGAATGCCGTCCTTTCATGGTAAGTCATTCAAGCGGTCCAACGACGTGGTCTTCGGGAACTGGTATACAACCTTGTCAGTGAGCAGCTTGAGCCTTCCCCATCATTGGGCTGTTGTTACTCACATCCCAGTACGTCAAATAGCTCTACAAGCCATAGCGGATACCGTGACCAGGACCTCTGCAACTCTATCTGGGATGGGTAAGCAGATTGATGAGTAAAATTGGAGAGACTTCACGTGTGATGCTTACCCTGCGGTGGTACAGCAGCCGGAGACGTTGTGAGTAAGGGTGCCGTCGCGGCGAAGGGGAAGTATGTGCTCTAGACGTGAGCTCCTTCGGCATGTTGAGGGGACGAGATGACAGGGGATGGGTTTGCGTCAATCCCCAGACCGTAGAATACCATCGACTCGTACTAAATAGCCGATTGTCTCCTGTAGTACTTACCGCAGCCTTGCGACACCCTTGAGGCCAGAATTCTGTGATCGCGCCTGCGCCGTTAATCGCGTCCACGAGGTAACAAAATTCAGCGATACCCTAGACTTACCTGTGTATTGCCCAGCAAACGAGGCCCTGTTCGCCGGGGTTCTCACCTATTGAATCAGGCATTAAGCAGTGTGCATTGAGAGCGTACCTCATCATGTACGCCAGATATGCCGGCATCCATCGCGGCAACAGCCGCAACAGCGCACAGGCGGGATCTTGGATGGCCTGAGTGGCGGGATGATGACTAAGTGATGACGGTTTGTTTTCGACCAGTGTGAATGGCTGTGAGCATAGTAAGTAGTGTACTAACTCAGGCTTGAGATCATATACATCGCTCCACTGCGTCGGAGGCCTGTGATCTGTGCCGCGTTCCTTGCCCGGCAGTGTCAGCGTGTAGTACGCGGTACGGCTCAACATCGCTAGGAATCAAGACAAAGAGGAGTCAGCTATTGGCACCTTGACCGGAAATCGCATTACCTTACTACAGTAAAGTCGTGCTCGTATAGCACCATCTAGGGAGGTAGGCCGTTTGAAGTGCACTAAATTTTATGTAAAGATAGCCACGGAATGGAACCCGTCAAAAGTCTGTTAGTCAAAGAACCAGTGGATTCAGCCTGCTGATCATGTGGTCTGCCTGCAGGCAATGTGGCTAATGCCACATGTTTACCTGCAGGTGAGACCATTAGTGCACAGTTCAGGCTCGATTTTCCTATTACCTCACCTACCTCAGGCTGTCTGCATCCTTCCACCATACGAGGCAGAGTCCCTCTGTGTTGAGTCCCTAGAAGAAGGGCACGGCTCGGACTTAGTGACATGATAGATATTGACGAGCCGTGATCAAGTAATCGAAGACACAGGGACATTCGTTACTTCCTGGCGAAATCTGCATTAATTGATGAGATTACAAACAAAAGAAGCCGCACGCACACTTATCTCATTATTGACATTTGCGCTACGTGCGAGTGAAGTCCCCGCATTTGCAGCGGTGAAACTCTCAAAGCGGCCAGGCGCATCGGCTGTGAGCCCGCATTTGTTGGCCTGTGACCTGGTGAACATCGCACAGTTGCGCGCTGAGTATCACGTCAATGCCTATACACTCACATTACTGTGGGTCATGAACTCACAGCGCTGAAACCAGAGGCAGAAAGTCACCGAGCACGACACTTCAATTGACAATTAATGTCCCAATCGTCGGGGGTTTCTTGTGTTTTCCTCGGAAGATCGACAAAGCGCTCGGACTGCATCCAATAGCAGAATTCTTCTCATCAGTACCTCGGTAAAGACCATACGCACGTTTAACGCACCGTCCCCTTCAATCTCAAGTATGCTGCGCCGTGCCGCGATAGGGAACGGGGCTATTACCGTGGGACATTCGATCACAGGCCCGCACATGCGACATACGAAGTAGCAAAACACAGCGATAGCATCGCGAGCTCCGTAAGCTGCACGCATTACGGGGCGGAAGGAGTCAGCGGGTGTGCGTCGAGGTGTACCCAGCGATACTCTGGTCCCCCGCGTCGCTGCCGTCGGGAGCCCCGGCCTTCCACCGCCTCCCGTCTAGACCGCGCGCGGTCCCTTCAGCGTCTCGCCTCCGTGCATAAATCCGCACCTATGTGCTCAAGGCCCGCACGCACCGTCCTCTGGAACTGCACCTTCTGGCGATCCACCTTCGACACCTCTGGTCTCCGTAGCGCCCGAGCCATACCACTGCGGAATGCCCGAGACGTATCCCACATCCTCACCTTCTAACAGAAGCTGGCTCCAAGAGCATCTCCGTACTCTCGTCACAGCACCCAATGAACATTTTGATCGACTGTTCACCCGCGACGCGACGGGCGTCATAGCCGGAAAGTCCGTTGGGCGAGAGGGAATCAAGGCGGCTTTGCTCGCTCTTCACATGGAGTGGAGCGCCAACAGTTGCCGGTTTGGCCCTGCGACGTGCCTCGATGGCTTCGTATGTCATTCTCACCTGGACGTGCTGTGTCATGCATTGAGATGTTTGTTCTGGAGGTCGCAACGCATTGTGATTTTATGCCGCGTCACGCGTGCGAATATACCGAGGTCGTTGCGACTGCCTTGTGAGTACCATTCCATTTCATCGCTTATACCACTCACGGCGTACACAGAATCAAGCCAGAAGGATGCATTAGTAGCCTCGAGCTCGACGGAGAAGAGAGCCTTTTCGGTCATTGCTGAAATGACCGGAGCGCGATGCTTGAAGGTTGCGGTCTGCGGATCCAACTCTTCATCTCGTCTCGCGAAAAAGCCAACTGCGCCATCGATTCTCGTCAGCCTTCGCTTCGACAATTCGCCCTTATGATATCTGTAACATAATTCTGAGCTTTCCATTTCCTTTCATGTACAACAGCGCTCACCTCAATGATACCTCGCTTCGCTTTTCCTCTTTTTTGACGCGCTCCGACACACGCAGTCCCGTACATTTTGTAGGGTTTTATACCCGTGTAAATTAGTGATACTCGGTCGTCTTGCTACTTACCCGTATACTCGCGTAATCGCGCTTATCCTATCGCCTCTTCATTCGAATGTCGTATTGTATACTCGTTGGCTACAGCGAATCAGAAGCCTATGCTACATTCACGTTCTGAGCGTACGTCTATAGCAGAGTTTCGCCTGTGGGCGCTTGTCAGAAATACACATGGCGATGATCGGGCAGAGTACTCACCGAGCGCGGATCGAGCAAGGGAGCATCCGACGGCAACGGTCTGCTTCACCGCGTCCTCGCCCGTCCCGAGGGATGGGTTTACCTCCTGTGCGTCAATTAGCTACGAGAAGATGGCCACAAGTCCCCGCAGAAACTCACCATGATATCAAGCGCGACCAGACATCCCGTCTCGTAGACCGCCTCGCAAATATAGTGACCCTCTCTGAACGTCAGCCCTCCGCGAACCTACGCGCATTGCCGTCAGCCTCTGCCGCGTCGCACATCATCGCAGCCAGTGTCAGCCACTAACCGGCGTGCCCGTGCTGGGCGCTACACTCGGGTCGAGCGCGTCTACATCGAAGCTCAGATGCACAGGCAAGTCGCGCTTGGGGTTGACATGATCGAGGGCCATCTCGACGACGCGGCCGATGCCCCACTTGTCGACCTCGTGCATGGAGAAGGCCTTGATGCCGTTCTCCTTGAGGATACGCTTCTCGCCGGCGTCGACGTCGCGCAGGCCGATGTAGACGAGGCGGTGCGGCTGGAGGAGCGGGCGCACCCAGGCGAACTCGGAGACTTTGGGGCCGAGCCCGAGGAGAAAGGAGACGGGCATGCCGTGGATGTTTCCTGGGCGGCGGGGTTAGAGTAGCGAGGAGAGGCAGAGAGCGTGTGCGTACCTGAGCCGGTCGTTTCTGGAGTGTTGATGTCGGCATGGGCATCGACCCAGATGACACAGGCGTCGGGATAGTGGCTGCAGAGACTCGTTGTGAGTACAATTCTTTGTGCGGTGTGGGCTTAATGCGGACGTGGTCTGTCATGTTCCCGTACATCGTCGCTCAGCGGCGCCCGACGATAGCATGTGCTATTCTGGTGGCATCGAGCTCACTGCTGATACGGGGCATGACAAGAGGTGACTTCATCATTGTCGGCTCCGTGCACTGGTATCTCCCATATGTGAATAAACCAGTCACTGACCTCAGTGTTCCCGAAATAGTACCCATGGCCTACACGCAAATATAGCTCAGCGACGCATCACAGCTCCGCTCTCGAAGGGGACTCACGAGGGAGTGATCGCCGCCGAGGGTGAGGGGCAGCTGACCGTGCTTCGCATGATCACCGACGACCTTTGCGACGGCCTCGCAGACGCGGGAGACGAGGCGGGGATTCTTCATCTTGCCGATGGGGGGATCGTTCTTCTCGTCGATCTCTTCGAACTGGTGGTGGCCGTCGTAGTTGACCGTCCAGCCGAGCTCGGCGAGCTGTTCGGGGAGGCCGGCTTGGACGAGGCGGATGGGGCCATGATCGACGCCTTCCCGGGACTGGATGGGCGGAAGAGGTTAGCTGCGGGTGTGAGAGGGCAGCGAGGCTGCAGTCGAGCGACCCAGGCCGCCGGGCAGAACGTGCCTTCGAGTGCGCGAGGCGTGTTTCCCGATGGGGAATACGCCGTCAGGGCACTCGAGAAGCAGGCCTGGGCGGTGACGGCAGCGGGCCAGCGCAGGTCTAGCGGGTGACATACCTGGCCGCCTCTGCGTGGCGATGGCTCTCAGACGTTCAGTCGCTTCGCATTCCCACCTGGAGATGGCATTTACCTGAACGGGCAGCCCACGATCTGGATCGTAAGCGAGATAAGTACGGGCACAGAGGAGATAACAGAGGCACGCACGGCTACGGTCTTTGGGTGGGGGAGGAAACGAGAGGCGTAGGACTCGGTTGCGGTGGCCATACCTGGGGATAGATAGCGATACAAGCAGACGGTGCGATACAGGTTAGTATACTGGCTCTGAGAGCGGTACAGATGTTTTCAGGAGCGACGCGAAGACGCGCGCATCTGTCACATGACCCGAGTGCAGGATCCCGTGTGCGTGACATCATGTCGCGTCCAGGCGCGTCACAGCCATCGCCGCCGACTCCTCCAGCCACTGCAGTCGCGGTATACGTAGAAAGTGTGACATACATAAGGACATGTCTTCTGTCCCACTCCATGCGCCTCCTCACTCCTCGTTCTTGCCGCAGTCCGTAGCAATCCTCGCACCCCTCTCCTCGCACCCGCACATCTCGCAAGCACACCCTACGCCGCCATGTCCGACTCCCAGCCCACCACCGCCGTCTCGTCCGAGTGGCTTCAGGAGAAGCTCCAGACGCTCATGAACTCGCCCTATATCCACTTCAACCAGCCCAAGCTCCCCGGCCTTCGCATGGGTCACGGCCCCGTCGACCTCTTCAGCACCCGCTTCAACAACTGGTTCACCGGCGACGCGACGGGCGTCGTGGCCGGTAACCAAGTCGATAAGGCAGGGCTTAAGGACGCGCTGCTCGCACTCCAGAAGAAGTGGAACAATGATAGCGCAAAGTTCACGCCGTCCGCTGGTGCCCAGGAGGGCTCGGTGCGTGCTGCCATTCTCATTTTCTACCCATGCGATCTCACGCGGTTGTTGCGCATGCAGCTAGCGACTCGTGTCGAGTTCACCCCCACTGGTGCGGACCAGGCTGCGGATGTGACAGCTTCAGCGTCGTGAGTACTGCGCATGCAATCGTCTCATATGGCGTGCTCAGCCACTGAACCCCACTCCAGAGTTCGCCAGGAAGGAGGCACTGAGCGCATCAGCACGCTCACCCTCGACGGCGATTCCAGTCTCTTCGCCTGAATCAGTCGCTACGCTATACGACGTCATGACCACAGCGGACCCTCCTCGTCTATGCTCTCGCCGCACCGTGATGTTTCTTGTATTCCACGCTTCCACGCCCTTGTAATATGATGTAGGCTACCAGGTGTATTGATATTGATCCAGGCACCGACAGACAGCACCGAGGACCTTTTTCTCCAGCTTTGCCAGGGCTTGAACTCAGTTACGGAAGTCCACGAGTCCCTCATACTTCCTCGATCAGTCCCCGTATGTCCCGCCTCCTATGCTGCGTTACTTACTGCAACAGAGTCGACGTTATTGTTGACGCTGTATGTTGGCACCGATGAGCAAGCAATGGCGGTGACTTCCTTTGAGTTGTTCAGCAATCCAATCGTTCACCGGTCGCAGAGCGGTTACCTGCCCTTGGGCTGAATGCTGCGAGTGCGTACCCTTCTGTTGCTCTCGCACAGCGTACGGTGTGGCTTGTTGCAGATCACAATGTCTGCACATTCACATCGCTGACTCGAGGACCTGGCTCGCGGTCAGCAGCGTGACGTAGAGCTTAAGACGGTTATCGAGTCCTGACTGCGGGTTAGGGCTCGTAGACGGAGTAAGCGTCTATAGTTCTTGTGACTTCCCTTCTATCCTCAGCCAGATAATACTTCTGGGAAAGTTCTGGGTTAAGGAGAGCCTTTCAGGATAAGTGCGTACCCGTGTCGAATACTCGAGGTGAACTTCAACGCACCGCTGACTATGAGCGCTTACATACTCGGCTGTCGGTAAGTAAGCGCCTGCTCTCGTTGCACTTCCAAGTCGCAACTTGAACGACGTCGTTCATGTCAGAATCACCTAGCTTCGCATTTGTGTCGCATATCGGCTCGCTTGCACTCTGCATACACTCAAACACTCGCTCCGAAGTGTCTAAGTGCAGTATCTACGAACGATTGAGCAACTATTCGCTGCGCCCTGTTCAGCCACCGTCACCTCTCCCGGATGCATCGACTGTATCGCGTCGTCGTCGGCTTTCTTCAGCTTCACGCAGCTTCTGAGCCAAAATACTAATAATGCGGCCAGCTCAAGCTGCTGGAGCGTCCAAGCCGTGACATGGTCTCATAGGACAAGTACCTCCAATCGAACTTACGGGATGGTACCCCGTGACGCTGGCAAGGTATGTGGATTTTATGACATCGCCTGCCGGACAGGGACGTTGTTCGCTGTAGGTGAACCCACCGGCGCTGTTGTAGCCAGGGGCCGGTGGCGAAACAGAGGCACTGACGGTACCACCGTCCTCCAACCCGAGGTCACGGTGGACAGTGGAAAGCAACGGCGCTCATTGGCAACGCGGTGCGCCCTTCGTGGCTATTCCGGATTTTGTACTCTCCGACCTGCCCATTCAATCTGATCGGTGGTGTTCACACTCGACGTGCAACGCCCCCAAGAGTCGTTCTGCCGACGGTCGGGTGGAACGTTTCCACCGACGAGTGCGATGCACTAGCATGAGCGCCTGGGACTTCCACCGCACGCCGTGCCCCAGCGCCAACGCGATCGACCCGGGTGCATATAAGGAGAGGGTACGGCCCCAAGGTCGTACAGAACAGAGATTCGCAAGTGTCTCGCGTTCGGTACTTTGGCACTGCTATGCTGCCCAAGAAAGTCGATGTAAGCGCGGTTCGCTCGCGTTGCAGGGGCATCTGGCTGACTACCCGCTTTGCTCTGTAGACGGGAGATCTCGTGTACCTTAGCAAGCTCCCAGAGGTGCAAATTGGATTCCAAGACATCCACGAAGACGTCCGCGCTGAGCCGTGGAAGGTCGTTGGCAAACAGCCTGTCTCCGGGCAGGTGAGCCGCGCCTATATGCTCAGGAATCAGCGCTGACGATACTTTCACAAACTAGGGAAAGATAGGACTGAAGATTCGGAGCGAGAACGGCCATGTTACTCGTACTGTGAGGGAGAAGGACCTCGTCAAGTGAGTATCCAACGGTATCGACGCTGATCCTAATACTGAAATGTCCCTTGTCGTACCATCGCACGCGGTGGATCAGGATACATATACGTCATGACTCATGGACGATGGCGATGCATCGCCTATGTAGACCATGCTAGGCCACCGAGCACGGCCCTGTGTGCCATGGTCGCGTGGTTTCTGTTGTTACAATGAATCATCGTTAGGCAATGCGCCCACGGCCAATTCGGGTGTCACTGTACGCAGGGCGGCACTACAGGCGGTTATGTATCTTGCACGGCAGATGAAGCATTGATCGCTGGTTGGTCGGGAAGGGTGTAAGGTGGGTAGGACGTGAGTTCTGCTGAAGTCCGGGCCTGCCCACGGATTCGTTCCTCCGCCGCACAACGTCTTTGTCCACTCGCTTACTGATTCTGGATTTACCGCGACGAGGGATTGAGTCGCTCTCCATCTGCGACGCTGACCTCAGAGCCCGTGATGCGAGATCTGATGCTCGTCATACTGTATTGCGCGCAAAGACAAGTGGATATTTCGAGCTCTATCTGCTGTGCACAATTGAAGATGATACTTCCACCGCAAGGCGGACAATCATTGACGCACATCGACCCCTGTACAAGGATCTATGTAGGTGACGACGCGCTATCAGTTTTGGGCGCCGTTGCGCGAAGACGAGATGGCCGGAAGGTATGCGTCCTCCCGGCCCGCGGCATTATGCCGCCCGAACCTCAGCGACGCTGCCGACGATATGTACGTAGACCTTCCGGCAGACCACACTACGGTGACGAGTGTGATTCCCAAATCCTGCGTCGGTGCGTATATAAGGAGGATGCGTCAAGGTAGGCTGGTGGACACAACTCACAGTTAGTCCTTTCTACCAGTACACCCAGCCAAAAATGTCTAGCAAGGCTTACCCGACTCGCAAACTCGGTCAGAATGGGCCCCTCGTCAGCGCCGTCGGATTCGGTGCTATGGGTGAGCCTCTCCTTTCTGCGTTTTGTATTGCGAGAAATTGACGGCGGCGGTCAGGCATCGGTGCCTGGTACGGTCAGACCGATAGCGAGAAAGTGATCAAGACTCTCACTTATGCGGCTGACCGTGGCGTTACCTTCTGGGACACGGCAGACGTCTACGGGAACAGTGCGTGCAATGATCTCGCCTCGTTATATACTGAATATCGAGTCGGTCATCCATAGGCGAGGACACGATTGGGCAGTGGTTCACCACGACCGGTCGCCGTTCGGAGATCTTCCTAGCGACCAAGTTCGGGTCGGTAGACAAGAGACTGCTGGAGAAGCAGATCTACAAGCCAAACAGCAAGCCCGCATATATCCGGCAGCAACTTGGAGAGTCGTTGAAGAACTTGCAGACGGACACGATCGACCTCTATTACCAGCATCGTGTCGACCCTGAGGTACCCATCGAAGGTTCGCGAATCCATGACATGCCCCACTGTTTTCGAGCTAACACATGAATGACGCAGTCGTGATGGAGACTCTGGGCGAGTTTGTCAAGGCCGGCAAGATCAAGTACATCGGGCTGAGCGAGTGCAGCATTGATGTTCTGCGCCGCGCTAAGGCCGTTCCCGTGGCAGGCGAGAAGCTGGTCGCGTGTCAGATGGAGTTCAGCCCTTTCGAACTCGAGATCGAGAAGTCGGGCTTCGTTTCCGCTGCTCGCGAGCTAGGTGTAGCGGTTGTAGCGTACTCCCCACTAGGTAGGGGTATGATCACTGGACGGTCAGTCATCATTCGCTCCCTCTGTTAGCGAATAGAGCTCATTAACCATTGAACTAGGTTCAAATCGCGGGCAGACTTCGAGCCTACAGACCTCCGTCAAATGATGCCGCGCTTCGCAGAGGAGAACTTTCCCAAGAGCCTCGAGGTCGTCGACAAGTTCCGTGCAATCGCATCGAAGTATGACGCCACGCCCGGCCAGATCGCACTCGCATGGATCCTCGCCGAGCACCCGGACTTCGTTCCCATTCCTGGGACTCGTACGGTGGAGCGGCTTGAGGAGAACGCGAAGGCGGCTGAGATCACGCTGAGCAGCGAGGACGTGAAAGCGCTGAAGGCGGTGGTCGAGGGTGCTGACGTGCGGGGCGGGCGGTTCCCGGAGCAGTTCGCGAGCTTGATGAACACAGAGTGTATCCCTCTCAGCGAGTGGAAGGGCGAATAGGCTGCGGCGCCTAATTGGTGCACCTTCTGCCAACGAAGCTACGCTGTATATGTGCACCCGAGTCAATAACCATGAAATGACAATGACAATGTACTCACTAGTAATCGTCGAGATTTCTTGACCGACCCTGGCCACTGACAGTTCTGCTGTTTTGCTGAGCTGCGTTATGGGTCTGATAGAGCGACACAGTATTGATCTGAGATCTTGGGCTCACTCGCGATCGGGCGTTGCCTCACACTACACCCAACCACGTCAGTCACAAGTCGGACCCACAGAGCGGCCATCGTCCGGTAAGTCATCCAGTGTGGTTGGACGCGGCCGGTCGGGGTTCGCATTCTGAGAAGACTCATGTGATCGAATCGACTCGGTGGCAAGCCAACAAACGAACGTACTCACGGGTATCAGCGGTGCTTGCCGTTTCCCAATATGACTTCCTCTGGCACTAGCAGGATGCTCGATTGAACAGATCTGTCCATACTCTCACCCCAATCCAGTTGGTGCCATCATTGACCACCTTGTCGTGTATCCATGGAGCTCAGGCCCTTACCGGGCGCTGGCGGAAGGCCGAAACCTGACTATGCGGTATGTACAGCTCGTTCGTGCTGCCTTACCGCTATCTCACTCGTGCGCCGCAGCCGTCAAGTATAGACCACCTAACTGATGAGGAAGTCATCCACCTCGTGAACACGAGGCCAGAACAGGAGAGTGGACAGATTGCTTTCGGAGACGACAACATCTTCCGTGTCGCGCATGATATCGTGGGGAAGTACGCTCAAGATCAATATCGAGTTGGACAGCACATCGACGAGCCATCGGAGGCTCTTACCCTCGACCTCGTCTTCCAACACACAACGATACCCGTTCCGCGCGTGCGACGCGTCATCAGGAATGGCGATAGCTCTAATGATATCCTGATGGACTACATCCCCGGACGGCAGTTGTCGGTCGTCTGGCCAACCATGTCTGTCGAAGAACAACTTCGCATCGTGTTTACTCTGCGCGGCTATGTGCGCCAACTGCAGGCCATTCGTCACCCGCGCTCCGCTATCCCTGGCCCAGTCGCACCGGGAAACGAGGCTCGAATAAGCGAGTCACCAATCTGGGGAAACGTCATAGACCAACGTGGCCCCTTCGCAGACTACAGTGCATTCTGCGCGTGGTTTGACAAGGCCCAAGAGGTTGCACAAAGTGCACGTCAGACAATCCCTTGGTTGGCCGAGTCCTCTCGACAAATTCGCCGAGACGTGCCGTTGAACACCCTCATGGGCTCGACACCGCTCGTGCTGTGTCACCAGGACCTCAACATGCGCAACATTCTTGTCGGAGACGACGGCCGACTCTGGCTTATTGACTGGGCGTGGTCGGGCTTCTACCCACCATGGTTTGAGTACATTGCGATGAAGATCCAGGCAGAGCACGAGGAACAGTCAGTAACAAATCGGGAGGAACCGTTCTGGGATCTCATGATCCCGTTCATCTGCGGTCCCTACTACCGGGAGGAGCGTTGGCTCAATTCTGTGTCCTTGGCGTTCATGTATAAGTTCGAACGTGCGCGCAGGACTGACGGTGCGTCGCATGTTGTGATCGAAGACACCCTCTCATGAATGACTGTAGCGGCACCCGCCGATGTCGAACGATAGGTGCTAGTCACATCCGTCTGCGAGTGCTAGTGCAATATGACCATCGTGCGTTGCAACAATGATACAATGTTCAGCATTGGACGATCGTCCACCAGTATCAGCGCCCAGTGTCGAAACATCTACCCAATAGTAGTTACATTCTACGCACCATACAATCACGTACATGATACTCGAGAACACAGGCATGATCGTATTGAGCCGGCGACGTTCTGTAATGTTAGAGGCTACAGACCCTTCTAGTACAACGCTGTTGGGAACATGAGGTATTCGTTCACTGGCGCTCCGAGTCAGCGTTCAGGCCGCAAGATGGGACACTGATACAGGGCAGGGGCTTGGGGGAGCAGAGTGCAGTGAACTGCACCGGAGACCCGAGCAAAGGTGCGGTAGGAAGTGAGATCCGACGAAGCATGTTCATACGAGGCCGGTGGGCGGGAGTTTGTGCGGACAATGGCTAGAGCAGAGTCATGAAGACCACTCGGTTGAGAGTTTTCGACATTCAGTTCACCGCCCCCATGTAGCTGACATGGCCGTACGATGTCTTCGCGTGTAGCCAGAGAGTCGTAGCCACGGCTGTCGCGTGCAGTGGCTTGAGCAACTTTTGCCAGAGTTTCGGCGAAGGCGGACGGGGCGTGACTGACTAGGCTAAAAGAGTGCTGAGAAGTCGTGCGCTCTGCCACGCTGGGATGACGACTAATACTAGTATGCGGTTTGAGGAGATGAGGGCGCATACGAGACCGCGTTCAGGCAGCGCGCGCCGAGGAACGCAACGCGTCTTGATAAGTCACGTAGCACGCGTCCGAAGCCGGGGTGCAGTTTTCTCGAGTTGGAGAATTTGTTGGTCCGTGAGTTGTTCTACATCTGATGGCTGAACCCGCTGTAGTAGCATGAGTAACAGGACTACTGAGGCATATATTTGAGGACGTACAGAATAGTATTCAGAATGCGAACGCCCTGGAGGAATAACGTGGTGGGGCACAGTTATCATAGTAGTGATGGTGCGCGGCGTGGTTCGGTTTGAATTATGGCGGCGGGGTGGTAGCGAATCCGCCAGTGCGATGTTCCTGGACAAAAGACAGCTTGTTGAAGTCTATGTCAGCAAGCGACACGCACGTAGCGTGGCTGGTCGAACGCGCCCACAACAAACAACAAGTGCAAAGAACGGTATACAGGTCTACCAAAACGGAGATTCCAGCGTACGCCGCTCTCGTGTTCAATGAGGCCCGTCTCCTCAATCAACGTCGGACTCAGGGTGTCCGCGCTGCTGCCTGCTCGGTCGGCACAGATTAGCGCCAACGGCCGCATACATCGATTGCCCTCCGTCGCCCTGCTCGTCCTCCCCGCCGAGTATCATATGTTGCGATAAAATATGTCGTTGTCTGGCTCAATGGGTCGCCCCAAGTCCGATTACGCCGTTCGTAGGCTGGATGGTTCTAGTAATAATATGCTGCTAAATCATTCTTGACAGCCTTCGGAGATTGACCGGTTGTCGGAGAGGGAGGTCATCGCCCTCCTGCGAAACGCGAAGCAGTACACTGTGCCTGGTGCTGTCGGTGTTGACCACATCTTACGAGTCACCGATACTCTCGTCGCCAAATATTGTCACGACATCGAGGAGAATGTCACAGAGCCATCTGAAGCCTTAACGCTCGACCTCGTCTTCCGCTACACGACGATACCCGTACCGCGTGTTCGGCGCATCATTAGCCTGGAAACCAATGGCGCCAAGTACATCCTCATGGACCGCATTCCGGGACGACAGCTATCCTCCGTCTGGCAGGAGATGTCTCTCCAAGAACGCCTGCGCATCGTCTTCACTCTTCACGACTATGTGCGCCAATTGCAGGCCATTCGTCACCCCCGTTCTGCCATTCCAGGCCCCCTTGCTCCAGGGAACGAGGCTCGAGAGTGCACATCGCCTGTGTGGGGTCGACTTATAGAAGAGCGCGGCCCATTCTCCTCGTACAACGACTTCTCTGCCTGGTTTGATCAGGCTCAGCGCGTCGCGATTGATGCGCTGAAGAATTGGCAAATTCCCGCAAATCTGCGATCAACCTCGTTCAAACAGATAATGGGCTCGTCACCACTGGTCCTGTGCCATCAAGACCTGCATATGCGTAACATCATCTTTGGTGATGACGGACGGCTGTGGGTCATCGACTGGGGTGATGCGGGATTCTATCCACCCTGGTTCGAATACCTGTCGATGAAATTACAATCAGAGAACGAGGAGACAGTCATGCACCGAAAGGAACACTTCTGGGATCTCATGATCCCGTTTATCTGTGGTCCATATTTTCAGGAGGAGCGGTGGCTAGCGCTAGTCTCTGCCGCATTCTCGTACAAGTTCGAGAGAGTTGGACGGCGGTAGATGTTCTCCGTTTAATCTTGATTGAATTTTCATCATAATTCGAGAACAGCTGGTAGTTTGATTCTTCATACTATCAACATAATGTTTCAATGTCTGCGCATCCAATCACGATGCCAGCCACATCCTAAGTTCTGCGACGGCTCGACACAGTCATAAGCTATCGTATGAGTATCGCAATCTGCGAGTAGTGTCGCCGAAAGCGCGTCACACCGCGGGCAAACCAGGTTTTGCGGACTCCGAAGATTGCTATTAACATCGGTCCCCCATGGGAACCTATTCGGACTCCGAATGTTGTCAGAACATGCTCCGAACATGATGCGTTTCAGCATGTTCGGAGGCCGAAAACGCGTGTTTTCGGCGAACATGCTACGAACATGAATAATGTGGGGGCATTTTCGGAGTCAGTCAAGCTCTCCGAATAGGTTCCCATAAGGGACCGATGTTGTGAGCAATCTTCGGAGGCCGAAAAACCTGGTTTGCCCGCGGTGTCAACTCCTTTGCCACTCTTCGGCGGGCCGTCCATTTGATGACTGTCGAAAGAGTACCGGACCCACCACAGGATCAGCCACACCGTCGCCGGCCAGGCATTTGATGACTCGAATCTGCTGTTGTGTTTCTCCTCCGTATCACTGACAGCTCTGCAATAGTCGAGCTGAACTGCGTTATTTTTCTGACAGAGCGACGTGGTATCGATCCAGGATCCGAAATATTGGGCTTACGATCGGGCATTGCCTCGAGTCACACTTGTAGATGATGAGGCTCGAGTTGGGAGATCTATGTTCACTGATAGTACGGAGCAGGGGAATCATAGGACCAATACAGCGGACTACGAGCACTGCGAGGATCTTCTGCTAGACTACATAAGTGACTCATGGATTATTTATACTCCATACCAACTGCCATACGACGCCACCACTTCTCCTGGTGATCATATAGACCACAGATGAACGGAACAAGCAAGTCCCAAAGCGGCTCACTCCTATGCACAACCGTCTCCTCGTTCTCCGATTGTATCCTCGTGGCCACGAACTCAAACCAGCCCGGATAGAAGCCCGCCCACGCCCAGTCGATCAGCCATAGTCTCCCGTCGTCGCCTACTATAATGTTCCGCATATTGATATCCTGATGCGTGAGTACGAGCGGACCCGAATTGTCGAATGGGTCCGCGCGCACGCGCGACTCAGCCTTCGTGGTGGGGACCCTTCGGTGCTGGACGAGCGCCACCTTGTAACGATCATTGAAGAATGCCGCCAGCTTGTCGTAGGACGCAAAAGGGCCCCTCCATTCATACTTCCAGTTGAAGAGCGGAGATGTGCATTGGCGCGGGGGGTGGCCAGGAGGTACAATCGGACCTGGTATCGCCGACCCGGGGTGTTGAATGGCGCGCAGCTGGAGCACGTAGCTGCGCAGCGTAAACACAACACGTAGCTTCCGCCAAGTCGACATTTCGCGCCAGACGTGCGATAGTTGGCGTCCCGGGATATAGTCCATGACGATGACGTTTGTGTCATGGTCTCGAATGACACGGCGCAAGCGCGGCACGGGGATGGTGGTGCATCGGTAGACAAGTTCGAGTGTCAATGCCTCCGACGGGATTCGCGTGTCTGTGTCTTCGTCCTCAGCGCTCTTGGTAACCGTGCCAGGAGTGATATGGCGGATTTGCTCTGCACCAATCAATTCCCGGGACTCCTCGCTGAGCCGGGGTGCAGTTTTCTCGAGTTGGAGGATTTGTTGGTCCGTGAGTTGTTCTACATCTGATGGCTGAACCCGCTGTAGCATGAGTAACAGGACTACTGGAGCATATATTCAAGGACGTACAGCATAGTGTTCGGTAGGCGAACGCCCTGGAGGGATAACGCGGTGGCGCGTAGTTATCATAGTAATGATAGTGCACGGCGTGTTTCGATTTGAATTGTGACCGTGGCGGCGGTCCTGGCAGTAGCAGAAACCAGCGTATTCGCCAGTGCGTTGTTCCCAGACAGGAGGCAGCTTCTTAAATATTCATGTCAGCAAGCACTAGTGATTCGTGATTCGTGATGCTTGCCGGCTGTCTGCAACCGCGACGGAGACTAGTGATTTGGGTGAAGTTGTGGGTAAGTAGCTTTACATCAGACACGGATCTAACGACGACGTGGCTGTTTGGATGCGGCCCACAACAAACAACAAGTGCAAATCATAGTATACAGGCCACTTCTTCTCCAGCGCCAGGCCGCACGGGGAATGGAGACTTATGGAAGTGAAATCATAAGAATGATCACACACATCAACTGTGAGTCGGACACCCGGCAGTCTGCTTCAGACTGCGGGCACTGTTTCAGACTCGGAGGGTCAGGCCGACAACATTCCTTCGTCAAACATGTACTTGACAGCTCGGTTTGGTGCTACTGGTGAGCCGAAGTCTGGCTCTGAAACAAACAATGCTCAATTTCGACAATGAGACCGGTTGATCGGAAGGGACACGTATCTCCGAGCGATGATGGTCGACGCGTTCGCTTCGGAATGTTTGAGAGTTCTGCGCACTACCGTCAAGGAACGCCGGCGGATAATCAGTTCGTTTCTGGCTATAAGCAACGGAAGGTAGATGAGATGATTTGGCTTACAATATCGAGAGAAGCGGCAGTCAGATAATAGTCGCCACAGGCTGGCAGCAGCTGACCATTCGAGCGACGACTGCAGCGCGTCATTCGTCTGCCGCTCTCGTTTTCAACGAGGCCCGTCTCCTGTCTCAACGTCGGACAAACGAAACGAGGGAGGTTGATGCCTATGAATGTTTGCGACGCGTGAGACGGGCGAAATTGAACCGCAAGCACAGGCCGTGTACCTTGTATAAGTTGGGGCTTGTGCACGGTCCTTGACTGGCCCGTCTCGCCGGCCCGAAGATCGACGACCGCGCTTCGAGCCCAGACTGTATTGAGGACTGAAGATAGCCCGAGTTTGCCACGGACTCGCTCGCTCGAGCTTTGCTTGCCTGTGTCGTCGTCGTCGACATGGATCAAGGATAGCCTGCCCGCGCTCAAGGCCGGCGCGTAGATTTTGGCGCCAACTGCCGCATACTGAACACTGACGTCATACATCGATCGCCCTCCGATGGGCCCAGGTCGCGCTGCTCGTCGTCGCCGGGCTGCTCGTCGCCGGGCACAGCGGCGACGAGGACGGCGGGGGCGGGGGCGAGCAGTGGACATGATGGGCGAGGAGATGGGCTGAGAGGGGTCGCCGAACGCGGGGTGGGGCTGGGGGAGAGGGATGCTGACATAAGCAGGACGCTCCACGGGGGCAGAGGGGCGAGTCTCTGCAGTCTGCCACCACCGCGACAACCGACCGGCATCGTCTCCTCCTGCCCTGCTCACCGTCCCCGCCACCGAGCTCGCCATGTCCTTCGTCAAGCTCAGCATCTTCGGCACCTCCTTCGAGGTCCGCCCTTCCCCCCGCATGCGTCCTCCTCCACTCACCCGTCCTCCCACAGGTCACGACTCGCTATGTCGACCTCCAGCCCGTCGGCATGGGTGCGTCCATCGTCCTCCTCGCGCTCCCCCCATGCTCACTCTTTCCATCCAGGTGCCTTTGGTCTCGTGTGGTCCGTACCTCTCGTCCTTGGCCCCGCCCCGCACTGACCCGCGTCGCCCAGCTCCGCAAAGGACCAGCTCACAGGCTCGTCCGTCGCGATCAAGAAGATCATGAAGCCCTTCAGCACCCCCGTCCTCTCCAAGCGCACCTACCGCGAGCTCAAGCTCCTCAAGCACATACAGCACGAGAACGTCCGTCCCCACCTCCCCCCGCTCGTGCCCCGCTCACCCCCGCACAGATCATCAGCCTCCTAGATGTATTCATCTCCCCATTAGAGGATATGTGCGTCTCGTTCCTTGCTCCCCTGATGCCCTCTAACCCCGTCCAGCTACTTTGTCACCGAGCTCCTCGGCACCGATCTCCATCGACTGCTCACCTCCCGCCCACTGGAAAAGCAATTCATCCAGTATTTCCTCTACCAAATCCTCGTGCGTGCCACCACTCTCAGCCCGAGCCATCCCTAACCATCCTCCAGCGCGGTCTCAAATATGTTCACTCCGCAGGCGTCGTACATCGTGACCTCGTGCGTCTCCTCACCCCACCTTCTCTTCACCTGCTAACACGCGCCCAGAAACCGAGCAACATCCTCATCAACGAGAACTGCGACCTCAAGATCTGCGATTTCGGGCTCGCCCGCATCCAGGACCCCCAGATGACCGGCTATGTCTCCACGCGCTACTACCGTGCGCCCGAGATCATGCTCACCTGGCAAAAGTACGACGTCGCCGTCGACATCTGGTCCGCGGGCTGCATCTTCGCCGAGATGCTCGAGGGCAAGCCGCTCTTTCCCGGCAAGGACCGTGCGTGCCTCCTCCGCTATACCGTCTACAATTCATTGACGCGCGCTATGCAGACGTACACCAGTTCTCGATCATCACAGAGCTCCTGGGCACCCCGCCAGAGGACGTCATCCAGACGATCGCCAGCGAGAACACGCTCCGGTTCGTGCAGAGCCTGCCCAAGCGCGAGCGCGTGCCCTTCAGCGAGAAGCTCTCGTGCAAGGACCCCGCCGCGATCGACCTGCTCGAGAAGATGCTCGTCTTTGACCCGCGCAAGCGCATCACCGCGACCGACTCCCTCGCCAACGATTACGTCGCGCCCTACCACGACCCCACCGACGAGCCCGAGGCCGCGGAGAAGTTTGACTGGTCGTTCAACGATGCGGACTTGCCCGTCGACACGTGGAAGGTCATGATGTACAGCGAGATCCTCGGTGAGTCGCCGTGTCTCCCTCGAGTCTCCTCGGTGCCTTGTTCCTCTGCGGGTGGCTCCTCGGTAGCGGGCGTGCCTAGGTGGCTGGCTCGTGTGCGGTGGCGTGCGTCGCGTGAGGGCCGCAGTTTGGGATCCGTCCGTTCGTCCCGGATTCCGTCCGTACCATGTTCTTCCCCATTGCTTCCGCCCCGATAACACGCCTGTCGCCCAATATCCCGCACCCCGCCTAGCCTCCTGCGTCATCCTCCTGCTTCGCGAACCCGAGTCCCTCTTCCTTATCGCTCGACGCCGAGACTGACCCTCTGTCCCGGCAGACTTCCACCAAGTCGGCGACACCCGCCTCGACAACGGCAACGTCCCCGAGGGCGCACTCGCCGCACCAGAAGGCGACGCAGCCTCCGCGCCCGCCGTCGGCACAGAAGCGTAGAGAGGGCACGCAGGCTGGACTGCTACCTCCCCGCCGCGCACAGGCGCGCGGTACTGACGACCGACCCGACGATTCACGACCCGCAAGCCGATTGTCCCTCCTTGATGCATCAATTATCCGAACCCCGTACACGTCGCTCTCCCTCCATTCTGAATGTTCCTCGATTTGTCCCGCGTCTGGCTGTCTGGCTGTGTTGTGTATGTGTGGCGCATATCCGTAGCATGGCGTGTTAATGTGTCTCCCCTTCTCCCACACCCGTCTCCCGTCTCCTTCCCTGTGATCCTTTTTTTGTTCGTGCGCGCGCTCTCGGACGTACTGCGTGATGACGGTGTATCGCTTTTCAGACCCAGCCAAGAAGTAGAAGCAGAAACAGAAGTACAATATCCAAAGGCCTCCGCGCGCACTGAGGCCCACGTATACGTATGGGCACCCGAAACGGGCGGTGGATGTAAACGTGGTGGATGTGGGTGGGAGGTGCGGTCGAAATGGACTCGAAGAAGAACTTGCAGTGCCTGTATCTTGTGCATACGTACGTACAGTACATCCGTAGTGACATACATGTTTTCCGTATACGATACTTAGGGGATTGTGGCAATAGATGCGCGGCGCATGAAACGTACTACTGACTGGTCTCCGTTGCAGACCATAGGAGCCGACAAGCGTCGTACACAGGCACCTACAGGCTGGCTGTCCTACGATTTCCATCGCGCCATGAGCATGTTCGTTCGAATGGACGAGGTACTAACGCGAGGATTAGGTGGACCGTGTAGTCAGTCTCACCGACCTCGGGCTCAGGTGTCGTCTCGTGGATTGTGATCAGGGAGGTGCCTTATTCGTACCGGTCGTGGGGTGCCATAGATTCTGTCATCCAGTCCCTGCAATCGACTTGATCACGCTGAGCTTTGCTTCAAACAATGGCAGTCGCACCTAGGCCTCATCATCGATGCCTGTAAAACATGTGCATGAGCTCTCGAGGCAGTCTGCGTCTTCGCAGGTGATACAAGATGTCCTCTCCAGGGTCGACATTATCCGACGAGTGAGTCATGCTCATCATTCAAGGTAACAATCAGTCGAGACTTCAGAATGGCAACGATCACGGCGGCCAAAAAAAAGCATATAAACATGGTAAAAGCCAAAGGCACCATCCAATGTAAAACGCTACTCAACGCTGTTCCTCGAAGCGATAATCGAGAGCAATATTGATGGAGCAGCGCATCCATGCCTCTTCACGATAATGCGGGCCGCAGATGAAAGGTATCATCAGATCCCAGAATGGTTCTTCCCGATTCATAACCCTCTCCTCATTCCGCGATTGTTCCTTCATCGCGAGATACTCGAACCACGGCGGGTAGAAGCCCGCAAACTCCCAGTCGATGAGCCAGAGTCTCCCATCATCACCGACGATGATATTGCGCATGTGAAGATCCTGGTGACAGAGTACGAGAGGCGACGTTCCCATGAGAGTCTTGAATGAGATATGATGAAGGGGACTCTGCAGAGCTTGCTGCGTGTTCCTGGTAACAAGACGCTGGGCTTGATCGAACCAAGAAGACAGCTTGTCGTACGATGCGAAGGGTCCGCGGACATCTATCACTTGACCGAACACTGGCGAGATACAATGGCGAACGTCGGTGCCCGGCGCTACTGGACCGGGAACCGCAGCACGGGGGTGGCGGATGGCCTGGAGTTGGCGGACGTAGTCACGTAGCGTGAATACGACACGAAGTCGTTCTGCTACGGACATCGTAGGCCATACTGCAGATAACTGTTTCCCAGGGATACGGTCCATGAAGACCCAAGCAGCGGGGGTCTTGTCGGGGTGGACGACACGCCTCACACGAGGGACTGGGATCCTCGTGTGATGGAAGACAAGGTCGAGTGTCAGAGCCTCGGATGGCAGCGCGTCGGATGGCAGCGCACCATAATCCCGACAGTACTTCGCGACGATGGTTTCATTGACACGAAATACGTGGTCGGTGAGTGCAATGGCTCCCGGGTGGTATCTTCTTCTCCCTTCCGACAAGACGGTCATAAGCTGTGCATCCGTCAGGTGGTCTACACTTGAAGGCTTGAATGAGACGCTCGAGTGAGCGTGGCGGAAACGAAATACATGTAGCCGATGGAACGAACCGCGTAGTCAGCTTTGGGTCTGCCTTGCGAGCCTGTAACTCTCATGACGAACGTTTGTAATGCTGTCAAGAGTGCAGGGTGGAACGATGAAAGCGAAGTGAAGCCACGCTTTGCATTTGAGTAGACGGTCTGGAGGAGGAGGCGGCCCGCGCGGCGCCCGAGCGCCACATACTAACTTACTGATCACTGGCCATGGCACTTCGTGTCGTTCATTCGACGCACAGATTTGACTCATAGGATCTATGTACATCAGTCTGAGGTCTTCACACTGGCATGTCACAATGCCAAGATAGCAGACTCCTAGCTAGTACCCGTCAACTATGAATTGACAATCAAGCAAGTTGTTGAACCGGCTTTTGCATCAGTCCACAATCCATAATGTACACCTACAAGTCTGACATGATACATACACAATTCCCTCGTAGTTACCGTACAATTCCTAGGTCCCACAAGAGTAAGTCCTTGGTACTCCATACTCTTACAAGTCGCAGCGTCCCCGCTCATTGCCCCTCAGGTGCATCGTCCTCCGCAATCTCGACGACGACCCGTCCCTCCTCGACCATCTCTCCCTTCGCGCACCCCACCGCACGGACCACGCCGCTCACCGCCGCGCGGAGGATCGTCTCCGTCTTCATGCTCTCCAGCACGACCACCGCCACCCCAGGCTCGACGCGATCGCCCGGCGCGACCTTCACCTCAACGACCATGCTCGGCATCGGCGCGCGCAGCACACCGCGCCCCACTGCGGACGCGACGTCGCCTGCGAGGGACGCGACCCACGCAGGCGCAGGGAGCACGAGCGTGTGCTTCGCGGACGAGCCCCCGGGGAAGACGTGCAGCCGCTGCGCCGCGCTCGTCGACCCGGGCGTGCCTGTCGACGTAGCTGGGGCGCGCTGGCGAACGACGGTCGTGCGCGTCTTGGCGCCGGCGATCGTGCTCTCCACGACCCGGCCGTGTTCGACTAGGCGCGCGACGGTGTTGGGGAAGGCATGCGTGCCGGAAGGGGTGTGCACCGTCACGTTGAAGCGGCCGTCGGGCAGCACCTGTACGTGTACTGGGGTGGTGGTCGCCTCTGTGGAATTGGCGTTGTCCTCGTTGTGTATCTGGAGTGTCACGACTTGTTCAGAGAGATCGCCTCCGAAGCGACGCGCGCCCATAGTCGCCCACGGCGTCGTGGACGATCCCACCGAGGGCAAATCGGACAGCACGACGAAGAGCGCAGCTTGGGCGAGGGCCTCGGGTCTCGGGTCTTCCACCCTGGGGAAGAGCTCATCGAAATGTTTCTTTGCAGCACGGAGGTCAGCGTCGTCGGCACTCGGGACTCCCACTGGCCAAAAGTGAACACTGATGACACACCTGTATGAAACCCGTCTCGACCTCGCCCCGAATAAAATTATCGTTACCGGCAAGCTGCCGCAAAAACGCAACGTTCGTGCTCAGGCCCGCGACGCGATACTCTTCCAGCGCTGCCCGCAGGACGCGCAGCGCCTCCGGACGATCGCGCGCGTGTACGACGAGCTTGGCGATCATGGGATCGTAGAACACCCCAATGTCAGCGCCCTCGGGGAAGCCTTGTTCAAGTCGCACGGAGGGCTTCACATGGAGTGTTGTTTCGGCCGACAGAATAGGCATGAGCGCGGCATCGGGGTCGGTGGGCGTACGAGGCGTGACGGGAGGCGCGAAGATGGTGCTGGGTGTAGGGGTCGAGAGGTAGAGGAGACGGCCCGAGTCAGGCAAGAATCCGTTGCGCGGGTTCTCGGCGTAGATACGTGCCTCGAATGCGTGGCCGACAAGTGGAATGGCGGCCTGTGTGAGAGGCAGACGGTTGCCTGCTGCGACCTACGAACTGACAGCATAAGCCCGATGGTCATCGCAGTATCAAGGCGGTAGTGCTTGCCTCAAGCTGCCATTCCACCAGATCAAGGCCGGTAATCATCTCCGTGACAGGATGCTCGACCTGCAGACGGGTGTTCCTGTACAGTTGTCAAGCGTCGTGGTGTGTAAACGAGTGGAAACGGCTGACGCACATCTCCATGAAATAGAAATGCTGCGTGTCATTGTCGAAGATGAACTCGACCGTGCCCGCGCCGACGTATCCAACAGCCTTCGCAGCAGCTATCGCCTTGGCACTCAAGTCTGCCCTCAACTCCGGCGACAACCCCGGCGCTGGAGCCTACAACAGCCGCACGATAAACCTAGCAAGCCAAACAGGCCGAGCACGCAACGCACCTCCTCGATAATCTTCTGGTTTCTCCTCTGCACAGAGCAGTCCCGCTCCCACAGGCTCACACAACCACCCTGACTGTCCGCAAACACCTGAACCTCGACATGCCGCGGGCGCTCAATCCAATTCTCGACGAGGACCTCCGTGCGGCCGAACGCCTTGCTCGCCTCGCGCTGGGCGGACGCGAGCGCGTCGGCGAAGTCTGCGGGGCTGTGCACGGTGCGCATGCCCTTGCCGCCGCCGCCGTGGACGGCCTTGATGAGAACAGGGTAGCCTGAGTCAGAAGTCAGTCAATATAGTGGGGTACCAGTCAGGGATGGAGGTACCAATCCGAGACGCCTGCTCGGCGAGGAACACTGGATCCTGGTTTGGGCCGTGATAGCCGGGCACGACAGGTACTCTTGCATCTACAGGTAGGGGTGCTTGGTTTGATTGTCTAAGCATAGAGACGAAGGGCACACTGACTGGCCATGATTGTCTTGGATTCGCTATCCTCGTCGGGCGTACAAGTGGGCATACAACGATAATAGTTCAGGCGAAGAGGCATACCTCTTGGAGCCCATACTCACAATGGCCGAAGCGGGTGGCCCAATGAACACGATCCCCGCCTGCGCAAGCTGTTCCGCAAAGTCGGCGTTCTCGCTCAGAAAGCCGTAGCCGGGATGAACAGCCTGGGGGTTTAGATAGCAAGAGCAAGCCAGGTTCGGTCAACCGAAGCAAGGACGAACCTGCGCGCCGCTTTTGCGGCAGACGTCGATGATCTTGTCCATGCGTAGCTGAGGAGGATGGGTGTCGGCAGGCAGAGTGGATGTGCCATCCGACGACTCACGTAGCTCTCGGAGGACGCCGCAGGTCCAATGCAGTACGCCTCATCGGCCTGTGTTGCGTGGGGACGTCAGGTCGATTCACAGAGAGCCAGGACAATTGGCACACCATCTGGACATGCAAAGCATCTGCGTCTGCTTCACTATACACAGCTACGCTGCGTATCCCTAGCTTCTTCGCCGTGCGAATCACACGACATGCTATCTCCCCTCTGGATTGCTAGATGAGAAACTGGTGGGAGACGTAGGGGCTTCACACGCACCTATTTGCAATGAGAATCTTGTCAAAGAGCGGTCTCCTTGCTTCGAGGGGCATATCATTGGCCTCCGTTTGCGAGGACGCCTCGGGTCCTGCTCGTAGCCTGTCAGATCCAAGGAAGTGACGCGATATTGGGGAGCATACCAACTATGGAGGCGAACCCCCTTCGCTGCGCGGTAGCTAGCACGACTGGTGTATGTCTCGTCCTTGTCTGCCGTACTGGTTGCAGTGCCGATGGTGGCTGCCTCGCTGAACCAAGCGGAGGACCATAGCGGCTCGAAGACACCGCGGATGGTAACGAGCGCACGCTGGCCGCCGCTGTGCGGGGACCCTTGGACAGCATTGTTTGTTGGAAGAGGGACTCAGGGAGGGAGAGCGCGACCATGATGGCGGACGGAGCCTGAGGCCTGAGGCCTGAGGGCCCTGGTGGTCTCATGACCGCGTACGAGCAAGCGCGCATCGTACATGGAACCGCGATCACTCGACAAGCTGTACCGTCGCCGACGGGGGAGGTCCCAAATTACGCTACAATTGAACTACTGCTTTCTCTATCAACATCGTACAAGCTCAGCTATGCGCCGTACAGACAAGAAGACACCTGCGACGTGCGAAAGGGTTCAAGCCGACCAAGAGACTCTACGCGCCTACAAACCGCCCCCGCCCAAGATGTACTCAATCGCGGCGTGGACGTTCCCGCCCGTTGCAAGCAGCGCGCGCACGTTCTGCTGCGCGTTCGTGAAGCCCATGTCTTGCAATTGCTTTGACACAGGCGTATGAGCTTCATACCTCCAATATAACCTAGAGGAGACTCACCTGCAATTGCACCTGGAACCGCTCCTCGGGCGACCGAGTGTCCGCCGGGGCAGCAGGCACACCGCCGAGCCCGCCAAAAGCGCCCAGTCCGAACGGGTCCGCACCGCCCGCACCCGCACCGACGCCCGCACCCGCACCCCCGCCCATCGCGGCCAGCATCTGCTGCATCATCGCAGGGTCGAACATGCCCACGCCCGGTGCCGCGCCGCCTGCCACGCCAGGCGAGGTCGGGTTGCTCCCGCCCGCGGCTGCGGGAGGTGGCATGAAGGGGAAGAGCCCTGCAAGGCCCGCTGCGGGGTTGGGCGCCGCGCCGGTGGGGGGTTGCTGTTGTTGGCCTTCTTGATCCTGCTGGCGTGCGGTGGAGGGGAGGCCGGGGGCGGGGAAGGAGCCTGCGCCGCCGGGGGCGCCGCCGACGCCGCGCATTGCGGAGGACATCTGGAGCATCATGCGGAGGCTGTCGGGGTTTGCGCTGCGGAAGGGTTAGGTACGGCTAGCGACAAGCAGAGCGTGGGTCTGGTCGTACATCATTTGGCGGAACTGCTCGCTCTGGAAGACTTGTCGGACTTGGGGGGCCATGCTCTGGAGCTGGGGGTTGGAGGCGATGATCTGGTCGAGGATGGCGGGGTTGGACATGACGCTAGACATTTGTTGCAGGAATTGTGGGTTGCTGAGCATGCCTTGCATCTAGAAGACGACGCGACCGGTCAGTACTCATTGCGATTCGTCGGTGTAATGAGGCATATATGCATGGATCGCACACTCGCGCAACCAGCGTGAGACGCATGGATAACACCAAGGTACCCACGAGTGTCAGCCCGCCATGGACGCAAGCGATCACGATTGACACGGCCTCTTACTTCGCGCGAGACTGGATAGCGCGACGCACTCACCATGTTAGGATCGTTGGGGTTCAGCCCCATATCTGCGAATGGATTGAGACCTGCCATGAGCCCATAGCCCATATGACCGTTCAGTTGCGTCAAGGGGTCATGCACATTCTGGCCGGCCTGCATCTGGGGCAGTGCTTGAGGCGGAGGTCCTTGCGAGGACGAGGCGCCGTTGCGCGCGGCACCCTTGACCATATGAATGGTATGTGAGGACTGGATCTTGTACGTGGAGAGCGCGTCCTCGTCCTGTGAACGGTGACTCGCGTCGGCTGCCCGCAGATTAGACAAGCTCTAGGGCACGGCATACCTTCAATACCCGACCTTGGAGACAATCAGCGAGACGGGGTGAAGCCAGCATCTTCAGCACGCACCTGAATAGATGAGTCTCTGACGGTCTGCAGAGACGTCGGACTTGTCTGCGATGGCCTGCTTGAGATCCGCCACCGTCTTGTCGGTCGAGATGGTTATCTGGAGCTTGAGCTCGCTGGGGCCTGCAGCGAGTGCAGGGTGAGCACTGGGTCATGCAGAGAGCTGGCTCGCGCACCCTTGACATTGATCTGGATTTCGGAGGGGGGGCTGTCTGCGGACATGGTGTGCTATGCAAGAGTGGGGGAGTCATCAGCCGCCCATTGCCAGTGGCTCAATCCGTATGACGCTGCGTGTCCCCGCCCACTGCCAGGCGCCTGCGTCGCTGCCACCATCCACCATCATCCAAACTACGCGACGCTATACTCTGTACTGCACTGGCACACCGCTTACTGGAAGTATATGCGCGGTCAACGACGGCAAGAGCAGCGTATTGGGTCACAGCGAACGCACGACTATCATTACACTTCCCTGCGGAAGGCTCAAGCTAACGTACAACATTATGTGACTCAGTGCTACACCAAGTGCGCTATTTGCTACATGTAGTCCTTCAGGTAACCCAGCAGAAGACGAGAGGAGAAAGAGAGAAGCGAGAGACAGCGCAGGAGAGATCGGATGTCCGTACAAGCACGAGAGCAAACGAGCGCGAGAGCGTGTACACAGCATAGTCCAAGAGAGTGTTTGACAAGAGGTATGTTCTTTGTTACCCGTCCTGCATTTCCACGTCTTCAGTGTTCACGGCAAGAGCCGCTTTATCGACCTGTGCCACCGGAGAGTCAGGTCGAGGGCGGGGAATTGGAGAGTAGACTTGATTGGGATTCGGGTGGATAGCGACCGGTAGTGAACCTGCGCGCTCGCCGTATTTTCCTGCACAGGACGACGGGTGCCATCAGTTCCACTAGCCCAGCGAAAGACACGAACGCGGAGACTCACCAAGGCGTATTGTCTTCGCGAAGTCAATGACGAACACCTCTTCGTCCCCCTTGCTCGCAATGAACAGGCGGCCGATGGTCTCGTCCCACAGCATCGAGTTCACCGCGCCAAAGTTGATGCCCGGCGGCAACGGTATCCACACGAACGTGTTCGGTGAGTCCTCCACGCCATGCTCCGCCTGCTGCTCAAACAATGGCTGCGCGGCCTGGAGGCTCTGGCTGTGGCGGCAGTACTGGCGGCCCATCGAGCTAATCGGCGGGCTGTCCGAGATGTCGAACCGAGGGACGGAGTACACGATCGAGCGCAGCGAGCCCGGGAGCGCGCGGTGCTCGAAGAGGTGCCCGACCGTGCCCGCCGCCCGGATCGTCTCGTGGATGTGGTCGAAGCGGTAGTGCCAGTTGCCGTACTTGGCCAGGTGCGAGACCTCCGAGGAGCGCATCGCCGGGCTCGGCGGGAGCACCTGCTCCCGCTTCTCGGGGAACATCACCCAGCGGTGCAGGCTGTCCTGTTCGCGCGTCCGGAGGAAGAACGTGATTGGGTGCGGGATCATGCTGTCGATGGCGCTGTAGAGCTGGGGGAGCACCGAATCGTCGATGCGGGTAGGGATGCCGTGGTCGGACATCGAGCAGTCGATGTAGTCGTAGTTGGGGAGCTCCTCGCTGTTGAATGCCTCGCGAGACCAGACGCGGGCGTCGTTCGGGGCAGGCGCGTCTGTGGGGATGGCATGGTACAGTTCCACAAACGTCTTCCTGTTTGGGCGTTCATTACTGTACCCGTCCAGCCTGCGCACGACGAGGACTGCATTATCGATCGACACCAGGCGAATGTTGAAAATTTTGGGTGTCTGTTGGTCACAGTCAGCTACTGAACTACCTTTACTGACAGGGTCGGCGACAAGGCGTACCAGGCTTTGATTGGGCAAGTCGGGTATGGAGCATGTCAGCGTGGAAGCCAATCCGCCCTCGAGGTTTTTGAACATGATGCTGTTGGGCTTCTTCAACACAGCAAGGTACGGTTTGCCGAATAATTCATCTATGTCAGGATACATAAGCTGACTCCGTGTACGGATGGTAGCCAGCCAACGGAATGGCTTCGGCTGTGACTTCGCGTGGGCCTTCCACTCCTGCGTGCCAGGGGTGAGTCGCGGGTCGCTGAGAAGCTCAAGGCATTCGAGCGGCGTCTCGAGCGCGACACACTCGTACTTGATCGGCGTGGGCGGGTCGATCTCGTGGTCGCCGCTGAACGCGGAGACGTCGACGCTGGGGTTCGGCTTCCCGCGCTCGGAACGGCGGCCCCAGTCGCGCCGCACGTAGGCGATGGCGATCGAGCGGCGCCCGCGGATGGTCGTGTAGCGCGCCTTGAGGTGGTATGCTTTCGTTTCGGTATGCGTGCGTGCGATGGGGTGCGCGCCGCCGTGGGGGTGGTCCATCGCGTAGATGACGAGGGAGTAGTTCGTGAAGCGTCCGCTGCTCCCGATGGAGTTGCCGACGGATGCGATTAGGTACTGTCCGCCGGGGACGGTGGCCATGGAGAAGACGGTGTAGTTCGCGTTGAAGACCCAAGCGTCGACGTAGCTCGGGTCGCGGCTCGACCAGGTTTGTTCGAGGGAGACGGAGCGCAGGAGAAGGCGCTCGGCCTCGAAGCCGCTGAGGCTAGGGAATGAGTGTCGTGAAGTGGGGGGAAGGGGAGGGATAGGTACGTTTGCCTGGCGCAAGAACCTCTTCCAGATGATAGAGTGATGCGAAATGTCGTGGAAGAACTTGCTGACCTAGTTCGAAAGGACCCTTAGACACCAGTCGAAACGCTTGCCGCATCACTACGCACCTGCCGCAAGCTTATGACGTCGATCACGTCTAGGTAAGAGAATAGCATGATCAGCACGTCGTTCGGCACATCGTCGAGGCGCATCCGCGCCGGCGGTCGTTGTTGGGCGTCATTTTTGGGCCGGAGTCCGAGCTCGACAGCGCCACCCTCGAGGTCGAGAGCGCGGGGTCGACGTCTCAAGAGAGTATCCAACGAGGATAGAAGGGAGGAACGCATGGACATCATATCTGCGTGAGTCAGAGTGACCAGCACTGGCTCTTGGAAACGATCGGGGACGGGACAAGGGAGGCGGAGGGTGTGGAGGGACAAAGCTACGGTGTGCCACTCGCCCTATTTATGAGGCAGAACAACGTATCAATCCTCGAACAAGGGGGAATAAGCGATATAGGGGAAAGTGTTGTATTTGCGTGACCGTGTTGAACTCCCAAATACAAGCCTTGCCCGATGAGGAATAGGACGTGGCCGCCACACACGCGTAGAACCATCGAGTCGCTTCTTACCAGACCTCTCTACACACCGCCTTGCCTTGGCCACGTCCTCAGAACTCAAATGTCTTCACCAGAGCCACTCTCGACGCGCCTGTGCCCAACCTGTACCTCCAGTGTCCGTCAGGCGGAAGCGCTCAGTGTGTGGCGAGCGCTCTCATGTTTCCTTCCTTCAACTTCTGATGTGACCAGCCTTCTTATGTTTGTGACTTCTATCACGCAATCTTCCGCCCCAAATACCAGAACCACTGTCCTTGAGCATGTACGACGCTCCCAGCTGGGGCTTGGGCGATATGCGACGACCGGTGAGCATCGTCCGCGCCTCCGCTCCGTTGCTCAGTGATTGAACGTTGACCGCTCCTCGGAGCAGCCGCGGTCCTAGTAGCAAGTCGAGTCGAGGCATGCCAGCGCGATCCGTCCACTGGCAGTGACGGAAGGATTCTGACCCAGGCGCGCGCACTGCATGGCTTCATCGGAGGCAATCAACTCAATGTCAGACCCATCCGATGACACACTCATAAGCCCAGCTCTGACTTATGTACCTACGTCCCGGAGTTCTCTGCACTGCCTTCGACAGTCCGACACGTATATAGGTCCAACGCCATCTGTCGACCTTCATTGACTACGCCCTCTCGAGTCTCGAGTATACTTAATGCTGTTATGCCGTCGTCGGTAGAGGATGATGTGCCCGAGTACGTCTGCTGACAGTACTGGTGAGTGTGGGATCCACGCTGACCCCTGACTTCTGCAACGTCTATCCTCAGTCCTTGGCGTCTGACTGGTACGTCGAAGACAGTGTACTGAGTATGACGGGAATATGACCATCGTATCTAGTCATTCGCACGGAAGGATTGCTCTTCGTCCGTCCCGGAAGATCGTGGCGGCCTGTTGTATATATAGAGTCTGCAGATGCGCCTCAGTCACACGAGACAGCCCTGGGACACAAAGGACAAAGTCTGAACGCAAATATTCCGCTCCTGCTGTGAGCGTCATTGTTATGCGTTCAATGCGGGTTGTCTGAGCCTGTCGTAGGCACCATGTTGACCTTCGGAGCAAACTTGACATCAAGATCGTGCACCAATCGCTGAAACACAGGAAGAAACACCATCTCATTGCATCTGCCTGTGTCTCGCTGGGCGACCTCGCGGACCAACAACAAGATCAACCGGACTTCAGTGCGTACTGGTATTACCCCGATCTTACATGCACGCTTTTCTTACGATGATGGGTAGCGGCCGAAGTGCGCCTCTCGTGCACCAATTTCCGAAGCCCGTCCATCAAATTCGTGAATGGTCAACAGCAGCGCTATGCCACGCTCGTCGTCGTACTACGTGCACCGACGTCTGCTTCTCCCACCCTGATCGACAAGGAACTTGATCAGTCTGAGTCTGAGGGAGATACGCTACTGGAGTCGTCATGTATGTCGCAGTCTCGGCTGGGTAGTTGTTCGCTCGCTGACTTGTAACAGCTGCAGGTGATTCAGACATTGAGGCTGATGAGCCTTCGCCTGAACAGCCAGATATCCCACGAGACGGGTTACGGAGGCGCAGACTACAGATTCGTGGCTACAACGTCGATACCGACGAGGATGCTGCTTCTGGGTCAGAGGCATGCTCACCGTACGCAGTGACGCCTGGGGACGAGTACTTTCCACCGAATATCGACACATGGGATCCTACGGGCACTTCTGCAGCGGACGGAAGCACCGAGTCTCTGCATAGGGCGCGAGCGCAGGTGCCTTCCGACATCCCGCTGCACAATGGCCAGCACCCCACAGCACCTACGCGTCTCTCGTGGCGCACGAGGATGTCATTTCTGCGCCAGAGGATATCATGGCTGGGCAATGGCATCTCGTGGTGTGGTGCCAGTGTCTCGAACTTGGGCGAGATGGCACTGAATCAAGTGACGCCGTATGCGGAACTTTACGAGGCACAGCAGGCGGATGGCCACGATGTCTATGACAAAGTGCATACGCGCCTCCTGAAGGAATGGTACGCCGTTGCCGCTACGGTGAGTCGTCTACCCTCAGCTCTGGTGCCTCCGTATCGCTGAACCTGTTCCTGTGGCAGCTTGTCGCGCTAGGCGGTATAGATGCGGCCACATTCGGTCTAGCACCCGATTCCATCTTCCCTGTGGACGGGCTTGCGCGCCATGTCGTCGCGCTCGGCGCTATCACTGCGGGCCTCGGTCTCTTCCACGACTGTGTACTGCTGTTCTCGTACAGCAACATCAACGGGGAGCGCTTCCGCGTAAGCATCCGAATCTACGTCAGAGCGCATCTCATGCATTCCAACAGACAATGGCGCAGGATGTCAACGGCAGCTATGTCACATTCTCCCTCCACTGCCGCATTCCATTCGTCTGCATGCTCATTTCTACGATGAGCCTGACGGTCTTCCTCCTCAGCGTCGCTTGGTCCGAGTGGCCCGATGCGGTCCTCGCGATGTCGTTCCTCTCTGGTGTGTTGTTCTCGATGCAGTACTTGGTATATGGGTGTTCTCGGGTCCCTACTTTGTTGCGTGGCAGGCGACGGGCTGTGCCCGATGCTGCTTCGTAGATGAAGGTACATGCTGCCCGTATTTAGTAGAGAAGGGTATGTAGCTCGCAATGCTAACAGTCGCCCGGAATGGCGGATGTCAACGTTCTACTCACTCACGTTCCTCTTCGATGTTGCAAACTCGCAGAGGGGGTTCTCGCCCTATCGTTCCTATCTAGCTTGATGTTCGCAACGCAGTACTTCGTAGGCAGGTGCTCCCGGATATGTAGCAGGCAACGGATACGAGTACCACGTAATGTTAGCACTGAAGTATAGTCTGAGGGCGACGCGAAGCAGAAGCCAGTAACGGCCCGGGAGAGGTCACGGTCGGCGACACACGCTTAGGTGGCTGGAGGTCGCAGCTGAGGGTTAGGTTCTGTTGTGTCTGAAGGGTCTGACCACTCAGTTACACTCAACTCTCAGACGGTGAGTGAAGGAATTTCGACTGATACACGCGGCGCCGGAGCGAGTACGGCCTTTTCGGAGGCTTGTTTTGTGCATCAAGCTTCGCTTCGACTCACAACACAGATGCCAATGCAGAACAAGATCAAGTATAATCTCAACAACACTACGTCCGGTACGTTCGCCAGATGTATGAGATGCGCGAGTACCAGCAGAATAATCTTCGAAGCGGTCGGGCTGTACAATATGTTAATATACGTATCTACGGTCCCGGGGATATAAACAGGCAAGTGGCTACACGTAACGAATGAATACATGTCATACGAGTAGTCCAAATGGTCCGTGTCGTGGTTTTCGTGGAGTCTTCGTCAGGATACTTAAAAAGTGGTGATCATTTGGGTCCGTCAGTCTTGGGGCGTGCGTCGTAGTGGTTGAGCACAATACTGTCAGACGGCCTTCAGTTCAAGGCGCGCAGAGTCGGAATACGTCGGCACATGGGCGAGTCTCCAGCATGCACCTGAATGCTCTTGGCACTCTCCAAGCGAAAGCGCACCTCCGGAAGTTTGTACGGCGCGAACGGGCCCTTGACGGCGATGCTCGCGAGGTTCGGCAGCGCGTCCAGCAGCGCGAGCCACGTCGACTCTGACAGGTCCTCCTGACTGTCGATCGTCAGCTCGCGCACGGCTTCCAGCGGGAGCTCGCGACACATGTTCGGCACGATCTCCTCGCGGCCGTAGCCCCGGTCGACCATGACATCAAACGTCTGCGCCGGAGCCGACCCGAGCGCGGGCGCGGCGTAGCCCGCGAAGCGCATATAGCGGTGGAATCCGCTCCCGGTAAACTGTGCGAGGTGGAGGGTGTGAGTCTCGGGCACGGCGGCAAGCGTGTGCGCGAGCGCCGCGGGGAGCGCCTCTGAGTACTCGGTGCTGTTGCGCGCGCAGGAGAGTGAGAGGTCGGCCAAGGCGGGGAGAGTGAGATGGCCCAGGAGCGCGACGGACTCTTCGGCGGTACCATGGACGTGCATGGAGCGCATGAATGGCAAGACGACGTCGGGGAGGCTGCCCTGGAGCTCCGCCTCTGCCGCAGGGCCGAGCATCACGTGCGCCTCTTTGTCGAACGCGACGGACTCGAGCGAAGGCATGTTCTGCAGCGCGGAGAGCAGGCTGAGCAGGCACGGCCCGGTGTAGCGTCTGCCCATCAGCGTGCCCGCGACGCGGTGGCGGAAGACGAGATGCTTCAGCGAGTCGGCGCAGGGCCCATGGAGCTGAGGCTGGAACGCGTCCAGCTCGACGTACTCTAGGCGTGGGGTGAGATCGCGCTGGAGGAAGGACGGGAAGTGGATATGGGCATCGTCGCGGTTCTTGGGATCGGCCGGGGTTGGTAATACAACGTGGTCGAGAACGAGTCGCTCGAGTCTCGGAGCAGGGCTCGCAAACAGCGGAACGATCTCGTCGCCGACTCGGCCAGAGACACAGAGCGACCTGGTGCGGTGAAGCTGGGCGAGGACCATCTGGAAGGCACGTGTCTTATCGCCATCCAGCGTTGCACCAAGCTCGGCGGTTACATGGAGAAGCATGCTGCCTGAACGCGTGAGGACCTCTGCCATCCACTCGGCGCTTCGTGTCACGGAGAGATACGTCCAGAGCGGCGGGCAGTGGACGACAGCGACCCGCCATCTGTGGCAAACGTGCGAGACAGCGATCCAGCTATACCCCGGACTGCGTTTGACGGTGCACCTGTCCTGGTGAGACTGCGACTGGCCCCGCGAACGCCCATGGACGAGGTCGCGGTGATGGAGGAAAACCTCTTGCAGAATCTCGAGGGGAACGTTCATTACGGGAGAGCACGCGTCGTTCATCGGTGTTGTCGTTGGGTTGGGTATTGATTCTGGAGGGGTGTTAGCATGGAGAAACGAGTGCCATACGTCAAAGCACTTACACAACGGGTGCTATAATGTGTGGGTGTGAGCGCGTTATAGAGTAGGTTGACAGATTCTGATCCATCGAGAGGCTTTTAACAGGGGCGGATGGGTTGGCGAGTTACCGCCTCGGAGATGCACGGACGACAGTATTTGTTACCTGTCTCATTGTTTTGCAAGTTGGTAGCCAAATGCGAGGCCGCCGATGCCTAGACGATGCCTCGTTGCGCATGCACTGCGTCTGAAGCAAATGATGTCAGTCTAGTTCGGACGTGTTAGACTCACCCGCTCCCGACACCTCCATCCGAGCCCACCTTCTGGCGCCCGGACACGGTCACGTGCACGTTATAGTTCGTCGGCGTTTCTGGCTCGCCGATGTGGTATCAGACAAAGCAATGCAAGTGTTTCATGCGCAGAGAATTGTAACACGATACAGCAGCTCTCGCATCGCTATTGTATTCTGCCCAGCACGCTCTCAGAACTTGAAGACCTGCAGGGCACCATGAGCTCATGTCTCACCCGCACCGCGGTTTCACTCACCTGGTCCTCCGTGTACCCAAGCTCCTTTAGGATACCCCCGACGGGACCCTGCTTCATGCCGTCCTTCTTCCCCGCAATCGCGCTCACCTGGCCCGGGGGACCTACACAGCCAATTGCACATGAGGACGCACCGAATGCAACGACGACGCGCGTGTACGCACCGCAAATGAAGACCTTAGCCTTCTCGCCGAGGTTCGGCGGCGGGATGTGCTGCATCAACATGTCCTTGTTCACATACCCCTTGTAGCCCTTCCAGCCCTCGCCGGGCTTGTCCAGAGTGTAGACGACATTGAAGCTGTCCGGGTGCTTCTTCTTCAGCGCGTCAAACTCGTCCTTAAGCAAAATGTCGCGTTCCTCGACGTTCGCGAAGATGAGGGTAAACTTTGTTTTGTTGCTTGGGTCGGACAGTGCGTAGTTGACGATCTGGTACATCGGTGTGCTGCACGCGCGCGCACACGTGGATCGTCGGCCGACTGACAGGCACAAGAAGACGAGAGCGGACACTCACATGCCGCTACCTCCCGCAATCATGCCGACCTCCTCCCACTTATTGACTACGCGCGACCGGGTGAGCGACGCCGAATTCTTCGGTCATGTCTCCGCAGACTCACTCTCGTACTTAATCTTGGGCAGCGGGCCCTTGATCGCCAGCGGCTCACCAGGCTTCAAGCTGTGGATGTACTGGCTCATCTTGCCGCCCTCATACCGCTTGATGAGGAACTTGACCTCGCCGGGGTAGTCGCTCGGGCTGATGGGAGTATACGGGCGGTGAACGGGCTTGCCCTTCTCGTCGCGAAGCGCATTCTGGTGGTTCTCGCTCGCCTCGAGGTACACGCACGACGCGACCGGGAGCTGGGCCGCCTGGTTGTCGGGCAATGCGAAGCTGTAGATGGCGCAGTTGTGGTTGTAGGGCTCGATGGACTTGAGCGGGAGGTCGATGAACTTGGACGGGTCGAGCGGCGAGGTCGTGTTCGTCGCGGGCGTGTACGCCTTGCCTGCGCCGGCCGCCGGGGCTGCCGTGCTCTTCGCGCCGAGTCCGAGTCCGTTCAGGTAGATGTAACCCGCGAGGCCGACAATGCCTATTAGAAGTCCATGAGTTCGGAAGGATTTGGGAAGAGACAAGAGCACGAATGCGCACCTGCACCGCCGATGATGAGCGGGAAGCTGGAGGACGACTTCTGGGCACCCGGCTCGGTGCTCGCATAGCGGCGCGCGCTGGTGGCGAGCTGGTTGAGACGCTGTGAGCGGTGGTCAGCGGGTGTGCACAGAAGGCTTGTCGGTGCGCGTGCGTACGGATGCACGAGCAGGGGCGGCAGCACGAATGAAGGACATGGTGGACGGCGGAGAAGAGAGTGCGTACGCTGCGCCGGCCGCTCTCGCGCTGGGAATTATTCACTCAACGGCCGCCGCCCTGCCAGGCGCTCTGCATCGGTGAATGCCGCCGCCACACAGCACATCCTCCGTACATCTTCAACTTCTGCTCATACCACCATTGTGTCCAAAGCACGTCAGGCGAACTCGACTAGATCCAAGTCTCTAGCTAATGTTCCCCATTCAAGCTTTCCCGACCTACAGCAAGCCTAAGTATAGTCCCACTGGCAACTCATTGCAGCCGTCAGTTGATCTCTGAACAGGTTGAGCTAAGTACTTGAATCTGCAAACCAGGGACCCAGAGTTCAGACGGTTGCGCACACATCATTACAGATATTCTAGGCGTAGCGGGGAGAGTCCAAAGCCACTGGAGCACCATGAACTCAGTCGGGAACAAGCTAGATAACACGAAGGCAATAGAACGATATACATAAATAGCACAACATCCCCCTCCCAATGTCCATCCATGCAGCATCAGTGGAAGAGCTTGGCCCAGAGGATAATGAGGATCAGCAAGACGAGAACGAGGATGATAGCGCCCGTCACGACGCGTTGTTGGTACATCCTGCAGGGGCCGGGTCATACCCACCTGTGAGACCATCGTCGCAGAGAACAGCGTAGAGAGTCGGGGGACGCACCTCCTGATCATCTTCTTGAGCGTACCAGAGGCACGGTCGATCGACGTGTCCGCGCGTTGGAGCTACCAACCGGACACTCAGCCCTTGCCGCAACCAGTCCAAAATCCAAAACGCACCGTATCCCGCGAATTCTCGATTTGCTCCCGCTGCACGCGGAGACTCCTGAGGATGTCCGTGCCCTGCTCCTCCGTCTCCAGCGCGATCCGCTGGCTCTCCTGCAGGCGCCGGCTGCCGTCCTCGAGGAGGGCGGTGCCCGCGAGCAGGCGGGTGCGGTCGCTGCGGTCGCCGTACGGGTCGTCCGCGATGCTCGGGTCGGAGCCCGTGCCGAACGCGGGGGACCGCGCGAGGAGGTCCGCGCGGGCGGTGGAGGCGTGCAGGTCCTTGGAGAGCTTCTTGTACCGCGCGAGGTCGGCCTTGGCGGCCTTGATGCGCGACTGGTAGGACGCGCGGATCGACTGCGGGATGCCCTGGATTTCGATCTCCATTTGCGAGACCTGCGGTGCGGATGCGCGTCGTGAGTGGATGCAGCGGGGCACTGGTGAGTCTGCGGGGGACGCACCATCTCGTCTGCCTCGTCCAGCTCCATCTCTACCCGGCGCAACGCCGCCTTTCGCTGCTCTGTGCTCGCCACGGTGAGCCCGCAGTCCCGCAGTGTCCGAAGGTTACGCGCGACGCACCAGTCTGCTCGCCCTTCGCATCGCCATCGAGCTTCTCCCGGATGCTCGCGATGATCTGCTTGAAGTCAGACTCGTACGAGTCAAAGAGGGCGGTGGGGGACTGGTCCATGGTCGTCGGGGGAGGAGGGGAGGGAGGGGGACGTGTGCCTGACACAGTACGGGTGAGAGTCGGCGGCGCAGCGCGTCGGCAGCTCAGTGACGCTCGCAGGCGCCGTCGATGCGTATTTGGTCTCCACGCTCTCCGAAGCATCCCCGAGCCGCCTCTCGCGCACCGGACGACGATGAGCACCTCCCTTGCTGCACTGCAGGACCGCCTCCAGAGCGCGTCGGCAGACTTCCAGAAGATCCAGAATGACATGGCCACCGCCGTAGATGCCCGCCAGCGCCTCGAGGCCCAGCAGTCCGAGAACGAGCTCGTCAAAAAGGCTTGTCCGCCGTGCACGATCCGCACGACCCGCCCGCTCACCGCTTTGTCTGTGCAGGAATTCGCCACGCTGACTGACAGGAATACGGTGTACAAGCTCGTCGGGCCCGTCCTTGTGCAGCAGGACCAAGCCGAGGCGAAGGCGAACGTCGACAAGCGACTGGAGTTCATTCAGAGTGAAATGTGCGTATCATATTCCTGCGCGGATCCTACCCCCGCGTCCAACGGCTTCATCCCATATGGTCCACGTCCACCAGTAAACGGATAGAAGGTCAGATCAAGGACTATGAGGAGAAAGCAGACAAGAAGAAACTTGAGGTGACATCCTCGATCTATGCTGATTCTTATCCGCTCATCTTAGTCGTGCAGCTCGTTGAGATCCAGGGAGCGCTGCAACAACAGCTGAAGACGCAGGCTCCGCCGACCGCCGTTGCTGCATGAAGTCGGGCTATATGGGCAGATCCGGTTCCTTCTGACGTTCGGTGGAGGAAACCTGCGCACCCGTGCCGTTTCCCTCACCGCTACCTCAGGTCGCTGGGTCTGCGGGCTCTAGCAAAGTCGTGGATGCCGGTGACACAACCTACTGTCATGCTTGCTGGGTGTTCGAGTATGAATGCCTATTATACTGCTTCGGAGCAGCGCCTGATACACTGTAGCCTTACAATATATGCATACCCGTCGAATGTAGTAGCGTGCAGATCCCCTGACCAACTGCCGCCTCCCATCTCCCGAACGTGCCCGTAGGATGCCCTTAATAGCACGCTGGCATGCGCACGTACGCCTCCGAGCCGTCCGCCGGTGTCGTCTCCGCCCATAAGCCCGTCTAGCCCCGAGCTTCACAAGCTAGCCTCTGGTCTTGACTGGGTCTCCGCCACGGGTGTCGCGGGGGTGTCCGCCGCCTGATTCGCCGTCTGCTGGTGCGCGAGCTCGCGCTCCCTCTCCGGGCTGCGGAGGACGCGCTCGAGCGTGAACCGTTTGCGTGCGGAGATGGGCGGGCAGTTGCGGATGAGGACGGAGTCGCCTTGGCGGAGCTCTGCGTGGCCGTCAGCCCTGCTGGACGGAAGCGCAAGTACGCGCCCGAGGGACACTCACGGTTGTGCTCGTCATGCGTGAGGTACTTTTTCGTCTTCTCGAGGCGCTGGAGGGGTGAGGTGAGGTGAGAGGACAGACGGGGCACGGGGAGAAGAGGGAGGTACCTTGCCGACTCGGGGGTGCAGGACGAAGCGCGAGACGGTGACGGTGACGGTCTTGTTCATGCACCCGGCCTTGGTGACCAGGCCGGTGAACGCCATGGGCGGCATTTTGGCGGAGAGCGCGGGAGGCGAGCTGAGAGTTGTGAGGAGGAGGAGTTACAGGCTTAGCAGCCGAGTGGCAGTCGGACTGACAGTAGCTGGAGTTTAGCGCCCAATTTGCTGCCTGCGAGACGCGGCGCTAAATAAATCGCGGACGGCTCGCATATTGCCGGCTGTATACACTGATCGTGTTGTCTCATACTCATCGGGGCGATACAAAATCGCTACTGTATCATTGCGCTCGACAGTCTGTACATGCCATAAATCCAGTACTAATCTCATCCGAGTCGTCAGTCACTGGTTAACATTCAACACCGGAGCCTGCAACTGTGAACAATGTATGAGTAATGTGACACTGGTCCCCGAAGGTCCGACACCAGGCCTCGCAGCTGCACAGCGGACGCTGCCGACAATGCGTGCACAAGGGCGGAGGAACAGCTGTCCAATGGCAAGGGTTGGTGAAACTGTGTTCGCTCATACTGTATCAATCCTACCCTGCCTTGCTCGCGAGGCACCTCGCACATAGCATAGCAACACCATGACTGCGAGTCCACGCTGAAGGCGGCGTTTAGAACTGTACGCCGCCTCTGCGATCTCCTGGTTGCAGGGAGCGACGAACCTCCGTCGACATTCAGATGGCAACCGGTGCTGCCGGTAGCAGACAACACGCACCTGTGCGGACTACGTGCGCGCAGCACTGACTGAGCGGAGGAATCCTTGGACCGTCCTAGGGCCTGAACGCAAGTTTGACTATCTGACACCTTACACTGCCATCCCTCGCCATGAAGTGAGAGAGGGCAGTGTGAAGAGTCAGCTGTCCACCGGCCGAATGTTCAGTACTGTGGCTGACGACCTCCTGCACCGACGGAGCGTCGTACTTCCGGCGACCTGGAGGGACATAGTGGGTGCGAAGCAAAGCAGCCGACGGCAGATGACACGCACCGAAAGACAGGACGTCACTCAGCGACTCATACGCGCAGTGCTGACTATGCAAAAGCATCCTCCGGGGCCCTTCTATCGTGCTAGGGTCGCCTCGGGTGGACTCGGTGAGAAGGCCTTCGGGCTGCGTATAAGCTTAAGAAGGTACGCGAGAGATACGGGGCTGTTCTGTTGGACGGACGCCGTTCTGCCGGCGGAGGGAGGAGGCCTTCCGCGCGGCGTCACGTTGGGGGGATGATGAGCGACGGCGATTGAGGATGGAGGAGGATAGCGCTGCGGCAGGGACTGGCACATGATGGGTGCCCTGACTGGCCGTCGACTGCAGTGGCTGGGCTATGCTGGCTGCCACGGAGAGCAGCAGGGACGGAAGGGATGGCTGGGCGGATGAGCATGTGGGCAAAGACAGCTCCTTCCTAGTTGGGAGGGTGCCCCTGCCGGGTGGCGGCGCGGGGACGTGGACGGTGAGCGACGACCTCTCGCTCTGCGTCTCGCTCGCTGCGTCTGCCATCTCCGCCCGCCCGCCCTGGCCCCTACGCCCCCGCACCGCTCCCCAGTGGGCCCACACCATGGCCATTGGAAAATGGATATCCTTCGGCACCGCACAGAGCTCCCCCGCTGCTCCCGTCGTCGTCGCTGCCCAACCCCCCGTCATCTCAGCTGCAGACGCGAAGCAGTTCGGCCTTGAGAATGTGCGCCCCTCTCCCGTCGCTGTCCCGCCTCCAGCTAACACTGCTCTGTCGTCTAGTTCGGAAACACCTGGTGAGTTCGTCTTCGCCGTGTCCAGTCCAATGCCCCGGCCACGGCTTGCGCGGACGATGCGTCTGCGTCCGCCACTGGCCTCAGCCTGCTTTTGCCCGCCGCTCAAGCCATCTCTCCTCCGTCCACCTGTCCATTCTTCCAGCTCTTATCGCTGTTGCTGTGCGTTCCCTCGCTCACACTTCAAGCTCGCGCACTACGCGTCTGTACCACCGTCTGCATTCGTCCGGCCATTCTGTTAGCCATACCCCGTCCGCATCTGCTGTCAAAAACGTCTTGGCAGCATGCCATGGGCGTGCTCGACCGTGTGGGTTTGTCTCAGACCCATCGTTGTCGCAACTCCCTCTGGTATGCGTGCCTACAGTGCTGCGTTGCACACATCCGGAAACGTGCAGGACGGCAGGCAATTCCGCGATACGAACGCGTCGTAGATCCCCGTTCGTCAGCTATCCGTGCTCGTCGGCCTCTCCGGGTATGCTTCCCGGATGACGAACTGGGATATGCGGCGAGCTGTCCTATTGGATGCAGTATCAAATGGCGCTCCGGGGTACGTACTGTCAGATGGGTTGAAAGTATCTGCGCCGTCCCCGGTGAGCTCTTCGTTGACATCCGTGGAGCAATGCAGTCCTGGTCGGTTGCGTGCGCTCTCCCTCAGCTGCTTGGCGTCGAGCGAACGCTGGGACTGCTCCCTTGACAGAGCAAGAACGTTACCGTTGCAACACCGACTTGCTGGTCGTGTGGCGCACTCACACACGGTAGCGCACACTAACGTCCACTGCGCTACTTTGATACCTCGCGTTCGCACTCGGCTCCGTTCATTCCTTTCCGAGCAAACTCTGCAAGTCGGACAGCGCACTGACAGCCTCTGTACAGCTACGCCAACTCCGTCCTGCAAGCCCTCTACTTCTGCGGCCCCTTCCGCGAACTCCTCGTGCAATACCCAGACCCGTCCGCGCCCGAACTCCCGCTCTCGCCGCCCCAGCCCCCACCAGCGCCCCTCCCGCCCGCCGCCCAGCCACAACCGCCCCCGCCAAATGCCCGCCGCCGACTCGACCGGAAGTACTCCGTCTCTGAGGCGGCCTCCCCGCAGTCAGGCTCGGCGCTCAGCACGTCGTTGTCGAACGCGCCCGGGTCGTACACGATCCCGCCGCACCCACCGACGCTGCTGTCCGCGCTGCGGTCGCTGTTCATGCACATCAGCAAGCACCCCGCGGAGCGCGGCACGGTCGCGCCGCGCGCGTTCATCGACAAGTTGAAGGAGCTGAACGAGGTGTTCCGCGGGTCCATGCACCAGGATGCGCATGAGTTCCTGAACTTTTTGCTGAATAAGATCGTGGAGGAGATGGAGGATGATCGGCGGAATGGGGTGGGTTCGTGGCAGGCGAACGGGCATGGACATGGACATGGGAATGGGAGCGCGGCGAAGGCGGCGGGGAACGGGGTGGCGAATGGGAGTGCGGCGGGGAGCACGCTGAACGAAGAAGATTGTGAGTTGCGTTTTTGCCCTTAACTCCGGGAGTCCTGACTGTTGTTCGCGCAAGTGTCTTCGTCTATAGCGACCTTGTCCACCACGGCCGCCGGGCCCTCGTCGACCGCCTCCAAGACGTCGCAGCCGTCGCACTTCCAGGCGACGCTCGTGCACCGGCTGTTTGAGGGCGTGCTCACGTCCGAGACGCGGTGTCTGACGTGCGAGACGGTGTCGTCGCGGGACGAGAGCTTCCTGGACCTGAGCATCGACATCGAGCAGAACTCGAGTGTGACGGCGTGCCTGCGGCAGTTCAGCGCGAGCGAGATGCTCTGCCAGAAGAACAAGTTCTTCTGCGACAGCTGCTGCGATCTGCAGGAGGCGGAGAAGCGGTGCGTGGGCTCTCACTTGGACCTTCCATTGTAGGAATCTAACTGACGGTGGGTTGTGTGCATGGCAGGATGAAGATCAAAAAGCTGCCGAACATACTCGCGCTGCACTTGAAACGGTTCAAGTACCAGGAGGATCTAGGGAAGTATATCAAGCTCGCGTACCGCGTCGCGTTCCCGCTCGAGCTCCGTCTCTTCAACACCGTCGACGACACGGAGAATCCAGATCGGCTGTACGAGCTGTTTGCGATTGTCGTGCATATCGGAAAGTGCGTTATTGCTCTTCGTGTGAGCGAGTGACAGACTGAACGACATTGCTCACAGCGGACCACATCATGGCCACTATGTGACGATCATCAAAGCCCGCGGGACGTGGCTGCTCTTCGATGACGACGGCGTCGATGTCATCAGAGAGTCAGATATCCCGCGATATTACGGCGAGTCGACCAACGGTTCCGCCTACGTCCTATATTACCAGGCGGTTGATCTCGACATGACCGCGCTTGGCCTCAAGAACCCGGAGCCTGCACCGTCGGCTACGGACATGGGCTCTGCGCCTCCCGCGAAGCCCGCGAACTCGATCACCGTGTCGGCGACAGCGTCGAGCGAAGTCGACTTGAGTTCGCCGGCGCTGCCGCCGGGCCTAACGGAAGAAGACTCGTCTGAGCGGAGCGAGTTGAGCTCGCTACAACCTGCCACCCCTGCCTCCCAGCCCATCCCCCTTCCGTCCGGCCACACAGTAAAAGGGCCTTCGATACCGCCCCTGACGATACCCCAATCCAGCACGTCCGGCCCGCCGACGCCTGTGCAGTCTACCTCGCTGGGGAGCAACGGCAGCAGCAGCGCGCGGGGGCTGTTCAGCACGCTTCGACATAGCCGGTCGAGCGGCGCGGAGAAGGGTGCGGACATCCGCAAGAGCTGGCTGAACGTCGACGCGGCGCTGGTGCCACCCGTGCCGTCGCTCCCGTCGCCGACGACGGCCAAGCGCGCGCACCGGCCGACGACAGCGGCGAGCACGACGAGCACGACGGAGGGGTACGAGAGCCCGAGCGAGCCGGGCAGCCCGTCGCTGCACTACAATGCGGGCGCGGGCGCGAACGGCTCGAGCACGAGCACGGGCGCGGGGAAGAGCCCGGAGAAGAAGACGAGTGGGTGGTTCAAGCGGAAGAGCTCCCGCCTCGAAGTGTCGTTCAGCGGGACGACGTCGCCGGCGGCGAGGGACGAGAGCGCAGCGTACATGCGCTCGCAGACGGTCAAGGAGGGCGCGTCGGTCTCCCGCCGGATGTCCGCGTCAGGCTCTGCGGCCGGTCCGTCGAGCGTACCGTCGGCGCTCAGTAGCTCCTTGGGTACGCTGTCGATGTCGCCGCTGCCACCACCCGCCATTTCAGGATCTCCGGTGCAAGCGCGCGCTGGGGTACCGGACCACAAGAAGTCCACACCTGACTTGCCGAAGAGCAAGGGCGGCAGATCATTGGCGTCGTCCGCTCTGGCTAAGCTCCCGCGCAGACCGTCGACGGCCGGCGCGACGGTGGGTTCGAGCAGTCCGTCGTTCACTAGGCCAACAAGCAACCAAGCTCCACCGCTCCCACCCCTACCCGGGTTGCCATATGCGTCGTCAGACAGAAAAGACGGTGGGGTGACACAAGGGCCGTCGGCAAATGGTAGTGCACACGTACCGTCATCGCCGCGACCAGATCGCATGTCCAGTTCTCACCCACAGGCGTCCTCCGCGCCGCGCAGACCGAGCACCGCGCATGACAACTCGCCGACAGCGATCGGCTTCTCGACAAGCACGTCTACGAGCAGCACGATGTCGTACGGGAGCCCTGTCGAGAGCACGCCGAAGAAGCGGGCGACGCGTAAACTCAGCTTCTCGGCGCCGATGCTCGGGTTCGGGCGGAAGGAGAAAGACAGGTTCAAGGACCAGTCGCCGCCGAGCTCGTTCCCGGCGCGGTGACCCGCCGATGCTGCTTGAGTCCCGCGCTGGTGTGGACAGTATCGTTGTATGTGCGTCGTCAGCATCTAGACCGCGTCCCTTCTTGTGCATATCCTTTGGCTTTCGATGCCTGCCGTTCGTCCTATGATTATCGCTTTCCGCCGCATGCTTCCGCCAGTCGTGTATCTCTACGTACTCGCCGCTTGGTTGTAATTCTCTCTCTTGTGTCGTCCATTCACATTCCCTCCTGCAGCCCCATCGACCATCGACCATCGTTTGATCTTATATGTATTTCCCTTCTGCTCCACCGTTTGAGATGGCATGGAGACCCGTGCGACTGATACGGTCGATTGGTAGTAAAGCTCAGTATCTACAGCACAATGTACATATATCACCCTGCACAGCTAGCTAATACTTCAATGACAAATGAGTCTCAACCACCGAGATTGGCGTACTGACCGTTGACTCTGGAGCAGCTCTTGCTTAGTCTCCGTTGCTGACCAAAAAGAGTTACTCTCGTTTTTGGTCTGCAATAAGACGCGCTGCCTAACCGGGCCTGAAGGGTTCCGGATATAAAAGGCAAGTAGTGATTTGCCTCCTGACTCTCCCTCCAGAGCGCGTCTCGTGTCGTGCTGGACTACGACGATACATAACGAGAATTTGCTACAGAATTGAATGTTTCTGATCCTTGATAAGTCTGTGCACTTCACGGTGCGGTTTGGCTGGTTGCACGGCATGAAGAGGTGCATAAAGGTGCGGATGGTCCACATATGGTATTGCTTATGTAATCTCACGTTGTACGTTCGCTCGGACGCTCGAGTTTGGCGATTTGAGTCTCTTTGAGTGACAACCTTCAGCCAAAAATCGCCCAGGAGCTTTGACTGAGGTACTGGTTTTGATTTTTGCTCTAGGTAACGCTTTGGTCTCCATCGTGCACTAGAAGATCGGTACGCGACGGACACATTTATCACTGGCGCTGTGGTTTGTGCATGAGCTTAAACATCGCGTTCAAGCTGCAGCATTCGAGAAGCCTGCTGTCCAAGGGTAGCATCAGATTGAGTGATATATCATCCCGCGGGCTAAACTCAGCATGGAAAATTCAGGGAGGAGTATCATCATGTTACAAAACGAGCGTGGTGAACTGCGCCGGGCAGACGAAGACCTTGCGCCCGTCGTCGCTGTTGTCCTCGACATCCGATGTTGCACACGAAATCAACGGGGGCGTCACGAGCAGCCTCTACGTCATCTCCCAGATCTCTATGCCTGCGACAGTGTTGAACACTCTGTCAAATGACCTCTCCTCCTCGAACAGTCGCTTGAGCGCCGCAAGGGGCTCACCGACGAAGACCTCCCCAGCGCCGCAGCGCCGTATTTGCGCCTCAACACGCCTGCGCCTGGTCAGCGACGCCCTGAAGTTATTGTCCTCCGACTCTTCGCTCTCGTGACGCTCGTCCACGTCCTGCACAACTTCGTACTCCTGAGAGATCTGCGCGCATGCAGCACACATACACGTTTTCCTTCGCGAAAATCTGCAGTGTTCTCGCCAGGGCGTGAGTATGACACCCTTGCTCTTCCACACGACAATCACTTCGAAGGGACGGACGGCGCAGTGCTCGATCGGGACCACAGCTCGGAGCGAGGTAAGATTGTGGTGCTTGTCTGAGGCAGGCACACAGAGACCGGGTCTTCTGCCAAGCATTGACTCAGTTGCATACCATTAAACACGTCGGCCGTGCTCCACGAGATCCAGACGGACGTCGTACCGCGTAGTCGAGTCGCAAACAGTGAAGATAATACGCAGACGCGTGTGCAGAACACGACGCGGAGCGCGTTATTTACATCTATTTTCCACACACGTGACTCGGCCTACGGCCGAACGTCGCAGGCCCGCATACCCGTGTCCAGTGGTACAAGACTAGCTCTTGCTACCTATTATGAACTCACGACCCGCAAAGTGTCAGTTGATATGTCCGCCAGACAAGCGGTGCTACCGTACTAAGTGCGAATCTGATGATCCAATGAGTCTGTCTGATCAATCTGTGTATGGAACAGTACATACTGGACGGATGCATGGAAGATCTCAGGTGAGCCACAAGCATTTCGCAATATCGATGCAAGTATGTCATGACGTTGACAGTAGCATGTACTACCAGCAAACTGACTGCCTTGTGTACAAGCAGCGCTATAGATACAGTAATACATTAGTGATACATGGACGTCCATTCCGACCTTCCAATAATGAATTAAGCCCTTCATGCGCGTGACACGCTATGTGCTGGCCCATCCGCTGCGCCCCCACCTCCAGACTGTGGTGCATCGCCCGCTGCTACCGAACGTCGGACGACCGCGCACCACACGCTCTTCACACACCACACAATAAAGTTAAATATCCGGTGGCAGCCAAAGACGAGGTACTGCAGGGTGCAGAGCACGCCGGCGAGGAAGGACACGACGAGGACCGCGCTCGGCCACTCCGCCCAGGCGACGTTGAGGAGGAACGCGGCGAGGCACGTCGCGGAGACGAGCATGCAGAGAGCGGGCACACGACAGTAGAGGCAGAAGAAGAAGTAGGTGCCGTACACGTCTTTCGCGATGATCTACGAGCCGGGGTCAGATCGAGCGCGCGAAGCGAGCGGGGGACCAAACGAAACCTACTTGGAACTTCTGTGCGTCGGCGTTGCTGTATGAGAACACCAGGAGGGTGTCGAGGAAGAGGCCGAGGCCGGAGGAGATGGCACCCAGAGCGACAACCTGCCGCGCGAGCCCGTCTATAGGAAATATGGACCCTGGCGCAAGGCCGAATATAGCTGCGTCGATACCCGCGAGCGCAAGGAGCTGTCGCCATTGTCAAATGAGTTCCAGGAGGCACGCGCGCAACAGCGAAGCGAGCGACTCACCGACGCGGCAACGACGTACCACTCCGTCAAAAGGCGCGCGAGCACCTTGTCGAAGCGCTCGTAGTCTTCCGTCCGCTGCGCCTCGTAGAGCTCAGTATACGGAGAAAATCTGTCTATCATGCGCTCGCCCCATGAGAGCCGCAGGGGATCGGCGTGCTCGCTGTAGCGCGGGAGCACGTCGGGCGTGTGCACGCTGTGCATCGAATGTGGTGTCTCGTCCATCGTGGTGTCGTGTGTAGACTTTTCGGCGTCGTCGACTTGCGAGAAATATTCGTCACGCGGTGATTCTGTATATGAAGCGTCGGAATAGGAAGCAGCGTCCTCTTCGTCGGTGTTGAGGCTGTAGCCGCGAATCCTTCTTCGCTTACGGAGGCCATTTGGTGGGGGGCCTGCGTGGTCGGGTGTGAAGCTATCCACCGCAGTGACTGAAGGACTCGATACTGTACATGGTGAGTTCATACTTTCACTCAAGGCGAACCAAGACCAAGACGTACATGGATGATCGGACAAGGAATCCCCCTCGGACTCTGATGGGTATACGTCCTGGGAGGTGAAAATGGAGGACGTAGGTCTGGGTGCATGCAGCCTCACAGTAAGACTGGCGTGATGTTGCTGCCTGCCTTTGATAGTCGGGCTTTTCTTTTGAGGAGTGGGGCACGAGAGGCGCACGTCGATCGCTGGCGGGGATCGACGTCGTGAGCAAGAGCATTGCACCGGCGAATACGACTACACCCACTCGAGCCCGGCCGCCCTTGTTTACCAACTAGCTCGCCGAGGGAGACGAACGCGGACGCGACGAGGTGCTGCTTCTTCCGGTGTTTGTGCGACGTGTGGACGATCTTGATGTCGAGCTTGCTACGGTGGTGGACGTGATGTCTGTGAACGCGCTCAGCAACGACTCGCAACGACCGCACAACCGCACGATGGAACCGGAGCGAAAAGCACCCACAGCGTCAGTGGGATCTTGGTGTTCGGATTTTGCCCGTCACATCCCAGTGCTACTTCATGTTGCTGAGGCCGATCTACGACATCCACACACACTACCGGTCGCCACGACTTTTCCGGGCGCACGAATAACAGGCCTTGCGTGCGAATGACTGGATAGTGTTATCAGAACTCGTTCTACATAGGTAAGTTGTCGCAATTTCGAGACGTACTCGTTAAATACCAAGGGCTGTGTGCCAGACATGGTGAAGACAGGTCGTCAGCGCGCCGATCCCACAGTGAAGGATGCGACAGACGTACTCAGTTGCCTCCTCAGCGACGACGCGCGACGGCATAACAGACCTTCCTAATTCAACAAGGTTGGGTATCAGAGCGAGAATCTCGGGGTTAAAGTACAGGACGATGAGTCGGAGGCGGTGCAATTTCAAAGACGTCCTGGCGGTGCTGCCAGTGATATCTTCTGGCGACGATGACGCTGTCCGCGCGGCACCGGATACTCGTCCTCGACAGCTACACAGACCGACAATATCAGTGGTCCGGAGATCTCGAGAGCGTTGCAGAAAGTATTGAGAACGGTGCTCGTCACTGGCAATGAACCTAGTCTCGAGCTCACTCAGGCTGTCAGTCTCGGGCCAGCGGTGCTACAGGCGTGGGCGCTTCCGAGTCCGCCATGCAGTGGCAGCCGACATGTGAATACTATTTTAAAACACTACTCACAACCACTCTTTGAATTTCTACTCTCTATACCATACACACAACGACCATTTGTTCTATTCGTCGAATGTCATTCATAATCCAACATCGACCATCCACCGCCGCCGCACGAACCTCCGCCCCGCAACCACGAACCATGCATCAGGTATGTGACAGCACACAGAACGCAAGATGTATACCGAGCGTGAGCGCTGCATCAGGCCACTCCGATCACGCAACGCTGAGTAGGAAGATTATCACAGGTGTCAGCGCTCAGCGATCGGGAACGCGACAATAGAGACAGAAGGTAGTGGGTATCTGCCACCGTGACGCCTGGGGCAAGCTTCCCAATCCTGACATTGTAATTTAATTATTTGCGAGCTGGGACGAGACAAGTCAGGAGCAGAGACAGACTCGCAGACTGAGCCCCACTCGGAACTTCTAGGTGTCAGCATCGCAATTGCTGTACGAGAACAAAAGTATGATGCCGTGAATTAGCCGGATGTCATGGCCCCGAGCGCGACTTGAAAGCGATAGATGAAAGGGTGAGCACTGAACATATCGTATACCGGCGATAGCTGGTCCATCCGACAGATGCCTATCCAAGGCCTACACTTGGCCCTTGGGCCTACACAACATGGACCATCGTCATATCGTGACAGGTCGCCGGGCGTCTCAGGCTGTAACTGCTTCGAGGACCTATGTTCCCGATCAGATCGCAGCCAGTCGCATTCCTTCTCAAACGACTCCACAGCGCTTATTTGTGTCGTTCGCCTCCGACTTTGAATAATTCTAGTGTCGCCCTGTAAAACTCCAGAACGCCGAAAACCGCTCGTACCAGAAGTATCACTGTGCACGCGCAGTTGCTTTTCCAGACCTACGCCCTCCGATGTTTTTTTATCATCACGAGGGTTCTCTAAAACGCATGATGATGGGCACGACGGGTGACTTCGGATTTAAAGCCGCAGTCAGGCTTTACTACCGGACCACTAGATCGAGTAGTCTTTCCTTGGTCTTCCCTAACTGATTTTCATCTGCCGGGCCTGCTCCTCATCTGTCAGGTTTAACTTGAACAAATTAGTGCGTATGGCGTACCCCATGGAAAGCTCTCAGCGGATGTTGATGTGTGACACTCCTCCAGGCTTTCCACACCTTTTGCGCAGAGACTGGCTAGAATAAGGTCTATGCACAGAGATGAAGGTTCCCCCACCGAACATCAAGATCTTCGAGGTCAAGGAGCCCACCGGTATGTGATGATGCACACGCCTCGAAACGTTTTCCATTTACAGGCGAGATTCACAGAAACGATGATTGATCAGGCAGTCGAGCTCACCGTATTGCTCGAGGCAGAAGGTAAGGATGCGAACTAAGTATACCCGAATCGCAGTGTCTCGGTACTCAGTAATTGTCTCTAGATCAGTCATGTAGAGTATGGACGGGCGGGAATCCAGCCGAGCTGCTCCCCATTCTCATGCGCTCCATCATCAAGGCGTCTTGGCTGTGCGAGGGTGCAGGGGAAACCTACGTTGCAATTGACGAGCAAAATACACTTATTGGGTATTCGCAGTGGATCCCACCAGGGCGCGATCTCTGGGACTCGTGAGCAGCACGGATCTGCTGGGCACTGACACGATCTCACCAATCACTGCAGGGAAGATCAACGCCAATACGGATACTACGACTTCATGGAGAAGATGTCGGAGGAGGGTAGGAATTATTTCAAGCAATCGGTGAGCAGGGCTATCAATTCTCTGCTGCAAATATGGATTGATTGTCATGGGGCCGTAGCTAGGAGATCAATTTCCGAAGTACCTGGACGAGTCGTTCGGTATGCCGCAGGTGAGTATCCTTGATGATGGCACGTCCATCCTACTAACGGGTTGTCGTCAGTCTCAATTCAATACGCACTTCTGCAACCTCGCGATGGTGCGGCCCGACTACCAGGGCAAGGGCATCATGTCAGCCATGTTCAGAATGGCATACGAGAGGGTATTGTCACACTCGCACTACCCAACCACTCCACATTGGCTAACTCGGAGTCGCCAGGCAAAGCAGACCGGGGCAACGTTGGCCTTGTCTGCAGGAGATAATAATAATGTGCGTCTTGCCCAGCGAGATTGTCGTATAACCCTGCCTCATATCCATCCACAGGTCGTTGTGTATGAGCATATAGGGATGCAATTGGTAGGCCACCGGACGTTCCAGTCGCCTTGGGGTGAATGGTCAAGCTGGGCGTTCGCCTGGGAAACGAAGGAGAGTTGATTGGGACACTCGAACCGCAGTGACAGAACCCATGTAATCTTCAATCTACAATACGTCGCAGATAAAGAAACCACCTGTTGACAAGTTCCGTCGGGCTCTCCGCGCTGCTTGGACTGGATTCTCACACTGGAATAGAAGTCCTCAGAACAAACGGAGGAACCGAGACCTGCCTAGTCGAAACACGTCCGTCAGCATGCACAGACGTACTTCACCCCAATTTGCTCTGGCACTGGCGCTACTCCTCTTTGTTACCATGACTCAGGCGGCGTGGCTGCAATGGTTTCGCTCGAGAAGCGGATCCCTGGTTCGTCTTCATTTAGTGTTGGTCAAAGAACCATAACTTCACTGACCCCTTGGCTGTAGGCCCGTTGGACATGGTCGACGATGGTAAGTTATGGATGACAGAGCAGGTCACTTACGCAGAGCGTTGACGACGGTGTTGATTAACTGACTTCCGTGTGCGAGCCTTGATCTAGGGACTACTGACGCGGTATCCCAGTGGTAAGACCTATACAACACATCAGTGTGTAGAGATTCACGGCCTCGGGCGTACCTAGCATGGCAGTGATGCGCAATATCACGACGATGGGTGTGAACGTGCTACAACAGAGCACTGCGTGTCGATAGACAAGCCTTTGAACCGCACTACTGATCATGCGCGTTGAACCTGTACAACGTGCAAAGGGGATTAATGTTTAGTAGCTCCACTGGGCCTACCTCGAGGTTGTCGGCCTATCTAGCTAGAGACATAAGCTGCCACAAGCCTTCGACGGCCTACGGAGGAGTAAGGGAGACAAAAGTGCCGGCTCGCCCACATGCTTACGCGTAGCGATCTCGACGAACAGACGTGGATAAAGATACAGTGCGTCTAGTCTAGTACAACAGTGCTGGACTACAACAATACTGGACGTCGCGAGAAGTCCGATGATGCAGAAATGAAGCCACTACCCGATGGCGGCCACCTCTCGCTGGGTTTCCTCAATGTGTGGCTCGCCGTTGTCAAGCTTGGCTCGCTTGCTCGTTTCGGCCTCCTGAGCATCGTCTGCCTCTGGTGGCGAGCGTTTTCCGACATTTGTGTCGGCAGCCACAGACTCCTTTTTCGCGGGGGCCGGTTGAGGCGGCCGAACGTAAGGCTGCGCAAGCCAATGCGGCAATACTGGCAGGTTTGTTACAGAGTCGATCGTCACGAGCGACTCCAGTGGCTGCCCTTCCACCGCTTTCTCGTCCCGCTGAGGACATTCACAGCGTTCGCAAGTCAGTAGTAAAGCAGGACGCAGAAACGACCGACCGACCTGCATCCGCTCGTCCAGATCCCTCACGATCTCCTCGTACTTCTCCCACATCGCCGTTTCGGGCTTCTCGTACCGTACGCGCTGCAGCCTGTCTCGCAGATCGGTCTCGCGCGAGAGTGCTGGTTTGAGAAGCTTGAAAAGATGACCTTTGACGCACCGCAAAGGCGTCGGTGTACGCTGTGTCTTTACAATTTCGAGGTATTCGAGGGCAAGAGATGCGTGACGCGGATGCAGGCCGATTGAGTATGGTGCCAGCGAAAGGGGGGATGCTGAGAATGAAGTCGATGGCGCGGAGGAATTGGATTCGGCCGAGGTGGTGTCGCTTGCTGGAGGTTGAGGCGCAGGGGAGAAGAGAGCAGGGTTGTAGAGGTTGCCTTCAGCAGACATCACGGCGTCGGCACCCGTGGCGGCGAGCAGTCGCTCGACATCGCCATGAAAGAGCACATTCCCGTTTGCGAAGACGGGCACAGACACGGCTTCTTTCACAGCACGAATTTTGTCCCAGTCTGCCAGGCCCTACGATGTAATGAAGTTCGGCCGACAGTCACACGATAAATGTAACGACAATACGTACAGTGTTGTGGCCACGCTGCTCACGGAGCCGACCATGACATGTCAGTATTTGGGCACCGGCACTCTCGAGCATTTTGGCATATTCGACTGTCTTCTCCACAGTGGAGAAGACCCTGAACTTGGCCGTGACAGGGATAGATAGGTTGCGGTGGAGGGTATTGACTGAGGATCTCGGTGAGGACAAACCACCAAAGTCGCCAAACGAAGCGGCTCACTGAGTTTGTAAATCAAGTCCCATTCGTCTTGTAGGAAAGAACCATAATGTCCTCTCCGTGCGATGTCCTGGGGGCAGCCAAGATTGATGTCGACAGCATCACAGTAGGGCTCCAGGAGTTTGGCAGACGTGAGCAGCTGGTCCGGGTCATTTGCGCAGAACTGAATAATGAGTGGCCTGTCTCCAGCTCCGCCTTCCTCACCGAGGAGCGTGTTGAAGAATTCCTCCCGCTTCTGCTTATGCCGTAGATCGGCATACATCTGGGCGTGGTGTGAGACGCGAATGCAGGACGTATCGAAGGATGCATGTGCATGACAGACCTTGGCATTTATCATTGGTGTGTAAACAAGCTATATTACGGTATCGTAAGCATATTGAGTGCTGAATGGATCCATGGTGACTGCTCACCTGTGCGCCGTATCTCCGGGACAGCGTCCTCCATGCCTAGTGAACTGACTCGAACACCATGCCTTCAGCGGAAGTCGAAGTACGCACCAGTTCGCTTTGATCAACCATCGGCGCAACCACATGTTTTGGGCTGCCTAGGACCTCGCGATAGAAGTCATATCCACTGAGCTTCTTCCGGTCAGACTCGGGAACTGTCAGACCAGGCATTCCGAGGGTTCTGAAGACGGCCTGCTCCGGATAATACTAATGAATATGCCGGCTGCGTAGATTGCAGAAATCGTTGGTGAATTCAGCGGGCTTGTAGAGAAATCGCAACTGAGAGTGGCAGAGTGGCAGTGGGGGTGGTGTGGTAGACTGAGGATGGAGGCGGATGGGTGCTTGGCGGGCAAAGACTTGTAAGATCAAGATCTCGGCCTTCAGGCGGCAATCGTCGTCACAGATCTCTGTACAACGTCGCCACGTGATTCTTCCGTGCGTCGCGGACTCGCGATGTGAACTTGTCATTGTGAAGTGAGCCGCCTCGAAACTACTTCATATCCTCTTCCATTCACTATGCGCACGTACTGGTCCACATGCGTACTTTATATGTTAAGATTGGAACGACTGCCAGTAGGAGGCTGAGCCATGTACTTAGGAGTGGTACTATGCGTTAGCGAGTGCACGAAGTCTATTCCATTAGGAGCGATGTTACGCCGTACAATCCCACTCAACTAGGCCTCCGAGAAGTCACTAACATATGCGAGTATGCGAGCAGATTCGGGACAGACAGCACAAGCGGAACGGCAGTACGACGAAGCACACGAAGGACAGTCCGGGATAGCAGGTGCTGTTGGTTGGAATGCGGCCGATGCAAGCGACGACGATCCACGCAGAGCGTCTTGCGCGAGCGTGTCTGATACACTGACGCGATCGTGCAACACACCGCATTCATCCTACGTCGAATCATGAGTATTGCAACGACAGCCGTCCACTAGGAGTCGAACCACGTACAAACAAGAACATTGACAGACAGCGAATTCTGCATGCCGTCGTCCCGCCAACCGCTAGCTGTGTAGCTCGGATAGTTGGGTGTCTTCTCCGCACTGTAGGCTACGGGAGCCAGCGCTGAAGGCCTGTTACGTGAGGACTCTGAGGAGTCTTGGGGAAGAGTTTCGCATCGATCGGAGGGGGTCGAATGTAAGGCTGTGCGACCCAGTGCGGCAACACGGGCAGGCCCGTAGGACCGATCGTGACAAGCGCCTCTGGCCGCTGTCCCTCCGCCGCTTTCTCGTCCCGCTGTGCGCCATTTTAGCTCACAAAGATCAAAGACGACACAGAAAGAGGTGCCATACCTGCATACGTTCATCCAGTTCCCTGACGAATTTCTCGTGCGGCTCGTACGTCGCCGTCCTCCTGAGCACTAGATCGCCCAGCTGTGATCGTAAGCCCGCGTCGCGCGCCAAGGCAGGTAGGAGGAGCTTGAAGAGATGGCCTACAACAGACGTGTGGGATGTTGGCGTCCGCTGCGTTTTCACAAATTCGAGGTACTCGAGGGCAAGTACCGTGTGCCGGGGATGAGCGCCAAGGTATGACGACGGTAAACCGGACACTGATGATATGGATGAGGTTGGAGAGGAGATCAGGGGCGCTTCGTTTGATGTAGTTGGGGGTGCAGGTAAGAAGAGAGCAGGGTTGTAGAGGTTCCCTTCAGCTGACATCACCGCATCGGCACCTGTTGCAGCAAGTAGTCGCTCAATATCGCCATGAAAAAGCACATTCCCGTTGGCGAAAACTGGCACTGAGACAGCTTCCTTCACAGCGCGGATCTTGTCCCAATCTGCTAACCCCTAGAAAGCGATTAGGATTCCACGTCTGTGACATAGTCGGTGCGACGCGAGTACGCACAGTATTTTCGCCGATCTGGTTGCGAGTTCGACCATGACACGTCAGGATTTGCGCCCCCGCACGCTCGAGCATCTTCGCGTATGCAACTGTTTTTTCCACGGAAGGGAAGACTCTGAACTTCGCCGTGACGGGGATTGAGAGGTTGAGATGGAGCGTATCGACTGCACAAGGTTGATGAGGACGCGACGTCGTCAATGTAGAAGATATGGCTCACTAAGCTCGAATATCAGGTCCCACTCGTCTTGTAAGTAGCTCCCATAAAGACCTTCCCGTGCTGTGGCAACGGGGCATCCGAGGTTGAGGTCAACAGCATCGCAGTATGGCTCAACTAATCTAGCAGCCCTGAGCAACCTTTTCGGATTGTTTGCCCAAAATTGAACTATAAGCGGTCGGTCTTCAGGCCCACCTTCCTCGCCAAAAATAGGTTGGAAGTATCGCTGCCCCGCTTTTTTCGGATCAGCATACATCTGCCTTGACATCAGACACAAGTGTTGGTCATATAAAGAGGATATGTACAACAGACCTCGGCGCTCATCATAGGAGTATAGGCGAGCTGCCAGAGAGACACCTTAGTGAAGCAACTCCCGCGCTGATGCGCATGGTGTACTCGCCTGTGCTCCGTATCTCCGAGACAATTTCCTCCATGCCTGAAAGAGATGAGCCCCGACCACGTTCTCAGAAACCCATACGGACGCACCAGCTCACTGTGGTCTACCATGGGTGCAACAACATATCTGGGGCTACCGAGCACCTGGCGGTAGAAGTCATATCCGCCGAGCTTCCTTCTGGGACCGGCCAGAACAGGCGGAATCGCGTTTAAAAGGGGCGTTGTCTCGGAAAGCGCCTGCACAGCTCGTCGCGATACACTGGGCAGCGGTATCTTGTCCAGCAGAGATGACATGAAGCGCTACCGCATGCGTGAAGCACAATCACTCCGCGAACGATACTGAATAAGGCCTGCAAGCTGGACGGAAGCGCAGACTATAGGTAGCGCGGGTAAGGTTCAAGTTGGACTGTGAGAGGTGCAGAGAACGCCTGCAGAGCTCGCCGGAGTATATTGAAGGGAATGGTTGCGGCGGTCTTTTGCTCAGCGACACAGACGTAGAGCACTTGTAGAGCGCAGTGGACGCCGTCGAGTCAGTCTGTACGTTGGCGGAGAGCGCGGGCCAGGGTGGTGGCTTGGCGGCGACCTGTAGGATCGGGATCTTGGGCGGCAATGCAATTGAGACTGCAAGCACGAGGCGCAACATTCCCACGCTTAGTGTGGACAGTGACTAGCGACTGATGAACGCATCCCTTATTACGCATCTGCCTCTGTCCGCACGGACCTACCGCCTCAACTATGGCACAGCGGTGAACGTCTGCAGCCCCTCTTGTTCGCTTCCACCCCGCGCACCTTCCCTGTAGACCGGTTTGGAGGCGGAAATCTGCGAGATATGTATTCTGGGTCTTCGTCTCGCGTGCAGTCCATGTATGGGCAGCACTACCCTGAAGGTACGTTCTCGCTTTTGCAGCGAGCCCGAGGCCTCTGAAGCCGCTTCTAGCTTCAGGAAGCAATGGCTGGGCAGCTGGTCCAGCTCGTCACTACGGCTCAGACTTTGACTCGTCGACGGAACGCGACTACCCCCGCTCCGACCCCTCGTCCTCCCGTACGGGACTCGGGCACCATCCAAACGAACAAGACATCCGACAGGCGGGCTCCGTCGTCACCCTCCCAGATCCAATCCCTTCCCTTCCTTACTGGTCTCACAAACGACACCTGACGTGTGGGAATCCGACCCCTCCACCGCCGTGGGCACCAAAGATTACACCATGGCGTACCACCCCTTCCAAGCTCAAAACAGCCAATGCTGCGCTCGTTCTCTGTTTGAACATCGACGTCGATCCTCCAGACGTTGTCAAGACGAACCCGTGCGCCGTGCTAGAATGCTGGGTCGACCCACATACTCTCCCTGCCTCGAAGGCCCTCGATGTCATCGGTCTGAACCTTGCGCATCAGTTCGAGGGCCTGAGTGCGAAGATCACCTTCAAGCCTTTGCTCGATCCCGCGTATGACGACCTACGCAAGTATTGCCACTCCCTACGCAAATCCGCGAAAGAGGACGCCATCCTCTTCTATTATAACGGTCACGGTGTCCCTAAACCTACGCCCAGCGGTGAGATGTGGTGCTTCAACAAGGAGTACACACAGTACATCCCCGTATCTCTCCAGGAGGTGCAAACATGGCTCCTCTCCCCCTGCGTCTACATCTGGGACTGTTCCGCGGCAGGACGCCTGCTGCAGAGCTTCGTCAAGTTCGCACGGGCGCGCGACACTGATGCCGCGCTGAACCCGGGCCTATATCCCGAGGGCATGCCTCCATTCTCCGACTGCATTCAGCTTGCTGCATGCGCTGCCGACGAACAGCTGCCAACATGTCCGGAACTACCTGCGGACCTGTTTACGTCATGTCTCACATCGCCCATCGACATAGCGCTACGGTGGTTCATCATGTGCAACCAACTTCCTGGCGGGGTCACGGGCGACATGGTCATGCAATTACCGGGCGACCTGAAGGATCGGCGGACACCATTAGGAGAGCTAAATTGGATCTTTACGGCCATTACGGACACTATCGCTTGGACCACATTCCCCAGGGATGTCTTCACGCGCTTGTACCGGTCGGATCTACTCATTGCCTCTCTCTTCCGGAACTTCCTGCTTGCAGAACGGATCATGAAGAACTACCACTGCACACCTCATACGTACCCGCCGCTACCACCGACGAACACGCATCCGCTGTGGGCGTCATGGGACTTGGCGGTTGACTCGTGTTTAAGGCAGTTACCAGAGTTGCTGAAGCATGTCCAGCCAGGTACGACGACAGAAGCGTCTCTTACGACACGCAGGTCTACAGCGGCACGTGCGCAACCTGGGGTTCCCGCGCCTGCTCCTGTCGAGCAGCCGTATACTTACATCCATAGTAAGTTCTTTAGCGACCAGCTCACGGCATTCGAGGTGTGGATCTCTCGAGGCGGGTCTGCGCTCACCAAGCGCGGTCCACTCTCGCTTCCCGAGAGCAATGGTGAGCAGACAGCGACATTGGACGCGCCTAACGGCGACGCGGCACATCCCCTCCAGAGTGTCGAGAATGACCATCACCTCGTTCCCCGCAAGCCGCCAGACCAGTTGCCCATCGTCTTGCAGGTGCTCCTTTCCCAGCCCCACCGTCTCCGCGCGCTCATCCTCCTTTCGCAATTCGTCGACCTGGGACCATGGGCCGTACACCTAGTCCTCACCATCGGCATCTTCCCCTACATATCGCGCCTCCTTCAAGCTGCGTCAGCGGATCTCAGACCAGTGCTGATATTTATATGGGCACGTATCATCGCCGTCGACCCGACATGCCAGGTCGAGCTGTACAACAACCAGGGCTACAAGTACTTCGCGCAGATTCTCGCGATACAGGAAGAGCAGCCCCATCCGGCGATTCCAAACAGCTCGGAACACAAGGCGATGTGCGCCTTCATACTCTCCGCAATAGCTCGTGACTACCCGCACGGGCAGAACGCGTGCTGGCGTGCGCACGTCTTCGATGCGTGCTTCGACCGCCTGAACGACAATGACTTCCTACTCCGGCAGTGGTCCGCGCTGTGCATTGCGCAGATTTGGGACGCCAATGACGAGGTCAAGACGTACGGGGTCGATCGCGGCACGCAGGACAAGCTCATCGCACTGCTCTCCGACGACTCGCCCGAGGTGCGCAGCGCAGCGCTCTACGCGCTCGGTACGTTCTTGGGCGCGTCGGGTTCGTCGGACCTTAATAAGCTCGGCGGAGGCGGTAGTGGGACGCAGAGCCAACTGGAGGAACGCATACACTTCCGCATGGAGGTCGCTGTCGTCACGGGGGCTACCCTGGCTATCAAGGAGGACGCGAGCCCGATGGTCAGGAAGGAGCTCCTGGTGCTCATCAGTTGCTTGGTCAAGGAGTGGCGAGGGTACTTCATCGTCTGCGCGTGGATCTACTGGGAGGAGGAGCGGCGCTGGAGGCAGGGTACACCACTACACGACGAGGACTTGGCAACTCAGGCTGTCGCGGAGTGGCTGGACAGCTTCGGCGACGATGATGCGCGGGAGGAAAACCGAGTGTTGTTGTCTTCGTTCTTCACCATCTACAGCGTGCTGCTCGAGCTGTCGGCGGATCCTTACGAGGAGGTGGCCATCAACGCGCAGACAACCGTGGACTATATCATCGCACTTCTGCTGGAGTCGCCGTTCAGCCATCTGGATAGCACCACGCTGAAGGATCCCCCAGTCACTCTCGACTCGAAGGGCGGCACACGGACGCGAGCGCCCTCGATACAGTCAGAGAAAAGTCAACAACCTCCTTCGCCCATTCTGAACAGGCCGAGCATCACGCGCAGTGATACCATGGGTAGCACGCTCTCAAACGGGGTCACCAGTACCCTTCGACGCACATCCTCTTTCGCCAATGCTCTCAGGAGTCTCGCGGGTAACATCGCTTTCCCGACCATGGACGATGGTCGTTCGTCACCTCGCCCAACATCGTTGACTACACCGCGGCCAGACATGCCAGACGGTGTTTCTCGTCCTCCCTCGCCGAATCTGAACTACGCTCAGTACACTTCCCCGTATTCCCGTCCTTCCACCCCGCCTCCCGCATCCACGCACCGACTGTCTCCCAACCCGTCTCCCAAGTCCGTTGCGGAGCCGCCCTCACCTCCGATGGACTTCAACCCATGGGACGTCATGGAGGCACTCATCGAGGAGGACATGGAGCGCCTGCGGGCTCGTCGGAGGGTCGTGATGCACCATAGGCATCAACATCCACATGTGGCGGGATTGGGCATGGGCGGTGTGGGCAGCCCGGCTGGGAGCACGTTCTCCATGGACTCCAGCGTGATTCTGGGCCTCGGTACCGGCGTGGGCATTCGGGATGTTCTCCCACTGAAGAGCCGGTTCTACGACTGGTGCTGCGAGTACTTCAAGGAGCCTCAGATGAGGGTATGTCTGTCCCTCTGAACTACGCTTTGCTTTGCTCATTGTCCCGGTTCAGCAACCGGAGGCTGATGAGCCTGGAAGCGTGCAATACAACTACCAGCTCTGGCGGCAGCAACGCAACGAGCAAGTGCTTTCGACTACGCGAACCCAAGGGGAGATCGCAGGTCCGTGTTATATTGTGCGCTTCGGAGCGTCAGTGCTGACGCCCAAGCATAGCGTCCTGCAAGTGGGACAGACCGGTGTCGACCATCCAAGTCACTGGCCTACCACAACAGTTAGCGTTCCATTCCTTCGATCCCCACTTGGTTATTGCCAATGAAACCGATGTCATAACGTGCGTACCCTATAATCCTGTGTTCGTTAGCCGGCAACATTGACGCCTGTACAGGGTCTGGGATTGGATGCAGCGCAAGCGGCTGAACCGCTTCTTCAACGGCAACCCCAAGGGGACGTGTGTGACGTCGTTGCACATTATCAACCAAGAGGTCGGAGGCATTATCCTGACCGCTGCGGGTATGTCGAGCACGTAAATGTTTTCCTTTGCCTTAGCTGACATCTGACCTCTTTAGCTGACGGCGTCGTCCGTTTGTACCGGAATTATGACCCGTCGCTGAGCAACGGTCCGTTACAAATGGTCAGCTCGTTCCGCGGAGCCAACGAAGTGCTTCAGGTGCAGCGCGGGAGTGGGGTGATCACGGACTGGCGGCAGACAGGCGGTACGCTGCTTGTGGGCGGCGACTCGCGTGTCATCCGAGTGTGGGACGCTCATACCGAGAGCCAGGTCATGGTACGTTTGTTCACTATTAATCATTTGTGCGCGCTTGACAGCTGTCGTGTCATGCAGGATCTAGAAACGAATTCGGATAGCCCCGTCACGGCTATGGTGTCTGACTACGGGTCCGTCAACACATTCTTGGCAGGATTTGCGAACGGGAGGGTCAAGATCTTTGACCGGCGTATGGACGAAGAGAATGCGGTTGTGCGTGCTTACGATGACCATGCCTCTTGGATCCAAAATGTCAAGTGGCATCCAAGCTACGATGGTCAATTCTTCTCTGGCTCGTGAGTCTCCTGTTATCAACGGATCTCTAAAGTATTACTCATCCATTGTGCTAGTATGGACGGGGAAATCAAGTTGTGGGACATACGTGGAGATGACAGGGCGCTGCAGTCATGGGACACATATCCCCAAGGTCTGTCAGCGTTTGACGTCCATGAACAGACAGAAGTCTTCGCTACGTGCGTATTTCGATACATGAAGCTTCGCAATATGCTAAATTTCCTGGACAGGACTTCTTCTCTGGTACCTTCGAACTGGAGGACCCAGCGGACCTCTGTTCACTCGTTCGCCCGACAGAGCCCGTTGTCTACGCTGACCACGGGCCTCACTGTTCCGCCGCCGCGGGATTCATATCTTCCTTTCATCACCCGTTCAAGCAGTCTGGTGTTCCACCCCAAGGAGATGGTCTACGCTGTTGGACATTGGGACGGATGTGGTACGTGCGATTTAATGACATGGGGGGTCCTCGCAACACTGACCACGTATTTAGTGCGTATCATGGGTTGCAAGCTGCCGTCATAGCCTTCTGAGTTGCTCTATGGACTGAAACATTGCTTTGCTCGTCACCCTCGAAGTCTGGCTGCATAAGTATCCTAATAATTCTGGCAAATATCCATGTGTTGAATACATTCTCTACTGTAGCATAAGAATAATCGGCTCGAATACCACTGACTGCAATCTCATAACTTAGCAGAGCCCGCAAACATTCGGCCACATCAAGCGCTCTGTGGCCAAACGATCACATTTCATCAAGCCACAGTTGAAGCCATAGCGTAAACGGTATAAGACTGCTACCTCGCCGTACTTTCAGACAACGACGATTCAGCCTATCGTCGCTAATCCTGACTGTTGCCCACGACCATCACTCACATTTTTCACTCGTCGTCCTCAATGGCCAGCACACATCCATTGAACGACTCACGTCACAGGTGAGAGAGAGGCAATTGTCCTGGAATACGACCGCATTCTCATAGTCCCATTGTAGCTCTGCCCCGCATCAGAGCGACATGCCTCTGGTTCATTTTCCGCTTTCGGGATGCGCCTTTGGAGATTCCGTGGTCGTGCAAAGTCGCGATTTGTAGGTACGACCCCTTCGCAACTCTCCAACTCGCCCTGGTTCACCTGCGCCGCATACATGCGCTCCATATAATCGTTCCATGGATCACCGAAGGCATCGTCGCACTACTCGACGGCGAAGCACCTTTGCTGCAGACGCTGACACTGGAGTCCTTTATCCCTCGCCTCTGCAATGCGAAGACGTGCTGTTCATTGAACCGTGGCAACGCCGTGATGTCGCGAGCCCTCAGCGCTGAAACTTTGGGCACCAGATCCATGTCTCGGAGTGCTACAACATGACGGAGACGACTAGCGTCGACATTTCGAAGACTCGTTGGTCTGGGATGGTCTAGTGAAGGTTGCCAGTGTCTCCCGCGGGTGGGCAACGGTGACTGATTATCACAGAGCCTTTGTCAGTGACGGACGAGAGTGATGTGTAGACGACTCAGCTGCCAATCAATTGCTATTCAGCGTTCACGCGTATCATCGCTGAAGTTATTACTTTATCCTACAACATGTAACTTATTGTATCCTCGCTGCCTCCTAAATGGGCCTGACGTGTGTCTCATGCCGTCCGGGTCGCGCGCGACGCTGGACAGAGGGAACGCGCGTTAACGAGGATCTGCTGTGACATCATTGTGTGACGGCGCTGTATGGCATGACCGTCACGTCACGGAGTACTTAGCCACCGCAAGTTGCCACCCAACTTTTCGCCGCCCCCACTCAACGCCACCGCCCAGCCACCGCTGCCCGCAACAGACACGTCTGCGACCCGCAACCTCGCACTCGCCGCCTTTCCGCTCAGCGACCTCGAGGCTGCAGAGTAGCATTTTACTTGCGCTTAACCGAGCAAGATGGTGCGCGCACACATGAAGCAGACGGTGAGCAACAGTCGGTTGCCGGATACGGATCCGTCCTTCAGCCACTTCTGCCACTGCCCTGTGGCTGATCATGCCTATATCCAGCCTGACGAGAAGAAGGAGACACACAAGAAGAAGACCCCCGTCAAGAAGAAAGTAGAGACTGGATCATGGCCCTGCAGGATGAACGGCTGCAACAAGGTCTTCGCCCGCGAGGCCGACCTCAAACGGCATCAGCGCACCACGAAGACCCATTCCATGCCCGGCTTGTAAGTACCTCGCGTCCCGCCGTGTGCGACATTGACTCTAGCACGATCTCCCTCATCCGCACTTTCCAGTGCATGTCCTCAATGTGACGCGACGTTCACGAGAGTGAGTCACCGCTATCGTCCTGGACGCTTGATGGTTAACGCACAATATGCAGACCGATGCACTCCGTCGACACCAGAAGTCACGGTGCGTCCTGTGCTGTTCGCCGTTGGCTGTAATCATTCATAGCTTGTTAGGCACAATGGTATCGTGATAGCGCCAGTCGAGCAGGACAGGGTCAATACCACCATCGACAATGATGCCGAGTCTTCAGGCTCTAGGTCTCGCAGCGTCACGCCTTCGAAGGAAGGCGAAGGCAGCAGCGCAAACGGCTCACCGCCGCACGCGGTTGCGCAACCTGGCACCTCTGGGCCTGGCAGCTACTACCGCTCACACACTATGAACCAAAGTGCGCACACATTCTACTCGACACTGGTGCCGTGTTGGATGACGTCGTCTGTAGGCTATATACCGCCGCGCCCGCATTCCGGCATGGTGATGGATCCCCACTACTCTCAGTCTATAGGGCCGCCCACTTCTGCCGCAAGGCTTCACCAAGCTACCTGGTCAGGACCCCCACCGCCTCCCTGGGCGGAGGCACCTCCGCCTCCAGGACACCCTATGTACCACATGCCCCCGCCTGGATATTATCCTCCGCAGTACCGGTACGGCGTTCCCCCGCCTGGAATGCCCTTGCCGCCTCACATGCACATGCCTCCGGAGTACATGGGCCATCCACCGTACGGCGCTCCCTACCCGCCACCTCCCCACGGCGCCGCACCGCCGCCGCACAATGGCAGTGCCTCCCCGCCGCAGCGAGAGAAGGATGACGGCGAGTCCGATGATGCTGAAATGGAAGAGGGATCATCCCGAGGTTCGCCGGCCATTGATCCGTCGCTTGAGCAGCCCGCGCAGGCCCTGCACCCGAGTTCGACACAAGCTGGCCAACAAGAGCCTCCGTCCGCAGAGGCGGGTGGGGAGTCCATCTCCCAATCCGAGGCGGAGGCGGCCGTCAAGGCCGTCCTGGCCCTCCAAAAGGCTGGGGCGGCGCCGACACCCGCGCCTGACGCCGAGGCAGAGCAAGCAGCGCCCGCCGCTGCGTCGCAGCCGGCCGCAAAGCCTGAAGTGCCTGAGCAATCAAGCGAACAACCACCTTCATCTGTCAGTGCGCCGGACGCCTCTGCTGATCTCGACATGGATGCTGATGCCGATGGTGAAGCCGACGGTGACGGAGAGGAAGTGAAGGGCGACGCGGTCGACAATTCGTCGGCCTCGAAAGCACCACAAGGCGAGATCGTGACGGAGGACGGCGTGGCCATGCTGAACCCTGGTGAGACTTGCGTATCGCACTGCATTTACGACCATGATAATGACCTTCCTACGGTGTGTGGCAGCGGAGCTGTTGACGCAGGTCGGTTATCACCCCTCACACTAGCTATGCGAGTTGTGCTGACCATGCTCCGGTCTTGCAGGAGTCCTTGGCCTCGCCGCCGCCATGATCACATAGAACGCCTGGGGGGTGATATACCGCGTAGTAACATTCGACTTTCGGGACCGTGACTATTTTATGTTGTACTGTACCTTCGTGACTGTCATATTCGCGATGCCCGTCTTCACTTAGCACATACGGATGGTGATGCTGTAATGATGATAGGACTCTTGAAGCAAATTTAACAAAGGCCAGTGGGACAAGTGTGCGGCTACAGATATAACGATGGTTGACTCGATATTCTACATGCTACTAATGCGAACGAAAGCACATGACGTTATAGTACAAAGCATCGCTGTTGAGAGCGTACCACGTAACATACAGAACCGTGAATAGGCAGTCAGTGATCTTCCGGTTACGCGAAGATGTCGACCTTCGGCCACTTGTACTGCGGGCCGACCTGCTGCACACACATCGAGCCAAGCTTGTGGCCCGCCTCGATGCACTCGTCCTGGCTCTTGCCGAGGACGTACGCGCCGAGGAAACCACCCGCGAACGCGTCGCCCGCGCCGTTCGTGTCGACGATCTCCTCGTCCTTGAGCGGGAGGACGCTGTACACCTTGGGCGAGGCGGTGTCCGCGCTGGACACGACCGTAGTCGCCTTCGGCCCGTGGGTGATGATGACGGTGCGCGGGCGCGAAGGGTTGGACTTGGGCAGCGCAGCGATGGCCGCGGCGACGGCGGCGAGGTCCTTCTGCTCGGGGTGGCCCGTCGCGATGGCCCACGCCTCCGCCTCGGACTCGTTCCCGATGACGATGTCGACGTAGGGCATGATCTGCTGCATCTGGACCTGGAAGAACTGCGGGATGAACGGCGCGGAGAGGTTCAGCACGAAGACCTGGCGCGCGCGCGAGCGTTAGTGGGGGGTGGCGCTGACGGAGGGAGGGCGGGTGCGGTACCTTGCCGGCCTCGGACGCCTTCTTGCTGAGCTCGAGCGCGGACTCGCTGCCGTGCGTGAGGAAGAAGCCCTCCATGTAGAACACTTTGGCGCTCTCGATGCAGGGCGCGACCTCCGGCGAGCTCAGGTGCGCCTTCTCGAACTTCTCCGCTGCGCGCAGCGCGGTCACCAGGCTCCTGTCGGGCGCGGCAGGCACGCGCCAGCGTGAGCGGCCTGCGAGTGCGCGGGAGGGGGGACGTACCGGTCGTGGCCTGTGATGGTGACGGCGCACGCGCCTGTGCGCTCGCCCTTCTTGACCATGTAGCGCTGGTCGAGGCCCTCGCGCTTGTTCGCGGCCTTGAGCTGCTCTGCGAGCTCGTCGTCGCCGACGCAGCCCGTGTAGACGACGGAGCCGGGCGGGAGGACGTACTGGCCATGGCCGATGAGAACGGACGATCGCCCGGGTGGGAACGCACGTACCGCTGCTCCTCGCGCGGCATTTTGGGACGCGCCACCGGCGACGTAGGTCACTTGGTACTTTTCCGCCAGCTCGTCGTAGCTGCGAGGCACGGTCAGTCAGTTGCAATGACACTGCGAGAGACGGACGGACATGGGGAGGTGCTTCTCCTCCGCGAGGATGGCGTCGTTGGACTTGAGGCCGTACTTCTTGAGGATCTCCTCGCCGTCGCGGACCTGCATGTCGAGCAGGGGGTTGCCCATGCAGAAGAGCTGATACGACGCCATGGCTCGGGATCTGGAGGGATGGGGGAGGGAGGTGGGGGTAGGTGGCAAGGATGCTTGTGAGCGGTGGTGCCACAGTGCGCTCGGCTCACTGTCCGTGCACTTGTGCGAGAAAGTTTGAGGATTATCGACGTCCCATCGGATGCCTATCGTCGCAGCCTTCCTCCTCGCGTCCACCATCCTCGTGCAGAGCCTGTACGTCCCAGCGAGTGTATCTCCCCGTCCCGCGTATTAACGGCACCTCAAGTCATATCCGTATCGCATTCTCGCTCAGACTGCATAGTATGGACGGAATGAACATTCTCTGCAACCGGATCCATCTTGTCATATCTCTCACAGGGCTGGGATCTTGGGAGCTGCAGCCGCGTACCATATGGAATGCTCGCTCACACAGCACATTTCGACGGTTCGGGCTACTGGAAGTTGGTTCATACATCCGCTGCATGTGAACTGTACAATATGGATCAACGCTTCGAGCCGCCTGCACGTGTGCGCTGTGCTTGGCCCTGGAAGACTTCATGCTCCCGAGCGTTGAATGCGTATGAGGTGAGTACGACCTACTTCTGCGACAGAAGCTGTGATACTTACTCGCCCAACAGGCACGAGCGGACTCGCTGGATATCGTGTCGCCTTTGCGCCGATGGCCTGTGTTGCGCAGGGATGTGGAGGTAAACCGTGATGTGCTGCTTCTATAGGTACCGTCATCAACGGGGCGGAACCTGGAGGTGCTTCTGGCATCTACCAACTCTTCGGACAAGTGCCCTGCAGTACTCTGGCAGCTAGGCAGTCGAGTGCTGCACACTTGGCGATTCATACGACAAGTCTGCGCTGGCTAGAATTCACTGAAGAGTGGGCTATGGAGGCCGGACGAATCACTGCCATCAGCAGCTCACGATGACCATGCACTGGCACCGCCTCTCCTGGGTGCGATGGAAGGCCATCTGCGGGCGATGTAGACAAGGTGGAATCTTGGAGATACAGATCCTCTCCCCGAACGTCACCAGGCGGGCTCATCGATGACCGCAGTCTAGGCCGTCCTGTAGTGCTATCTATTCCGCGAGAGGAGACCATACTGGGGGACGATTCAGCCTGTAATTGTGTGCCTTGATATGACTCGGATGTGATTCGCGCATGGAATAGCCATGGACCATTCGCTGGTTGATGCACGTAAAAGTCGCTAGCCTGAGGCGTGATTGAAGCTGAAGGCGTAAGGGGAGGAGAGAGGGCAGATCGGGGAATGTGCTTGAGAGCGTGTGATTGGACAAGCGCCGTTGGTCATCCTTCGTACTTTGCAGAACAGAGTGCACCGAATACTGTCTCGTCGCCTCGTTCAACTCGTCCACACTCTCCCTACTCTTTCTCTGCCCTCTCGCAGCCAGCGCACCCACGCACCCGCCAGCAACGGTCCCAGGCGATAGCCCGCACCTAGCGACTCGGCTGTCTCCTCGTGGCTAGCACGCACCCTGCTGCCCACGCCCCCTCCGCCCGCTGCGTCTGATTCGTGCTCTGCTTTTTCACCCCCCCACTCTCCCAGCCACTTCCTGCTACTGTCTGGGCCCGCCCGCCGTCGCGTAGCACGCCGCGCCCGCCATCGTATGCTCGGCGTCCTCCGCTCTGCAGCCCCGCAGCAGCATCCGACCAGCGACACCTCGCGAGTCAAGTTCAGGACTGTCCTCGGCCTCGGATCTCTCAACAAAGACTTTGAACCCGCCCGCCCAAAGCCCTCTGCAGCTGCGACCCCCCAGCCGCGCTCGTTGTCCCGCCGGAGCGTCGACGTCGTCTCTGGATACAGCCTAAAGCGGCAGCACCGAAGGAACCGCTCAAGCGTTGTAGATCCGTCCTTCTTCGCCCCGGACGACCCTGCCCCCGCAGAACCCGCTCCCCAGGCCTCCGACATGAAGAACTCGGTTGCCCAATCCATGCCCACCCGGCGCGTGCCCGTCCGCGCGGTGAACCAGGATGGCCCGTGGACGGTCAGTGTCGCCGAGACGCCCCATGAACCCAATACGTACAGCATATACATTAAGAGTGAGTGCCTATCCGTCACTGCGCCCTGTCTCGTGCGCACAAACCCCCGCATTCTGCCCCGCACCTCCCTCATTCTATCACTCCGTGCAACACGCCGCGTCTTCCTTACGACCGGCCTTTACGTCAATCGTCTCTGTGCTGACCTCTTGACCATTTTCTAGCGCCTACCCATAATATCACCCTCACCCGCACTGCCCTCGAGATCGTCGAGATGCATGGCAAGCTGCGCGAGACCCATCCCGGCTACAAAATGCCCATCCTCCCCATCGACGTCGCCGCCATCCCCCAGCCTCCCAAGCGCAAATCGGCCTTCCTCAATACCCTCTCGCGTCTCGCTTCTCCGGCGTCCAAGGCAGGCCAACGCTCCGCGTCTGGGCGCCACATCTCGGCCACCAGCTCTGCGTCGAGCGCCCTCCCCACCCCGCTCGCGTCGCCCAAACACGAGCTCAATGACCCTTTCTCAGAGGGGGACGATGAGGACGACCTACAGCCGCCCATCCCACCCGCGAACAGCGCTGTCACCGCCCTCGCCGCGTACCTGACGAACGTCGCGAACGACGCCGCATTGCGCCAGTCCCGCGTCTGGAAGCGCTTCAACAGGGTGCGCACCGACGATCTGCAGAGCGTGCGCGTCGAGCGCGCCATCAAGCGCGTTAGGTCCGACATCGCCGCACACGTCAGCCCTGGCAGCTCGACCGATATACGGCAGTCTATCAGCCAGGTCGTCAACGGAGACGAGGAGAAGCCGAAGACGAACGGCGTGCATGCACCCGATACGACGGCGTCAGTGCAGGAGGACATCACCGAAGAGGACGAGGGCGCCGAGTCGACCCCGCCCCCTGCGGCGCCAGGTGTGTCTGCTAAAGATAGCGCGTCTGCGAAGGCTGAGAAGACCGGCGAAGGTGCCGAGGACGGCGCAGAGACGGAGCAGGACCGTGCCCCGACGCCGCGCTCACCCAAGTTCTCCTCAGCCACCGCGGACAGCACGGCGGACAGCACCGTCGAGGACGGGGACGCGCCGCCCACGCCGGACGGCCCCTCGCACCGCATCCCGCGCTCGCAGTCCGCCGACCCGATGCTGCGTGCGTCGCGCGTGTACCTCGCGTCGCCGCTCGGGAGCGACACGACCTCGTCGCGCACGTCGCAGACGGGCGAGTCCGCGGACGACTCGTCGATCTCGACGACGGGGCGCACGTCCGCGCGGAAGAAGCGCTCGAAGAGCATGGACCCGAACACGGTCGGGAAGAAGAGCCAGCGCAAGGTCGTGGTCGACGACTTTGAGATGATGCGCGTGCTCGGGAAGGGCTGCGCGGGCAAGGTCCTGCTCGTGCGCCACAAGCCGACCCAGGACGTGTTCGCGCTCAAGGCGATCACGAAGCGCCACGTGCTGGCGCACCAGGAGCTGCAGCATACGTTGACGGAGCAGGCCGTCCTCAAGAGAATGGCCGCGGAGGGCTCTGATCCGTTCGTCGTGAAGCTGTGGTGGAGCTTCCATGATAAGGAGAACCTCTTCTTGGTTATGGTAAGTGAAGGCGATCAGGCTGTAGGTTGGACTGCGCTCATTGTCGCTCTAGGACTTCCATCCCGGTGGCGACTTGGCTACGCAACTGGCCCGTTGGGGCCGTCTCGGTCGCGACCGTGCAAGGTTCTATGCTGCCGAAATCGTCGAGGGTGTGGAGGGGCTCCACGCTGCCGGTGTCATCTACCGAGACCTGAAGCCCGAGAACATCCTCATCGCCGCCGACGGTCATATCGTCCTCACCGACTTTGGCCTCTCAAAAGAGTTCCCGCGCAGGAACGCCCCGCTCACCGCGCCGTCCACTCCCTCTGGGTTCCGGGGCGACTTCACTGCTGGCACGCCCACTGCTGCGACTCCGCACTGGATGAAGCATGAGGCAGGCAAGGACTGGGCGCCCCCCGCGCAGCTCGACACTACGTCGACGTTCTGCGGTACCGCGGAGTACCTTGCGCCGGAGGTCATCCAGGGCCAGCAGTACAGCTACGAGGTGGACTGGTGGAGCTTCGGCACGATGCTCTACGAGATGCTTACTGGGATCGTGAGTATGGGCGAATGTAGATGTGTTTGGATACTGACCGGGCTGCTTTGCAGACTCCGTTCTGGGCGAACAACCACTCCGACATGTACTACAGGGTCTTGCAGGATGAACTACAGTTCCCCGAGGATAGAACGATGGATCAGGACACCAAGAGTCTAGTCCGTGGTGTACGTGCTCCGGCGCCTAGTAGTAGATGTACGACTGACAGTCACTTTGAAGCTGCTGCAACGCAATCCTGCCTTGCGTATGAAGGAACCACGGATCAAGAAGCATCCCTACTTCTCGATGATGTCAGTACCTTCAACAGTCTTTCCCGATGATCTCGTTTCTGATGTGCAAATCCACCTACAGAGACTGGTCGCATGTGTATTATAAACGCTACATACGTACGCGCTTGACCACTTCTCAACTTGTCGCGTGATGCTGATCGTCCTTGACACTGACAGCCCCCTATATTCCGCCTATCGACCCATCCAACGCCAGTGATACCCAGAACTTCGACGATACCTTCCTGGACATGGAGCCTGTAATCAAAGACGACGAAGAGCAGATTGACACGGACCAGGAAGGTCAGACCGATGCTGAGCGCACTGACGGCGAGGATGGCGCAGTTACGCCGTCGCAATCTCGGAGTCCTTCGATCCACCCTGTGGAAGACGAGGTCGATGTGTTCGACGGATACTCGTTCAAGGGCAGACACTCTATCATCATGGATGAGGAGGATGAGGAGGAAGAGGAAGACGAGGAAGAAGAGGACGAGGAAGCGTCCGTCACTGGGCCAAGTATCGACAGCGTGCTTCTCGAGGAGCAGGCTTCTGAAGGAGTTGCTGTCGGTGCAGAGGTTGCAGATCAGACGGCAGTGGCAGTTGATGAGGCAGCCGAGCCCAAGACGCCGGAAGCGCGTCCCGCGGTGCTACCACAGGCTGCTGCACCTCCGAGTCCCTCCAGGGAACAGGCTGCCGCAGCTGCGAAGAAGACCGTATCTCGGCGCAGTCGCGAGGTGCAGATCTCGGAAGCCGCGAAAGCCGAGGCGGCCACCGCCGACGAGGCCAAGGCTGTGAAGGTTGCCGCTGCGAAGCGGCAGAGCGCACAGAGGCTGCGGGGACGCAGGGAGAAGTCCGGTATCCCGGCCTTGGACCGCGACCTGTCCGACGCACACGACGAGGACACGGAGCGCGAAGAGGACGACGACTGGGACTTCGTCGAGGCGGACGTCAATGTCGAGGAACGCAATGGTGCAAAGGGCACGAGTCTGTTTGCGCGTGGCGTCGTCGACAGGTATAAGCTCGCGGTGTTCCGCAAGTCGACGCCGCGCAGGTCGGGCGGGCCTCGGTCGTTCTCTGGCATTTCGATGGAATCCGAACTTGCCAGCCCGGAGGGTGCTTCACCGACGCCTTCAGACAAACAGCGACGGGGGCGCTCTGCGGGGCTTACCTTCCGCAAGCACCCTAGGCAGTTCCTGCGCCAGAGGTCACCGCAAGCGTCGTCGCGGTCGAGCCCGAGTGGCAAGACGCTCACTTCGTCGACCTCGGCAACGCTGTCGGCTGCCTCGACCAATTCGACCGGCGGGCTGTTGACCCCGTCAGCATCTGGTGGCAGTACGGAGCCCGGCACTCCGTCGTTAAGATCGAAGGAGTCCGCAATGTCTATGGGCTCCCCGAGCGATACGTCCGACCTCTCCATCGACGAAGTGAACCACCTAGGTGACCACACGATCCGGGGCAACGCTGCAGTGGACGAAGACAGACAAAAGAGCAAGGTCTTGAAGAAGTACAAGGAAGCAGGGGAGAAGGTCTTGTCCATCTTCCAGTCGCCCCGGTAACCTCGTCGGTGGGCGGTGTGTTCATACGAACGCTATCGAATCCTTCACATGCTGTGCTTGACGTTGCATCTCTTGCTGCTATGCATTTCACCTATTGCTATTATTCACCAACATTGTCTACGTTCCTTCACTTCTGCTTCCGTGCCCCTGGAAAGGACACATGGTGTTCATACGGATTCTATCGACCCACTCTCCTTATTGCGGTTATTTTGTGTTATTGTATCTTGGTATCCCCTCAGAAACGCAGCAAACTGTTCTCCATAGTATTTACGAGCACTGACCACCACGTATCGTCGCTAGACCATTCATTAATACAGACTGTCGATGATGGCTGAACTGGAACTGTCTGCGCTGACGTGCCTTTTGAGTGATAATTGTGCGTTTTTCGTCTGCGCAGAACGATGTCGACGAGGAGACAATGCACCTCCACTGTAAGCTGGTCTTATAGCCTTGTCAGACGGATGCGTACAATCATACTCGCTATTAGTGTTCGTCCATAAGTCAATAGGACAATGTAGGGTATGATAAATCGCGTATGCAGGAAGTCCAGTGGTGTAGGGAATGCTCATCGTACAGGTCATGACGTGCTAACGAAGGAAGAAATGAGTGTCCAAAAGCGTACTAAGTGAAGAACGTGGTACTAGAAAAGAATCTTGAAAATGTCAGCGTGTAACATAGTTCCAAGTCCTGACGTCCTCAGGTCCTGACAATCGCACGACGCCTATACAAGCACATCCGCCGAGTGCTCAGTAACCATACCCAGGCTGCGGGGGAGCCGCTCCCGGGGGCAGGGTCGACGAACGCGAGTACCTGTTCTGTGGCGGCGCCTGCGACGGCGGACGCCGGCCCTGTTGTCTTGAAACTCTCCGCACACCACCACCAGGAGCGGGTACAGGCCCGTTATCTGCCAGGCTGAATCCGCGGGCTGCTCTTGTCTGCGCATGCGCAGGCGTCTTCGGTGGAGGTGGAGGTGGTCCCGACTGCTCGGACTCGCTCGGACTGTAAGACTGAGCAGGTTCGTCGACGAACCCTCCACCCGCCTGGTAGCCATACGGGTTGAAGACCTCGCCTGAGTACGCATTGGCTGCAGGGGCTTGCCGAAGAGTCGCGCCGCTTGCAGTAGCTGTACGCACTACACGTTCCTGGAATGCACCACCCTGTTGTGGATACGATTGTGTGGGGTATTGCGATGTCGGCTCTTGCACGAACGACTGTTGTTGCGCATAGGTCGGCTGTTGGTGAGACTCAGATTGATAGGGTGAATCATAATCATCCTGGTAGTCGTTGTTCGGAGACGGACTGGAGACTAGCTTGTGGGACGATCCCAGTTCTGACGTGTTCTCGTCCGTGCTCGAGCGCGACATGCCAGAGGTTGATACGGATGGTGTGGTGGCGGGAAGATGAGGTTGTCTGCTGTTGACAGCCAGAGGGGCGGGCAGCATGAGGAGTTGGTTGCTGTCTTTCCTGGGTCGTGAAGGAGGCATATTCGACGACTCGTACGTCTCTGAATCGTATTGCTGATTGTATTGCGGGTCAGCCATAGAAGACATTGATGGCCGTCGACTGTCGCCTCTGCAGACCAACACGTTAGATACTGAGCGCATTGGTCCCCGCAAAAACTCACCTCTTCGGCGAATACGAGCGGTAGTCGAATACCGTGGAGTCCCTCGACTGAGTCCCACTCTTCCATCGCCTTTCACGCTCAAACTCGGCCCATCGTTTCATGACGATATGGGTCGAGTCAAACTCGCCCTCCTTGTCACCGTGGTTGCCGCCAGCCTTGTCGCCAGCGACCTGCCTCGTCTGACCCCAGGAGAAGTCATCAAAGTGCCAGTATGCGTACGCCGGTAGGACACCGTTCCAGATGGGCAAGGAGAAGAGGTAGATGACCATCCAGCCCACGTATGCCAGCTTGAACGATGTGATGACGATCAGAATACCGGGTAGACCGAGGATAATGCCGAGGAGGACCAGAGGGATCGTGGTACTAGACGAGTGCGGGATGATCGTGTCGATGATGACGTAGAGCGTGAAGGAGATGGCAGCGGGGAGGACTAGCGTTCCGACAAGCTCCATACCAACGACGAACTGCATAGAGAAGCAGAAGGTACCGCACATGTCCCGAACGAGTATCAGTTCCGCAAGGTTGTGCACAGTCGAGTTGATCCAACGACGACGCTGAGACAGGAGGATCATGAAGGTATCGGGGACAATGGTCTTGCATACCGCCGAGGCACAGAAGATGTTCTTGCGCTTCGGGAACGTCTTCAGAAGCAGAGTGGTCAGATATCGATCCTCTCCGAGCAGCAGCAGGTTCTTCTTGTGCAAGGTGTCGACGATGTTCTCCGAGTAGTGCTCCACGATGTCCGGGTTAGCCAAGATAGGCACCCAGTAGCCAGAATCGCCCTTCGGTGCCTTGATGCGATACATACTGAAGCAACCCGGCAAACACGTAACACTACCAAACGTAGATTCGAACGCTTTCGTCATGTGGTGCGAAATGAAGTATTCGAAGACTACAAGCAAGGTTCAGTTAAACACCTATTGAGCTTTGAAGAACGCACCTTGTATCATCGTAACCCAGGAATCAGTCTTGTTGGCGATCTTGGTCTCGCCACAGATGCCCATGACCTCGTAATCCTGGACCATACACGCCACCATGCGACTGACGGAATCCGGGAAGACCTTTGTGTCCGCATCGACGCAAAGCACCATCTCGTACCGGTCCGGGCTGACCCCGGTGCAACGCCAGATCGAGTTGAAGAACTCGTACTCGAACGTCGTCATGCGCTCGTCGAACATGACCTTTTGCAGGAACGCCATGAGCACGATCTGCGAGTCGCGCTTGCCACGGTTGCCCGGCTTGCCGTCGTTCGCCTCGAGCGGGTTGCCGACCTTTGCGACGAGAATCATCGGGACGCGCTGCTGCTTGCTCCGCTCGATCGTCGCGTCATCGTAGTCGTAGAAGCCCGCGTAGACCTTGGCCATGTTATGTCGCTTGTGACCGTCGGCGATGGCGACGTATGAGTGTGCCTCGACATCCTCCGGAGCGATGATAAAGTCCTTCATCATCGACAGACAGATCTCTGGCGTCGTCATCGTGTTCCCGGCACCCTTGACCATACCGTCGGCGATGACTAGCATGAGCTTGTGGCTGTTCGGGTAGTCCGTCGTCGCAAGGGAATCCAGCGTTGTCCTCAACCCCTCCGTCGACTCGGAGTAAGCCGTCACCAGACAGATGGTATGTGCGAGGGGGAAGTGGAACGGCTCGTAGTCCGGAGGCGGCTGCGGCACGACGTTGTGCAGCGGGAACGGGCAGGGATTCTCAGGGAAAAGCGCATGCGTCCCTTCCGCCGCGAGTGACACGGAGCTCCTCGAGTGGCGATACCCAGGCGTGTCCGGAGGTGTGAGCTTGGTCGTGCTCCTGCCTCCGTACAAGCTCATGGTGGCCGCAGCCTTCTTGTGGGGAACGGGCTCGAGTATGCCGTACGCAGCCGAGGTACGACTACCAAGGACACCAGGCTTCAGCGCCGTCTCCGCGGGCGTGAAACGCGAAGTGCTCGGCAGGAACGTCTTCCTCTTCGCGCCCTTCGCGCCCTTCGCGACGCCATTCTTGTGCACGTTCGGACGGTACTCGGCGGGAGCAGGCTTGTAGATGTCGTTCGTCCAGTTCTCGATCTCGAGCATGCGCTGCCGGCGCTGCTGGTGGGTCTCGTTGTTGTAATTCCCGACCTTGGCGGAGATGAACCAGAAGAAGAACAGCGCGATGGCGAAGCGGATGCCCACGACTCCAATAATGAAGACCAACGAGACGTAGAGCACGATCTGCGAAGCGACACAGCCGATCGTGTTGGTGTCGATGAAGCCTACCTGAATGATCTGCTGGAGGCACAGCGCGAGGTCTTTCTGGTCCGTGCGCATGAAGTACATCGACAGATCTTTGCCGTTATACGTGCCATTGCCCTTCTTGAACTCATCGAAGACAGAGGGGTAGCTGACCTCGGATGTATCGAGCCATTGAAGCAAATCAAAATCGAGGACAGCGCTATTGACGGCCGTCAGCATGTGCATAAACTTTGTTTTGATTCTTACTCACGATTCCCAGACAACGAGATTGCGTGAGCCATCTGCGACTTGGTCCCAAGTAAAGTAGACCTGGCCCAATGGCTTCATGCTGGAGAGCTGGCTACGTGCCGATGAAGCCGTGTGACACGTCGTGTCCGAGCCATAGTTCGTCGAGTTGACTGGCAAGCCGCTGTTCTGGCCGTGAACGTTGCACGGGAAGTACCACTCCGGATCGCTGGTACTACCACTAATCGACGATCCGCTCGCCTTCGTGATGTAGTTCGAGCAGTGGCCGCCGGTATTCTGGAACATGAACGAGATGTCGTTGCCTGCCGCTTTCCATCCTCCGACATATAGCGGGTTCGTCTTCCCATCGAAGTTGCCAACCGCAGGATGATTGAAGTTCGAGAAATCGTAGTCGTAGCCATGGACGATCACCGAAGCGTTCTCCACTGAGCCTGACTGGTACCGGTTGTTCGGTGTACCGCAGACGGTACGCGTGAACCCGAACGTGATGAAACCTACAACCGCCATCAACGCGAGGATGATCCCTAGTAGACCCATCTTCTCTCGCCATGCTCTGATTTGTTCCGGAGTGCGGATGCCTGCGGGGTCTTAGTGAGATGCAGTTTTTGAACGGTGGGGGCACGACATACCGAACAATCGAAGCAGTGGTGGAGGTACTAGGCAGGTAAGAATAAAGCAATACATGAACCATGGGCCCTTCGGACCAGGACCCAGTCTATCCATGCAACTCCTCTTGGGTGTGGCATCCGCTGGTGCTGGTGCCTTCTTGCGACGCAATGTCTGGCCCCGCTTGAAGAGAGCAAGACCGGACTCGTGAACGTCCTCGTCTCGTGCAAGGAGAGATTTGCCTCGCCGTAGGTTGCCTCTTTGCGGGATGTTTCCCGTTGCTACGTAGAGAAAATCAAAGACGACAGTCGATCGCACCATCCAGAGACCGGAGTAGCCCAAGGAGAGCAAGACACCATCGCGGAGCAAGCGTTTGAACCGAATGCAAGGACGAGGATAACGTCAGCGTCAATCGCCACGCATCCCGAGGTCGGTTTCAAGGCGGTCGCGACAAAGGCAGAAGCCAAAAAGATATAGCCGGAGTCGAATAGAAGTGATGAAGCAGATACAGTCAGCGACGGCGGAGCTGTATATGAGGACGACACGCACTCGACGGGATAGCATTCCCCCCTCCCTCATCCTCCATCTGTTGTGCATGATTCCTGTAATGCCACAACCGATGTCCGGGCTCGATCTTCTCTCTGTCCGGCCTCACCAAGCTCTTCTTCCGACCTACTCCGCTGGCACCCACGCCCGCCATCCCGTCCTCCATGAAAGCAGCGTCGCTAGGCGACTCTGGCGACTGGAGCTGGTTGTTGTTGTAGGCGGTGTGAGCGCGGGTGCGGGCCTGGTCGATGGGGTTGCGACGGTCGCCGCTCTCCTTGCCCTGGAAAGACACACCGGTGTAAGAGTCGATGGTAGGCATCGGGGGCGGACGGTTGCCGTAGTGGGTGCCATACGGGACGTTGGGGGGCTCATAGTCGGCCGGCGGGGACTGAGCGTTGGGCGGACGGGCTGAACGCGGAGGACGTTGTCCGCGGTGGTCCATGGTGGTGGATGGAGGACGGCGGGCGGTCAGCGCATGCAAGGCGGGCAGGGCGAGCGAGTGAATGCAGGTGTGAGGTAGAACGTGAGAGCACCGCGAAGAAGGCCAACGCCCCGTAAATGCGTGCTTACTTACTCACGCATATTTTAACTCCTAGCTATTCTAGGCAGTCCGGGCGCCTTCCTCCTGATACGCTACAAATCCCCAAATGCTTATTTACTGACAGCATAAACGCTGTGCCTCGAGTTCCTCGGTCGACAAAAAGAGCTACCCCATGACGAATGTCCCCACGAACATAAGTTATCTGTGTCGAGTTCAACTCCCATCCGAAGACCCGGCAACGCGCTTTCCCTGCTTTTGAGACTTTCCGGCGAACGTGTACTCTGAAGATACTTTTAGACATGGCATCGCATTTCGCTGGCTCACGAGTCGTTTTGAAACGTTCGCATGGCGGCAACGTTTGCCCATAGCCACTTACAGGCGTTTTGACAAAAGGTTTGACTCGATTTCCGACTTGGGCGAGTTACTCACCTTCGATGCCAGTGCGGCCTGGGGCCAAATCAGCCTCCCCTAGGCAGACCCTAAAGAAGGTGAGTGCAAACGCGTGCGAGCAAGCGAGCTGACTGTGGGCAAAGGACGCGACGACGTGCAGCACAACACACGCGCCGACCGCGAGCGCACGGCTACTGTGTGCAAACACCGCCCGCGGCGGCGGGCGAACCTTGGCCACGCCGCTACCGGCGCGATGGCAGGCGAGCAGGTGGTCAGTGGACGGACAAGGCACGCGGACGGGTGAGTAGCTAATTGGATGGGCAGGAGAATGGGCAGACGGGTAGGCGACAGCACATATAATATCAGTCTTAGATGGAGGAAAAACTGAGGAGGCAGAACAGCTGGAGGCGCGAGGCCATGAGGCCGACTCCCGAAGGGAACAGGCCGAATGGCTCAAGTATGAGTCACAATTGCTACTAGTACTCAGAGTTCTGTTTGCAGCGAGGGCAACGATTGGTATCTTGAATAAGACTTGCAAACCCATCACTTCACGGCTGAATGGCCTTTGAATTCTGCACTACCTACTGACACATGATACTGCGATGAACTCCAGTCCGTAGCGGAGCACGGGCATACTGCTGGTTGTCAGTACAAGACTAGGTCGCATCCTCATCTGCTACCTGCGAGATAATCTCAACAATCCGAGTAAACCAGCCACTGATGAGACCATAGCTCGTATGGCGTGCGTCCCACTTGAACTGAAGGTTCAGCCTGTCGTCGAATGTATACAACAGGAAGTTCGCGACCTGCGGGTCGACCTTCCCTGCCAAAATCTGGTCCAGGATGCGGATCTCCGCGCTGTGACTCGCCGTCCCGTTCGTAGTACCGTCTGCATGAGCTTTCTGGATAGGATAGCGGATAGGCAGGACGTTCTTGAGGTTGCCCATGCTGCTCATGTATGGTACGATGGGCCTGCCGGCCTTTTGAGCCATGTAGTTTTCGATGGCGATCGCACCATAGAAGCGAGAGAAGTGCCAGAAGTAGGGCGAGTTCACGAATGTGTCGCTTCGCTCCTTGTATTGTCGCGCTGCGTCCCAGAACGCGTCACTTCCGGCGGACTCCAATGCAGCAGCGCGGGGGACGGATATCACAACGGGGTACATCAGGAGGCGGGTGGCCGTCTCCATCTCTCCGTTGCTCGTCACGCGGGGTATCTTGGTGTTCGTGTCCAATGCCGAGGAAAACTCGAAGTAGTAGGAGTCTTCGTCGCTGGAACCCTCATTCAAGTGTGCTGCTCCGGGGCGCTGTACGGAGGCGAAGGCGCCGGCGACGCTCGCAAGATGGGTAATCGTGACGCCCTGCGCCTTGCAGGCCTTCAGGATGCGTGTAGTGTCGTCCACCGACCACGTCTGACGCACGAAATGGGGTTGGGAGTTGTCCTCCGAGATGTGGCCGTCAGGGACAATGCCGGACAGCGGCTGGCGAAGCTTGTTAGCATGGTGTAGCATAAGGGTCCGTAGAAGCTCACCTTGCTCCTGAACTTGACGAGATCATCGAACGCAGCCTTCGCTTTCGCGAGTTCGCTCGGGGCGGTGTCGCTCATGTCAGGGTAGATATCGCCCAAGGACGGGGGGATCCCGACAATCGGCGTCTTCCCAGCGAAGTGCGCCGCGAGCTCACGCTGCGCGCGCCCAGGGGTGGCGAGCAGCTCCAGCATGCAGCGAACGAGGTTCAACCGGCACCGGCCGTCGGTGATGAAGTGTGGCGTCATGAAGCCCAGAATGTACTTCCCAGAGCGCGGATCAATGTCGCGCCCCCAGTAGAGGGAGCATGTCCCGTTACGCAGATCGAGCGCATCCTCGGGCTTCACGGAGAACCAGTGATCGTGGAGGGCTGACGTGGATGTGCCCTGGTCATGGAACGCGTGAAACTCGATCTGAGCTCTAGCCTCGCGAAGGGCGTGCGCCTGAGTAAGGGGGGAGGTGTATACGAGCTCCGGGAGCTGCGTGGTGCTGTACACGACCTTGGACGCGAGAAGGGGGTGACGCAGGCGGAGTGCGGCACAGGCCTGCACGACTTCGTCGTCGGTGATGGTGTGTTCACCAGAGCAGGCAAGAGGAACGATGGAGAACGAGTCGGTGTATCCGCGCGGGCCACGGACGAGGATATAACCCAGTTCGTCGATCCCCACTGGCCTGCTGAAGGTCGTCGTGGATTCACGGAGGTGTACGTACGGGGGCTTTCCGTCGGCGGGGAACAGCGATTGTAGTCGAGTGGATTCCTCGGGAGCTGAAGCCATTGCTGCAGGTGCGCGTGCTTGTGGGGGAAGCAGAGTCAAAGCTGAATGGAAGGCGGTCTTATAGCGAGAGCCTGACAGCGCATTCCGGGTGTTCATCATATCGCATCCTCGGGCATACAACAAACCGATCTTGAACGCGCGCTTCTTTCTATGATAGCAGGAATATCAGACCTCCCAGGAAGTGTCCACCTATGTAATCTCACATACCTCAACCTCCGGAAACTGGTATAAAGCGGCGATAGGCCATTGATACCATCTACCTATTCCGCAGGCTTTCATATAACCTTATCCTACAGTGAGGACACAACATGCAAAGCCTTGAGCGGCTAACCTGTTTTGCGAGGATGGTTCACGCGTAGCTTGAAACTACGGATATCGATTTAGCTTCATGAAACGGTCGCATCTCTACGTACGTGTCTTGCGATGCGGCAGGCTGATGAGGAATGGTAGATCGAGTCGTCCGGAAGGTTGATTGAAGGGTAATGACCGCGCGCATCTCGCTACCCAGCTCGGGATGATATACACTATCAGGAAGCCTGCAGATGCGAAAATAGCGGCATACAGCGGCGAGGATGAGACGAAGAACGTACAATCGTGGGGCCGCGAGGCATTCAGATCCACCCGCGTTTACTCCAGAGACCTCTGGGTTATACATCGCTGTAGTGAGAGTAAGCCGGCAGTGCGCTGCTGAACTCGCACTGCCAGTGCTTGAGCTAAGACAAGCCAGGTACTCTCACAGTGATGCATTCGGCTTCGAGGCAGCGCTAGTCTATTTGATGATCGACTGTTTGAGTTTGAGTTCGAGAAGCCTTGCTATATAGATAAGTCACAGTTCTTTATCCGCCAGCCATCGCTTCGTCACAACAGGGACTCTGCGGGCTTATCGTAGGGAACCTGGGAAGGTATCAGGAAACTTTAATCGACAGCCTTCCGTCGAGAGACAACGGCACGCACCATATGCTCAGCACCATACTTTGTAGCGAACGTCAGAGAACCTGCACTCCTCGTCAGACCAGCGGCGGTACCGTCAACTTGAACTGTCCACTCCTTCAGCGGTTCCTTGACGAATGCCTCTTGCCCCGTCCACTGCAGATCATGCAGCATGCGATCGTTGCCGACCCGCAATAGACACGCCCGCTCGTACAAGATCATGGACCCAAGGACCAATTCCCGGAGTTTGAATGAGACAAACGAGGAGCAACCGAGGTGGTCCGCGTCAACTTGTCTAACCAGGAAGTTTGCAATCTCCGTATGAGCTGTCTCACTTCTCGGATCCGAAGGATATTGTTCCCTGCCCTCGACCGTGTCGCTGTCCGATATGCAGCATGCTCCGTCGGGCACGAGCTTCATTGCCAGTCCCCGTTCATCCAAAAGTATCTAGACGAGCTCGGGATTCGACGTGGACATGAAGGTGCAGCCCACCGTTGTCTCGTGTGCGTGCCCCTCTGTTCCCGGAGTTGGAGGGAATCTTCCTTCCTTCCGCCGCACTGCATGGAGCAGGCTCAGTTTCTGCGGTTTATCAGGAGATGTCTGTAGTGGGATCCAGCGATGCGCGCTAAGGCGACTGAGCTGTGCCAAGACCCATGTTCCTGCTTCGTGTTTGCGAAGTCGAAGTCGGAGGAGAGGTCTGTAACCTCACGGATCTCGTCTGTCTCGCTCACCTCTTAATCATTGACGGACAATAAATTTCGTCAGACAGCATGATTCCATGTTAACAACCCCACGTAAACCACGCCAGGACCATACAATGTCGACAGCGTACGTGATTCGTGACATGGACAACTAGCAACCTCTCCGGCGACATGCACAGCTTCAGTGCATTTTTCGGACGCCGCATCTCCATGTTCCTCGTGAAGGACTCGGGTTCGTATCGATAGGACGATTGCATGATATGGGCCCAGCAGGGCCTGAAGTGGACGCGGACACCGACCCACGGCGTAGAAGACTCGACTACGACCGCTCACATAGGCTTCGCGGGTAGCTGGGTAAGGAGGATGCCGTAGCGCTTTTTGATAGTCACCCGATGGCGTGAAAACTTGTCATCGGGCGAGAATCGTGCTGGAGGAGCACGACCTCAGTCTGCAGTCGAGGGCGAAGGGGGAGACACCAACCTGGATGTGCGGACTTGGTGATCTTGCCAGAGTCCGTGATTTTCTACGCAAGAGTTCAAGCACAGAAGACATGTGATGGAGAAAGCAGACATACCTTCAAAGTGTAGATCCTGCCGCCATTGTCATCGAGCGTGTACATGAGATGCATGGTGGTCGTCGGAGGCCAAAGGTGGGCGCTTCGTCAAAATTGCCGTGGTGGAAAATGAGCCAACCCCGATATGGAGATGTATGGCGGAAATTAAATCGGATTGGTAAAATATGGATCCGTGTAGGTCCACCGCGCCGAAGCCCGGAGCGGGGAGACCAAGCCAGGAGCACGCCTCAACTGCCCTGTTGGTCTCCGTCTCCATCGTCGACGAATCGTACCTACCGGTCGACCTCGCAGTGTCCCGTGCGTCGCATCTACCACCTCAGGTGCAATGCGAGCGTTGTACGCAGAGTGGGCGATTGCCGGGAGGGTGAGTCAGGCCGGCGTTTCGGACTGGCGAGGACATTACGGGCAGCTGCTGACCCGCACGGCGCGCGCATCCGCCTGCACCCGCTCAATCATGGCGAGGTGACAAACGCCCAGCCACGCCCGCCCAACGTTCCCCTCCTTATATCTCCCGCCCCGCCTGCGCCCAACGCAGTCCGCTCCATCCAGCCTAGCCTCCTGATCACGCCGCACAACCGCCGCAGGGATGGTCAAGACTACCAAAATAATCACGGCCCCCGCACCCGAGACCGAGATAGGTCCGGTGCGAAACTACACGGAGGAGCAGCAGGCCATGATCAGGGCGTTGCGCGAGGTCCGTCCTCCGTCCGTCCTCCTGCTCTCACCCACTCACTGCCGTTCGCACCCACAGTATGCCGATACGCTCCTCCTCCCCGAATCCGACCCGTATCACGAGTGGGAGCTTCGGTGGCTGAACAAGTGGGACACTATCCCGCGCTACATGCGTGCCGCGAAGTGGAACTTTGAGGACGGCAAGAAGCGCATCAAGGGCACGCTCGAGTGGCGGCGCGAGTTCAAGCCGGACCTTATACCCCCCGATGAGGTTCAGATTGAGGCGGAAACTGGCAAGATGTCAGTACTCCTTCCAATTACCACCCTTCCATCCGCGAGCTCAAGTTTTTGTGACTGCCCAGTACCCTCAATGGCTTCGACAACCAAGGGCGGCCCATCATCTACATGCGCCCGGGGCTCGAGAACACCGAAACATCGCCGCGACAGCTACGGCACCTTGTCTGGTGGCTTGAGCGCGCAAAGGACATGATGCCCCTAGGGCAAGACTCGCTCGTCATCATCGTCGACTACAAGTCGACCACGCTCCGGACGAACCCGTCTATCAGCATCGCGCGCAAGGTGCTCACGATCCTCCAGCAGCACTACGTCGAGACGCTCGGCCGCGCGCTCGTCGTCAACCTCCCCATGCTCCTCAACTTCTTCTATAAGGGCATCAGCCCGTTCCTCGACCCCGTCACGCGCGACAAGATGCGCTTTAACCCGGACCTGACCGAGCTCATACCGCCCTCGCAGCTCGACGCGGACTTTGGGGGAGACTACGAGTGGGAGTTTGAGCCGAAGAGCTATTGGGAGCAGATCGTCGAGTGAGTTGTCATTCCATTCGTGAGAACCACTCAGTCTGACTGTAGTTCATTGTCAGGCATTGTGGAATTGCCCCCGATGGTACCCGTGTGAACAAGGAAGTTGACCCAGCACGAGAAACAGACGAGGTAGAAGACAAGCTCGCAGACCTGCAAATAGAAACGTCTGACGCAAGTGATACGACGCCCGAACCGGAACAGCGCTCACATACAGTGGAGGACGATGGTATCCTGTACGTCACGTCTGACGGAACAATGCGCCGCTTTGGCTCACATCCTGACAGACAGCGAGAGGACGACGCCAAAGCCATTTCAGAGATCGCAGCTGCAGCATAATGACATCGCATTACTCACCGCACCTCACTCGCCCATGCTGGCTAACACACTTGCAGTCGTCCCGTATCCAGATGACAACCCGATGTATCATAGATGCTACAATCTATCATATACTCACCTAACGTATTAGATACTGTCTCACCCTGCACTTCTTGTTCAATCGAGTCTGTGTATCCTGCTCGCCGGCAGGCATAACTAAACTGCAAGACGTCATTATAGCCTACATCACCACATCATGGAAGAGATAGAACAATAAGGAGAGAGAGAGAGCGGACTATGCGAGGGAAGGAGATGGTGCTCGAGGGGTCGTCTGAACCAGGGTACGTAGGATGAAAGGATAGGGAGCAGCAGGGCCTGACGACAAACCGATGTAAGTATATGCGGGGGTATTTATCAATGAGGATGCAGAATAAGATATGTCTCAAAGTAACAAGAGGGAGAGCGTAAATACACCGCCTGCCACTCTAGTAGTGGCAGTGGTCAGACGAAGAGCAAAGAGCGTGAGTCTTGTGGCATGCGGGAAGAGAAAGGGAGGATGTCGATATCTTACGAAGGAGCGAGGGATGTTTAATGTAGACACCTGAACGACAAATGGTGAATCCGGAGACCGTATGAAACCCGCGGTCGGTGATCTAGTAGCCCGATAAGGGTCATCGTCCGCTCTGCAGCCAGGATGCGAGGCAACCCAAGGGATGACGAGTGAAGAAGCATAAACGATGGAAGTCAACGCACGCGCTATGCAGGTTTTGAGCCCGCCTTCCAACTCGACGGCGGCAGGGGCGGCACCTGCTCCCGCTTCGCGCTGCTCACAGGTCCCGGCGGGCCCGTCCTCGTCCTCGGGCGTGGCCCGGGGCGCTGCGGCACGCTGCCAGTCTGGACGCTGTTGGAGCTTGCAGACCGCGGAGGCATGCCCGGCTGCTGCGAGCCATACGTCGGCCCGCGGAACATCGACGTGCGCTCGCCCGCGGACGGGTCGCCGTACGCGCTGCGTGAGCCCCAGCCCTGGCCCCGCGTGTTCGTGCCGAGCTCGCTCCCTGCGACGCTCCCCGCGTACATCGACTGTGCGCTCGACGGGAAGCCGCCCATCATCCCTGGCCACGGCATGTTCATGTTCCCCATTGGGCTCATCCCAGGCATGCCCATGCCATACCCCATCGGTGTCATGGGCGCAGACCCGACGCCGAACGTGCTTGCGCGCCCGCCGCCGCCATTGAGCATGCTCGTCGCCGCGGTGGAGCCGCGCTCCCATTCTTCTTCGGCGGCCGCCATCGCCTGCTGCACGACTGCCATCTGGTATGCGTGCTTCGCGAACATCATGGCTTGCTGGTGGGCCGCGAGGAACGACGGGTCTGCGTTTGGCGGGACGGGCGTGAACATGAACTGCTGTGGGTTCATCATGGGAGCCTGTGGATTTGACCAGGGCATCGGAGAGGAGAGCGTGTTCATGTTCATGGGGCCTGTCGGTGGTACGCCCATCATGTTGTTCATCATGCTCATCCGCGGAGGCATGTTGTCCATCGGACGATCGTCATCGTCATCATGGTCAGTAGGAGGCCGACCATTGACGATTTTCCCGAGCTATACATGCATGTCAGCAAAGGCAAACAGCGCCCAGTGGTACCGAACTCACCTCTAAAGCCGCCATCGCTTCACTTCTTCTCCGCTGCCTCCTCCTATTCTCAGCTGTAGTCGTATCCTCAACGCTCTCCTCCTTCTTCTCCTCGCGATTACGATCACGATCACGGTCAGCGCGGCCCCTCTGGGCCTCCACCTCCGCGAACGTCAGACTGGAGCTCTTGCGATGCCCTCTCCGTACCGCCGCCGCACTCGCCCCAGGGCCTGCACCCTGCGCCCTCTCCTTCTCCCTCGCACGCTCCCGCGAGAAACTCAGTTCGCTCCCATCCTGAGGCGTAATTGGCGTCCGACCGCTGCTCGACTCGCCGGTCGAGCTCGCGGGGCTATATCCGCGTACACCACCCGCAAACGGCCTCACAGGCGGCATATTGACCAGTGTGCTTGGACTCGCGAGTCCTGAGCCATCCCTCTGTGTCTCTATCGTCCGTGCCCGTGCGCGCTGCTGGGCGCTTGTCGTCGCAGGTGGGATTGCCGACCTGGGAGCCGACGCGGATGCAGACGTAGACGCACTCGTCTGGGAGGACTCCGACGATGTCGACACGGGCAGGTTCACGACCTGGCGCGGGCGCACAGGCTTCGGCGCGGCGGTCATGGTCGCGGTCGCGGTCGGCTCCTTGATCGTCTGCAGCGTCGGCATCTGCTCCATCGTTTGCGAGCGACGACGGGCGCGCGACGGGGCGGTGGAATTTGATGACGCGGATGCGGGCGAGGCACGGCCTGTATCTGTGGCGACCGCGGGGCCTGCGAGCAGGCCTCCGCCCGTGAACCCTTTCGAGGACGACAGGATGTGGTCGGGGATGAGGGGCTGTTGGCGCATGGAAGGGGAGGAGTTCGTCCGCGATTCTGATCGAGGTCGCGACTCTGGGCGAGGTAGTGAATCTGTTGGGGACCGAAGCTCGGTGGGAGATTGTGTCTGCGGCTGGTTTGTGATGGTGGCTGGTGAGGGTGTGCGCGCTGCCATGAGCCTGGCTTGTGCAGTCGTGAGCGGAGGGCTAGTAGACTGTCCAGGAGGCGACAGTTCGGTTCGCGTTGCACCGAAGTGGACGTGCGAAGCTAGGCTCATCTGCGATGCTGGACGCGATGTGACGCTAAACGCAGGAGGTGGAGAGCGTTCACGGATGTGGGTAGGGACGATGGGCTTTAGATCCGAGAAATCCTGGTAACCAGTGCTCTCAAACGTATTCGAGGCGGAATACGACCGGCCGTTCGGCTTAGTCTTGGTGGGGGAGCTCGAAGGCATGGGGACCGTAGAGGTGGGCGATAACTCCGTCACGATAGCTTCGACTGGCAAAGTCTGGCTGCGCTTGGGCTGTGTCGGAGGACCTGGTGAGCGTCCGCGGTCAGTAGTAGCCTTCTCCGCCTCGTCAGGGCTGACAAGTGTATTTGAACGGCCGTTAGAGACGCTCGCCGCTAGTCGCGCTAGACGGTCATTGAGACTCGGTTTCGCGTTAGCAGGCGACGGGGACGCCTTCTCCCTCTCCGGTTCCTTTGGTGTCTCCTGCACTTCGGTGACCGTGACGTTCTCCTTGTCGCCTTCCTTGTCCTTCGCCTTCTCCGCCTCCGTGACCTTCACCTTCTCCGCTTCCTTGTCCTTCGCTTCCTGCGAGGCAGTCCTCGGCATTAGCAAGGGTGTCTTGTCGGTTACCAAAGGCGGAAGACTCGGCGGGGCAAGTCCAGAGATGTCGATGAGGGGTTTCGGGAGCATGCGCGCGCGAGACACGTTCGTCGCCGCCGTGGCAGTGGACGTCCCGCTTCCCGTCCGCCTGTGCCCCAGGAGCTTGCTCGCGAGCGGCGCATCGTCAGAATCCGTGTCAGAATCCGAATCGGACGACGTCGAGTCGCTGTCACTGTCAACCACCTTCTGCGGCTTCTTGTGCGCTACGCCTGCATCCGGACGCGGACATAGCAAATTGGCGAATCATGAGATCGAGCGAGAACCTGATTAAGTGAAAGCACTGACCACCACTGTTCGCGTTCTGCGCTGCGAACATCGTAGAAGCGCGCTGAGCCGCCGCATTTGGCATAAGCGCAGATGTCGACTGTGACGCGCGTGCGCGGCTGTATAGACTGCCGCGGTCACTCGCGTTGCTTTGAGCGGAAGGCGATGCCCTCATTCGAGGTGGCGTTGGCTTCGCGCGATGGCCTAGCTCGGACGAGCCCTTGCCCACCGAGCGTGGGGTGATTGTGCCAGTTGGCCCATGACGTTTCGGACGCAGCGTAGACGAGCCCGCGGATACATCATCGTCCCCTTCCGAGTCTGACTCTGATGAGGTCGAGTCGGAGGCTGGTGATGTCGGCTTGGAGAGACGGAAGGAAGGCGGTGGTGGCGGTGGTGGTGATGGCGATGCCATACCCTGCGTGAACGACGACGGTGGACGCAGGAATGGTGATCCATCTCCTCGGAGGTCGACAGAGGATGGCGAGGGAGAGTTTGCAGCACTGCGCCGTGCTGCCATCTCTCGGAAAGCTGCCACAGATATTCGTTGTGAGGAATCCTGGGAAGCCACACTGTTCCCTCTCGGCCGGACGGGCGGAGTGAGACCTGAGGTAGAAAGTGATGATGGCGGGCGTGGGGGGATATCCGTGGGACTTGGCGAGACGGGGCGAACATGCCTGAACGACTTCAAGTTAAAGGACTCATCTGGGCTTATGGGCGAAGCATCCGGCGGAGATGGCTTCGACTTTTTGCGCTCGCGATGCGCCCAGGCGAACATCCCTTTCGGTTTCTTCGCGTTGGGCGCCGACGACGTCCGACTTGCATTGTCCAAGTCCTGCCGGGAGCTCCCAGGCTCGCTGCCTGTGGTCGTGGGTAATGATCGTGTCGACAGTGCACCGTACGAGGCAAACAGATCTGACCGAGAAGGTGGAGGGCTTAGTGAATCGTGGCCCGACTCAGACTTGGAGCTGGGGAAGCGAGGCTTCGGGAGGCCGGAGGGTGGAGGGCGTAAATACCCATTGTCATCGGTCTGGTGGGATGCCTTGCTCTTTTTGGCACCGAAGCCCAGCATGAGTTTGCTCGACGATGCGCTGCTAGGTCCGCCGTAGACAGCGTGGCCGTTGCGGTTGGATGGCTGCGCAGAGGTGGAGGCGAAGTCGGCGTTGACCGACTGGGTGTCGGAGACAGACGCGTCGATGCTGGCCTTGGCTTCGCTGGAAGCGTCCGGGGGAGGCTTGTGCTTGTCGCGTCTGGAGAAGAGGCCGAAGACGGCCATGGTGGGGATAGAAAAGCAGGAGAGAGCCCGCTGCGAGCGTGGGTGGGGGCCCCGTAGCTGAGGCTGCAGACAGAGTCCGCGGACGCGCAGATGCAAGTCGGAGTCGCGATGACCGCTTTGTGTCGCTGTGTTTGGCTGCGTGCCCCCCGAGCCGAGGCCTGTCTCCGCCCTCCCCTCCTCGTCCTTTGCTCTCGGCTTGCTGCTCACCATGTGCTGCTCGTCGTCGCCACACACGCTCGCTACCGGCCAGCGCACGTCTCGTCCGCGTTGGTCCGTCGCGCCCAGTAGACAGCGCTCGACCCAACTCGCTGCGGTACGCACGTTCATACATATAGCGGCGAATTCACCCCGGAAGCTGCTCTCTTTCCCTCTTGGCTTCCCAGGACCGCCCATTTTAGAGTTGGGCCACAATCCACGCCGTCCGTGCGACAGGCCCGTAGCCTCATATGAGACATGATGCCGCCACAGTTCTCACTCATGCAAGGATTCTCTTCGGGTTCTTTCCTGTTCGCTACACGTTGCAATCCTCGAGGTCACCATCACCCGTTCGTCTCCTATCGTACTGCATCCACGCGGTCACTTCTCCGCTTGGGCAATGCTATACAAGGCTTGCGCTGCGCGACGCAATGGTTCGACATCAGCCAACGCAATTCGGAGACATGGTCCTCTCTTCAGCGCTTCGACTGAAGGCCCATGTTCATCGCAAGTCCATCGTGTCGTACAGCAAGGCCGAATCGAGTTGCAACTTGGAGCGGCATAGCGACCGCTTCGATCACGGCGCACGCCGTCTCGCCCCTCCGCAAGTAGAAGCCGAACGTCTTATGAACCTTGCCGTGCTATAAGTAGGACCGGTGTGTCCGCCATCTCCTGCTTCCCCCTCTGATACGCTCTTGGCCTGCGAAATCCGCTGCGATTATGATCTTTTTGCTGCCCGGAAGCTCACCCTGTCTGGCGTTCCATATGCTCCTGCTCTGCACGCCGTAATCGACGGATCCTTCACGCCCCGGCGGTGCACGAACGAAGGCTCCGCCCGACTGGTACCTGCGCTGCCTGTTAGCGTCTTGCTCGATCCGATGTGCCGAGCGCTCCAGGGTCTCTGTCAAGTCCTCGACAACAGCCATCGACGACACCAGGGATCACACTGGTACGATAGTTCCGTCATAGCCCTTCAACTCGAGTCCCCGAACGGCTCTGATACTACGCTCTGTGCTGCATAATGGTTCCTTACTGCGATCTCAGTTGCCGACATGACACATGACGGTCTGTGAGAACCCTGTGCTATGCAAATTCTCCGGGCACCCACACGCACCATCGTCACCTCTGCCATCCTCGGTACCCTAACGACTCTCCGTATTGGCTCCCGCATTGCTCACCGAGCGTGCAGGTCACTCGCTGCACATGACTTGCTAGTCAGCGCGTCGCTCGCCCAGCGTTTTATGCAGAAGAACGCGTCGGGGGCTCGTCTGGTCGGTCTTCGTCGCCAGCTCGCCGCGTACCACCCTCCCTCGCCCCAGACCATCTGTTTTGTGCTGCCCGCCGTTCGTACTACTTATCGTGGATCGGCGCCCGCTTGGCAGGTCACTGGACGGACCTCGAGGAACTCCGCCGCGGCCAGGACGGTTCCACCGCGTCCCCATCCGCTTGCCTCTCGTACTGGCCTCTCTTCCTCTCGCACGACAAGCGCTGTTCTATAAAAACGGAGCATAGCCCCGCTCATCTGTGCGAAGCCGGGGTCGCTCATGCAGCCGGGTGGACCTTGCTGCTTCGGGAGGGGACTGCCGTCACGGTATGTCCTATACTTTGTTCTCAGTTCGATCGATGGCTGCTGGCTTCGTGTATGTGATAACCCCTGGAGGCAGTGGCTTGCTATCCGCGCCGCGCTGCTGCAGACGTGCTGGAGCTCCTGCCACCGAGCACACGCTGTACGTGGCTACAGTCGCGTCTGTGGCGACGCGTTTTGAACCGCGTCTGTATCACGTGGGTTCGATGACCGAAGGCCGAACCTGCGCATGACCGAGCAGCTCATCGATGCAGACGACGTCATCGTCGCAGATCGCAGCAGAGTCGACGAGGATGCTCAAGAAGGTATGCAGCCTCACAGACAATGTCGTCCATCGTCACATAGAGTCGATCTGTTGTTACAATACGCTGTGGATACAAACTTTACGCTACTAGTGATAACGATAATCGCGGCGCGGAAGGCAAGGCGGGGTCGACGGGGGCCGCAATGCTGATTATGGCTGCAGCTGCTCATGCGTTCGCCGCGGCCTCAGTAATGAGGCTCTGCAATGTGCGTGGTCAGAGACACCCCAGAGAGGTACGAGGTACTGCAGTACGTACCTGGAGAGCACCAGGGTTCGCGCCAACGAGCTCCTTGACCTTCTGGCCGCTCTTGAAGACCGTGAAGGTGGGCATCTGGTAGTGATCGTGTCAGACCGCCCGAAGGCCGTGGATAGTTGTCGTGGACCACGTACCGCACGGATGCCAACCTCCTGGGCAACTTCGCCCTGCTCGTCTACATCGACCTTGTAGAAATCGGCCCCGGGGAACTGCTCGGCGAGTTTCTCGAAGATGGGCGAGATCTGCTTGCACGGGCCGCACCACGTCGCCCAGAAGTCGAACACGGAGGGCTTGTCGCGGCTAATCTGGGGATCGCGAACGATGCGTCAGTCCGCGCTCGCACCCAACATCGCGCCGGGCTCGCGCAGACGGCGAAGCACTGATACTCACGATTTCCTGGAATTGGGCCAGGGAGCTGATGACGGTGACGGGCATGTCGGGGCTGGATGGGGGTACTGCGGTGTGGAGGGTTGGGTAGTGAGGTGAGTGGACACAGTGGCCTGGTACAGAAAGTTTTGGGAGGACGATTGGCTTTATAGGGACCCGGCGCGCGCGGTGCAGTGGTACACGATCGGATCGCGCCATTCGTCACGTGTGGCTTACAGATGATTGGCTGGCGATCCAGATTCGGTGCGACGCCCGACGCTGCGCCCAACGCGCCGACGGCTTGCTTGGTCAGCCCCGCCTCGCCGTCATGCATGACCTTCCCGCATCGCCCGTCGCGTCGCGTACGTCGAAGAAAACGTGAACTGGCTTGCAAAGCGCACGCAAGCTCACCTCAGCGGATGTGTAAGTTGGAACACGTACGGAACATGACATCGTCTGTGTGGTCCCGGATGGCTATCCACGGCAGATCCACGGTTACACATGTATTGAACATGCCACGATTGGCCGTGTTTTCCGCGGTGCGCGATGGCTAGAGCCTTCTAGGCAGTGATGGTATTTGATCCACGGAGTAAGTAGCGCCATACGGCGTATGTACAGTACGTGCCAAATGCGCGAGATATGCATCTCGTATAACTCACCCTTTCTCCCACTTCTATCGTCTAGATGCTTGAGCTCCGACAGCAATCACACCATGCAATCTACTCCAGGTGCGAATGAATTCATGTCTAAGTACGAGAATATCCAATACCTGACGATGTTATGTATCAAGAGAACTATGTCTGTTCAAACATGTATCGCACCCGTGCGCCGATAGTGACTCGGAGGAAGCAGTGATCGAGAAGCTCAATAGGCGTACTATTGGACATGTACCGCGAGGCCGGTCATCCTCGAACTACGTTTGTGGTGACTCGTGAATGCAGTTCTTCCGCATATTTTGGGCCAGTGGCAATCAGCAACAACTCTTCCCATGAGTCCTTGCATGCAGGCGTCCAGTGCTAGTGTATCAAGCCACGGCGCAAGGCATCCAAACTCAGATATGCTCATCCAGCCTGAGCACGATATATCCGAGTGGTTTGTAGATGATCGAGACCGCACAGTGTCCAATGTCGTGACTGACATCGCAGTCGGAAGGAATAAACGCTTCATACAACTCGGGTGACTAGTATGATAGCAGGTACAACGTTAACGTTATCTGAGGGTAGCGGTGCGATTACATGTATTCGTCTACTTCGAGTACTCCGACGTCAGCACCTTGTAGGTAGCACCCCGTTCGAGGTTCATATAGTGCGACGAGGCCTGGTCCTTTAGTTCAAACTCCAGGTTGTTGACACTCGGGCACTGCAGAACGCCAGCTTTGTGAAGCCTGCGTATGGCTTCCCTGAACCAGATGCGGCAGGTGAACTGCTGTCCCTGGTCTGCCGGAAGTGTCTCCATGGGTATCGTGCTGAGCAGACGATCGAGGTACTCGATCGTAAGATTGTTCAGTTGTGCTACCAGTCAAATGATCAACGGTACGTTTACATACGCGTGCTAGAAACCTACTCACCTATCTTGACAACCACGCAGGCCGTTCTGGAAGTAACGACTGTGTGCGGCGTATGCTCGTACCGCCAGCCGTTGCTGTCCTCGGTAGCATGGAATTTCTCGCAAACTGTATCGTTCAACGGGACCATGACGGTCCAGTGGAATGTCCCATCTCGTCGGCTGAAGAGACCAGCGTAAATTCCGCCGATGGGGATAGTCGGACCGTTGGGCATACTGTAAGCTTTGTGCCAAATATGAGTCTGAGCGGTGCGCATATACTGGAGAGTTACTAGTAACTCACCTTTATGACGGGGCGTATTTGCGAAGACAGTCCTGTTGGATGAAGGCTGGCACGGCGCATTAGCATATTTATATGGCTACGGAGCCTGTGGGGAAAGTAATCGGTTGACCTGAGTCCCATGTCCTAGGACTAAGCATTACGACACGCACTCTGTAGAAGACGATGGGCGCCCCAGAAGTGCAGAAGAGATCCTCAATGGAGTCAAAGTGTCAACACATATTCATCTGAGAAGTTCGTACCAAGATGAAAGGCCACTCGTGCACTTTCGTCATCCGTTTCCTCTTCATCTAGAGCCAGGATTGTATTTTCTACCGTTCACTACGCGAAGGCAACCTCCATAGACTGCGTCAGAGAAGCTCATCTCTGCGATATCGAGAATAAAACGTGCAGCGTGACCGTGATTTCCGAATAGAGTTGTGCCAGACTCCAGTCCGGCTACGAGTCAGATCCTGAGAACCATAACTCTCTCAATTACTCATTCTCGTCTGTTGAGGTGAAGCCCATTTGGTCCTAGGAGACGTACATAGCAGTCAGCATTCAATTTCTAACATCACTTGGAGATAATTACTCGAAGTCGTACACAATTCCAACTCCGTGCGCATCATTGCGGTTTGATTGGCAATGTACTACACAATTGGCCAATGGCATGTACTTACCGGCTATGATGCGTTCCTTGCCCTGAGGCACCACCGGATGGTTTACGGCAGGCGGGCATTCGCTGTATTCAGGCAAAGAAAGATCAATGGTATTATGTCTCAACGTACTACTCCTCGACTCGGATTGAGTTGCTGTTATACGCACGAAAAAGTCGAGATGCGATGCCACTGCAAACTTGCTATGAGTGTATGCTGTGACATCAATCCGATGTGCGATCTTGGGTAACTTACGTGATAGCACCAGCAAAAGGTCATGAGCACCAAATGAACACACGAAGTCAAGGAAAGCCGGCCGTCCGGACTCGGACTCTGTCTCAGCGTCGTACTGGAGCCTGCGGGAGCCCAAGGCGAAGGCATGATATATTGATACTGTATATGAGCGCTTGCAGTGAGCTATCCTACGTAATCAGCGCGCGCGGGCGCTGCCCGGCCTGCTCGGGCATGGAATTCTGGTGGGGAACGAAACATGTGCGTGTATGTACGACTTCTGCGGCCACGGAACAGAATGCTGACTCACTGTTACTTTCCGACCTCTTCTTCCGACCGGGCTACGTAACGGCGCTGTACTTACCAATACTGTGTGTCTGGGCATCGAAGTGCGCGGGGGCCAGTTTGGAAAGTGTCCGAAGTCCTGGCTAGATTCAAGGTATGTCGCGCGCGTCCATGCTAATACGAGCTTCCTGCACACTCAAATTGAAGTAGGCTGCTCGGATACCCGTGTCGTACCAAACACAGCTGCGGGACATGATATTGTGAGTACCCATCGGAAGTAGCGAGAGACACGGTGATAACATGGACGACACACCAAGGCCCCGCTTCCTTTGGGCAGTTTGGCTGCGCATGCCCGATGCCCTGAGGCTCTCAGCGTATAAGCTGCTCCTTTGGATAGGCAAGAAACTGTATGACAGAGGCTCGGCATATACTCAGCGTGTGCCGTTCGACCTGTTCATCAAATACGGGAGTGGAGTACGCAGGACCGAGGCTGCTGCCACCGACTACGTCGCGAAGCATACGTCGATCCCTGTGCCAAGGGTCCTCGATACCTTGCAAGATTCGAGGGGCCACACCCTGATATTGATGACGAGGCTGCCTGGTTTACCTTTCGGCCTACACTATCAAATTCAAGACCTGACCCCCACAGAAGCGTCGGCGTTTGAAGCCACACTAAAGGATTGGTTGTCGCAGCTTCGTGCGCTTCCTGCCCCTTCGGAGGTGGTGTGCGCTTTTGACGGTTCACCTTGTCGCTCCAATTCCGTGATGCACGATCGAGACTTTGGACCATTCTCGACCCAACACGAGTTTCACGAATTCCTCTACACTCAGATACCGCGCCGTTTCCACGACGACCTCCGGAAGAAGGCTACCATGTCGCATACAAAAGACCATCGCATCGTCCTGACACATGGAGACCTTCATCCCAACAATATCCTGATGCACGACCGCCAGTTATCGGGCTTCGTAGATTGGGAATGTGCAGGATGGTTCCCGGAGTATTGGGAGTACGCCGATGCGGTCGAGACTCGTCCCAATTACAAGGCCTGGTGTGACATCTTCCATCGGATCTTTCCTCAGTACAAGCAAGAACTCGAGGTGGAGGGGGCGTTTCGGAAGGTGGCGAATCCTTGGTAACAACAGTGAGTCATTAGCGGTGATCGTTCGAAAGTGGCTCCTGATACAACACCAGCCTGGGTGTTCAATCTCGGTGTACCGTTCCGTACGCACCTCATCCGTCTTGAGGATGATTGTTGTTGTATAGGTGGATACCGTATCGTCGACGACATAGTTTGCTGTTTGGGTGTCTCCCGTTACCGTGTCCAAATGTATCTGGCTCTAATTGCGTTTTCCCAACGCTGCAAAGCTTAGTTGCGACCCAACTTCGCGCGGTTGTGTCGAGGCGACAACTGTCCGAGAACCCTCACTGCAGTCGGCGGGACCGCAGCGCCTTGCTGTCAGCTCCAAAAGATACGGCCGCCCCAGGACCCTTATTACCAACTGCATCGAAAGGCTCTACTAGGGCATACCCCTCTCAATTTGACTGGCTTTCATTTGGTCGCGTCCCAGTTCCCGACGTAACAGCTATTTGTTGACCATGCCAATCACAAGTAATCAGGAACTCTGAGCACCAAAAAGAATTTCGCGTCTCACCCTACCATCCCAATATCACTGACAACCGTCACACTGTTCGCATGCGCTTGGCCTTGATTGCGAGCGCGGAGTTGAACGATTCTCGTGTAAAACAGTGCCAACCCGTTTCGAGGTGTCTTCGTGCAGCAGTTCGCTAGACGTCCACTGGACTGACCTGTGTACACGTAAGTTGGGTACACGTGAAACGATCGCGAACGGACGTACTAGTAGTAAGGCGCTTCGCCACATCGAGTATCAGTATTTTAAACGCAGCATCCACGGATAGCCCCTCGACGGCCTCAGCATCTCAACTTCAACATCCAACTCTGTCCAGCAACAGGTAGCAAAACGTGAATGAAAGAGAACCTTCCTTACTCAATTTCGATTTGACCATAGCACTGTGTTGCCGCAGATTCACCATGTCGAATTGTTTTACTCCGAACACGATATACGCAGCGCTGTATAGGCGCATGGATAGCCGGTACCACTGGGCCATGATCCTTGCAGAAGGGCCTGAAAATGGTTACAAGTTACACGCCACCAACATTCCCGACCCTGCGGAATGGCATTACGAGCGGGAGGTCTACTCAATCGACAACGAGAGGAAACCTCTGGTGCTAATGGCCAAGATAGGTGAGGACGTACTTAGTTACATCGACATGGCGCGACTACTGAACAGAGATCTGGTAGGCTGCGTACCTGCAGATATGTCAATCGCAGAAGCCGAGAGTATCTTAGGAGAGATACCCATGGAGACGCCACAGCCCGATTCTCCACATCCGTTTACGTGCCGTATATGGTTCCGCGAAGGTATCCGAAGGTTGTCCGCCGCGGGACTGATGCAATGCGTGTCCGTCAATGCTCTGGAATACGAGCTGGTGGATATAGCGGACGACCATTCCAACCTTGTGGCACTGGGGTTACGTCCCTGGAAGTTACACGAGGAGATTCGGAGTGTTCATTAGTTCATTCAAGACGACGAGCATAGTTTGGCAAATGTATTTTTTTTTTTTTTTTTTTTTTTTTTTTTTGGATGGCCATTCCAGGTCATAACAACTAACAATTGGTCAGCTTTATGAACCCGGCCGTTCAGCGGGTCTCCCCGCCATGTATTCCAGGGCAAAATGCTATTTACGCACGATCTAGTCAGATCAGTGTGGGGCTCTATCATTCTGCGACGGTCTTCTTAGGACCGCCGTGTTAATACCCACTAAAACCCAGTTAAGTGCTGTCCAGTCGTCTGGCAGTGCCAGTTCGTCTTGGAGCGTGTTCTGCCATGTGTCATGGTATGACACGGAGGCCCCGTATTTTTACTTTGTTTTATCCTATTTTTGCTCATTTTCTATGGACTTGTACAATACCCTGTACGGTAGACTTCGCCTGGAACGGCTTTCTGACTAGCCACGTGACACATCACGTGCTAGGGTTTGTCTTGTGACTCGTTCATCATGTGGCCTTGCTTATGTAATTTATCATGTGCCCTGCGGCAGCGCCTAGCCACCTGACTCGTTCTGACTCGTTCTGACTCATACGTACACATGACCTCAGTTCTCGGATCCAGCGTAGGTAGACCTGCCCTCAACCTAGCCAGTATATATAGGGTCCTGTACGCTGCCTAGCACTCCAGCTCGTCCTCTTGGAGTTGCTAGGTAAGCACTTCACATTGTACTAAGTAGAGTGCAATGTAACTAACTTGGAGTTGCTAGCATTGCGTTCGACGCTGTTAGACTGTTGTTGACTTCGGTCCAACACCTTGAGGTCAAGTGTTTCTGTTCCCAGTTCTGTTTCTAGTCGCGTCAGACCTAGCTCCGCGACATTAGGACGAGCTCCTACATCTTCTTACCTGACACGCCGCAGTTGGCCGCGTCGTCACCTAAACCCTTAGCATAGTACAGAACTCCTAGCGTTGGTACCCCGTGCGCACGCGCATAGTAGTCACACGGAAACGTAAGCGCTTGGGTTACATCCCTGAGCCCTGCATCTGGACACGGCCCTACCATAGGCTATAGGTCGGGTGTAGATTTACGTGGAAGTCTTGGTCTTCTAGACCTTGGGAGGCTGTGAAAAGCGGCAATCGGAAGCCAAGGTTAGCGCCACAGAACTCGTGTTTCTGTAGGCAGACAGGCGCAATAGGTCGAGGAGACTGAGCGTATCCAAGGCAGTCAGCTTAGCTACGTTGCGTGAGCTGTCGAAGCGGTTCCTGGAACCTGCGGGCTATACCGTAACAGGCATAAAGCAGCCAGCGGATTTCTGTCGAGTACGTACGCTTGTGCTCTAAGAATCCTGTGATAGGATAAGGGTCCTCGGGGTCCCTCACATAGAAGTGTTAGATAGCCTTAATCCCAAAGAGACGTGATACGGGGGTTAGGCCTACGGCGTCTCCAAAGGAAGCAGGTTGTCCAATATTTCTGACACCCTGGATTGCGACGGTCTTCGGCACGTTTACGACGTCCAAGACAACGAGGATACATACGTAACCCTCGCCGGCAAACTATTTGCGTGCAAAACCCACCCCTGCCCGAACAGGTATACCAACACCTATCGACGCAGTACCCGATACGTGGAGTGCACTCCCGAGAACGCAAACCTCGAAGAAGAATCGGACCTCAGCGAAGAAGTAGCTGAATCCTCTCACACTCATATCCCTCCGGCGCAAGAAACAGCGCCCGCACCTCCCCAAACAGAAGCACCTCCCCCGCCAGTCAACGTCGACGACATGGCAAACGCAATGACCGGCGCCCAGATCTTGGAGATGATCCAAGGTCTCGCCCAAGGCCTGCAGCAGACGCAGACGACGCTCGGGCAGCTGACCACGCAGGTCGCTGCTCTCGCCACTAATTCGGGTCGGCCCTCCGACAACAAAAGCACGGTTCAGCGCCCGGCTACCTACTCCGGCAAGTCCAGCCCGGATGCCAGACGCTTCGTGGCTGCCTTCTCCCTCTACGCGCAGGAGATGGGCAGCAAGCTCAACACGCGCGTCGGTAATTTGTGGCAGCGTGATGATCAGCGCTGGGTACGATCGGCTCTGTCGTTCCTGACAGATGAAGCGGCGGTCTGGGCTACGCCCTACATCGAGGCAATGGTGGCTGAGAAGCCTGCGTTCTCGAACTGGGATGCCTTCGTCACGGCATTCAAGCTACGATTCGAGACCCAGGACGAGTCGGCGGACGCGAAGAAGGCCCTTCGCGAGCTGTATCAGGGCAAGCTCTCAGTTCCGGAATACGCTGCGCGTTTCCGTGAGGTCATGGAACGGACTGGTTACTCGGACGGTGACCTGCGAGATCGCTTCTACGAGCATCTCAGCAACGACATCAAGGACCTCCTCCCGACGACCGAGCGCTCTACCAAGACGCTCGATGAACTCATGTTGGTCGCTGCGGACTTCGACACACGGCTGCGTCAACGCCGTGCCGAGAAGGCCCGCGAGGCGGGTAAAACGTCGAGTACCTCGTCAACGAGTACCCCGGTCAGGACAACGGCGGCTCCGTTCGTGATCAGCAAGGATCCGAACGCGATGGACATCGACGCGACGCTGCAGGCGCCGAAAGGCGGTAACGGGAAAACCCGAGCAGATTTCCTCAAGGTCATGGGCGGTCGATGCTTCGGCTGCGGCTCCAAGGATCACGTCAAGCGAGACGGTGGTCACGAGCGCGACATCTGCGACTGGTGCGGTGGAACCGGGCACAAGACCCCGGTCTGCCAAAGACGGTTCCTCGGGTTGCCAAAGAAGGCAACGGCAGCTGCGACGTCTTCGACGTCCTCTACGGACAAGGAAGTGGATGAGATCTTCTCTCCGGAAACTTCCTCGTCGACAAGCGAGGAGAAGACAGTGGCGGCCACCTCGCAGATGACCGACGTTGTGAACGCGATGCTCAAGCAGCAGGCTGAGCTCGCAGCGCAGATCGAAGCCCTCAAAAAGGCTTTTTAGATCGACCACACGCTACCGTGGCAGCGGCGTCGTGGTCGTGGGACAGGTATTGGCGTTTCTTCGGTTCTATTCGCATAGCTAGTTGTACTATACCAGAATCAGAGCTTCGAGATGTACATTTACGTATTGATGTATCGGTCTCCGGAAAACGTCGAGAAAAGCAAGTAGCTGCCATGATTGACTCAGGCGCTACGGGATTGTTCATTTCTTCTCGTTTTGTATTAGAAAATCATGTAACTACCGTTCCTATGAAACATCCGATCGTTTTGTATAACATCGATGGCAGTAAGAACAAAGCTGGTAGCATCACTCACTACGCTCGTCTTAGATTACAAGTAGGTAGCTTTGATGAGGTGTGCGATTTTTTAGTTACGAATCTGAACAAGGAAGATATGATACTGGGTATTCCGTGGCTAAGAGAGGTGAATCCTAGCATCAACTGGAAGGAGGGTACGGTCACGTTCGACGAGGAACCGCAGGAGCCGGTTTCATCTGAGAACGATGATCTCCCCTTTCAGAAGATCGCCGGGACGAGGAAACTCCGGCGCGAATGGAAGAAGCGCGGAGTTATAGATGATTTGGCCGATGAGCTCTGGTGCTGCGCAGGTGTAACGTACTCAACCACACTGGCAGCCCAAGCCAATCAGCAGAAGTCCAAGAAGACCTTCGAGGAGATGGTGCCGGAGCACTATCGAGACTTCGCCAAAGTCTTCTCGGAGGCAGACTCGGAACGTCTTCCCGAGCACAAGCCGTGGGATCACACGATCGACCTAAAGCCAGACGCGCCCGAGACGCTACGGTCGAAAGTGTATCCAATGCCGGTAAACGAGCAAGCGGAACTAGACAAGTTCTTAGAAGAGAACCTCCGGAAAGGCTACATTGTGCCTTCCAAGTCACCGATCGCTTCGCCTGTCTTCTTCGTCAAAAAGAAGGACGGCAAGCTACGGATGGTTCAAGACTATCGTAAGCTAAACGATGTCACAATCAAGAACCGATACCCGCTCCCGCTTGCTACCGACATAGTCAACCGGCTACGCCAAGCCAAGTACTTCACGAAGTTCGATGTCCGCTGGGGATACAACAATATCCGTATCAAAGAAGGTGACGAATGGAAAGCGGCGTTTGTAACCAACCGCGGACTGTTCGAGCCGAACGTCATGTTCTTCGGCCTCACCAATTCCCCAGCGACATTCCAAACGCTCATGAATTCCATCTTCGTCGATCTCATCGCCGCTGGAAAAGTAGCTGTATATCTAGACGACATCCTAATATACAGTACGGACTTGGATGAACATCGCAAAGTAGTACGCGAAGTTCTCCGCCGGCTACAGGAACACGACTTGTTCCTGCGACCCGAGAAATGCGAATTCGAGCAGACGAGCGTCGAGTACCTAGGCTTGGTAATCTCGGAAGGAAAGGTCAGCATGGACCAAGTCAAGGTCCAGGCGATCACGAGTTGGCCGGACCCCCAGAACCTGAAAGCACTTCGAGGGTTCCTGGGCTTCGCCAACTTCTATCGCCGGTTCATCAAGGACTTCGCTAAGACAGCACGTCCTCTGAATGACCTGACCAAGAAAGACGTATCCTGGCATTGGGGGCCAGAGCAGAAAGAAGCATTCCAGACGCTTAAGGACGCGTTCACGTCGGAACCTGTTCTAGTCACATGGGAACCCGACCGTCCTACGCGCGTGGAAGTGGATGCTTCCGGGTTCGCGACCGGTGGAGTTATCCTGCAAAAGACGGCAGATAATCTCTGGCACCCGGTTGCGTTTAGGTCACAGTCGATGGCGGAAGCCGAGCGCAACTATGAGATCTACGACCGCGAGATGCTAGCTATCATCAGAGCTCTCGAGGACTGGAGGCACTATTTGGAAGGCCTTCCGGCCCCCTTCGAGATCATCTCCGATCATAAAAACCTAACGTTCTGGCGAACTTCGCAGAACTTAGGACGGAGACAAGCTCGCTGGTCGTTATGGTTGTCACGCTTCGACTTCACGATGACGCATAAACCCGGAAAGACGAACACTCAGGCCGATCCCCTGTCACGTATCCCTTCGCTCCAAGTCACGGATGCGGAGGATAACCAGGGTCAGATCGTGTTGAAGCCTGAGCGGTTCGCGGAGATTTCTGCTACCCTCAATGAGCCAGAATCCCCACTAGAAGACCGCCTTCGTCAGGCTAGCGAGCGCGAAGCTGAGGTGCTTACCGCGCTACGCGAGCTCCGTGAGCATGGCCCACGTCGATTGACGAACGGACTCTTCGAATGGGAAGAAGACAAGGGTATCATTTACTACAAAGGGAAAGTCTATGTCCCTGCCGACGATGGGCTGCGCACAGAAGTCTTACGTCAGTGCCACGACGCGCCCACGGCAGGACATCCCGGTAGAAATGGAACCCTTGAGCTGGTCAGCCGCCATTACTGGTGGCCAGGAATGGCCAAGTTTGTGGAGAAGTACGTCGCAGGATGTGACAAGTGTCAGCGCTACAAGCCAGCAGCTCATCCGCCGGCTCAGCTACACCCCCTGCCCGTGCCTAGAGGACCGTGGACTACGATGGGCGTCGATCTGATCACTGGATTGCCACTGTCCAACGGATTCGATGCCATAGCCACGTTCATTGATCTCTACGGCAAACAGGTGCACTTCATACCCACGACCTCCACAGTAGACGCTTCGGGTATCTCCGATTTGCATTATCGTGAGATATTCCGGCTGCATGGGATCCCCGACGAGATTGTGTCGGATCGCGGTCCGCAGTTCGCCGCTAAGCTAATGCGCGAACTGTACAAGCGGCTAGGAATCAACTCGAGTCTCACTACGGCCTACCACCCGCAGAGCAACGGACAGACAGAGCGCGCTAACCAGGAAGTCGAAAAGTACATTCGGCTCTTCTGCGATAAACGCCAAGACGACTGGTCCCGGCTTCTCCCAACCGCCGAGTTTGTAATCAACTCGCGCGTTGCATCGGCTACGGGAAAGACTCCCTTTGAAGCCATGTATGGGTTTACGCCGGACTTCACTGTCCCTGTGGGTAGGAAAACAAGTATTCCTGCGCTTGACCAAAGATTGGCACTTCTTGCAGAAGCACGCAAGGAGGCGGAAGCAGCACTTCGTCTAAGCAAAGTCGCGATGGCGGATCAGGGCAAAGTCAAAGCCCCGGTGTTCAAGGTTGGCGACAAAGTCTGGTTAGCCGCCAAGAACATCAAGATCCACCAAGCAAGTCAGAAGCTTGGGCCGCGACAACTCGGACCTTACGAAGTAACCGAAGTCCGAGAGAAAGACGACTACGTGCTTAACTTGCCGCCTGCGCTCAAGGTGCATCCCGTATTCCACGTGGATAGACTATCTCCCTACAAGGGTAATGACGTCAACGGACTCCTTCCTCAACCACCCGAACCAGTAGTAATCGATGGTGAGGAAGAGTACGAAGTCGAGACCATCTTGGATTCCCGGTTCTTCAGACGCCAGCTTCAGTACCTAGTCCAATGGAAGGGCTACGGTGCGGGAGACAACAGCTGGGAACCCGCCAAGAATCTCGAACACGCCCAGAAGGAAGTAGCGGAGTTCCATTGGAAGCACCCCAATGCACCTCGCAAGATAAACGCTGCTCTTTTCGACGTAATCGTGTGGCAATCTCCGGAGAATATGACGGACGTCGTGCCCACAGACCTGGAATGGGAGACGGGGCGACGTGTTGGGATAGATTCGTCGGGACGACGAGTCTTAGGAGGGGGGTAATGTCATGGTATGACACGGAGGCCCCGTATTTTTACTTTGTTTTATCCTATTTTTGCTCATTTTCTATGGACTTGTACAATACCCTGTACGGTAGACTTCGCCTGGAACGGCTTTCTGACTAGCCACGTGACACATCACGTGCTAGGGTTTGTCTTGTGACTCGTTCATCATGTGGCCTTGCTTATGTAATTTATCATGTGCCCTGCGGCAGCGCCTAGCCACCTGACTCGTTCTGACTCGTTCTGACTCATACGTACACATGACCTCAGTTCTCGGATCCAGCGTAGGTAGACCTGCCCTCAACCTAGCCAGTATATATAGGGTCCTGTACGCTGCCTAGCACTCCAGCTCGTCCTCTTGGAGTTGCTAGGTAAGCACTTCACATTGTACTAAGTAGAGTGCAATGTAACTAACTTGGAGTTGCTAGCATTGCGTTCGACGCTGTTAGACTGTTGTTGACTTCGGTCCAACACCTTGAGGTCAAGTGTTTCTGTTCCCAGTTCTGTTTCTAGTCGCGTCAGACCTAGCTCCGCGACACCATGTGCCGAGGACTTCATTACGCCTGAGGGCTTTCCTTCCAAAGCGTCTATGTGTCATGGCCATATCAAGGTGTAGTCTCTCGTTAACCACTCGAGTCCACCTTGTTCTTATGGCTGCCTCGGTGAGGCACCAGTTTACGTCGTCACTGTGTGCTATTACCCTCTCGCATCTCAGTTTCCAGACTAAGAATGCTGATTCTGTTATTAGGATGCGCCATAGCCTCTCGGCTCGCGGGCGACGCTTCATGTTCCCAGTTTCGCTTCTCCATTCACGTAGTCCTGAGGTGAGCACGTCTTCCATTGATGGTTTGGACCACGTCAGCTTCTTCTTCTTCCATAGGTCACCGGCCATTTGCCAGATTATGTCTTGGCCTGGGGCCTTGCATTCGGTTATGATATGGCTCATTGAGTCTGTTACTCCGCACGTTTGGCATATTCCCCTCTCTTCGTAGCCTGGGATTGCGTCCCAGTAGGCTCCGCATTTGTGCGCATTGTGCGCGCACTTCCATAGGTAATCTGTTATGTTCCGTCTTATATCGCGTTGTCGCAGTGCTCTCCATATGTCTTCTTCTTGGTGAGTTACTTCGAGATGCTCTTGGTTATGTTCTATTGCTTTGGTGATGGTCCTTTGTGTTGACTGTCTCGTCTCTAGATCTTTAAGGTTGCGTATGTGTTGGTAGGCTATCTTTTGTGTGATTGCTTGCAGACGTGCACCGGTGATATTGAAGACTGGGTTAAGGCCTACGTCTACGGGGGTTGGGGTAGTTTGGTTCTGTTGCGCGTGAGTTGCTTCCTTCTTTGCTTTGATGATCGTTTTGATCTCTTCTCTTTTACTCGCCTTGCGGATGGTCGTCGGGGCGCAGCGTTGTCTTAGGACGTTGACGAGTGCTCTCAGGGGGGTTGCGTTCGTCATGTTGAGCCAACCTCTGTCTTCTGTTTGGCCGAGTTTCTCGACGAGTTCTGTTTGTAGATAGTCGGTTTCGCTGACGATCTTCAGGGGGACGTCCATTGGGGTTGTTCTCGCTACATGAAGAGCGGCTGAGGTTTCGGCCCATGTCTCCTTATTGGCCTTGCCGTTTATTGCTATAAGTACTAATTGATTCCTTAGGTCGTTTGGTGCGATGTACAAGAATCCTTTCTCATCGCTCGGGGGTTTCTTGTGTCGGGTGTGAGTGCTTCTGGATCTTACTTGTGCGTGTATGACATAGGCGGTGGTAGCTTCGAGGGGGATTGGTTGGCTTGGTCTAGATCGGTTTGCAGGTGCGTTCTTTAGAGTATTATTCTCCATGAAGATGCGGATTGCTTCTGATGCTCCTCCTCTCGCCGTGATTGATGGGTCGAAGATTACCTCGCCCCCTTCCTGGAGTGCCGTCTCGTTGTCTCCTCTTCTTTTGGGTGTGATGGTGAGTCCGTCTTGGGTGTTCTCGAGGTCGGGATTCCACTTCTCACTAAGGTTACTTAGGATTCTTTCTGCAGCATCCCGGCACCTCATGGGGTGTTCGCATCCCATCCTCCTTGCTCCGATGCATTGGTTGCATGTACATATCCTGGCCGATCCATTTTGCCCGTTGTTGGGGGTTGGTGGGTGATTTACTATTCTTATCAGATCTGCGATTATTCTGATTCCGTGGGCCTCTCTTAGACAGTTACTAAGGCTGGTGTTGTTTAATCGCCTCAGCTGCTTATTTGCGCTTATGTGGTACCACGCTGGGAGCTGCATTTTGACGGGCTTGCTCAGCTTGATTGCTGCGAAGCAGGCATTGTATTTCTTTGCCGTATTCAGTAGGCGTTTCAGGTATGTTGGTAGAGGGGACGTCGAGTGGGTTGCAGGACGCCAGTCTTGAAGGAAGGTATTAATTTGCGCTTCTCTCTGAATTGTTCCTGCGTCTTTGGTAACTCTTATTGCTAGGATTGTGTCAACGAGGAATGCCCATCGCGGTCTGTCATTTGTAAGTGTGAGGTATCGTTTCAACCACATCAGATCGATAGCTTCATTCCTTGCTTTGATGTCTAGGATTCCTAATCCGCCTTCTTCTATGGGTCGGCATAGCGTGTCCATGTTTACCGGTGGTGGTCTGTCTGAATCCCAGACAAAGTGTCTTATCATCTTTGTGAGTGTATTCTCAATCTCTTTTGGCATTCCTTGTACCTCGGTGAGGTACTGTGTTATTCCTCCGGGTCCCATTTGAATGATGTTACGTTTCCCTTTCATTGTCGGGTGACATTTCTTCCAGCGTTCCAAGAATGCGTTTACTTTGTGCAGGGCCGGGGCCCATATTGCTGCTTGGTCTGTTTGGTTTCCTATCCAGGCTCCAAGCATTCTTACGGGTTCTCCGTCTTGGGCGATGTGTACGAAGTTCGGTATTCGTTCGTTGCTTGTGTCTGCGTCGAGTTGTCTTGTTGTTGCTACTGTTCTGCGGTATTCTGCTGTCCCTACAGGGACGACTTCTGTTTTCTCCTTGTTAAAACAGGCTCCCGAGATCTCGCACCATTTATCGAGGATGGTCCAGAGGTCACTCCACTTGTCGTTTTGTGAGAGGAATGTCGAGGTATCGTCGGCGAAGAGTGACGCGACTAGTTTCTCCGCTAGTCCAGGTACTCTGAAGCCTTGTATATTCGAGGATCGGATCTCGCAGGCCAGAGGTTCGATTGCTAGGTCGAAGAGGAGACATGAGAGTGGATCTCCTTGTCTAACGCCGCGGGTTACCTGGAAGGGCGAGCTGCTTTCCCCGTTGATTATTACTATCGTGGATGCGTGTGCGTACAGGTTCTTGACCCACTTGATGAATTTTGCTGGGAGTCCCATTTTTTCGAGGGTTGTCCATAGGTATTCGTGCAGGATTTTATCATAAGCTTTCTCCTGATCTAGGGCGACTATTACCCCGTTTTCTTCTGTGGCTTCCGCATAATCTACCATTGTCCTGCATAGTTGGGTTTGGTCTGATATTTTCCTACCGGGTAGGAAGCCGGCTTGGTCACTATGGATTATGTTGGATGCGACCGGAGCTAGACGCGTGGCGAGGATCCTTGTGTACAGCTTATAGTCTGTGTTTAGTAAGGTGATTGGTCTGTAATTTGCAATATCACGACGATCCTTCTTCTTGTACAGTGGGCACATCCAGCCTTCTGTGAAGTTACTACTTTCGCTGATCCCGAATTTGTTTATGTCGCTGTACAGGATCTCTAGGAGCGCGAGGACGTCGAAGGACGTCGATTCGTCCCCTGATTTGGCGTGGATTCTCTGTAGAGTTGTCCAGAGCTCATATGGGATGCCGTCTAGGCCAGATGCTTTCCCGGTATGCGTTTTGGATAGTGCATCTTCTATGCATTTCTTTGTAATTGATCCTGTTAGGTCTTGGAGCTCTGGGACTGGTTCCGGTTGATCTGTCTTGTCGAGTGTGTCTTTAATCTTTGTGGCCCGGTCTTCATTGGACATTTCGCTAATGTCCTTGTTTTGTAGGTCGTTGTGGTAGTCTCTGGCCAGTTCTGCCATTTTGTCTGATCGTGTTTCGAATTCTGGTGGGTCTGTCATTGGTCGTTGTAGGTTGTATATGACATCTCTTGGTTTCTTCTCCTTGTTTACATTCGACCAATACTTGGATAGGGACTCGTCGTTTATGGCATATCTTGCCGTTGTTGCGGTACGTACTGTATGGTGTCGTTTCCGTTCTAATTCCGTTATTCGGTCTTGGAGTATCGCGGTCTCTGTTTGTTTCGTTTCATTTGTCATGAAGTCCTCCGACGATTGGATAGCCGTTGACTGTTCAGTGAGTCTCTTGATTGCTGCTTTTAATTTGGGTGTCTTTGTCTTCATTATGGTCTTCGCTAGCTCCACGACTTGTTGTTTAAAGAGTTTATGTACTTTCTGTGGGTTCTCCTCTTCAGATCTGTCCTTCGCCAGTTCGCACTTACGCGCGCGTTCTAGTGTGGTTCGGCCCATCTCTATTGTCTTCGTGATGAAGTTTTGGTCATTTAGGATTTGCATTGGTAGGGTCCATCTTCCTTTGCCTATGTACGGGGCTTGTGGGACGCTGAGCATGGCTGATACTAGTTTATGGTCTGTTGGTACCCCGGTTGTCGTTATGTTCCAGGCATATGATGCCTTTGCTATGTCCTCGGGGACGTATATTCGGTCTATTCGGGATCGCGATATGGAGGCTCTCTGCGGGAATGAGTACTCCTTCGCATTCGGTTCTGACGTTCTCCATCCGTCACATAGATCTGCTCTTTGTATCAGGCTTCGTAGGCTGTCTACTGCGTTTACGTTGTCGGCTCTGGACGGGAGTCTGTCTAACGTGTCTTCTACTATGTTGAAATCGCCTACGAGTGCGTCAATCTTTCCTTTGCTTGATAGTAACGGGTCTTCTTGCAGTTCGGCCCAGAAAGCTGCGTTTTGCCCCATGTCATTTGGTGCGTATACGTTCACGATTGTGATTGTTGTGTCTCCGTGCCACTTCATCTTGATGCTTATTGCTCGACCTGGCCATATCTCTCGGACGGTAGGGTTAGATATGTCGACTATCTCTCTGTTGAGCACGAAGGCTACTCCTTGTGAGTTCGTGCTGTCACCGGCTTGTGAGTTGTAGACTCTCAGTCTACGGCCGTATAATTGATGTATACTATCTATTGTCTGGTCATCTAAGTGCGTCTCTTGTACTGCCAGTACACCGATGCGCTGCTCCCTCATTAACTGGTTTATAGAGTTCCACTTGTTGTTGATCGTTCCGGTGAGGTTGCCTTTCCCGTTTATGTTAAGGGATCCTATCGTTACTGATGCTTTAGTTCGGCGACCTTTGTTTTTCTTGATTAGTGTGTGTGGAGCTGTGGCCGTTTGTGCCATATCAACCCGGCTCCCAGTCATCGGTGTGGCATTCTGAGTGCCGCTGGGAGTCGCCCTGTCTCCGTTTCCCTCTAGAGGGTCACTCAACGCCTCGCGGGCAGGGGACACGCTGTGTTGTCTCCTCCGGAGGGGCTCGGAACCGTTTGCCTGTAGTCCAACCGTCTGTGTTTGTTTCGTGTGTAATGCTGCCGTTGCTAATCTATCCCGCCGCTACAACGATCCGCGACGGGCGGGAACTTCTCCTGAGTCCCTCAGGGGACATGTCTCTCGTTGTTTCCAATCGATTGACTTGAGCTTCTCAGCCAAGGGGAAGTCTATTAGTCCCCTTCTGTGTGCACATGTGGGGTCATACTTTCGCTACGGCCGGCTTTCCTGTCCTACGGAGGTAGTCAGTATATGTGGGCTCGTCCGTAACGTCAGCGTTGCTGCGTGGGTAGGATATGTTAGTTTCTGGTCTCGTGTGGGGCTTAGGGCCTTGCAGATTTCGTTATACTATTCGTGTATTTGTTTGACGGCCCCGTCTTCTTCGAGGTACGTGGGCTCCAATCATCATCAAGAAGGTGTGCGTGTTGCGTTCTACGGTGTGGTACATGAGTTATGCCGAGATGGGCTCCGTACGCGCGAGTATATACGATGGGTCCAAGATGGTTCGTCAAGAGGTGGGAGAGGTAAATACGGCCACTGTTATGTACAGATGAGTGGGGCAGTTCTTTGCCAGATGGGGTAACACAAGGGTTGAACAAGATGGGTGGACAGGGCTCGTGGGCGTGATTCAGACGTAGCGGAGCTCAAGATAGTGCGGATAGTACGGAGGGCACGCGACGGGGAGGTTATTCATGTTCGTATGTAACGTAGGTGGCAGCCTATGAGGTGCTCGTGTCAAGAGATTAGTTGGGTGGCGGACTCATGACGTCGTGGAGGTCACTTAGTACCCATCGTCGTACCTTCCCCTCCTGCCGCCGTTGCCGCCACGTCCGCGCCCTCGTCCGTATCCGTTCCCTCGGCCGCGGCCACCGCCGCGACCTCCTCCGCGGCCGCCGCGTCCGTGGTGATAGTCGTCTCGACTCGAGCTAGACTCCGGGTCGTTACGCGGGGCGTTCGGGTCGTGCCAGCCAGGGATTTTGGGCAGTTCGCATAGCCCAGTTGGGTGGTCGACGGAATGGCAGTAGGTGCATAGCATTTCGTCCAGGTACGGGACAGGAGCGCCGGCGTGGTCGCTGCCGAAGTTGTAGGTGCGTAGTTCCTTGCAGAACTTCTTCCACTTGTCCGTATCATAGGTGGGTGATTCGACGTAAAGACGTACCACGGGGTCGGGTTTGTTTTCGCCTTGGGCGAGCGGGAGCGAGTCAGCGTGGATAGTACTAAGCCAGGTGTAGTAGGCTTCCTCGAGCGTGTGCGCACTCCAATGTCCGCCCTCCGCGATGTCGTCCGCGAGGTAGGAGACGACGAGGGCTTGTAGCACTGGCCCTTGGAACGCGCGTATGAAAACTCCCGTGTAGTTCTCGTTCTTTGCTCCGAACCTGCTGGCGTATCTCCACGCGCCTGCGTACTGCGGGTTGTCTGCGGTAAGCGGTCGACAGTTTATCGTACCTTCGACGGTGTCGAGCCATTCCTGGGAGAGCAACTTGTTACAGTCCTGCAAGGAGATGTCGTGAAGGAGTAGCCAGTGAGGGGCTCTGTTACGCTTCCCGGACTTGAGGACAGCGACGGGAGGCGTGATGACGAAGCGGTGGATCGACAGGTAGTCCTTGATCATCTGTGTTATCTTCTCGACCTTTCCTGTCGTCTCTGGTTCGTCCGCTCCGCAGCCCGGCATCTGGATGAGTGCCGATGGGCTTTTCCTCGCGATCTCAGCCCAAGCTTCGTGTTGCTTCTTGGCCATGTTCTCGGTCCAGAAGAATGCGTTCCTCCCGTGGACCGCCGGCCAGTTGTTCGCGGGCTTCCGTGTGGCTGCTGTGGGCCCTCGGATAGTGATGTAGGTCGTGGCGCGAGGGGCCGGCATCGGCTGGGGTTGGTGTTGGCCGCTCGGTCCGGGCGTGGGGGACGCGTGGCGGGGTGGTTGTTGCATAGGTACCGTAGACTCGGGGTGCGTCCTCGACTGCTGGCCGCCAAGTGTGGTGTTCCTAGCTGCTGCGTTGGACGCCTGGGCCTGCGGCCCGCCAGCTGACGTCGTCGGGTGGCGGGTGAAACGGAGGTCGCGTAGGTTCGTCGGGGTCGGCGTTTTTGGTGACGCTCGGAGGACGTTGTTGGAGAAAGCCGGCGGTGGGTAGTTAAGGAAGTTTAGCTGGGCAGAGACTCCGATGGTCGGGGGTGGCGTCTGCGGATCGGCGATGGGGAGGTTGGTCTGAGTGAAGAAGAGGGGAGGGGCTAGGGCCTGTTGGTCGACCTCCATCGCTACCTCGTTGTTTGCGGCGAAGGCGAAAGCGGGGACGGGCTCGGGGTCGGCGTAGCTCAAACCTCCGTCGCTGTAGTATCCGTCGACGGGCGGGGGGCTGAAGTCCGTTAGGCCTACGGTCATGTTGGCGATTCGACTTATCTGGCTGGACGCGTCGTACACGACGTCCTGTCTTTTGTCCGTCGTGCCAGCCACCTCCTCGTCACCCATATCCACCGTGACCCTCCTCCTTTTCTTCCCGGGGTCGGTCTCCGTTTCCGGCTCTTTCTCAGCCGCGTCCTTCGCGTCCTTCGTAGGCTCGGTGGGTCGCGGCGGCGGAGAGCCTAGTCCTATCGCGATCTCTTTCTCCTTCTGCTTGTCCTGCTTGTTCTTCCGCTTCGTTCGCGTGGACTTGGTTTTATCAGTGACTGACTTCGCGACTGTTACATCGGTGGAGGTCAGTTTGGCTTTTTAGGGCTCGACTCGGCTTCCCTAGGATCATACCTTTGTCTGGGTTCTCGCTTCCCTTACTTTCCCCAGCTTGGGGCGCCTTGTCGCCGGCAGCGATCGTCTTCTGAGTTGACGTCTGGTTCGACGGGTCGACAGTCGTAGGAGCGGGTTGGGGGGTCACGCTATCCATGACGCTCGCGGACGGGTTAGGATTGGGTTGTTCGGGCGTCGCGTCCTCTCCGAGGCCTTGGGGCGATGCGGTCGCCGGTCTCCACGGGTTGGTGTGGGGGTTTAGGGCTGAGGCGTTCCCGACGTGTTGGGCGGTGAGTAGGGACTCCTGGTTCTGTGGGGTGGCAGACATTTGGGGTAGGGAGGGCGAGATGGTCGCTTCGTCCTGTGTAGACATCGACGTTTACGGGGGAGGTTACGGCCGGGTGGGGGTTCGTGGATGCTCGTTGGATTGTAGGTTTGGCGTGGCTTGTTCGGCCGGTTTGTGGCTGTCTTTCCCTGTTTGGGCGGTGGTGTTAGGGAATGTACGCGGCCCTTTCGGGCGGTTCGTGGGTTAGTGATGTCTAAGTGGAGGTTACGCATTTCTCCTATGGGGTTGTTTGACATTTCAGGTCTGTCCGTTCCGATTTTCTCCCTGTGGCGGGTTCTTCAGATGACTTGTGTCTCAGGTAGTTCTCGCGTTCGGGTCGGTGGTTGCGTCTTGTGAGCGGGCTGTATTGTCCTTCCGTCGTTTAACGAGCGATGCGTTGAACAAACTCGCTTACCTGGGTGCTTCCCGTCCGATTATGTTAGACAGGTTGGGGTGGTGTAGCGTGATATGAGCGGGTGGCGGTGTGATATGTACCTGTTTGGGTTGTGGCTCTCTTGTGTCGCTTGTGTTTTGGCGCTCGTTGGGTTACTGTCCCCCTATTAGGAAGGTGGTCGGCTTTTACTCTCTTTATCGGGCGGATCTCGGACGTTATCTTGGTTTGCTTCCGTTCTTCTCGTTCGATGTGTCTGGGTTCTGTCGGGCCTTGTCTGTGAGACGTTACTCTATTCGTGTCCTCTTTTACATGCTCTCTTTGGATCGGTTCAGGATGCCCGTCAGTCTCTGGTTCCTCCCCAACTTCTCGTAGAGTCCCTGTGTTTCGCGGGGGTCGAGGTCAAATTCGTATGGGTTATCGTGCGGGTTTGTGAAGTCGGGGCGTTCCGCGAATACGTCATGTGGGGGAGGATTGTCGGGGAGATTAGCGTAGTGTATCGTGTGAGCGAATCTGTCCAGTTTTGTTAAGTGACACCATGGGATTGGTGCTCTGAGGTTGGCTCTCCGGGGTCCTCCTGTTAGGAGCATTGTCACCCAGTGCTTCGTGATGTCGGTGATTACGGAGATTCTTCCTGAGCAGATCACGTTTCCCCGGGATTTCAGCGTGATAATGTGGCCGTTGGTTAAGGACTTAATTGGTTCGTCCTGTGCTATCCAAGTGTGCTCCTCCCTCTTCCCTTTGCCTCTAGTGCTCCTCGGTGTGTCCTCTACATTGACCTCGTAGGTTGTGCACTTATGTGTTAGGTGTGGTGCGACGATTGGTGGGGAGGGAGCCCTCCGCGAGAGGGGGTCGTGATGTTCGTCGCCTTGGCTGGTCGGCGTGTTTTCGTTCCTCTGAAGTTCGAAGGTGAGGTACATGGTTGTGGGGGATGAATCGATACTGACTCGTCCTTAAAACGTTTCTTCGTTGGTGTTTTCGTGACGTTTTTCGTTTCTTGCGGCGTTTATCATGAACTTAGTATCACAATTCGCTTTATTATTGACTCGTTCCTTCCACTCGGAGCATTGACAGGGGTTTTATGGTGTTGTCTGTGGAGGATGTTACGTGCTTGTTGTCCCAAGTCTCCGTCCGCTCATTATATATTCGTTGTCTCAGCTTCTAGGCTCTGGGCTTAATGGTTTAGCCTGTGTGTCTTAGATCGGGTTTCATCGGCCGTTTTCGGTGGACGCTCGTGTGTAGTTCGGCATCGTTCATTGGTTCCGCTTGGGGGATATCAGTCATGGGACTTGTTGGTTCGGTCTCGGCCTGTTGTTGGCGTCTATTACTGCTTCTCGGGCGGGCCGAAGCCGGTTGGGCGCTTATTATGGTACGATTACTGTATTTTCGTGCTCGTCGTGTCGGACAGTGAGCTCGTCGTTAAGCGGGGATGCGTCTGTGGCATGTGTTGTCTGCCCCTTCCGCCCAGGTTTGGGGGATGTATGACGTTTTGGCCATGTTATGTGTTGGTATTCACATGTAGTGTTATGGTGTACACTATACCGTTGTATCGGTGTGCGGCTTGTTGGCCGTCCTGGGCTGTGTGGGCCCTGGTCTCCACCGCTGGTGTTGCGGGTGGGACCTTTAAGCGCATGTTCGTTTCGCCTCATTGAGGTTACTTACCCCCCGGGGCCACGAGAAGGCCTGCGCCGGACTCGACAGTGTCGAGCCCTCCCGGGGGGGCAAATGTATTCTAGCACTTACCTGCGCCATGTCGTCTCATGTCGTCCAACTCTCAATTATTTCAACTGGGCCCGGTTCGCATCCTCGACTCGTAGCCTCGTGGTCCGTGGGAATTAATGTGTGAGGAAGGCAATTCACCGTTTACGTCGGCGTTGTGCGCGTGGTTCTTGGAGTTGTCGACAAAACGATGGGCAAGGCGTGGTCCTCAGTTTCCAGTGACATCCTGATTGCATCTCTGTGTTGTTCTGAATTGGTTCTGAAGCAATCTGACTCCCTGGAAGGGCTGGTAGCCTACTTTTAGCGCCAGGCCGCAGAGGTTTGAACTGTGTCGTATCACCACCTGAGCTCTCCCGGTACTGCTGGGTAGCTGTCATATTCAGATACTTACGTCGTGCTGTGAGTGTCACTTAATACGATAGCACCGAAATTGATTCTGAAGACTGAAGCTCGCTGTTGCCTGTTAGGTCACACCTTCCGAGTCGAGCTTTGGCGTCGACGTGCTCCTGGGTTACTCAAATGCTCTAAGCTACTGCTCTGGTTTCGCCGGAAGCTGTACACAAGAGAATCACCATACGCACAACGCGTACCATCTAACATGTACATCAAGTACGGAACAGGTACGCCGCACGGAGGCCGCGGCCATGCCAGAGTACGTCGCGAAACAGACGACAATTCCTGTTCCCAAAATCCTCGACGTGCTGGAAGACGCAGAGTGCCGCACACTAATCCTCATAATGCGACTCCCTGGCGTGCCTTAAGGGCTATAATATGACGTCGAGGAATTGACTCCTGCAGAAGCCGACGCGTTCGAGGCTACTCTGAGGGATTGGTTCACACAGCTACGGTCGCTCCCGCCGCCCTCGGAAGTCATCAGTGGGTTCGACTCGGATGGCTCAGCCTGTTGGGCTTTCGCAGTGAAGCAGAACCACGACATTGAACCAATTCCTACACAATAGCGGCACGAATTCCACAAGCTCCTCCACGATACGGTCCTCGACGGCTTGCACGAGGGGCCTCAGGAGAAAGCCGCTGTGTCGCACTCGAAGACACATCGTATTGTTCTGACGCACGGTGACCTACATCTCTTGATACATGGCAATGGATCCCTCTCGCGGCTCATTGTCTGATTCTCGGAGTATTGGGAATATGCCGACGCAGTTGAGAGACGGCCGAAATACACAGCCTGGGTGCGACATTTTCCGACGTATTTTTCCGCAGTACTACGAGAAAGAGCGCGTAGTGGAGGATTCGGAGGATGGTATATCTGGATCCGTCACTAGTGACGGTCGATCGTAAGTGATTGACCTGCACTGTGAGCGCGGGTGTTAATGATACCATTCAGGCTCTGAGGCCACTCATCACCGTGTCACTACTGTATACATATCGCGGTCGCAGCGTGCAATTATGGAGTGATAGTTTAGTTCGACCTCGAGCCTGAGCTCACCTCCATACAGCCTGATTGCGGGCATGACCATCACTTCACTTGTTTGATGAGGGTGTGGTAGCTCGCTACGTGTTGTGTAGGCTTTACTTATCTCGTCATCACTGCGTAGATCTTGCGTGTTGTATGGGGACACAGCCACGTCTACATTTGATGGGATGTCACTTAGACTGGTCAGTGTGGATAGATTCGTTCCGCCGGTACGTACGTTCAGCACAGCTTCCGCAGCGTGCGACGCATACGTCACCGGTGAGGCCGAAGTGTTGTACCATTTGCGGGCTAGATATATTGTATATATGTCCTGAGATTTGAGGGCCTGGACCCAGCCTGGGCCAGTGTGTTCAGCCACAGCGGATGATGTGTTGCCACAGACGTCGAACGATCAGAGCCGCCAAGGCCTCCCCGATGCATCTGCTCTAGTAGCGGCGCCGACAGACCACCGCGCGCGGATATGCATATGGCTGCTACGCCCACGGCCGCCCCCGCCCCCTCGCACATGCTCCACCTCTGAACTCTTCCGCCATCTCATATCCGTCCCGATACCCTCTCTATATGAACTGAGAACTTTTCACTCGTCGGACTTCACGATTTCTGCTACGTACTGCCGCCAAGACCTATCCACACCAACCTCGAGCCGAGATTTCCAGGACCTGACGCGTTCTCCGTGTTCATCATCCGAGTGCAGAAGTGATATATCGTGTCACATCCGAGTAGCTGGTACTTGAGAGAGGCCTTCAGGTGCGTCCCTTCGCGCTGCGGTACCGAAGAGAGGCGTGACAAGTGCTGCAGCTTAATCCCACACTCTCGCACGACTCCTTCTCAGCGATGGCCCCGAACTTCCTATCCAAGTTTGTCAACAGGTCCCCGTCCAACTCCATCAGCACTCGCAGCCCTGCGGATTCGCGGTCTTCCTCACCTGCTTCCGCTCATAAGGTGCCGCCGTCGATCACCATCGACTCCGCCATCTCCAACCGCCTCGATTCCACGAACGCACGCCCGCGGCGACATACCACCGTAGGGAGCTCTTCCCCCTCGTTGACCGGGAGTACCGAGTCCTTCCCGAATGTCACAGTCGTCCCGCCTTCGCCTCGCAGCGTGAACTACGGCTCTGACCTAAACGACGGTGACTCTACCCGATCGCCGCGCACGTTGTCAGACGGCCAAGATGGAGCGTCTAACGGGAACGGATCCGCAAAACGCGTGCCATCCATTTCAGACCTCGGTTCCCCTCTCTCCACGAGCACCAACGGCTCTGTCACCGCGGTCGACGACAGTGGCCTGGCGACGCCCACGCCCGCGACGACGCGCACCACCTTCTCCGACGCTCAGATGTCTGAGCGTTCGCTGGCGCACTCCAGGTCCGCTGGCAACCTGCGCAAGTCGCCCTCGCGCGAGAGCCCGACGGGTCAGAACTCACGGGCACAGACACTCATAGATGAACGCTCGCCGGAGAAAGAGAAGGGGCGGGACCGCAGTCGCAGCCGCAGCCCCCGTCTCTCGTTGTCGAAGAAGGCGAGCAAGGCGAAGCTGCGCAACCCCGAGTCGCCGCGCTCCCGTAAGAACTCGACGAAGGGTGGTAAGCATGATCGGGCAGCGTCGGTGCCCTCGCTCCCGGTCACGAATATCCACACCCCTCCGCCGCTCCCACCCAGCGTCACAGTTACCGACGACGGCACGCTCACAACTTCGCCCGTCTCCTCAGAGTTCCCGAGCGGCCCACCGAACACGTCGGTTTCTGGGAGGTACAACGCAGTCCCGCCCCTCCCACCAATTTCAGTAAACCTCCTCGTGCCGGACAACTCGGATGCAGCCAGTATGTACAGCGTGGACAGCGCCACGGGTGGGAAGAAGCGGAAGGTATGGTCGAGGAAGGCCAGGAGCGGGAGCGGCAACTCGCAGACGAGCCCCACGTCCAGTGCCCTCTCGCTGAGTCCCAAGAGGAAGGGCACCGCGAACGGGATTGCAGGTGCAATTGCCGCATCCGGCTTGGCGATGGGCATGGGTATGACGCCCGTGCCTCCTATGGATCTCTCGCAGCTCCCGCCGACGCCAGGAACGACCTCCACCCTCTCGTCGCGCGGCCACCGCCCGCGACGCAGCTCTGATATGTCGCGTGGGGGGCCACGGTCGAGGCAGGCGAGCCTCAACTACCCCGCGAGCGAGTTCAGTGACAGGGATAGCTATCAATCCGGCGAGGATGACCTTCTAGGCGGTGGAAGTGGGCTGGAGGATATGGACGACGACTTGGACCTGGACGCGGATGATATACCGGTGACTGGCTTCGCAGTGGCCAGCAATAAGCGCAACCAAGACTTCCACGAGCTCTTCCCGTCTGTCCCGGAGGGCGACTATCTCATAGAAGGTAAGTCTGGACCCAATTGTATTGTGATCGCCGTTTGCTGAGTCTATCAATAGACTACGGGTGTGCACTGCAGCGCGAAATCTTGATACAAGGCCGTCTGTACGTGTCCGAGAACCACATCTGCTTCCATGCGAACATCTTCGGCTGGATCACCGACGTGAGCGTCTCTATCCTTCTCCTTCCCTACTACCCGCGCTGACGTCGTCTCTTCCCCGCCGATAGCTATGCATCCCGATGTACGACGTGATTGCGCTCGACAAGCGCATGACCGCGTTCGTCATCCCGAACGCGATCCTCGTCACGACGACACAACAGAAGTACACGTTCACGTCCTTCCTCTCGCGCGACACGACCCACGACGTGATCTACAACGTCTGGCGTCTCGCGCGCCCCGGCGAGTCTTCCGCGCGGCCGTCTCCGCGCGGCTCGCTCGACATCCCTGACGGCGCGAGCGAGGTTGGCGCGAGCGCCCCACAGCCGAGTTCGATGGCTGGCTTGAAGCCGAAGGTGACGATGTGCGAATGCGGGCGGAAGGGCGAGCACTACTCGGAGCTCGCGATGGAGAGCATCCTCCCCGGCACGCCGGAGAAGATTTACAACCTGATGTTCACGAGCGGGTTCATCAAGGACTTTATGATCCATGACCAGAAGCTGATCGGTAGGCTCCGTTCGTCTGTTCTGTATGCTCTGCCGGTGTCGATGTCTCCCTCCTCCAGACCTCCAGATATCCGATTGGATACCCGTGGCAGAGGGCTCGCAGCTGCTCTACCGCCAGATGTCTTACACGAAGCCCCTTAACGGTAGCATCGGGCCCAAGTCCACCAAGTGCGAGCTCCGCGACGAGATCGTCAATTTCGACTTCGACGACTACGTTACGATGCTGACGACGACGCGGACGCCGGACGTGCCCAGCGGTGGTGTGTTCTCCGTGAAGACAAAGACATGCCTCACGTGGGCGAGTGCTGTGTCGACGAAGATTGTGGTCACCACTCAGGTAGAGTGGACTGGACGTAGTTTCATCAAAAGTATGTCCGATACGCGTCTGCTCGGTCTGTCGCTGACAATGCGATGTAGGCATCATCGAGAGGTCGGCCATCGAAGGGCAGAAACAGTATCATTCCGACCTGGAGAGTAACATGCGCAAGTATATCCACGAGCATCAGTCCGAGTTCATCCCCGAAGGTCTCGACGTCGCCGCCGTCGAAAGTGCGGAGGTGGCACCAGTTACGGAGTCACCCCGGCCCAGCCTCGATCATCCCTCGCTCAGCGAATTGGAGCGACGCAAGTCGCGCGAGTACGAGCGGAACCGGCGCGGGCTGCAGTGGGCGTACGACACGATCGAGGGCGCGTTCAAGGTCGGGAAGCAGAGCGCGGAGGGCGCGATCGAGCTCATCAAGGATGCGTGGGACCAGTCGTCGTCGACGACGATCCTGTACTTCGTGATCGTGTTCCTGCTGGTGAGCAACGTGTGGACGCTGTTCATGGTCGGGAAGCGAGAGGAGGTCGGGCGGCGGAAGGAGTTGCGCCGCACGGAGGAGCGCGAGCAGTGGGTGCAGGGCGTCGTGACGACGCTCTGGGACGAGCTGCTTACGACGAAAAGCGTGGCGGGCGGGGGACCCGGCGGGTGGCTGCCGCAGCTCCGCGCGCCGGGTGATTGGAGGGAGGAGGTGATGGAGATGCGCTCGGCGCTGGACTCGATTGAGCAGAGGGTGTCGCAGATTAGACAGAGCCTGGATGCCTTGGACTGATGTCAACTAAACAGGAACGTTCCTTCTTTTCTCGTGGCCTTTGAGATGGCCGGGTTTCTGCTGGTGGTGGATTCTGGTGGATCTGTATGATATTCGTAACTCGTATACGTCTACACATGGGGCTCCGGCCTGACAATGCATAATGCTTTACGAACTCAAACGTGGCGATGCCCTTCATTTCCATGTATCTTCTGCTAGGTAATGGCCCTCGCTGTACCAAAAAAGGATATGTGAGACACAGTGGAGGCATATGGCGGCTGTCAATGCGGGACATGCTTCGCAGACGGAGTCGCACCCTACATGCACGTCAAGCTCTAACAAGGCAGATAAATTCCAAGCACTAGGCCCATGGGCAGCACACGACACGCCCCCTCTACTCAGCCCTCCGCGCACAGGCAGCCATGGTCAAGTCAAGAGATGACGTTATCGCGCAGTTCAACGAGGACGTCAACATGTCCGTCGACGAGCTCCAGCAGTGGCTCGACGACCCAAAAAGCACGAAGGCGGGCACGGGTGTAGGCATCGAGAGCGGCCACAAGATCATAGAGATATTGAAGAAGAATCCGGACAAGGACCCGGAGAAATACGACGATGTGCGTTGTGTGCGTTCTGTCTGTGTTGAGGACACGAGCTGAGCCGCAATGGGCGCAGGAGGATATTGAGCACATGAGGAAGGTTGTCAGGTCCGTACATTCTCGACGCTGCACCAGAGAACAAGGTCTGACGTGCCTATGCCTTGGTGCACAGTTACAGTGCGAGACATCTCGCACAGGAGGACAAGCTCAAGGAGACGAAGACGAAGGAAGAGCTGGAGAACACGAAGAGCACCATTAGGTCCGTCAGAGAGAGGTGTACTGGAAGCGCAACTCACCTATTGATTGGCGTTGCAGCTTGAGAAACTGGGGCCATGTGCGTATCCAGCGACAGACACCCTAAGCAACCCTTGACATCTGTATGTGTCTTGTAGGACCCGATCAAGACGCTAGACGAGAATGAGGGCGCTGCGAACGGAGAAGGCACAGACAAAAATGCTGAGCGGGCAGAACAGGGGAGAGTCAACGGCGCTAAGCATGACGAGAAAATCACCGCCAACGGCGAGAAAAAAGCGAACAAGGGCGTAGAGCTAGAGCAGAAAGAGCAGACCCAGGCTAGCTCCAAGCGCAAACTCGGGGAGGGGGGCGGTGAGGCGGAGGTGGCAGAGGAGGCTGCGAATGAAGATGGCGGGTATGAGGATGAGGATCCCTCTGACGCAGCAGGAGAGCAAGAGGGTCCTCGGAAGAGGACTAAGACCACAGAGAACGATACGAATGGCGAGAAGGCTGACAGTGCGTAGAATAGTTCCTCGTTGGCCGAGCTGCGAGTGGTTCGTTGATGCTTTGCTGTGTAATGGCCGCGGTACGGTACTGATGACTTTGTGAGTGTAAAGAGGGCATATTGATCCACAGAATATAGCAGCCTCAGCAGCGATGAACGCATTAGTAACTTTCAGGAAGACACTAGTGACTGGCGGCGGACGAACCGCGTCCTCAAACGCGACACGTCACAGCGTGACGGACGCGTCTCGGCCTCGAGGGCGGCCGGAGATGGCTCGGCGGATCACCGCGACGCGCGACACGACGCGACACGTCCTCGTGACCTACGCGACGCGGTGTGTTTAATATTTGTTCGCGTCAAACGCGCTTCGTGAATAAATAGCCCGCGCGCGTCCACCCCGCGCTCACCATCCCCCTCCCCCTCCCCCTGTCCCTTGGCCTCCTTCCTCTTGACTCTCACGCACGCTCTACGGCATCTGTCAGCTGTCAGTATTATGTCTGACCAAGACCTCGGCTTGTCCTCGCCCATGCTGCTCGACAGCTCCTTCTCAGATCTGAGCGGGGAGAAGAGGACGCGTCGGAGGTTCACGCGCGAACAGGTCTGTCTGCTTGAGGAGCTCTACCGCGAGACTCCCCATCCGACACGTGAACGACGCGACGCGCTGGCGAAGGAGAAAAACCTGTACGTATGCTGCCCATTGCCACCCCACCCACGACGCGTCCTTACGGCGATTCTCGCGTCCCCCCTCCTACACGACTAAGTTGGCTCACTCGGGGATGTCTCTTCTTTCAGAGACACGCGCGCCATCACCGTCTGGTTCCAAAACAAACGACAGACCGAGCGCAGATCCGCCATGAACGCGTCCCGCAAACGTGGTGCTCTCAAGCCCGACCCATTCTCCTCCCCATTCTCCTCCGCACGCGGCAAGACCATCCACACCGCTCGCTCTTCCAGCCCCGCCTCCGATGACCTCTTGCGCTTGAGCGACATGCACACGCACACCCCCACGCCCTGCAAGCGCCGGCGCGACAGCTCGTGCTCTCTTTCCCTCGACGCGCGCACCGTGTCACGCACGCTCTCCCTCGACCAGATCGCCGCGCGCGCGGAGCGCCCACACGCTCCCGAGCTCGAGGTCGACCGACACGCTGCGACGCCGCCCCGCCGCACCCCCCGCGCAACACTGCCCTTCTTGCATGCGCCACCTCCGCCTCGCGCGCTTTGGGAGGCGATGCCATCCTCACCCGTACAACCTTCGGCCGAGCTGGCGGCCTCACCGCCGCTGAATCTCGACTTGTGTCATGGCAGGCTGAAGAGGCGGCGCACGCTTGAGTGGGCGTGTGCAAAGGAGCGCGCCGGTGGACCCCAGATGGACGCGGTCGCGGAGGACGAGAACCCACTAGTGCTTGACCTGGGTGGCGATACAGACGTGGAGACTGAGCCAGACGTACATGAGGCGGTTACGCCGAAGAGCAACCCGCGAAGTGGTGGTGGCGCTAGCATTGTTAGGGTGGAGTCATGGGAGGAGGAGAGGCTAGTGGATGGCGACAAGGAAAACCGGCCGTACCGGTGGCTCAAAATCCGTCATGATATGGTCGCAAAGACGGAGGTAGACAGGAAGGGGCGTGCGCAGGTTGATATACGGAAGGAAAGGGACGAGGATATGATGGACGCTGCACTAGCTTTGTGTGGGCTTGGAGGGCGCAAATGAGAGCGCATGGGTGGTAGTCGTGATTGGAGGTATCTTCGCTTTCATCTGAAGGAGCTTTACTGTTTCACTATTTCGTAGGCATTATGGCATGACATGGCTTTGACTGTATGTAGGTTAGCATAGCAAATGACAATAGCAGGAACATTTCAAGAATAATGACTGGTCTGGCCATCATTGTCCAAGACCTACCCTCGTACCCAACCGATCTCGAACAGCTTGTACCCACCCTCATCCGCGCGCCCGACGCCCTTGCATCTCTCCATCCCCTCCACCGCCAACACTGCCAAATGCCAACCCTCTCCCCCTCCGCCCACCGTTGCCTTCGGAAACACTTCCTCGACCGTATCGCACATCCCTTGATGATGTCCCGCGATCCTCAGCGGAACGATGAGCCAGAAGACGCCTCCTCCACTGCTGTCAGCGTCCGGGCGTACGAGGAGGTGCTCAACACAGGCCTTGATCCAACGTGCGTGCTCCGGGTGGTAGACCACATCCGCGGCATAGATAACATCGAACGTGCGCGCGAGCTCGCCTTCGTACACGGGATGCTCCCAGTCCAGCGCCCGCACAGCAACGGGTGTCACCGGGTCCGACGATGGCACTGTGGGTGGAAAGTTGATGCCAACGTTTATGCGGAGGTTGTCGAGCACGGAGGGGTGGTAGTCTGTCGCGACGACGGTGGGGTGGGTGAGGGGTACATGGTCCGCACGCTGGCGCTGGAGAATCTTCGCTGAGACGATGCTGAGCAGACCTGTACCTGCGCCAAGTTCCAGTATGCGCGACGGTGTCGCATCAGAACGAGAGGCGAGCCCAAATGCCTGAGGATCCGCGCAAAGTCGCTCGGACAGTAGGATTGAGCTCGCCCAGCTCTGGAGTCCAACAGAGGTGTGGTCCGTGCTCAGGAGGGGAGCATCGTTCAGCTCTACTTCTATCTCCTCCGCCTCGCCAGTACCGCAGGAGAAGACGAACCGTCGCGTCAAGGCCTCCTCCTCCTGCTCTCCTGCAAGGGCCGAGAGTATGGCTGTAGCGGAGTCGACGAGGAGAGCGCGCGCATCGGGCTCCTCCTCGACGGCGGGAGCGTACACCCATGTATCGGAGCGTGCGGCGAACCCGGTCAGCCAGCGGATGGCAAATTCACGCTCGAAGGCATCGGAGCGGAGGACGTCTGGGTCGAAGGTGTCGTCAGTGCCGATTTCGTCTGCGATACCCTCATCGTCCTCGTCGTCTTCTTCGGCCGAAGCATATCCAGAATCTGGTGCAGAGATGTCATGGATGACATGCTTGGGGATGTGCTTAGCTGGGAGTTTCAGCGACAGCGGCGGTGTCGGGGAACGACAGTAGATCGCGCGGAGATTGTCCAGGGCCTGCGTGAGCTCCTGGACGGAGCAATCTGCCAGCGTCGAAAGCCTGGGCAAACAGGCCGTGGGCGGGATAAGACTGCCGTGTCTATCCATCCTTCTATTCGCAAAATCTAAAGTTCTATTTGAGAGCTTGAGGTCTATGCGAGTCCGTACTGTAGGTGTACGCCGGAGAGCCAGGAGAAAGCGGAGCCTCTAGGGTATCTTCTATGGTCTAGAGTGTAGAGTCTAAACAACCAAGGGTGTGCTTCAGGGGTCCCTTGGTTGTTACTGTGCAAGGTCAGGCATGACGGGCATGGCGGGGGAGGTGACGGTTCGGAGCAAACGCCTGCTCAGTCATCATCGCAAAACAGTCTCGTAGATCGGCTATCTCCGATCGAGGGTACGCTTCTTGTCCAATCGAGCATCCGAGGCTGCCCTCTGTGCTCGACTGCGAACATGGCGTCGGCACTCACTGTCTCGTACGAGCTCCATCCTCCGCCTGAGACACCTCAAGAGGGGTTACAGGCTCAGAAAACACACACCTTCCCTGTACCATCCGAGAAGAAGGGCAAGGAGTATTATGAAAGCCTGAGGAAGGCGGTCGCAGAAGCCAGGAGCACGTTCGGGGAGGAGCTGACCGCTTGGAGGGATGCAGTCGGTGCAAGAGAGCAGACGAAAGAAAGCAAGCTACCGAAGAAGAACGAGGATGAAGACGAGGATGAGGATGAGGAGCAAGAAGATCAGGTCAGTTGTGGCCCCGCTGCTTCAGGTACCCTATTGCTTAGCCGGTGTCTTCGATGGTCTCTAGTAATAAAGATTGAACTCGGGCATTGGTATGTGTGTAAACATACTGTAGACAGCGATGGGCAAGGCAGCTCACGCTGGTGATCTATCGCAAGGACCAGTAGTATGCCTCAGCACAGGCCTGAAGCGAGGAGGAAGGATGAGCAGCACCAGCAGTCCAAGGCCAGCCTGCTGGAACGCGGATGTGTTCAGATACATATCGTTCGCGTAGCACAACGAAGGGACGTGCGGGCCAGACACCAGAGCAGTGGAACCAGCTGAATAGCCTGACGTGTATGATAGTGTAGTAAAAGACAGCTCTACCGCCCCCCCATACGCTTCTCCTTGCCCCGAGGTCTCTCGTGAACAACCAACTTGTTGCTGTTCTTGGGACCCTTCGGACCCGGCTTACGCGTCCGCACGCCCTTCGAGACCCAACCCCATATCGACCGCGGCTGTTTGTTACCCTTGGACTTTCCACGTCCACCTCCGTGAGGGTGATCGCACCTGAAAACATATGAGGCACAAAAACGGCATAGGACGTAGTGATGAACGTACCTATTCATGGCCATACCACGAACGTGGGGTCTGCGGCCCAGCCACCGCGCCCGACCAGCCTTTCCGAGGTTACGGTTCTTCCACAGCGGGTTGCTGACCTTCCCAATCGTCGCAACACAGTCCTGCAGCACCTTCCGCACCTCACCACTCTGCAGCCGGACATGCGAATACCGCCCGGACGCTTCGTGGGTAACAACCTGGCCCCAAGTGCCCGCGGCGCGCACCAGGATGGCCCGGCCCTCAGGGTCGAGCGAGACGTTATGGATGATGGTGCCGACGGGGATGAGGCGCAGTGGAAGGACGTTGCCCGGCTTGACCGTTACCTGGCGCAGCATACCGAGGACGAGCGACGCCGTGGACGTCGACTGCGTGTCTTCTGACTGCTGCTGTAGCGAACTCCCGCGGAGCTCCTTCGAGTCCACGAAGCCAGCGACGAATCCCTCGGGGATGCCCTGCCTAAAGCTCTGGATGACATGGCCCGCACGCAGGCCTTCGCATGCGAGGATGTAGCTCCAGACTTTGTCCCCGGATACATTCGGGTCGCGATTTTTGAGGAGGGCTATGTGCGCAGAGCGATTCGGGTCGTACTCCACGCGGACGACGTCGTGCGGGCCGGGCTCACTGCGCATGAAGTCGACGAGACGGATGCGACGCTTATGTCCTCCACCGCGCGAGCGGACGGTGATGTGCCCGTGGCCGTTGCGACCACCCTTTTTCCGCTGGGCGACGGTGAGCAGGCGCAGAGGTCGACCCTTCCACAGGTGGGGTGCGAGGGGCCGCTTGAGGTGTCGGATGCCCGGTGTGATGGGCTTGTATGTTTTGAAAAGCACCTCTGTCCGTGCTAGGGCGGCATTGATTCCAGACGCTGCTTCGGTAGCGTAGCTGCGCGGCGCAAAAGCACTCGCCTGCGAGAAGGCCGTGCTGCGGGTAGAGGATGCTGCAGTTGTTGTGAGCGACGAAACGCAGGAGCGAAGCAGGCTAGCCCCGCATCTTGCTGCGAACATCCGGGGAGCTGCCAGGTGGTGGCAGTTGGCGGTAAGAGCAGAGCGGCCTCGGGCGCTTCTGCACGCACGCGTTTGTCCCGACTCGCGACCATGGTACGTCGCGTCCTCCCACATCCTCGCTAGCCGGGTCTGCATTGCTCACCATGCGTCGCGCTAGGCTGCTACAATATCTACAGGAGCGACAGAGCTCCGCGACATCACGAAAATGGAGCGCATTGGTACGCGCCACAGTCCTCTACGCTCGAGCCATGCACTGAAGGAAGAACGTTGCGGCAGGTGCTCACTCGCACATTCGCGGGTTGGGGCTCGATGACAGGTTAGAGCCCCGCGCAAACTCTCAGGGCATGGTCGGCCAAGCCAAGGCTCGCAAAGCAGCGGGCATGATCCTCAAAATGGTGCAGGAGGGCAGAATAGCGGGACGGGCCATGCTGTTCGCAGGCCCACCTTCGACTGGGAAGACGGCCATTGCGTTGGGTATCTATTACGTCTACACTCGGCTCAATGTATGGGCTTACGAACTGTGCTTCCACAGGCATGGCGCAGACATTAGGCGCAGACGTCCCATTCACTATGATCGCTGCGAGCGAGGTGTTTTCTTTGTCAATGTCCAAGACGGAGGCCCTCACTCAAGCTCTCCGGAGGAGCATTGGTGTCCGTATAAAGGAGGAGACCGAGATTATTGAGGGCGAAGTCGTCGAGATGCAGATTGACCGCAGTCTGACGGGGGTGAGTCCCACTGAATAGCTGAGCGGGCCGGGCATTGATACATTAAGCCTCCAGGCAACCAAAACTGGCAAGCTCACGATCAAGACGACGGATATGGAGACTGTGTACGACCTCGGCACGAAGATGATCGACGCACTGTCGAAAGAGAAAGTGACTGCAGGAGATGTCATCGCTATTGATAAGACTTCCGGCAAGGTCTCAAAGCTCGGCCGATCATTCGCCAGGTCGAGGGATTACGATGCTATGGGTGCAGATGTATGTCGTCATGCTGTGGGAGAACTCTGACAAAGGGATACTGACCGCGGTCACGCCCAGACACGTTTCGTGCAATGCCCGGAAGGCGAAGTGCAAAAACGAAAAGAAGTTGTCCATACGGTCTCGCTCCATGAAATCGACGTTATCAACAGCAGAACACAAGGATTCCTCGCCCTCTTTGCTGGCGACACGGGCGAGATCAAGCCAGAGCTTCGAGACCAGATTAACACGAAGGTTGCGGAGTGGCGAGAGGAAGGGAAAGCCGAGATCATCCCCGGTGTGAGTGATCCTAACTTACCCGTTCTTCTGGCTTGGCTAGCCATTCACTCACCACATTTTCTCCACGCAGGTGCTCTTTATTGATGAAGTGCACATGCTCGACATTGAATGTTTCTCATTCCTGAACCGCGCACTGGAAAATGAACTCTCCCCTCTCGTCATCATGGCATCCAACCGGGGAATGGCGCGCATACGCGGAACGAAATTCCGCAGCCCGCACGGTCTTCCGGTCGACCTCCTCGACCGTGTTCTCATCGTCAGCACCTCACCGTACTCGGACGAAGAGATCGCGCAGATAATAAAAATACGGTACGGTTTGATACCTAGGCATCTCGAGGCGCGCCGTACTTACCAATCCTCTGCACCCGGACTGTTCCAGATGTGAGGAGGAAGATGTGAACCTGACCGAGGGTGCCTTGATGGTGCTCACAAAAATAGCGGGCGACAACACGCTCCGCTACGCACTCAATCTAATCTCGACCGCGCAGGTCATCGCGCGTAAACGGAAGTCGGCCCAGGTCGAAGTCGATGACGTTCGCAAGGTCTATGGATACTTCATGGATGAGAAGCGCAGCGTGCAGTGGCTGCGGGAGCAGCAGGGCTCACTGCTCTTCGAGGAGGTTGGCGGCGAGCCGAGGGGAGATGCGATGGACACAACTTGATCGGTGTACTTGGCAGCGGGTGTTGTACTAGTAGTTCTTGGTACGTCTATTCAACTGCTAAGTATGTTTGTGCACGACACTGCTGACACGATGCATCAAGCACAGATAGGTTCTGACAGATATGCGTACCCAATGAATTAACGTTGCGCCGTGACCGTGTCTTACATGAATGGTGGTGCTGCAGGGTCGTGACCGCCGGTTGTCGCGGTTCCGTGCCAGTGTCAGCAATGCATCTGTGGAGGTGATCAGCTGAGGCTTGGTTCTGTCGTTAGCCACCGAGGTGTTCGCGGTATCACTAATGGCTCACGTTACCGCCTTCGTCTGTCAGGTCCACAATCCTGCTGGTATTTATCACCCGATGGCAATTGGATGCAGGAGCTAGTACAAAAGCCCGTCCTTCGGAGAACCCAAGCGCGTTCTTGGTTACTCTCACCTCCGTACAAAGCCTTCACGACCAACTGTGTACCCATTTGTCCATCATGGTATAGCACCTTATACCATAACACGATTGACATGCTAACGCCCCGGATGACCTCAAGCTCTCAAGCGACACGGCTTCGACCACATCGACCCTTGCGAGTAGTCACCGCCAGTCTTCCCTCTCTAGTAAATTGAAGGGGAAGCTGCGTAGCGTCTCTCAGTCCGTGAGTCTGTTTCTTGAGCAACCGTAGTAGAGAGTTTAACCAGTTTGTTGTTCCGTAGCGGTCGAACCACCATGGGATGCCTTTAATCACACCCTCTGCCGGTATCGGTTCAGAGACTAGCACGCTGGTGAGTAGCCAATTACTCGCGACATTGTGCACGGCATAATCGAGACTGTCTTTAGGTTGACTTCCCTATCATTCACAATAACTTGGACTCTTATGTTCTAGAGCCATCAAACGAGAGCGACTTTCAGGTCTGTCTTCTATCGCATTTCTACCAGATTCCCTAACTCACTCCGTCTGCTGCTGCAGGATGACAGTGACCTCGAGGCAGAGAACACCTCTTGGTCGAGTCGACAGAACAATCCAAAGACGAAGTCACGGCCTATCACTGCCGCGCTGAAGCAGGGACGTGATGCCACAATGGTATGGACGGTGGTCGATGCTGTGACCTCTAGACATGGCCCTGATGCATCCGCTATCCGCAGCGTCCCACAAGCACCGTTACACCCGTCTCTAACGCCGCGACGTCCGCGAGAAACTCCAGCCAACACCTGCATTCCAAGTAGCACATGTCCCCGGCCCCGTGGCCAAGTATACCACCGACGCGGAGGTCCCATCTCTTCCTTTCGTCCCGTCCCTTTCCGCGTCGACAGCTTTCCGCCGCTCTGTAGCTGAGCATGATGGTGGTCTTCTATCCCTTCTTCGATCATCATGAGCCTCGCGGGTGTATAAATAGCATGGGTACCTCTTCTTCGCCACCTTTTCCCGAGTCCCGTTCTACGACGGGAATAAGTGTTTGCAGAGACGGTCGCACCCGTGGTACTAGAGCAATCCAGTAATAGCCTAGTCCGACCTGGACGGGCTCGCCGTATAGCTTAAGGACGTTCCCTCGAAATGCAGAACGCCTTCTTTGCCAGATAGTACGCAGCGAATACACGAGTGTCCCGGTACGGTGGTGGTGCCAGTCCCCCGAACGTATTCTGGAAACTCCTGCTCGGATGCTTTGAGGTGTAGTGTAAGTGCCTCTGTCATCGAGACCCTTCAAAACACTACTAGCACCTAGCCTCGGCAGTTGATTTTGCAAGAACGGCGTTTTCTGCTTCAAGGCCCTTGGCCCGTTCCAAGGTGTAATCTTCGCTATGTTCGCTTGATGTTCGCAGGCACAGATCCCGATGTGCCAATTTGATATGGCGGAGGTTTGTCCGGATGTGGATTGTGGCTGGCAACTTACTGCCTACCTACGCCCACCAATCCGCTTCGCAGTGAAACCAATGTCATTCACATGGGCATACGTGAGGTTACGAGGCAGTGGCAGCACATGACACGCGGAGACGGGCCATACCGCAGGAAGAGAACTGACGGAAACGACTTAGCCGAATTTCTCCTTCGCCATCTGCATGAACATGTCCATCGTCGCCTTGTCCTTCTGCCGTATGACGTCTGCTCGCTCCCGCGCAGCAGACACCCGTTCCTCCTTCCCCCCATGGCGCTTCTCCTCGAATCTCCGCCGCGCGGCATCTCGCCGGGCGAGCCTGGGCGAGTTGAAACCGTGCAGTTTGGGTCAGCATTCCGTTTCCATATGGACGTAACGCATACACGCACTCGTCTTTGAAGCTGCTTCCGCCTCCCATGATGGTGGATTCATCGACCTCCAGACCCTCATCCCCGCCTTCGCGGAAGGCGCGGTCGTTCTCCCTCTGTGCGCGCTTCTTCTCGAGCATACCCTCCCTTCCGACAGGTTTGGGTCCGACGATTTCCTCAACCCGCTCCTTCGTCTGTTTCCGCTCGCGTTTTCGCTGGTAGTCGCGCTCTGCAGTTCGGGATTCATCCGCAGCTTCGCGTGCTAGGGTCATATCCGATGCTGTCGGCAGCGTCGGGCCTTGTATGCGACCACTTCCACCTGCGGTGGATGCGCGACCATGTGTTGCAGAGCCCACTTCATTTCGAGCAGCACGGAGAGCGGCGGTGTCGGAGCCAGATGCTTTGGAGGCGAATGACCAGCGGTATGCTGTCTGACTGCTGGCGGAGGGCACGTCTACGCCACTGTAAAGATGCCTGGGCAGCTTCCCCCTGTTCCACGCCTAATCACCTTGATCCTTAGAGAAGTTGACATGGTTAGTGTTGTAAAACCCCACCTTTACGAACTTGCGGAAGTACCTGAATCAACGTTCAGTGACTACCGTGTGATGACACCTAAACACTCACTTTCGCGCCCTGTCACTGGACAATTCGTCCATGTACTGACCCACGGTGTTCATACATGTCTCGCTCACGTACAAAGTACAGCATACCTTCTTCTTCTCGTCTTTCAACCATTGTCGAAACTCGTCGTTCTTGAGGAAGTAGTCTGACTCTGAGATGGGCGAGGCACCAGCCGGAAGTGTCACTCTGCGCTCTGGTGAGCGCGAGCGCGAACGGTCGCGCTCGCTTGGGGGCGTCCGAGTCCCATCCCTAGAATATGAACGTCGTCTTTGTGAAGGCATTCTCGTAAGGTGCTGCAGCAGACCAGTAGCGGTGATGATGATGTTCAAGCTTAAGACATGCCGAAGGCGCTTCCAGCCACAGTGCATTCGCCGACCTCAGCACTGAATCGAACCGGATCGGCTGGCGTGGCGAACAGAACAGCAATCCTTGGACATTGGTCTCCGTTGCTGACCAAAAGGAGATAGTCTTGGGCACTCGAAAATCCAAAGCAGTCCAGCATGTTACTTTTACAGTGTTTTCGTGTTACGCTTATCATTGCATGGATGCATAGAGAGAACAATGGCAAGACATAACCCCATGATGCGTGCACGACGTGAGTATTCCCGAGGGACGATAGTATAGCGGCTCAAATAGTGGTCTCGTAGCGGACGGGGGCCATCGTCTGCGGTGCATTGCCAGAGGTCGAGACGGTGTGTGCGGGGCGGGGCTGGGCAGGGATGCGCTTGAGGGTCACCCGCTCTACAATCGCCGGGTTCTTACATTAGGACAGGTATTACAGCAAGCGAGGGTGCGACTTACCGCCCTTCTCCCGTGCAATAACATGCTCGTCGTGGTTCCGCTTGACACGGTCGAGGAACTCCTTCCTGCACTTTGAATGCCGGATGTGCTCAACACGGATGTTGACCCGCTTCTCGATGTAGCGGTTGCCGACGACCTTGTTGACGATCACACCAACGGCGCTGGGGGTAACATTGTAGATGATCCCTGTCCGGCTGCACAGAAAATGAGCACCAGAGCCGAGACTGTCCACACTAGTAACGCACCCGTGGTAGTACTTGTGGGGCATGCCCTTTTGCTGGGCGGCGTTCGCCTTGATGTCGACAATGTCACCTACCCGGTAGGTGATGAGGTAAGTCGACAACTTAATGGGGCCGTGCTCTGCACATTCAAACGTTCAGTCCCCGTCCTCCCAATCCGATCGCACAGTGCGTACCCTTGAAGCCCCGCTTGAACATGTCGCGCGTACGCGCCCGGTAACCGAAGGAGTGCGGCATCTTGAGGACTGCGTTGAATCAAAGGTCAGTCGTCCAGCACAGAGACAGCGGGCGAGCAGGGTACTGACATTAGTCGGTCGTCGGCGTTGGCCCAATGACTGCTCTCGAGGACGGTGAAGGTGCGCACTCGGCAGTCGCCGGGTGGCTGCCGCGGGTACTGTACAGTTGTGGAGGGCGCTAAGCGTGGCTGTTTACGCGGCTTTGGCGGCATACCCAAACACGACCGCACGGCAAGCGCCAGTCTCCCCTACCGTGTCCTCCGACCTCCTCAAGAAAAATGCCTAGGTATTGTCCTCGCGCATCGCGTCTGCGCTGCCCGCCGTATTGACCTCGCGTGTATAGGGCTCCGAGGAACCACTCCAAGACGTGAGTTCCTTTTCTTCAAGATCCACTATGTGGAGGGATGCACCGTGCTGATCGAGCCGTGCCCCATAATTCCGTGACTTCACAGTTACAAGGTCCCCCGTCGCCCCTTCGAGAATGCCCGTCTCGACGCGGAGCTGAAACTCGCCGGCGAGTACGGTCTGCGCAACAAGCGCGAGATCTGGCGCATTGGTCTCATCCTGTCCAAGATTCGTCGTGCCGCCCGTGAGCTGCTCAAGCTCGACCCGAAGGACCCCAAGCGTCTCTTCGAGGGTAACGCCCTCATCCGTCGTCTCGTGCGCATTGGTGTGCTCGACGAGACCCGCATGCGTCTCGATTACGTGTTGTCCCTCAAGATCGAGGACTTCTTGGAGCGTCGGTTGCAGACTCAGGTCTTCAAGGCTGGTCTCGCGAAGAGCATCCACCATGCCCGTGTCCTGATCAGGCAGCGACACATCCGGTGCGTTTACTGCATTCCTGTTGTGTGATGGCGCTCACCTAGACTCCGTGAACAGCGTTGGCAAGCAGATTGTCAACGTCCCCTCCTTCGTCGTCCGTCTCGACTCTCAAAAGCACATCGATTTCGCACTCACCTCACCATACGGTGGTGGCCGCCCCGGTCGTGTCAAGCGCAAGCGCGCTGCTGCGGCTGCCAAGAAGGAGGAGGGCGGCGAGGAGGAGGAGGAGTAAACGATTTACACCCACGATCTCCTCGGGGCGCTATCTCATGTGGTTGTATGTCTATGAGTTACGTGCAATATGTTATGCGTTTGCTACACTCATTTCTTCATGATGTCCGAGAATGACGCTGTCCAACCTGTGATACACGGGATCGGCGAAGGACCTACGACAGGCCCTCGACCGGCGTAGGATCGAGTACACGCGGGACTTTCTTCGGCAGTAGTGAGTATCACAACGCACACGTGGTCGCCGTTCAACCAGTGTACACAGTATTATAGCCGATGCTACGACCGCATGCTCGTCGGAGTTGTTATGGGATTCTTGACGTCGTTATTTATCTTCGTTCGGCGAGCGAAAGCCCACGGTCCTCTCCTCGGCACGCGTCGAACTCACCGTCTGTCGTTTATAAGTTTGGCTTCAGTGTCAATATGGCGTTGGGTTCGCATTGCGCACTCTCCACTCCTCTGGGCTCGGCGATCGAGGAAGGAAACCCGGGACGCGCTTGCCAATCCGAGTCGTACAGAGATGGCCTGGTCGTTCGTAGGTTTGCATGTGTGGCTCGCATGGTTCGCCGGTGCGTTCGTTGCGCGTGCAGCCAGCTCGGCTCCCCAGATTCCTTCAACCGCGAACTTCATTCCTGGACAGGGCTCTTTCGAGTTACTCCCTGATGTGCAGATTATCGTGGACAGCGCACACGCTCTGGAAGGCTCACCTTCTGCCCTCGCCTTTGCACAGACTTTCCGAGAGGACCTGCTCAGCGTGGCTCACTACGCTTGGGTTCCTCCTGTGACGGTCCTACCGGTTGGCGTAGGAATACCTGGCATCCCAGTCATCCACATCACCATTGACGCAACCCTGGGGCACACGTTATACAATGGGCAGCCGACGCTCGAAGGCTATGACTTTGAAGTTGCACCGTACACGTACAGCATCAAGGCGGCTGCACCCATCGGTGCTTGGTGGGGTATGGTCACTTTGTTGCAGCAGGTCGCGTCGTCTGTTGCCAGCGGTGCGAAGAGCATCACCATTCCAGCCGGGGTGGGTACGGACTCGCCTGGCTGGGAGGTCAGAGGCTTCATGCTAGATGCCGGAAGGCACTGGTTCGACACCGGGTTCCTGTGTATGTCTTTCCTTGCCACGCTGCTAGCGACCTAGATACTGAAGTGACTTCTACCAGCCGAGCTCTGCATATATGCGTCGTTTTTCAAGCTCAACGAGTTTCACCTCCACGCGTCCGACAACCTGTGGAACCCGGACTACCTGTACAACGGAGGAGATGCCTGGAAGGAGCTCTATGCAGCCTTCCGCTTCCAACCGCCCGTGGGGTCCCCCATCGCCGGCCTCGTACCCCGGCTAAACGAGAGTTGGCCCCAAACCGATTTCGCCGCCTTCCAAGAAACCTGCGCCAACCATGGAGTGACCGTCATCCCCGAGATAGACACGCCTGGGCACTCCCTAGCCATCACACAATGGAAGCCCGAGCTAATGCTCAGCGGACAGCCCGACCTGCTGAACCTCTCCTACCCAGACACGATCCCGACGATCCAGTCCATCTGGCACGAGTTCCTCCCATGGTTCAGCTCGCCCGAGGTGTCGATCGGCGCGGACGAGTACGATGCCGCGCTCGGGGACGCGTACGTCGGCTTCGTGAACGAGATGGCCGCGTTCGTGCAAGCGGAGGCGGGCAAGCGCATCCGCATCTGGGGCACGGACGAGCCGAGCAACCAGACCATCTCCACGGACGTCACCATCCAGCACTGGGACTTCCCCGACGCGGACATCCCCGTGCGCCTCCTGGAGGCGGGCTACCAGGTCATCAACTCGGAACAGGCTTTCTTGTACCTCGACGGGAAGTACTCCGACGGGGGCGTCTACCCGTACTCGCTCAACCTCGACCTGATGTTCGCGGGCGCGCCTGACGGCGGTGGGTGGGCGCCGAACATCTTCAGCGCGACGGACGAGAGCAATAACACACGCGCCGACGCGCCAGGCCTGCGCGGCGCGATCATGGCGCTCTGGAACGACTGGGGGAACAACGCGACGACAATGCTGGAGGACTATTACCAGCTCGCGCAGAGCTTGGCTGTCGTCGGCGAGAAGACGTGGGCGGGCTCGGGCGTACGCGAGACGGAGCTCACCCGCGCGCAGTTCGAGAGCGTGTACCCAGTCATGAACGCGGCGGCCCCAGGGCAGAATCTCAACCGGGCCGTCCAGGCGGAGCATGGGGATGTCGTGTACTCGTATCCAGCGCCATGGACCACGCTCTTCACGCCGTACGCGTCCATGGGTCCGCCGTATACGCTGAAGTTCAGCGTGAAGCCGAGCTCAGTTGCTCCGGACACGGGCTTCCTCTTCGCCGGGGAAGATTCCAAGTTGTACATCGCGAACCTCACCTTCGAAGCGACGGGCCAGCTCTTCCCGTTAGGCTACGTGCTCCCAACGGACGTCTACACGTCCGTCGAGATTCACGCCACGACGCAGTATACCTATGCTGTCATCAATGGGGACGAGGACAACCTGCGGTACTGGACCACGGATATGGACATTTGGGCGGAGTATATGGAGCGAGCGAATATGTCGTTCGCAGCGCCGGCGCAGCAGATAGGGGGAAACGGCTTTGCGGGCAGCATCAGAGACGTGCTGTTGACAGTGGGCTAGGCTCATGTTGCATCCTGCAACTTTGTTCCGCTGCAACAGTCAAAAGATTTTGTGGGATGCGTTATGTGCGTGGATAGATCCTGTACCTGTGCGGTGAATGTGTTGAGTTCTGGATAGCTTTTCTGCCGGAGAGTATATGTGAGAGACGTTGTTGTTTGAGAGGATTTAGTGCCGCCTATACGGAGACATTGGATGCTTGCGTACGCCCCAGTCAATATCATTTTGGCTCCGTGTCACAAACCTACTACAGCGATCAAATCGTCGGACATCTAGAGATAATGACATGATCATGCAGTAGTAGCCGTGGCCCTTTACACATACCCATGACAATTGAGCAAACTGGCCATCGCAACAATCCGTGCGCACACGCGCAAGGGTATCCAAGTGTTCCTGCGCGAGACGATATCTGCCTGCCAGAGCATACAAGTACAGGGAAAGGGTGTTCCTAATTAGAGCAATATATCCTAGCCATCGTCCGCCGAGCAGAGGAGACCGGTTCTAATATGTTTGGACGGGCGCGGGCTACCAGAAACGGTTGCTATCGGGTGCGAAGCCGTTTGCCATACGCATCATGACGATGTTCGAGGTCAGACTCGAGAACTGTGGACGGACGTATTTAGGTCGCAGACACAACGGACTTGAAGCAGCGCGCTTACCCCGTTCCCGATGAGCACCTGTGCCCTCTGGCCGATGAGCATGTCCACGGCCTGCGCCACATACTTTTGTTCCCAATTCAGCAGGACATCCCTACTCCCTGTGACCCGCTCCAGCCCACCCATCGCAAACAGCGCCGCCTTCAGCTCGTCCACCCACTCCTTTGCGCCGTTCGTCATGATGTACACGTTCCGCAGGCCGCGCCCCGCGCGCGTCGCGCGCACGTCTCTCACCTTCTCGACGATCTGCTCTACGGTCGGGAAGCACCGCTGCATGTACAGCTGCGTGTTCTCGGGCGTGTTCTCGCCCCAGCCCGCGCCCGGCGGCGGCTCGAACTGGTCCGGCAGCTCCGGGAACGAGTTGAATCCGTTGAAGAGCGAGGACCACCGCGCGAGGTGCGCGCAGTGCTCCGCGAAGTCGCCCCGGCGGATGTGTAGCACGAGCAGGCCGGAAATCATCGGGTAGGGCGTGGATGGCCGCAAGAAGGGGATCGAGGGCAGGAGTTTGTCGAGGAAGGTGGGTGGGGAGATGACTGGCCGATTAACCGCGAAGGCAGACTCGATCAGGGGGGACCAGCGGAAGAGGGTCATGATGGGTGACTTCGCGAATCCGGGGAAGATGTCGAGGACGCGTGTCGAGCCGAAGATCCTTCAGAAGGTTGTGAGTACGACTGAGTAGCATGGGTACCAGACGCTGTGCGTACCATATTGAGAAGATTTGCTGGGTGTCACGCTCGATTTCGATGCATGGGTGGTCGTCCATCGCGCGCAGCTTTGCGACCCATGCCTCGAGCACGGTCTGCGCAGACGCATCGCCATCGAGTGTCTTGCCGACCACATCGCTGCTGATGACGGTGGGCTCCGGGCAGACCTTGTCAAAATACTCTTTGACGACTGCGAGCGAGGCGTTGTCTCCGGGCGGGAATGGGTCGCCCACAGCAGGTCCTGCGCTATGACAGTGAGCAGCGTCCCAGGTATGCAATCCTATATGCGGACCAGGGCTTGTTCCCAGCCTTACGTCCCTCGGGACTTGTGGCCGGTACTTTCGGTATTTCCTCCACCCCATGAGACCGTCTGTCCGCGGCACATCTCAGCATCAAGCCTACCGCGCCCAATGGTCAAAAATGCCCATCATAACCAAAATCAACCTTGACTGCACGTCCACCTCCAAAGGATCCACATCGCCTTGCAAGACAGGAACAAGCCCTGGCTCAGCTCAGACAGGCAGGACGCACCTCGGATGAGCGCGGTATTCGGGATCCGCGAGGGGATGAGCTTGCCGTTGTAGTCCGTGTAGTCGGAGCCGTCCCTGTTCCAAGTGTAGTTATCGAACGCAAAGCTGGGCGCGCGCGCGGTCAGCCCGCGTCGGAAACGCACAGAGCGGGTACGCACTGCCGTCCTGTGTTGTACGCTAAATACGAGTTGAACAGCAGCTCCTGCATGGCGTTCCCCCACCCCGAGGCTACCTGCGCGTCGGCGCGACGTCACTCAGCAACGAAGGCATGGCGACGCACCGTGGACATGGTTCGCGAAGAAGATGTACTTGCCGGCCGGGTCTGCCTGCTCGTGGTGCTGTGGCAGGGCAAGCTCGTGCTCGTGGTGCTGCTGGTAGAGCGGCGGGAAGATGTGGTTCTCTGGGGGGTCGTCGACGAGGACGACGTACTCCTCTGGCTCGCGGAACGCGCCGCGCAGGAGGGCGAAGGCGGAGAGGGCGAGGAGGGCGAGGACCGCTATTCGCGTGTAGCGCTTGTTGTGTGGCCAGCGGAGGCAGGAGCGGGGGGTGTGGCGGTCGTGGCGGTCGTGTACGGGGGTGGGCAGGATGTGGTCCTCAGAGGCCCGCGAGTGTCGCGAAAAGCGTTGGCCGAACATGGCGGGCTCGTTGTCGCCGTGTGTGCGCAGAGGCAAGCGTGGGCATCCGCCTCAGCTCCACCGTCCATCCTCTACTCGACGCCCACACTAGGCGCCCACTATGTTCTGCTCGCGTGCAGCCCGCTGCCCATCATTCGCAAAGTTTCGACGGTGTATATGTAATGCAGACATCGACTGAAGGAGTATACATGCAATCCGCTAGTACAAGTGTCTCAGAAGAATCGACTCGAGTCCACCGGGAATCCATTCGCCGCCCTGAGCATGACTATCTGTCCCGTCAGACTCGAGAACTGCAGCGATGTTAGCATCATTGGCGACGCACAGCAAGCCAGGAGCACTCACGCCGTTGCCAACAAACACCTGTGCCCGCTGGCCAATCAGCATGTCCACCGCCTGCTCGACATACTTCTGCTCCTTGTTCACGGCAACGTCCCGGCTGCTCGCGACGCCGTCCCACCCGCCCTTCTTCAGCAACGCCCGCTTCAGCTGGTCGATCCACTTCGCCGGGCCGTTCGTCATCACATACACGCGGCGGAGGCCCTCGCCCGCCTCCGACGCGCGCACCTCCTCCGTCTTCGCGACGATCTCACTGATATCCGGGAAGCAGTGCGGCCGGTACGCCTCCGCGCGCTCGTCCTCGTCGCCCGGTAGGGGCTCGTCGAATCGGTCTGACAATTCGGACAAGGTGTTGTACCCCGTGAACGTCGCGTTGTAGTGCGCGAGCGACTTGCAGTGCTCCTCGAAGTCGCCCCGCCGGATGTGCAGCGCGAGCAGTCCGGGCAATGGCGTGTACCGGTCGCCGTTGGATGTAAACGGGCGGGAGTAGAGAGGCGGCTCGAGCGGGGTGGAGGGCGAGATCGTCTCACGATTCGTGTCGAAGGCGAGCTCGATCAGGGGCGACCAGCCAAGCTGGGTGATCATAGGGGAAGCGGAGAACTCGGGCCAGACGTCGAGGAGACGTTCGGCGGAGCCGAAGACGCTGCGACAGGTGAGTCGTGCTAGACTTGTGATCAGTCAATAGCCTAGACGTACAAGATGTCGAAGATGGATTTTGAGCTCCGGGGCACTTCGATGCACGGATCGTCCATCGAACGCAGCTTCTCCGCCCATGCGTCGATGATCTGGCCGGCGGTTGCCTCGCTACCTAGGTGGCCGATCACTTCGTCGTTCGAGATGAGGGTAGGGTTCGGGCACTCCTTTTGGAAGTGCTCGTGTATTACTGCCAAAGGGGCGTATGGATCGCTGGGTATGGGTGCGCCAACCGTAGGGCCTGATCCCATGTTAAGGTATATAAATGGATGTTATGAAGGCGGGTCATACCTTGTATTTGCGCTGAGAGGGGTATCTGGGAGGGAACAATCTTCCCGTTGTTGTAGGTCCACTGGCTGCCATCATCGTTCCATGTGTAGTTATCGAACACAAAGCTGCGATCATCGGTCAGTGAGAATCCACGGGACGGCAAGCAATAGCGCTACTTACGAGCGACCGGAACGATAGGTCAGATAGTGTAGTAGAAGGAGCTCTTGCATAGCGTTGCCCCATCCTGAGACTATCGACGAGTAAGTAGTGGAGATAGACAATGGAGGACACCGCGCACATAGGACTGTGTTGTTCACATGAAAGTACTTCCTCCCCTCCGCCAGCGGATAATCCGGCTGGTGTTGTGGCAGCTGCATTTCGAGCTCATGGAACCTGCCATACAGTGGCGGTAGCAGCTCCGGCGGGAGTGTGGTAGGATCGGGATAGAGCGGTGGTGGTGGTGGAGAGGCTCGGAACGACTTCGCGACTATCGCGATCGTAGCCAGGCTGGCCGCCGCAAGCGCAACGAGTCTGAGGCATCGTCGGTATGAGAAGGACCAGCGGGCAGCGTAGGGCTTGGGAGGGTAGTCTGCGCCGCCGGGAAGGAGCTCGTACGCATGGCGGTGAGGACGGTCGTCGGACCACCACTTGGAGCTCATGGGCATCTGGGAGATGGAGGGAGGAGGGAGGGAGACATGCGCAGGGTGCGCGACGGAGGGCGGCGAGCGCAGCAGTAGCAGTGAGACATGCCTGTGCGAACAGATCTGCAGATTTGGGGATAGCTACGCTCGCGGACTTCCCCGCAGCATCACTCCACCGACGTCATCCGTCTCGGCGCTTCCTCGCGTCTATTGAAACAACAGCATTCGATGGTCAAGGGCCTTGTATATATGTAGCTCGATGGACGGAGATTGAGAAAGAACAGGAGGTCCAAATCACTTCGTCTGAATCTCCCATTCTGGCAGCCAGAACAAACCGTGCTAGAGTACAAGCCGTGCCCATCAACCCTAGTCTGAGGCTACTTCTGTGATCTCTACCGTGCAGAACTGTCGCAAGAGCTCCGCATCCACTCCCGCATGCCATGGAGAGCGTCCGTTCAATCTCAGGGTTTGTAGCGCACCCTCCATGCTCATGAGCCGCACGGCTCTCGTCAGCGCAGCTTTTGAGTCTTCATTCTGCAAGCCCCGCATGCCTTGTATCTCCAAGATTTGCAGCGCAGCCAGGCGGGGCCGCACATATGTCACACTTTGACCGCGTGCTGTGTCTGACGCGCAGAGGGCGGCAAGGCATGAGGACAGGCTTTTGTCGACCCCGCAGACATGCAGCATCCGCAGCCCAGGCATGACTTCGAAGAGGCTAGCCCAATGATCAGGTAGGTAAAAGTCTCCGCGGCCGATTGTCAAAGTGTCGACGGCGCTGAACAGAGAGACGTCCCGGTGTGCTTGCAAAAAATGAGTGAAGTGATCGCGCGCTTCCTCCTCCGTGTGGAACCGCATACATAAACTTAACGCGCTCTTTGTAGGTCGCAAGGACTTGCGTATGAACGAGGGTTTGTTGTGATGCGCGTATCCCTGGATAAGTAACTCCTCTTCAATGGCTATCCGCAGGGTGCGTATGGAGGAAAGGGTGCGAATAGAAGCACGAACAGGCAGATGATCGTCGCGGGAGAGAACCACGTTCAGATTGGCGGTCTCAGGGAGGCAAAGGTGTGTAAGGAGCCAGCCAGCGACCATGGACTGCTCCCAGTCTATGGATGCAACCCGTAGAGAGGGCAGCAACACAACCCTGTCCGTACGGGAAGGGTGCTGAGGTGCAGTGGAAGGTGACAATCCCGAGCTGTGAAGTTTGAGGGTCTTGAGGTCAGGACAACGGTCCAGGATGTCGAATAATGTGTCCATCTCGGTGATTGAGATGCCCTGCCCCGTGAGGATGAGGTGCTGCAGGTTTCGCAGGATGTTAGACTCGGCACTGAGAGACAGGGACACATCTGAGAGATAGATGGAGTGCAAAGGAGGGAAATGTCCGCCGAAGAGATCATGCGGCTGGAATATCAACGGAGGATACACGATTGAATAACTTGGAAGAGCCGCCCCCAGCCTGAGGTCCTCAAGCAGCGGGGCATCCATGTACGAAAGGCGGGGCAGGACAGATCGCATGGTTTCGTGGTCCTCCGCTTGTATCCGCAGTTTCCGGACGCGATGCTGGTGAGACTGCAGAACCTCGATACAGTCGTCCACACGAGTGCCGTTGAGGCCCATGATAGTGACGTCAAGAGGATATGATTTTGATCGCCGTAGATATTCTTCGATGAAACTCGGGAGCTCGTCACGGTCGTCGTCCGACTCGTCGAATGCGTCATAGTCGCTCGGGCAGTCAATCCACAACGTTCCCCAAAGCTCGGCGGCGTCGAGGGCCACCGTACGCCAATGCCTACAGACATGGGTTACACGGTTGAGTAGAGAGATATCCGACCGTTTTGACGGCGGGATTGCGTGACATAATATTTCAGCGAGAAGTTCGGTCGGGACGCGGTTGACATGGACAGATGAGTTCCGCAGGGTCCGCAGTTTGGTCATAAACGCGTTGGCACGCAGCACGTACTCCTGCACCTGCCGTAGAGCATCATCCATAGCAGGATGCATGACCTCGCTCGGCAACTCGTCCAAGCTCAGGCTGGCGAGGAGTTCCGTGCAGATTTGTTCCCGACCTGAATCCGGCCCGTAGCTCTGTGAAATTGCAAGCTTCAAGCTGCCGACAGTTCTCAGCATAGGATCGTGACATGACAAGGAATGGGACAAACCTGAGTAACGACTCGGATGGACGCGTACGGGAGCCATTGCTGGATTCATCGGGAGCTGGCATCCTCATTATGTTGTTCGAATTGATAGGGAGACAAAGATAGGAATGGCAGTGCTCGGTGTGATATCCTCGGGAGTGGGTTGAAACCGAACTTACAGGCAATGTAGTTGGTTCTATCCGAAAATTTGTACGCGGCGAGGATTCACTACTCCCTGCTTCAGTCCAGCGAAGGGCTCTAACTGATTTGAAAGATGACAACTGCTGGCTCAGCAGTGTTCGCAGGAGTTCGTGAAAGCGCAACAGCGCTGAAATCGATCGATGCTGCGAAGTACGAGTCAACGAACGTCGACACGATCACGTGTTGAATCTAGAGTCGCGAGCGTGAAGGTCAGACTCACTGCACAACGCACATCGTGTCCGCTCTCAACCAAGACGCGCTGACATGAGCGGCAGAGACTCAGTCATCGATATTTCCTCCTCGCCTGAGCCGCCAGCATGGAGACCACCGGCAAGTCAAAACCTCTCAGGGAAGTCTTTCCACTTCGGAGGAATATGGGCGACCATGTCTACGGACCATGCAAGAGAGCTCTGTCGTGCCAACGGCGGGTGCGTGTTCGGACAGCTCAGGATAATAATCGAGAGGATTGAGTTCTCATACAGGAGTATCGTAGCACCCTCCTCAAAGCCTACCTACGTCGTCGTCGGGGCCCGCAGCCCGCCTAGTACCTTCGAGAGCGCAAAGAAAATGGGCAAGCAAGTGCTAACGGAACTCCAATATATCGCACTGGTGCTAGGCGAGAGTGTATCCTCTAGTCAATCCCCAGCGCAAGCGGGTCAGAAACGCCCTGCAGAGGCAGAGGCAGGTCCGTCCAAGCCTAGCAAAGCACGCAAGTCCGATCCCGGGCCTGGCCTCCCGCCCGCACCCGACTTCCCTCGTATCGGCAATTTCCTGTATGACGGAGAGATTCGTCTGGAAAAGAAGATGTTGATGGCGTATGCTGTCGTCCGTTGCATGTCTTCACGAGCACGCTGGCTGATTGGGTATCGGTGATGCGCCCAGGTATGATTGTGGAGGGCCCGTTTTCAAGGCAATGCGCGGAAAGAACCCGGTGGATTTGCTCCAAAAATTCGAGGATTGGTTGCCGGATGATCTGGTAAGTGATCAGCGACTTTTGAGTATCCTTGCACCCTCACATGCATGAACAACGCAAATACTGCAGCAATACCACCACAAAATCATGTCCTTCCCGGGCTAATAGCCTACATCTCTACAGAAGTATCCGTCAATCTTACTCAATATTAAACTTGCTGTCCGTGTACATATTACAGGCGGGCAGCTATCAACTAGGGCGGCGACGAATTGTATAGTCCATATGCTTCATGTGAATGAATATGCGCAAGAGACATGTGCTGCAAATACACGGTTGCAAGATGTGGTGGTGGTACATTCGGCATGCCAATATCCGAGAATTAAATGAGCAATCAGCAACTTAGCAAGGGCACCAGGACTTGCCCGATAAGCATAACATCGGCGCGAGCTCAGCACACCCACGACACGTATGATGTCCTGATCATGACAACGAACCTCAGCCCCTCATCTCAGCATTCAGCCCCTCACCCGACTCAACAGCTCACTCAGCTTCCCCGCCGCCAACCCGTCCTTGAACCCGCTCGGCTCCTGCGCATGCACGTTCGAACCCCTCCCGAGCACGAGCGAGAACCGGCGCGAGTTCCCCTCGCCGACCACGTTCGGGCGCGCCGTCACGGGGCTCGTCTGGAGCGCGACCGCAGGGAGGGAAAACCGCTTGTGCCTGCGCGCCGTGTTCTCCTTCCGCGGCGTCGGCGGGAGGCTCGAGCCCGCGCGGCGCGGCGAGTCCGTCGTCGCGAGCGACGCGCCGTCGTCCGCGGGCACCTCCAGCATCTGCCCGTCCCGCGGCGAGTCGAGCGTGAGTAGCGACTCGTCGCCCGCGGGCGTGCCGAAGCGCGACCGGCTCGGGCTCGGCGTCCCGTGCTCGTGCTCCCGGAAGTCCTCTAGGATCTGCACGTAGCTGCGCGGGCGCGCTGTGGGCCGGATCCGTATTGCGGGCACGGCGGGTGCCCCGTCCGTGTCGTCCATACCCTCCCCTGCGTCTGCGCCTCCGTAGACAGACTCGTCCTCGATCCGCGTGAGCACGCGCTTTGGGCTCTCGAGCTCGAGGTCGACGGCGAGGAGTGCAGCGGGGGACGAGAGACGGTGGTCGCCGAGCACGAGCGAGGGCATGCTCTTGAGCCCGGAGAGTGTCAGGTGCGAATGCGTCGTGCCGGCGCCGACGCCATGAAGAGATGAGGATGTGTGGTAGGAGTCAAAGACAGGGAACACGGTCTCGTAACAGGCGTCGCATGCGCGTGCGGGCTTGTGTGAGTCCTTGCTGTCCTTGCCGCCGCCGTCATCCAAAATAAAGAAGGTCTGGGTCGGTCAATATATGCGGCGGTACGTAGAGCGTACAAAGAATCACCTTGCCGGAACAACTCCCGCAGACACATCTGCCACACAGCCGACAATGATGCCTTCGTCTCCGCCAGCCAAACGTCCGCCCACATCTCATGCAGCTCTGCGCCTTGCCGTCTGGTATCCAAATCGCTGGTACGAAGTGATCGACGCGCCCCCTCTTGGGCTTCAACCCGTTCTCTTCAGGCGAGTATGGCAGTGCCTGCAGCGTACGCCGTAAGTGGTTCGTCGAGGATGATGACGTGAGCGTCGAGTTGGGCTGCATGACGTTCAGCGAGACAAGGAGTGAGCTTTTGGCGTTCCGTATGGCTGCGCACCAGTCGTCCCGTTCCTCCTCGTTCGCTGAGAAACATCAGGGCGGTATGTCAGGCCTTCTAATGAGCTGAAAGGACTTGCTGCTCACCGGCATACACAGCAAACGACTGCTGCGGGCTCAAGACCTCCAGCCGCCTTTCATCACCGAACTCTCTTGCAGGGGGCACCACGACTTCCATGTCCACCAGATCCACATACCCCTTGTAAACCCACCTCTCGTCGGTCCCGCTACTTGCATGCCTCGCCTTCTTCTTCGCGGGGCTCGCATGCAGCCTAAACTTGAGCACACTCTCCTTGCGCTTGATCGCCTCCGCCGCGCCAGCCATGTCCGCGTCGCTCTTGCTGCGCGTGCGGATAAGCGGCGGGCGTGCGGGGGAGGCGGGGGAGGTCGGCGAGGGCTCGCCGCCCCACCCGCCGTAGGCCACTTCGCCGTCTGCGCTCGCGAGCCAGAGGAGGCAGTCGGAGAAGAGCAGGAACTCACGCTCCTTCGCGAGGGAGCCCTCGAGCTGCAGGAGCGGCGCGCGCCTGAGGAAGGTGCGCCCCGGCGTGATGAGCTTGAAGGGCAGGTTCGCGGTGTTCCGCTGGAGCGCGAGGAGCGCGAGGGTCTGGGCGTGCGTGTGCAGGGACGCATTGAGGGAGGACGTGACTGCGAGACAGAGTGAGACTTAGTAAGGTCGACGTGGGGACGGCGACTTACTCTTCGAGACGAGAGTGTGCACGGCTGCCAGCTGTGCGTACTCTGGATCTTCGTGGTCTGTGCAGCCGATGAGGTCCTTGAGGAGTAACAAGTACCGCGGACATCTCTGCACGATCGTCAGTAGCCAGTCTCGGAACTTGAGTTTCCCGCAGCGGGGATCGGCTTCTTGCTGGGCGATGAAGACCGCAAATGTAGGGTGGCTATTGAGCAGAGCGGTATACGAGGCGAGGCTATCTGGAAAGGATGAGACGAACGGTGTGTACAGTGACAGGTAGGGGAAGTGGGAGAGAAGCACCGGGGACAAGGGCGGCGCTGACTCTTCGGCTTGTGACGACGAGGAGCTGTCGAGGAAGGTGGTGAGGGAGGTATAGAAGGAGCGGTGGAGGTTCCAGATGTCGATGAAGTTGGAGAATATGGACGTGAGCTCGTTCCGGTCGAGGAGCTGCTGTGGTGTGTCCAGCGACGCGATGATGGGCGTCAGGAAGTGCTGCATCGCTGAATGAGTGGCCGTGCGCGGCGCATATCACTCGGGCAGACGCACCGAATATATGAGCTCCAACCCATCCACATACGACTTCTCTGTCTCATGGAACTCGTTGATGACCTTCCGCCGTTTCGCTTCTCTCTGCTCGTCAATCGGACGCATCTGGCTCCGGCGCCGTGCCTTACGCGCGACGTCCACCGACGAGGGTCTGCGCGCTGGGGACCGCGTCGCGTTCCTTATTACGGTGGGTGTGGTCGGGGACACGGCGGGCCCGGGCGGGCTGTTCTCCTCAGGGAGCGAGTCGAAGGAGGCGGTACTGACGACAGACTGGCGTTGGAGGAGGTTGGGGGCAGAGGGGAGGGAGATGCGGCGGAAGGGGAGGTGTTGGGCGCGCTGGTAACGAATGTCGGACTGGCTCGCGGAGAGCTCGGAGGACGAGGGGAAGTCGACCATGGCGGCCGACGGAGATGGCGGGACTGCAGGAAGAGGGTCGACTGTCAAATAAATGTATATATATATATATATGCAGGCGACACGGGAGACATACCTGCAGCCATGGGGGACGGTCGTGTTTGGGAGACGACTGGGTGGCCCTCACACCGCTGACGCTGTCGATCGCTTCCAAGCGTCACATCCCCGGTGCCTCTCCGGCTGCCCCCTCCCAATATGGCAACTATCCTCATTCGAAGTCCCATTGAATCCACAGTCTACCAGACGTTGTCCTGCAAGATCGAGGACTCGAATGTGCGAATAGTCCGGATTCTCAATGCAGACACAATTTTGTTCTGAGACGGGGTCTTCCCCGAACTAGCTGCGCTGTCAACTGTGTCAAGCTAAACAGGGCAATCTATTCGTCGGGAGGATATTCACAGACCGAATATCATTCCACGGTCTCGAAGGTATACCGGATAGCCTGTTACACTCTGACGTGTACGAGCGGAATCGATCGAGCATCCCGCTGACCCATTTGGACACGAAATTACGGGTTTCGGTACAGTCTGGGCACATAGCCGCGTTTCCTGGAGCACAAGGAGCACAAACATATCACCCCTGACACACATCTTGAGGCGCGACAACAAACAGAGGTCCGTTCACTTTAGCAAGGCGTCACCGACATGAACCAGACAGCACGTGGTCCTGAATGCAATAAGTCTCCCAGAGTAACGTATAGTAGAGCTGCAACACCCGCGCAAAGTATCAACAGATACGTCACGTCAAACCACAAGCTCGCCCTCGACACTCTCAGGCTCTACCCCAATGCGTTCGAGACATCGTTCATACCGGTCAATGTCGACCCGCTTCAGGTATCGCAACACCTTGGCCCGCTTGTGGACCAGCTCTCGCAGTCTCTGCCGGCTGATGAAGTCCTTCTTTTGCTCCATGAGGTGATTCCAAACGGCGCGTATCCGCACTGTGTAGATGGCAGCTATTCCACCCAGTGAAAACATTCTGCTTCAGTGGCACAGCGAATACACCAGCGCATCATTCACGCACCTTGAACCTCAGGCCGACCCGTATCCACCACGTCTTCCGACTCCGAGAACGCAGCGACAATCCGCCTCTTGTTCTCGAACAAGATGCCCTTCGCATTCGCGTTCCTCAGCGCGACGAGCCTCGCAAACTGCACCGCCTTCTGCGCTTCCCTCGCATCCGCGTACTTCTCCTCGCGCGCGAGCGCCGCTGGGTTATGCTTCGCCCTCTCGCTGATCGAGCCCTCAATGCTCAGGTTCGGGAGCACGTCAAAGAGGAGCTCGCGCTCCTGCTCGCCCACGCCGAAGTTCATGTACGGCGGCGGGCGCGCGTCGTCGGGGGAGCGCGCCTCCGGGGGCGGGACCGGTGCGGTGTCGACGTCCGCCTCGGTGACGATGACGCGGGCAAGATCGCAGTTCGTCCACTTCGCCTCGTCGCCTGGGCGATGCCCCAGCACGACGTGCGGGCGGTTCGCGGTGCGCTGGAGGTCCTCTGCCTCCTTTTCTAGAACTCTCTTGTTCTTGCTCTGGCCCTTGTGCGATACCCGCAGAGCGGCGGTAGTGTGCAAGTGTGCGCTATGAGCCGAACTGGTCGATGCGACGGTGCGTGTGCCTGCATCCCAAGCATTAGCAAGAACCTGGCATAGGGAGAGAGTCCGGACGCACATTGTGACAACCGCGCCCTGAGCATCGTGTTCCACGTCGAGCTCGGTGTTACAGACGAAGTGGCAGCAAAAGCCGGGTGGGACAGGCGCCGACCCGTGTCGTGGGAATCCTCGATTAGACGCCTGACGGGGTATAAGAGGCCTGCGCGGGCGGGGTGCTCTCCTTCAGAGAGATATGCCACGCTGCTCGATGTCGACCGCGCGACCGTCGAAACAGTGCCAGTGACTCTCCGGAGTCCTGTCCTCTCGAGATCTGGCTATGGCTAAGCAGGTTAGGAAGTGTTGCGACCCAGTTCTCTATGTCGTGGCATGTCGACACATCCCTGTGACATCTGTCCGTCTGTACTCTACTGCTCTTCCTTGCAATATGATCTTCTTTCGCGAAACTTGTTCTTGTCTGCCTAGGCTGTCGGTCGCAAGCCATTGGTTGCGGGATCGTTGGGGTTATCGTACAGGAATGGGACGAGGTTTCTCAGCGGCAAGCAATTTTTTGGCACGTTCGGTGGATGCCCTGATTCCACAGCGCCTGAAACATCCTCACTCGCAAGTGAGTCGCAACAAGGCTGCAGCGAGCCCTCCGGTCCACACTGCGACAAGCCCGAGGTATTTACAAAACCACAGAGAACGAGACAGTCTGAGACAGTGCGGGTTCGGAGAGCACGAGATGCGAGCAAAACACGTTCGAAGAGGAGAGCGAGACACAAGTGAACGTGTGGGAGAAGGCAGGGTCCGCTGGGAATAGGTGCGTACGTGCGTCCTCGCCTCCCTGCAGAATCCCTGAAATACGAACGTGTGCGACCCTACAGACATCGAGGGATTCAACTCGCCCTGAGCAGCTCGAATGTGGGACTACGTCTACGCTGTCGAATAGCGTTCTTGGGCTGCGCGCGACAATCTCGGCGGCCAGGCGATAACGCAGGCGACTGCATATGCCCTTGCTCGCTCTTGTCTGCCGCATCCGTTTTGATGGAACGTATCGGCCTCTGTATCGCCGGGGCTCTTTCGGCACGCACACCCTTCGCAGACCTGACTGAATCTGATGCTTCTCTGCCGTCCCTCGCCCGCTATATCAGGTCCGTCGTACCAGCGGCCTTCCAGGATCCCTCGCGATGCGCCTCTCCCTCGTGCTGCTCGCGTCCGGCGCGCTTCTGGTGCATGCTGCGACGACGAGTCTCGACGGGATTTATGCGCTAGTCCAGCGCCAGATCCCCCAGCATGCGAACTCGTTCACCTTCTCGCTGATCGACGGCGGCGGCGACTCCTTCGCGATTAGCGATCCCGCCTCCGGGGACGGCGTTTCCGTGCAGTGTACGACCGTCAGCGCGTGTGCGAGGGGCCTTTACACGTGAGTGCGTTCGCGTGTCGTGCCTTGGAGCCTCCCTGCGAACTCAGCGACGATGCAGATATGTGACGCAGTTTGGCGGCGTGGACATCTGGTGGACCGGGTCGCGCCTGAGCCAACTGTCGTCCACACTCCCAAAAGTGGGCACTCCGGTCAACGGAACAGCAATCGTACCTTATAGGTCCGTCCGTCGCTTGATCCCGATCCTGTCAACATCTCTCGCCACTGACATGCGCGCCTTGTTTGTAGGTATCATTTTAACACTGTCACCTTTGACTACACGGCTGCTTTCTGGAGCTGGGACCAATGGCAGGCCGAGCTTGACTGGCTCGCCCTCCGCGGTGTGAACCTCCCCCTCGCTTGGGTGGGTTACGAGTATACTCTTATTCAGGTCTTCCAAGAGGTCGGACTCAGTGACGAGGATATCTCGTCCTTCCTCTCAGGGCCTGCCTTCCAGGCATGGAATCGCTTCGGGAACATCCAGGGGAGTTGGGGCGGCCCACTGCCCACACAATGGATCGACGACCAATATTCCCTTCAGAAGCAGATCGTCGCGCGCATGTACGAGCTCGGTATGACGCCCGTCCTGCCCGCCTTCACAGGCTTCGTCCCGCGCGCATTCGCGGACCTCTACCCGAGTTCATCCATCATCAACGGGAGCCAGTGGAGCGGCTTCCCCGCAGACCTCACAGACGTGACCTTCCTGGAGCCGTGGGACGATCTCTTCACGACGATGCAGACGTCGTTCATCAACAAGCAGCAGGCGGCCTTCGGCGAGAACGTCACGCACATCTACACGCTCGACCAGTACAACGAGAACAACCCGTACAGCGGCGACACGGGCTACCTCGCGAGCATCTCGAACAATACCTTCGCGGCGCTCCGCGCGGCGGATGCGGAGGCGGTCTGGATGATGCAGGGCTGGCTGTTCTTCTCGAGCGAGTCGTTCTGGACGGATGAGCGCATCTCTGCGTACCTTGGCGGTGTGTCCGGCGATGATTCCATGATCGTGCTGGACCTGTACTCCGAGGCGCAGCCGCAGTGGCAGCGGACGAATTCGTACTACGGAAAGCAGTGGGTGTGGTGCGAGCTCCACGACTACGGAGGTAACATGGGGATGGAGGGCAATATGCCCGTACTCGTCTCCGACCCGCTCTCTGCTCTTGCGTCCTCCCCGAACATGAAGGGCATCGGTCTGACGATGGAGGGTCAAGAGGGGAACGAGATCGTCTATGACATCCTCCTTGACCAAGCCTGGTCGTCTACGTCGATCAACATCAGCGCATACACAGAGGCCTGGGTCGCACGCCGATATACCGTCAGCCCATTGCCTGCTGCTGCACAGACCGCGTGGCAGATCCTCAGTAGCACTGTGTACAGCAACAGCAACCCCGACACGCAGGCGACTATCAAAGGCATCCTCGAGCTGGAGCCCGCAACTTCAGGCCTGACAGATCGTACTGGACATCATCCCACTGAGATCACGTACGACACCAACACGACAATCGTGCCCGCGCTTCAGAACCTCGTCCAAGCCGCCACGGAGAACCCTGCGCTGCTCAATGTGCCCGAGTTCGTCTACGACCTCGTCGACACCGCGCGGCAGCTCCTCGCGAACCGCTTCATCGACGCGTACAACGCGCTCGTTTCGACATACTCCTCCGGCGGATCCGCCGCGGCCATCAACGCCACGGGCCAGCCGCTCCTCACGATCCTGCGCGACCTCGACACGCTCCTCTGGACGGACCAGAACTTCCTGCTGCCGACGTGGCTCTCCGCCGCGCGGAGCCTCGCGGGGGACAACACGACGTACGCGGACTACCTCGAGTACAACGCGCGGAACCAGATCACGCTCTGGGGCCCGGACGGCGAGATCAACGACTACGCGTCGAAGCAGTGGGCGGGCCTCGTCGGCACGTACTACTACCAGCGCTGGGAGACGTTCATCGGCTACCTCGCGAACATCACCGAGAGCGGGCAGGCGTACGATAGCTCCGCGCTGAGCAGCCAGATGTTCGCGATTGGCGAGGCGTGGGATGCGGAGACGCTGAACCTGAGTACGCTGATCAACGGCGACGCTTTGAGCGTCGTGCAGGGGATCATGCAGGACTACATTTAAGAGGGATCATTCGGTACTATGGACTAGGGAATATTCTGCATACGCACTCATTCCGTTGCAGCACTTTGTGGGTAGAGTCTAGACTAAACTACACAGTATAATCTAGACATTTTTCTCTCTGCAATCTGCATTCTGCATGCCTGTAACAAGTATGAGAACGACAGAAGCGGTCGGTGACGGGGATAAGTAGCTACGTTGCATCCGATGTTCGTTGTACTTGTCAGTCTAGCAAGCCGCAAATGTGCTGCTGTAGTCACTTTGCTGTCACACATCTGATTACTGGGTCAATGAGGTTGTCTAGCATCTTGTGCTTGCCTGAAGGGTGCCTAGCTGTTCCTGTTGTTCCGATGACGAACAGCACCCCTAAGAGTCCGTGCGTGAGTCTCCGAAGGACAGTACGGCCTTATGTTCACCACCAAGAGAGGCCCGTACGCCCAGAGGGGCCGATACGGGGCCACTAGGACGGCGTCCACCGAGACCGGCAGGACGCACAAGACATCGTTCTGTAGACATGTCTGGCATTCTGTTATTCAAGAAGAGCTAGATCGTACAACAACACATCACAGCATCACCAGATAGCAGACACAGCGCGTACACCAAAACTCCACTAACCCAAGAGACCCCACTGGCATACAGATCTAAGACTCACCCCAAAGCGTCCTCATGGCCCACAATCCCATTGACTCGTTCGTAGCGCTCAAGCCCACGCCTTGACGTCCTCGGGCGTGGGACCCACCGGGTCGTCTGACGCAGCGAGGTTGCACTGGTGGAACGCGCGCACCTGGTCCGGCTTGAACGCGCCGACGACGGTGTGGAGCACACCGCGGTTGTGGAACAGGACGAGGTCATTCTCCTTCCTACATAGAGGGACGACCTGGTGAGTACACTAACGGCTTCTGTGACGTGTAACGATAAGACGTACCAATCATGTGGGTAGACGAGCTGTTGGTGTAAGATACAGGGTGTCAGCAGATGGTAGCAATGAGAGAAAGAAGAGGAGGGCGCACCGGAGGAGCGATGGCGGGCCGCTGCATCTTGTAGAGCAGCGCACGGACAGTGCCGAGGTCGGTAATATGTGTGCCGTCGGGGTAGAGCGCACCTTCCCTTTTGGCACCCTCTGGGAGCGGGTCGACGAGAAGCTCAGCCGCGCCGCACGGGTGGACTTGGAAGTGGAGGTCGCCGGTGGCGGGGTTCTTCCAGAGCTGTGGGGTGCCAGGGTCAATGGGATGCCATATATGCGTCGTCTGCGCATATACTCACGACTGGGAGTGTCTTCCGCCTCGACTCCTCCCAGGGCGGGAGCTCCTCGAGTGGCAGCTCAAGGCCTTCCGTCTCGATGCCCAGGCCGGTCGAGTTTGCGTGGGCGGGGGCCATCCACACGTACGGGTGCGGCGCGTACTTGACCTTGCTCCGTACCGCGAGGCTCTTCAGCTCCGACGGGAGTAAGTCAAAAATCGTCTTGCCCCATACGAAAGCGGTCGTGCCCAGGGGCACGTCGAGCTCGTCGCCCGTACCGTCATCGTACAGCACGATCTGGCGCTTGCCTTGCGGGACCTTGATGCCGTAGAGCGTGGTCACCTTCGGCGGGGAGAGGTCGTAGAGCGCCGCGTCGATGTGCCAGCGGTAGTAGCGCGTGTAACCCTTCTCGGTGTCCTCTTCGGAGACGCGGGTCTTATGGAAGGTCGTGTGCGAGGGGTGCTTGAGCATCGCCTCCGCGAGCCCCTCGTGGTTGTAGACCGTGCCGTTCCCGATGAGCTGTACCTGCGGGACGCGGGGGATGGTCTTGAGGTCGGGGTGGAGGATCGACTTCTTGGTGCTCTGCGTCTTGTTGTTTCCGTGGCCATAGCTTTCCGAAGCGGGGTCGAAGGCCTGTGTTTTGGTTATTAGCTTCCCTGCTTCATGCTATTTCCTAGAGTACATAGTCGATTGCTCGCGCGGACAATATTTTCCAGTCAGTGAAGGCTGACTGCACGATGCCCATTTACGAGTCTCACGGGCCAATAGCATCGCGGGATGCGCGCATAGATGAACTCTGACGGCATCCGGGGTTGCACAACACAAGATGGATGTCGTGCACATGTGGCATTGCGAGGTAGTCCCGGGGAAGCAGCTCGTCCGATAGAATGATCGAAGGATGATGGAATGATAGGCTCACCTTCGTCAGAGCATACTGCTGTTCGGGCGTAACATGCACATCCCGGAAGAGCAGAGCGCCATGCTGTCCATACCACGCCGTCAATCTTCCTCCTAATCGCCGACAGAAGGCATCACGCACCTTGTACAGAAGCTGTTCGATCTCCTTGAACTGCTCCGGGGTGAGCGTGCCGGGGTTCACGCCCTTGACCTCCCTGCCGAAGTCGGCGAATTTGGATGGGTCTGCGGAGGGCGGGAGGGGAAGCGGGGCGACTGCGATGGCCATGTTTCGGTGAGCGGGAGGGCGTGGCGAGTGTGATGAAGAGCAGGACGGAGGGCGGGACAGACTCAGAATCAGACTCAGAGGGCTATCGTGCGCCCGCGGCGTGCCGTTGACGGGACCCCACAAGCGCGCGCAGCCACTCTGTGCCGATGACTTCATATTGTCTCGTACCCAGCCGGTTTTTACAGTCGCACCCCACCAGTGTTTTCAGTGCGGTGGTGGGGTGCGACTGTAAAAACCGGCTGGGTACGAGACAAACTTCATACCGACACGCATACTTACTCGCTTGGCGTACACAGCACTATACTGTACAGTCACTTAGCACTACAAAGCTTAAACACCCAATCACGTCTGCCTGATTATTCCGCCCGAAATACAAAGTCAATTTGAAGTATCCATCAGAGGCCCGGAAGTCCGTCAGATGGTGCATCATGTCCTCGTCCGTGGCTTGTGCGGGCAGTTCAGGTGCCCAAGCCTTCGAGAGACAACGATGGCTTCATCCGCTGGAAAGTCGCGTTGATCACCACAATAAACACGAAGAATCGTAATGTACCTGTCAAAGCGAGCCAGTCCAACTTCTTGTAGCTAAGGTATACTTTCATTTGGACCGTTGGGGGGCTCAACACCTCCGGCCGGGATTGGCGCATAAGCGAGAGACGGCGTATTATCCCTGGTAGCATTAGTCGTCCGTGCTTGAATACTACCGAAGGATGAGCATAGAGCAGCAAGAACGGATGAACATAAAGGAGACGTACCGAAGCTCCATCTCCGCCATCCCTTTCTGCATTGCGCTCAATCCCTGCTGCATGGCCGCTACTTGCGCCTGGATCTGCTGCTGGAATGCCTGTTGCCGTTCGTGGCCCTGCTGGATCTCCTGGCGCATTTGTTCAATTTGCTGCATAACGTCTCGTTGCAGCGGATACTGCTGCTTGAACTCGTCTACGTAGTTGGGGATAAGAGCGATCTGCTCGCCGATCGCCTCGAGGGCTTGAGTCATGGCATTCCAGTCTGGCAGGGCCATCGCGAGGAGCAAGAGACGCGCTGAGAGCAACACTAGACGGGTGTCAAAGACGAGCCGGAAAGACCGCGGCAAGGGGACCCAATAGGAGCGCAAGGTCAAAGTTGTTGAATAAGACGGCCTAAGGCTGGCACAGGCTGACAGTTGGAACTTGGGTGGCAGCTGCAGCTCTCGTCTTGGAACCAACATACGGTCACGTGAAGACGTGTCGAGACGGTAGACCAACGCGCCGATGTTTGTAAGATAGTGTACAGGGACATAGAAGTAGAGCCTGGCTGTGGAATGAGCGTTCGCAAACGGCGTACTATACTTATAATGTCCCCGTCAATGTGAAACCAAGAGTCGACTGAACAGCGGACCGTCGCGAACACCTGCCCAGAAAGGGAAGGACGTCGTTAAGCGCCTACACGAGGCTCGAGACCGTAGACGCGACGCGTTCAATTCAACGCCACCAACACGCTTACCGCGTCTCTCGACCGTACCCTACCCTACGCGTGTCTATCTCGCCATAAACCATGTACTCGTCATCCGCAGCGACAAAGGCGAAGCGGCGCACGCACCAGCGCCCCGAACTGACCGACGAGCAGAAGCAGGAGATCAAGGAGGCGTTCGAGCTGTTCGACACGGACAAGGACGGCTGCGTCGACTACCACGAGCTCAAGGTCGCGATGCGCGCACTCGGGTTCGACCTGAAGAAGGCGGAGGTGCTGAAGATCCTGCGGGATCATGACAAGACGGGACACGGCCTGATGGACTTTGAGGACTTCGCGAAAATCAGTGAGTGCGACGCGTCGCTTGCACCTGGCCCTGCTGCTCACTGCGGCCTTTTGTTCATGCGCGTATCCTCGTGTGTTCTACTCAGTGAGCGAACGGATACTAGCGAGAGACCCTATGGAGGAGATACGGAGAGCGTTCCAGCTCTTCGACGATGATAACACAGGCAAAATCAGCCTGCGGAACCTGCGGAGAGTAGCGAAGGAGATCGGTGACCGGCTAGAGGACGACGAGCTGTGAGTCCTTCGCGTCTGAGTGTGTGTACGGTGTGGCCAAAGCTAAGCTGTGGCCGCATAGACAAGCCATGATCGACGAGTTTGACCTTGACCAAGACGGCGAGATCAACGAACAAGAGTTTTTCGCCATAATGACCGATGACGCGTGAAGCAAACGGTCAAAGTTGCCCTATGTCCTGATATCCGTGTGCATATCTCGCTCTCTTGCATATCCATGTCTAGATGTGTCAGATACATTATTTTTGGTGAGTCTAGGCCTTATAGAGTGCGCGCAGCTCCTGAGTGGCCGTCTCTTTCGCAGGTCTTACTGTACGCGGACAGTGTGTATCTCTTGTTCGTTGTGTAATTCTAGAATCCCTGGCTCGATCACCTCCGCGGCATTCGAGGTCTGCCGTGCTCCCCGAACGCAGGCACGCTGATAAGAAACAAGGTATAGTCTGTTCATTGTCGGATATGGATACATGAGGGGTCCAGGGTTTGGCAGCGCGCCCCGTACTAATATCCAGTGGTGCCCAAGGGGTGCTGCTAGTGCAATACGAGTTAGTGGGTGAGTGGGCCACACTATTCTAGACCAACAATGCAGATCCCATTCGTGCCTACGGCGTCCTAGACCGAAAGGCTATGGCCCGCGCCCATCGCAGCCCAAGCCGAAGACGGTGCCGAGGGAGGAGAAGGTTCAGAAGGAAGACGGATAAGGGCAGCGCCACAGGCGGGCCACATGCAGCTGACCGTAGCACGTGCGCCAGGCCGCGCCCCAGGTCGGGCAACTGCGCGGCGGCGCCGAAAAACGAGGCACGCGGGCCGCCGTGCGGGGCGCCCGTCACCGTGGCCGCATGCTCCCTATCTGGCTTAGCCCAGGCGCAGGCTGCACACAGCCTCTTGTCCCCATCGATGGTCCGTCCCGCATCTGGGGTACCAGCCACGCCAGGGCGCACCGCGATGTGGACCGTGGACGGGTCCAGTGGGAGCGCACGGACCTGGAGGCTGACATCCTCAAGCAGGGCGGATCACCAAATGAGTTCCGAGGCTTGCGTTTCGAGGAATGTCGCCAGGATGCCGTGACAGGTGCGCGCGCGGTACGCACCGCCATTGACACTGAAGCTCCGGGCGGTCGGACAATTATGGGCGAGACGGGCAAAGTGCAAGTGACTGACAGATTGTGTCGAGCAACATGTCTAGGGCTAATAAGCGACCCGAGGGTGTGTATAATGGAAGCGCGGTTAATCATACAGTGGGGGCGGGCGGTCTGGATGTTCGTATCGTTACAGAGCGAGGCGAGTCCGTATACAACAACAGTGAGTTCCAAGTAAGCCCTTGAATCCCAAGACGAGAGAAATAACTGGGTAATAATGATCGTGCAACGCAGACATGGGGCTACCAGCCGTTGAACCAGTTTCGTAACGAGTTAAAGTGGGCGTCATCTGTCATTCGTGAAGGCATCACCCGCTTACGCGGGTCCTGCCAAGCGGCGCTGCTTGGACGGCCAGTTCTTGTGGACCCGCATGTGTTGCCCGAGATTGTCGTGCCGGCTGAAGTCCTTGCCGCAGCCAGGGAAGGGACACTTGTGAGCTACATGCGGGGTTATCGTAAGTCATACCGAATTCACCGGCGCGGGGATTGCACTCACGCTTTTCGTTCGTGTGGATGCTCCGGACGTGACGCTTGAGGTGCTCGCCACGAGCAAAGCACTTCCCGCACCCGTCCACCTCACACATGTAGCCCCTGCGTCCCTGTGAAGTGAGGCTCGCCGGTCAGGCATGTTCGCTGCGGCAATTGAAATAATGGACGCACCTTCTCCACAAGGTCCTCGGTAAGGACGCTGCTGGCCGTAGGAACACGACGGCCTCGGCTCTTCTTCGTCAGATTGGGCACCGGCACCGGCGGAGCCATGCGGCGGGCAGGGAGGTCCGAGCGAGACGACGAAGAGGCTGACGAGACGGTCCGCAGACGGGTGCGCAGACGAGACACGCCGTCCTCGACATACTCGTCGTCGTCGTCCATGCCATCGTCGGTCTCCCTCTCCGACTCCCCATCTTGATACTGCTCAGACGATGACGAACTGGTGAAACTCACTGCGCGCCTTCGTTTCGAAGGACGGCCAATCTCGGGGAGGTCCACCGTCTGCTCAATAACCGGCGATGCGAGCGGATAAGGCGCTTGGCTGAGGAAGCTCTCCTGCGAGCTGAGCGAACTGGAGCTCGCACTGCCCGGGTGAAGGGCGGGCGGGCTTCCGACAGTATACCGAGGGTCGAGGCCAGCCGTTTCGTTATTGTCCACGGTGTGAAGCGGCGTGGCGGGCGACATGCCGGGGGAGATCTGAGCGGGGCTGACAAAGCGGGGGACCGACTCGGACGGCGGCGGATACTGCAGGTTTGGGTCCGAGGTGAGGGTAAACGACGGCGACCCGCCGTCGTAGCTCTGCGGCTGGGCGGGATGGTCAAAGCCGTATCCGAAGTCCGCAGTCATCGAATCGTGGCCCTGACCGTGTAGCGTGTGGTAAGAGGCCAGCGCAGGGTCGGCGACGTCCGCAGGAAAGTAGTTGGACGACAGATCGTCGAGGCTGATGACAGGGGGTTCCTGCTTGAGGTAGCGATTGAGCAGGCTGTTGGCATCCTCGGCGCTGGGGAAGGACTCCTGCGAGTGGTAGGAGCCGCCGTTGTAAAGATCGCCTTGCGCCGGTCGCTCCTGGTACGCCCAGAGTTGTTCGTTGCCTTGCTCACCGCCGCCGTACATGTTCTTGTGAGCCATGGCCGCCGGATCATGATCCCCCGCCATGCCATAAGAGGGCGGCAAGGCAAATGCGGACGGCGGAGGAACGCCTCCGGAAGGAGGGGCATATCCAGGAGGGGGGAGAGGAAGTCCGGGAGGGGGAGGGAAGTCATTGACGGAAGGCGAGTAGGACGAGACAGAAGAGTCCCGCTGATACGACTGCGCGTTGGGTATCGGCACTGGGTGCGAATGTGGCGCAGAGGATCGAAGGTAAGACTGTGAGGACATTACCGGCTGATATTGAATAGTATGGGAGTAGTCGTAGTGTGGTATCTGGGAGGAGCGGTGGTGGGCGAGCTGGAAGCGAAGGAGATGTTCCATCGGTGACTGCCCGGTGACGCCGTATAAGTCGCGACTGCCAGAGAGATGGGTGAGTGGATGGGACGGTGATATCAAGCCAGACCGACAGGAAGGAACAGCGGCGGATATAATATAACGGGCTGGGGACACACTGGCGATTGAAGCGTGATCCAGCCACCGACAGTCGGGACCACAGACAAATAAGGCAGGGATAGGTACGGACCTTCGAACTGGGCCAGGCTTAAACTGATCACGAATTTGAGGCACCGGAGCGGATGTGATCGACTCGGAGCACGCGCCATTCGCTGGCGGTAAGTAGAAACTCCGCTGCGAAACAAAAGGCGCGACAAATGGAAGCGACCCAGACATTCGGGCAATATTTCCTAATGTTCGTGATGGCGCGCGGGGTTGATGGCGGGGCCGGGCGGTGGAACAGAGTTGGGTTCAGGGGCAGTTAGCAGATAGAGAGGACGACTAGAGGTTGGCTTTGAGTGGCACGAGCGTAGAGTAAGTTGGGATCGTGGAACAAGATAGAATGTGGTCGTGAGCGTCGTGAGCAGGAAGAAGTGGGAAGGCGAAAGAGAGTAGAACGAAACCTGAGCTAATATAGGTTGTGCAGAACAAAATGGGCCACAAGGACGTCTCAGGAACGGCGAAAGGCAAAGCGCTGCACCAGCCACACTGGGCGATCGCTGCACAGCGCCGCACAGTAACCTTGGCCACGGCGATGCAGGCTCCGGGTGACGAAATTGACCGTGGCTCCAGAGAACAAAGCAGCGGAACCAGCCAGTGTCGCTTTGATGCGACGCAAAGGCCACATCCTCCAGCTCTTTATCGTCCTCAGATTACCTCCAGCGTGTCCTTCCCGAAGGCCTGGTGGACCCTTCCAATTCGGTACGCCTTGGGCAGACTGGCATAGTTTGCCTTCCCACAGCCGAATCTCCCCCGAGAACCTTCGTGGCACGGTCCTCAGAGGCCCTTCTGTCTATTCCAATTCGTCCACGGATGTGGTGTCCTGGGTCAAGTCTGCCCGATGCTCTCGTGGTCACTCCAATTGAGCCCTAAGGCGGCCCTCATCGCGGTCCAGATCTTGACAAGAACACTCCGATCCCCTGGCTTTGATAATATGACTAAACCCTTTTGGGTAGCAATCAGTACTCGATCGCCGACGCGACAAATGTTATCTATCTAGGTTCACCATCACGAGTTTAAAGCCACCGCGGTAGAGGCATATGATACTGAAATGGATCTCCGCCAATGTTGGAAGCGTTCTCGCGAGCCATCTCTCGGTGCAGGATGTATGGCCTCCTAATAACGTGTACAGAAGGGCAATTTTAGCTAGTCGTTCCTGCGAACAGCAAAGCTGTGGATACCCTTAGGTGCACTCACCGACGGTAATCGTACGCGTTGATGAGCAGAAGGTTTCTGTTTCTAACGGTAGTCTACCCTGGATCCGGACTGCCTTTCTGAGGCCTCTGCACTCAATAGCTACGGCGGCTGGCGAGGCTCTCGCAGAGCCCTCTCCGTTTCACCATCTGCCATCGTATCGATGACATTCAACACGTACACTGAACGCCAGCGTCGATAATTTTTATCGCTAGAAGCAATAGCGGGAAGTCACGGCGCATCCAGACCCTCAGTGCAAGAGGCGGGGTGCACTGTATGGCCGCTTCCCGCGCCGATGGTTGCGCGCCTCGGTCCATTCGATGCTTCCGCTCAGCGAAAGGCACCGTTCGATGGTGACAAAAACTCCCCGAGAGGCGTAGCAGCGCGCCGGGTTTTGTAGCGGCATAGATATGATGTGGACGGCAGACTCACGGGAAACATGCATGAAGAGACTGCGGATCAGATAGCAACTCCGGTGGAGTCAAAGCGTGCGTGCAGAGTATGTCAGTCCCAACGAATCGACTTGTTATCGGAGGAAGACCGCCGCATACCATTTGAATGCGAGGTGAAGGGTTCCAGGTATGACGACATAACAGTCCTTGTGATAGCCATGTGACGGCCGCGTCAGGGGAAGCGAGGGCATTCCAGTCGAGAAGTCAGCGTTTCATATAACACGACAGATACTGACGAACCCGAGATCGTGACGGCCGCCAGAACACTTGCCAATGAAGCCTTCGGTGCTCTCGCAACATGCCGAAGGGTTTCCCCGACGAAAGAGAAGTCTGGGATGTCGCACTTCAAATTGACAATCTGACTTCTCTGGCATGGGACAAAGCGCGACAGAGAGGCTCGAAACGGTGACGGGAGATGTCGGCATTCTTCATCAGTTCAACCCCGAAAGGTGTGGAAAAGGACGCAGTCGTGACTCGCGCTTGGGTTTGTTTGGTCAGTGTTAAGGTTCAGGATGCCTCGACAACCCTGGAAGCATCCTAATACAGTTGCGCCTCGACGCATCGTGTTCCTGGATGGGAAAGCACATCAAAGCAAGCGAGGTAACGGCACGCCGCTGAGTCTCAACGGCCACCTACCACGTATCTAGCACTGCAAACAATTGCTACTGCATATGGAGTCCGCCGTATGCACGTACCACATAGCGACTTAGCAAAACTTGAACTGACGACACTGGGGAGTTCACTCACACAACATCGGTACTTTGAAACTCGTCTCTGCTCGTTTGAGACATTCCCACTGCTACAGCAAGGGTAAGTACTCTCAGGCGCTCCAGTTCCGCCGGCTGATAGACGATAGATCTCGAACTCAAGATATTGTTCGGTTGAAGTAGATGGAGTGGGAACGCCTTTGAAACCCGCGTGGTCGGTGTCGTTCATCATCGGAGGCCTATTGGGGTGATCCGGGCGCGGACCGGACGCTATGCGCGGCGCACTTCATTGCTAGCCGGTAGATATAGGCAGCTCTCGCTGTGTATTGTCGGCGTCGGGCTGCTCCCATGGCGCGGTCTTCCTTCCGGGTCTCAGCGAAACAAGTGTATTGGGCGACGGTACGAGTGAGCCGGTATCGCAGCTGGGAGATGTGATAAGAGGCGGACTGCGGCGGGTCGCTCAGTTTAGTCTTGACTGCGAAGAGCAGCATTCACGGGCGCCGAGTGTCTAAAGCGTTCGACACATCAGTCATGAGTATAGTCGAGGACTGACGTGCAAAATAGAACATGCCTGACAAAGCAAACTGACATGTAACCCATGTGGATAGCGGTCGTTCTTTTGCCCTGGAACAGACGATCTGTAGTGCAGACGTGAAGCTGCGGCTCAGTCGAATTCTCGTGCTCTGCTGATTGCCACGCTGGCACCTCGAGCCGACTAGTACGTGGCAGCAACCGCGCACATTTAGATAGGAAGCGGATCTATGCCGTTTGGCCGGGATGAGTCGGGCTACCGAGACATTGTGGTAATGTAGGTGGAGGAGCGCAGCAAAGAGAACGCACATGACAATCGCTGTGCCCAAAAAGACGATGCCACAATGAATTGCCGCCAGAGCGTGGCCCTCTGCTTGCCACATACGCAGCCGCACTGTCAACGGAGATGAGCGGTCGCGCACCTCAACTGTCGAGGGTTTGATTCCATACCTAATGGGCAGTGCCCTCATTCGTACCCAGCCTTTTAATATGAATGCTGCCGCCCGAGATAACTAGACGGAACCAGGGTAGACCGTGGCTTCTATGCAGAGAGGTGTCTCCAGGCCGACTAGAAGGACGTGCGGCCTGATTTTTACATTGCAGCCGGGACTTGCGATCAAGGGGCCAGACCTTCCTCTCTTCAGTGACTTCGTTATGCGTCGGCTCAGCTGAAGAGGCCGCAATAGGTGTCGGAGGGTCGGTTTGGAGGCGCTGATTAAGGCGTCAGCTTGATGAGGCCAACGGCTAATGGACAGTCCTGTGATAGTAGAAACATAGCAGAGGTAAGCTCTGCTGCGGTCCTCGCCCGAAAGTAGTAGCTTAGTAGCCTTGATATCTAGCCTGAGACTCACCTTGTGTACAGCGGTAGCTTCAACGTAGCCTTAGCGGACTAGTCTATATGTAGCAATCGAAAGGTTTAGATAGTTGATCAGCTATTGAGGTGAGCATCATGGAAACTGACCATGGTCGTCCATCCGACCATCCGAGTCAACGATGATTGCTGAGGCGCAGAATCGAAATGATGAAATCGCGAGCTTGACCTGCATATGATGACGCGGTGAGCTGGCTTGTCACGGCCGGTCTTTGCAAGGGCTATGCGCCGCGCCGCAACGGGACGAATTCGAGTAGCATCGAGATAGCATCAAGTTGTTTACAGCCAACGCTTGGTTCGGTAGGAGCGTCCCAGATACGGTCACATGGTCAGGCGTCGATTCAGAGATTGATCCCATCAGGAGCCCGATCCCATGTGGGCGCAATGTGGCTGGACGCCCCTTCTCGTCCTAGCAGCGCAACCTCATAGCCTGGTCACAATCTAGCTCGTCAGTTCATGAGCGTACTTGTTCATCTTGAGCATTAAGATTCTGTATGGCATATTTGTTGCCTTTGGAGGCCATTTTAATAGGTATCGTCTCTCCCACAAATGACGCCACAAGTGGCACTGACAATATCTGTAAATTCAGCTTCAAGTCCGAGTCCACCCGAGGAACATCGAGGTCATCAATCTGTTAGAGGCGTAGGTGTACAGAAATGGTCATCTACTACGCAGACGATAAGGACCCCAACGCTTGGAAGAAGGACGTGACATGGGTAAGCACATTCACAATCGCAATTGGATGTCTACACTTGTCTATGTTTCTGTGTTCGCTGACTATATCAATCACACGCGCAGGATGAGACACCTATCATGTCAAAGGCTTACCGACCCGTTTCCTTCATTCTCAATCGCCCCCTGAAGCGTCCCGAGCCCGTCAACCCTCCAGTTACGGTAGCACAGCCTAAGCCAATGTCTTTGCCTCCGGTTAACTACCTTCCTCCACCACGCAAACGACACCGGATACCGGGAGTGGAAGCTTATGACAATCTCATCATGAGGATTGATGGGGTGCCTCATCTGGAGATCGATGGCGACTTCGTGACGATCGAGGCCGAGAGGCATTCCGGTCGACTGTCACAGTACCCAAGGGCCATTCCGGAGCCTGGGGTGAACAAGAAACCAAGAGGTCGCACAGTCCCGACGAAGGAGTCGGGAGAGCGGGAGGGCACGACATACACGTGTAGAGTGTGCCGAAAGGCTTTCACCCGGTCGGAACACATGAAGCGCCACATTCGCTCATTGCACATGCATATGGAAGGCAGTGAGTGTTCGCGTGTCATATATTGGCGAACACCCTTCTGAACGAAGTCTTTGCTTAGCTTATATGTGCTCTCTGCCGTTCTGTAAGAAGTCGTTCGCGAGACGCGACAACCTCATCCAGCACGAGCGCAAGCACAAGCAACTCGGTGCCTTCCACGATTGCACGAAGAACTTTGAGGGCGAGATCTTCCCGTCACTCCTCCCTTTCTACGCCTCTCGCGAGCACCGTGCAGATCTCAATGTAGTGATCAACGAGACGGACGCATACTTCGAAGAATGGGAGAACAAATCGATTGAATGGCCGGCGGAGCGACCAAAATCATATGGTCGCCTGGCATCAGCCTCCCCGTTGTGCGACGATGATGGTATCCCGAAGGGAGAACGCTACCGCATCATGCGCGAGGAGAAGGTCGTCGCGGAGGTGCTCGCAGCTACCGAGGCCGAGGCCGAGGCTCGCAAGGCTGACCTCGAGAAGGCCCTCTTAGGACAACCACCTGCTATCGGGACGTCGCGCAGCATGCCCCTTCGTTCGAAACCTGTGTTCCCCACAGATTTTTATTACGGGGAAGTTGTACCTGGCCGATCGACTAAGTGAAGCCGGAGACTCCGTGCACTTGTTTGAATGACCTGGAACGCTGTCATTACTCTCTAATCCCCTGTCACAACTGCTCACCCACTGCTTTCGTTGCATTGCTATCGCCACTCGCTATGTTTGATATCTGGTTGTATCACGTTTGCATCACGTCTACCCTGCTTTTTTTTTGCTCTATCGTCAGTCTATCACGTATCATTGTCCATCAATATTTGTCGTTACATATACCTCCTGGAGAAAGATACATGTTCTGGTGCAGCGGTGTCGGCAATCGCCTACGTGGATACTGTAACTGAGCATTGGTTGGCATGTATATCAGGGACCTTCACTTACTGATCACAACGTTGGACCGTAAAGCCTACAGGTGAGATCAGAAGACTGCGTCCATCACTCTCGCAGTGCCAGTCCGTGATACATTCGAGTCTGTATTTACCTGTTCTGTCATCGCTCTATGCTGCTGTTTGAGGCGGTGATTCGGTGAAGTATTGCGGTACTCAGTCTGTTTGGGGATATAGGGATTGTGTAGCCGTATTTCTTTATTGCGGCGTTAGAGACTGATTGGACCTACAAGGTGCGCAAGTAGGATGGAAGGATAATCGTTCAATGCAGCCCGTCTAGCCAAATCAGGCAGGCGGGAGAGCGCGCCGATCGACCATCGGGCCACATCGCCGAGTCGCACGTTTAATTCTGAACTCCCACTCGAATCTTCCAATCTCACCCACCCACAAGCTGTGTGCCTCTTGGATGACCATAGCCTGAACACGTTGAAGTCTTCGTTGTACGTGCGTACTGCAATAACCCGGGTGGCTATCTTGTATACTGCTGCGGGAGCGACTCCAAGTGCTGCGCCGCCTGATCCGCTGCCAGTGTTGAACTCACCTTTGCCCGCCACCACCCAGGACCCTCTCATTGTCAACTTCTGACTTGCGCACCTTCACTATCATTTGAATCGCCACTCGTTCTGATACGGCTGGCCCTACTTTAGTCGTGCGACCACCTCGACGCGGACACGTAAACGCGTGGTTTGGCCGAGAGTCTGAGACCAAAGCACTTTTTCCAACCACACGTGTCTCCTTAGGCTATCCTCCAGATGGTTGAGACTAGCGTCCGCAAGAGGAAAGCCACGAAGGGAACGAAGGCTCAGACAAGCAAGAATGGCCGGACATCAGTGAGTGTCGGGTTGAGCCTGGGTGGCCAGATAGCTGAGCGCCGCTGCTTGGCAGGGCCGTTCGGCGGGCTCGGGTGGTAATTCTGGGATGTTGAAGATGGTGGCTGCGGCAGTGCTGGTGTCTCTGGTGTTCTTTGTATACCAGGTGCGCGGAAGTGGTCATGCTCACTGTAAGCGTCCGACTGAACCCTCTGGTTTCGTAGAACTATGACTTCGTATACGCACATGTCAAATCGTGGACGCGAAGAGAACGTCCAATATACGACTTCAGCGCCGCCAGCAGGAGAGAAGTAGACTTCTCGGCGGATATCCCTAAACGCGACGCGGTTGTAGCTGCATTCAAGGTGAGTACAATCCTTCAAGCATCACGTCCACGGCTGACATCGACACACGCACAGCATGCATGGCTCGCCTATGGTATGCACTTTTCATGTTTAGGAGTGCACATTGTCTGACACGACCAGAGAGGGACGCCATGGGTGATGATGAATACCACCCCATCGGGCATAGTGGAAGCAACCTGACAAGTGCAGGAGGCATCGGATACACGGTTGTGGACTCCATCGATACGATGCTCCTCATGGGTCTGGATGAAGAATACGAGCGCGCGAGGAAGTGGGTCGCAGAGGATCTCTCGTTCGAACGCGACGGCAACTTCAACACCTTCGAGGTGCGTGCAGTCTAAGCGGTTCAATTGGTGTGCTGACTATCGTACTTCCCCAGACGACCATCCGCGTCCTCGGCGGTCTGCTATCTGCGTTCCACCTGACAAAGGACATGATCTACGTCGAGCGTGCTAAGGACCTCGCAGACCGCATGATGCCCGCTTTCGACACGCCGACGGGCCTCCCACTTTCCATGGTCAATCTCGCACAACGCATCGGCGTGCCCGACAAGGACAACCGAGGGCTGGTCAGCACTGCCGAAGTGTCGACTTTGCAGCTCGAGCTCAAGTACTTGACCATGCTCACTAATGATGAGATCTATTGGGAGAAGGCGGAAACTGTAAGCATCTCGCTGACCGTCATACATGTATGCTTGCTGACCGTATCCTCTAGGTCATGAAAGTCATCAAAAACGCTAAGATAGCGAGTGGCCTGTCGTCCATTTTCCTCAAGTGAGTGGCTGCTAGATGATTTACAGTATGGCTTATTGAGATACATCAACAGCACGGAAGACGGCAAATACTCTATTTCACCAATTCGTCTCGGTTCGCGAGGAGACTCTTACTACGAATATCTATTGTAAGCTGGCGTTTCATTACAGCGCAGTCCTAACTGACGTGATCCAGGAAACAATATATCCAAACAGTGAGTCGCGAGATGGCACGATGGCAGATTCTAGCGAAGTTGCTCACTCTGTATAGAACCATACCGAGCCTGTCTATCGCACAGTGAGTAGTGCTCCCGGAGCCTCGCGGGCATGCTGATTCACGTACTGCCAGATGTACGAAGATGCTATGGCGGCTGTGACGACCCACCTCATACGGAAGAGCGAGGACGAAGGACTCATCTTCACGCAAGAGATCGTCCCCGAGCGCAACCGCCAAGGCAAAATGTCCGTTCTTGGGATTGTCTCCCATTTCCCATGCTAACGATGTGCTGTCTCGTAGCACCTGGCGCATGGTGCCCAAGCAGGACCATCTCGTATGCTTCTTCGGTGGCTCCCTCATGCTGGGCGCGGTAACGACTGGCGCGTCCGGACCGTCTATCTCCATCCCTCCGCTCGCAAGTGAGCTTACGGCCGTCGGTAAGCGAGACTGGAGCAACGGTGTGGGTCTCGTACGGACATGCATGGAGACACACAATACTGCTACGTGCGTGCTTCATCCCGTCGTTCGTGACGTTTGCAGACTGATTCATTGCTCCGCAGAGGCCTCTCTCCGGAGATTGTACACTTCAGGATGCCAAATGATGACGTGAAGACGCAGAGTAAGCACGATTGGTACATCAAGGGTGCCGGGTGAGAAGTCTCCTCTACTTCACTAGCAAGACGTCTTCTGACCCGCGGCCAACCCCGCAGCCCGGGGAAGACTCCGTACGACGCACGCTACATCCTCCGGTGCGCCCAGATCTCACCTCTCCCCGCACATCCTCACTCACTCTTCTCCCGTCGTGCGCCTGGACTATGCGCTTCTGTGTTCCTCTCTTGCCAGACCCGAGACCGTGGAGTCTCTACTCATCGCCTGGCGTCTGACCGGTGACCCGCAGTACCGCGAATGGGGCTGGGGCATCTTCGAAGCGATCGAGAAGCACTGCCGGATAGAGTCCGGTGGGTACGCGAGCGTGCTGAACGTCGACGCGCTCCCCGTCGAGCTCGAGGACAAGATGGAGACATTCCTGATGGTGCGTGCGCGTCGACCCCGTCCATCCCCGTCCACGCCCCTCCGACTCATACTAACTCCTCGCCGGGCAGAGCGAGACCCTCAAGTACCTGTACCTGCTATTCTCGGACGACACCGTCCTCCCACTGTCAAGTACGTACCTCCCTCTCTTCCGCGCAGCCCACACTAAGAGTTCCCCGCCTTCCATCCCTTCCCGTCCCCTTCCCTGTCAGAATACGTGTTCAACACCGAGGTGCGCCCGCTCTCGTCCCGGCCCGCCCGGTGTCTAACCCCTCCTCTGTTGGCAGGCACACGCGTTCCCGATCTTCACGCCGGCCTTGCAGACGGGCTTCTCGTGATAGAGACAGTGACGCGGATCTTGCGCGCGAGGGTTCGTGGAGTGTATTGTACGACTGGCGGTTCTGCATCTCTCCCTTCTTGCTTGCTCTGCGCCTGCGTGAGTGCGCCCCCCTGCGTGACGTGGGTATCATCGGGAGAAGCGGGCAGCCCAGGAAGGATGGTGTGGCGTGCGGCTTCGACGTCGTGGTGCGCGCGGGTGACTGACGTTGGGTGAGGGTGGATCGCGAGCTGCAGACGTAAGTCCTTCAGAGTGGCAAGACGAGGGGGTGGTGTGACGTGATGGTAAGCAATGTGCTCAACAACTGACCTGTATAGAGTGTTACGCCCCTCTTCTGGAGGACCCTTACAAGCACGAGCACTGCGGCCTCGACGTCTCAAGTATCGCCATTCACTCAATGCTGTCAAGTACATATTTGGCCTGCTCTGGCCGGATCGCCATATACATGGAAGCAGACTACATGGTACATGGTATCGGTATTCAAATTTGTTGGCTATACGCTAGGATGTGTATCTGGCTATTAGTTGGGGTGTCCGTAAGTACGATTCGCCATGAGGTCGTTACTGCTTGGTATGACTGGTATACTGATATGTCCGCTCTGCAGTCCGGGCTATGAATAGTCATGCATATATATATGCGCGCGCGGAGATTCGTCCGTCCGAACGCCGAGTGCCAGATCGGGGCGTACTGGTCCGGGTGGCGCACAGGCACTTCAATCAGCGGCAGCGACGATCTGTGCGTAGGATGGCGCGAGGTCGTGCTCGTCCTCGAGAATGACGTGTTCCCATGGCTCGTCGAGCTCCGGGATAGCAGGGGCATGGTCGTCGAGAGCGATGACGGAGCGGACCTTGGGGACGACCTCAAAGTCCTCCGCTACGACACGGAGCCATCAGCACAGGTAGTCCCCACACGATCAGAGAGAGCTTATCTCACCCTTGCGCCTGTGGGATTTGGCCGGCCTGATGAGGTCCTCCAGGCTTATCTGCTGTGACGCGCCGCCGTCCGGGTCCGCAACGCCACTGCCAGCCAAGGCCTCGTCGAGCTCCACCTGCGAGTGCGAGCTCCTCAGCACGCCGCGCTCCCCGTCCAGCTCGCGCGCGTCCCCGTCCTCCACGTCCACGTCGAGCGCGTCGACCTTGCGCGCGTGCCCGGCGTGCGTCGACCGTGCAGCGCCGCCCCGCCGCTTGCGCTCCTTGCGCTCGCGCATGCGCTCCGTGTCCGCAGCGCGCTTCGCGCGGTGCCGGCCGTGCTCGAACTCGCGGACGGCCTTGAGGACCGCGGGGGACGATGCGTCGTTGTCGGGCAGCGCAGGGGCGGCGGCGTGCTCGGCGTTGCGCTGCGCCTTGAGCGCGCTGACGGGCGTGACGTGGACGCCCCTGAGCTTGGTGCGGGTCGCGTTGTTGGTGTTGGTGAGGGCAGGCATTGCGTGTGGGTGGGCAGGTGCAGGTGAGGTGGGAGTAGTGAGGGGATGGTGCGAGGGCTAAGTAGTGAGAGTGGCGATGGTGGTGGGCCGAGTCAGGACTGGGACGGTGCGAGCCGAGCTAGTCATGACGCGACGCGGTACTGAGTGAGGTGGCGGCGCGGGGTACCGCCCCGGGAGCGCTGGGGATGCGTGACGGTGCTGGACGGCAGAGTGCCTGGGAAGCCCGATAACGCCTCTTGCGGCTTCGTCCGCCCCCGTGCTATGACTTGTCATTGATTCATTGACGGGCGTCGGTCCCAGGGGCCGCGGTCACTGGCCCAGCGGTGCCCCTTTCGCAGCCCCGCGCCACAAACAACGCGTAAATAACGCGCTGTGTATGCGCGTCACATTACAATAGGCACTGGGCGTGTCACCCGACAGGTATTGACTGGGTTGTCTGTGTCTGCGCGTCGAGGCCATCCTTGGAGTGTTCAATAGTCAGGCATGGGACCCCCCACCTGCCACTAGTCTCGTATTCTTCACTGCCCAAGGCAAGTAGTAGCTCGGGATCGAGTCAGGAGCGGCGAGTCACGGAACGTGTGTGGTAGCCTAGTGTCCGACTCGTCGACCATCGACCAATGGGATTATGCTGCTGCTGATAGTGCGTGGCATTGGACCGAAGATCATGGACTGGGCGAATATCATAATCGTCATCACAGGAGAGAGACGCTGCACGTTTGTACGGACCCGCAAGAGCGCGTTGGCGCGTTTGAGAGGCACTCCTCGTTCCTTGAATCGCACAAGACACTTTCCCAGCAGAGCACAGCCGACACGCCAGACCGAGAGCAAGAACAGCAAAATACAATCTATTAGACGCAGCACTTCTCAACCTACACCCGACGAGATACACTTCAGCTTCGTTAGCGTTACATTGCTTCAGTACTTTTCACTTCCTTCGCGCGTCAGCTCACGCTCGCGTCTGCTTACTTGAGGAGCGCCGGCGGGGTGCGGCCCTGGCTCAAGCCCTTCTCGCCCGCGAACACGCCGTTCCCGAGCTCCTCCTCGATGCGGAGCAGCTGGTTGTACTTCGCGACACGCTCGCTGCGCGCAGGCGCGCCCGTCTTGATCTGGCCGACGCCGAGCGCGACGACGAGGTCCGCGATGAGCGTGTTCTCCGTCTCGCCGCTGCGGTGCGACACCATGACGCCCCACCCGTCGGACTGCGCGAGCTGCGCGGCCTGGATCGACTCGGAGATCGTGCCGATTTGGTTGACCTGCGCGGGCGGCGTCAGCACGTCGGTTTCACACCGATGCGCAATACAGCGGAGCGCACCTTGAGCAGAAGACCGTTGCACGCCTTCTTCTCGATGGCCGTCTTGATGCGGAGCGGGTTCGTGACCGTCAAGTCGTCGCCGACGATCTGGATGCCGCTGGCCGCGGTGAAGTGGGTCCACGCCTCCCAGTCGTCCTGGTCGAAGGGGTCCTCGATCGACACGATCGGGTACTTCTTCACGTAGCCGAGGTAGAGATCCGCGAGCTCCTTGCCCGTGATCCACTTCGTCGGGTCCGAGTTGGGGTTCTTGAAGTCGAGGTCGTACTTGCCCTCCTTGTAGAACTCGGACGAGGCAACGTCGAGCGCGATCTTGATCTTGCCCTCGTAGCCAGCCTTCTTGATCGCCTCGGACAGGAGCTCGAGCGACTCCTCCGCGCCGGAGACGTTGGGCGCGAAACCTCCCTCATCACCGACGTTGACGGCTGTTCGCGAGCCATGAGGACTGAAGTGTCAAGTCAATGCGCGACACATACCGTCAATGCCGTACTTGGCACTGATGACCTTCTTGAGGGTGTGGTACGTCTCGCTACCAATCTTCATCGCCTCGGTGAAGCTAGTCGCGCCAGTGGGGAGGAGCATGAACTCCTGGAACGCGAGCTTGTTGCCCGCGTGCGAGCCACCGTTGATGACGTTGAACGCAGGGACCGGGAGGGTGAAGGGGGGCTTGACACCCGCGAGGTCGGCGAGGTGCTGGTAGAGGGGCACGCCCTTCTCCGCGGCGCCGGCCTGGGCGACGGCGATGGAGACACCGAGGATGGCGTTCGCACCGAGCTTGCCCTTGTTGGGGGTGCCGTCGAGCTTGATGAGGAAGTCGTCGATCTCCTTCTGGGAGGTGACCTTCAGGCCGGCCTTGATGAGCTCGGGTGCGATGGAGTCGTTGACGTTCGCAACGGCCTTCGCGACACCTGCGCGTGCGTTAGCGAGGGAGATGCGGGGAAAGCATGAAACGCACCCTTGCCGACGTAGTTCGCCTTGTCGCCATCCCGGAGCTCAACAGCCTCGTGAACACCGGTGGACGCACCAGACGGCACCGAGGCGCGGAAGAGCCCTGTTCTCGCAAAGCGCGCGTATATGAGAACGCATATGCGGAGGTGAGTGGCACTGTACGCGTACCCTTTGCAGTGTGGAGGTCGACCTCGACGGTAGGGTTACCGCGGGAGTCGAAGATCTACGGGATGATAAGGTCTGAGCGTCGGCACGGGGGCGCGCGGGGCGGGGACGCGGCGTACCTGGCGGGCGTGGATTTTGGTGATGGACATGGTGGTGTGGTGGATGGGAGGAGGATGGATGGCGCAAGAGGGCGAGGAGGAAGGCTTTATGGGTTTGTATGGGCGCCCACGTGCTACCCAGGTCCGTCTCCTGCTTGGGATCCACGGCCGGCGGGCGACTCAGGTCTGCCGCGTCCATATTCCTCATCGATGCGCACATCGATCTCGCCCCGACTCGCCGTCCCCCTCGCCCCCCGCCTGCCCCCAGCCACCATTCGACGCACTGCAGCCAGTTCCAGGCGCGCCTCGTACAGCGCACGATCCAATTGGAGGCGCTTTCTCGACTCGGAAGCATGGTCGACTGACCCGCGTACGCTCTTCTCTATGCAGTCGTACACCTCAAGGCCTCATCACCAGGCTCGAGCCACCGAGGGGCGCGTCATTGCTCTCGTCGGGACTGGGTCCACTCTCCAGCCAATCCCCGCGCGTCTCTGCCATCCGTGCTCAGGCCCACGATCGCCCACTCAAAGTCCACACCCTCTCTCGCCCGCGCTCCGGCATGCGGACATTACTGCAGGAAAGACTCTGAAAAGGATAGCCCTAGCTCGCACCCCCTCAACTGCCGCCTGCTTCGGAGTCTCCATGTAGATATCTGAGAGCGCGGGACGCTATCACCGTACGATGAGAGCTAGCTAGACACCGAAGAGTACCGCTCGCTCGCACAAGACGTTCGACGGACACATTCCGATGAAAGAGCGACGAACGCTATCGTTATTCTCAGATCGTGACTGTCTGACACAGCCAGTGAGAGCGGTGAGCAAGCATTTCTCAACGGCAGCCGCGCTCGCGCAACGGGTTCCTACCTGCTGCCATGTTGACTGTCGACTCGGCGCGGACTTCGGCGCGCGTCCCGGGTTGGTGACATCTCTGATAATCCGTGCGGGACTGGTGGTGACGGTGACTGCGCTCTGACTCACCGTGATCTTGTCCGTTATGACAACAGGCGAGATGCGGTTGGGACGATACGGCGTACCTGTCAAGCGTGAGGGAGAGGTGATCAGACACACCTGTCCACGTATCGAGCGGTCTATGGCACCACGAGAGACAACCCTCTTCCACAGACATCGGGTGGAATATAAGAGATCCGGGTCGTACGTACTCTAGTAGTAGTTGTGTTACAGCGTTCAGTGTATCGGCAGTACATCTGCCTTCGCTAGGACTCTATGAATATGGTGCCTTTCGTTTGCCTCTCGGAAACAGTCGCAGCAGGTCGCAGCCAGCTGACTGGGCGAGGTTGAGGCAAGGATGCTTCGGATGAGAGCCTGGATGGCAGTGGATGAGGGAATCGCATGAGTGGGCGCCAAGACGGAACATCTGCGATCGGGGTTCGGAGCGCCCAAACCGTCCAAATCCGGCAACCGCGATCGAGCCTAGCGCACGCTTTTTCGCCGGCGGGAGCGACCTCCCCACAACCCATCCACACCCCCTTCATCCCCCACCCCGCCATCGCTCGACATGGCGCCCTCCAAAAAACCAGCGCCGTCCACGAAGACGCGCTCGTCCGCCTCGTCCGAGCCGTTCATCAAGAAGGTCAAGGGCGAGAACTTCTACCGCAATGCGAAGGCGGTCGGGCGCCTCAAGATGCTCAACGGCGGCAAGGCCGTGCGCGACCGCGACGGCAAGATCATCCAGGCGGCTGCGTTCCAGAAGGGCGAGGATGAGACGAAGCCGGGAAGGGTGCAGCCTGATCGCCGGTGGTTCGGTGCGTGGTGTGTCTCGTTCATATGGCGAACTGGCGACTGAAGGGGATGCAGGGAATACGAGGGTCATCTCCCAGACGGCGTTGGACCATTTTAGGACGAGTCTTGCGGCGAGGCAGAATGACCCGTATTCGGTACTTTTGCGGAGGAACAAACTGCCTATGGCACTGCTGGACGATGCACAAAATCCGAATACCCGCAAGGTATGTCGTCTTTGCTGTTTTCAAGACTTGGACACACGCGATCCTGGGCCATCATATTTGGGCCTTTCCCGAACGCCATGCGCACTAGCAGGATGGAGAAAACTTGTGTATAGTGGCCGCACTCCGCTCACTCACACGCCTGCGCACATTCGTCTCTTGGCTCCTGTTTATTCACATGCAGTGGACAATATATTGACTATATATACAGCGATCGCACATTGTGGAGACTGAGCCATTCAAGGATACTTTTGGTCCCAAAGCGCAACGCAAGAAGCCCAGGATCGATGCGGGCACGTTCGATGAGCTCAGCAAACTGGGTGCCGCAGCGGCTGAAGAGGCTGAAGCCTCGAAAAACGATGGACAGGAGGGTGGCTCAGGTTAGTCACGCTCCCTGCAATAACTGCTGTTTACTGAGCCCACTTGTAGAGCCCGTTGCCTCGACGTCCGCCGACTTCCAGCAGACCCACGCAGATGTCATTGAGCCCATTTATGCGAAGGGCACATCTCGTCGTATATACGGCGAGCTGTACAAAGTCATTGACTCCTCGGACGTTATCTTGCACATCCTCGACGCACGGGACCCCATGGGCACGCTGTGCGAGTCCGTGCTCGAGTACATCCGCAAGGAAAAGGCACACAAACAGGTTGTCCTCATCATCAACAAGTGCGACCTCGTCCCCAACTGGGTGACCGCGCGATACATCCAGCACCTCACGCCGCGCTACCCGACGCTCGCCTTCCACGCCTCGCCGAACCACTCCTTCGGGAAGGGCTCGCTCATCCAGCTCCTCCGCCAGTTCTCGCAGCTGCACTCCGACAAGAAGCAGATCTCCGTCGGGTTCGTGGGGTACCCGAACGTCGGCAAGAGCAGCGTGATCAACACGCTCAAGACCAGCAAGGTGTGCACCGTCGCGCCCGTGCCGGGCGAGACGAAGGTGTGGCAGTACATCACGCTCACGAAGCGCATCTACCTCATCGACTGCCCGGGCATCGTGCCCACGTCCGCGAAGGACTCGCAGACGTCCACCGTCCTCAAGGGCGTCGTCCGCGTCGAGGCGCTCCCGACGCCCTCCGAGCACATCCCCGCGCTCATGGCCCGCGTCAAGCCTGTCTACCTCGCGCGCACGTATGGCGTGCCCCTCCCCGACCCGGACGACCCTGCGAAGAACTGGGAGCCCGAGGCGCTGCTCGATAAGCTCGCGAGGATGAAGGGCCGCCTGCTCAAGGGCGGCGAGCCCGACCGCGAGGGGGTCGCGAAGATCCTCCTGAGCGACTGGGTCCGCGGCCGGATACCGTTCTTCGTGCCCCCGCAGGAGCGGCCGGAGAGCCTGAACGAGGCGGAGGCGAAGAAGGCGAAGAGGGCGGCGGCGGAGGGTAAGGGCAAGCAGAAGGAGCAGAGGCCGTTGGGCGTGAAGCAGAACTTGGGGAGCATCATGCAGAAGAACACGTTTGTGGGTGATGATGTGCGGCCGCTAGAGGTCGAGGGTGAGGCGGTCGAGAATGAAGGAGAGCACGAGGGAGAGCATGAGGATGATGAGAAGGAGACGGTCGACGCAGAGGATGCCCAAGAGCTTAGCTGGAATGACGTCTTCAAAGGAGATGCTGCCACAGCTCCTGCAGAGGCAACGGCATCCTCTGCGGATGCAGGAGAGGAGGAGGAGGAATGGAGTAAGTGCATCACCTATTTAGTCTTGGGTACATTCTGACTTCGGTACCTCGCATAGATGGTATACAGGATGGCGACGATGAGGAAGAGGAAGAAGATAGGCCCAGGAAGGAGGTGCGCATGAAAACGAACAAGGTACTTGCTCTTCACATACCGCGAAGGCCTCTTTGCTCACAGTTTGAACAGCGAAAGGCGACGAACTTCTACTCGAACACCAATGTCAAGAACAAAAACAGACATAAGGCTGCCCATATGAAGTCGCTGCCGACCGGAAAGCGCGGCCGTAGGTCATGAGCGGCGTTGTCTCGTAGCCTTCATCGCATCTGGAATCGAGTTGTTTTCGATCCCTGTAGTGTCGGAGCGGCGCCGCGTCCATGTACGACGAGAACAATAACCGACTGGTACTGCTTCGCGCCAGCAAGATGCGATCCTCGCGCTCTCAGAATATCTGTAATAAGAACGATGAGTACTTGAGTCCTGAATGGCGCGGCGAGGCCGCTTAGCACCACCATCAGAACCACTGTTTGCATGCATATGAATGTGGCACATATCTCACTATTCAGGAGCACCACATGCAATCGACTTCTATCCGTCCACGTTTTCGAGGCTACTCACTGATACGATGTCATGGCTAGGTCAAGAAGCCTCAGGCCTCAATCATGGGTCGAGATAAGTGCAATCGCCAATATAGCGTAGAGATCCATAAGTACCGGGTTCTCAGCGGTCCAGGAGCTCGAGGCGGCCTTCAACTTCCCACAGATTACTTGAGCTGCCCCGTATGACTATCGACACCGTACCCTTGCCTTTGCCACCCACCCTTGATGCGTCGAAGTTCCAGTGGTTCGGAAGAGAAGTGAGAGGCGTAGACCCAAGTGCTATTGACCCCGACTCGGAGCAGTTCAAGGAGATTGAACAGCTGCTCTACAAGGTACTCTGACCGCATGCGCGTCGCCGTCCTAGTATCTGGGTGTTTACAACCTACGTCTAGCACAGCGTTCTTCTGTTCAGGAACGCGATTCTCAGTCCTGAACGGCAGTATGCATTGACGAAGGTAAGTCGCTACCAACTGGCATGTCAGCATCAGCTTGATCGCACCATGGCAGGCTTTCGATCCCACCTCCGAGAACTTCGGGCACGGCAACAACAAGATTGAGAAGGACAAACAGAACATCCTCAATCGCACACTGCGCAGTATCCCGCGCGTCCCGCAAGTACAGCTCATCGGTAATGGGACCGTCTATGACTACGAGGGCTTCCCCGAGATGCGCCTCGAGCACGCGTCTCACCACACATGGCACAAGACGCACCTGTCGCCCGAGGACGAGGCCGCGGGCTACACACGCTTCGTGCGGTGGCACATGGACGCTGCGCTCTACGAGTTCCAGCCCCCGCGGGTGACGACGCTCTACGGGCGCATCGTGCCGAAGGGCCCGAAGCAGGTCGTGCGGTATGACGACGGCACGGGCGACGAGCTGGAGATGCCCCTCGCGGCGACGGCGTATGCGAGCGGGAAGGTGATGTTCGAGCTGCTGCCGAGGGAGCTGAAGAGCGTCGCGGTAAGGGGGAGGGTCAAGTACGCGCCGCACCCGTACGTTTGGGTGTCCACTGCGAAGGCGAAGTCGACGGCGCTGGGGATGGAGGCGGAGGGTAAGGAGGTTCCGCTTGACGAACTTCCGGGTTGGGAGGAATCAAAGATACAGGTCACGCCTATGGTATGTTGCACGTCTGGCCAGTGAGCGGATGCTCCTTAGCTCCCTGTCGTGCCTGCAGCTGTGGAAGAATCCGGTGACGGGCAACCTACATTTGCAAGTACACCCGTACTGCGTTGCCGAGATATTCGTCGATCCTCTATCGGAGGGCGCAAGAAGAGATGGCGCGCTGTATCCGGACGGTGCTCATCTGACGGATCTGAAAGAGGTGCGAGACTTGCTGTACAAGATGCAGAGGCCTGCGATCTCGCCGCAGGTAAGGCTCTTGTTCTAGTGCAGCCTATGCCGAAGCGTGCCTGATAATATTCCATTTAGTATGTGTATCCACATGATTGGTGAGTCGTACCATAGAAGTATCCGAATACCTATCTCACCTGCCCAGGCATGAGAACGACTTGATCATCTTCCACAACCGCGGCGTGCTTCACTCGGTAACCGGCACACTACAACCTGACCAAATCCGTGCATATCACCAATGTAACCTTGCCGCATCGGATAGCCCTGTCGGCCCGGATGAAGAAGACATACGGAAGTGGGCGTAGGTTCCTGTGGGTTCCTCTTGCCGATCCACATGGAACGACGTGGTAGAGCGGCCAAAGACTTGCTGTATTGTGTCTCGTGTATCCTATGAAATGGATTGTCGAAAAAATCCCAGCTAGGCAACGACAACTGGCGTAGACCTAAGAAAATTGAGGAGAGCCTGACTCGGAGGTTGGCGTGACATTCGAATTCAAGTGGCAACGGGCGCTCCGACAGGAAGGTTGGTAGCACGTGTCGCGCATACGACCGAAACGGGAACGTTGTTGATCGGACCAAACTTGGACCAAACTGAGACTCTCCCACTGGTTGACGATGTCGGCTCGCGTGCACATCCCTACCCTCCTTACGTGTCGTTGGCTGAGTTCTTTGGTAACAAGCTCTGTTATGTCTCGCGAAAAGCTCCCTTCTGGCAGTGTGCTGGTCCATGCGATGAACGCGACAAGCAGCTGCAGTACTGTGCCGCTTCCGGAATCCGTAGCTACAACTGGTGCTGGTGTGGCTGTAGCCGATACTGCACCCAGAGCCAATGCGAAAAAGAAGAGGACCAAGAAGGTTGCAATGGAGATGCCTGAGGGAGTGTCATGGCCGTGGATGGAGACGTTAGGTATGACAGAGTACGAGAGCAAGGAGCAGAGGTATGTTGGTGTCCTATCCAGCGTTGTCTGCTTGGATCTGATGCGTCGAAGGTTGCATGACGAGATTGTAGCGTACGTTGCATACATTTCTCCAACTGTGCAAGAGATATACGCGCGCTCGCAAGTCATGGCACGTATTGGCGACGTCGTGAGAAGGCGATTTCCGCGTGCTACGATGGAGACCTTTGGGAGTACCGCACTGAACCTCTATCTCCCCGACGGGTACGCGTTTCACATACCAGAAAGATGCTTGCCTGATGCGTCTATGCTAGCGACATCGACTTAGCCATGAACCTCCCTGATGAGATGGACCACGCCGTCAAAGTCAAGACACTCTTCGTGCTCGCCGGCGCGCTGAAATATTCGCAGATCACGCATCACACGAATGTGACACGCAACGCGCGTGTCCCCGTCGTGTCTTTCGAGACAACACCTGAGCGCGGTGAGTCCGCGACCTACAGCTGCCACTGTGCCCGTGTCCGCAACTTGACGACTAGTCAGGCTCGTACAAGTGTGACATCAGTATCAATTCCACTGGTAGTGTCAAGAGCGTTTCGGTCATCGCGCGATACCTGGATACCATGCCTGCGTTTCGGTATATTGTCCTGGTCATCAAGGGTTACCTCTCCCGGATACACCTCGGCTCGGCAGCGTTGTCGGGACTGAGTAGCTATGGCATCATACTCTTAGTTACCAGCTTCCTTCAGGTACTCCTACATGTAGCTGTCATATTATTCCCCACTGAGCCCCATTTGCCACCAGCGTAACCCGAAGAACCTGCCCGTAGACGACATCACGAAGCCTCTGGAGCGCGAATCGTTGGGCCGTCTCTTAATGGGTTTCTTGGAACATTACGGCTTTGACTTCGATTATGCCACTTCCGTCGTGTCCGTGTCAACGGGCGGTCTCCTCACCAAGGCCAGCAAGGGGTGGGCGGCTGAAAATCAGCCCAATGAGATGCTCGCGATCGAGGATCCCCTCAACTCAGGTAAGCTACCTTTGCTATCAGTGAATATGTGAATCCACGTTCGACATGTCGTAGACAACGATGTCGGGAAATCGGCTTCGATGATAAAGCGGGTACGAACAGCCTTCTGCGAGGCGCATAAGGGGCTTCAAAGCTATCCTCTGTCGATGGCCCAAACAAACGCTCTTGGAACCATCCTTGGCATGTCGCCGGAGGTAAGCACTTATCGACGTCCTATTCATGCCGTTCATGGTTCGTGAAACGCCCGGCACTTGATAGGCCATCGCCCGTAGAGAGATGATCCACAAAATTGTCGACAGTGGCTCTCTAGACCGTGCCCTGCAGGAGGTCATAATTCCCCCGGAAGGCAACGTCCCGCGGCGGTCGCGGAACCCCCAGCCAACCAATGGCTATGCGCCATATCCAACACGGCAGTATGACTACAATCCGTACTACGGCGGCTATGGGTATGGGCAAGGATACTACGGCGCACCGCCTGCGCAGCAGAGCTCGTACGGATATGACGAGTATGACTACGGGTATGGAGGACATGGACGCGCCTACGGCGGGCACTCAGTGACCCGCGGACATGGAAGGTCGAATGGGCGTGCGGGGAGGGGGAAACCTCAGTAAGCCTTCTGCTACTGCTGACATTTGATGACACGTTTGTGCCACGGACGGACTCTGTACTGTAATCTCAAATCCATATCGTGCGGTCCTTGTACGCTGACCGTCGGACCATACACTGCTAGATAAGCGTATGACTGGTAGCCTGCCCTTCGGTGACGGTGATATGTCAATCTGAGGCAGGACTGTGGTTTATTTGGCGGGACTTCTACCGTGCCCCGCACCTTCGAGTAGCGTGGCTTTATGCCGAGGACCTAGGAAATCGGAGTTCTCTTTCTCATGAACCGCAGAGCCAGCAGTGCTCGCAGTCATTGAAGGCATGAAAACACTGGCGTGCGGTTGCAGTGAGCGCGCTCGAAGCCACATACATACAAACATCGCCTTCAACCTACCGGTCATGTAGTCGTAAACCTTAACCCAGTCACACAGCTTTGAGCTCACACATTCCCACGCATCTTAGAATGGGCGTCTGCTCGCGTTCATGTCTCCGAGCATTTCATCCTCGTCGCGCACCTCTTGTCTCTCCCCTTCTCGCTGCGTCCCCATGTCCCCCTCAATCACGATACCCGACGACCCGCCACCCAAGCCAGCGTCCCCGCTGCCCATGGACACTCCCCCGACACCTGTGTCCAACTCCTCGGGCTCCATAAGCCCCGAGCCTGCTCTAGAGGACCCTGTCTCGCAGCAGCAGCAGAAGAAGAAGAAAAAGAAGAAGAGCAAGAAACCGAAGGCGAAGGAGACTCCAGCTGCGAACGGAGCAGCGGAGCACAGGGCAGCGGACGAGGGACGTCCGCCCGTGCTCTGCATCAGCAGGAACAAGCATTGGCGTTATATCAGCTCATACCACGTCCGTATTCCATTCGTATGCATCGTATCCGCACTCACCTCCCATCGCACGCTGTCTGCAGGGACCCTGGCTGCAGCTGCCGCTCGAGCTACTCGAGTCTCTACTCGTGCTCAACCTCGACCCAGCCACTCTATCAGCAGCAGAGAACCGCCTCCCGCCCCTCCCCTCGCCCACGTTCTCCATCCCAAACCCCCGCCCGCGCGATCGCGGCTTCGCCAGCCTCGGCGACCACTCGCCCCCGGACTCCCCCCAGAGCACGTTCGCGTCGCTGCCCCCTCCCCCGCCGTTCCCCCCGCCCAAGCCAGGCAAGGCTACTCCCCCGCCGATCGACCCAGGCGTCTTCCGCTCCGTGACGAACATCCGGCGGCTCATCGACGAGGCGTCCGAGCTGTCTGTGCGCGCGAGCTCCGGGTTGTCCGCCGCCGCCCTTGGCTCGCTCAGGGGCGGCGCGGGCAACAGCCCGTGGACGAGCGCGCACGGGCTCGGTATCAACCCCCTCGGTGATAGCGGGGGCGGGCGCAATGTTGCCATGTCTGCCATGCGCATACACAGATTGAGGGCGCTCGCGGTGCAGAAGCTCGCAGCGGCGTATAGGACCGACGAGATAGCCTCAAGCGTGATGGTCATGCAGGGTGGCAGCGTATTCGATGATATCGCAGAGCGCGTCCTGAGAGTTGGTATGTGTCCGATCTATCCTGGGCGTGGTATTCGTCCGAACCAGGTGCGCAGATCCCAATGACGTTGATGCACGATACGTGCACTTCTTCCACGAAAAGATACCCTCGCGGTCAGTAGAGTGCGTTAACGAACTAGAATAATGTTGCTGATGTCCCAATAGGCAATTAGCCGAGTCCACAACGACACATCTTCTGGATGACCTGATAGCCGGGCATCCACAGCGACTAGAATTCTTCAGGACGCGTGGCATCGTCCATTGTTTCCGTGACGAGTACACCCTCGCCATCAAAGACTTCACCCATGTTATCAAGGAGACGCGTGCTGTCCGCAAAGCGAAGATGGTGCACCGTAACAATGCGCCGAACGAGAAATTGCGCGGCAAGGGGCACAAGAAGAAGGGCAAGTCTGGGGGAACCAAGACCAACGGACAAGCTCCCCCCAATGGCACAAGCGCTGGCGCAGGGTTTGGCGGCTCCCTCACCATCGAAGGGCCGGACGGGGATCCACTGCTTCTGCACCCGTCCGTCCTGCCAGACGCGCCGGACCCCATCGAACCGCAATGTCTCTTCCTGCGTGCCTCTGCCTACCTCCAGCATGCAGTCTTCCTCATTGAAGAGGCGATCCTCAACCTCGAAGGCATCCGAAAGGCGCCCACCGTCGACGGTGCGGAGCTGCGCCTCTGCTACCTCGAGAACGGGCGGTACGGCGGCGTCGAGATTGGGCACCCCGATGGGCCGCTCGGACGGCGCGATGGTGCGAAGACGGCCGCGTACAGGGCGGTGCTCGCGAAGGAGGGCCTCCGCGAGCAGATCACGACGCTCGTCCGGAAGAGCATGCGCGATCACGAGAAGTTTCTCTCGCACTTTGACTCACTCGAGGGCGTGCCCGGCCCCGCGATGGGCGGCGACCTCGCTGCGCGCACGGAGTACGCGTTCCGCATCGCCGAGTGCCTTCGCCCCGGCAGCCACACGCCGCCCCCGCCCGTGTCGGAGTCGCCCGCGACGTTCACGACGTACCACCCGCTCCTCGTCGAGTCGCACTTCAGCATTCTCATCGGCTACCTGTTCCTAGGCGACTTCCCCTCACTCCTCCCCGTGTTCACGCGCACCGCTGCAATCGTCGACGGGCTCGAGGGCTACCCCGTCTTCCTCCCGCCACGCTCCATGGCGCAGGCCGAGTTCGTCGAGGTCCTCGAGCGCCTCGCCGGTGGCTGGCGGAACGGCGTCCAACCGCACTCCCTCAGCCGTGCGAACCAGAAGCAGCTCGCGATCGAGTGCGCGCCGTCCGCGAAGGCGAAGACGGTCGAGCGCGTGCCGACGCCGCCCTCGCCCGATGCATCATCATCCCTCGGTGTGAATGGCTCGAGCTCGAGCACGGCGGTGCACATGCCGCCGTCGCCGTCACCCTCTGGTCGGAACACGCCGTCGAGCGCGACGGAGCGCGAGGACCTGCTTGAGGTGCTCGACGCCGCCCGCATCCTGCTCGCGCCCGTGGTGAAGCGCCAGAGGGAGCGGGCGGAGAAGGCTGCGGCAGACAAGGCTACGAACGGGAAGACCAAGAACAAGCCGTTGAATATTAACATCCCGCTGCATGGGCCGAGGGTGGAGATTGTGCTTGCGTGGCTCGGGGCTGTACATTTGCCTGACTTGGACGCTGTTGCGTGAGGGATTGTCATGTCAGACCCAGAGCTCTGTCTTGGTAGAGTACATGTGTGCGGTATGAGGTGTGCGGTATGAGTCTGTGATATACAATGGACGTATACTGTGTCTATGTAGCATACAACTGGTGCTCTCAATTTTTGCGATGATGAGAAACACGCGGGACTCACCGGCTTCATTCAGTCTGACTTGGTACGGCTAGATGCCGTTTCTTGCCTGACTTCGTCTGCTACTCTACCCAGATAGCGCTGCACTGGTGGGACAATGCCAAAGGCAGCAATGATTATGACGATCACGAGAAATGCGACGGTCGGTGCTACCGACGCGGGAAGCATGCCGAAATAGAGCGGCTCCAGGATCACAATGAATGGGACGGGCTCTGGCGTGACGCGCTCACGCGACCCATCGGCAGTGGGAACACGGACGCCTGCGTCCACGACGCGGATGCGAGCGTACATCCGCCGGCCAGTGTGAAGAGCATCGAAATCATTATCTAACCCGCCCGCCTGCAGCTCGTTGAATAGCGCTTCGGCAGACTTCACTTGAATGTCGAAGTCCGCGGGTGACTGGACTGGCGGTGAGATAGTGGCGCTTCCTTCTGAGAAACGATCCACGCACCGACGCGGGCCACGACACGCGGAGGGTGAAGCGCGAGTAGGCACGCCAGGCGGGATCGTCGAGGCGCAGCGCGAGCCAGAGCTCATGTGAACAGGATGCTCCGTGCGACGGGTGGCAGACGTCAGCAAGCGGCGTGCCAAGGGGTGCTGGCGGTACGCGGAGCAGCTTCTCTGGCGCTGCCGCAGAGAGCACGGTCCTGCACGAAGCGATGTGTGAGTTGCCTTGTTGAGCACACAGCTGACCGGCGCACCAGTTCGCCTGCAGAGCCTGAGCTTGCGAGGGCGTGAGGGAGCCCTCCATGGCGACGAAGTTGACGATCTCGGTGTTTGCCCATGCGAAGGGGAGATAGAAGAAACAGCACAGGAAGATGCATCTCGCTGCGAAGGACGGCATTCTGGGTGGGCCTGCGTGCACACGCGCATGGACGTCAGAGGCAGAGTATGGGCGCCTACGCGTCGGTGGCGGATACAGTGAGCGGATTAGGCAAGTCTAGAGTTCGCGAACTCGATGGTGCACCTAGGAGGAGCTAGCCGGCGGTCAGACGACCCCAAGCTTCGCCGCCCCATATATATCCCTGCGCCGCGCACCCCGCCTCTCTATCCTCTTACACAACACTCAACCTGAACATCACCATGGCCACTGCTGTACTTCCCCCGCATCCCCCCGCCAGTGAGTCTACCTCCCCTAACGCTCCTGAATCATATGCTGAGTTGCTATGACGTCTTGCAGTGAAGGTCGGAGGCCGACGACTCTCCATCAGCTCACGACCGAAGCCACACTTCTCTGCGTAGGTTGCTTCTATTTGGTCAGAGACATCTCCTGACACGCTTCCTCAGTGAGGGCAAGCCGCCCAGCCCAAGCGGCGAGGAGCCAGCCGACTACCCTCGTCCTGCGCCACCAGGCGAGGACGGCCCCCACAACCACGAGCACCACGACGAGGTGCCCAAGAAGGAGAAGAAGCGTGGCGGCGGCGGCGACGACCACGAGCGGCGCCTCCAGGAGAGCCTCTACCGCAAGGCCGAGCAGAACAGGCCGCGGAGGGACCTCCATGGCGCGAAGAACCTCAACGCCGTGGGCGCCGGTGGCAGAATTGCCCAGCCCATCGGTCGTCAGATGTCCCTGTGATCGTGTTGCTTCGTTTGGGAACAATATGTTGTATGAATAGTAAGGTTGGGCAGCCGATACGCAATCCTGTATATTAGTGTAGCATCGCCATGGCGTCGTCCTCAATTGTATTATTCCGCGCTTGTTGTCTTTGACAGTGTTGGCGATGACAGTGTGCGATGCATAGCGGGGTCGCATGGATTGCATGGTACAAACATACACATGGTTTGCAATATGCAGTAATGGAGAGCGAAAGCAGAGAAAGCAAAGTGGCCGGGCACACGCCTATGCCTCGGTTCTCCTCTTGCCCCGTGTCTTCTTCGGCGGGTAGGCCTTCTTCTCCTTCTGCGACGCGAGGACGGCCGATACACGGGCGAGCGTAGCCTGTCAAGCAGAACACAAGGTTAGCTCACGTTCTGTCGGAAATACGAACGAGTCGAGCAAAGATACGAAAATATGTGAGCGCCAAAGAGTCGGGCAAACCGCGTCGCGCGTCGGACGGGACCCGATAGCGACATGGCGCGTATCCGGGCAGAGTTTGATCGACTCCGTCCCAGACCAGGTAATCTTGCACAGCATGTCCACACCCAACTTTCATGATGTCCAGCGGGCTCTAGATGGTGCGTTCTCTGTTTCTCCTACATGTCCAGTGATAGGATCCATCGAACCGATAGCGGCCGTTTCCAGGCGAGTGTACAACAGAGAGATGACTTAGAGAAGTGAAGCAGACGCTCACCTGGCGGAGGTCAGGACGGTAGCCGCGCTTCGCGACCTTGGATGCGACACCGAGGGCGCGGCTGCCGCCCGAGCGGCTGCGGATGATGGAGGTGGAGTAGGCGGGGCGCACGGCGTTGGGCGTCGCCTTCACCTTGCGGGTCGTGATCTTAATGCCCGCCTCGCTGTCCGTCACAGCGATCGTCTGCAGGCGCAGGCGGATGAGTATTCCAGCGCTAACGCCATGAAGTAAGCGTGGGGTGCGCACCTTGGAGTTAGCAAGGCCGGAGTACTTCCACGAGTGGATGTTCGTGAGGTTTGCCTGGTTCGGATGGAGACGTCAGCTTGACTTGGTTCGTCCGTGCTGTATGCAAAGAGACATACCGGCTCCCTGGAAAAGACGGGACCCTCCGCGACCGTCTTCACCATGAAGGCATTGTTTTTCTATGTACACAACAAAGGTCAGCATACGACACACCGACAGCACAGAGGATAAGCACGACGCACGCGGAGAAGGAGCCACTGGAGGTCGTTGGACATTTTGACGGTCTTGCTGCGTTGCGGTTCGTAAGCGCCCGAATCTTGGTTTCGGTGGCTGGGAGGAACTGTAAAGTGGCAAACATGGACAAACAAGTGCGGCTGAAGGCAGAGGCCGGTCCAGCCTGGGTCCAGCGGCTCTGGGCGCGTAGCGCCTGGCCGTCTCAAACGTCCTGCGTTCGAGTCCGGGTTCTCCGCCTCTTGCGACAACGCTCTTCTCTCTGGATGGCTAACTGCCAATGGACGGTGTGATTACAGTGAAGTACAGGGTATATGCGGTGTACAGTCCATGATGCAATGTCGACAGCAAGTCCCCCCGACAGCGAAACGCCTCCGCCGGACGCACGCGCCACTCAATACTCTACTCGGGAGTCGGCGCGGGTGGTCTGCTCGCGGTACTCAGCCATGAGCTTCGCCTCGTACTCCATCCGCGACATGCGTTCGTTCCACTTCTCCGTGATGGCGTCGAAGCGGTGATTCACGATCCGCGTGAAGCGCGTGTCCGTCCACGGCTTGCCGTCGCCTAGTGCGATGCAGCGCATGTCGACGAGCGTGCGGCCCTCGACCTCGACCGGGACGACCTCCTGCGGCTTCCGGAATGGGTGCAGCTCGCGCTTCTGCTTCGCCGTCCGCACCGCGATGTCGCGCCGGAATACGAACCACTCGTGCACTTTCGACGGGGGCCTGGACAGGGTGGTCACGGCGGAGTGGCGCAGGTCAATGTCATTGTCAACGCGGGAGTGGCGTAGGGGACGCACCATACAATGGTGACACCGATGACCTTTGTCCAGAACTCGTCCGGGAAGGGCGTGATCCAGAGGAAGACGTACTCCATGATGCTGAGCTGGATGGTGTCCGGGCCCGGGGGCGATATTGCCTCGAGCTCCGCGGCGGTCTCTTGGATGCCTTCTTGCCATGTCAGTACGCGTTGCTCCTCGCCGTCGGGCGTGTCCGCCGAGGCTGGCGTGTCCGACGTGTCTGGCGTCGTCGGCTGTTCCATGTCCAGCTCTTGAGCCATGGTCGCTGAGACAGCAGTGAGAAAGGCCTGAGTGGCGGCGTGTGGCAACGAGGAGGAAGCCAGAGGGCACTTGCTTGGGTGGGTTATTATACCGAGCCTGTGTTGTTGTTGTTGTGGGAGTGGCGGCGCATTGTTGTTGTGCGAGCTTGTGGGTGAGCGAGGCAACAGCGAGGGCTGGTTACACAATCATAATTACCGACGCGCTCAGCACATAGATCGAGATCGGACGCGTCGCCGTGACGTCGCCATCACCCAGGCGCGTGACCGAATACATCCCTTCCCGCGCCGCGGCGTCCTCTACCAACCTTCTCTATATAGACTGCAGCCCTCACAGACGAGCGCGGCGGATGATCTTCTCATCGAGTACTGACAGTAGAACAGGGCGCCGCCATCCAGCGTCCTCAGACTAGGAGTCAGCCCCTAACATATATACGGGTCACGCCTTCGGGCTCGGGCTTACACCGTTGTATATAAGGTCCAGTTGTCCGGTGTTTTCCCCCTGTCGATCCTCCGTCTGTCTACCTCTACCTTCGATCAAACTCACTTGTAGGAAATCTACAAGCTGCGATGTCGGGAATACCAGTACATGCCGACGAAGAACGACAGCGGATGATGCACCGCGTCCGGGAAGTGGTCAAGGAGGACCCGCTGCAGGGATGGGACAAGGCCTGGTGCGTATCGCTTCCATGGTTCCTCCGTACGCACAGCGGAACTGATATATCTGTCTCCAGGCAAGAGAACGTGACGCCCTGGGACGCGGGCGAGTCGCAGCCGCCCCTCCGAGACTTGCTCGTCTCGGGCGAGGTCGATCTCCCCAAGTCCGGGCGCGCGCTCGTGCCTGGATCCGGTCGTGTATGCGCACCTGCTTGCCTGTATACGACGGGTATATTGACGGGTGACGGACTCCGCAGGGATACGATGCGATCCTCATCGCGACCACGCTCGGACTAGAGACGACGGGCTTAGACATCTCACCCGTCGCCCTGGAGGCCGCTCGTGCGTGAGTAACGCGACACTCCGTCAGTTGACTATGAGACGGAGTTGCAATGACGGGGCATGTCAGTCACGCAGCTGCGTCCGATTTGCCTGTGGGCACGAAGGTGAACTTCGAGGCTCGAGACTTCTTCGCACTCGCGCCCTCTCCCGAGGAACGGTATGACCTGATTTACGACTATACGTAAGCATTGAGGCCCAACTTCAGCGATCATTTGTTCTAACTCGAACCCTAATCGCCACCACGGAAAATAGCTTCTTTGTCGCCATCGAGCCCTCGCGCCGCCCTGAATGGGGCCGCCAAATGTCTGCTTTGGTCAAGCCGGGCGGATACCTCATCAACCTCGCCTTTCCCCTCGCGCCCAAGCCGTATGAAGGCGGTCCTCCCCATTATGTCAAGCCTGAACATTATCAGGAAGTGCTCGGGGACGGATGGGAGAAGGTCCTCGACAAAGTGCCGGAGCGCAGCTTGGAGTGGCACAAAGGGAACGGCGAGAGGATCGTCGTGTATAGGAAGCTGTGAACCGATTAAGAATACTCAAAGCGTTCAAACGGCAGCAGCACGACCCAAGAGTACATGCGTACAATTCAATGCGATAAGTACTGGCATATAATACACTGCGTTCGTTTCTTCTCTCCCGTTGCTCACTCGACATCATTCACCTTCGGCCCCCACTGCCCCTTCTCCTTGACCTTCTGCGCCAACAGCGCCTCGTCCTCCGCCTTGAGCTCCGCATCGACCTGCGCGCCCCGGCTCGGCTCATGGCCCTGTCTCGTCGCGGGCGCGAGCGGGTCCTTCACCGTCTGCCCCGCGGCCGCGCGCTCCGCCTCGCGGGCTTTCTTCTCATCGTGCTTTTGCCGGTTCTGCATCGTCAGCTCGCTCCTGTGGAGTGTGAGTGTGGGTGTGAGCTCGGTGTAGGGCGAAGAAGAGATGTAGGTGTACCTGGTGTCCTGGGGGTCTTGGGCGCGGTGGGGAAGCTTGCCTCCGGGGGCGGGCCCTCCTGAGTGACCGTGCGGCCTGGGACGCGACAGGGACGGTCAGTACGAGCTTGCGAGGAAGGTCCGCCTAGAACGCACCTCTGGTCACCGTCTTCGTAAACCTGGCGGTTGCCTACATTTGATTGCATTGCACCGGACGACATGGTGGTTGTATGTGGGCAACTTGGTTACGGTGAGTCGATCTTATGTATGTTCGAGCGCGTATGGCTGATGCGGAAGTGACGAAGGAGGATCCTCAGGAGCCAGTGCGCGTGACGTCATGGGAGGAGGGCGCGCCGGCCGCGACGAGTTAGAACGATGGCAGCCGCATTTGGAGTGTGCCCGGGGTTGTACGTTGGTCTCATCACCGCGATTTCGCTTCCAGGAAGGTCAATATCCGATGTGGTGTTGATCGCGTATTGCAGCTGCTACCAATGCACAGTAACTGAGGTTCATCCGTACACAACGCTTGACGCAAGGATAACATGGTCAGAAATATGAGTGATCTGGCGTAGGTTCACAATTACAAGTCCAAGACGAATCTACCCTTTGCTTGAGGTGCAGAGTGCTAGTGCTACAGTCGTTGTACAATGCCCGCGTCCATGTGCGTTGGTGGTTCATACATTCGGCCCAAACGACCCCTTCTCATGCTTCTTCTTCGACAGGCTCGCCTCATCATCTGCCTGCAGCTCCGCGTCGACCTGTGCGCCCCTTGATGGCTCATTACCGTGATGCGACGCAGGCGCGAGCGGGTCGGTGACCGTCTTGGATTCTGCTTCTCGGTCGGCCTCGCGCTCGAGCGCCTCCTCCCGGTCTTTCCGGTTGTTGAGGGTCAGGTTGTCTCTGGATGTGTATGTCAAGGCACATTCTCCTCACGAGTACATCGAGACGACTCACTTGGGGTCGTGGATGTTGTGTCCATGCTGTGCGGCTTTGCCGCCTGGGGGCCCCTCGAACTGGTTACCGTGTGGCCTGCAGTAGACGAGGTTGTCAGTGGAGCGCGAAGGGTTCACAGACGCAACATACCTCTGGTCACCGTCGTTGTAGACCTGCGGGTTGCCGACTTTGGATTGCATAGCTCCGGAAGACATGATGAGTGATTGAGAGTGATGTAGGGTGCTGAGTGCAGAGGGTATTACGAGATGCAGTTGTGCGATGAGATTATGGGGCCCCTGGTGTGCGACAGGGAGTCTCTTATATGTGTGAGGGGACAGGCCGAGCGATCGTGGTGCGAGCCATGACGCGACTGACGCGTGACGTCATGTGGAGGATAGGTATGTGTTAGGTTAGGGTTCGTTCTATGGTCACAAACGCCGAAACTCAGCCCGCCGTGACACCGCGTCTGATCACTATCACTCTCCTCGCACTCCTAGACTCGGACTGTACTGGAACCTACTTAATTTGGTACATTACGTCCTGTACGTACGTACGGCGTACGTATGATACGAAGACCCGACTCCCGACACTGACATACACTTTGCGCAATAGTTCAGTTCTTATAGTTCCTACATGTCGACGCGGTCTGGTATCATGATCTTCAAGTTGCAACTGCCGATCGAGGTATGGGAACGAGTCATTGACCACCTCTGGGAGGACTATCCAGAGTTATTCGCATGCTCGCTGGTCTGCAGAGCCTGGCGTGCTCGGTGCTCTTTCCAGCTGCTCAGCAGAGTCTTCCTCCACTCGCGCGCCGACGTCTACAGACTCGCGAAACGCTTGAAGTCACAGCACGCCTACAGGGAGCAGGTCCACACGCTGATCGTGCGCGGAGACCCCAAGGAGGAGACGCGCAAACCGATTCCCCAGCTGGGTACGCTCGCGGCTGTCTTCGCAGCGAGCCCCCCGTACGCGAAAGACATGGGTATATGGCATGCCACATGGCAAAGCAGCTTGATCCCAAAGGACGTGTTCTTACATCTCACCACGTTCGTCGCCGTAACGCGACTCACCCTCGCGCACGTCACCTTCCCTACAGTGCTTACTTTCGGCCGTCTCACCTCCGCCCTGCCCAACCTGCAGACCCTCGCGTGCCGGGATGTCGCGTTCGAGAAGAAACGCTTCCCCATCGCCTTCCTAGCGGGACCTTCTACTATCGTGGACTTCAATATGCTGTGTGGGACGCCGATGGACGAAGTGGTCGATTTCCTTGTCACGACAGCTGGCATCGCGCAGGGGCTGGAGGAGCTACGTGTTGCGTTCTGGGACCCCGCTCCTCTTCTGAAGGATCTAAAGGCTCTTCGCGTCAAGCAGCTCCTACAGGCTGCGAGCGATTCACTGTCAACATTCGACATTCGATTTGGGGGCGTGGACCTGGATCCTGCAGCCGCCTCTGAAGCAATAAGTAAGCATATTGGTGCTGAATCCCTCATCAGTGATTCACAGAGCTGACGTATACCTTTGGCAAGACGAGCTCGATCTCAGCACCAACTCAAATCTCAGAGATCTCCGGCTGACACTCCAGGTCCTCCGTGTTCCCCCAGAGGGGAAACCCGTCCAGGAGTGCACTTGGCTGTACACCCTCCTCTCGAGGATCGTCCCCGAGGAACTTGTGTGCCTCTCCTTGGAATTCGACATCCGCGACATGAAAACTGAGACGGATCCTGTCGCCGCCCTCGACATGGTATCCATGCTCTTGACTTCAGGGCTCTCGTCCAAGATCGACGCCCTCCTCACAGACGCGAAGTTCAAGAACCTGCAGAGCGTGTATATCGCTGTGTTCTGCGCCACTCGAGGAGTCCTTGCGGATGAAGATAACTGGTCGCTGATCGTGCAGCCGCGCTTCCCTGAGCTGAACAAGCGTGGTATCCTTCAGTGAGTGTGCCCCTCATCAACACAAGCTCATGAGATTGACTATGGAATAGCACAGCGGTGGATATCGATCTCGAACGCTGACAGCTAACGGCATTGCATTGGCTCGACCGCCCTATGGGCGTTCAGATATTGACGCATCTTCGTCTCGGCAATCCCACCCACTGGCACTGCCTCCACTCGAACTCAATCCGCTGGCTACAGCGTGGCCATCCCCTCGAGGCCCCGTACCACACGTTTCCAAAGATGTTCCCTTTATGGCTCGCGCCAATCGCGATAGGCGACCCGATAACTCGATCGTGATGTTGTGGACATGTTCCACGTTATCAGCTGTCCTTTCGCCCTGCCAGTGCGAGTGCACAGAACATATAAGTAAGGGAACCCGGATCACAGACTAATCTTTGATCCCAGCCCACACACTGTACCAACCGCGAGGGGTGCCCCGTCCACGAACACACCGACGCGCACGTCATGGGTAGAGTGAGTATTCGGACCCCGTTTTCATCATCACTGCTTATCACCGCATGTGCGACTGACACTGGATACGCATCAGGTCGGCAAGATAGACCAGTCGAAACAGCGGACCGCTGCGAGCTTCGTTCGTGTTTCCAAACCTCCGAAGCAGCAGCCAAAGATGAAAGCGCAACCGCACCCGAAAGCTTCTACGCTGGTGAGCAGAGCACACAGTCCAGGGGGGTGAACGAGTAACGGGTTGCTGACCACCGCACTTCCAACTTCAACTTGAATGTTCTGTGTGGCTTGATTGAACGATGGCTCTGGATAGACCATGACCCTGAGGTATGTAGCCCTCTACCACCGTCATACTGGTTTCCGTGCTCAACGATACTATCGAAGGTCACGCACGAAGGCACAGGAAGCGAGTACGAAGCCTCCGGGCCCTATTGAGGTGTCGGTGTCGGTGAATCAGCAGCAGTAGCTCGGCTCGCATCGCGGGAGGTCGGCCGCCGGAGTCGTGGCTCGCTCACTATTGGTGGCAGTTATTGTGAGACGTCGGTGCGGGTGCTGTTGGTCCATGTATTTGCTTCTCATTGGGCCTATCGACTCAAACGCGACGTGCATCTATCCATGTGCTGACTCGGAGGCGAACGCGCATAGGCTCCGATCGTTCGTACTCACCACCTGATGGTTCTTATTCTGCTAATCATCTGTTCGCCGGCGGTGCGTCTCTGCGGCGATCAAACCATGTCGAAAGAGCTTTTTCGATAGGTTGGAAATATGAAGCGTGGTTGCATACGGGATCCGACCAGCGATTCTAGTACGGTGACCGGCGATCGAGTTCGGTGACCTCAGAAGTGTCATAATGAGCTTCCGGCCGCAGTACGAGACTGCGACGTTGAGCCCCATCGAGCTTGAACCCTTGAACGCCTACCTACCGGCATCGCATTGGCAATGCGGACGCGCTCGGAGGACCACGAGAATCATCAAGCACGTACTCCGGCGGTATTCCCAACAAATGACATTCAATAACGTCAAACAATAACGAGTGGTCTGCCATGGCAGGATTAGAAGTGAGGTCCACGCCTACTTACAAATTAGCTAATCGAACATATACTAGATCACAACAAGCATACACCGTACAGTGGATACATCGACTTGTCTTCGTACACACCGTCTTCGGAGTCTCAAAATTCGCCTGGGGGCGTCCCCTTCGAGGAAACGTCCTCCATCTCCGTGTCCGGTTCGTCGTGCATATCGAAGTCCGTGCTGATCTGCACGCTTCGCTCTATGTTGATCTCCACCTGCTAAAGTCCAACAACCGTCAGCGCCCATGTTCACATCAGAACAAGTCAGAGCTTATTGAGAGGGGGGATCTAACCTTGGTGGACATGGGTATACTGTCGGTCATGCCAGGGCGCTGTCAGGAATGACGGAGTTAATTTCGCTTGTGAAAACATGATGAGTGAGTGGGGGACGCACCGCCATTCGCCCGCTTTGCATGCGCATGCGGGAGTGGCGGTCGCTTCCGAGGACGACTGGGAGCGAGGGATCGTGCTCGGCTGAGGATTGTTGTAGGCGGAGGGTCTTCCTCGCGTTGAGCCTAGATAGTCCGGAGGTCAGTATAAGCGCGAGTGGTAGGTAGGAAGGGTCGCTGACGTTGACAAGAAGGCGTTCGCGTACACTAAATGATAGGTGCAATGAGCTTTCGGCTGTCAGGCACGAAGACAAGGAGCGAAGAGAACGTACGCTTAGTGATCGCGAAGTGAAGTCCGAGGAAAATGAGGTTGTCGACAGTCACCCACTGCAGGCAAGATGAATCGGCGACGGAACGGACATTCTACGGGTGAGCTCTGCTCACCAAAATAAGAGAAATGAAGGTGGTGACACTTCAAGAGTGTCTTTCAGTGCCAACTGACAATACATCACGGGGTGTTCGCTCACAATGTCAAAGACCCGTTTTGGATTGTGTAGAACGTTAAGGTGTTGACGATAGCATCCATTCTGTACATCCCGGATAGTCAGCCAGTTACCGAGGAGTAGGCTCCCGGCCTGTCGCTCAGAAAGCACGTACGAAGAGAAGGCGCTCCTGCTCTTTCGGAGATAGTAGCACAGCGAGGCGGCCACGAGTATGTCAAGGAGGGCGGAGAGTGAGAGGCCTAGTGTGAAAACCCACTGTGCGGTGGTCAGATGCATACAGATTGTCGGCCAAGATAGGCTTACACCGACGTCTCGCCTGAAGGCTTCGTAGCTCTGTAGCCGTATCCTGCCGCAGGTTGATGCTTAGCGGGCGTATGATATACAAAGCGGAGCTTACTCACATGTAGGCGGTCGAGACCAAAGCGGCGACTATAATATGATGTCAGCATGGATGCACATTCGCGAGCTTGAACTCACTCAATCGTGCCGAAGCGACCGCAGCCTAAGGGCGTCGAGTGTCAGAACGATAGGCGGGCAATGGGGGAAGTCGTTGTCCACGTACGAGTATCGTGGTTATCCACCATTTCCTGTAGCTGACTAGACACATCCAGCTCAATATTGGACCCTCAGGGATGAGAAATATGCTTGAAGCTTACCTGTGTGAACCCTCCATGCGAAGAAACTGATTAAGGAGTTGTCAATCAGCGATGATATAATCAATCACTAGCCACTGCAGACGGACCATTGCACTATAAACGTCATGAGCGCCTTGCTCGACGTAAGGTTAGCCAAGATCGACCCTCGTAGGGAACGTTGCGGAGACATACCGTCAGCATCACTGTTCCCTGATGATCGGTCAGTACGACTATGGACGCAGGCTCTGAGGACGACGTACTCCGATAGACCTATAGTCGGCAGATTCAGTGGCTAACCTCACTACTTATACGCGACAAGACTCACCATGGTATCCAATCTTGGATTGTGGGGTCCGCCCAATTGGCTATCAAATAGTCCCAATCTGCGATGCAAATAAACATAGTGTGCAGGAGATCAAGCACCCTGATAGAAATGAATAACAGTGTGATTCCGGCGAGACTCCGGCGTACCATATCACATAGACCTGTACACCAGTCCTCAGCAGTCGCGCAATTATACCGATGCACCAGCAGCTCACCATTGCCCGCAGCCAGATGGTATCTGTATGGTACACGGACGTATACAGGGCAGTCTGCATGGATACCACTCCCGACAAGCTGATTTTCCGCGTGTGAGTGCAACGCACTGAATGTGAGGTTATCCCACTTACAACGTCGACACCAGGCCCCCTAGGAGCAGGGGACCGAGAAAGGGGAGGATGCTCATGGCATGCAGACCTTCGGGGGTAATGCCTGCGAAGGCGGGGGAGGGGACGTCTAGTTAAGGCCCGGAGCATGATGGCGCCCAAAAGGAAATTATGGTGACGGTAACGAGTGCACGATGTCCCCATGGGCGCCAGGCGAAGACGGGAAGGCTGGTCAGGGGGGTTGAACTATGGCCAGCCACATGCAGCGTATGTAGTTTGACATGATCGAGGTCCAATTCAGAGATTCGAGCGCCATGGATCCGATCTCGGGACGGTCTTGTCCGTCGGTCATCGACTTGGCGTCCTCCGTTATCGGGCGGAATTGTCTGCAAGCAGTATCACCGCCATTGTTGTTGCGAGATCATGGGTAAGTATCTGGCTGAGACTTGCAACAAAACATGATAGTACTTCAGATCTCGAAACGCATGGCCGCGGGTCCCACAAGCTAGAGGGACAGGTGCACTGATGTTCAAGGGGCTGACTCACGCTGTAAGGCACGAGGCGACGGTGACCTAAATACACAGTGCTGTTCTTTGCATGTAGACTCAGTAGAGCAATTCGACGAGGCAAAAACATGGCCATCAGACCCGATGCCTGCACGACGAAAAAATATGGAGATAGCTTTGCCCTTTCGTAGGAGATCCGCGAGGTGCCTACAAGCTTCTACAGGGCGTTAGATACGCAGCGTCGGGCACGCAACACGTATGTCTGCCACATGGTCCAGGAAGCGAAAAGAAGGCCCGTAAACGCCAGCGTCCGTCGAAAAGTGTGCCCCGCCAACAGGAGAGCGTTAGCTGCGCTTGGCCGTCCCGGGCACACGCAGTTAGTTCCAGTTTCGACTTGCGACATCGCAATTGTAGACGATGTAATTTTCGCCTTCCCCAGGGTCCATCGCATGCACAGCGAGAAGTAGTAGGACTTACAGCCACGCCGCACAATCGCTGCACAGTAACCTTGCTTGTGATGCTGAAATGTGGCGTCAGAAGGAAGCCTCTCTAGACCAATTGCTGGCAACTGCAACACGATTATCGGTAGGCTGAGTAGGATCCACGAAGAAGAGGGAAAATAGACGTACCTACGACGAGACACGCAGCGACCTATCCCATTTGCAGATAGGTACGATCACTGCAAGTACTGATTCGCTGCGACTGAGCCTCGTGTCGAATAGTACCGCAGCGGTCAAGTACGCTACTCACTGCTCTTGGAGGGTAGTACATTCTGTCATACCTTCGTTGTTCCGACCGTCGCATGCAATGCACGCAGGTGAGCATTCAATTCCGCTATCAGCGTTTTACCTCGGGCAGCAAATGAGTCATCATCAGTTGAAGAGGAGACATCCATCATCAGCAACGACTCTTACCCGGCTCTCCAATCAATGTGGCGCATCAATCAATTTGCTGCGTCGGGGTTCGGGGCGGCGTCGTGCTACTCGAAACCCGTGTTTTCTGACGCGGAAGAACCACGTCCACAAAGACAAAGGCGCACCGTCGGTCCGGATGCATCTTCAACATTTGTGCCTTATGACGACTTGATCGTATAGCGCGATGGTGGTTTCCTGGTAGATAGCGATTGTGTAGCGACTTTGATAGGTCGCCGAACAACGACATACACATTCAGAATTTCCGGACACAGCGGACACCGGATGAAACTTTCGATCCTTCAAGTGAAAGATCGATAAAATTGACAAAATCTTTTTCACGATATTTCGTATGAAAGATTGTCAATAAAAGTCAGAAACAATCAATTAATCATTCAGACTCGAAGTATCAGGAACAGATCACAGAAGGATTCATTGACAAGTGTCTTTGATCTGTTTGTGATCCTCTAGGCAAATGATTGAGAATATGATATTCAAAAATTCTTGGTCACTATGTGGCTCAATTGTTCTGAAAGGATTGAAAACAGATTGTCACATGGGGTGTTACAATCTTTTCTCAATCTTTCAGGCTGTCACAATCTGTTTCAAATCCTTCCAGCTGTTGATATCTTGGTGAGATTGGAAACAATTTGTATCCCAGGGGTTCAAAACAATTTGCCCAAAAGGATTGACAAGAGATTGTGACACTAGCTGTGACACTGTGCCACTTCCCTATGACAGAGCAGTGAAGGCAATTATGCCAAACCTATGATAAGCTGCCTTCTGCTGGTATGCTCAGTCATTTTTGGTCCCTCATTCATTGCCTGCCATCACATGAGTCTCATTAGATGCACTCAGTGTACAGGGTTGTACTTGTGATTGTACATTCCTAGAGATGTGCATCTCATTGTATGACTAATGAACATGTCCCAGACCTGCGCATGTCCAGATGCAATGAAAGAGGGACCAAAATTGACTGAGCATACCAGCAGAAGGCAGCTTATCATAGGTTTGGCATAATTGCCTTCACTGCTCTGTCATAGGGAAGTGGCACAGTGTCACAGCTAGTGTCACAATCTCTTGTCAATCCTTTTGGGCAAATTGTTTTGAACCCCTGGGATACAAATTGTTTCCAATCTCACCAAGATATCAACAGCTGGAAGGATTTGAAACAGATTGTGACAGCCTGAAAGATTGAGAAAAGATTGTAACACCCCATGTGACAATCTGTTTTCAATCCTTTCAGAACAATTGAGCCACATAGTGACCAAGAATTTTTGAATATCATATTCTCAATCATTTGCCTAGAGGATCACAAACAGATCAAAGACACTTGTCAATGAATCCTTCTGTGATCTGTTCCTGATACTTCGAGTCTGAATGATTAATTGATTGTTTCTGACTTTTATTGACAATCTTTCATACGAAATATCGTGAAAAAGATTTTGTCAATTTTATCGATCTTTCACTTGAAGGATCGAAAGTTTCATCCGGTGGGAGCGCAAAGATACTCCTACAGAAGGATTTATCATATGCTTCTCCGCGAGTCGACAGATCTCACGTATCCCCGCAAAGACTGACATCTGATCATGAGCGGGCTAAGCTCAAGTCAAGTGTCCAACTCACCATACGCGTGGATAAACTTGTGTAGACCTCGCTCGCTACACGACTGAACAGCTTTGCGGTAAACGCATAGCAGTTTAGAGAGAAAAACTGCTGGGCTTCGAAGCATGTTCAGTACACCGCGGAGCGACGGGGCGCTAGGTGCGTGAGCTTCGTGACGGAAAATTTGAATACAGAAAACCTGGGGTCAGATCGCGCAAATAGCGTTCGAGACGTATGGTCTTATGGAATACGAGCACATGCCGTTGCACGAGGGATCAGTTTCAGGAAACCGGTGTGAATCCATGTCGTGAGTGGACCTATCAATAGCTCGATGCTCCAAGAATAGTCAGTAACTCTGTTCACTGGTTCCACAAGTGGCTCGGTCCCGACAGACTTCATTTCCCCGGGGAGGTTCCGGGGCTAGCGCACAGCGGTCGTGATGCACCAACAGTGCATAGGAATGAAGCCAAAGGAAGCACGTACTTCTGAGCACCTAGTACACATTAATCATTTACTACGCAAGGTCTTTACTCCGGCATCATTTCCTCAGCAGGTGCACCTCCGCCACCGCTTTCTCTCTCCTTTCGCGTTGCTTGCACGACATCGTCGACACGCAGGAGCACACGCGCAGCTTCCACAGCCGTTTTGAGGATTTGGATCTACAGATACCCCATCTATCAGCCGCAACGATCGGCGTAGACACGCATTTACACACCTTGACGCTGGCAGACTCGTACAGTCCGTAAGATTTCATGTCCACGGTCTTCCCTGTCTCGCCGTCGATACCCCACGAGTGCTCACCGTTGGCGTGCTTCGCCTGAAGATGATAGATGTGTCAGTTGGGAACACCCATCATGGACATGTACGGAAGGAAAGAGAATGATCTACGAACCCGAAGCTCAGTGAGTACCCGGATGGCGTTGCCTCCGCTGTTCTGCACCAACGTCCGCGGAATCACTTCCAGCGCATCCGCGACCGCACGGAACGGGCCGTTCTCCACGCCAGTGATGCTCCTCGCCTTCGCATGCAGGCCGACGCTGATCGCCATCTCCGTCGCACCGCCGCCGGGGGCGAGGATCGGGTTGAAAAACACGTTTCGCGCCACGGACATCGCATCCGCAAGGTTGCGGTCGATCTCATTGAGGATGTCTTTTGACGGGCCACGGAGGAGGATCGTGCACGCCTTCGGCGTCGAGCACTCGGTAAGGAAGGTGAAGTACTCGTCGCCTATCTTCTCGATGTTGAAGAGCCCGCACTTCGTGCCGACGTCGGACTCGCGCAGGTCCTCCACGCGGTTGACGATGGTGGCGCCGACGGCTCGCGCGATGCGGTTGTTGTCGGACTTCCGTACTCGTCGGAGGGCGGAAACGTTCGCCTTGAACAAGAAGTGTTGTGCGTAATCTGTGACAGGGACTTAGCGCAAGTTCCTTCATATACGGCGTCACGAACGTACCGGAGACGCCCTTCTCGGTAATGACGATGTCAGGTTTGAACTCAAGAATTTTGTCCACCATCGCCTTGACCTGCTCCTCCTCAATCTCCTGTATCCTGCTCCAGTCCGCCGCCTTCGAGATCTCAATGTTCGTCTGCGACTCGCCCTTCTTGTATTCAAGCGGGCAATCCAGCAGGACGATCCTTGGGTTCTCGATCCGCCGGCGCATCTTCGGGTGCGTGATGTCCTTGTTGACCATGATCCCGCTGAGGACCTTGCTGTCCTCGATCTCGCCGCCGGGGATCTTCTCGACACGCGCGTACCGCTTGATGTCGACGGTCTTTGCGGAACCTTCCTCCATGGCTACCGTACGGACCGCCTGCAGCGCGAGCTTGCACATGAGGTCGGACCAGCGCATGACAAACTTCGTCCCGATGGAGGTCTTGATGAGCGAGAGCATCTGCGCGTCGTCATTCGTGTCAATGGGGATGGAGATCTTTCTGATGATCTCGAGGGCCTCCTTGAGGGCTTTATTGTACGCAGAGATAATGACCACAGGGTGGATGTCGCGCTCGAGCTGAGACAACGACTGTGCGAGGATCTCGCCGGCTAATCCACTGGAGTCAGTCAAGATTGTATGAAGATCATGTTCTATGAACGCACCAAGGATGATGACACTCGTAGTACCGTCGCCGCACTCCTCGTCCTGCGTCCGACTAAGCTCGATCATATTCTTTGCTGCCGGGTGCGCAACGTCGATCTCCCGCAAGATGGCGTTACCGTCATTCGTCAACCTTCCATTCCCATTGAGAACCAACTGATGCCAGAGATTACGGAGACGTACAGAATACCTCCCATAGGGTCCAAAATCATCTTGAGCATGGCTTTTGGTCCCAGGCATGTTCGGATGACATCCGCGACGGTCTACATAGACAAGCACTGAGCACATGAGTTAGCAGTAACGATACACCGTCGCGCACCTTCCCAGCGGTGATGTTGGAAATCTGAGCTTTCCGTCCCGACTGCCTCTCGGGCGCGGTGTCTACAAAGCTCCTTCAGCGACCCCATCCCAAACCCGGTACAACGCACGCACTCATCACAAAAATCGGTGTCTGTCCGCCGGCCTGCATCTTGTGTTAAGAGAAGGGGTCGTTTAAGGAGAGAGCGCGAAAGAAGGGGGTGGCCGCAGACGCGTCTCGCTCTCGAAAACGTGAAGTCAGAGGCGCCCGTCATCCCTTTTCAGGACGCGTGCGTGTAGCAACGGGCGCCTATGCGATCTCCTCCAGTGCCACCACCAGCTCTGCGTTCACGCGAGTCTGCCCTCACGCCCTCAAATCTACCAGCGATAACTGCAACCTCATCCAAAGATGAACACACATCCTACTGTAACGATAGAGCTGGTGAGACACATAGCTCCAGAACGACTGCGCGGTCCGCCGATACATGTTCAGCTAGGTCCTTGACCGGCACACGACGCAGGAGGTCCTACGCGCGGTGCTGCACTCCATTCTCTTCCACCGCCTCTTCGGCACGGTAAAGCCACAGACGTTCGAAGTGCTCGATGTCACGATGGTCAGTTACCTAACCCCTCTCCATTCCTGCGGCGCCACGCGCGTCATTCTGAATCTGACGGACGGTCAGCCAGGCGTGGACGATCCCGAGATGAAACAGCTCGTGGACGATAAAGTCGAGGCGTTCTGGAAGAGCATTGAAGGCGGCTACAACAAGCGCGGTCAGGTGTGTGTCATCGCACTACTAGAATTTGAGGCGATTAAGGGCGAACTCTGCTCTTGATATCACACGATGCGTCTCGCATCCATGCCTTCCACAGTTTCAAAACGCTGCCAGCCTTCCGGTCAAAAGATAGTGGTATATCCGAGAGGCTGTCGGGCTGTGGCTGCTGCGTCCGCGGGAGCGCTGCCTGTGTCAAGAGGCGCCATAAAAGGAGTGCCCAGCCACAATTGCACACCGGACAGACACTGTCCCAAGGAAGTATTCCGATGCCAGTTGCAAGGGCACTCTCTACGGAATGAGTCGTGCCCTACGGACTGAGGTCCAGTGACATATGAAAGCTGAGAGTTCGCGCAAGATCGAGCACCGCGACTTCGGGAATAGCGTGAAGTAGCAGCGACATGGTTCGAAGTCCATGGGCTTGGATCGAATCTCGCTTGATCGGGCACGATGTTCCTCGTCTCCTTTCATTTCTGCTCGTCTTGTTAGGGTTTCTTCCAAAGCGCTGACAGCTCGCTTTTTCTGCCCACAGATCATTGTGACGTTCTCGGAGAAGCGCCCCAGGAAGACATGGTTCATCATGGGAGAGGTGAGTCGCGATGGTGGCATTGCGAACCACCACACCTGAACTTCATTCAGGAAGAAATACCCTGGGAACAATGGTGCGTAAGAGGGGACTGGGGGGTGTCCTGATACTGACCGACTTCGCAGGATCATAAATGCGGAGATCCGGCAGCCCACACCTGAGAAAGGCATGTCGCCGTCCTTCCTCCGATTGTACATGCCCTGATGCTGTCTACTGGCGTCCGCGCCTTTTCTCGTTGGCCCCGCCTTCTGTGCAGACCAGCGCAAGTTCCAGGCAGACCTCGCCGCGACACTAACCAAGAGTCTGAAGACGATGCTCACGCACGCGTCTTCTGAACGTGGTCGGTCTGCGGTCCCTCTCATAACGAACGCCAACGGCATATCGCCGTTCCCGATTAAGATCACTGTAAAGGTCGGTAGCGTGGAAGTAGGTTAACCTAATGGCCCGCAGAGTTCGGTCGTTGGGGCCTATGAGAGTTTATCCTGTGACGGGCTGTGGACCCGCCTGGCCTCCTTCACAGACTACTTCCTACTTCGCCTTACATGTAGCGCAACCTTAACGGCAGAATGTAAACATAGCCTCCCGTAAAACTGCTAGCCATACTGCGTGTCATCTTTGACTGCCCGCAACCAATGCACAGTACGTTCAAGGGTCTGTTTAGTCAACATATGCAGCTGATGATAGGTGCAAGCAGGCCGTGGGTGGCGTTTGGACTGAACCAGATACTCTCCAGATTCATGCAGGCACGGTGACTGGATCTTGATTTGGTACGGGCTTCGATTCAGGGCGCGCCGCAGAGGCCACAGCGACGGGCCACGGCCGCGTTTGGCAAGAACGTGCGTCGTGCGCAGGCCGACATTCGCTGAGCGCGCCCTCCGCGACGAGCGCCCGGCGCACCTGCCTAATGGACGACGAACGTGCGCTTGCTAGCGCTCTGGGCAGTCCCGCGGGAAGGCTCACCGCTGTTCCTTCGTCTCGGCAGGCGGCTTCTGGTCAAGCAGGACCCGGGAGCGGCTGCTAGGGTGCGAACTTGCCAGGAAGCTGCATGGCTATATGTCGCCTCCTTCTATCTCTCTGTTATGTTGCCCTTGACACGCTGACCAAGGTGTCCTCCGTGCTTGATCCTGCCGCAGCTGCTGTGCCGTCTGCGAGTCAGCTATAACTTGCATTGACTCCTCTGCACTCCTCACACTCCCCCACCTAGTTGCCATGTCCTCAGCGCGTACTATCCAATCCAGACCCCTCAGCCTACCCGTCATATCTCTACCCATGTCGCCCGCGTCGGCCTCACCAACGGCGAGCTCCTCGCTCTCGCCTACATCCACCGCTTTCAGCCACCGAGCCTCGGACTCATCCCTTCTGAAGAAGAAGTCGTCTCTCCACAGCCATCACAGTCACGCGCCCTCCATCTCCGCCGCCTCGACGTCCAGCGGATCGACGTCCAAGAGCTTCGGCACAAGCCTGCTCGAGGCGTACGGCGAATGGAAGGAAGCGGACGATGCGCTCCAGCGCTTGTACATCGAGGAATGCAATCGGGACGAGTGCAAGGCCGAACTTGCCGACGCGAGGGAGCTGGTGAACAGGCTTAAAGCGGAGCAGTACGTCGATCACTCTCGATCACCCGTTCCGCGCATTTCATTGATCACCACCCTTGCTGTGATGTCCCACCCCGCCCGCGTGTGATTGCCAACTTGCAGGGACGCCCTGCGGTCGCCCGGGAAGCGCAGGATACAGCGGAAGCCGTCGAGGCTCGCGTCCTTCTTGCAGAACAAGAGCACACCGCATCTTCCCTTCCAGGACGTTCCCGCCCCAGATAGCAGCATGGCCGATCTCGTCGAGGCAAGCGTGCGGGAGAGTGAGCTCGAGCGGGTTTACTGCCAACGCACAGCGCAGGTACGCGCGGCGGTTGGTAGAATATGACTGATACGACGTGGTCTGCGGCTAATGCCCCGTGTACATGTAGGTCGAAGCAACGAAGGGGCAGATAGCGAGACTGGATGAACGGTATGATCAATTGAGAAGGATGCTAAATGATGGGCCTCTCCCGTCGTGGCGGTTCACCGAGTACGCACGTCTATCATACGCACCATAAACATAGCTCACCTGCCGAAGGGGATGTGAACAAGCTATATTACGAGCAGAGAAGACTGTCACAGCCCGCGAAGTCTCCTATGAGGACGTGCGCTTCTCACCCCACCAGCGTGCCTTTCTGTCACTCATTGAGGTCATCCAGAGCGTGGCTACCACCGAGGTCCTCAAACGAGCCCGCCTCGCAGTGCAGTCCGCACACCACCACTACACCGAGGCGATGAACCTCCTCGACACCGTCTGCAGCCCCAGCCGGAGCGGGATCATGGCTGCGCTCAGCGACGAGCAGAGCAAGGCGCAGACGTACAGAGGTGTGTCTTCTTCCAGTGGATATACCTGATCTCGCTGACTCACCGGACGCATGACGTGCGGCAGAGGCGGCGGACTGGTCCCAAAAGGCGCACGTCTGCCTGAAGGCGTGTATGATGGTGCTGGAGCCGCACATGGAGCTCCTCGACAGCGAGCAGATTGCCGCAGCGGAGCAACTCAAGGAGGTCGGGCTCCTCCAGGGCGTCCGGCTCTACGAGCTCATGTACGGCGGGAAGGCCCTCGCCCTCGGCATCACACGTACGCCCCTCCTTCTCTCCACTTACATGCTGTCTGATACACGTCGTGCGTTCCAGAGGAAGTGGGCGTGATGGTCAAGAAGCTCGACGCGATATACCGCCTGCTCACGAACTTCGCTGTCGCCGTGCAGAACTTCACAGAGAACTGCCAGAGCGTGCAGGAGGCCGTGCGCCATAGCAGGGACGTCGCACGCAGGGAGCTCGTCGCCCTCTGGATGAATGACAGCTCGAAAAACCACGGTGCCACGGCGGGCCGCTATCGGAATGGCACCGTATGAATCCGTCCTCGTCTCTTCTTTGCTCATCCGTTCTGGTCCGTTATTCTGTCTGTCTGTCTTGGTTGTATTTGGGCTCTTTGGCCATTTAGATTATTTCTTTCGATTCTTGGTCAGTGTTGTTTTCTTGTATACCGCCACCACTATTGCGTTCCTTTCTTCGCTGTCGTGTTTTGATAGTACCGTGCTCTGCTGAAGTTCCGCGAAACAAATGTTGTACCGCCCTGTGATCTACACCGACACTCCGTACAGATGTGCAGTCCATAGAAGAGAGATAAATACTATACCTCGCGAGTTGCTGCTTGCCAGTTGTGCATCCCACCCAGGCCTCGTCGCACGAATTGTGTGATGCCCTCAACCTGATTCATATGGCAGACGTCGGCGGGCCGTCACCATCATGGCAGCAAGTCAATCGCGACGCGTCACAGTCGCGTGATGCTCGGCCACACGTTGTCACAGCTCCCGCAGGCGCTTACATACGGCGTGCGCTCTGCCTCTGCGCTCAACACCGTCACGGTTGCAGCAGTATCATGATGGCATCCATTACTACTGAAGTGATGCTATGCAACCAATGTACGTGGAACAGGCAACCCCCCTTGCTCTCGTCACTTTTCTACCCACAACTTCTCTCTGACAATGAGTAACTAGAACGCCTCCAAACGCTCTCCGAGAGATGAAGACTCGGTGGCTTTCCCTGAACGAGTACCAGCGAAGTTCGTGTCGCGGATGTAAGATACGTGGAATGAACCTTTGGTATACGGATAATGGCATATATGCGCTCTTCACGTAGCAATGCACGTTATATATCGGATGTTCCTCAGGCAATAGACTGGGTATCAAGCTCAGCCTGCCAATCGTACCGCGAGGAACAGAGGAATGCAGCAATACGTTCCCCCTGTGACGAGGCAAGCGGTTTTGCCATTCGTTCATTCACACCCCCATCGATTTGCCACCAATGTAGGTCTCCTTCCTCATCAGCCTGACAGGCTATGGGATTAGTGACGCTCAAGCGGACTGTGCAGCATGTACCTCAAATTTCGCTTGATCTCCGTGGTGTTCTCGTAAAGTGGGTGATGTTGACCTTAGGTCAAGGGACAAGTAGCGCAGTGTTGGGATCGAGGTAGCCCACTGAGGCAAGGCCGCGAGAACAGTTTGGAGGGCTTCCGGGTAGGATACTGGGCCGACCATGGGGTCCAAACTGGTCTGCTGTGTAGGATTCTCGAGGGTTGTGGCTCTCGACACTGAACAGCGCACTTTCAAGCACACAACGCGTGGGTATCGAGACAAAGCCTTTTGGACGTATCCCTGTCGCGTAATGTATCGTTAAGCTCATATGATGCAGAGCGATCGACAACGTACTCACCCACCACTGTTGCAGATCAGGCAACCAAGTCTGGAACTGACGGACATCCAATACTTCTGCAGAGACATATCGCAAGCGTCGTGATGAAGTGAAGAGACTCCTCATGTATCTGTCGCGCAATCTGGTGCTCAGAGTCGCTATCAGCGCGACCGGCTGGACGTTCTTCGCCGCCATCAGCGCGTCCTCGCGCTCCGCCGCCGGATTCAGCCCTCTCGTGCCAGTCTCCTGATCATCCACTTTCTTCAGCGGGCTGAGCAGCTCGAGGCAATGCACCGGATGCGCGTTCTTCCACCATTTGAGCGCAAGCCCAGTGGCGTGGACTGTCTCCAGCGTCGGCCAGTCGACCGCCCTCTGGTGCTGCTGTCCCGGGGCCCAGAAAATGGGAAAATGGGTCGTCGCCCCGCCGTCCCCGAAATCTACCTCGCGTACATTGGGGAAGATGCGCGCGAGGTCGGGAGACGGCGGGAGGCTGCCCGGCGCGTGAGCTGCGAGGACGCGTACGCTTGGGAAGGACAAGCCCTCTGGGTCGAGCCGCCACATGTGCGGAGCAGAGTTCGCCGGCTTGAGCGTCGACCAGAGCGGCCACCCGGGCCACTTGCGACCAAAGTCCGAGTCCAGTTTGACTCGGCGCGACCCCCGGTCCGCGTTGGCGAGCGCCAGCTTCCGCGGGGTACTCTTGAGATCATGCAGTGTGTCCGAGACTTGTGGACCAATGTCCGTGAACTCGAGTTCGTCCAGCGAGCACATAGCTGAGACGATGGTAACGATGCGGCGTTCGTACATCATCCAGACCTCCGCCTGGTACAGGACCAAAACTCGTATCTCGGGGATTTCTTCCAGCAGGTCCGCGAGGAGGACCGCCCCGGCCCTGTACTCGTCTTCAGAGTGCTCGTGGAATCGGCTTTCTTGTTGCGCCAAGCGTTGTGCGTTTTCTATGATGCATTGAACCCTGAGTGTGCGTAACAAGGGCAGGCAGTCGTGCCTGTCGCGCAGCATGTAGTTGCAGAACTTGACGGCGTTCGAGAAGGAGTGAATCTTCACATCTCCCAGTGCACGGTCTCTGGCGGTAGTGTAGAAGAGATGTGCGGTGGAGGATAACTTGCGCGCATCCGCCGAGTCCAGATGAGAGACGATGAGCGCAAGTGTGTCTTCATTGAGGGACTCGACACCCATGGCCCCTACATACACGCGCGACAAGTCGTCATTGAACACGGTAGACCTGACACTTTGGGCATGAAGAACTAACCGCAGATCAGTAGTATGCCGTGACACTGGTAGGTGGGCTGACAGTTCTGCGTACCGGTGACGATCTGTTCTTGTACCTCTTGGATGACGGTCTAGAAGCAAACAGCGCTGGGATCCCGCACGCGAGGAGGCAGGCACGATCGCGGACCGTAAGCCAATCCCGGCGCCGGACACAACTCCAAAGTCAGTACTTCAGTTCTGAGGCAAATGTCCTGGATGGTCGGAACTGATGCATATGGATGTCTGAGACAGTATCCCGGCGCCCGGCATGCGGGACTCGGACTCACCTCAGTACCGTGAACTGGCCATGATGCACTATGGATTCGTACGTACATGGCTAGGAAGAAGTTGGCCACACGTATCATACAGTTCTTACATCGTCTACATATAAGTAGTAGTGACTAATTCCACTGCCTCCTTGAACAGGTTGATCCCCATCTTGTTCTAAGTAGTGTCGGTGCTCCCCTCAGCCGTTGACAGCGCTACACAGCGCTCCCGGTAGCCGTGAGGTCTTCGTGCCTCCTCATCTCCGTAATCGACATCATGCTGCGGCACTCCCATACCTTCGCCACCTTCAACGACACCCGCTGCGCCAATTCGTCAAGGTCCTCTGGCGTGCGTTCCTTCGCGTTGAACAGCGTCATCATGTTCATATCCCGGATATGCGCCAGTTGGTGCGCGTATCCGTAGTTCGCCGGCAGCGGCAAGGGCGCGGGCTTCAGGTATTTCGAACCGACCGTTGTATGGATGACTTGATCGGCCGTCAGAATGCGGGACTGCGGGCCCATGGCATTGTACAGATGCTTAAGGAGTGTGCATGACTCGTTGTCTGGCCAGTCATGGCTGCGCAAACCGCACGTGAACATAGTGTAACAAGGGATACAGTGGAACTCACAGGACGTTGCGCATAAAGTAGACCTCGGCGCCTTTGACAGGCTGTTCTTTGAAGAAGTCGTGCTCCATGAACGCGATGCGCTGCGTTTCGATGGCTTCGGGCAGCTCGCGTTGCCATACAGCTTTGGCCTTCTCTATCACCGGTGGCCTGTCTTGGAGAACGAATTTGAGGTCAGGGTATTGCTTCGCTAGTTCTAAACACATTCCGCCTGATGTCATATGTTATGTCTGTGTTCTGTTCAGATGTAGTTCGTTGAGACTTACCTACGCCTCCTCCCACGTCAACCACGGTTCCCGACCCAAGCGCGGCCCAGGGGTAGTCTGCACGTTAGGCATCAGCAACCGCAGCTACAGCCCCGGCGTTTTTCACATACGTACCCGCGTACAACGGAGGCGCGTGTACTCGGCCCCCACCCAACATAGCAAGGCTGAATATCTCCAGTCCGTGCCGAGGCTTCACGGTCCCATCCGGCTGTTCCTCGCCTCGTTCGAGGAACTCCCAAAAGCTCAGTTTCGTCTGATGCGCTTCGTTGAAGGCCGTATCATAGAGCGAATCGGACGTCGTGCGTGCTGGGTCGAAGAGCACTCTCAGAAGGCCTTCGGATGCGGCGTAGACATCCAGTCCACTGGATGAGACATGGGACGCCATGAGTGTCCGTAGTCTGATCGGAGGTATGGAACGGCATACTTAGTCAAGAGCCAGCATCGAAGTGGATCATTACCGGCGATGGCCTGCGATGTCCAGCTATTGGCGAAGTGAAGTTCCTTGACCTCTTTGAACACATGCACGGAGGAAAGACAGCGTAACACTCTTGCTGTTTATATGGTGAACTTCGAGAACGGCCGAAAGGCGTCGGGATACACATACCTAGTTTCCGCTGTTCGACACCCGCTTTGAGAGCAATTTCCTTGATATGCAAGCCTTCGATGGGGTCCGCATCTACCAGTATATCGGCGATGCGACCTTCCGCCGCGATATGCAGAGCCCTCGATATATAGAATTCGGAGGCTATCTCCATGAGACGGTGTTGCGGCTCTGCGACTATGTCAGACACCATGCCACAGGCACCCACGAGACTCCTCCTTGCATTGAACAGCTCGACAGAGGGGAGCAGCGAGGTCGTTGGATCGATATTTGTATCCTTCGCCTCCGCCTGCCATTCCCGAATGACCGTTTCGGAGGCGTCGTTGATCAAGCGGACCAAGTCGCGCAACTTCTCTACCTTCTCGGCCAGCGACATAACGTAGGATAGGGCAGAATGTCTGAAGTTACCCTCCGTCCGTTTGAGCTTCATATAGTCACAGAGGAGGCTAGAAGTGCTAAGGTTCTTCTCCGCGGCGGTAAGACATCGAGCTAACCGAGCGGTACGGCCCTTACCGTGCCACTGAAGAGGTAGCATCATTCGGTGGTGACAACCCGTGTAAACCCCCATGTGTATGTGCGCGTCACGGCGGCTCCTTTCCATGCGCGCATTGCATCTCAATGATCAATTGTTACGGAATTATGAGGTCGCAGCTCACCTTTGGCCTCTGACTGCCATGCCGCTGAGTCCACTCAGGACGGAACATGAAATCGGTCGGTGTCATTGGTGTAGCACAACAGAAGGTCTCTGCTACTAGTCCATATTCGGTAGTGCTTAACAGCACAAGCACAGGAATTCATCGTTTCCATCAGTCCTGTGGAAGACTGCCTGGAGAAGTGATAAGGCGTTAGACATTCTCCCGCATTATGATGCAATGATAATCACGAAGCGAGTGTAGCGCAGAGCCCTGTATGCAATTTTATGAGGCCCTGAGCGGTGAGCGCCACAAAAGCTGGCTAGTAACTTGAACACAGTCCGATCGGGGCTTCGTCGATCAATGAGACTAATACGACACAGTTCAAAGTCATTTGGAGTCATCATGCTTTTCGCAGGCACCTTGCATCTCAGATACGTAGTGCTGTCGCTTCTCCAGATCTGTGAACAAGGTCGTGTTAAAGTCAGTAGCAATCCTTGACATACGTGGCCCGGACACCATGAGGAACAGGTATACGTACCCACAGCCCACATAGCAGCGCCAATCCGATTCGATACGGAGAACATCAGTCCGACAAGCGGAATGTGCTCCAGAAGAGCTGCAACGAAGCCGAATGCTGCCGGACGCCATGTAAATACGCGGCGAATGCGGCATTATGCAAGCTACATACCTCTGTAATCCCACTTGCGCTCCTCAATAAAGACGGACACCTGCTCGGGGGACATGCCTTTTGCATGAAAGTACTGAAGACAGCAGTTGGTCTCGAGTTTCTGGAACATACTGCCATACTTACGGGCTTGTGGAGGTAACGGGCCGTTCCAAATGATCTGAACCAAGCTGAGACGAGCATTCCCATCACGGGGACGACTTCAACATGCAGGAACAACACTGTAGATGTTTCCCGGAATGGTCATATTCACTGGCTGTCAACATATGAATCGGAGTATACTCACCTCTAACGGCAATCCTCCCCAGAGATCCACTGAGGACATGGCTAAGCCCAACTCCCTTGCTCACTTTTGGCGGGTTGTCCCATTCTTCCACGTACGGACGCCAGAAGTCGGGCCCCTTGTTCCTGGACTCAATGGTCTGGTCGTATGCGCGTTCTCGTGCGACACGCAGGCCATGAGAGACGAAGTACGTGACAATACCGGAAACTTGTGTTGCTACGAAGAAGAACGTCGCGACTAGCAGCACATTCTATGTGAGCGGGAGCATAGTAGACGAGGCTGTACACGTACATGTACGCATATCAAACGGCACATACGATCCGAGGGTTGTCTGATAGTCGGAGAGACCCAGGACTCGAGGAGAACTATTGCGGAGCAGCTCGTCAGGACGCCAACTAGCCGATGGTGCGAACTTCCACGAACTTCATGTAGAAATGCTCTATGATCCATCTCTGAAGCTTGAAGGTCGAGCATGCCTATAGTGATGACGACTATGTCAAGTTCTATGAGACATACAACAAAGAGGCTGTACAACGCACCCAAGCCAAGCCGACCCCCAGACCTCTTACAACCCCATGCTGGCACTTCTTCCACGCCGGGATGTACAGGGTTCTGTCCGTGCAAAGTCTGTATATGCCGACGACAACATACGAAGGAGGAAACTGAAGACGCGCAGTAGCTCGGCCCAGGTTGTGTGGGGTGTTCTCAGTGTACGGCGGAGGTGTGTCCGCGCCGAAGTCGCCTGGCAAGGCGACTTGCGCCGACATGGTCGTGGATAGTGGACAAGTGATTTAACGCTGCTCTCAGCGCGAACCGCCACTTCAGGCTGCGGAACGGGCAGGCACTGCCCATACGACCAACTACAAGTTCAACATTCCCAGGTGCATGCCGTACAACGAATAATAACAGTGCCATTTACTACAGTATTCTATGATATGACTAGACGTGCAAGCAGACAAGAGCTTAGAGGATAATACAATGATGAGGAGACAATAATCACTTCATGTCTTCCGCTTCTTGTACGCACGCTTCGCGGGCGCAGCGGTGGCAGTACTAGCAGGCGTTGACGATCTCGTGTCGCCGTCCGCCTTCTGCACATCCTCGATACCCCGCTTCTATACATTGTAATCAATGACTGATCTGATAGACGGAGGAGGCGCATGCACATACCTTGCTCTTCAGGTTCTTCGTCTTCTGCTCCTCGGCCTGCTTCGCTTCCGCCTCCTTCTCGATCATGCCCAACAACGTATTGCATCTGCGCTGCAGCTCCTGCGGACTACGGCTCTTGAAGAACCAGTCGAACCGGAACACCGGGAACTCCGTGATGTCCTTCTTCATTCTCTCGTAAACGTCATCTGCCCGCATACCATAGTGGTTGAGCCGGCATAGGAGGTATCGGTCTTCCTCTTCCGAATAGACTTTGCCCTTGGTCGTGGGATAATTGAGCTCCAGCTCCTGCATGGGATAGCGCACGGACGCGATCTTCTTTGAGAGAAGAGCCTCCAGGTTTGATCGCTTGTTCCGCTTGGCTTCACCCTCCTCAATACGAGCCTTGATACGTGGGTACTCTGTATGCAGCTGAGTTTGCAGCTCAGGACATTGCAATGTCAATACGTACCGGCAAGCTCCTTCCACTTCTTCCTGAAGACGGGGTAGTACGCAGCGACATCATCAGGCGTTTTGTCCTGAATCTCGGTTGCCAACAATACGTAGTCATCGGTCCTGCAACAAACGTCAGTACCGTTCATAAACTGCGTAGCCCCTAGCAGGCTCACCATCCGTATGTCTCCAATGCACGGATGAACTGCTGGAAGTCACGCCTACTCCAGTCTTCAAAGCCTCGAGCGATCAATTCCTCCTTCTCTGCCAACTGTTCTTCGTCCAGAGGTTCGGCTGTAGACATGCCATTGGTTCGGTTCTATCGCTAACCGCAATGAGGACTAACCGTTGTCGATGAACTCTTGGGCCGCTTGCCGCTCTACCTCCAGCTTCTCAGGGGTATCTTCAGGTCCAGCAGGCTCACGAAGAGTAGCGGGGATGTCGTTTGCCCTCTACAGTCAACACATCAGACAAAGTCGCTCGGCATCGAAGACATACCGACCTTGTGCGCCGCCAGCTCCTGCTCTTGAAGCTCAGCCAATCGGGGCGGGAAGAACTGGAAGTCCTGACTGTGAGGAACTACTTGTTACGAGACATCATTCAAGGTAGGTTCACGTCAAACATACAGTTGAATCTGCTTTGGAGCACGAGGGATCTTTGGTGCCTTCTCTGTCTTGGACGGGCCGGCGCGCATGGCATCCTTGAAGTAGCTATCGACTGAGTAGTTGAGCTTCCGTTCACGCTTCGAGAGTGATAGAGGGTTGAGCTGCAGCGCTTTCCTCTGCTATAATAGGAGGTCAGTCACGAGTTACTGCCTACGCCACGAGAAGTACGTACTCCTGCCCGGAAGTCTTCACCCTCCCACTGTTGCACCGAAGCCTCGGACTTGAAGTTGCTCAGATCCTCGAAGGTGAGGCCCTCGTACTTGCTGGCCATCTCTGTTGTCCGTGATTCACCGCGTTGAATGATGGCGTCGATGTCGTCGTTGACCATGAGACTGGCACGGAACATTAAAAAAAAATGCGCTGCAGGACACGGAGACGCCACTTACTCGTCCGAGGAGTTCACGATGTGCTCGGCACCATGAGTGATCATTTCCAGTAGCTCGTCCTTGTTGGCGGCTGCACATGTGTCAGAAGACACGTCGCGAACTTTGCAATACATACATACCTTTAGTTGCCTGTGTCCGACCTTGCTGAATGACCAGCTGGTCCAAGCGGAGCTTCTGTGCCGCACGCTCAAGCATACGCTCCTCAACACTGCCTTCAGTGATGAAGCGGAAGACGTAGACCTGTTTAGTCTGGCCAATACGATGGGCACGGTCCATTGCCTGCAGGTCAGCCTGAGGGTTCCAGTCGCTGTCGTAGAGAACCACGACATCGGCGGTGGTCAGGTTGATACCAAGACCTCCGGCACGCGTCGTGAGAAGAAAAATGAACTTCTCGCTCCCTGGCTTGTTGTACTCGTCGATAGCCACAATGCGATCGTCGTGTGCGGTACCACCGTCAATACGACAGTACTCTGAGACCGGTATTAGCAATACAGCCGCATAGCGAGATCATGTAAGACGTACTGTACCCGCGGAACAAGCAGTAATCCTCCAAGATATCCAGCATTCTGCTCATCTGACTGAAGATGAGGGCGCGTGAGCCCTTGGCCTTCATCGAGTTCAGCAGCTTATCCAAGATAACCATCTTGCCGGAGTTTTCGACGAGATGCTCGGCAGTAGTGTACGGTGGCCCAGGCTCTGCCCCGTCGAACAGATAAGGGTGGCAAGTGACTTTGCGTAGCTGCATGACAATGTTCATCAAGCGTGTCTTGCCTTCCTTCTTGCCCGTCAGACCTACACAACCGTGAGTGGTCAGGCTAGTAAAGGACATCCAGTGATGCTTACCATTGACAGCGTCTATATCCTTCTCCAAAACGGAGCGATACCACTTGCGTTGCATCTCTGTGAGACCAACGTAGATGTTGATCTCTTTCTCTGTGTAGGCCAAAACAATCAGCTGGCAAGGCATCTGAATAGTGAGTGGCTCTTACTAGGCAGCAGGCTCTTTTCTACGTCGCTCTTCACACGTCGCAGCAGGAATGGCCGCAAGATCTTGTGTAGCGCCTCCACGACCTTCTTGCTCTTCTCGTCATGGCCTTCTGCCTCTGCCTCATCCTTGTGCAGGAAGCTCTCAAGGTCGGCGTAGTCAGAGAAAATCTCCGGACAGATGAAGTTGAGCAACGCGAAGAGCTCCTTCATATTGTTCTGCAGCGGTGTCCCAGTGATGAGGAGACGCCCCCGCGACAGGAAGGAGCGGACGATTTGCGACAGAATTGAGTCCACGTTCTTGATACGATGCGCCTCGTCGATAACAATGTACTCGAACGAGAATTTCTTCAGCGCCGACTTCTCAATGAGACAGACCTCGTACGACGTGATGAGCACATCGAAATCTTGCGGTATAAGTCGGTTCGCGATGATCTCCGCACGCTCTTCTTTCGAACCCGTGAGCAGCACTGTGTTCACATCGGGTGTCCAGTTCTGGAACTCGCGTGCCCAGTTCTGTAGGGTCGATTTCGGTACGACCACCAGATGCGGACCCCGGATATCGCGGTAGTGCTTGAGATAGCCTAGGAAAGAGATGGTCTGCAAGGTCTTGCCCAGACCCATCTCGTCTGCGAGGATACCGTTCAAGCCGTTATGATGCAGAGAGACCATCCAGTTCAAGCCTTGGAGCTGGTATGGCCTCATCTGTCCGTGGATATCTAGTGCATGATACTGAGCACGTGAACATGAAGTTCGAAATAGTATACGCACAGCTGGGAGACTCCTCAAACACGAAGGGCTGGTCATCACCGTCGGCAGCTATCTCCCCACCCTTGAGCAGTTCTTCGTCCTCTTCCTTCTCCGACTTCCGATGGCGAGCGTTATTGTCTCTGGAACACAGCAAGATGTTCAGTACATTGCGTGTTGAAGGACGTGAAACCACATACACTGCCTTCTTACGGCCTCTGCCCTTCGGTTTGGGTTGAGCATCCAACATGGCGGCATACTCGGGGTCGCGTGCTTTCTGGATAAAACTGAGCGAATATACAGCATGAATCCGACCAAAGTCGTCTTACCTTGATATCTACAAAATGCTTGAACAGCTCAGTCTGCCCAAGCAGATACGAGTAACGCTTGACAGCATCGGAAATCTATGCATCATGAGCTAGCAGTCCTATGCAGAGTGTGACAGGCTCACCTTTGCTTTGTCCATCGCTTGCCGCTTCACCGTCAATTTGTCCTCTTCCACCTTCCGCTTTTGTTTCCGCTCGGCAGCCACCTGCGCTCGAACTGACTTAGACGGCGACTGCGCACTGCTCCCCTCACCCTGCAAAAAATTGGACGCGTCAGACGACACTGGACGCGTCCAAACACGACCTGGACTCTTGGCACGTACCCTATCTTCATCCTCGCTCTGAAGTTCATCTACGTCCGGCACCTCATCTTGAGCATCATCAGCATATTCGCTTTCCCCGCCCTCACTTTGCTGATATAACAGAATGTCGATGTTACTTCATCGCACTTTTGCACAATATATAGACACCTACCTGACGTGAGACTATGTTGCTGGGCACCACGTCGCTGAGGACGTCATCTTCCATCGGCACGTCAAGGGTCTAGAAAGAGCGGTGAGTAGACGGCCGGTCAGAGTGGGACGTGAACTGACACTCATTGTGAACGACTTCGCGGAGGAGGAAGGCAGGTGGCAGGAGAGATGAAAGCGCGACTAGGGTTCGACGCGCGCAAAGGTGTGCGCCACAGGCGAGAACGGGTTACGTAAGCCATGCTGAGCCACACTTTCCTTTTCGGCAGGTACTCGTTCGAGCCAACCAGTCTGATTGACCTTGACTTTCGGTTTCGTCGGACAGCATGTCTACTTGGGGTGTTCTTGCGGCCATCTGTTCGAACCTTTCTCTAGGTCTGGACAGGTAGTTGACGATAACAACAGACTTGTGTTACAGTATTCGAGCCTCATGCTGACTCCGCAGTTCAAAGTTCCACAGTTCCGATACGGCTAGTGTGACAGTACAGTCGGAGGATCGATTCAGGACATGTCGGGCGATATAATGCGACCCAAGAGACGAAAGGGGAGTCATCAACGAGCTAAAGCTTGACTTCGGGGCGTTGCTCTGCGGCACAGGAGTTATCAAACCAGCTCAAGATCGTCGATGCGCTCTGCTCTTTTGCCCATTCTGTCATGGTTAGTCAGTAACCCTGCACTTGAAGATTATACATTTGATCGGTACTCACTTGCAACGGGATCGTCCACGTTACCTCTCAGGGAGAAGCCATGGGTTACTCCAGAGAATACCTGGATATGGTACGTCGCCTTGATCTCGACCATGATGTCTTCAGCACGGCGGCGGAACTCCAAGGGGAATGTATGGTCGATCTCTGCAATTTGACGAACATCAGTCACTACAGACGGCTTCATTGAGCATAGTATACCTGCGCACGACAGAAGCAATGGCTCTGCATCCGACCTTTGGTGAGCACATGTGTATCAAATGATCCCTCCTCACTTACTCTTCATATTCCGGAAGTGATGGTCCTTCAGGACGGCAGGATGCCCGAACGCACCTTGACGTTCATCAGTCACCAATCTCTTCCACAAAATCAGCAACGTGTGCCATTCTACCTGCAGTAATCCAGTCCCGTGCCATACAGTCCATCACGAATGGTGCGCCGAAACAATATCCTGCCACAGTCGACCTAATTGAATGGTTGTTCTGCAGCTTTCGCTACGTCCATGCTTACCTACAGTCAGCCACTGCGTCTGCGACGTTCCTGCCACGTTTATTGGTGTCCACGTATGAGTTCGCTACAATGTGACGGAACTCACCAAACTGTTCCTTCACAGCATCAATCCAGTCAGGCGTGATTTGCTTCGCGCGGATCATCTTCCCGGGTACGAAGTCGAACTCGATGCTATAATTCTTCCCCACCTTGCCCAGGTGGTTCTGCACCGGGTCGCCCTCGAAGTAATCCAGCGCCAGCACCAGGTACCCTTTCAAAATCATTAGCCCCTCCAATCTATATCTTCGTCGCAAGCACGGCAGCACCCACCGTTGGACGCCCAGTAATCCATGATCAACTGCGAGTTCAAGAAGAACGGGCCATACACGTCCGCGAAGAACAGGATGACCCTCCGCTGCTCGCTCAGCTCGGCCGGGCGCGAGACGTACGTGTCGACGCCTGCGAACTTCTCGATAGTCCCCTGCGCGGTACCCGAATGCTCGACGGTCTTGATGCAGCAGTCCCCGGGTGAGCGTGCTATGGTCACCATGTCTGCTGATTTCCGTTCGCGGTGGTGCGTCCTTGGGAGGTGGACCTTGACGAATCTCGGAAGCCTTATGGACTATATATACCTCGAGGGAAAGTTGGTGGGCATGACGCCCCTTGGGCAAACTCAGGATCCTCACCAGAGCCCTATACTTAGTGCGTTCTCAACCACGCGCTATCAGGTGAACTGGAAAACGCGTATAACTGATTACCACAAGTCAGCGGTGTCTCGCGGGGAGCCGCTGCCAATTTACGCCACTACTCTCCTCGTGAGACAAGAAGCATGCCATGGGAGCCATAGACCACAGACGGCCAGCGCAAGCTAGGAACGACACACTGCGGACAAACCCCCTTGTTTGGCGTCGGATAAGTCTCAGATCATCGTTAGAATGAGTATATCATCTCGAAATCCGAACATGAATTATTATCGGTGACCGAACATTGAAAGGCACGGCTCCTCATTGGCTGCCTTTCAATGTTCGGTCCAGGAAAATAGATAATATTCGGATTTCGAGATGATATACACGTTCTGACAATGTTCTGACGATGTAAGCGCTCCGTGCAACCTGCTTTGTCCGCAGTGACAACAGGCGATGATATTACAGTAATACAATAACTTAGTCAGCCCAGCGGCGAAGCTAGGCGCATTAGTGTACAATTATATCTACGCAGTCGAGGCAGTTGGCTAGACAGTTGTAGCGTATAGACGTTACGGCCATTACACTAGGACGCAAGGAGTATCCCGTATCCAGACTCCCCCGAGAGATCCTCAACGAAAGGGGTAAGGTAGCAACGCGAAGAGTACAAAGAAGAAAGGGTCCAAGCAGCAACACCGAGGGCCCGAGGATACAACGCGTCGAGGGTACAACGCATTCGTATTACTCACAGATCAATCAACGAGCCCTCCCGCCCATGTCCATTCTGCTGGGGCTGTTGCTCCTGCTGTTGTTGCTGCAAGAACGGATTATGACTCGTATGGCCCGTCTTCTGCGCGACGATCCTCCCCGCATCCGTCGCCGCAAACCGCAGGTTGCCCACATTCCCGAACGTATCCACGCCGTCCTCCCCGCGCGCCGCAAACAGGCTCGCCAGCCTCGCATGCTGGCCGTCCGCGCCCGGCGTGCGCCCGGGCCTGCCACCCGCGCTCGCGGCGGACGTGCCCGCCTCCGACGCAGAGCGGCGTTCGTGCGCGGGCGGCGAGCGCGCGGAGTCTCGAAGGAACGTGCTGTCGCGGTTCGCGTACGTGCCTGTGAGGCTGAACGACACGGGCCCGGAGCGCGGCGGGTTCGCCGAGAAGGTCTGCTGCAAAGGCGGCGCGGACTGGGGTCCGGGTGCGAAGGGGTTGTTCGACCCGATGCGCGTGGAGGTCGGCTGGGGCATGAGCAGTTGCTGCGCTGTGGCTTGCACTTGCAGCGCTGCTTGTTGCCGCATCCATTCCTCTTGTTGCGCCTGCAGTTGGGCCTGCTGCATGACTTGCATCTCTTGCGCTTGCTGCATTGCGAGCCATTCCGCCTGTTGCTGCGCGTATTGCGCCTGCAAGGTCATCGTCAGCTTGGTCAAACGGTATGATCTTGGTGACCTACAGCTAGCATCTCCTGCTGGGCTTGTTGCTGGAACGGGTTGAAGGAAGTGAACTGTGGCTGCATGGGCATAGCGGTGTACTGAGGCTCGATCCCGGTCGTCGCATACTGCAGCGGCAACGTCGCGTCAATAAGCGGAGCCGGCTGCGGCTGCTGTACTCTGCAAAGACGTCAGAAATGAAACGAAGGCGGACTGAACATGTACTCACGGCTGCCCCTGGTCATTGAACAGAACGAGGTTCGCGTCCTGCAAAGACTGCCGCCTCTTCTCCTCGTCCTCCTTACTCAGCTCCAGCGCCCGCTGCAGGTCCCGATCCTCCGCCGTCTGACGCTGCCTCTCCGCCTCGCGCTTGCTCTCTTCGAGTGCTCTCCGCAGGTCCCCCTCACGGTCTTCCCGGTTCGGCGACGGTCGGCCAGTAGGGAGCCGACTGCGCCTGCGAGCGTTCTCGTCGTCCGTTACGTCCGAATCGTCCGAGCGCCGCGCGCGAGACATGCGCTCGTACATCTGCGCGCGGGTCCGGCGTTCGTGTCGGAGGCGGGCCTCGTCCAGCAGGAGGGAGACGATGCCCTTGGCCTTTTGGCGGACGTTGGCGCCCTGGTCTTTGCCCTCGTCGTCCACGTATTGGAACTCTCGGAGGGTCTTGATAACATAGAGGTTTTCCTTGAAGTAAAGAATGACGTTTTCGGATCCGGCGTGGAGGAGGTAGTCGATCAATGTTAGACACTGTCGGCGTTGTGTGAGTAAAGCCGCCAGGGCATTGAATGGCTGGACAACGCACCTTGAATACATGCCGCCAGTTCTTCCCCTTGTCGTTGAGTCGCTTGTCCAGAATCTCCACGATTTCCACAAAGTCTTCTCTGGTCGCGGCCGCTTCAGCTTGCATTGTCTCTGACCAGTGACGACAACGTCCAACTCACTGGTTGTAAGTCATCTGGGCAATCTCGTGCATTTGTCTGCCCGACGGGGGCCATGGGTCGTTTGACGTTGCATCGCGGACCTTGGCCTGTGTGCCAGAGTAGCCCTTGGTGTAGTTCTTGGCCACGCGGAGGGCGCCCTTGCCGTAGTGCGAGAGCGTCGACATGGGGGGTCGAGAGAGGAGTATGAGGTGAGAAATAAGGAGGGTATAAGCTTGGGACTATCGTCTGAGCGACCAAGTCTGGGTGGGCGGACGGCGGCGGACCCGAAATGGACCCGAGCTAGATCATGGCGGCCACTGCCACTATGTAGTGCCACTGGCGACCCACCTTGTCCTCGGCGACTCTCCGACTCGGACCCGCTCAGCCACACTGTGGCGACTGTAGCCAAACTGTAGCGACAGTTTTCTATCTTCCTCCCACCGTGATGTGGTGGCCTGCATCGCGCTGCCGCTGGAAAAACATCCACAGTGCCGTGCCCTTCTGGGCCGTCGGACGCAGGTTCAAGATGCACGCAAACGTGTCACAGAGCATACCTAGGCTCATGTACATACTGGCCGCGTTGCCTCAGTGGGCAACTACGATTCCATCACTCCGTTATCTGTTAATTCCGCATAGCTTCAAGTCTGAGGATTGATACACCGGAGGTACGCATACTGCATTTACGGTGAACACCCTTCATGTAGTTGACATTGCTGACGGTGTATCAGGATGATCAGCCTTCTGGTGCCGACGTACACTGGTGGCAAGGCGATCGTGGTAGCGTCTGTATTGCCCCAATTGCCAAGCCACTCTCCCCCATGTAAGGCGAACGTATCCCGGAATTCCTCTCCTCGCTGTGTTATGACTGGCAGGCGGAGCACGACGGCCAGCTTCAGGCCGCGGCGGAGTGTTGACATAGAAATTGCGCAAGCCGCCGTGTTACTTTGGGAGACTGGCCAGACAACTCACGGGGCCTTCGCCCCAAACAGAGATATCGCGAATCAATTGGCTGTCGAGGGAACTGCGAAGGCATTCGACGATTGGGCGAACGTAGTATCCGTCCCACCTCGTCCCACTCATGGACGCTAAGTACTACTGATTTGCGGCCACAGAAGCCTACCCTGAGTATTTCGTGGGACCAACAATATCGCTTTTTCAAGTGCCTGATCGGAATTCGGCAGCTCTCAATGCTGTGACGCATGGGCAATCCGTAGCTCTCATGACCTGTGCCGCATCAAGTCTCTATCCTTACTATGTATTGGGGCAAACTCATCACAGCAAACCGCCATCACGCTTGCGTTACTTGCGCATCACTGCGCTCCACGACCTGCACAACACAGCCGATTGGGCCAGCCGGATGAACGCTTGGCGGGTGCGTGTATGTATACCGTTGACTAGATAGTAGATGATGGTGACTGACTGAACCACTCAGAAGACTGTTACGCTAATTTTCGCTGAGACAGGCATTGTATGCCTCAAGCTCCAGTGTGATCCACAACAACGAGGTATTGGTGCCTATGATCCGAAGCTGATATGTTCCAATCCCATTGATGCTTCGTCCAGCCGCATTCAGGGCTGTGGATGCTATGTTCTCAGCCCACATCCTTGTCAACCATATGTCATCTCTGCGTAATCTATGTACTGTGCCCATGTTTTAGCACACCGGGGTCCTCGTCCACGTTCAACCTTGAATGCAAGGCCACGCACCCAAGACGGCAACAACGATGACGAGGAGGATGAGGACTCTGCCGAAGGAAAACCCCAGCCTCTGGGTCAAAGTCATCCGCCAATTGTGTGAATCAGTGGATGAAACCCATCCATTTCGACGCTCTCAAAGCAATCTTGACGTTGTTTTCCGAAGGTCTGCTCACGCTTACAGTCGGCCCAGATACAGGGCTTGCTCCGAACGTTTAACCTACGACGTACTAAGGTTTACTTCGTACGTACCTCCTTCGTCGACTTGAATCGATCCTTACTGGTACTCACTGTGGTACAACAGGCATACATGCTACGAATGCAACATTACAACCGACGCTCAACTGGGCCACCCACCGTCGTAAATGGTGTGAGGTGAAACAGCGATCCCGCTACTACTAGCAGTGGCAGTGCAATTAGTACAGGACCCAATGGTACTAGCCATATGAGATCAGGACTGCATCGTATACGATGCAATGCAACTGTTGCAGTGAGCCTATTTCTTTTTGATCTCTGTATCAGTCACAACTTCGCTGGCAACTGGCTCTACGTCTGCAGACTCAATCGAGCAGCTGTTCTGTCAAGCCTCTGCATCATCGTTATTGGGCAATACGGTCAAAATAAGTCGTGACACGGTGGGGTGGGGTGATCGACATCATGATCGCCGAAGATCGATGCACATAGTCGCGATGCGATCTCCCAAAACATAGGCTCAGCTACCGCCTGGCTACGGATGACATGCTCTCACATCTACAAGAGCGTCGCAGCTGAGCATATAGTGATGAGTCGTTAGTCAGTCTACATCGCTGAAGCTCTGACAATGGCTAGTCCAGTTATCATTTAACCGTGAAACCTGCAAGTCTGCTGCCCTCTGTAGCAGCAGGTCACCCATACTTGACGACGAATAAATGGTACGCATATGCAGCAGGCTGCGTCACAAGAGCCTCCGTGCCGCGAACCGCCATCACCCAGGTACATAAATCCAGATGCGATGTTTTGTCGAGCACAATGATCCGAGCTGATGCAATAAGCGGCGCAAGATCTTGGAATCGCTGCTGTGATCCCAAGTCCGTGCCATGGCCACGCATACCAGCGTATAAAAGGAGAGGTATGCCCACTGTATCCCTCAGCTCCTCTTCTTCTTTCGAGCTCGCCAAGAAGGTTGCCGGCAAGTAAGTGTTCAACAACGGTGGCAGTGTGAATGTTGCACTTATCTCTTGGACCCTTCTAGCCTCGCTCTTTGTTGACGATTCACGTTCATTCCACCGAAATCCTTCGTAACGACCCCAGTGCATACAAGTCATCATGCGTTACTCTACGCTCGTCTCTACTGTCCTTTTGGCGGTGGCAACAGCTCCCACGTTCGCTCACCCGGTCACTATGTGAGTGCCTCGCTATTTATTTTATTCCATAGCTGACCATGCAACAGTCGCGCGACCGAGGATGCCTCCATACTCGAGCGTGAGCTCCAAGACGGACTGGCGGAGCGCGGCTACTACGACGACCTCGTATCTCGAAACCTCGAAGCGCGCAACCCTCCAGATATCAGTGATAAGGAGCGCGCCGCGATAGCGCTTCGATTGAGGCAGAAGGCGGAAAAGCGGCAACGTCGGGGCGGGGCCGCCGCACGGAGTCCGGTAAGGTCAGTTATGTGGCACTTCCAGGCTAAGCCTGGTTCGTCTCTGCGACATGAAGCCAAAATCGATCCCCGGGAGTACGACCTCGACGGCGAGCTGTTCACGTGAGCTCCTCGCTATTTATTCTTTCCCATGGCTGAGCATGCAATAACAGTCGGACAACCGAAGATGCTTCCAGCGTCATGGTTGAGCGTGAGCTCCGAGACACATTGACGGGGCGCGGCTACTACGACGACCTCGTCTCTCGGGACCTCGAGGCGCGGAAAAATTTTGACCATGGAGACCCGACCAGGTCTCAGGGAACCCAACCGTACCGTCCCCGAGAGTATGATCTTGATGGCGAGCTGTTCGAGCGCGGCTTCGAGGTAGACGAGCTTGATTGAACGGACGTACTTGGCATGACTAAGGGGCCGTTACGATGTATTTCCGCCTGTTGTACGCATCGTGTACATGGTTGCGTGCGACTTGTAATGTCGATCGTAACGTGAAGACTCACTGGCAGTCGTGTGTGCTTGGGAAATTGATAATCAGCTGAGTGTCGCTCCGAGATGCATGCAATGTCAATATGCAGGCCAAACATCCCGGGCAGTAACGATATACTATGCCCAGGCGGGAGTGACCATGAGCATGGAGCTGGCGGAAGGATGAGAACGACTCTCTGAAAAGACGAAGCGACGTACTTACACGCCCAAGCCGAGTCGCAGGCTATTGCCGATCGCATCCAGAGCGCTACTCGTATGTAGCTTTTCGTCAATGCCTAGCGACGCATCCGAACCACTCTTAGCCAGAGCGAACACCTATTCGGAGCAGCATCCGCTTCCGAGATCTGAGGCATGAGGTTCCAGCAAACGGAAGTCTCAAACTGCCTCGGAACATACCGTACTCGCGCGACCCTTAGAAGTCTGGCAGTATCCACGCGTCATCAAATATTGCTTCCGCCCTCGCTCGACCTCGCGCGCATCTTCCCCAAAGTACGCGAGCTCGATCTCGGGGACGGCAGACGACACGCAACATCGGTGACAACTCTACGCTATGTGTCACTGGACCTTAGGTCCCCGTCGTCAGCCTCCAAAGAATACCGCAGCGAGCTCACCAAACGGAACGTTGCACCGGGTCCCGACATACGTACGACGAGCATTGATCTACATAAGTATGGATACCCACGTAGCATCTCAGGACGACAAATTCACAGAGGAAAAGGGCCTGTACTGGTGGGAGGTCGATCAGAGTGCGGGTGGCCGAGTGGCCGAACCTCTGAGGAGAACGTATGGCCGCTTTCCAATGTTCGTCAATGTACGACTGGCAGACTGAGCTTGTTGCCCAGTATATTTCCTGAAAGTCGACGGCCTGATACGACGAGGGTATAATGCAGACGAGTGAGGATATATAAATGAGCGCATATGTTACTCAAGTCATACCACCCGATCATCGCCCGTATCGTACATCTGCGGGTCAACCCCGTGAGGTTTCATTCACGGAAGGCGACCGAGTCCCTTCGCTATTTCCTGGTCTACACGCGGATCCTCCCCGGCATGATTTTCGACCCAGCGGTCGTCCTGAGTCTTCGCAGCCTCCAGCTTGCGAGCTGCAACGGCAGTCTTTTCCGCTGCAATGCTGCCTACCCACAATTCCATGAGCTAAAGTCACGATGCGCGCTACATGGTGTGTGCAGCTTACCTCCTTGTCTTTGCGTATATGCAGCCTCACGGTTCAGCTTATCTACGAGCCTGTCTTCGTCGACAGCGCCCGCTGGAGCAGAAGGGACGGATTGATGGACCTCTTCGCCCGACAGGGGGTCCCCCGAAATCGCTGAGGCATAATTCGCTGCGGCTATATGCGCTGTTTGTGAGTACCTACACCTCAGCTTCGGATGTGCGAGTTCCTGACCGCTCTGTGTTTTCGCTGCGGCAGAGTACTTGTGCACCGTCCCTGGAGGCAGGTCGGGGTTGTTGGCGTCATCCCGCGCATGCTTCTCCGACTCGATGGCCTTGATTTCCGACAGCGTCTGAAGGCGTTGGTCGGCCATGTCTAGTATTCAATGATAACAAGGGGCAGTGCGAGTGTAAGTTGAGAGAGATGCAGGGCTCCAGTCGCTCCCGCCTGAACTGCTTGACATCGCCCCAGCACGAACGTTAACGGAGCCCTGCACGTCATCCGACACATTGCGCCGTGACGGGCTGAGCCCAAGCGTGACACCATGTGGCGCAGCAGCACGCGCCTGTGACATGTCGCGTCTACCTTGGAACACTCAGGCTCAACGCGTTGAAGTTGTCACCGCTAGCCAGCACATCTCCTAAGAGGGTGACCGTCAACGCGTTAACTGGGAAGCTCATCAGCTCGAACGTAACATGATCCAGTACGTAGTCCATGCAGGCCTCATGACCAGTGATGTTCGTGACGATCGTCCAGTACCTGCACCAATGATGGATCTTCAAGCGTTAAACAATGATAGCCTTTCTGCAATCGTTGCGTATCTCAACTGCAGTGACGCCCTTCGGTTCTCAGTGGTGGCTCGTTCATTCCACGCTATCGCGAAGTATCATGCACTGCACTATGTGACCCTCTCCAGTTACGGCGCACTCGTCAAGTTTTGCCGGCTCATGCTCAGCAGCATGAGCCATCGTTTGGCATCAATCTTCGCCATCGAAGCCAAACTATGGATCGATAACGAGGCAGAGATGGCCGACAGCAGTTGGCTTGGTCCGCCACCTGTCCCTGTGAAGGAATATCGAGCAACCGGCGCACTCTTCGCGGATGTGCTCGAGAGGGCGAACAACCTAAGGACGTTGACACTCAACCGAGCCGAGGTTTGGATGGACTACGAACCTCGTATAGCTTATGCGGTCATCGCCCTGCGCAACCTCGACGAACTCATCTTGCGAGATGTTGGGCCTACAGTCTCGCGCGTCATACACAGGATGCAGTCCACGCCTATGAAGCTCGGTATACCAGAAGTAGATGGCAGTTTGTTCTTTGTGCACACCAGTTTCCCGTTGGATGACCACCTCCGCCTACCCTTTGTGTCCCACCTCATTGTGTACGGCAATATGGCCTTGCCGTCTGTCGCTGACCTGGTGCGGGTGTTCCCTAATGTGCGTACGCTGGACTTGGGGAGCGGCTGGGTCAAGGAACCACCAGTCTTGGGGATGGAGATCAACTGGCCGAAGCTGGAGCATCTCGAAGGCAGGCCCGAGGTCCTGACGAAGTGGCGGAACGTAACCCCAGTACATTCCGTACGCCTGACGATCGACTTCGACATGAGCTACCACGACAATCCAAAGATTCTTGACGGAGTGCGCAATGCACAGCCGGTGGTTTTGGCAATATCGTTCGGCTCCTCTGCCGACGCAACATATTGGAGCGATCTTGCATCTGTCTCCCGCAGGCTGCGATACCTGAGCTTGGACGCGTATGGTATGCGATATTCGAAACATTGGCAAAAAGACCTCAAGACGTCAATCGTAAGTATTATGTCAACTGGACGGCGATCATGTAGGGCCTCACCTAATGGTATCATCAGGCGGCTATTGTTCCCATTCTTGCCAGTGCAGATATCGTCTGCCTGAAGATCCTATGCTGCCCTCCCGAGCATAAGGCAGCAGACATGCAGAACATTGCGGCCATCGATCTCGCGGAGTACGAGACCTGTGAAGCTATCCGCACGGATCTGCCGCATGCGGCGGCCTCAATTCCTAGCCTCCGGTACCTGTCGCTTGACGTGTACGCCTGCATCGGGGAGCCAAGACACGGGACAGTCGAGCATCCCCTCGATGGAAGAACCTACTGGTGGCAATATGATGGTCCAGGTACTGAGAAGGTTGCGCGGACCATCGACCCAGCGCGAGGAGAGCGTATCGCTGCGTATTTGCATTCTCCCGCGTACGACTGCAGAAGGAATTTGAAGGTAAGTGGGACATTCATGGGTTATATCAACGTTGCAAGGTACTCATTGGGTCTGTTCGATAGATGCCGTGGTCGCTTGATACGGAGACGATGAGGACGTCGAGACGCAACGAGGGTTAGAGCATTGAGAATGGTGTTGACCTTGTCTCGACCTTGCGAGGAAATTGGAGTTGCAATTGGCTGAGGCTGGCGTCTCAACATGCATGAACGTACTGGTCTCTGACCTCAAACTGTGTAACGGGGATTCCTCAGTAGTGCAACAACTATGATTGCGAGACGATGACGCCAAAATGTGCATCAACGTACGAAAGCTTCTGCTATGTTCGTTAAAACATAGCATACCGTGGAAACAGGCTCCTTTAGCTGATGGGGCACATTGGTGTCTCGAAGACTCTCAGGGTTCTGCGACGTACCACAATGTGTCGCAATCTCGGACCGTTCTCCCAAGAGCACGTCGACAGGGGAAACAGGATGGAGCTACTGTAACGGTGTTCCCGTCGATCCGCGGGCCACATTCGGCAGCTATGCTAGCGCCCGTATCACCGTGACCATACACACCAGTACCGGCAGGATGAGGGACAAACGTGTGGATGATACGGGAGACATCGACACAATCCCACCAGTGAATGAGCATGGGGATGGTAAAATATGATGGAACCTTGGTAGTGAGACGAGTGGCTGAATGCAGGTCGGTCGACGACAAGTCGACGGGAGTGATGCATCATAAGCGCCCGGTATGGTAGAGCACGTCGAGGCGGCACAAAGACATTCTTCGCCGTTCCTCGCATTCTTCTCGCTGGTCCGACCAATGAATGCCACAGGTAGCATTGCAGACAGCGTGCAAAAATTAACAGGGTCACATCAGAGAGGATTGTAGCCAGCGAAAGAGGGCAGAACAACAGAAAAAGCTAGAAATGCGAATATTCGGGCAATCTTCCGCGCGCAAGTCGCGTCAAAGCGTCAGGCGACTGGAGCCGTTGTGCCACTGCGACGGAACCTTCAACCGTGGGAAATGGGCACTGCGGACCTTCAACGGCGACGAACAGTCAGCGCGAGGGCCCCACCGCCTCCCCCTCCTCTTTTCGTCGTCTACCACCACCGCCCAAGCCCGCCCTCCAGCCCGCCGTCCTCCCGCCCACCGTCTACACCGTCCAATACCTCTTTCGAACAACAATGGCCCGTACCAAGGTCAGTGTAGACTCATTTTTGCCGTCGTCGAGTGCATGTTGCTGACCATCGTCGTTGACGTCGTCCAGCAAACCGCTCGCAAGTCCACCGGTGGTGAGCACTCTTTGCCGAGCACAGTATAGGAGCACTTTCGTAACGCATATATCCTCTCAGGTAAGGCACCCCGTAAGCAGCTGGCCACCAAGGCCGCCAGGAAGACCGCGCCCGCTGGTGTACGTCGTTTCCTCCCTATCTTCCGCTGGGGCCTCAGCTAATGTGGGTTGTGGGCACGCCTCCCCTTTCTCTCCCTCCTCGGCCGCTTTGCCACGCTGTTGTGTCCTGTTTGTCTGAATTTCCCAGGCCGCGACCGGCGGTGTGAAGAAGCCCCACCGTTTCCGGCCCGGAACGGTCGCCCTCCGTGAGATCCGGAGGTACCAGAAGTCCACCGAGCTCCTTATCCGGAAGCTCCCCTTCCAGCGTCTCGTCCGTGAGATCGCTCAGGACTTCAAGGTGAGTTGTCGTCGTCGTTGGCTGCAAGGGCTTGACTGACTTGGACCTCTCCCAGACGGATCTCCGTTTCCAGTCCTCTGCTGTGATGGCTCTCCAGGAGGCCGCTGAGGCCTACCTCGTCTCCCTCTTCGAGGACACCAACTTGGCTGCCATCCACGCCAAGCGTGTCACCATCCAGCCTAAGGACCTGGTATGTATCCTGTTGCTATCACGTTTATCGTGTATGCTCATGACCGCTCAGGCCCTGGCCCGTCGTCTCCGTGGCGAGAGGTCTTAAACGTCCTCACATCTTGCCATACAGTGTCTGCTGCTCGTCTCGTCCTCCCCTCTTGTCGTCTCGATGTTTGATTTGTGAGCCTTCGTGTACTGTACTATGACTCATGGCTAGGCCAGTGATTATGTATCATGGGTGTTGACGAACTGTATACATGTTTCATGCAACCCCTGCTATACACCTCGGTGTGCTCGGCAACGGAGAACTAGCTCGTAATGAATGATTATATTAGACTCCATATGCATCCGTCCATTCTTCGATGGTCACGACATCGCCGACTTTGATAACACCACTATCGTTGAATACGCCATACGTCCCGAAACACGGCTTGTTCTTGCCTTCGTGGTACATCCCCGTTCGGAACTTCATGAGGACCTTGAAAGGTACTGCCGCATCGCGCACACCCACGCCCGGGTCCACGTTTGGGAGCTGAAGAAACAAAATATGAGGCTTGCACAATTGTAGAGAGTGCTATGGGGACTCACGAGGCATCGCGTGCATTTCTGGACGAAGGTGACTATGGCAGAATGTCGTCGATTGTCGTGTTGAGACGGGTTGATGGCGACCGTGCGCCAGAAGTCCTCCGCGAAGGGAACACCAGCGCCTTTGACGATCACATTGGCTCTGAACCTAACCGTCGACCTCCAAGTCAGTCACCCTGCATGCAACATAGCGCAGCACAGGACACGTACCGGTCGATAAGCACAGAGCTTTTCGCCCACCGTTCACGGTCCAGCCCGCCGATCGCAGTCCCATGGTCTGCCGCAAGCTTGCGCACGACGCGCTCGAACTCTGCGATGCTCTCCTCGCTCGCGACGTGTAGCGGGAACGCGTCCTGGTAGAGCGTATATGCCTCGAGTGTCGGGAAGGCGGACGTTGGCGGGCAAGAGCGTGGGGAGGGGCCTTTGATCATGAGATGCACGGCGCGTTCAAAGTAGCGGGAGAGGATGGAGGAGGGCGTCGGGAGGGGGGTGCTTGAGGAGGAGGGGATGGATTGACAGATGTAGCCGTCGACGCGGGCATCGCCATTCACGGAGCCGTCGTCGATGCTGTAAAGACGGTTGAGTGTCGTTCAAGGGTGTCGGTGCGGATACTCACGCCTCCCAGGTGCTGAGGATATCTGGCGTAGGATTGAGAGGCACGGCGAAGCTTTCGCAGCCTGACTCTTCTGGGAAAGAGACCTCGAGTGTTCCGCCATGAGGAGAAGAGGCATCGGGGACAATTTGAGGCGCGATGAGGACCATCTAGTGATAATTGTGAGCGAGCTTCTTGACAGCGTCGACTCTATACCGAACGCCTCACCTTCGGCACTTGTCTCGCCGTCAGGATCTTATGCGTAGTCGCATCGATGATACCCCATCTGCGGTCGTGCTGTAGAACATCGCTTTCCGTCAATTCGGGTGCATTATGCGTGAGATGCAGACGCACGCGTTCCTGGATCTAGTCTGCAAGTACATGCCATGCGGCGATGTCATAGACTTGCATACCAGCCCAGGGTATGGTGAAAGTGGTGCGCCTACCTCGAGACAATCAGGGGTATAACGGACTTCCGCGACCGACGTACCTCTACAACTCTAAGTAGTAGAGTAGCGGTGTCAGCATTTCTCGAAGCAGGATGGGTGAGCGGTGTACGTGCCTTGATCGGATAGATGCAAATCCTTGAGACGTGCACTTCACCTATCTCAAACGGTGTCGATGTCGGGTAAGCTGACAACTCTGCCTACGATACAGAGATCATGAGCCTGCCGTACGTAGATCAGTAGAGGATGAATGGACGTACGGAGGATGTTCCTGAAGCTCCTTCGTCAACCTCCTGTTGTCCTAGGAGGTTGCGAGCAAGAGAAACTATAGATGACATGGCTTCCGCTACTTCGTTACCTATCTAGTATGATAAGTTAAAGTCTCGATGGTGGAGCACCGATAGAGGCAGGGGAATATGTCGAGGACTGTGAAGCTGGATATATGTTGATTGCGTCTTACAAAGTCACGCCCGATGGTAGGTAAACTCAATCTGGGCTGCGTCGCATGCAACACCGAAAATGGTGAGTCTAGAAGAGGTAACGAATTCACACGTCGTCAGGAACACGATAATGGCGTTGAGCACAGAGAGACGGACTCAATATGTAAGTAGAGCTGCAAGGACTTGCAAGGAGCTGCTAACGGCGTACCAGGGCGTATGTACCGTCTCCGAAATAGTAGTATTCTGGGAAGCGTCCCTTGGACATCGAGATCAGATCTGTTTCCAAGATCGGCATGAAATTCATGGATCGCCAGTAGCGCCCGTTGCGGCAGACCCTTCTCTGTGTCTGCCTCTGGTCTGCCTCCTCTCGTCTTCTCCGGCCCAGAGTCCAGCCAGGGTCTCCTTTGATTTATCCATCTCAGTTTTCTCCAGCTGCAGCAAAACGAGACGAACCAATTGACTTCCTCTAACAACGCTGCGCGAAATCTCGAGCTACTTCGGTGTGGTACCTCAGCTGGGGCCCTGCATCATCTCCTCGTCATGGGCAGCGCTACCGCTGTGGTCATTCCACTGTCCTGGACTTGGTGTGGCATCGCCTATTGTGCGCTGTGCTTGGAGCAATGGGACTGCGGCACACCTGTACGAACCCCTCGCGTATCTGGGCTGCAGCGTATAACTGGTGGCTATGACGTCGACCTATCCGCAGAGGCAGCCCCACTGCGTATATAGCCCTCTCCAAGGCCACTTAGGCATCAGTTCCCCTCTTCTTGTATATTCCCAACCTCAGCCAAGCAAGCCAAGTCGCAACCTCCAACAGCCATGACAACTCCGACGAGCTTCAAACCCGACATGCCGGGCAAGCTGAGGAAACTTATGAAACAAAGTGCGTACCGTACCATGGGTTACGACCAGCGTGGCTTACGTTGAGGTTGCACCTACTCACAGAGGACTGCATCATCTGCCCCGGTGTCTTCGACGGCATCTCCGCGCACGTCGCGAACAACGCGGGCTTCGATTGTCTCTACCTCGCCGGCAGCGGTGCCTCCGGGTCCGTCATCGGCGAGCCCGATCTCTCCGTCATCACCGGCACCGAGCTCGCCAACACCGCGCGCGTCATCACGGAAATCAGCGACGTCCCCGTCATCGCGGACGCGGACACGGGGTTCGGCGGGCCACTGAACGTTGCGCGGACGATTGCGCTGTACGAGAGCGCGGGCGTCGCAGGGTGCCACATCGAAGACCAGACGTTCCCGAAGCGGTGCGGCCAGCTGAACGGCAAGGACGTCGTGGACATGGAGACGTACCTTGAGAGGATCGTCTCCGCGGTGAAGGCGCGTAGGAATCCTGACTTCCTGATTATCGCGCGGACGGATGCGAGGAACGCAGCGCAGTTTGGTGGGGGTGATGCTGGCGAGGAGGCTTTCGAGGAAGGCGTCAAGAGGTACGTGGTATGTTTGGTAGATCCCGCATATGCTTACGCCTCCGCGGTCCAGATTGAAGGCAGCCTTGAAGGCTGGCGCCGACGTTGCGTTCATGGAAAGCCCACGGACGATGGAGGAAGGTGCACGGCTCGTGAAAGCCCTCGCGCCGCACCCTGTCATGATCAACGTCCTTCCGAACGGCCTCACGGGCAACTACAAGGTGGAAGACTGCAAGCGTCTAGGATTCAAGCTCGCCATATACCCGTGCACTGGCTTCATCCCCGCGACCATCGCGATGGAGAGGTCGTACGCGGCGCTGCGAGACAAGGGCACGGACTTGGACAATTGCGAGGGCTGGCAGATCAAGGACTTCTTCGAGGTGCGTCGGTGTGGCGACGTGCGACTGCTAGGGGGTTGATGCTGACTTGCCGCTCTATCAGCGTGTCGGTTTGAAGCCATCGTTCGACTTCGATCGTGCAATCGCCGAGAGTGTGAGGCAAGACGTGAAACCGAGCAGATACGAAGAGATGTCTGGGCACGACCTGTTCTGAGCTGGAGTACCAGTTGCGTCAGAGTGGTGTAGGATATAGGGAGATGCAGCTTATGATACTGTGACTAGTGTACAGTACGGCTCCGCAACCACGTCGGTATACTACCTATACAGACTCCACATCTTAGTTTTAGTACTGTATGTGACCGAATGCATGATCCTCTCCATGTTGTGCCAATGTCGCGACGCACGTGCGTGTGACGTAACGCGACTTACGCCCGTCGCGTTCTCCCGAAGCGGCGGAAGATTCTCGAGGTCTTCCTCGAGTCCTCTCCGCTGGCGGCCTGCCCTTCTCCTGTCCTCCTCCCCCTTTCCATCTAGTTACCCTCGCCTGCCCTGCTTGTATCGATCACATAGAGGTTGAAACTAGAAGGATGGGCTACATCCCACAGCATGCGCTGGAGAATCTGCGAAAATACTCATACAAGGGAGTAGATAAGTGCGTGGCGGAGCTTGCTTGACCAGGTATGCGGAGACTGACTAGGCTCGCTCGTGTGATAGGTCCCTCGTCTCGCGATACCTCCTTCAGCCGTTCTGGAACTGGTTCGTGACGCTCTGGCCGACGTCGGTGGCCCCGAATACAGTACGTCTATCCGCTCCTAAGCTGATAGCATGGGGCTGACATGTTAGTGGGACGCTGCCACGTAGATTACATTATCAGGCTTGTCTCTAGTATTAATCAACTTTGCGACGTTGTTGTATTTCGACCCGGCATACCTGACAGACCAGGAGGGAGCGGGGCCCCCGAGATGGGTGTACTTTACGTAAGTGCCCTCCATACCCAGTCTTTGGGTTTCATGTGCTCACCTTCGGGTCATAGATGGGCTTTGGGCCTATTCTTCTACCAAACGTTTGATGCGATAGATGGGTAGGTTGAGTGAACCGGACTTCAGGGGCACCGTACTTAGGATGAGACAGGAAGCAAGCAAGACGAACCGGCATGGCGGGCCCTCTGGGAGAGATGTTTGACCATGGTATGCGCACCTGCAGCGCCTGCGTAACTTTAGCTAACCTCTACATAGGATGCGACGCATTGAACACCACTGTACGCCCACGCCTCCTATCCATTTGACCGCGTCCCAACTCTCGCGCTCCCTTTCTAGCTCGAAGCAATTCTCACGTGTCGCGCGCTCAACCTCGGGCGTTCATGGTGGACGATCGCTTCGCAATGCGCGACCCTTGCGAACTTCTATCTCTCGACGTGGGAGGAGTACCACACAGGGCAGCTGTTCCTGGGATACTTCTCGGGACCTGTGGAGGGTATCCTCATGATCGTTGGTATTTACTTCATCTCCGGCGTGTTTGGTGAGTGGTATCGGAGACGAGACTGGTGTGTCACTGAGTATGGGTCGTAGGTGCGACGGTCTGGGATCAGCGCTTCCTGGACGTCACTCGGTTGAGGAACGTGCCAGCGATTGAGCAGCGGATACCAGACATCGCTCTGAACGAGGCGTTCATGGTGTTCGGCGCGTTTGGTCTTGCGTTCAATATTGTTGTCAGGTAAGTCGGCTTCATACTAACCTCTCATGCGCTCGGGCTTCGACTGACCTGCACATATGAAAGCTACATCAACGTCGTCAAGCATCGTCTCTCCACCAAGCAAAACCCACTGACCCCGCTCATCTACCTGCTGCCTTTCCCCGTCTCAGTACTGGCGGAGTTCGCCTGGCTATCTGCGCCCTCCTTCAAGGAGTCGGCGATCCTGCACTCACCGATGGTCATCCCGTTCATGTGTTCGTGGGGCCTGCAATTCGCGCACCAAGTGAGCAGGATGATCCTGGCCCATGTGACGAAGCAGCCGTTCCCGTGGTGGGATTCGATGTGGATTTGGAGCATCGTCGGTGCGGTGGATGCGAATCTACCGGTATTGCTCGATCGGTGAGTTTCATGTTGCTCGCTATGCGCCATGTAGGCTCATTGCTGAGTGTATGTATAACAGGGAGCCGCTCATACAGAATTCGCGACGCAACGCGGCGATCTTCGTATACCTCACTCTTGCAGTGTCCTTCCTCTCGTACGCAAGATTCTGCACCCTGGTCATCCGGGATATCACGAACTACCTGGGCATCGCGTGCTTCACAGTGCGCAAGAAGGACAGGAGCGGCGAGTGGGTCGAGGCGTCCGCGGTGGATGCGAAGAAGCACTGAACGTTGTTCGCCCTGGAGTTCCTCGTCCATGGAGCGTTCTCCGCTGGTCTTTTCTCCTTGGAATTGGTGACGATAATGGTGTGTTCATGACTCGGACGAAGGTCATGTCTGCGACGATCTACGCGTCTGCACGAAAGTATCTGTAGGTAATGGTATATCCCTCGCACAGTACGTTACAACTAGAAGCAAATGAAACAAGTACTCAATGTCCATCAGCGGCAGCTGGGCCGCCGAGTGTTGGCAGCAGTGATGCTGTGTTCGTATCCGGTGCATGGCGCCCCGACGACCTCTGGAGTGCGGCCAGTAGTCAGTCTGAGTGAGGTCTTAGACATATTTCTGAACACGCCTCAGCAAGGACAGCGAGACTGTCGAAATGAATATTGGCCTGCGATCGAGCTGTCTCCGTTCCGAAATTGAGGGCGAGGAGAGATCTCGGGGTAGATCGGCGAACGCGTTCGATAAGATCAATCATGCTTGTGATCGAGTCAGTGCTCAGAGAAACGTCACGCACCGAAGTTATTGGACTCTCTATTTATGCTCGCTCAGGCAGTGCGAGCCTGCATAGCGCGCCCCCATCGATTCATCACACCAGCCACACGACTATCCCGCACATCCCTGCACAACTTTACCAGAACCATGGCGAGCGTCAGCGCAGCAGAGTCCCTGCAGGAGGAGGTCGCGCAGCAGAAGGCCCTGCTCAGAGACCTGCAGAACCAAAAGGCGGACGCGGCGCTCATCGAGGAGGCCAAGAAGAAGCTGGCAGACCTCCAGAAGTCGTTTGGGCTGCTTCAAAGCGCGATGAAGGCGGGAGGCAGCACCAAGAAGGGACGTCTCCTTCTGAAGACACCCAAGGTGCGTACGGTTGCCTCTGGTCCTCGCAGTGCACTCAAGCTCATTCAGAGGTTGTGTTTGTGAACAGGGCACGCGGGACTATGGTCCGAGCGAAATGCACTGCCGCGAGTTCATCGAGCGCACCGTCAAGGACTGCTTCACGACCTATGGCGGCGGCTGCCTCGACACGCCGGTGTTCGAGCGGAAAGACATCCTCGCGGGCAAGTACGGGGAGGATGCGAAGCTCATCTTCGACTTGATGGACCAGGGAGGAGAGCAGCTCGCGCTCAGATACGACCACACTGTCCCGCTGGCGCGGTATTTGGCGATGAACGGCGCACAGGCTACGCAGGCGAAGCTGTGGCAGGTCGGGAAGGTGTACCGGAGAGACAACCCGGTAATTTCCAAGGGGCGGATGCGGGAGTTCTCGCAAGCTGTGAGTCGTCGTATCCCTCTGACATGAGTAAACATATGTCTTATTCTCATACAGGACTTCGACATCGCTGGTATTTGGGATGTGATGATCCCCGACGCCGAACTCATCAGCCTCCTATGCACTATCCTCTCAAAACTTGACGTTGGCGAGTTTACCGTCAAAATCAACCACCGAAAAATCTTGGACGGCATCTTCGAGGTGTGCGGTGTGCCCGCAGACAAAATTCGGACGATCTCGTCTGCTGTAGACAAGCTCGACAAGGTTCGTGACGGCTCATTCTCTCCAGCCTGCACCTCATGCTCACGCGTCCTCGTCAGTCACCATGGTCAGAAGTGAAGCACGAAATGACCGAGACGAAGGGTCTCGACCCCGCCGTCGCCGACAGAATTGGTGAATATGTCAAGCACAAGGGCGGGCCCGAGCTCCTCGAGACGCTCAAGGCCGACGCCGCGCTCATGGCAAACCCAAGTGCCAAGGCCGGCATCGAGGAGATGGCCATCCTCTTCGGGTACCTCAAGTCGTACAAGGTGGTCGACCGGCTCTCGTTCGACATGTCGCTCGCCCGCGGGCTCGACTACTACACCGGCATCATCTACGAGGCCATCGTCGAGGCATCCGCGCCGCCCGGGTTCAACTCCGCCAACGCCTTCGCGTCCGCGCCGCCCAAATCGCCCGCACCCGCGCCCGCTGCCGCGCAGCCGAAGAAGAAGGCGAAGAAGGCGCAGACGGGGCAGGACGAGGAGGACGAGGAGATCGACGAGTCGACGGTGGGCGTGGGCTCGATCGCCGCGGGCGGGCGGTACGACAACCTCGTGGGCATGTTCACCGCCGCGGCCGCAGGCGAGAGCAAGAAGGCGGCGCAATTGCCGTGCGTCGGCGTCAGCATCGGCCTCGACCGCGTGTTCGCGATCGTGTGGCCGCGCTGGGTGAGCAAGGGCATGCGCAGCAAGGAGACGATGGCGTATGTCATGTCGGCGGGCGATGGCCTGTTGAACGAGCGCGTGGAGCTTGCGCAGGAGTTGCGCGCCAATGGGATCAAGGTGAGTGGAACATGGTTCTCGTTGTGCTCTGCGGCGTTGGCTAACAGCCGTGGACAGACGGACTTCCTATTCAAGGCGAAGCCCAAGCTGCCCGCGCAGTTCGCGGCTGGTGAGCGCGACGAGGTGCCCTTCGCGATCATCCTCGGGGAGACGGAGCTCAAAGAGGGCCTCGTCACCGTCAAGGAGCAGTACTGGGAGCTGGTCGACGGGAAGAAGCAGAAGATCGAGAGTGCGGACAAGGGCGTGAAGGTGAAGCGCGCCGACCTCGTGCAGTGGCTCAAGGACAGGCCGATCATGAAGGACTGGGACAGCGGGAGGTTCTTGTAGAACTAGGTGCTGTTTCGGGATGATGCAGGGATGTTGTTGGTTGGTTGTAGTATTTATTCGTCCTAATGCTGTTAGATGATCCTCGCATTTCCCGAATACAATTGGTACATTAGAAATCTACTGCGCTCGACCCAGTATTAGTTCGTTGTTAGCTTCGGCCTTCGCATTCCACGCGCGACGTGTTGACGACATTGATACTCAAGTGCTTAGTCCTCATCCTCCGAGCCAGAGCCAGATCCGGAGCCAGCCTCATCGTCGTCATCATCTGTGAGAGCGTGAGTACGAGTTACAAGCGAGCTGTATAGCTCTGGCCTACCATTCGCGATGTCAGCATTCGAGATGCTATTCTGCGCCCTCGCTTTCCGCATCAACTGACGGATCTCCGTATCATCGTCGCGCAACAGGTCGAACGCAGTCTCCCCGTGCTTGTCCTTGATCCTACACATCGCATGTCGCGCGCTTCAGACTCTATGCCATGATAGCAGAAGGATATACGCACGTTGTGTCCGCACCAGCGTCCAATAAGCTCTCCACGACGCTCGTCCGGAGCTCCTCATCCTCCATGCGCATCGCGAGGTGCAGGGGGGTCGCCTTCTCGAGACGGTTAACGGGGTCGACGTCGCACTCGTCGTGTGAGAGAATGTGCTCGAGCACAGCCAGGGAACCATGTGACGCCCTGTACAGGCGATCCAGTTGAATGATCCATCATCGAGCGAGGGGGGTGGACGGGGAAGAGAAGGGGAGGATACAGGTGAGCCCCCGCGGGCGGGATCCGAGCAGGGAGGGTGCAATACATACTTACGCGTAGTGTAAGGCTGGAGGGGTCCCCCGTCAGCTATGCGATCCTGAGCGGGAGAGGGAGCAGCAAGTACCTGTGTTGCCTAGGCTGTAGGGGACGCGTTATATCTCCGGCAATGTGACAAGGAGCGCGGCAGACGTACCCATCCTGGTAGTTGATGTCGAACTTGCCCTCTTCGAAGACCTCAAGGAGCAGTTCCTCATTGTCCGTGCGTGCTGCAGCGAGGAGACGTTCGTCTAGATACCCCGATCCGCTCTTTCAGCAGGAACGTACTCTGATATGGTTGCATTTCACGTACTGTTGGATGCTCCGTCAGCCATGAAGGACGTGATTATGCTGCTGTCTAGTCAAGGGGGATCGAGTACAGTACGAGTAGCCAAGCAGGTAGAGACGCGGTACAGGGCTCATAATAGCATCTCAGAAAGGAATGCAATCGGCACGTGGAAAGGCGGGTCCGCTCCGGATCAGTTCTCAGTCTGGGCGTAACGTTGAACATCTGTTGACTCTTTGTCGAGTATCGCGCATGCATAGCGTACACAAAGTGAAGCGAGAATGGATAGTGGACGCAGGCGGTGGACTAACAGCAGCACAGTAGAAGATAGTCGCATCATGGGTTGCATAAACACGTTGCGCTCGAAGCACTGTGTAACTCTGCCGGCAACGTTCTGCCTATGCCTTGCTGAACGGTACCAACCGTACGTCCGTCAGACGAACAGCAGCTGAAGATCCAGCATCTCAATCCAGATACAGAGGTCCGAGATACGAAAGGGCTGTGGCCACTAGCAATGCACGAATTACAGAGCTCGAGGACTTGCGCCCAGTATCATAACAACGTGCTGCTGAAAGGATTGTCTGTTGCATGCAAATAGAACTGACTGCGTTGCTGTCAGTCGCGGATGCCTTCCGGAGGAAGCTCAGTCAGACGCACACACGATCTAAAGGCGTTGCTCTGTTCATGACTGGTACAGTTCCTCCCTAACGTTGATACCTGTGCCGAAACGGGTTAGCACGATCATTCGGACAGGTAGCAAGACATAAACGACTAACCAAGTTCCTCCCGTACAGGCTTGAGCTCGTCCAAGTACGCCTGGTACTGCTGCGTGTTCTCCACCTTCTCCTTGATGCCCTCGAAGATGCGTACCGCAGTCGCGTAGTCGTTCACGCGACGGGCTGCGCGGAGCGCGGCCTCAATGACGGAGGGCGCGGGGACGAGGTCGTGGGCGAAGCAGTTGTTGAGCCCGCGCTGGAGCTCGAAGAGATCCTGGGCCTGCTGGAAGAAAGTGACGTAGCGCTCCGTGAACGACTCGAAGGTCTCCTCGTGGTGGGTGCTGCTGTAGCGGACGAAGGCGGGCGCGAGGACGCGGCGAGCCACGGGTGCGCGGCGGGCACGGAGGAGCGAGGCGACCAGCTGGGCACGCATGGCGAGGAGGACGGTAGTGGTAGGGACGAGGGCAGTCGCACGACGCTGGCGGATTGCTGGCGGAGGTCGGACGAAAATGCGCTAGCTGAGGTCGCGACAGCTCGCGCCCCCGGTTCGGGACTGTGCGTGAGCCTGGATCCACCGCCCAGCCGAACCGGTTCACCCCGGTCCCCGCCCTCTCGCCTATCTCCTCGCCCAGGCTACATTGTTCGTAGTACCCGCATATGCATGTCGTTTCCCTCAGAACACCCCAGCTACGTGCCTCCACCATGCATCGCGCCCGGCGAGGCAATGCACATACTTCATGGATATAGACGGCGGGGCGGTGGCGGGAGTGTGGTTGTGTTTGGGCCGAGGCCGCCATAAGGGCGCCTGCGCCAGCGGCTTGGTTCTCACCGCCACTTTCTTTCCACCACCGCAAAAGCCTCAGCAACGTTCGCAGCAATGGATGACGGTACGTTTTCAACATCGCCCAAGGCCGCCTCGACGACGACGAGCAATACCCCTCACCCCCTCCACGTCGTCCACCTTCCCAACGTGTCTTTCGCCCCCGCTGTACCCTACTGTAAATACGCCCGTGACGCCACGTCGCCCCGCCTGTCTCGCAGCAGCCTTCAGCCCACAGAGGACGTCTTTCGACGGCGCCCACATCTTTGACTCTCATCGTCCTCTGTGGGCTGGAGGCTGTGTGCTCAATGAGCCGCTTTTCTTCCGCGCCACCGACGCGTCAGGCCGTCCCTTGGCCGTCCCCACCACGCTGCGTATTCTCTGCCTCCCTCCCTTGTGCGCGTCAGTCTGCCTTTGTCACCATTTGGTCCCGTCCTCGTCGTGTCGCTCGCTTGCTCGCCGGCGCCCTCGGATCCGCTTGTTTCATCCAGCATCCGACCCTGACTTTTCCACCCACCTCCCCTCTCAGCCTGGCAGTCCCAAGACATGGCTCCCCCGAGCAGCGGCGGCGGAATCAGCATCCCCACGCAGGACGTCACAATGAGCAATGGATCCGGATTGGGCGCCGCCGACGACCAGCACTGGGCCAACGGAGGTGGCCGCTCTCCTTCCCGTGGAGGCGCGGACCTGCCCAGGAGGTCCAGCCGAAGCAGGAGCCCGGGCGCCCGCGGTGATGACCGGAAGTGAGTTGACAGCAATTTGAGCGACCCTGTACCCTGAGTACTGATCCTGATACAGTGGGCGTCCGGAAGGCGGCCAGAACCCCGGCAACAACTTGCATGTGTCGGGCCTGAGCAACAAGGTCGACACCCGCGACCTCGAGGCTGCCTTTTCAAAGGTTGGTCGTGTGAGTAGCTTTGCGAACCTTTTTATTGCGAGCTGGCGCTGATACTGTCCCGCAGATCCAGAAGGCCCAGGTCATGTATGATCCTCATACGCGTGAGTCGCGCGGATTTGGGTTCGTGACCATGGAGTCGGTCGAAGAGGCGGATGCGGCTGTTACTGCGCTTAATGCTACTGATCTCTTGGGCAAGACTATGACAGTCGAGAAGGTAGCCCATTCTGCTGGCATGTACTTTTTTCGGTGCTCAAGAGTTCTCCTCCAGGCTCGTAGAGCACGTGCTCGGACCCCGACGCCCGGCAGATACTATGGACCGCCGAAGCGTCATGAATGTACGTTGAGTCTGTGGCTCGTACTGCCCATCTGTCTGACGTTGCTACAGTCGAGAGGCCGTACGATCCTCGCCCCTACGACAGTCGCTACTCTCGTCACGACGAGCGTCATTCTTCTCGCCGCCGCTACGAGGACGACTACCGAGGCGGTAGTATGCGCGACGAATACCGCGGTGGTGGAGGAGGAGAAAGAGGAGGTGCCGGAGGCGGAGGCGGAGGCTACCGCGACTACGACCGGGGCGGCTACAGCGGTGGTGGAGGCGGAGGCCGCGACTATGACCGCCGCTACGACGACAGGCGCTACTGAGCAACGACGTCGACTCTCCGGCGTTCCTTCGGCCCCTTAGCCTCACTAGTCTCTCAGGCCTCAAAATGAAGTTGGTCCCTTCTTCTGTGTTTATCGCGTTCTTATTGCGTTGTCGTTGTCGCTGTTCATGCATGTAGTAGTATATTGCTAGTATTGGGCATTTCGCTGAGTTCCTTGACGTGATGTCATGGACCGTTTATCGTGCATGTACACATGAGGATCTTCTGTCAGGCAGGTATTCAAATTGGGCAGGTATGTTTGGTATTCTCATTTCGGTGCCCCTACATTTATACCGACACTACCTATGCCCATCTCTACAATGTACTTCTCCCTCCGAAGCCTTCGCATCTCTTCTACTACTTCACCTACCTTCTCGAACTCCGACCACCGTCTCTTCACCTCCTTGTCCTCGTTCCTGGACTCTCGAAGATCCTCCGGGAGTGGCTCGATAATTCGCATCCTGAGCGCGAGCCATTGCATCGCTTTGACGTTCGTAACAAACTCCTCGACCTGCGCTTGCTCGCCCTCGCAGTAAATTACGCCCGGATGCCCGACCTTCGCGAAGCCGGTAAGGGAGAGCGATGCAGACCACTGCTGGAGGGATCGCCGTTTGTTGGGCGAGACGAGGTGGTGCGAGGTAAAGAGGGCATGATAGCGGATGTGGGAAGACCCGGAAGAGACGTCTGTGCCGGACATGGCTGGGGCCGAGGACGCATCGTCGTTGCGCTGGGAGTCGAACTCGGCGTGAAGGCGAGGCAGGAGATGTGTTGAGACTAACTCATATATAGGGTATCTAGAAGCCTCATGAATATCTCAAAGAGACGACGTCGACGGGTAGGAACGCACTCACTGTCCTGGAACTCCTCCATCTTCTCCTTCACGAACGCTTGCCAGGCTTCCTGCTCCCTCCGCGCAAGAGTTTCACCCTTGACCGACACGGAGTATCCTGCGTTCGCGGGAGCACAACCTCCTTCATAGTCCTCACTCAACCCTACTTCGAACCATATGTCGATGCCGTTCGACTGTATCCGGAGGTGCGCAGGTGGCAGGGTGCGCGCGACCTCTTCCAAGTCTAGCGACTCCGCGTTTTCTGAGTATGAGTCGAGAAGGGTGGCCCAGTGGTCGGGACCTTCTGTAGGCGGTAGCGACGCGAATTCCTCGCCTGGGAGGAGGGAATGCTTGAGGAGGTTGAGTTCTTCGAGTTGGCGAGAGAGGACGGACGCGGTCAGAGGCATGGTCGGGGTGTGGGAAAGAGCGCTCAATAGGGAAGTTGGCCACGCCCGACCAAAGCGGAGAAGCTCAAGCGCCCAAGGTTGAACCACTCTGTCGCTGTTGTTGTCTACTCTCCCAGTTTTCCCTTGGCATTCCAGGCAGTCGAGCGGCCCCAATCCTCTTGCTTTCGGCCGAAGAACCAGATATCAGTTTACTCCCAATATTTGCGCGTGAGTATTCGCAGTGCTCGACCCTTCGTGCGTCATTGTTACTGAGCCAATACTGAATCATACAGGTACACCACTTAAGACTTAGCTTGGTCGAAATGCCAGCTAGTCTCCTCACTGTCAACGACGACGTCGTCACCATCATCGTCTCCTACTTTGATTCTGCGGATGCGCGTCGGCTCTCGCGGGCAGCGCGGAGGTTCCACCTGCCGACAATCATGCGCTTCAGCTCGTCACCATTCGGAGTTCTGAGTCTCTCGTCCCGTTCTGCGTACACATCCTCAACCGAAGGCGTCACTGTCTGGTCGCTCTCCGCGAGCTCAGGATCCATTACTTCATTCCATCCAAACATATGTTGGGCGTCAGAAACCCGCAGGCAGCATGAAGGAACGAACTGCTTTGCTTCTCGACCTGCTGCAGCAAGCCATCCACCTGCGCGTGCTCAGTTTGTACTGTACTGAGTACTGGCTGCAGCATCAGCCCCAATTGCTTCCTGTCATGTGTTCTCTGAAACATCTGACGGAGGTAGGAGTGGACATTCTTGGGCCGGAGACGTCGATGTTCATCCACAAGATGCAGTGCACGCCTCGCAAACTCATACTCTTCCACATTGATTATTACCTATACGATTTGCTCACCAACGACACGATGCTTCGTTTAGACCCCAATTTCCGCTTGGCGAGCGTGCAGTCGCTCATGGCTCTGGCTGAACCGATCCTACCTGGGATAGAACAACTCGCGCGCGCATTCCCTGGTACTCGCGGCCTCCAGATCAGACACAAAGAGCCAGATCCCCATGGTCAACCCATTCCCTCGATCAACTGGCCATCATTGGAGCGTATTCGCGGCACCTGCTCATCCTTTGTCTACTGGCGGCATGCGACTGGCATTCATCTCCTAGAGTTAATCTTTGATGATGTGTTCGACACCCCGATAGAAGAGGAGTCACCGCGGTCCTCCACCACGATAACAGAGGAGCTACGGCAGAGGCTCCGCGTCCTGACGCCATCTCGCGAGCTTAGCCATGCCCTCACAGCGGTGACCAACATCCAGCCCGTAGCCCTTGCGGTGTCGGTGGACTCGAGGGTCGAAGTCGGTTTTTGGGCGCAGCTCATCAGGGCTTCGGCTCGCCTGCGGTATTTGGCGCTTGAGCTCCCCGACATACGTTTCTATGAGACGGTCAGCGCCGATCTCATCAGGTGGTGGGTGAGTGCGCGTTTTTCAATCTACATATGTGGCCTGCGTGCTGACCACAGCTCGTTACAGGATAGAGTGGCTCCAGAATTCGCTGCGAGCGACGTCATATGCTGAGAAATCCGTTGTCTCCTCCTACCCGGAGAGTATTTAGAAAGCAACGCAAGTGATACAAACGATGCATCAAGCAGAAAAGCGTCACTCGATCAAACGATCTACAGTACCTTTGCTGCCTCAGTAAAGGAGAAGGCCCCTACGCTTCGTTATTTCTCTCTAGACATCAGTCCTTCGTGTCCGAGGTTCTGGCCCCCGGGATGCGAGTGGAGGTACGACTTCCTCGACCTCGAGGATAGCCAAGCGTGGAACACACCCGCTGAGTTAAGCTGGTGGCGCTCCGAAGCCTCGGAACCGTCGGTGACGACCATCGATGCGGTTAAGGGAGAACGAATCGCTGCGTACCTCCGGTCGACTCGTTATGACCACAGTCGGCCCTTCAAAGGTTCATCCATACTGTCTTTCACGATGACTTTCCACTGACATTGTCGAGCAGAAAGTGACGTTCCCGCTTGATGCGGGGTTGTATCGACCACCTAACTTCCTCTACTGGCGCCTTCTTGTTGCTTTCGTGACTCCGACTTTCGAATTGACTAGTCAAGCCCCGCTGGATACCTCGCACGATCTGGCAAGTGGTCCTCCGTGACAAGGCACATATCATAATCATCCAACGTACCCCTCCTTCCGCATCGGTCTCATCCGTTTCCGCTCACGCCGACTGTTTGTCTTGAACTGGAAGCAATTGAAATAAACGCACGAGTTGCTGCTTCCTCGGAGTCTGTCGTTTCCGACAGGCTCCTCTGTGTTACGGCGCCACGCTCGTTGTCAGTGGCGCACTGCATTGGTTCACCTCCACCTTCCGCACCGCCGCTGTCTTGTCCCATTAGTATCATCCTCCTCGATTCCACAATAGCGACAGAGTTACGCGACGATCTCTACCCCGGCATTCCGCTCCGCAACTGTCGTACCACGAGACATGGAAAAGACTGGCAGTGCTACCCACGGTCGTGCGTACTTGTCACGTACATTTTCTGTCGTTGGTAATGTAGTCTTTTAGGGATCAAAGTCACTGCATTGCGCAAGCGGCTGAAAAAGCCGCGCGAGAACCGCATGTGGCTCTCGACTTGCTCTCGACCCGTCTCCGATCCTCTAGGCGCCTCTTTTTAGGCTTCTGTCTCTTGGTATTTAAGCTGCAGCCTGTGCGATTGCCCAGGTAAGGACACTCGGTGGGAGCCCCCTCACCGGATTGCTGTATAGCCAAGCTCGTGTGTAAGCGACTACTTCATCTATACTTGATACTGTGGCTTACTCTACGACCGGCTATTAGTGGAAGGAACCCCGGAATCACGGTCCTGGCGAAGATGCCCGCAAGTTTCCTCTCACTGAACGACGATGTCCTCGCGGTCCTCGTCTCCTACCTCAGCTCCCAGGATGCTCGGCAACTCTCATATACGACACGTGCGGTCCATGTCGTTGCCGCCCATCGCGCCTTACAGTTCGTCAGCCTCCGCTCTTTCTCTACGGTCGTCCGCTTTTGCGCCTACATGTTGGGGAAGATGCAACACCGCGTCTTCGCTCTTCGCGAGTTGAGGATCCATTGCACAATTGCACGAGCATCGGAGGTGGACACGGCCAGCCAGACTGCAGAGACCTACGCGAAAGGAGCGGCGTCGCTCGTCAAGATGCTGGAAGGGGCTCCCCGTCTTCGCGTATTTGCTCTGGACTGTGCCGAGTACTGGATGGAGTACCAGACCCGATTGGTCGACGTCCTATGCACCATGACACACCTGACGGAGGTTGACATCCAGGTCGTCGGACCACACGCGGCGAGGTTCATCAACAACATGGAAGCTACGCCCCACAAGCTGATCCTCAGGCCCCCTCGACGGCGAGACCGACGAGCATGGCCCACTGAAACTACCGACTCTCGACTGAACCCAGAACTCCGTCTACCGAGCGTGAAGTACCTCGCAGCTACGGATTGCGTGAATCTACCCGGAGCGAACTTCCTCGCGCAGATGTTTCCTAGTACCCGCAGCCTCGACATCAGGTACGAGGGCATTGACCATGGACAACCCGTCGAGCTTAATTGGCCAACACTGGAGTACGTCCGGGCCCGCGGACATGCATTCGCTAGTTGGAGGAATGTGTCTGCCATACATCTGTTGGAGTTGGCTTGTAAGCCTCAGGCTCGCATACGGGACTACCAGTGGCCAATGGTTAACAGACCCTCGATGGCTGCTGAGTATGTGGCAGCCATTGCAGCAGTGACCAATGTTCAGCCTGTGGCACTTATAGCGCGACTGGACTCAAACCTCGTGATCTACTTCTGGACCCGTTTCATCAGGAGCTCGGTGCGTCTTCGATATCTGGCTGTGGACCTCTTCGACATCACTTCGTACGACACATGCGGGGCGGAACTAGCCAGTTGGTGGGTCAGTGTACTAATATGTCTCGTGGATTACGGCGTGTTTTCTTACTTCGGTGGAACCCAGGGAAAGATCCATCAAGTCATTGAGACGAGCGACATCATATGCCTAGAGGTCCGTTGCCCACTCCGGCGCGAGGAGGATTTGCAACTCAAAGCCGGTGCAACTGGCGCGTACGAAGGCAGCCCCTCCTTCGAAGAAACAGTTTACCACGCATTCCCTGCATCTGTGCGAGATGCAGCACCTACGCTTCGCTACCTCTCCCTCGATCTAGGCCCCGGGGATGAGTCAGAGTCACCATGGAGATACGACTACTTGGATCCAGAGCACGGTCGAGAGCTCAAGATATCTCCTGATCTACGCTGGTGGCGCTTCGAAGGCCCACTATCTTCACGATCGGTGAAGGTGCTCGACACGACCAGGGGAGAACGGATTGCCGTGCACCTTAGGTCGACCCATTATGACCACAGTGAGCCCTTCAGCGGTTCGTGTCGTATGGCTTTTGATTGGTTCATCTTACCTTTGCTGATGAAATTGCACAGAGTGCGACATTTCGTGACAAGGCATGACAAGGCATAGCCGTCCTGCGGCGTACTATTTGCCTGAGGCTTGTGTGCCATGACCAGGGGTTGAAAGGAGTGAATGCGAGGCGCGTTTCTGCTGTGTAGAGAGCCTGTTGATGATCACATTGTTGCAGGTCAGTTTACTAGCGACTGTATTGAGATCTTCGGATTGTCTACGACTGCGGAGCGTGCCCCAGCGGAACGCTAGTCATAGCTGGTCTCCCGAAGACAAACTGGTCGACTGGACTTATGACTTACGCAAGGAACGCGCTCGCGATGTTCAATTAACTTCACTGTGGCCGTGCATGCGGGCCTGTCAGTCGCTCATATGTTCAATAGGGAGAAAATACGGACACTCACTTGAATGTTGATCTGCTTGTCGCCCGGACTGGGCTCGGGCATGTCGTCTGCGCGTATGTCTCCTGGAGTTGACATAGTCGAGCTATTGCGACCATCGTTCCCATTGGTGGACGCATGATCCTCGTAGGAGAAGCAGACCGTAATGGAGCAGGACAGTGAGATACCAAGGCTCATGTGGGCCAGTCCGTGTGATACAGTTCAATATGCCTCGCTCCGTACAGAGCTTGTCAGCTATGTAGTCACACCCACCTGTAAGTACTTATGTAAGTTCGGCCGTCGCTACGACAAGAGCTCTGGGATGACGGATATATAGTCGACCACAGGAGGAACGGCGACCTTCTCTCGTCGCGTCCCGTTTAGCTTCGCGGTGCACGCGGCATCTCTGCGATCGTTGCATGAAGCGAGATAGCTGTCCTGGAAACCGGACGACGTAACTCGGTGCATAGAATAGACAGCACGATAGCAAGGTACAGCAGAACAGAGCGGTGGAAGTTGATCGTAAAGGTACACAACATGGAGCGAGACGAGGACGATGCGGACTGCACAGACATCAAACAACAGAGAAATCGAGAGCGATAGCGAATGCGGCGAAAGGAGTAGAGTGCATCCGGGATAAAACCAATGGCAATGTGAGTCGATGGAGAGACGATGTTGAGCTTTCACGCGTTCACGCTTGACGAGTGGTCGTGGCCGCGGCTGCGAGGGCTGCGGCCGTTGATGACCCGGACTGACGACAGTTGAGCGAACTACGGTACAGATAGTCGTGGAGATGCTTACCGCGAGAAGATCCTTGTACATGCGTTGGAAGTCCTCTGCCTTCCTCTCTGCCTCCTCCGCCCTCCTCTCCGCCTCCTCCCTTTGCCTCCTTTCCTCCTCCCTTTGCCTCTCCGCCTCCTCCCTTTGCCTCTCCGCCTCCTCCCTTTGCCTCCTTTCCTCCTCCGCCCTCCTGTCTGCCTCTTCTACCTTCCTCTCAGCCTCCTGTGGCACCCGTGCTCTACTAGTTGCTTGGTCACGGAGCGTCGTTAATGTCGCTCTGTATCCAGATCTGAGCTTTTTGGCTTTCTCGTTCATCCTCGCATCTGACATGACGCCGAGGAAGTTCCGCCATTCGCCCTCCTTCCGGGTGGCAGAGGGTACTGGCTGCATATTCGTGTGGTCATCACAGATAAGCCGGATGACCACACCTGCGAACCAATAGCATTGGCCTGTAAGCAGTTCATAGAACGGCTTCTCCCGGTTCACTACCAAGCACGCAGCCACGACGGCGGCGAGGGTAGGAGGAGGATCCAGGGTTGCATGCGCGATCTGTTCTTCGTCAACTATCAAGAGGTTCCTGTTCTCTGTGGTGCAGAGGGTGATGATGTCTTTAGCGGGGATAGCGAAGCTCGAAGACGCGGACGCAGTGCTGGAGGTGCTGGAGATGGTGGAGATGGTCCAAGAAGACCCGTTCGCCTCCGAACGGTCGATGGTGCGTTCTACCCGCAGGAAACCAATGTCCCTGGCATTGTACCTGACCTTGAGCACGATGTACTCGTGATTCGACAGGTTGGCCCTTTTGTAGAGCCAAAGGTCAGTGATAACACATTCGTAGAGCCTGAGATCGCCATTGAGATAGCAGCCCTCGAGTCCAGTGATACTGAAGGACCTCCGCGGATCCAGCGGCTCACTCACGCCTGGCTGGAGGAGGTGGGTGAGCTGCAGTTCGTAGTTGGGGTTAGCCATGATCGACAGGCTCCAGCGGTGGGCAAAGAGCGAGCGGAGGAGAGACCTGAGCCCCATTGTAGCGATAGGATGTAGATATGTGGTCGCCGTAGACGCGGATGGCCGTCGAAGCAGCAGGATCCTGGTAGTCCGCAGCCACTGGCATGGGCCGGGGAGGAAGACGCAGGCAGGGCCAGGAGGACACGCTCCCCAGGCGCTCGCCGGGCCCCGGCCACAGTCGCGGTCACGCGCCCACCACGCGTCCTGAGCGAACACGCACACATTTCATCCATCTCCTTCCGCTCTCCCACCCGCCAACCTAACACCGAGCAGAGAAACACTTACTTGATTTCATTGCTTCACAGGCGACAGATTGTCGTCCCGCTGCTATCATGCTGGTCACCGACTCGGACTTCAACCCGAGCGTGCCAGCATGGCATCGTTTTACAGCATTTTCCATGGGGATCACCCTTCAGAGAAGATCTGCAAGCCACGCCAGAGCAATGCGGCTTGACGGAGTCTGCGGATGATCTGGCAATCATCGGACAGTCAGTCGAATTGGCCACACCTATGCAAGCATCAAATCGCCACCATCCGCACGACAGAGAACCAGCGTACGTCTTTCCTGCGGACGTCCATCAACATGGCATGGGGCTGACGGGACTAAGATTAGGGCTCACACACAGGATTTTCGCGTGCGGCCGCCGCGATGCTCATGCCAGCGCGTTATCGTCCACGAATACTGGCTTCTCAGCTCAGCTCAGCCTTAATACGGGTCGATGCGCCGAAACCATGAGGATCCGGCATGCAGGGGATCATGCACTGAATTCTGGTATGGGTTGCGGAGAGTACTCTCTTCCACGGATTCATCGGCTGGATACTCTCACTCACGCCGCCTGTACTAGGTTCTTTACGGGCGCGATGATCCCGGGCCAACAGACGAAACGGACACACGCCAACCGATACGAGCAGATTGGCCGTAAATATGCAACAGCTACAAGGCGTCAGAAGTACCAAGCACGCGCTGCGATCATGCCCGGGGAGGGTGCTGTAAAACTTGTATTCGTCCTTTGTATACGTGCTACCTGACATACAGCACTCATTGACCCTTGTAGCTCTCAGGTTGCTTGTTCTCATGGCACGAGTTGACCGTGTGCCGTCAGGATCAGCCGCTCAGGGCTGTGAATGGCAACACAGGTCTAACCATCCGGCTCGGGCTTACGAGATGAATTGCGCCTTTTTGTCAGCCCTGGCAAGCCGCACAAAATGCGTTCAAAAATCGGGTTCCGTCGCGATCCCGGGCTGCGTCGGCGTGTCATGTTTCTGATCAATTGCGTAAATCTCCTCGCAGTCATGTTCTCAAGTGCGTCATTCCAGGCATTGTATGAGACTCAGAGGTCTCAGGAGGATCAAGTTCTGAACTCTATCATTTCGACGACCACAGTTCTCGTTACAAATGCCATTCTTGTACGGTACCTGTCTCTCCTGTCATCATCCTCCCTGCGGCTTTTGACACTACAGCGTGAGGAATCATTGCGTGATGCGCGTGCCTTCGACTCCGCACGCGTTGACGAGCTATTGGATGACGGAATAGTGGACGAGATTCCACGGACGACCACAACGCGAATGGCTGTGGCGCACATCATGGGCCACCCGTCGCTGCTCAGTCAAGCCAGTGGTCGCAGGGCAATTCTAATCAGGTCATACGTTACAAATTCCGCTTTCCTGTCATGTCTTCACCATTCATCTGTTGCACCAAGTCGCACTGATTCGGAATATGCTGCGCTCATGGACATCCGTCATGTTGACAGACTAGTTGATACACCTGCAAACGGCGTATACATGACCATCACGGAACACGAGTATTTCATAGATCCAAACTATAATTCGACAAGGATGCTGTCAGTAATCAAAGCCTTTCACGTGTACCTGCGCTGACTACCTCTACACACAAGTTCCCGGACATACCAAACGTATCGTGTGCGCATGCTCACTAAAGGCTAGGGCGCTTGCTGAGCAACGGTCAAGATTCCGCAGACGTCGAGTTTCGGGCACTCCCCGGAATTAAAGCTCTTCATCCCGAGTGTCTTAAGGCGCATGTTACGTTCGCTATGGTTCTCCACATTTGTGGTGCGGCAGACTTCGTGGACCAATATCGCCCGTTAGATCAAGACGGTGTTACTCTTCCGACATACTCAACGGAGGACTTCGGGGCACAGATAAATGCAAGACTGGCCGCACTTGCCGTATAGACGATAGGGTGCGAGGACGAACACCGGACCTCCAAGTCTGGCAGTCTATGCGGATGGAACTTCACAAGCTTCAACGTTCAATACCGAGTAAGCTGCCTGTGGTCCTGGACATCGCGGACCGTAGAATACCTCGGAGCTCGAGCTCAGAAGTGCTCGCTCGTGACTTCGGTCTTGAGATCCGTGTCCGGATGCTACCATCATGGTCCGGGCGATATGTGCAACCTCGAACCCGGACCGGGGAATGCTTGATGGGAATGAGAAAGCTTGTTTGGCGTACGCAAGGGTGCTAGCAGTGGATAGACAGTGGATGTGAACAAGAGGAGGGAACAAAAATCCCTAGTATTTTGAAGGAGCATTCCTTCTGCGTGTTCCGAGGTGAAATGAACGATGCGTGAGGGATGTATACCCAGGATAAGTAGTAGTCATGTACGTAGACGTAGACGCTGTGATTCTGGACCGGCAGCCACTCGACGACGCGCGCACGTGCCCGCCTCAACGCAACCGCGCGCCGTTGAACCGTGTTCCTCGCAACGCCCTGGTCCCGTTCCTTCACCATACCCTCCATCTACGACCTTGCAACGCGACATGCGACGTGCGCAAACTACAAGACACTATGGTCGCCCGTCATTGGCCTTGGGTGCTGACGATCTAGGAATGTTGAAGGAAACCCCGGAGGAATCTACAGAGGATGTTCTGCGACGACAGCTCATTGAGAAGGACAGAGAGTGCGACCGGGTATGCAATTGTCTCTGTGCAATGAACTAGTACCACAATGCTGAAAGCTCCTGTCGCGCCTTTCGACTTTCAGTTGCAGACTCAAGTACAATCGTTGCAAGCGCAGCTCGCACAGCGACCTCCATTGAACGCCGTCCAGGAGTTGCAGAAGGAGTACACGAATCTTGATATCCTCTTGCAAGGAACTCAACGGGAGAATGAGCGATGCATGGCTGAACTGGAGAGGTATGCTGTTTGTGCTACTATCAGCCTCCGCCACTCATCCTTCAATGCAGAGGGAAGGTACGAGAGAAGATGCTGGAGCGCGAGTTGGAGAAGTTAGCAGGGGCCAACTGGCAGGTACGTGTCCGCCTTTCGACAGCGCTGAATCAAATAAACTGACTGGGGTCAAGGCGAATTTGAACATCGTTCCTGCCGCCACTTCCTCGGCATTGTCCTCACGCTCTGAGGCGTCCGCTGCCCAGAGCGTACCGGCAGACTCCCGAGCAGCGAACGCCACCGCAGAGACCACCATGGCTCATATTGAACAAGTCCGGCTACTGATCCTCGGCATGGAGCAACGGCTGCAATTCCGAGAGGAGAAGCTTGCGAAGACGATCGAGAGGGCGGAGGCCGAAGGAGCTCGATTCGAACAGAGCCAGCAAGTGCTCTCTGCAACATGCTGAACATCCCGCGGAACATCGCTATTTCCCCGCACTTTTCCCGCTCCTCATTGACGATCGAATACTCGGAGGAATGGTTATCGTGGACAGTTTTGCTATTTGTTGTACGTGTATTATACCCCACTCTATCTATACCTCGCCGCCGATGCGCGCGGTCAGTACGTTGTCAATGCTATCAAGCCAGATCGATACCTTTGCTTCGAACCGTCCCTCCAGGAATTCTACACGAATCATAGCTACACATCGGGTCCGACTCCTCCCTGAAGGCCTGACCGTTTTCCATGTCTTGCCGGCTCTACTGTCATGTATTCACGAACCAGTGACGAACGACCCACACAAGACAATTCTAAGGGAGCTCGAGCGCGTTGACGATCGTTGATAGGCTTGTACGCGCGAGCGCTCCGAACCCAACGCATTTCCTCGCTTTAGTGGCCACTTAGCCGACGATACACACGCTCTCTTTATGCCTAACGCCTTGGCTGGGCTATTTGCCTTGGACCAGCCAATAGCGACGGAGGTGTCGGCATCGACCGCATGGATTGCAAGTTAGCATGTCCGGACCCGGATTCATTGGTCACGTAAAGCCGACGGCAGCGATGAATTGGAGACCCTGAAGTGAGAGAGGAGCTCGAGCTCGCCATACACACGGTATCTATATGCTGAGTACAGTGCAAGTACAGTGGCACGATACGTTCGGTGGAAAATTGACACACCGGTGACGAATGTTCAGCAGTTCAGAGCCACGCGTGTTCTGCGGATTGGGGATGGCCACACTGAGAACACGGCATCTGTACCAGCTTCGATGCAATTCAGGTGATCCCGGCTGTACCTTAACTCACCTTGGCGGCGGTAGGGAACAATGTGCATGCCTAGCTTAAGCGATCCCGACGCTGCGAGATGGGAAATCAGTGACCGACACGATGGAAACTGAGCTGCAAGAACAGCGGTAAAGCTGACTTGTCTCCGGGTTGTCTCCATCGGATGTAATTTTTCAGACCCAGCTCTCTTGAACCTGTCAAATCGACCAGACCGCGTGAGTACCATGATAGGGCGCACCAGTGCTTGCACGTCTGTTGTTCCTGACACTGGCAGGCCGAGTTGATCATGATCAGACTTCCTCGAACGCGCGGTGAAGCTTAAGTGAAATCTTACAAGAGTGAGACCAGCGAGCTCCGTGGCTCCGGCGTTCGGTCTTTGGCGAGATGTCTTGTAAGATAGGGCACGAGAGTCAATTTGAGCACAGATGAGATGTCACGTGCGAAAGAGGAGGGGATTCTCTGGAGGGTCGAGGCAGGGTCGAAGAATGAAGCAGGAATCCTGTGGCTATCGTCAATGTCAGAGCGTGTCTTGGATGAATAGAACATCTATACACGAGGTGGCGCGCATCAAGATGATGACGGCTTCGCAGTCAAGAGTACCGTCTGCAGATAACGCGGGCCCACCCTGTATTTGATCTCACTTGCAACATGTCCATGGCTTAAAGCAATCTGTCCATGGTAAACTGTGCACGGTACCATAGCTTCCGATCAACGAGTAACATCCCGACGATGCGTCACCAGATATCCAAGTTCAGTGGGATTCACCGGTCCACAGTCAAGGCGATGGCTATGCGAACGGCTAGAGATGTAACATGCATGGGTTGTCTTGTCCTGACAGGAACGAAGGCACAGGATGCCGTCCGCGGCCGCCACGAGAAGCTTCAAAGCGTGTTTGCCACTGCTCGACACCTCGAGAGCACGCGTCCGGCGCCAAGTTGCCTGTACCAGCCAACATCTACTATCGAAGCAAAGTTGAAGTTCACCTCGAGCCTAGTGAGACTGAGGGATCGCACGAAAATTAGCGTACCTGCTGGCAATGCGCAGCCTAAGGTCCAATGCTACTACCGCAGGAGGATCGCTCTCTCATGATCAGTGGGAGGCTGTACTGCGCATGAGTAAGAATTCCTGGGCGTAGAAGAAACACGTCGGATGGGGTGGGATCTAGGGCTCACCTTCAGGTCCCAAACGACCATACATCCCAGCGGAGAACGCCAGTATCCGGCCGCATGGCTTGGCGGCAGCGAGTTGCGTCTTCGCTACAAGAACGACAGATGTGGCTAACTCCGTGTTGGCATCCGCATTCAACGGAGCCCGCCTGAAAGAGACACGGAACAAGGATTACAGTGGCGTTGGGGCCAAGAAATGACAAGCTAGACCCCGTCGAATCACCATGTAATAAGCAGCGGAACGCTCGTTGACAGAAATTCTCACTGATCCTACGGATGCATTCGGATATGGGGATTTATATGTACTGCACGGCCGGATATGCCATAAAGCTGCAGTGTCCTCAGCTGCTTCCTCTTCATACACGGTCATAGAAGTATGGAGAAGGGCTTGTAGCATGTGCTGGGCGCAAAGAAGGCAATTAAAACATACAGCGGCTGCAGCCGTAAAGAAGCCTGTCTGAACGCAGCATGGGAACAACGTTACGTCCTGGGTAGCGCACAACGGCGCATGATTCAGATGATGTATGCGCCGCACCTGCTGGCGCGACGGTGTCTTGGAGAACAAAGCGCAGCCACAGAGAGAAACGGCCACTCACCAAGTTTCAATTACCACCGGGCGGTGCGGGTTATGGTTCTGGCTCGCACGCACGCTGCGTATAGCGAGTATCACAATGCGGCGATGGCCTTCCATGACTTGCGGTGATACTTTCTGTCGTCACCGGCATCTGACAAAATGGATTAACTTCAAGGAACACCTTCGGCCGGGTATGCTATATGACATATTACCTGGGTTAAGCGTCCACTGGATACAAATTGATGATTATCTTACCTCAAACATCTCGCCATTGCGCCGTCCCGCCGAGTGCCGTGGTGTGTCGGCCCCGCTCCGACACACAAAACCGATGACACAGAAGGCTTCGCGCGCCAGCCCGCATACACAGATCGTAATCATGCCCGTGCCTGTCCGAACTGATAAAAATAGACAGAAAGAACACTGGCGCTGGGATTTAGTCTTACACGTAAAACATTGTGATGAGACACACAGTCGCTGGTCGCTCGCACGATTCATAGTCCGGCACAAGATAGCATGGAGTGTCGCTCGCCCTTGATACGCATCCGAAGAGTCTGGAGTCTTCTGAGCGTCCCATGCCGGAGAGAAGATATGACCGGCGGGCGCGACAGCGGTCATATTCAAGTGAGGACTGTCTGAAAATCGCGGCGCTCCGTTAAACGTCCATACTGCCCAGAGCGCTCCGTAGTCATTCAACGCACCAGATCAGGTATGGCAATCCCGCATGGCGCGCATGCAGTCGACGTTCTGGATGGTAGGGCGGGACATGGGCGTTAGCTTGTGCATCAATGGCAAATAGAGTTTTGATATACTTCACACCAGATTTGAAGCGCCTGCGTCTCGACCACCTTCTGAGCAGTGCAGTCACAGACGCCATGGAATGACGCTGAGAAGGCGATATTTCACCGATAATAGTGGCGGAGAAAGAACTCTTCATTGCGACTGCTGACGTCGGAGCGATACATTCACGGCCATTCAAGTTGTGACCGAACGCTTTAGTCTGCAACAGTAGGAGATTGAGTGCCTGTACTGATGCGTATAGGTGGTAAAATTCAACATACCGTGTTCCAGGACTGCCCACCAAGAGCGAATAAACGTAGAGATTCGCACGAGAAGCACATCGGCCCGATTTGCTGATAGTCTGCCTCAGGGTGTACGACTTCTGCTGAGGAATCTGCTCCACCCATCGGTGATGAACACAAACTGAAGTCTGGTAAGCTATGTTCGTTGCGACATTTTACGTCTTACCTCGAGGGTGAACGCACATCCGGACGTTGGCCGAGAAGAGAGGAGAGCACCTGACAAAGGGGACGAACGTGCCAGGACGGTGCGGTCAAGCTATCTTGAGCTGAATGGCTGTGAGTCCTGTCCGTCTGCTGATCGTTACGCCGTGAAGACCGGATGCGAGAGATAACTACCAGGGTCTCTAGAGGATTGTGATGTTGGTCGTGTGATGTCTGCCCCTCATACGCTTCGCAGATGGGATCCTAGGCTGAGGCACAAAACCTAGAGTTAGTAACGTGGGTAGGCGAGAAGCCGAGGAGCATACATTTCCGGAAGTGACCGCGCATTTCATAGTAGCTGTCATTTAGAATTTGTTCCCTCTGATTTGTCTGGATATCCGAACGAATCGAACCTAGAGGTTGGCTGACTATCGACATGACGACCATGTACCACCTGTCAGCCTCAATAGACACTAGCATTAGTACTATACAGAGCACGGGACTGCCCGAGTAGATCAGTGTCACCGCATACTGATGTCACTATGCATATTTCTCTTCAATGCTGCCGGTGTCATCGCCGGCCGACGGACCGAATGACACCGAGCTTGCCTGGAGACAGATACGAGTCGGAATCTACCACACGACGTGATATCAGTCCTGCATGCGTCGGCCAATTGGTAGAAGTACGTACTCTTCGCGCACGTCAGACCGTCCCGGCCCCGCGCCTGCCTATTGCGGCACGCAAGAGCGTGGCGCAAGGCCACTTGCCCCGCACCCTTTCCTCAATCCGCACTCCGCGAGCGACCCTCAAAGATGCAGCTCCTTTCTCCCTCACACGGGCGACGGATCATATACGCTAGAGAGACGGTGAGAAGCGCCAGCGTATCTTCTAGTGAGGTGCAAAGAGCAGGAGGGGGACGCGAGGCGGTCCCGCTCCTCGACTGTCCAACCGCAGGGTTCAGTCGGCGCCTAAACCGCAACAGGGCGGGTGAACACCAGATAGGCGACCATCTCTGCAGGATATCGGTGCGCCCGTCCTTGAACTTGATATTGACTGAGACGCCCGCCCGCCGCGAGCACTTCGCATGGGAGAAGGGAAGCATACACGCACCGTCGGAGCTCACGAAGCCAGGCGGCGTGTGCATCGCGAACCAGGCTCAGGGTCCGCACGTCCTGAGCGGCAATGCACCCAGCATCGCGCGTGCAATCCACGGCTGTCCCACCACTTTGTGGAGCGGACACTGTGCGCGTCGGGGCGCGAGCAGCGGGACGCGCAGCCAATCCTTCAGAGGGCATTCCGTAAGCTCGTCGCGCCAGCCAAGTCGATTGCACTAAGGGAGTACGTACTGGGCTGCTCGCCGCAGCGGCGGTGTGTCGCGCATCAGAGACCGCGCCCCGTTCTCCACAGTCGCGGACTCGGACGTCGTTCGGCTGCGCGGCGCGCGAGCAGAGGGTACGTGCTGGCGTGCCCAAGACGGCTCGTGGGCTTCTCATGGACGTCCTGCCGCACGCAGGGCTGGGACGACGGAAGCCTGGCAGTGGGTAGGTCGCCCTGGCGGACTTTCGGCTGGAGGAGATGGGGAGCGGCAAGGCAGGAGGGCGGGCGAGTGGCAGAAAGCATGCGGGAGGCCGATGTCGACGCCGGAGATGGTTTCTGGGATAGTTTGTGGGCGCGTGATTGTCCTTATTTGTCGTCCGATCGAGACGGGTCGGCCACGCCTCGGGCGCCCTAGCCGCCACGGTATCGTGCAGCGAACAGCACGAGCAGGGCGGGCCGTGCTAGTGGCCTGCATTAGCGTGGAATGTGTGGCGTTAGAGCCTGATGCGCGCACAAAGGTGCCGAACGACGTGGGGATCGGGAAGGGTCGTCGTACCTCGATGTACGCGCGCATGATCTCGTGGCAGCCAGCCGCGAGAGGTGGATGGGTGACGATTCCAGCATCACGAACGCTTCATTGCAATGCGGCCGCCGAGACGCGGCGATGTGTCAATACCATGCAGTCGCAAGTTGGTCGCAAGGGACGACGCAGCTGAATCGCGGCTCGCCGTTCATGTTGCCACCAGATTGGGTTTCCCCGCACGACGTCGACCCGATACGCAATCGCACCAACCTATAGGGACCCAGGGCCGCCTTTATCAAATAGTAAGTTCGTACTCGGCACGTCAGGCAGAGAACATAGTCATTGCGTAAAAGCGTCATATGCCCGCGCGCATCCAACCAGCATCCGGAGAGGACAACGCCACTAGAAATAACAAGCCAATAACGGACGAGACCATCCCATAAGCAAGCCGGCCGTATCTCGTCAACTCCGAAGGCAGTGGACATTTCCCCAGTGGGCGGGGACGGTCACGCGTTCCTCAATCCCGTTCTAGACCCACTTACCGTGGCTAGCGAGAGGCAGCAGCGGTAGACCTGAATGGCGTGTCTGATGAGTCGCCGTTAAAGCGACCGTGCCTCCGCCACCCCAGGCAAAGCTACGGCAGAAGCACAGGAAATACAGCTTACACGGTCAGCGGTACCGAGCGGGACGTTCAGCCTCTCAGCAGCGCAAGTCGAACGAACGTTCGTGCAGCGCCCGCCTTCGCTAATTCGTCGTAATAACGGCACTTGAGTTCTCAGCGTCGGAATCAGAGGCAGAGCGGAGAACTTGGATGGAGACGAATAGCCCGCTACGTACCGGGGCGCTACCACCGGCTGAACACATGTTTCTACGAAGTTACGGGCAAGCTACGGAGTCGTCGCATAGCGTCGCGTCTGAGTTCTCTCTCAGTGACTGAGCATCCAGCCTCAGGCTCTAGCCCGCCGCCGGGGTCGTACAATCCCTTTATGGTCAAAGAGTCGCACCGCCCTCGAGTGCGTGACGTAAACCACTGCGCCCAGGCGAACCAAAAGCGAACCGGCCAGCAGGTCTTCGCGGTTCGCCTGCCCGCCAGCGAGACAAGCCAACGAAGGCTCATGTTCACATCGAGCCCGCCAGTTCAGCTCGTTCACGTAATGCACCGATCGAACGTCTCGACGACCTCAGGGCCGCCCCCGCATGACTGGCGAGCGACCTTGGAAGTAAACACCTCTCCGGCCCACCGATCCCGGCTCTGACAATTTTGCAGGAACAGCGTCTCGAATCGGTGGCGGCCTCCCATTCCACTATCCAGTAGGCGCGAGACATCAAGAGGCCACTGGCTTGACTTCACGCGATCGCGATCAGAGACCCTGTTACTGAGTTGTTCGTGCGGCGTATGCTTCCGTGCCGCGGCACAATCAAGTTGATAGAACAGTTGGGGACGCCCTGCACCGAAGGCTGCGTAGTGCGAAATGTATGAATTGGGACGTGCGCTCGGAGACTTAGCGTGACAGGGCAGGGGCGGCGGACTGGACGCTGGGATGCGCCCCGCGCAGACACAACGCCGGGCGATTTCAAATCGTCATGCTCCGTGCAGCGCGAATACGACGGAAAAGGCAGTTGTGAGCAGCGCTGGCAGGGCCGCAGCGCGCCTTGATAGTTGCTAGTGCGGAGCTGAGCTCGCTGAGCAGGAATGCTCGAGCGTCAGCGGGCTCTCCGCTACGCGACGCGATCTGGTGCTGGCGGTGGTGGCGCATCGGCGGAGGGTGGACGCGCTGATGCTCACGGCGAAGGCGAAGGCGAGAGATAGACGAGGACGAGCTGTGCCGGCGAGCCGTGCAGGCCATCAGAGGGATAACGGCATGGCGAAGATGGTATCGACGAGCCCGGGGTGGCTACTTCGGGCAGGACGAGCGAGAGCGGAGTGTTCGGCGAGCGCGCAGCGAAGCAGGCAGAGAAGGGCGTGACAGCGCAGGCGTGCGGCGGAACGATAAGACAGCCGTGGATGGCAAGAGGACGACGACGGGCTGGGCGGTTGGCGGGGAGGCATGACAGACGTACGTACTCGAGGCCGCGCGCGACGTAGAGTTTGCGGGCGGGGCTGCACGTGGGCGCGGTGGGGGCGGGACGGGGCCGGGCCGGGCGCAGTGGGCAGGGCGTGCGGGCGTGTGGACGGGGCGGCGAGCGAGGAAGGGCAGCAGCCGGAACGGGCGGTGGCGCAGACCGCGGGGGCAGATGACGGGGGAGGCTGGGAGGAGCGCGGCCGGCGTTCCTGGCAATGTCGACGAAGGCAGACGCGGATTCTCCCGCGAACTCAATGGCACGCCCCCGGCCTCCTGCCCGATATGGGGCCAGCGGAGGCAGCGGCCAGGGCCGATGGACGGGCGATCGCAGAAGGGCTGCGAGATCGGACGCACGATGCGGCCAATCTCCGTCGACGCCCATCTCTGTCTCCGCTTCGCTCTCTTTCGCTCTCTCCCCGCCTCTCCGACTCTCGTCCTAGGCGCCCCTTCCCGCCCCATAAATCCGCCACCCACCATGCACCACCGACACCCTCTCCCCCGCCATGCCTCCCCGCCCCTCGCTCCCCGTCCCCGACGACGTCCTCCTCCTCATCGCCCGTGAGCTCGGCACCGTCGACCCCCTCGGCCCGCCTGCCCACCTCCCCGCCCTCCTCGCCACCAGCAAGCACATCTACAACACCCTCTGCTTCGCCAATGCACCCACCCTCTACGACGACATCTTCTGCACAAACTTCGACCACCGCGCTGCCTTCCGCCGCCTCGGTGTCCGGGCGACCCGCTCCCGCAACCGCGCCAAACAGCTCCAGAAGGTCTGCCGCATGCTCACGCGTATCCGGAGCGGCGACATCTACGCAACCAGGCTCGAGGCCGACCTCTGGACCGCTTTCATCATGCTCACCGAGAACGACGGCAAGAACTACGCCCAGCTCCAGTGGGCCGGCCTGGACAGGTTCGCGGAGGCAGTCATTGTGAACCGTGCATGGGAGAATCGCCACATGCACCACGGCTGGCCAGCCGAGAGCACCCAAAACTCGCTGGCCATCTGGTCGCTGTTCATGATGCTGGATGCAGGTGCGTGCGAGCTATCATTTCACACCCTGACCTTGACTCAATAAATTCATACACCCTCCAGACAAGCTCGTGGCCCTGCCGCAAGATCGCAGGAACGTCATTATTGAGCGTATTCGCCCGTACGTCGTGACCGCGCTCCGTTATCCGTCCTTCCACGCGCCCGACAAGCACTTCTCCTTCCCACTGCCCGAAAACCTTGAGCAAACCTATCCGTACACGTTCATGACGCCGCACGGGTTCTACCCTCAATACCGGCACCCGGAGCATCTGCGCGAGTACCTCCCTCACTTCGGCATCCAGATCGAGACCAGCGCGCCCCTTATCGCGCAAGGCGCAAAGCTGCTCTACCTCACCCTGTACGAGACGCGCCTACCGCACCATCCTGAGCTCCCGCTCAACCGGGAACAAGCTATCGCCCTCGGGCGCACGTTCATCGCCCCTACCATCGCTGACATCGACGAGGCGAACGCGCATCGCGCAGTCACGCTCGCCCCGCATGGCTCCTGGGACTGGCGCGAGCGACTCGACGCCGCACAAGGCAAACTGGAGGACGACGGCGTGTGGCGGACGACACTTACAGCTACAAGTGCCACATGGGACAACGACTGGCACCGCTGGTGCGGATGCATCGACCCATGGATGGTGGACCATCTCAAGGGCGTCACCTACACACTTGGCTCGCTCAACGGACTATGGCAGGGCCGGCTCCTCGTGCGCTCTCCCTTTGTCTACACGCGCAGCCCGACTGACTATATGCCTACGCTTTTGCTTGCGCGCAGGTGCCGGATGTGAACCAGTATGAGGAGCTCGTGAGGTCGACCGAGTTCCCGCAGACCTTCTCGATCATGAACCCGCGGCTGATGACCTCGCCGCTGTACATGCGCCTCCGCGAGCACCACTGCATCAACCCGATGCGCCCGGCCGAGCCCGCGCTGCCGCAGTTCGAGGGCGACATCGACGAGGGCATCTGCAACGCGTGGTTCTCGAAGGTGAGCATTTCGGAGCACGGCGGGCGCGTGCGCGTCGAGGACGAGCGCAGGAGGCAGGTGGGTTGCTGTGCTGTGGTGCGCGCGTGTGTGTGAACGGTGCTGAGTCGGGGTGTGCAGGTGCATATATACGAGACGTACGTGCACGGGCGCCCGAATAGCCATGACGAGACGACGTGCACGCAGTGCATCCAGCGCAGGGAAGACGAGGAGGCGGAGTTGGCGGCGAGAGTGCGGTTGAACGCGCGCGCGGCGAGTGGGGAGCCTCTTGAAGACGATCAGCACCACGCACACCATCATCACCACCATCACCACCACCATGCCCACGACCACGACCACGACCACGACCACCCGCACGAGCATGCCCACGTCCACGCTGACGATCCGTCCGACGTCGACATGGATGCGGACCCCGAGCTCGCGCAGACACGCGAGGGTGCGCAGGAGGCCCTTGGCCGAGACCCCGACACGGTGCTCGACGAGGTGATGGCCGACGCAAGCGTGGACGACGAGGACGATTACTCAGAGGACGAATACACAGACGACGAATCCGAAGATGAGTTGGAGGAGTACATCCACAACACCTGCAACGGCGTCTGCGACATCATCATCACCGGCGAGGTACGTGTCCCTCACCCACCCCTTCACGAGCCTCGCGTGAATGCAGACTGACCATGCCGGAAGCAGACCCTCCCGCGGCACGGCCAGGCGTGGAACCACTACCGCTTCTACGGCCGCGTGCGCAAGTGGGACGGACTCATCGCGCTTGTGCGCGTCCCCGTCGAGGACCGTGGCCTCGGGACGTACATCTTCAGGGGATACCTCGTCGGCGGGCTGAACTTCACCGGCAGCTGGCGCTCGTACGCGCAGAACCCGAACGCAATCCCGCTCGAGGGCCCGTTCATCGCGAGCAAGCGCGCGGAGGAGTGAAAATGACGACAGCGACGCGGTCGGTGAGTCTTGGTTGAAGCCGTGCTCCGTGGACTTTGCGGAGGTGCGGCGCGGCGCGTTGGAAAATGTACCATAGGTTTGGAGTCTCTTGGGCAGCCCCGGAGGTGGCTGTGTCAGTGCTCGCGGATGTGTGTAGGTAACGTTATTGTCGAATATGCGCCGTGCTCATGGGCAGTCTCGTCTGCGCCCCAGTCCCCCTTTATGTATTCGCATCCCATCTCAGTCCCCCTCTCATCTTGACGACGTATGACATATATGGCACCTTACTTATGTATGCATTGCATCTACTAGACGTACTTACAAGACGGACGACGGGCGGACATCGTACTAGTACAGCACGTCCCACTCGCATACCCATTCCATTTCATTTCCTCTTGCGTTCTGATACCTTTCATACATCGCGTTCATGACGCTCGCACTTGGCGGCGTTTCATACATCACCCGCGATGATGCGCGCCATTTGATTTCCAACGGTGGTGCAGTGTTGGTCCAGCTATACTTCATATTGTTTCGTTGTATGGCCGGACTGCCGCGCCCCGCCGTGTCTGGCTTCGTGCTGGTCTCTTGGTTTCGTAGTCGCTTCAAGTTTCGTGTATCACTAGTCTCTCCTGGATCCTTCACGCGTAATATACGGGACGAACTGTCCAACTTGGTCACATACTGTCTGTGCAGGCTTGGAATGATACCATGTAATCGACCTTGACATGCAGATAGAAGAGTCAATGTCCACACAGTGACAGACGCGTCCATGAGTGCCCGAGGCGCGTCGACAATATTGTCCACGTGACCGCGTCCTGCCGCTGCCTGCCGCGACGTCGCCCGTATCTGCCTCGGCGAGCATGGGGCTCTCCTGAGTCTCAGGCTCATCCAGGGCGCGAGCACACGAACTCTGGCCTTATCAGCATGCACGCTCTCTTGCCTCCGCCCACCCTCGAACGATGCACATACGCCCACCTGCCACACAGCAGAGTGAGCAACCCACCGCCAGCAGACCCAGAGCTCGAGGACTTGAACACACCATGAAGATATACGCTGGAAAGCTCTACGATCCGTACACTCTCGAGCTGCTCCCGAGGCGGGTGATCACAACGTCGGCGGAGTCGGGCCTCGTGCTTGACGTGGAGACGTACGACGCTGCGGACGAGGCGAGCGTGGATTTCGCGGACCCGGCGGTGGTCGACCTCAGGGAGGCGACCGTGTTGCCCGGGTTCGTGGACGCGCATATACACCGTACGTCTCAGAGTCGCTTCGCACGCGTGATAGATAGTTGACTGCGTGCGTCTCCAGTCTTTCTGCATGCATACTCGGAAGTGTCCTGGGAGGACCAGGTGACGAAGCAGAGCGCACCCGAGCGGATCGTCCGCGCGACGCTGCACGCACGGCGAACCTTGATGGCAGGCTACACTGCAGTGCGGTATGTCGCATTATGGGCCCCTTCGGAGCTCCTGTTCACTCGTCGGTTGCATACAGAGACCTCGGTACGGAAGGGATGGACGACGCGGACATCCAGCTGCGCAGGCTCATGTCTGGCCCCAGCCCAATGATCCCGGGGCCACGCTATTTTTGCTCAAACCGGGCGTTGACGACCACAAACACTTACGGTCTGCTCGATTGGTCTGCTTCCGCTATAGGAAAAAGCTCACCAAATGCCTGTACAGGCCCGAAGAACAAGACGCATTTCAATCGGGACGGCGTAGAGGGTGTCACGGGAGCCGAGGTGGTCGACGGCGAAGTCGAGTGCATTAAGGCGGTAAGGAGACAAATCGGCGGAGGTGCAGACTGGATCAAGGTGCAGTGCCTCGCTGTGCTCATGCCGGCATCTTCGTCTCCTGAGTGTTGATCGCTTGTTGCAGGTCTATGCCGGTAAATATCCGATTTTATTCCTATTTTTATGTCGGCAACGGCCATTGATACATTATACCATCTTCGCGGAGATCAGACTACCGTCCACGCTCGCGGATGGTCGATGTTTCTACGCCGGCAGCGCAGGCGGACATCGCCACCTTCAACAGAAGGGAGCTAGATGCTATTGTCGCTACGGCTCACCAACTCGGCGTCAAGGTGGCCGCCCATTCGGCCCATTGGAATATGAACGGCACCGCGATAGCAAGCGGGCCTGGCTTTCACACAGTGGAACACGGCTACGACATGTTGTTCGACAGGCCGGACGCCAAACATCTGCGGGTTTACAGGGGCGACATGCCGGGCATCAAGACGTACTGGGTGCCGACCCTGGCTGCGTACTATTCCATGTCCAAGGCGTCTCCCGCGAAGTGGGAGCACTGCAAGCGTGTCTTCAAACATGCGCTGGACCGCGGAGTTGAGGACATCGCCTGCGGCGGAGACACGGGCGTGTTCAATCACGGAGAGAACGCACTGGAGATGAAGCTAATGGTGCAGCTAGGCGCGGACTGGCGCAAAGTTCTCCGGTGGGGGACGCTCAACGGTTGGCATTGTATACGGAGCATGGCGTGGGAGGGGGAGGAGGGGACCGACCGCCTGGCGGGAGTGAAATCACTTTCGGAGGACGTACGGCTGGTTGGCGACAACGAGGTCCCGTTCGGCGCGGTTGAAAGAGGGTTCGCGGCGGATATCATTGCGACGAGCGGGGACTTGGAGAAAGACTTCGAGAATGCCGTGGACAGTAGCGCTATTCTTTTTGTGATGAAGGGTGGGAGGGTGTACAAGCGAGATGGGAAAGAAGTGGTGTAGTCGCCGTTCCAAAGTGGCACCTGAAGTTGGAACGGCGATCCTCGTGCCGCAGCCAGGGTAACTGGTAGAAAATTGTACTGGACATGGTAACGGCGTAATGCATGTTCCGACATCAACCACAACAGGAATTGGACTGTCAGGGACATTGGCAGACGACCTGATCTTCTATGTCAGCGAACTTACTGTGACTTACAGTACTCACGACTGTGAGCCATCGTCTCCCGACTTCCTGGGCTCCGTTTGGAAAAACAGGTCAGCATGCCGAAACTGCATGTCCGCCTGCACCAAGCAGCTTGCGGCACTAGCCTCCCCGCCAACTGCGATGCCAATGGCTGTGCTCTGCTCCGTCGATAGTGGTGCCGCATTACGTAGAGGCAGTCAATGTAAGTTAAGACGTTAAACGTTCTACCACACTCACGCACTCACCAGGTCCGCGAGCGGTCGGAGTGGAGACACAGCCTTTCTGCGAAGGAGAGCTTCTGAACGGGAACACCCGACTAGCACATATGCCTGCAGAACTTCTCGTGTGTTCTGATATGTGAATGATACGGTGCTGCATGCAAGACGGCGGGATGTCATGGACGCACCTTCAGACTACCGTTCCCGACTGCCAGGAACTCGTCGAACACGACGAAGACTCTTACCTCATGCAGGCATTGGAGTATTCGAATGATGGGGCAATACGCGTGGTCCACCGATGCAAGAGACGGCCACGGGCCAGACCAGGATCGGTTCAGCGAAGCATTACTTCCGTAATGCGTCTTGACTTAACGGAGCATGAGACCTGTCGGCAGTCGGCAATTTCTCGAAGTCCAAGGGTACGGGTTCTCCGAGAGCAGGGTGAGAAACGGTGTCTAGCAAGACTGGCTACCAAGTTGTTGGGCCAGGGGACATGAACGCGAATTCGAATAGCGTTGGGATAGCCTGGGCGTAACTTTGAATGCACCGGACCGTCAACGCTCCCGCGTGAGGCATCTGGGCCGTCGTGAGAAAGCTGACTCAGCAACAGCGCCCTCACAAAATCTTCGCGAGCGCGCCTTTCGTCCCGTCTTCTCTTCCCCGACTGCTTCATACAGCATCCCGTCTCCCGTTGTATTCACATCTCCAACATGGCTCATCAATGCAATTGCGAAGACTTTACGCGACTATGCCGCCCGCGGCCCGGTGAACTCACGAGCCCATCTCCAATACTACGATGACGCCGGACTCTCGCGTCTGCCAAGTCAACCTACCAGCGACAGCGCAATTCTGACGAACACACCCTGAGCACGATGCCTCATGCGTCATATTCCCTGTCTGTTCGCCGCCGTTCATCGGCTACCGTCGGCTACCGTAAGCCAGGCGTTTGGCCACGTCTCCACGCACCGTCTATCGCACGCCAGCACGCATGCTTCGCGCCGCTCAAGACCCCACGTACCAAGTCAAGGCCCTTCACACTTCTCTATGTGATGTGCCTGTTACGGTCGTGGAAGATGGACGCGGTTCGGCTCTTCTGCCACTCGGCTTCGTCATGAAGTCGCATGGACCACAGAAGTCGGATTCGCCTCGTCTCAGTAGAGTTGAGCTCAGCTCCTGCCCTCTTGGCCTTTCTTCTTGCTGAGCTCGTAGTTTTGGGACATACATTCTCGGTGAGCCACTGCGTTCTTTGCATTGTATAGGCACATGACGTGTGCAGACAATCTTCGTAGCGACTCCTGTTTGCTTGTATTGAGACTGTGAACCTGATCCCAAATGAAATTCCTTGAACTCATATCGTGATGTTCTCGGCATATCCGAGTGCCCTTCGCCATGTTCTTTTTATGTCTTGGGGTTGTTCCACATGCTCTACGGTCCATCGCAAATTGCACGACGTCAACATTAGGGCGGCCGGCCGGATTACCCCAAGCATACGGCGAGTGACTAGACCGTCGACGAGTGTCGGTCGCCCCAGTCCTGCGCTCCCTTCGTCGGCCCATTCCGACTGAGAGTAAATGTCTATGTAATACCAAAGTATCACTGCTCGCTATTAACGACGATCTCTCTTCAAATTGAAGACCAGCGCCATTCAAGCTGACTCTAATCTGGTTTGATTCGTCGTCTGGTGCGTTGTCCCCGACTCACTATGCTCAGCGCACTCATCGCACTGTAGTGCGCTGCAACCTCCTGAACAATTCGCATGCCACCCATGGCTCCTGGCACGTTCATTCTTAGCGTTGTATCAGCCCCCGATTGTACTGGAACAAGAGCACAGGTGGACAGTAACGGAGACATCCAGATGACTTGAAGGTGCATTGCCAGCGCCGAACAGAGGGCCTTCAATGCTCGTATGACGAGACTCACTAGGAAGATCGTACCAGACGACTGCGGCGTAAATCAACGCTTCTTCGACGCACGGATCATGAAGCAGAACCTCTTTTCGAATGGTTTGTACGGCCAGGACGTAGCCACACGGTGCCAGTGGCGCGCGGGTCAACTGAGCAGCACGCCATAACATCCTTAATGCACACTCATGTACGTACAGCAAGATTGGCATTGGGTCGTAGTTGAAGCTGCTGCTCCTCTTTTGCGATCACGAGCAGCGAGCCTGTCACTGCGTTCAGAAACGCAATTGTGGAACACTGGCGGACGGCTGCACTGTCATAACCAAATGACAAACGAGCTACGTGACCAACCCCAGATATACACGCGAATGTCTGGTAGATCACAGAGGCAAGCGTTACAGGCTACCCGTACTGTCGAAAAAGTGAAGGCGAACGACGAGAGCCATAGAAGGAATAGAGAATGAGGCAGACGTTCTTGACGGCAGAGGTGTGCGAAGTCTCGAACGGTGAGTGGTGTTCGCACTCCTCTACAGCCGTTTTCACATACTGATCAGCCTCCCCTCTCTACGCGAGGTCTGCACAGCGGTGTCGTACCCCTAGAATGACACGGGCAGCCGGCCGTGAACGGTTGAACAGAACCGACAGTCACCGGAGCGGCATGGATTGCAGTCGTTGGCACGAAGTAGCCGTGCCGCGTTACTATAAAAGGACACTTGAAACACTGCTAGTCGGTAGTAATATGAGAAGTGAGATACAACCAAATCGACAGACAACGCACCAGCTACGGGCAAGTTACTTCGTCTGCGATGTATGCAGAGTGGTTCGAGAGCATACGATAAGTGGCTTATCGGAGGCCCGGGACTCACACCAGCCTGTTGCGGTGTAACACTCGTCACATTGTGGACGCTCCCATGTCACGGTGCTGCGCCTGCGCTAAGATAGGGCTCACGCAAAGGCATCCAATGTGACAGCCTGTGACAGGAGCGTTACAGGTACGGATAACCTCCGCCACAGGGGGTTATCCAGGCGCCCGGGGTGGCCAGATTCGGTCGGGGATCGACTGTGCATTATGGGCTAGGTGTACAGATATCTGCATACCAGTAAGGTCTACAACGGTGTTGATACAAGAACATGTACAGTAGAATAGCTTTCCCTCGATGAGGATGAGTGGTATATATAGTACTATATCGAAGTGTCGTAGCAGTGTCCGGACTCGGAATGACTCGCCGGACTCGCTGTGTCAGGCGGCCCATCACAGTCGGAGGGCAAGGGTGAGAGAACGGGCACGGGCAAGAGAACTGGTGAAGGCAACAGAATAGGTGCAAGCAAGAGAATGGGTGCGAGCGAGTGGATAGGTGCAGGCAAGTGAACAGGTCCCAGGAGCAAGTGAGCAGTGACAGGGCGTGGACAAGTTATCAATGGGCGCGGGCGAGCAAATGGGCGCGTTGCGCGGGCAAAAAAACGGGTGCGGGCGAGCCGTATGCGTAATCGGCGGGACATTCGTGGCTCGAACCGTGGCCGCTGGCTATCACCCGAGGCCTGAGGCCTCAGCATCATCGGACACTGGCCCACGAAACGATGGTAAGCAATCCTCAAGTGTAAAATAGAATCTACAGTATGTACTCACATCCTCATTCTCATTAAACTCTGCTACCCGCTCGCATTCACTTGAAGCCATTGTCGCTTCCCCCTGGGGATGTGGGCATGGTCTCCGAGGACCGAGGTTCTGAGTTACCGAGGCGACCTTTCGGCATTATGGTGGGTGCAGCGAGTCATAACGCATCATAAGCGTCGCGTCAGGTCGCGTCGCGCGTTGCATTGCAAGATCGCGTTGCGAGACGAGCCAGCGGCGGCCACCTGTCGTACACGGGCGCTAATGTCCATCAATCCCATTACTCGCTTTCCTAGTACGGTATGGCCTCTGATGCACGGACGAGAAAGCTAATGCAATTCGCAAACAATCCTCAATCGAAATATCCTTGGCACAGTTCCGTGATGAACACAAATCCAAACAACATTGTGCGAACTGATTTTTGCACAAAGTGAACATTGAATTGTCATTGATTCTACACTGTTCTGTCACACTTCATTACGTAACATTGGATGCTTGTGCATGAGCCCTATCTTACTAATTCTGAAGCCTGCGATGTATCATAATGGACACCCTGTAATGCCAACACGAATGTCAAAGACCCAGGGTCAATAATACAGATGTTGTTGTTGACTATCCACAGATGTATTCGGTGAGCACATTGAACGAGCGTTGTACATGATCGCAAGCAGGCCGCGAGCTCGATGATCGAGGCACATTGACCACATAGGCGTACTCCGAGGCCAAAGTTCTTTGCTATTGCAAGGAGTCAGCGAAGTTAAGTAGTGATCTCAAGTCAGGAATCGCCAGGAAATGCATATATTCATACGTAGCGGATTACACATACCAATTCAGTGTCGCTTGAGTACTACCTTGTACAAAAGTGTCACGAGTAGTACACACCTGAGACTTCTCTTCGTCAAGGCTGGAGCCACTCGGCGTAGGTTTCTTCGCAACATCTTCTCTCATCGACAGCCTTTTGCTCTCCGTTGGAGTTAGATATAGATAGGCATGCGTGTACATGCATCAAGTGTTTTTTTTTTGTAAAGCAACGCAAAGCGATAATCCTCGTACAAAACGTGAACCCACAGGCTCATGGATTCCCTGGGTCCAAGCCATCCGCGTCAGACCGAAGATTCGGAACATCGCGTTCTGCAAGCCAAGCGTCAGAGTAATTAGTGGTTGGATCCGGCTACAGACGCACCATCGAACTCTACGCTGCAATTATATCGGACCGACCGAAGATATGCAGCGATCCGTTCTCCCTGGATCGGATCAAGCACTCTCGCAACTCGCGCGGGACCTTGGCCTTCCAACCGCCACCAGTGTAACTCATGATGTGTTTCGACCGCGGTGTGCTCTGGATCGAGGAAGTCGTATCTCCAAGGAGACTCTCCTTTGGGACTGATGTCCAGGGAGACATAACGGAGTGACGTAGAAATCCTTCCGATAGAAGTCCCAAGGATATGTATGAGTGCCTGTGGGTAGGAGTGCACGTTCAAGTGATTGGATAGGGCATCAGGAAAACCCCTTTTCCGGAATTCGCACCAATATGTATAATGTTCGCGGAATACGAGGAATCGTAGTAACGTGAAAGCATTCTCACTCAGTTACCAATGTTAGATTGAACAGGCTTGAACAGCATACGAATTCAGTAACAGAGTCTCTACGACAGTAATTTGCAGTAACTATGGGGGTCCTGAATGTAATTGAGATAGAGACTATGCTGTACATATCGTTCTACCAGTCACTCGCGTAATCATGTAGCACACGTCCAGATATCGTTTCATTAAATGCTCACTACTGCTAAGTTACATCACAGTTACGTGACTACGATTTGAGTACATGGGCCGTGCGCAGGTGAGTGGCACGCTCATGTCCGAGAGCTACACTGCGCAAACGGGGATGTACTATCTACATTTGCTATGCTGCTACGCAAAGTGGATGGTACAGCACTGGGAATGGACTCCCACCCTCGCCGCCCTCACCGTCGAAGTCTGCCGAGGGGTGGAACTAGCCCGGCGCTCTGGACGTTTGCCTTCAAGTTGTGTGCTCGCCATTGCCGTGCGAGCTGGGCTTTCTGGGTATGTTGTGCACGTTGTATAATCTCAGGGCTGACTTGAGGACTGGATGGTGGCGCAGGCTTGAGGACTTGAAAGCAACACAGCTCGACCCGTCGAGCGGAAATCCGTGCGTGAGAGAGGCGGAGGGAAAGGGCCACCGTGTTCACTGGGAGCAGGAGCGGAGGCTCGTGATGCGGGCGGCGGGCGCATGGGACGCGCCTGCGGGTCGAGACAAGGGGGCCCGTTGCAGTCGAGCAGAGCCATCGCAGTCAATTGAGCGTCGGCGCGTGTTAGACGAGTGACGGGGGCGCAGCGCAGGCACAGGTGCAGGGCCGCGAGACGAGGGCTAGTCGATGCTGGGCCGGCGTGCAGGCAGGAGCGCGTCGGCGGAGGGGACGCGCACGCGATGCGCACACAGGGAAGGAGGTGGCCCTGAACCAAGTAGACAGTGAGCAAGAAGATGGCGGGCGAGCAGGTGGGCGAGTATATGGGCAGGAAAGCGAGTGTATGAGATATCGAGTGGCTGGGCGGACGGGCGAGCATTTAAAGCAGGCGAGAATCAATGAGAAGGACTCACCGGTGCCTTATGCACTCTCCTTCACCCATCTCGGCAGCTTATCCTTTGTCCGAGGACGTCGACATAGTGGACCGCGCTACGCTGCGTCCACTGGCGCGTCTCACCGGCCTGCAGCGCTTCGAGCCTTCGACGTCCAGGTTGCCGTGACTGACACGGGCTTGAAGCTTGAAGCCTCGCGGATCGCGTCGACCAACGCCCGTCTGTTGTTGCGCTGCACGCAGGCACAGGCGGGGCGATCCTTGTTCGTCGCATCGGCGGGGGTCGGGCGACTAGAGGACACGTACGTGGCGCGGCTGGTTGGTGTTCACGCGGCTCTGGCGGCTTGAGGCTTGAATGGCGGTGCGACTTGACGCGGACGCATTGAGTGGCCGCCCGGATATGAGAGGACGGGAGAGGAGGACTTCGAACAGCTACAAGGAGGTTGCCAGTAAGGAAAGATGGACTTCGCGACTCGCTCGGCCCGCATCGGCAATTTCCGAAACAGGCGCTTACTCGTAGTCACCCCCTCTTTTCCTGCTGCCTTGTCACAGTCGTCGTGCTCGTCGCTCTTCGCCCGCCGCTGAACGTTGAACGTTGACGTTGAACGTTGAACACCTGCATGCCGTCGGCTGCTTAACCCCTTCGCGCTATCCAATCTCTGCGGACAGCTCCCGCTCCCACTTCAATCCGATGCCCTCCGTTGGCCACCCGCGACGACTTTGTCCCTCCGCTGGATCAGTTCACCACTACTACCTGCCACAAAGCCTCGCAACACATCTCCATCGCGTCGTATGATCCGCCGACATCCATGCATGTAGTCATCCGCTACTTGTGAGTGTTTTACTTCATGCTCCGCGAACTGTTCACCTTACACACCTGCCTCTGTGACGTGTATTCTCTCTCCACAGTGACACGGTCTACCATTCCTATGAGGGCCATGATACAACGCAACATGCTGCCTTCGGTAAGCCTGCGCGCCTCGCGATTACGCTTCGCATCCACGAGAAGTCCTCTGACAAGGGTTTAGACTTCATTGAGTGCGGTCGATGGACCTTCTGGCTGCTTTGTGGGGGTATGTGTCCGGGGATATTGTGCACCTTCGCCTGCGCTCACACGACTCTCAATTAGGCACTCGTTCACTGGCATACAGCGGACAAGTCAATGTCCGTACTGTGTCCCATCTTCCTTTGCGCGACAAGGACGTCATGTGGAGCGGGCGGCGATGTTGCAATTCGTACACGGGCACACTAATGATCGAACGGCGGGCTGCCACCAAGGCAGCTGTGTAGGGTAGGTGGCATGACACGGGCGGGATGGTTGATGCCGCGACAGCCTGAGGGGGCGGTGGATGTGAGCAGCGGCGCAACACGAGTGGATGCAGTGACACGACAAGTACGTGATCTTCACAACTGTAACGCGTGATGTTTCATAACCTCGCTCCACTGTTGTGTCTTAGCTAATGGCCTTCATTCAGTACTGGCCATAGTATACCCACCGTCGGCGTCAGGCGAGCAGGATGATTTTGACTGGAGCCAGATACTGGATGACTCGGAGTAGCTAGCTGTATAGTCTGGCCTGTTAATACTAGAGCTTCGTACTCTTTGTCAGCTCGTAATCGCTCTTTATGGACTACCTAGTACAGTACTTCACATCAATCTATTAATGTTCCTAAAATGCTTGGTGTGATGCACGGCTAGCACGACTCCAAGGAACGAGTAATAATGCACGCAATTCCTCAGATTGTATCGCAGAATACAAGACAGATACATGTAATGAGTTCTCATTCTCGTTCCATTGTCTTGCATGCCCACAAGGGGGTAGCGAATTCCCCGGAATATATGGAACAGTCGAATGGTGATTATTACTAGACATTCTGTATACTACTTCGACAATTCGGCGCATTCTAAAATGGGGCTTTTCCCGATGGAAGTCCACGAGAGTCGGAGGGCGGATGTCGAATCAAGGTAAGACGCAAGGGTGACGAGAACATCGTCGTTCAAGTCGAGAAGACTTGCTGGAATGCCAGCCATGCTACAACAGCATGAACAGATGAGTAATGCACAAATGAGGAGTGTAGGCTTGCGTACAATACTGAAGTTTGTCGGCTGCGGAGATCGGCGATGCACCTGCCAGTGCAGAGTAGTGGTTGAGAATGAACGAGAGATCGAAAATAGCAACAGGAGATAACAACGCACGGAGCCTTATAAGCCATAGGTCCGCCGACCTGATCGGTTCGCGGCGAGAGCGCTTCAACCGCTATGACCGGGACCCGGCAGTGCGCGACATGGCACTGGCAGTTGAGAAGTGCGATTGACAGATATGACACTGCCCTTAGATGTGACGCGGTTTATTTGTAGACTGCAGGCTGTGCGACGACATGCAATCGACTGGGAAAGGTCGTCAAAGCAGATGCTAGTGACGGCGAGGCTGGGTGCTCTCCGATGAACACTTCAAGGCGAAGAGAGGTCATGAGTCCGGGCTATTTGAAATTGAAATCTTGGGCATAGGGCGCATAGAAAGAGACATGATAGCTTGTTACAGACGCACCGCTGATGTTCGCCCAATTCGACAGGATGGACATGAGTCGCATGACGGTAGACTCGCAAGCCAGTCCTTAGAGGCGCTTGTCCCCTTTTGTGCACTCCTCTAATTTCGCCAGAACGAGCTGGGAACGAGCCTAGCATGACGGATGAACACAATGGAGCGGGCGTTGAGTAGCACGCGGCCGACGCCTTCCTGTTTAGGGCACCCGCGGGGTCATGATGACTAATACAACGGCTCGCAAGGGCTCCCGCCACCTCCTGCTGCTCATTAAGCTTACCCCGCAGTCGTGTCTCCTCACTTAGTCGGCCACTGTCGCGCCCGCCAACACTGCTGCTGTCTCGCCATGGCAGAACCGTTTTCACACGCGTACCCGGCCTCGAAGCTGGGTGAGTACACGGTCGTCGAGGAGATTGCGGAGGGGACGTTTGGGAAGGTCAAAAGTGAGTACCGCTCGAGTGTCATCCCCGACGTTAAGACTGAATAGATGGTACTAGTGGCTGTGCATACCATCACCGGGCACAAGGTTGCTATGAAGTATATCTCTAAGCAGGTCATTGCGGCGACCAAGACCAAGAATCGCGTCCAGCGCGAGGTCGAGTACATGAGGATGCTTCGGCATCCACACATTATCAAGCTGTAAGTCACTAGCCCAATTCAATGTGACAGGGACAATGGAAGCGTTGTCATCCTTTGCGCAAGGCCATCGGGTGGCGCAGACGTCGGAATTTTAGTGTGGGGATCGAGAGGGTCGAAGATGTGAGGCGCGAAGGTCACCGGTGTGCGACCGCAGCATACCCGTCGGTCTCTCTATTGATACCTGAAGTCCCTGGCTCCATTGTCCAGGTTGCTTGTCTGACATCGGCACGTTCACCTTCGGTTCGCTTCACACCTCGTCTCTTGAACGCGTATTCGCATTCATGTACTAGATCTCGTTGCTGACGCACCTCACATGGTAGATACGAGGTCATCTCAACGGCCACCGACATCATCATCGTTCTCGAGTACGCCGGCGGCGAGCTCTTCAACTACATCGTCGAGCACGGGCGGATGCCCGAATCCAAAGCGCGGCGCTTCTTCCAGCAGATCATCTCCGGCATCGAGTACTCGCACCGGCTAAAGATTGTTCACCGCGACCTCAAGCCCGAGAACGTGCTGCTGGACGCGGACCAGAACGTCAAGATCGCCGACTTCGGGCTGTCGAACGAGATCAAGGACGGCGACTTCCTCAAGACGAGCTGCGGGAGCCCGAACTACGCTGCGCCCGAGGTCATCCGCGGAGGCTTGTATACGGGGCCTGAGATCGACGTGTGGAGCTGCGGTGTGATTCTGTATGTCATGCTTTGCGGACGGCTACCATTCGAGGACGAGGACGTGCAGTCGTTGTTCACCAAAATCAGCCGTGAGTGGTATCCATCCTTGGTATCCTATTTGCTGTACTGACGTTTGTTCTATGCAGAGGGTGTCTACACCATGCCCCACTACTTATCCCCCGACGCACAGGATCTCATCTCGCGGATGCTCGCAGTCGATCCTGTCAAGCGGATCACCGTCCCCGAGATCCTCCAACATCCTTTCTTCACAACCGACCTCCCACGCTACCTCCAGCCCCTCCCTCCGAAGCCGACTGTCCTGCCGACACTGGCGTCCCTCGTCACTCCGCCGTCAAAGGCATATGACTTTGAAATCATCGATGGTCTCGGGAGGATTGAAGAGGATGTTGTAGATGAACTCACGACAAGGATGGAGGGTGTAGATAAGGAGGATGTGTGGGAGTCGCTGAGGAGGGACGACGGCCCGCAAGGCAATGCGGTGAAGGTCGCATACATGCTGCTGAGGGATAAAAGAAGACTCGGAAGAGATCGTGAGCCTATCTGTCAGTATTCCACGGACGGCATCTGATGGGCTTCGGTGCAGTAGCTGAGTTCGAGGAGCAGGAGAGGGACGCACAATTGGTTGCCATGGACGTAAGATATTACTGCTCAGCCGAACTAATCTTACGGCACACTGACGATTATACTCAGCCACGAAACTTGCTGTCACCAAACGCGCTCTCGCCCGGCCCGGCCGATCTCGAAGAAAACCCATTTGAGAACGAATTCGGTGGCTACGACGAAGACGATTTAGATGACGGACTCGACTTCTCTACACCGCAAGAAGCAGAGGTTAACAACTTTGCCGTGCTCAACTCTTCGCTGCCCGATCAGCTTCCCGAACAACACCACCTCGCATCCTACGCTTCCGCCAAGCGGCAGCCCATCAAGGAGAAGAAGCAGCATCGGACGAAGTGGCACTTCGGCATCCGAAGCAGGAGCCCGCCAATGGAGGTGATGCTCGAGATCTACCGGACGCTGAAGACCCTCGGGATGGAGTGGAAGTCAAAGAAGGACCTCGGCGGGCTCGGCGGGGTGCGGCGGGGCGCGCAGAAAGCGCACATCGAGCGAAATAGAGAGCTGGACTCGCCGCACTACGTCGATCTGCGTGCGGCGTCGTCGATATACTTCATCGAGACTCGGGCGAGAGTCCAGGACGTTGTGGTACGTGTCGCATTCATTTCCCGGCGGGCCGGGCGCTGTTCGGCTCGTGTGTGGCGTGCGTACGGGCTTGCTGACGTTGATACTTTGTGGCGTGGCGTTACAGGTCTTGATGAATCTCCAGCTGTATATGGTCGACTCAATCAATTACCTTGTCGACTTCCACCACAAGAAGATGTACACGGCGTCGAACGAGCCCGGCGCGGGCAAGTTCGACATGGCGCATCCGGACCTGACCCTGAGCGACACGGCGTCGCTCGAGTCCAGTCGCTCCCTGAAGGAGATCAACATCAAGGAGGACGAAGTCGTCTCGCCGTTCGTGTTTATGGACGTCGCGTGTCGGCTGATTCTAGAGCTCGCGGGCGGGGGCGAGTAGGTTCTCTTGGGTACTGGAAGATGGATCATAGTGCGCGTGTTTGCTTTCGATGTCGTTTGTGCTATGCATGTGCTGCTCATTCTTGGTTACCCCACATTGTAGCTCTCTGGTTTGGTGGTTGGGATGTATGAGTACGGCAGAGAAGTCATCACTAGCAATGTACAATGTCACTAATGCGACAGCGTTGACCCCACGTGAATGTGTTCTGTGCGGTGTGCATCGATAGTGATCTGGAGAGATACCACTTCACTGCTGTTTCTGTTTCAATGCGTCTAATGCGTTCCATTCACATTGACTAATTTGATCTGCGCCGAAACATTCTTAGCTCGCTATCAGTAGGTCTGGGCAATATATCATACGTCCGTCCTCGTATGGGACGTGCGACGAGCGCAGGTGAGTAGCCTGATGTTTTGTGAATTGATCCAGTTACGGATATGCGCTGCACTAATCCGAGCTACATCACTAGGTCTTCACATGGCAATATGGCTGGGTGTGACAGCCATCACACGGACTGGCTTCCTGACTCTTCTGCGAGCCCGTTCACGCTGCACGATGTCCCAGAACAGAAGTCGTGCGAGCTCGTCCTTCAAACGGTAGGTGCAGATCAATCCTCTGGGGGCTTCCATGTTCTGACGTAATTCTGTTTCGTTTTTCTGGTGCTTCACGTACGGGGCGTCGAGAGACGTGCGCCTCAGTCTGGCCTTCTCGTTGAGGGGCAGTCGACGGGAACACCGCCCTCGCCGCCACGACGCCTTCGGCGTCGACGACGCGGCCCCGCAGGGCAGCTCGCCACTCCACGTGAGCCGGTGGTGCACAATTTGGCCGCATTCAGGCAACTGTCAGTCTGCGTCGCGCGGTGTCTGGCAGGTGTCAGGCCCGCCGCGCTGCCCCGCCGCCGTCTGCGCGTCCTGATGAACGTACCTCGCACGCCTTGAATAAGTGAAGGCTGCATGTATGTACGGCACGAGTGCGCCCAAGCGTGCAGGATGCGAACAACGGACGCGGCCGGCGGGGCTTGCCAGTGCGCCACAAAGGCGCGTCTTGGCGTGCGCATGGAAGGGATCCGCGTCTTCGTCGTTCGCGGGGTGACAACGCAGGAGGGCTTCGATGATAGACGCGTGGCGGTCTAAGGTGGCGCCTCCCCGATCCGTCACACATCTGGGTCCGTCCACGTCCGTCTATGGCGAAGCAGCTGCCATAGACGGGTCATCCAGGTTCGTCCCCATGTCGCGACCAGCCACAGCTTGTCATCCCGCCACCCGCCACTTATAAACCTGCGCCGTGTTCAACTCGACCCATCCGCCCCTTCCTTCTTCATCTCTCTCCCCCATCATCCATCACCCTCTCGCCGACATGGACCAGCCTGCCGCCGCCAGGAACTTCGATCCTTTCTACGACATGCCGCTCCCTACCCGCGGTGACCCTGGTCGCGGCATCTACGCCTCCATCTGGGCTCCTCAGCCGCAGCCCTCCGAAACCGCCTGGTCGAAGGCCATCGACTCGTTCACCCGTGTCGACGGCGACGGCCACCCCGTTCGTCCGGACCCTCGTCGGACGAGCTCATTCCCCAGCACCTGCGAGGACTTGTTCGGACCTCCTGGTTCGGACGCTCGCACGCGTAAAAACGTCGGAGCCATAGGCGACGGCCGCAAGAAAGGGTCTCCGACTCTGGAACAAGTCGTAAGCGTCCCAAACCACGCATATATGCGCGCATATAGTCAGTTCTGACGACTTGAGCAGCATGTCGAACAGCTTTTCCGTACCTTGAACCTCAACTCGCCCGCTCCCGGTCCTACACTAGTCACCTCCTTCGGGGAGACTCAGCAGTCGTCGCAGGCGTCCCCTGATCTATCTCCCATTTCCAATACTGCTCTTCTTACCCCGTCTGATTCTCCTGCTACGAAAACGTTCGATGTCAAGGCGGACGGCAGCCAGTTCGGTCTCGGTGTCTTCAACGGTTATCAGGGTGATCGTCTCTTTGAGACGGGGCCGCCGCCGAGGCAGAACGAAATATATAGGGAGCCTCAGGTCTTGCCTAGGACTAGCTTCGCGCCCGCGCATCAGCGGGACGCGAGCGCGTTCCCTTTCCTCGAGCCTCTCCCAGAAGTCCCTTCGCCGATCCGTTCTTCTCAGTCCTTCCTGCAGGGTGCCTATCCTCAGTCTACGCATCACCGCCTCGAGTCGGCTCAGGCTCAGCAGCAGCCATGGTCTCAGCAGCCTCGTCTACGCGCGGCGTCTGGATGGGTGCAAACGGAGGACAGGTCGATGGTCGATTTTGCTGCGGCTAGCTTCGCCGCGCCTGAATCGACCCTTCGTTCGTCTCAGTCGAGCCATGGTAGTAGCAAGTCCCATGCTCATGAAGTACGCCTTTGTCGTATATTTGGATGATTCCCTCGCGCTGACGTTGTCTCGCCACAGCCCATCAACTTCTTGTCCTTGCTTCATCCGTCCTCTTCGCCACCTTACCATCTCTTTGTTGATCGCATCATCAAGTCGTCGGACCAACAAGCTTCCATCTTCCTTCAGCAGAAGCTCAAGGTCGCTGACGCCCCTGAACGAGCCAAGATTGTGGACGCCATATGTTCCAAGGGCTTTGAGATGATGGCTCACCGGTAAGACGCCCGCATATATGCTAAGCGGTCGTACTAACAACTTTGCGACATCAGGTTCGGGAATTGGGCCGTCCAGAGGTGCTTGGAGGCGACTGCTCCACCCGATGAGCGCCGTCAGATTGTTGCTTGTATGAGGTACGCCGGCTCCCTTGATCCCCGCTGCAGATGACTGACCATTTGCCCAGGGGCCGTGTCGTCGAACTGGCGACCAATTGCTACGGTTGTCATGTCCTGCAGAAGGCCCTGGACTGCGAAGAGGACGTCAGACTGCTCATCGTCTCTGAGCTGCTCCTCGGTGACCCCGCTCAGACGCTAGTGAACAAGCATGCATCTCATGTTTGGAGCAAGGTGCGTGCATAGCGTTTGCATGTAACACGTAGACTGACATATACCCATAGATCATGGAGCTGACATGGACGCCTCCGGCTCCTCCGATCTTTGCGTAGTATGTGAATCTTATCCATATGTGCGTGATGTTCGCTGACATCGATCTTCCCTCAGCGTTAACAGGTCTCTCAAGGGAAGATGGGCGGCCCTCGCGTGCCATGAGACTGGCTCCCTCGTCGTCCAGGTAGGGTATTTCCCACGTACCGTCTTGAAAAGTAATGAATGTTGTCGTAGCATGCCTTTGAGAATCTCGAGGAGGCCGCAAAGGATGGCATTGTAGACGAACTGCTCAATCAGGGCTCCGCGATATTCGCAGAGGTCACGAAGAGTCAATGGGGATCGTATTGCGTTCAACACAGTGAGTTTGACCATGTCCTTCCAATCCTGCGCTTATACGCGGCCAGTACTTGAGCACGGATCGAAGAAGCACAAGGACATGGCCCTTGATCATCTTTTGACTGGTCTTCTTGAATATGCAACAAACGAACAGGGTGTGAAGTCCGTCACGAAGGCTCTCAAAGAGGGCGGAAAGGAGACTCTGGATAAGATCATTAAGCGCATGTGCGAGGCGGCCAAGGGGTGAGCACACATCCTACTGAAGATCTGATGCATTCATGAACATTCGTCTCTGCCGCAGCGGACGCCGAGCCATAATTGTCGACTTGGCACTGTCGGTCACTGGAAGCCAGCTGATCGCGAGCGTGTTGCCCAACGTACGTGCGCTCACAGAAAGGGCATGGCGTAAGCTGACGAGAAGGCGACAGGCGGATAAAGACCAGCGCGCCCTGCTCTATGAGTCAATTCGTGGGCATATTGTCACACTTCGTGGCTGCAAGACTGGTTCTAAGGTCATCTGGCTCTTCGATCGCATGGTCAGTCCGGTTCGCGTGATCATTAAAATTCATGCTGACGATTAATGGCAGCGCGCATATTATGGCTATTGAGGTCGACGGTCGTTAGAGCCTGTCTTCGTACCGCCCAGTTCGCATCTGCAGCAATCTCTGACTCGTGCCGACACCGACATGTCCCAAAGCCTTGAAAACCCGGAAAACATATCGATCTCAGTACAGCATCATACGACTCAACAAGCATATCTCGCATCATCAAGCATCGTATCGTATACGACTCGTCATCCAAGTTCAATGCAGGACAACGCCTCATGTTATGCGATCATCTCATTGTCGTCTCCGTACCTAGCACCAACAAAACGTCTACGCCCGCATACCGCTTCACGAATGGACTTCATAGCACTCGCATCATCTCTCTTCATCGCATTTACCAAGCAGTGTTTCTTTATTGCTCGTTTTATTCAGCCAGATGATCCTCGTCTGTCTCGCGTCATGCGGTATTTATACTGTCGAAAACCCACTACTTATGCCACCGCCATCACCTTCACCTTCGCTGCGTCTGCGTCGCAATGAACCTCTTTGTAAAATAGTAGCAAATTCGGCATGTGTCCCTTGACGTCCTGTCTTTACGAGTAGAACTGTACATATGTAGAATGCAAAGAGAAATGTCATACCTACGGCTTCTGACAGTGCAGGATCCTTGTATGCGAGGGCGAGGTACTACGTGATGGCCTGAGCGCTATGCGACTCGCTGCGCATGCTCAAATGGCGTGTCGTATACGCGACAGTTGACAATCACTCTTAACATTAATCCCACCGGTAGGTAGACTGCTAAAACGGCCATGCGCACCGCCTGTACTACCTCCCGTGTTCTTCACACGTCTGACGAATGCTGAATACCTTGGGGACCTGGGGTGATACTCGAGTGTGATGGTGCTATACGTCGCGAGATTGCGACGATGGTTCAGCGCAGATGTCGTTTGTCCGTCCGTCGGTGACGTTTAACAGCCCTCTGCTGTAGACCGTGAAACATCCTGGTTGACGCGCATCGAGGCTCACTTCGGGAGGGTAAAACATGGCACAGAAAGGCAAAGTGCATCGTATACAAGCACCACGCACCAATCAGAGGCTTCTTCTGTCCTAAGAGGTATGATCCTCCGCGATGGCGCCGAGATGATCGTGTCGTCAGTCTCGAGCCTTCGTCATTCGCCGGTAATAAGTACCATCGGTCTCGACTGGCACGCACGAGACGCGCAGATCCCCGTTCTGCACTGAGGCTTATCTTCGGACTCTTCCACCGCGGCCACGTCCAGGATCTTCGAGGGATCTACGAGATTGATAGAAGAGGACCTCCGCATGTGAGCTACAAACATAGACGATCGGCGGCTCGGAGGTTGTCCCGGCGGAATAGACGTGGTATGTTTATTTCTGCGTCCGCTAAGAAGCGTTGGTCGAGCGTAATGGGTGCAGGATACCGGACCGAATTTATGGAAGGGCGAATACATGAGGCAGAGATTGGGCAGAGATCGTCGTGTTCCAAGATGTCGTGGTTTTCACCTGGATATAGTTACTGAGGGCCGAGCCTGATACGCAGTGGTTGGCTGAACGCGGCGGGACATCGTTGCGTCGTCTTTGACGCGTAAGCGCAGGTCGTGTGAATCAATCGACGACTAGATTGTAGCGATGCAGAAATGCGTCAGGGAGTGGAAATTGTGGTACGTGGCGACTGGCCAAAGGAACCCGAATGACGGACTGTCAGAGAATCAATGCGTGTCGGTTACACGCGACGTCCGCGTCGAAGTCATGCATATCTCCTCTTCGCCTTGCTTAACGCATCAGCCTAGCATACACATATAATGGATCATTAGCAAACGACGAGAATAGTGTGAATCGGCGACTCGGGCGTGACCCTGTTATACCACGTTGCCGTGATCCTCGAAGAGGTCCGAGCTTGCAACGCCAAGGATGGTCAACAGCCGATGGTATTCAGACTAGCCTATACTCTTAGAAGACAGATAATGCGTTTGCTTTTGCGGTGAAATGAATTGTGGCGAAGGGACATGAACGTAGTCTGCTAGTGAGCCATTGACAGACGTTCAGTATAAAATCCAAATATGGTTATCTCGGAAGATGCCGCAGTGTGTCACGTGCGCATTATGCACGTACTTAGGTGCGCAACGCGGCGTCCGCCTCTTCTTCAACGCACCTTCAGTCAAATTGCAGACCTCGCCTCAGATCCTACGGCTGGTCTGTGCCATTACAGGGCGGATAAGAACTGGACGTCTTAGTGCTCGACTTTGTCAAGCTTCTTCTTCATGCTACTCGGAGGGGCAGAGCCGGTGGTTCACACACACATACACACGCCGGGAGGATTCGTCTGTTACTGAACTGTTGCGGAATGAAAAGGCTTTCCGTCGGTGTCCGTCTTGTACGTCTTGTACGACTTTATTTTGTAATCTGATGGACTGCTTCACGTCGGGGACGTGCTATCGAATTCTTTCAGACTGCATCTTCTTGCTCCGACAAATGTCGTATCTTCCGCGAAGCGGCGCACATTCGAAGCCGTGTTCTCAAGCACAACAGAACATGCATGACAGCGAAAGTGTCTTTCAAGCCAAGCTGTCCCCAATGCTCGTCAGAGTCGCAAGTGATGACCTAGGTGACGATTGTTACACCTCCTCTCCTCTCATCCACATGTCCACTCCCCTATCCTCCATCTGTAGCATTGGTCACCTCGTGTTCTGCTTCTACAATGTCTGCGTATCACATTTATCCTCGACGCCGCCTTGCTGAGGCTTGATGTCCTTGGGATGAAACCCTGCCTTCAGGTGCGCTCCCTCTTGTCTCACACGCCATCTTCACCGGAACCGTCGACGGGTTGTCGAAGCTCGGACTCGGCTGCGCGATCGTCCTTGACGAACCCGGTGTACACTTGCCAGCGAAAATGCCAGTAGGCTCTCCGCGTAGGCGGCATGCTGTTCGCTCGTTATCGGCGTCGAGCCGGCGTGCTGAACGTCCGCTGCTACACAATTGCCGTGCCAAAGCTGCCAATCCCGTCCTGACAACGCCCGCGTTATTGAGATTGAGCGGTGGCGACGAAGGCGCGGCAAAAGCGGATCTTGTAATTCTGCCCGTCGTCGTTGTCCCACCACTCGGCTGTCCCAGATGCGTAACTCACGACGAGGTAGAGCGCGTGGTCGGCCAACCGGTGGTCGTAGTCCAACTGAATCGTGAAGCTGCGGAGGAAAACACACATGAGAAAGCTTACGGAGGAAGACGACATCCCGCGACCTACCCGAAACGATCCCAACTCCCTTTTCCCTCACCCGCCTTTGTCTGCCCATCCATATTCTCCGCGGTTAGATCTACCGTGCATGATTTCTGGGTGGCTAGCGACGGCAGGCTTGCTAGGTTCAGGATGTGTCTACACAGAACCTCGCTGGTGGTTTGCCAGTTGTCGAGTGTGAACCGCACGGCGACGCGCTTCTCGAAGTGCAAATTCCGGACGAGGACCGTGCCACGAAGCGCAAGTGGGCGGGTGCGAGGCAGCGTTAGGGTTTCGAGGTGCACGTTCGCGTGCGGGGACGGTTGTCGGAGATCGGCCACATCTTGAGCTGTGAGCATGTGAAGTGTCGCAGCATCAGCGAACGAGTAACTTCATGGACCAGAGAAGTGTCGCACCCAGATAAGTCAGAGGTGGTCCGGCGAAGAACATCTCTAGAGACTGTCCACTTTCTCTGAGGAGCCGATGGAGCTGCTCGTACGCAGATCGTGGACCTGTACCGCGCCACATCATGAACCAGATGTCGGTAATCAGATGACGGGGAGAGGCACCAAGTGCTGAGCTTGTAAGCCAGTCAACTATGGATTCACAGGCCTCGGTGCATCCAGTATCACCTGATGGAGCGATGATTGCAAGCCGTTTCAGATGGATGCCGGGATTGGTTTCGGCAAGGGTGTTTTTGAGGTATTGAGATGCGTAGCTGGTATACGAAGCTTGCATCAATTTTACCTCGTTCAAGACGAGTTCGTCCAAGCGCGGGAATGCGTGGATGATACGTTGCAGCTGGGCGATATTGCGCATCCGGACACCATGCAAGTGCAACGACGTGAGCTGCGTGAACAGAGGGAGGGCCTGATAGAAAGATGGGTGCATGATAGCGTGCGCACGCAGTGGCTGGCGGATATCGAGTACTCGCAGAGAGGGTAGCGCGTGGGCCAAGACAAGAGGTAGGGAGTCCAGGAAGTAACTGGGCCGCACTGAAGGTTGGCGGCGCTCGATGACTAGTTCGCGCGCAGTGGAGAGCATCTGCTTGACGTGAAGCGACGTGCGTGACTGGTCCGCCAACGAGTTAAATGCCTTGCGTGACCAGAGTCGAACAGTACGATAGAGGTTCAGGACGGCACGGGGCAGCCAGGCCCAACTGACCAATGCCGCAGTAGGCAGTGACTCGAAGTCCATATGGTCAATGACGGCTTCAAAAATTTCGGTTGGAATGCGATCAGAAAGGGTTACTGGCAAGGGGCTATGAGGCTCGGGGACGTGTCCATCGTTTGCGGAGTCATCGTGTTTGGCTGAGTCTGGGAGACCCAGATGGCGCGCATGCGTTCCTCGGGGTGCGTTTGGTGTACACATTACGGCGACAGTATGCGAACGCTTACGCAGGGTAGCACGAGACAACCGTGACGGATCTGGTCAAGCGGTGAGCGACAGGAATTCTGTGGCTGAAGGACAGACCGACATGAGAAGTGGAAGCAGCTTTGACATCGACTATACTGAAGTCATCTAGCTCAGAGAGGGGTGCAAGCTGAAGTTGAGAGCGGGGAGAGATAGATACGCATCAGTTGTGCGCCCGCGAGAGTGGAGGGAGCTGCGATGGGAAACATTCAGTCGAGTAGATTACTATATGATACGGCCAGACAGTGCGTCGTGAGTACTTGAGTCACGGTCCACTCACCTTCTCTGCGCGTGGATAAGTCGGCCGATAACATCCCGCTGACATGCCACAAGTCCTTCACTGGCATAGAAGTTTGCAGACAGCTCGCAGGCGCCTTCTGTGGTTGGCGGCCTATGTGCGTCCTATCAGACACTGGGTGAATTCAGCATGTAGTATCGGTGGGATGACACGCTCGTTATCGACTCACAGCATCCCCGTGCATCTTGAATGTTACGTTCAAGTTTCGAGCATTCTAGCAAGGCATAGGAGTAACGGGGTTTAAGTTGTGTTCATTTCTGCGAGCCGTCACGGTAAGCGTTCGAGCTGGAACAGGGCGCGCCGGCGCGGCCTATTGAACACGATCCAAACACGATCACGCGATCCCTCCTCGCCGTCCAAACCGAATGAAGCGAGCATTCCTCTCGGTGGACCATATCGCACCGTGGCCGTGTGTTCATGCTTTCGGCTTTGGACGTATCCTATTGTCTGCCCTACTTAAGGTCGGCCGGAAGGCCACAGTTCAAAATCAGTGATACGGCCATGGTACGGCCGCTACCGAGGCCCGATCTGCTTACGTAAGCCACTCTGGTATGGTACGCCGGAAGGCCACAGTTCGATTTCCGTTTGAGGTGGCTGTTGCCGAGGCCCGATCAGCTTACGTAAGCTAGTCTGGCGAAAGTCTTGTTCCGATTCGTGCCTCCCCTCACTAAGTTCATGTTCCACTGAGTGCTACAGACTATTCTTGATCTGTATCGGGTTGAATTGCAGCTTTTGAATACATTGTGGGGAGTCCATATCTCAAATTTGAGCCGGAAGAGCCGGAACCTCGGTAAGCGCCGTCGGGTAACGGTCACACTTGGCGGTGGACGACGTCTTCATTGCGCACGGGGGCGATTGGGCGCAATGCTTTGAAACTTATCTGGCTTGACTCACAGAAAATGGTTGGATAACTTACATCGCTGCGGATGAAAAGAACTTAAGTGCAACCGATGTCCGCCGCCTGTCCAATTTAGGCAGGTGTGACCGTGAGTCTGGGGCGCTTACGGAGTTCCAGCACGCCGAGACGTACAATCCATACCACAGAACACCCAAAATCCAGTGGAAAGCCGATAAATGCACTCAATAATGTCTCTTAATTGTCTCAGAGTACATGGGGGATGAGCTAATCTAAGGGAGAGCACAGACGAGGCCATGCAACACTCGGCCAGAGTAGCTTACGTAAGCAGATCGAGCCTCGGTAGCGGCCGTACCATGGCCGTATCACTGATTTTGAACTGTGGCCTTCCGGCCGACCTTACGTAGCATGCGCGGTTTGATCTCATGGCAACTGCATGTCTTCATGTCACGCATCTCAATCGCGACAGGCCGTAGCTCCGGACCGTTCCTTGTTTCGACAAGAACTGGCTCAGTAATTTGGGACGGGCGAGCATGAGCCTCGGCCCTCGACGTTTCCTCGACATTTTCGCAGATTACCGTCATGGTTCCTCAACGTCTTCGCGCCCTTGGCCATGTACCACTGTTCGTTTTCTCATGGTCTTACCCCCGCTAAGCTAAGACAGGCTGAGCTTCTGATGGTCTTGCAGGAACTGTACACAACCTCCGAGGGTACACGGATGACGGAGTACTCTTGTACCGTGGGCCAATCGTCATCGTGGCCTGGAGGTTGTACCTTCACTCGATCTGCCTCCGGTATGCCTGATGCGTTCTGATGCGTACACTGCTTAGCACCTTCAAGTTTCGATCTGCGATGATTACGGTGCAAGTTAGAACATCCGTCAAACATCAGTGTTCTGCTTGATGGCGAACCCGATATGTACGATGCAGCGTTCGTGGCACTGCTATTCGAATGCGGACTGACATGTGTGCATTCGTCTGTACCTAATTCAGGGCGCGGATCGATGTGGACGGGATGCATTCGCTGCACCATGGTCTTTGTGTCCTGATGAGCCAGACGAAAAGTGCGCTCCGGTCATCTTTATCATCACCTCAGTCCATAAACAAGCTGCTTACCTCGCTTCTACTTCCCGCAGGCGTCCTACAACCTTCATCCGGTTCGATGTCGTCTACGCTTCTACAATGCGGGGTGCGAATGTGGGGCCCCGCATTCGCCCCGGGCGGGGAACGGGGGTGACAGCTTCGTCGTGCCCCCAATCTGGAGTGCCCCTGACGCTGGACTAGAGGCCTTATCCGATCACCCTCGAACGACTCAACGAACGGGGGTGTTCATGCCCCCCGCCGTCACCGACGCGCTGGCGCGTGCCGGGCGCATCAGCGCTCGGCGCAGGGCCTTCGGTGCGTCGTCCACAATCCATGATGACCTAGAGGCTCTCCGTACCGTCTCGCCCCTGCCGATAGGCCGCCTCGACCGACTCTACGTTTGTATTCAGCTATCGGGGTTCGGCCGTACAATACAAGCTCGCCTTCAATCGTCATCTCCCGGATACCGAATTCCATATGCACGTCCGCACCGGTACTCAATGCTGTACTGGACTCTGTCTGGAAGGGCCGCAGCGACAGCGCGCATGGGCGCACGCACGTTCCTACCGAGCATTCACGAAAGACTCCGCGTCCGCCTGCGCACAACGGTTGGGATAGAGATAAAGCCGCACTTCCGCGGTCATGTCCACACTCTCGTGTCGGTCTCGTGTCGCGCATGCGCAGCGTCGAGGTTCGATCGGCCGCAATGCAGAACCCAAAACGCCTCTTTGTCCTAACCACGTCCGGTTGTCTCTATCTGCCCAGTTCGGCGCCGTGCACGCGTGCCGCTCCACCTTCCAACTTCCTCGGATGCAATGCGGCCCTTGTGCAGCGGCGATCACTCGTCCGCTTCTGCATTCAGTCTAGTCTGAGTTCTGGGCAGACGTAGTGTACTCAGGTCGGCTGCACGGGCAGCGTCTCACGGGAGAGACAACAGCCTCTACGCTACGTAGGCCTACGTCTGCCTAGCATCGCCCGGTGGGAACACACGCAGCCTCGGTGCAGTCAGCAGACCGTGTCAATGACGATACGTCAAGGCCCCATGTTCATGTTCAGTTAGCTGCGCGCTGGGAACAAGCTCGATCACCACGAACGCAGTTCAATTTCATCTTCGGCGCAGGTTCTCGTATCTGCCATGTAGTTAGACTCTTCGGCATCTCTCGAGTAGTTGCTAGTGATGCACATGCCGACGCCGACGCCCTGGCGCAGTAAATGAACAGCACAACTGTATTGCAGTTCTCGAACCAATACGACGGGACGTAATGTGTACGTAAACAACGCTGGTATCAGTCCGTAAGAGGAGGGTGCGGTGCGACGAGGCCGGTGGCGGACGATGTATGAGGAGGAATGCGGGGATGGAGATGGGCCCGCGAGGCGGACGTCGTGTCTAGTGTGTGTATACGGACGTGCACGGACTGGATGACGAGACCGTTTGAGAGGTATGTACAATTGCGACAAGTCCATCCCAACGAGAAGATACGTAAACCAACTGAGTGAGCAAACCGAACCAAGAGTCAATGAGTGCAGGCATATACGTGCGGGTGAGGTGAGATCAGAGGCGTGGATCAGGGGAGAGGGAGGCAAACACGGTAAAGCTCATGTATGCACGAGAAAGTACGAACCAAGACCGGGGGCACCACGTGCCTAGTAATATACATATCGTACAAACCTGCTTCAGGCCTTCAGCGAGCGGGAACGAGTGTGAGCGGGTGACGATGGGGGAGGGAGGAGCGACACCGCTCGGCCGTGTGTTCCTCGCCCAGCGTCGTCAATAGATAAGTCGTGATGGTAGTGGAAGCGACGGCGAAGCGGGTCTGCACGCATCGAGGGCGTCGGGGTCCTTTTGGAGAGTGTCGGGATGAACCGTGAGTGGACAAAGCAATGGAGATGTCGTGTGTTGTACAGGCGACCTATGTCGAAGCAGATAGTAATAGATAGTGTATCCCGAGAGGCCTATGCGAGTCGGGATAGTGGGGGCGTTGCGCCATGAGAGAGCGGGGAGGGGTGCGGGGAGCGGCGCCAAAGCAATCAAGCCCGGGCCACAGCAGACATGCATATGTACATTTTGCACCGACCACGAGCAGGCGCGCCGACAGCCCACACTCGGAAGTCGGTTGCCCCTTTCAAGGCGTCACATGCGGATGGGAGGTCCGGCCGCGTTACGTCTTCACGCTCTGCCAGATCATCACCAACAGTGCAGTCTTCAGCGTCCGAGGAACGTAACGCCGCAGAGTCGCAGGCGTAGAGAGGCGAGCGCTGTCAGCTGACGGTGTCTGGCAGCGGATCATGGCGGTTCAGATGGATATGGGTAAGATAACTGGGAGAGATGTCGTACGAGTTGGTCGAGAAAGGAAGGAGAGGGCAACGGGGAGGGTATGCTGAGGGGGAGAAGGAACTTCGGTAGGCGACGTACGTGAGCTGGCTGTCACGTCGGCGCGTTCAGCGCATATGAGCTGCAAGCAATCGTGGACTGTATCAGCATTCCTTCCCTACGCGTACAACCATGGTAAGAAACCGAGCAGACGAAGACGAGAACGGAACGATGGTCGCGCGGGCGTACGAGGATGGCAAGCGACCGACCAAGCGTCATACCCAATAAGGCGCGCGCTCTGCGATGACGTCCGCACGAAGACTTCCCCGGAGGTACGCCTTGGCAGCTCGGGAAGCGGCGCAAGCGCATATAACGACAACGACGGACGTACGCGCACGCGCACTCTCCTTTCTCTTCGCTCCTCACACCGCACATCCGCACTTGCTACCAAGATGTCCATTCCCCAGAACGTCCACACCGACACCAAATCAAGAAAAACACCGGACAACCAGATGCTCACCTCCTACCAGGCCCGCGTCAGCCATCCCTCCCACCGCAAACCCCGGAAACCCCGCCCCGTATCCCCGTCCAAATCCTCCTGCGCCGCCCGCGCCGCTAACGCCAAACCCCGCCGTGCTAGGCATGGGCGTCGTAGCCGCACTCGGGGTCCCGCTCGGCGAGCCCGTGAAGCACCACTGTCGGATGAGCGCCGCATACGACGAGTCGAGCGGCGACGCCGCCGATGGGCTCGAGTAGCCGCTGGGGCGTGAGTTGCCGTGCGTAGGCGTTGACGAGCCGGAGCTGTTCGAAGAACCACTGCCCAGGCCACTCAGGCCGAGCGCAAGCGGCGACATGATGCTCGCAGGCGACGACGGCGGGCTGAGCAGCTGGGCGCTGTTACCCTCGACGCCGACACCCATCTCCGCGCCAAGCTCGCTCGTTCCTAGCCTGAAGTTCAGCGGCGCAAGCGAGGGTTTGGTCAATTCGGCAGACGTCGAGGTCGGGGAGGTCGCTGGAGCAGGAGAAGCGGTGGTGGCGGGCTGACCGCCGATGATGGCGAACGAAGGCTTCGGCAGCGAGGTGCGTTCCTCGCCACCCTCCTTCTCACCGGCCTGCTCACCGTCCTTCTCTTCCTCCTCGTTCTTCTCTTCGGGCGCCTGCTCCGGCACATCCGCATGCGTGCCCGCGTCGGTCGGCAAGCTCGCGCTGCGCATCCTCCCACTCCCTGGCGGAGTGATCGGCGGCGTCACCATGCTCTCCGTCCCCGGCGCGACGTAGTTGCTGAGACTCAGCTTCCGCGCGATGTAGCCCTGGACCGGGCTCGTCGGGCTCTCCTTCCCCTTCTCCCGATCCACGTTCGCTGGGGCCGACGACGGCGCGTCGAAGCTCGGGCTCGGTGGCGGGAACGGATTCGACGCACTCCGCATCATGCCCGGCGCATATACCCTCGCTCGCGCGCGCGGCAAGCTCTCCGCATCGGCCGCGCGCTGCTCACCCGTCATCGGCGTCGTCCTAAGCGTGCTTGGCGCACTGAACGTCCGCTGCTGCGCGATGGCCGTCCCGAAGCTACCTGACCCGATCGCACCGAAGCCCATGCTGCTAAAGTTGTGCGAATGCGACGACGCGGACGCGCGTCTGAAACCGATCTTGTAGTTCTGTCCGCTGTTGTTGTCCCACCACTCGCCTCCGACACCCGGGGAGTAGCGCGCAACGAGGAAGAGCGTACGGTCGGCAAGCTTGTGCTCGTAATCCTCTAACCGAATCGTAAAGCTGCAGGAGATAACGCTAATCAGCACGAGCATCAAGACGTACACATCACGACGCACCTGAAGCGATCCCAGCCGGGCCTTTCCTCATCGGCCTTCACCTGTCCACTGGCGATCCCCGCGGCTAAATCACCTAGTGTGCGGTGTTCCTGCGGGAACGGCGGCGGCAAGCTCGGGAGGCTCACGACGTGCCTACACGTCACCTCGCTCGTGGTCTGCCAGTCATCCAGGGTGAAGCGCACGGCGACGCGCTTCTCGAAGTGCATGTTCCGAACGATGACCGTGCCGCGGAGCGTCGGGGGACGCGTGCGGGGCAGCGTGAGGGTCTCGAGGTGCACGTTCGCGTACGGGGACGGACACGGGGCTGGCACGGTGCTCGTTCTCGAGGGATTCGGGTCCATCTCGTGGAGCTGCTCGTTGGCAGGGAAGGAGGGGAAGGGGAAGGAATTCGGGCCCATGCTGGAGCCCTCCGCTTCTGTTTCGGTCTCGGTGTCGTCGCCGGATGGCTTGGATACGCTGGCGGGCTTGCCGGAGCGCGAGAAGACGCGCACCGTCTCGAGGTCCTTCTCGGCGAAGTGGACGTTCTTGGGCCCCGCGGGCGTGCTCGGCGCCGACTGCGCGCGCAAGTGCTTCGATGCGGCGCGCGGAAGGTCGGCGATATTCGGAGAGGACGAGGAGGATTTGAGCGACGGCTTGAGGGGCTTGCCGTTGGAGAGGATGATCGGCGTGCTCGGCGTGCGCGGCAGTGAAAACGAGCCCGTCGCAGAGGAGGAAGCGCGCGAGTGCCCGAACGAAGGCGTAGGGATGAACGGGGACGGGAGATCCGTAGGCGAGAGGGGGGAAGACGTGGGGAAGGGTACGGAGTCGGGCGCAAGGGACTCGACGCGAGCGGAGGGTATCTCGATGCGCGCTGGGGGCTCGACGGTGGGGCTGAACTTGCCGGTGTTCATGGAGAGGCGGAGGGAGTTGGTCGGCGAGAGGGGGGAGGCATAGGAGCGCGTCACGGGCAGGGACGGGGCCCTGCCTGCGTTGTCATCGTCGTCGTCGTCGTTGTTGATGTCGATGTGGAAGACGGCGCGTTTGTGGGAGCGGGGGAGGGCGCCGAGGGAGACGAACGCGCCTGGGCCGCGCTCGTCGGAGAAATGGCCCGCAGAGCGGGTGCGACGGTGGCCACCGAGGCGGGGGCTCGCCGGGGCTGTGGTCGTGGTTGTCGTGGACGACGACGAGCTCTCAGCGGGCACGGCGTAGGGCATGGTTGTTGGAAGGCCCTGTGCGCGTGGGCTGATATGGGCGGGAGGACAGGGGAAGTGAGGAGGGCGCGGAGGAAAAGGGAGGGGGTGGGGCGGGACAGCAACTGGCTCCTCTTTGATATTCGACCTTCATATCTGCACCGACGTCATGTAGTTAGTCCATTCCCTCGGGCCACGTGTGCCCATTCCAGGCCATCCCGCCCCGCCCTGCCGAGCGCCTCCCGCCCTTCGCTGTCTGTCACCGCGCCTGCCTCGCCCACCGGCCAGGCCCAGCGACGCACTCGCCCCCGCCGATCCCCCCTGCCAGCACTTCACCTGCGCTGGGCGACTGTGGGCGCCCAGTCGTGCGCAATCGCCCTGCTCCACCTGCGCAAGCCAATAGACGGCGGCAACCCACGTTCTGCCTTCCCATCAATTTCCTATCGTGCCATCCCATTCAACTCTCCCTCCCCTTCCCGCCCTCCCAAATCCGCCGGCGCCCCTCCTGGCTAGCACGCCAGAATCTCCCGCGACCCGCATCCGCCCACCGCTGCCAGCCATTCACTGCGGTGGCCCTACGTACGTACTACGTGTCCCACTGCTCGCAGCTAACCCAGAACGCGTCCTTTTCCCACAACTGCTGCCACTTGCGGCCCAGTCAGCTCTATCTACACGCCCCCCTTCCTGAAGCTCAGCCCTTGATGTCCGATTCCCCCATCCAAACGACACTTTGGCGCACCCTCGCGATTATCGCACCGCCCTGTCATCCCAGCATCTGCGTTCTCTTCGACCACCCTTCCGTTACGTCTTACGGCCTCGCTCTATCTGCCCACCGACAGCTTCCCCCGCTGCGCCTCTTGCTCCCGCTGTATTGTCCTCCATCGATACCGCACCCTCGCCGTCCGGACTACCTCCGCCTTATCGACCCCGACGCACCCCGGGCCTTACGGACTCTGATGCGGCAACACTATTGCTGACGCTAACGCAATCCTTTACTCAACTTAGCCTTCCTCTACCCACTCTCAGCGAAGATCACGCCAAACCCACCTCCTCGCCACTAATCCCTGCACTCCCAGGCCCCTCGCTCTTAGAGGGCTTCCGCGGCGCACCTTCGATCCTTCTGCAGCCCGCGCGCACTCTGGTTCTCGAGCTCGTGTCCGTTCTGGCTCGGATGGCCCCAGGCGCCGGCGAAGAAGTCGAAGCACGCTAGGGGCAGCCACCCGCGCGAGATGGGCGATCTTCCGCGCCTCCTCGTTTGAAATCCTGTTTTGGGCCCGACCCTATCTTGATCTCCGTTCTAGCGTCCGCGCGTGCGTGGGCAGCTCCATCTTGCCTCCATCCTGCGCTGATGGGCCAATTCTGTCTGCGCTCTACGCTGCCTTCCCGGACCAGGCACGCCCATCGCTGCGGTCCCCGCCTGACATCGCTCCATCGAACGAACGCGCGCAGAACCAACCCCGGTCGCGCGTAGCTCGCGTATCTACCAACCCTCTACTATCCTGGTCAGCCTGGCAGTCACTGGGACACCGACCCTCTTCTCGATGAGTCTTCTCCGCATGCCCCCACCTCTCGCGCTCGCGTCGACCCACCAGCGCGCGAAGGACCACACGCCCCTGCCGCAGCCAAAATACGGGCTCCCGCTGGTACGTACACAGGGTAGCGACAATGGCAGCGTCTCCTCGCCGCGCCTCCTTTCATTTCGTAACGAGATCCGCCGGCCCAGTGGTGCGAGCTCCTTTTCACACTCCCGTATTTGTAGCATATGTACGCGGAACGCGTATGGTATTATACTAGACAGATGCCCCCGCTCGCTCTTCCGTAGGGCCGACGCGCGCGTTCGCGTTCGGACTCGGACTCGGACGTTTCGATCGAGCTGAGGAGGCGTCGGTTCGATCAATCTCCTTATACATACCACTCTAAGTATTTTCTCTCCGTCTGCGCACCGTGCGACGCCGCCGGATGTGTAACTCAACTTTGTCAGTAAACCTGTGCAGCAGACGCTCCCCGTATCTTTACGTCGCGCGCAATCTTCGCCCTTCGGTGTGTGGACACTGGATCTGTAAGTAAGTTACCCGCTCAGACACGTCCCATCCTCCTGTCTCGTCTCGCGCCATCCCAGTCACGATCGGACGCGCAGATGGCAAACAAGACAGCGCAGTGAAATTTTGGTAATTAAATGGTGCTGTCCACATGTGCGGCCGTCCGGTCTCGACTGCCATCGACCCCCTGCACACCTGCGATCCGAATCACTCCAATCCATCTTGCGTTCGCGGGGTGGCGTCCAATGGCAACGGAACACACGCACGCGCTCGCCGTCAATCGACAACAATTTTGTGATAGGAGTCGCCGTGGAGGACGGACTCTTCCGCCACGCCAGTCTGGGCCTCCATCGAACAATCGCCGCGTTGGACGCCGGAGCGTGGCCCTGCCACGCGCCCGAGCACGTCGCGCGAACCTCAGCTGAGACTTCTGTCGATGCTACATACGACTATAGAGCCCGCAGGAATCCATGTGTGCAGGCCCGCGAACCGCGTCATGGATCGTCACTCTGAACCGTTTTCCCGTCTGAAAGCTTGTTTTGGGTTCTACACAGAAGACAGAAAGGAGAGATGACAGAAAATTTGCTGCCAATCGATGAACACGAGCCTTGGCCATGGGGAGTACGATCCAGAACCTCCTCCTCCTAACTAGGTCCCGCGTGAAGCCCCCTCCGCCCCCAGCCCCGGCCCCGATCCCGATCTCACTTTCGATGCGGGGCGGGGTCTAACCATATCGGGCTAGCGGCCCCTGGCTTCTTCCAGATCTTCTTCGACCGACTGAATTAAGTAACCCAGCCAATTGAATTGCAAATGGCCTCGGCGCGCGCTTGTGTGGGCCCGAAAGGGGAAGGGCGCGCTCTTGGCCGTCCGGGGCGGTCTGGGGCAGGGCGCGCCGTTGGGGACGTGGACCGGGTCGTTGGCGCGCGGCCGACGCGTCGTCGCTCGACGTCCTCCGATTCTGCCAGGTGCTGCGTGGCCATGGTCACTCGCTGTGCTATGGGACCCTGCGAAGCTGGAATTCTTACGGTGAAGAGCCAAGCTACGGTGCCTCCGCCGCCGTGTGAGTGCCAACGGTCCCTTCGCACACTCCGTATCCGCCCGCTATGACTTCGGGTCCTGCGCAACGACGTTCCCGCCGCCGTAAAGCCGACTGACCACCGCGCCGAGGCCGACTGCTCGAAGGCAAGTATGAAAAGATGACACGGTCGGTTACGCCATGCTGTGTGCCGAAGCAGCTCGTCGTGTCAGTCGTATCCACCGCACGCTACTGTATTGTACCAGCGGATTCGGTGCGCAGCTAGCACGCCGAAGACGAGTTCTAGGACGGAGCGACGCACCACGGATAGCGTCGGCCCATCGTCAGCGCGCCCGCGGTGGAACTAGCGACACGTCCTGGTACGCCCTAGAGCCACTAATTGTACAGTACAGCCGGGCGCGAGGCTCGGGGCTGTTCCGACTGTGCCCGTCGAAGAAGGCGTCGACGCCGCAATCGTTGACATGCACCGGCAGAGTTTGTTTGTTTTACGGCAGCGTGTTTGAATTACAGGTGAGGCCTCCACTTCCTTGACGTGATCGAGGACTTATCTAGTGCTGCCACAGCTGTGTCTGGGGCCACTCTGGTGCCCATGCATGCCTGGCTGCTCCAGGTGGGTCCGTTTGTTCGTTCCTAGTGTCATGGTGCATTGGCAAGCAACTCCATGGAGTCGGTTTGGACTCTAACCTCGTGGCGTGAATAGGATGTGTCAAACGGCGCATTGGCGTGCATGGAAGGGGTAAGGCACTGGCCCATTTTCATAATACACTATCAAAATGCTGATCAGCCTTCCCCACCTCGGAGTGCAGACCTCCAAAGTCCGGGCGCATGGCAGTGTCGAAGGTGGTGTCTTTTGCATAATACGCTATATCAGAGCCTCAATCCTGTCAACTGCAGAATATACCGTCGGTACGATTGGACGATCCATGTCGGTAGCGCGCGTTCAGTGCACAAGGCAACCCATTCCCTCCCGATGTCCCGTAACGCCGCACCAACCCTGCGTATTGCAGCGCGCTTTCTCTATCCTCCTGCCGACCTCGCAAATAGACGCAACAATAGGGCGTCTGCGCCGTCACAACAACGCTGAGTACACGCCCTCTCGTCCGTTGCCGCCCTACATCTGCAAACGCACCGTCTTCCGCAGCGCTGAATACACCGCTTCGACGTCCTAGAGATCGCTGTGCGCTCGCGTGGACGTCGGGGCGTTGGGTGATTGTAAATCCATCGTAGGCAGTAAATCCGGGGTAGGCACTCGGGGTAGCTAGTATCGGTGAGTGCGACGTGCGGCCCTGGGAGATATTTTGCTATGGAGCTCACCACTCGCTGTCACGTATAGGCACTGTGGCGTTGCGGATCTTCTCACTTGTTATTCGCAGAATGGAGAGACCGGACCGAACGCGAGGTCGCGATCAAGACAGTGGCCCTCGGGCGGCTAAAGGGTCGGTACGATGTGCACAAGCCCAGCACAAGCCTCTCCGTCGGTACCTTTCTGGTGCGTCCTACCCCGTATGCACTCTCCTATCGTGTTCATTGCTTTCAGGGCGCATATGGAGGTTGGTCATGCATGCCCGACGCACTGCTCGTCGATGGACCACACCGGCGCACTGTCGCGATGACTCGGCCTCAGATCTCACCCATCGCCCGCTGCATTGTCCCTTTGCCGTCTCGTCCCCGCCAATTCACTTCCAGGCCCGAATTTCCGACTCTTCGTTGCCAATTCGCCCAGCCCGTCGACGCCACGACCAACGCGGCATCCACATACCAGTTCAGTCCATCCAGCCAGGAAACCTGGGTCCCAGCCATCGCCCATGGCCATCTGTGTCGCTCAGACCGGCCCGCACGTCAACCTTTGCATCACGCATCCGCCCCCTCGGATCTCACAGAACAATTTCTGTCTCGGGCCCGCTTGCTCTGCGCGGGCAACCTGGGTCCGGCGCACGGGCACGCGTAAAGAAACCGCAGCTTTCTGGGGCTTCTCTGGATCTGCGCTGCTCGAACGGGGCAGATCGGTGGTCGGGACTCGGGGGTTGTTGCTCTGGCGGGCGATCAATGGCTATCAGATTTTGGACGCCCGGGTGTTGTACGCGTATTTCTCGCGAGGCGCGATCAAGCTTGACGAAGGATCCTCGCCAAGATCTTCGCCCTTGTGCGTCCACACTCTTCGCGGCGGTCGGGCTCTACGACGCTATCTGCTTCACCTCAGGTCGCTGCAGATCAACCTGCTCAGCCTCCGCACGTTACGACGTCCGTCTCATCTCTCCGATTGCCTCCCGGTGGTACAAACTTGCAGATGAGGCGGCGTGGTACGTCCGCCCTTAGCCTGTACTGGTCGTGCGCACGGTCTAGCCGCCGTGCTTTGTGGCCGAGTTCAACAAATTCAACGCCGGTCAATGTTGCGACAGTGGGTCCAGGAGGATGGCGGTAGCCTTCCGCAACACGGTCAACAGCGATAGGCGGACTAAGCTTGAAACTCTGGCTCAGGCGGAAATTTTGACGGCACTCCATTGGACGAGGGAGGGTTGTCCTATCGAGGCTCTGCAAGCTCTCCTTCGGAATACCGCCCTAGTGGAAAGGCAGTATCAAGCAGATTGCTGAATATCATGACGCTGCCACAGGCCCGGCGTCGAAATTATCACAGGCTTGGGTACTGTGACCTTCTGTCCTGTCCGAAAGTGCCTTCTTATACAGATGTTGAAGTAGATCTCCTCGTCTGCAGTCAGGTAGTCTTGATACTCGGGTACGTTCGTCACGCGTCTCATTCAGCCATCCTCAGAAACAACGCCATTGGGGTTTGTGCGTCCACAAACCGTCCAGACCGCCAGCGAACCACGCCACTCCCATTAGCCTCGGTCACCGTCCTGGCGGAGTGATCGAGAGCGACGTCCGAGCTCAAGACGAGGACCATAGTCGGCAGCGGGGCGCTCCGAGATCCGATGACGGGTCCTGCAGCGCTCCGGACAAGGCTGTCCTCGCCGCTGCTCATTCGCACCTGGCCCATTACAGAACCCTGCGCCGTCGGCGTCGGAGCGCATTCGGGCCACGTTCGTGGGTGCGCGTCGAATCTTCCTCCTGACCTAATAAAGTTATCGGCGGGGATGCGGGTTGCCTCGAGCGAGTACACGAGCATTCCGAGGTGGTGACTCGTCTGCCCATACTCGTAATCAGTTGCTCGATGTAAAAGTCATCGAGCATGCCATATCTACAGACACTATCCACAAATCGTCGGGTCGTACGTATGCAAACTGACAGGCAGGCTTATCCAGGCTCATGAGCGAAGCACGACGCGGCCGACGAGGCCTTCCTCCGAATAGACTCGTCGTCGGACAAGTCGTGCCATGATTGACTCACGGCATGGCCTGGAGCCCGAGCATGATAGGTGTGTAGTCGCCCATAGTCGGTGTTTAGCTCAGCGGGTTTACGCCTAGTCTACCTCCGCTGACTGTGGCAGCGCGACTAGGAACAGAGGCGCTGCAGCACCCATTCATTTCGGTTGCATGGTTTGGCGCGGCCGCTATCTTGCTTATGGTGGGCCCATCTTCGCATAGCTTCGCATGCCGACGGGTGCCCGACGATTCAATGGTCGCTACTGTCATGGAAATGCGAGTGCTGCATATACCCATGAATGACGATGCATGGAACTGGAAAGGATTGGCGCGCTCTGCAATATCAATTGTTCGACGTGGTTATCGCGGCGGTGTCTCACTACGGACGGAAAGGAGGATTGCCAATTGAAGCGTAAGCCTAACACATAATCGTGCTTTCAGAGACGATGCTTTCACAGTAAGCGGGTTCCTCCTGACCTGGACTGTATGGATCGCCGTGCGCTACGTGCTCTACGACTCAAGCCCGGAGGGACGGTATATCCGCGCGCACCAGCCGACTCGTTTATCACCGGGGACGTCTCATCGGTTCTCAGGAACAAACTGAATGGCGAACCAACAAAGCTGTCCTTCTCTCGATCTGTCGTCCGACGGACTGTCAGAACTCGACGGGCAGCGCCTTACGGATATCACTAGTCGCTTCGGGAGGAGAGGCTCTAGACGCACCATAGAGTTGGTCGCGCACAGCCGTATTAACAGCATCTTGGAGATGAGGACATACTGCGATGGTCTTATCGAGGCCGCTTCGACGGTCAGGAGAGTGATGGACGAGGCATATTTTACGTACTGTATCACTGTATGGCGCGACTTTCAGCGTCTGACATATCCAACTTCACTGTGGAATCAGCATTGTCAGCATTTTGGGGGTAGGAAAGACAATACATTCGGTTGGGGAACATCTGTGGGTTCTGCTTCTACGACTGGGCAGGCTTCGCGCCCTCCGCGTCGCACGCGGGGCTGGTCGTTGTATCCCACAACTGCCAGATCCAGTGGGGTGCTTCCTGGGCATAGACGTGAATAGTCGATTGCTACGAGAGCTAGTGAGCGGACACGGAGGAGAAGAGCGTGCGGAAAGGCCGATAGGCCGGGGTGACTCAGGCTTGTGCAAACTGCAGGCCCGCGTACGTACAGCAAGATAGTCTTGTTACATATGCCTACTTTGCTGGCACAGCAGCAATCGTCTTGCATGTATGTCGCACCCCAAGAGCAGCTGGAGCGAATGTTGATATCTTTAGGCAGTAAGGCATATAATCAATAACAAACACTCCAGTTATAACGCGTTCAAGTTCTCGTAGGAATGTACGAACAACCGGCTCTGCTTCTTGGCCTATGAACATAGCGGCAAAGACGCTTGACAGCTAGTCGAGCACTTAGACGTCCAGTCAATATCCGCCCTGTAATGGCACAGACGAGCCGTAGAGCAATGGGCAACGTCTGCAATTTGACTGAAGGTGCGTTGGAAGAGAAAGCGGTCCCGCTAGCGCTGGGTTAGTGGATCTGTCACGTGAACGTTGCAAGGTCCGTGCTATCCAAATATGGATTTTGTACTGAACGCTCACTGTCATTGCGACCGCCGTTGCAAGCTGTTCAGTATGTACTTGGTTCACATCCTCATTATGCTGGAAATCAAGGGGAGAAGACCGGTATGCGCGTGTGCGACCCTTCGCGTGTGATCCTGCAGTGCAAAGGTGAAGGGTGCGATGCGGTGGACGGGACATGATGATGACACGAGCGTCGAGCAAACCTCAGTCATTCTGCTCGAGCAAGATAGCCCTGTAAGTGTCTGCTACGTGCTGATTCTCGCAACACGATCTACTCATGCTGACATTTTGCATACCGGGATAGCATGGCATAGCTCATCCGTTCCGCGCATCGGAGAGGGGAGTATACGTGACCTCGCACTGTGCGAGGCCCGATAGAAGCATACTCCGAAGCACATATGATGTAGGCGGCGATCACATAAACATCATATCAAGACATGCGTCATAGCTTGCTCCGTGACGCAGCAATTTTTGTTACTCACCGCGGGCAAACCAGGTTTTGCGGACTCCGAAGATTGCTATTAACATCGGTCCCCCATGGGAACCTATTCGGACTCCGAATGTTGTCAGAACATGCTCCGAACATGATGCGTTTCAGCATGTTCGGAGGCCGAAAACGCGTGTTTTCGGCGAACATGCTACGAACATGAATAATGTGGGGGCATTTTCGGAGTCAGTCAAGCTCTCCGAATAGGTTCCCATAAGGGACCGATGTTGTGAGCAATCTTCGGAGGCCGAAAAACCTGGTTTGCCCGCGGTGACTGTAGGGGACAACCTAGATAACGGAAGAACTTCGCCACACCATACATAGCCTTGCCTCGTGCTGCGCTCAGCACCAGCCAAGTGGAGCGTTTTCTTCCAGCGGTCCGGTGAGTTTGGCTATGTTCGTATCTCAGCTCCCAGATCTTACGTTGCCTGCGTGTGTCTATTCAGATGCCCGGAGGGACTTCCGGCGGTAGAATGACTTCGTCGGCTCCATGGCAAGCTGTTCGCCCTCATATTTTCTTGTCTCGTAGCCATCCGGATTTTAGAGTCGCATCCCACCACCGCACTGAAAGGTGCGACTATAAAAATCTAATGGGTACGAGACAACACTCGACTTCGCCCAGCATGCGGCTCAGCTTCTTGCAGATCTCCTAGAGCGAGCTCCCAATCTGAGGTCAACTTCCCTGGATAACGCGGAGCTTTGGATGACGTATTCTTCTGGCATACTCGATTCCCTTCGCCGCGTGCACTATCTGTCGACGGTCGAACTAAAATCCCTAGGTCCTACGGTCACCGACTTCCTGCATGGTCCCCGCTCACACTGATACTCGATGGCGGGAGCTATCGCACCGCTCAGTATGGCTACACCTTGCTTACAGGCGCACATCTCAGCTTGCCTAGCATACGACAACCATGTGCACAGAATACCCTCTATGTGTCGTCGCTATCTGACTCCAGCAAGTGAACGTGCTTGCTAGGTCTCCATCTGGCGAAGACCGCAGAAGGTCCTCAGAGGTGTTCCAGCAATGGTCATTTCGCGATAGGCAATGTTGATGCCATCGTCATGTCCAAGGCGAAATCAGAGAGATGAAAGCTCCGCAGATTCGGGAAGATGCGTGCTAAGTCGGATCGCGTATTACCCAACGCCTCTGAAGAAAGCGAAACGTACCCGTAGCGAAGTGCATATCGCGCTAATGCGTCGACATGCCGACGCCGCAGTGAGCAACGTACAACCTGTCGCCTTCTAAACGCACGCTTATCAAAATGCACCCGCCAGTCTTCATTACTGCCTCACGCCGACTTCGCCATCTCTCCGTGGGATCCATGATGTCGCAGATCACAAGACGCTTGAACAGGCTGTCCTATTCTGGTGGGTGAGTACCGTTGTTTCATGCACATGCGGGACCGACACTGAAGGCACGGTGACGTTTGCAGGGAGCCGCATCAATCCCGTTCTTCCTTGCCTCACGGGCATCATCTGCTTCCAAATCTCTTGCAACCTCCAGTGTCGTATCAAGAACGAGGTTGTTACAGCGAGACATTCTTCGCTTGTCGCTCTTCAAGCGCTCATAGAGTCGATGTTGCTAACCTCAGCAATGTCCGTATCGTCCGAAGTACTTGTGACTCGTCATTATCACGCCAGAGTGGTTCCAGTCGTGCCGGACCTCAGGGTGGGAAGATGCACGGCCAGTCGACGAACATCGCTACTGGTGGCGATTGTGCAAGTAGGGAAGAGACGGACTGTGAAGCCATTCGACGGTACGTATCGGCCTTGACCTCACAAGCACCATGTTGATCCTGAAATCAGACCGGACAAGTCTTGCGAAACGTGTGACCATTGCCTGCTGAAACGTTGAAGGGCAACCTCTTGGACAGTACGTTAGCTTCTCTATGCGCTGTCTTGCCTGTGTCGGAGTAGACCCGGCGATGCATTCCGTACTTACGGTCCGAAATCGCAGGCCCGGAGACGTCGTACATATGAAACATACAAGGTATAGGCGATTGGCAACAGTGCCTACGTTCTAACCCAAAGCGCTCCACCAGAAGGGGTGTGTCCGCACCGTGCTGATCGAAGCCGCTCAGAACATTCCCTCCCGTCGTGGCACAGCAACAGGCGGGGGCCTATGACCAGCAGCACTCCCCGGTCGATCCCTCGACCTCGGGGGCGGTGCAGGGCTCGGTTGGTTCCGCCTCATTTCACCTAGTATCCCCTCTGGCCGCGTCCTCGACGGGGTCAGTGCGCGCGGCGAGCCCGCTGACGGCGATCGCGGAGAAGGCGTAGCGATGCGAGCTGATGATGGGGTGCGTGGCTGAGGAGATGCGGGTGATATCCGTGAGCCTGGGTACGGTGAGAGCGAAGTACCAGGAGAGGTGGTGGTGATCTGCGGTAGCGGAGGGACGGGAGGGACATTGGAAGCTCCCGTCTGAGGTGGCGGATTTGCAGGAGAACGTGATCGGGTCGGCGTTGAGGAGAGTGTGTGAATCAGTTCTTGTGAGATCGCCCTGTGTGGTTTGAAGGGTGGTAGATGCGGGACAGAGTCGCCTTGCGGTTCTGCCAACAGAAGCTTATCGAGGAGGAAGCGGAAGTCGATGCCGTACTCCTCCAGTGACTAAGTCATCATGCGTGTCAGGCAGTGGAAGACAGTGTACAAACTGATCTACACTCACTCTACGACTCTGCGACTGGGTGATCTTGATGGCTTCTTCAATGGTTTGCTGGTCAGCGTCCGAGCTGTACACCTGTTTCCTAAACATTTCCGCGTAACACTCGACTTGTTTCTTCGCCCAGCCAATGAAAACTAGGATAGACGGGTAGACGTGTCATGAGTCACACAGCCCCGTGCGCGCGCAGTGAAGCAATCACTCACAGCTTGCCACCTCATTCTCCCTGAAGCTCGACAAGAACCAATCCGCCGTATGTTTGATGCCTGTGAACACCACGACAGCAAGATCGCCGACATACGTCCCCACATGGCCCTCGAAACGGATCATCCGCACTCTCTTACGAATCAGGTCTTCTCGCGACTGGAGGAAGGCGTGACGGGCTGCAGGTCCGGCTTTCAGGCGGACCAACAGCGCAATAAGCTTTGTCACTGCAGACTTGCGGTTCGTCGGCTGAGCGAGTGCCTGTAGCAGCGCGGCAGTAAGCTGGCCTCTCAGCGGCGTGAGCTTCGCTGCTAGACTGGGAATTTCTTGCAGGTGCGCATCTCCTACGCAGCGGTCAGCACACACTCGGATGCCAGAAGAGGTAAGCAAACCTTTCCCCACCAGCTCGACGGCCTTGTCCCACTCTCGGAGCGCGATCGAGACGGTGAGCTCGTCGCAGAAGTCGGCCATCCATCGTGCGTCACGCTCGGCTTTCTCCTTCGCCGTGGAACCCAATTCCGTCTGACCAACCAAGTCAGCCATCCACGTCGGTATAGGTGGCATCGCCTCGACGTTGAATGCCATTGAAGACCGCTACATGGGCAATGTTCAGTCACCATGTTCATACAGGACGTAATGGGCAGACGTACGTCAGCCATGTACAGACTCTTCCTCCGGCCATGCTCAGCTTCGCGCTCTTTACGGCGTTTGGCGGAAAGCTCTTCGGCGACTTGGCGGAACTGGAGGAGGAGTTGTTTCTTGTCACCCGTCGCCTCCGTGCGGTATACATGGGTCTCTTTCCCGTGCCGGATTTTGAAGACATTCGACATGGCTGACGACCTCTCCGTGAACATTCCTCATGCGACAAGGGGGGTCGTAGACTCACTAGCAGTGTCTTTGGTGTCCAACACGAGCATTTCGTTCAAGGGCCAGCACCGCTCTGCCACAAGCCTGTCGTTCTCGCCATTGTTCCTTCTCCTTCGGATCCGCGCAACGAGCACTGCATCGTCGAGAATGACGAAGCGAACCGGATGATCGACCTTGTAGGTCGCTGCGTTCAGAGCGAGTATATTGTTCATCTCGGATACGACATGTCGACCCGGTGTTGTCGGTACGAACTTGCTCGAGCCTTCGATCTGTTGATGGAGCGTCTGCATTTGGTTGGCATAGAGAACACGCAGGTCCGCAATCGAAGATCTAACGTTGCGGCGACGCTCTGAAGTGGTATTAGTTTGGTGACAAGCGAGAGGAGGGTCGCTGGACTACCTGCTGCTGAAGCAGTTTCGTCCACATGAAGGAGGGAGGGCATGTTCTTCCACTCTGATAGGCATTCCTTGAACTCCAGCATCTCGTTCTCGATTACGCCGACTTCTTTCGAGATCTGGACAAACTGAGTGTAACTGTATAGTCATCATGAGGGAATGTGATGCCCGTCCGCACGATGACGCTTACTTCTGGAATACATCCTGCTGGAGGTCCTTGCGAACGCCGTCTTGCTGTGCTCGTAGCGAAGACTGCAGAGCCTTCAGCTCAGCCTCAGTCGAGTTTGCCATCTTCGTCTTCAGGTCTGTCGTTCGTGGGTAGGCGATTGTAACATATGGGGAACTGTTATTGCACGCACATCTATCCGGGTCGAACTCATCGACGTCCAGCAACCGCAGGTCTGCCGCCCATGGGTCCTCCCGCTGTGCCATGGCCGGAAGCGCACTCCCCTTCTGCGAGAGCCCGCTTTGAGAAGTTGCAGAGCTAATTGGGAGGCTAGGGACGTCGGGAACCAGGGCATCTGTGGGGGAGGAGATCTCTGCGAACCGCGCAGACATACGCCGCTTCATCTTCTCGTCGACCCGCGTTGCTCTGCGCCCAGCATCTCGGAGGCCCTGTCCTATCCTCTTGCTGGGTGCCTTCTGCAGTTTCTGTGCCTCCGAGGGCCTACGCTGCCGAAGAGAAGACTGCTGCATGGTGGATCACTCTCGCGTGGATGTATGGGCGAGTATGGCAGCTAGGGTAGTCGATGGTGACGTTGTATCCCCGGAAACTTCAAGAGGCCCACAAGTACCCGTGTTCAAGGTTCCTGGTACGTTACAGAGATTGAACACAATACGCAGCTTGGATGATTGACAATGAGAGCTTGTCGACGGCGCATAGGTGGTAGCCATGGGCGTCTATCAGGTCGGTGGCATAGCTCGGTCATGCTTCGGCCTGTCATTTGTACTAGTCACGCGCACGTACAGTCGACCCAAGTGAGTGCAAGCTTCAAGTTGCTGCTTGGCTCCGGTACTGGTCTTTGTCTGGGTACTGCAGGGCGTTCTGATCGCACAAAACCAATACTCGTTACCCAAAGATGGCAGAAAACACGCACAGGGCCCCTGCTGATGTGTCGACTCCAACACCAGAGGAGCTAGGCAATCTCGCAAAGCTTTCCTTTCACGACTCGAAGGGTAACTCGATCGACTTCGGGAGCATCATTCGCGACCAGAAGACAATCGTTGTATTCATTCGTTGTGTATCGTACACTTTTATATGTGCTCCCGGAAGTGGCTGATGGGATATCTCTGCTATAGGTCATTTCTTCTGCGGAGTACGTGCAGACCGCTATGATCGCGCTACTAGATAGTATGCTCACCGAGAGCATTGCCACATCACATCTCAGAGCTGCCAGGTAGTTCGCTATGCATTATGCGGGGAGATCACTTCTAAACTCTGGTAGCAATATGTGATGCAACTCGCGGGTGTCTCGCAAGAGTCCCTCCAACAAGCCGGAGTGCATCTAGTGGTAATTGGATGCGGGGACTGGCAGCCCATCCAAAACTATTGCGGTACGTGAATGTCGCGCAAAGCTCTTCAGCTTTCTTCCTCCGCATTTGCTTACAATCACATCAACATCGAGGACGACGGAATTTGCATGTTGACACTGACACACTCCCGTAGAAACTACGGGATATAAGGGTGAGATGTATGCTGATCCCTCACGCGCCCTGTACAAAGCACTGGGGCTTGTTGAGAGCCTGGAGGTCACTCCTGCTGGGCAGCAGAGAAAGAGCTACCTCACGAAGAGTATACTTAGCAACGCCCTGCAGAGCATCTGGGTCAGTCTTCCCAGACCGATCAAGCACATGTCGCCCACTAATGAGTCCCTGCGATGTGCAGCAAGGTCCATTGAAGAACCCGAGTCATATCGGAAAGCAGGGAAAGTTATCTCAGTTAGGCGGAGACTTCGTCTTTGGTCCAGGCGAGACGTGCTCGTTCGCATCTAGGATGCATCACACGGAAGATCGTGAGTGCTTCCCTGCATTTCGAAACGTACCGATATGACCAAACGCGGTATCGTCATTTTCATGTCCCATGCCCCGGTGTTGCCTACACAAGACATCGAGGTTGCTGACTTGATGCGCGCCGCTGGAGTGAATCACCCGTAAGCTACGATGTACTCTAGTGCTAGGACTGGCCGTGTGGGCGAAGCGGACGAATGCTACTGTCGAGTGTATGTACCCAATGGTGGAGCGAAAGTGTAGTATTGAGTGCTCTGCACCATGACGACAGGCCTTCGTCGCGTTCCACCGCGGAATATGTGGTACTCTGATACCCTGGTGAGTATATGTTCGTTTCTATGTCTATAACTCCATAACGCATCTACATCACACCGACTCGGAGAACAGCTGTCGCCACCCTCAAATCAGACAGCTGTCGCGTCCATCATGTACTCCCAATGCGCGCCAAAGATGTCCTGCAACCGGTATCGAGGATCGCCGACGTGGAACCCGATGTACCCTCGCTCGAAACTGTCCCAAGCATCTCGTGCCCGGCCTTCGCCGAGTGTGCGGCGGATGCGCTGTGATGCGTTCACGACCTCGTCGCTGACTTCGCGCAGCGTGGCGACGGTGGACTTGCCGGTGGCGCGGGCCCGTGCGTGGATGTAAGAGGAGATCTCGCCGTCCTGCTCTTCCTTGTAAAAGGAAAGGATGTCGCTGTCATCAGGGCATCAGTCGGTACGCACTATGACCTACCTGAGGGTATCCCACTCACTTTGCATGGTTGATGTACAGGCACGCATCCCTAACTTAGGGTTTGAGCGGTCTATCCGCGGGGAATAGGACCAATGACTTACGGAAAGACTTGAAGATATAAATTATCATCTGGGAAATCCGCCTTGCTCCATATGAACGCCGCATACGCCTCTGCGTCGCCGCTCATGCCGCGCGAGTAGTCGACGAACTCCTTCGAGTTTAGCTCCACGAATGCCTTGCTTTCCGGGTTCCCGATCAACTCCCCATTCAGATAGCGCAGCGAGGACGAGAGGATGGAACACGCGCTGAAGTTCGAGTAGAATCTGCTCATGTCCGCGATGACCCTCGCGAACTCGCCAAGCATTCCCCGATCGTGCTGCAGCGACCCGTCACACACCCGGCGGTAGAAGTCCTGCGCGCCCGCAGCGTCGAATAAGCCTGGGGTGTCTAGTGCCGTCAGGATCGCGGTGTAGATTACGATGGCCACCCTGGCTTCGATGTCGGAGACGTGAGGGTAGCTCGTCTCAGTGATGACAAGCGCGGTCACGATGTGCGGCCGGATGCGCTCCTCGAAAGGCCAGGTGCGGGTGATTGCCTTTACTTTGGCTTCGAGCTCGGCGTCGCGCGTAAACTCGGGAGGCACAATGTCTATTTTCTGTAGGAACTCCCGGATGGCAACCTTGGCCACATCTGCGATAGAATTCTGTACGTGGAGGTGAGTCTTACAACAACATCACGATGTATAGAGCGCCGGTCAGTACCTTCTCAGGCTGCTGCGAGGTGGCAGCGTTGACGGCTGGTCGTGGCATGATGTGAATGAGCTGCGCTCATTTGTTCGTATCAGCGTGCATGGGTTTCCTACGGATGAGACCTTACCTCTCAATACTGATACCAAGGGTGAATGACGTTGCAACGAACTGACGCGAGTTGCAGTTTTTCATGCACTCGCTGTCCTTATGTACCGCGACCTAGCGCTACGGACAGTGGAGCGGGGCTTCCTCGACTACATTTGGTGATGCATCGAACGAATTTGTCCATCCCATCGTACTGATGGCGTCGAAATTGTTAGATGGTAGACACTAGCAGCGGACACCGGGGTGCAGGACCGGGTGTCCACGCCGCATGCCATGTGATGCTGAAGTGTTGCAATTCTCTGCCGGTGAACGGTGCCTCGAGCCACACAATTGAGTCTTGATATGTTGAGCCTTGATACGTTCAATATGATACTGTAACTCTGAGTCGTTTTTGCTGTGCGAGATATCAATGAATGGCTGACTCGATGGCCAAAGACTTGAGATCTTGACCGCTGGCAGAAGTCCCAAGGATAGTACGCCACCACGATCGTTTCCTGACACGGCCAGGGTTAGTGTCTTAGTGTCTTGTTCGAACGTCGTTATCAATTCTTCAACATTTCCGAACCCGTACTTGAAGAACAGCATGAGGCTCAGGGTTTGTTCCTACTGGCAGCAAGCTTAAGGACGTTCCGAGGAAACTGCGACGAACCGATTCTGCCGCACATCCGCATGAGAATTATGAAGATACATCTTAAGGGTTTACTATACTGCCATGTCCATGACCGAGATGGTGCGTAGTCCAGCTCGATAGGCCAGCGCCCCGCGCTTTCGACTCTGATTTCTACTACCAGGTTCTCATTCGTCTGATGTACATGCTACGGCGACCCGGGGGCCGCATTGCATCACAGTGCTAAGAAATGTGACACAGTGATTCTTCCACTGAAATGTAGATGGAGTTGTAGCGTGGAGACATGTGCATCCTCTCTTTACACTCCTGTTGCCAGATACTCCCCTCCGAGAAGTTCCTGAAGTCGATAGCGCGGTAGCACGAGATGCAGACTGACAAAGCCTGTCTCGAAGCTATCCCATGCCTCTCTCGCGGGGCCACCGGGAAGCATCCATCTGATCCTGTCCCTCGCGGTGAACCATTCGTCGATAACATCGAGAAGTGTCTCAGACACGTTCTTGCCTGTGACCGTGGCACGCGCGTAGACGTAGTTGTCCGTGTCTCCGTCCAATTCCTCCTTGTAGCACGATACTATGTCACTGTCAACAATGAGTCAGCCCCACGGAAAGAAGGAAGGATGACACGGGATTATTTTACTTGATATAGTTGATATACACGCGGGTGTCTCTGTGAAGCTACGGTCAACGTAAGGCCCGCAAGGAAGGCGAAGTGCAGCAGCTCACGGTATCAGTTCCGCATATACCTTCTCGTCCGGGAACACCGATTTCTCCCAAATGAAGCATGCAAACGGGTCAGGGATGCCGCTGAGATTCCTTCTCAACTCCACAAAGGGCAAAGTCCGCGGACGTATAGCCTCGGACGCCCTGCTGGAAGGTGAGGCCTCGAGCATGGCACCATTGAAGTACTCCAGCGCGCCGTAGAAAATGGCGTTGGCCCCGAACGCGGGATACCAGTTCCACATCCCGAGTAGTACCTCGCGTAGGGCAACGACGAAGGTCGAGTCCTTTAGTGACGGGAAGCATAACTGGCGAGGGAAGTCGCGTGCGCACAGCGAGTTGAACAGGTCAATATCGTCGAGATAGGCGATGAGGGCGCAGTACAGCGCGATGCCGACCCTGGCATTGATGTTGGTGATATGGTTGTAGCTGGTCTCGGCGAGTGTAACACCCATCAGTATCTGCGGACGCATTTGGTCCACAAAGTCCCATGTTGCAACAATCGCCTTGACTCGAGATCGTAGTTCGGAATCTTGCACGTATGTAGGCTCAGATATGTTGAGCGTACGTAGGAATGACGCAATAATGTCTTTCGTGGAAGGGGATGGCTTTCAGGTTCCATTGGACTTAGCCTTTGACGAGTGCAGGGGAGGGGCTCACCGTCTTGCATGTCAATGCAGTCACTTCATTGCTGAGTCAAGAAAAGCAGAAGTTGGACCATAAGCCTTCCGGTCCGCAACGTCTAGCCTAGAAACCTCACCTGATGTTTACAGGGATATGCATAGCGGGAATTTGATGCTCAGCGAATAGCTAGTTTGGGGAGAGGGAGAGGGGCATTGCACGGTCCCCCTATTTAAGGTCCATGAAATATCGTTTTCCACGGACTCACCTACGTTCCGAGCATGGAATGGACATTGGCGCTTCAAGTCATGAGCGCTGCCAGTGGATGACTGAATGATATGGGACTCCGAGTCAGATGAAGAACATCGGACATTCTGTATAGGCCACACGAACCTTAGTACGGCCCGGGCAGCGACTTCTCATCTCGTCCATAGCCGCAGAAACATATGGGGTCACGCCGTTGTCTATAGGATTCCACCATTAGAGTTGTGTTCGTTGTGAACGTCTGATCGAAAGCCAGGAAGCCCGCCGCCGGGTTAGCCTACTCCACGACCGCGATGCCGACGGTGCACAGGGGGCACGACAGTACTCACAGTACTTGGTCACGGTCTCTCTGCCACCACGGTCCGTCACTTGGTCCGTTTGGATTCTGGGATTCGATATATACAATTCTATACCTCGACCGTGACGTTCGCACACTGTACTGATTGAAGGTGCCCGTCGGCTTGCTCCCAGTGTGTATGGCACTGTATGCGGCATGTACGCATCTCATTTACTCGGTGCTTGCCTGAGTGCTTGCATCTTGCTACCAGCGGCGGTGCATCAGTGGTCATGAAGTTGCTAGGAAATAAATAACTTCATCGAATGTTTGCAGCACCTATCGCGTACCTGTTTCCAATGTCTGCTAGATTATGGACTTCTGTGCGGTGCGTCAAGAGAAAACTGCCAGCGGCCCTGCGCAAGTGTGCACTTCGGCCCTCTCGGACTGCCCATGCTTCCCCACGTCATGCCATTGATACTAATGCCAGCCGCGTACGTCCTCCATCCGATCTGTAGTCCGACTGGACACCTTGTTGTGGTGGCAGCCTCGTGCCAACTTTTAACGTTGTTCGTCAATTGTTATCAAGATCGTGCCACTGCTGGCACAAGACAGCGGGGGGTAAGCCAGTCTCTAGGTTCGACACAACCCTCATGCTAATGCCGTGTGGCGGGTCGTCCCAGGCAAGGGTCGAGGTAGAATTGTCACGGCAGCGTACTCGCTAGAACGTGAACGCAGGCCACACGGCTTCCGATTGTTCGCCTTGTTCTGATGAATGCCCAATTTCCTGCGATGTACCCGCGTCAATCATTTGGGTGTGCCAATGGGTAAATTCAATAGCATCCACCGTTACTACCTCACCTAGCACGAGCCCGAGACAAATGTGGCGCATGCTCAGATGCATTTTCGGGCCTGCATCTGCCGCGCCAGGAGACATCATTGTCAGAATGGTATCTCCCATATGTAGTGGCCGTCGCTCCGACCCTCGGTGTGATCCCTCGGAGATTAATGATTAAACCGCTCTGGACACCGCAACAAGCTGAACAACTTCGTTAGCCGTGTCTGACATCGTCTGGCGGATCGTTTTATCGGACACTCGCCCACGGGACCCATTACCCGACCGTAAGCACAATCCACACGTGTTCTAGTGTTGGTAATACCGACGACTAGCGTGCAGTCTCGCCTGGAGGTGTACCAAGAACTCCTTGAGTGATCCGCTCCAATTCTCGAGTCACCCGATGCCCATCTTGAGGGAGGCCAGAGGCTGAGGGCACACCTCTTAAGCAACAGCTCTTCGCCAGTCATATGTTGACTTTGGGGTGGGCGGGGGAAGGAGGGGGGGGGGCCGTCGCCGTTCCCGACATGAACGATTCTTGGGCGTCCTTCGAGACCGCACACACTCTCGCCGGAGTTACGACAGTGCACAAAGCGCACCTCAGTGACTATGCTGCTACCGTCCGGCATCGCGGCGATTGGACCCTGGGCAATCCCATCGTCTCGGGGAAACTAGTCGTGTCTTGAGTTGACTATTAGATTCTATACATATGAAGAACCTTACCGAATGCGTTTGGCCGCTCTGCATATTTGATTGACTATGGTCTGGAAGGTTTGCCTGCGATGACAGGCAAGGTAGACGACCTTACACACCAGCCTTGCCCCAGGTGGTGCGTCGAATGCCCTGGCCATAGGAGCGATGCGCTGCAAAGGGCACAGAGAATGTTTCTGATGCTTGAGAGTGGCAACAACGGTGGCGAGCCAGCCTCGGGGCTCGCAGAATAGATAATCGATATGCCCCGCACGAGCGCGATGCCAGCAATCACTGCCGTAGGTCAGTCTACGCAAGGTCATGTGTGTATACAGAAATTCTAGTACACGTGCTTCGAGATTTGCTTCTATCCTTGATACTGCTACAGCACGTCAGTCTTCTTCGATATCTATGTTCACTCGTGAGCAAGAAGCGAGCGGCCGGTCATGTCTATGGCAATAAGTCAGCAAAAGGTTAGGCACAGCATGCGAATAACGGGACCGACCTTCCGGTTTGGGCAGACCGAGGATGTCCAGCACGGTCGGGGCAACATCGCAGAGGGCACCCTCCTCCTCCTCGCCGTCCTTCTTGTCCACCGTGAACTTGAGCTTCTTCGGGTCGCCGGTCATGATGAACGGCACAGGATTTGTCGTGTGCGCGGTGTGAGGCGCACCCGTCTGCGGGTTGATCATCTGCTCCGCGTTACCGTGGTCGGCCGTAACGAGGAGGATGTAGCCCGCCTCCTCGCAAGCCTTGTACACGGTGCCGACGGCCGCATCAGTGTGTGTGATGGCTTCCACGGCAGCCTCGTATATACCAGTGTGCCCGACCTAGAGTACAGAGGGGGGTCATTGAACTGAGCAGTTGACGAAGGGAAATCCAGACCGACCATATCCGGCGGCGCGAAGTTGCACATGACAAATTCATGGTCGCCCTTCTTGACAATCTCGGCGACCTTGTCCGCAACACCCTGCACGCTCATCTTGGGCTGCTTGTCGTAGGTCGCGACCTTCGGTGAGGGGATCATATGCCGCTCCTCGGCTGCGAACTGCTTCTCGACACCACCGTTGAAGAAGAACGTGACATGCGCATACTTCTCCGTCTCTGCAGCCCAAAGTGAGGCCGTGCCCTAGTATGGGGCAGAGGAAACATACCGGCTACGTGCGCCTGCTTCACACCCTGCTTCGAGAGCCACTCAGCGAGAACGTTCGTCATCTGCTGGGGCGGGAAAGCAACATGGAAGGGGAACTCCGCATTGTAGCGCGACATTGTGCTGATGTGCTGCGAATGGGATTGTGCGTCAAGAAGACGGCGCATAGCTTGAGGGCGCCAATTACTTACGAGGTTCTTGGGCACATCAACTTCCATCGGCTTGTCTGGCAACCCGAGCACACTCGCGATCTCACGCATACGGTCAGAGCGGTAGTTGAACAGGAACAAGGTGTCTCCCTCTGTAGCGCCAGATGTGAGATCACGAACAACGCGCATACATCGAGCAGACGCACCCTTGATGCGACCCTCATCACCGTTGACGATGATGGGCTTCAAGAACTCATCCGTCTCGTCCTTCTTGTACCGCTCCTCGATGGCAGCGACGACGTCTTCGCCCTTCTCACCCTCGCCCTTCACAAGGCCGTCTACGGCGATCTTGACGCGCTCCCAACGTTTGTCACGGTCCATCGCGTAGTAGCGGCCGACAACAGTCGCGATCTGGCCGTACTTCTCCTTCTCGATGAAGGCGACCAGGTCCTTTGCGTAGCCGGCAGCGGACCGAGGCGCAGTGTCGCGTCCGTCACCGAAGAAGTGGATGTAGACGTGCGGGACGCCCTGCTCCTTGGCGGTCTCGAGCAGGGCATAGAGGTGGTGGATGTGTGAGTGAACACCGCCATCGGAAATCTGGGGTAGGTGTCAGTACGAGTGCACACGTTTTTGTAGACGATAGGAGGGGTCCAGCTGATGAAGAGGGTCAATAGAAGGCACGGGTACTGAGCGGGTCCTCATGGCATGCGTAGAGGCGTCTGTTGGTGGTAGACCGACATCGCCCCTCCCTCAATCCTCGATGTACCTCCGGAGTGTGAGGTAGAAATCCCGCCTCTGAAACCAGAATGACCTTATGTACGAGGTGTCGTGCCTGGGCTCAGAGCTCCAAACGTCTAACGTAGATCACGATCCCACATCTCCGACAGGTACGCCCGCAGTCCTGGATGAAGGTTATAAGACTCACCAATCCGAGGAAGTGCAGTCGACCATTGCCCTCCTTTGCATGCTTGCAGCTCTCGAGGATGACTTCATTTTTGTGGAACTGCTTCTTTTTGATAGACACATCGATCTTGACGATGTCCTGCCAGACGATACGTCCAGCACCGATGTTCAGGTGGCTTCGCCAACGCTGAGTGACATCCTTCCCGTCTCGAAAGAGTGGACGCACCCGACTTCCGAGTTACCCATGAGTCCATCGCTGAGACCGACAGCCACTCCGTGCGCCTGGAGAGTCCGCCCGCTGTGGTCCTTGGAGATGGTGTCCATGTTCGTTGTATCTCCAGCCGAGATAGCATCCCCCTTCATGTTCTTCTCCGGTGCAATGCCCCATCCATCGTGGACGCTACACACCGCCGCGTCCGCCGTGAGTCCTCCGCCGAGAACGCGACAAACGGTGAGCACTCACATCAGGCAGACCTTGTTCTTCACTTCGACCATGTTAGTGGGAGTGTCAGTGGGTGTATGCGCGTGTACCGACAACGTGCGGCCTTAAGAGCGGCCGAGGATGGTCAGCGTAGCGTCTGGGCTGCGAGTCTGACGCAGGTCCTCGCCCACTCCTCCCCATTCGCCGCATATCTAATCGATCTGCCGCTCTCGCCCGCAAAAGACACGCTCGACTCGCCTCGAGTCGAACCAGATGCTTGACCAGCCAATGGCACAGCACGGCCAGACGCTGCTCACGAATCAGAGTGGTGTTTGCAAAGCCCATGCCAGGGCGTAGCCTAGTTCGTAGAGCTGGACTCGTATCGTTTGGCAGCAGGTCGATTCCAGAACTGAGACTCGAGCGTAGATGGCTACTCATGCCGAAGGAAGCCGGACCTCTCGATCGGCTCAAGTACCGCGATAGATGTTAGAGGACAAAGTTGGGACAACGACATCAGAGCTCATCAGAGAGAGAGAGAGAGAGAGAGACGGCGCACGCGTAGAGTGAGCGGGACGATGTCTCAAGCAGATCGAGATCTGACGCGGCTAGCTAGGCGGGAATTTCTTAATGAGGAAACACGCGCCGACCCGCCACAGCGGCTCTGTCCTCATGTTGAGACTGGCTCTCGGGAAGCTGTGTGAGGATGAGACTCCGTTCATACAGTCTGTCTGTCCCCAAGGCTTTCAGATTTAAACTGGATGTACAGAAAGCGGCCGCTCATGTCGACTCGGCCTGTGTGATCTGTATTGCACTTCAAGCAAACAGCTGGCAGTATCAAGGAGCTACAGGAGATGTGATATGTATGCTATGTAGATGATGAAGACAGATGCGGATCCGTGTATACATGGTAGGCTGTGTTCTGATGACATAATTAAGTAAATTAATGCGACAAAACTGCGACAAAACAATCGTGGACAGCAGGGACGATATGTAGATGTGTGATGAGTAGGATGTGATGAACAGTAATACAGATGGAGAGGGTGATGCAAAGAGGTCACATTTTAGCGCTCTATTGGCAAAGGTCATCGGTGCGGAGATGTCCTTCCATGCGTCTTGAGTGCGGCGTCGAGGTCTGCAAAAATCCTTGTCAATATCCGGTACACCAAGAGTCTAAGAGGTACGTACCAGCCATGACGAGCGGTTTTGGCAAGAAATGGTCCATGCCTGCTTCTCGACATCGCTGTTCACTCTCATTTGTGACATTCGCCGTGAGCGCGATGATGGGTAAATGCCCTGATATCGCGCCGTCACGTTCCATGGTTCGAATCCTCCGACATGCAGAGAAGCCATCTAGAACGGGCATCTAAACTCCTCATCAGCATGCGCACTCCGTCGTGCACACGAAGAATAGCGTACCTGGCAATCCATAAGACAGCTATGGAAGAACTGCTGCTTGACTGCATCGACAGCCTGCTGGCCGTCGTCAGCAGCGACGACGTCGTATCCAAGCTTCTCTAGCAGCCTGCATCCCAACCGCTGGTTGACCTGTATTCCCCTTGAGAAACACTGACACAACACAGAAGAGCTGTGTTCGCGCACCATATTGTCCTCGACCAGCAACACGACGTCCTTCCTCTTCGGCTCCATCTCAATCACCTCCAAGCCCTCCTGCGCATCCTCCCCGGTGAGAGACCGCTCTCGGAACTTCTCCTTCTGCAGCGTCGTGACCGCATCCGAGTCGACCGGGATCGCAAAGCGTACTTTCGGCACCTCCGTCTGGAGGTGCTCGCCCATACGACCTTCAGGCGCCTCGAGGACTTCCCTGAGCGCATGCAGGAGCAGGGGCCGCTTGAGGAACACGGCATTCCGCGCAGAACTGAGCTCGGGCTCCAGAACCGAGAGATCGCGCGAGTCGCTGTGAATGATGTAGACGGGGAAAGGGTGAGATGTTTGAGCGCAGAGAAGCGCACGGAGGACAGGAGACGAGGCGATGCTCTCAACATCTGCCCACACGGCGTCCGCATTCCGCACCACTTCCTGCACGGAGCCCTCTGTAAGTCCAGACACAGGGATAAAACCGTGGTCCGCAAGAAGTTCGACAAACAGTCCCTCGGCACGGTTGTCACTGTGCACGATGCGTATCCGCTTGCGGCTCGGCCTCTGTGGCGGCTCCGTCGTGATATCCAAGAGCGGCTCCTCGGTGTTTCCTCGTGCTTGAGCCTGACCCGAAATGGCGATGGGCAGACTGACACTGAACTTACTACCCTCGCCTTCGATGGATTCCACATCGACCGATCCGCTCATGCGGGACACCAGGTGCTTGACGATACTCAGACCGAGCCCCGTCCCCGGTTTCTGTCGCGTCATGGATTGGTCCGCCTGCCGGAAAGGCTGGAAGAGCGCGCCGCGGAAGCTTGCGGGGATGCCGACGCCCGTGTCGCGGACTTGGAAGACGACGTCGCCGGACTTGCCCAGTCGCACAACTACGCATATGTAGCCCTTTTCGCAGAATTTCTGCGCGTTGGACAGGAGCTGCGGGGTACAAGGTTAAGAAATCATCATCGAAATGAAGTGTGAACATCTGGAGCTTACGTTCATAAGCACCTACAAATTCAATAAGCATTTATCAGCATATAGCACACACTCGCATGTGAGGTACCCACCCGAAAGATGTAAGTTTCATCCAAAAACACCGTGTCTGGCACATCGTCCGCAACCGACACGACGACCTCTACGCCGGGCTGGTTCGGCTGTATTCGCGCGGCGTCCTCGACGACCTTGCGCAGCTTCATGAGAACGGGCTTCGCCGACAGCTCTGCGTTGTTGCGATCAAGCTACACAGAGGCAAGCATGAGCAACTGGACTACACAACCTCGCCAGCCCACGGACCTTGCTGAAATCTACGTCATGCGAATACTAGGTTAGTTTGCGTCGCGAAAGTTGGGCTAAGCGAGCGAGCTTACCAAGGACGTTCCCGGCAATGACGTTGATGGCGTGGCAGGCTTGCTGGATACTTGACACGTACAGGGCCTGTTCCTCCGTCAACGGCGTCCGCGCCATCAGCTCACAATACCCGTTGACGGTGTGCAACGGTGTGCGAATCTACCATACCACCTCGCAGTCAGCCCGCACTCACACACCCCTGCAAACAACCAAACGCACCTCATGGCTCGCAACGCTGATAAACTGCTGCTTCAGCTCATTCGCCTGTTCCGCCGCCTCCTTCTCCGCCATGATCCGCCACAGCCGCCGCTTCGTCAGGATCATCTCCGCCATCTTGTTCCGCGCGATGATCGCGTTGTGCGCGAGCACGAGGTTCGAGACGACGCACACGGAGACGGCCACCCCGACGATCGTCACGGGCAGGTACGCGGGGTAGCCGGCCTCGCCTTGAGGAGCGGGAGGCTTGTAGGTGTAGAATGTCGCTGCGGCCATGCCTACAAGGATATCGAGTCAAGGGGCAGGCGGAAAGGACAAATGGATGTATGCGCACCTGTGTAGTGCATGGAGCACACCCCGAGTGCAGCGATGGTACTGAACCCGACCTGCCGAGCGAAGTGTACCTCCATATGCTCCATCGTTGTGCACGCAACGAGGCACACTGCGAACGCAACGACATACGACAGAACCACGATGCGCAGGTCCCAGGATATCCGACCGCTGGGTATCATCATCGCCCACATCCCTGCGTCCACGACCCAATCAGCCACCGACACCACCCAAGGTCAACTTGAACCGACTCACCGCAATAGTGCATCATCACCAGCGCGAGCCCCCACACCGCCGCCCTAACAACCAACAGCGCCGTGATCGTCTTCCACTGTGCCGTCATCCAATACTTCCATCCAAACACAGGCGCCGGCCTGTCCCTCGCCCTCGCCTTGATCCGCATCCTTGCCTCCCTGCTCAGCCCGACATGCACGTCGCCCCAGCTCCCCGAACTCCCCGAGCTCCCGCTCCCCACGACACTCCGCAGCGTCGTCCCGCTCAGCGCGCTGCCCGTCCCCGAGTTCGCGCGCGGGCGCGGTCGGGAGGAGGGGTCTTCAGAAAACTCGGACGAGATCGTGCTCGGCGTGCCCGGGGTGTCTTGGCCAAGGCTCTCCGAGGATGCTCGCGCCCTCGTCGGCCGAGGAAGCGACCGTTGCCGGACCAAAGGAGGCGACCTCAACGTTGTGCTTCTTGCTGCCGGGTGCGTTGATGCTCTGGCCATGCCTGCTGAGCCTCTTGGCCGGCCGCGCTGCGGGAGAAGTTCGCGTTGAGTAACATCCGGGGTGATATCTGCCCAAGCGGAGGGTTGCTCGAAGAACACGGGGGCCGGCGGTGGTACCGTTTCTGGCTCGTAGAAGGCGCCGCTATTACGGTCATGATGCAGTGCGAAGTCGAGGGGGTCGTCACTGTACAAGTCCATCTCGGGGTCATTGTTGTCCTCCTCTTCTTGCTGCGATGCGGCCTCCTGCGACGCGCGCGGGTGCTGCTCGTCCTCCTCAGCACTGAGCTGTTCGTAGCCAGCCTCTATGTCCCACTTCGGGCAACATGAGAATATCCATCGGCGTAGTGTTCGGAAAAAGGTTACAACTGCATGGGCGAACCGTGACTTCTCGATGACATTCGTAACGTATCCGCTGGACAGGGCCGCGAAGGTGAATACGACTGCGACGACTGCAGAGAGAGCCGTTAGGGAGGGGTCGAATCCAATCTCGATGTCTAGCCCACAGGCGAGCATCCCCACTGACAATGAATGTGAGTATGGTGTATATATCGGGAAAGATATGGAAAGGAGGACGCGACGGCTGGCACTAAGCTCTGGACGACGACTACAAAGAGTCACCGCCGAACATGAGTCCGGGCATGCACATTATGCGTGCATACGAGCGTTCAAAATGGTCCAAGTTGCTACACATTCATCGTGGATGAACGCACAACACTCCATTGCAGAGGACACAATGCGTAAATTTCCGGCCTGTCTTCGGAGGCACGCTGTACTGGACACTGGGCCTTAGCGCGAAATGACGACACGATCGCCTGTCATGAAGCCAGCCAGACTTGTGGCGATCAATCTGCGCTGAACATGTATGAAGGGTTCTCCGGCATATGAGGTGAAGCCGATGGAGGGAAGCCGCGGAGAATGAAGCGCATAATGATCGGCCAACACAGCGCCCGTGTCCTGCGTCGCAGCTCCGAAGTCAGGCCGCATTTAGATCGGCACCAGCGCGCATACATCCCCACGTATACCTTGCGTGTGCACCCCGGGGTACCGGTGGTGTACGGGGTAAGGATGAGGAGAGAGCGCAGGATGCGCTGCGCGCACTCTACCGTCATCCTTTCCGCGGTTTATGCAACCCATGCTCCGGCAAACTCTTCAAGGCCCTGATAAGGTCCTCAAGGAGCTCGCCGGCTCGGCAAGCGCGAGTGGAAGAGGCGGATGTGGTATAGGTGCCCTTCGCACCACCTTGCGCCCGAGGCCTTGCGCTGACTGAGGCCCCAAGTCCGCCTTGTGCATAGAGCAGCGCAGCAGCGGTCCCTCAGTAATAGTGGCACAGAGGGGGGGCTCAGAGCGACCAGGAGCAGCAACAAATGAAGCGGAGTTGCAACACCGGCAAACGAAAGCGACCTAGAATACGAAGATTCAAAGAGTCGTTCGCAAGGCGACACGTACCAAAATGCATCGACCAGATTGCGCAGAACCCAAACGCAAGGCTCGCCAGCAGTGTCCAGAGCCATTTTGCCAGAGAATTGCGGGTATACTTGGCATGGATGACAATTTGGGTGCTCGTGTACGCGCCGAGCCAGGAGATGGCGTAGGAGAGGACGACGAGCTGGAAGTCATAAGAGCAGGTAAGCACATGTGGGACGGCGAGGGGGGGCATGGGGGACCAGTACCTCGGGAGCCCACTGGGGGACGAGCTGCCTCTCGGGGTGTTGAGGCATCGGCTGGGGGTGAGAGAAATGGGCGGGCGGCCCAGGGCCGTGGTACGGAGCTCAACTTAGGGCAGCACGGATACCCAGCGCGGCTTCGCTATTGCGTCCGCCAACCACCCGCCCTCGCTGCAATGACGGAATGCCCTCGCTTATGTCAGCCCCCTCTTTCCACAACCTCTTCCGCCCCGACCCCGCCCTTCCGCGCCGCGCCCTTCGGGTACCCACTCGCTAGATCTGCTCAGCAGCTCGTGCCAGCCGTCGTCGAGCAGCAGCTGCCATCACTGTAAATTTCTCAGTACGCACGAGAGCTGCCATGCAAAGGCGGCGTTGATTCTCCCTGTGTATGCCACATCCGTGCCGTTTCGCGGCACAGAACCACTTGTCAACCACGACGTCACCGGCTTCTCGGGAAACACCGAGGCTTCCCACGCGGTGAATCAAGATCCACTCACTTGTGGAACCTTGTGTAACGCGCCCAAAAGTCGAGACCCGTCCTGCACTATGGCATTGGCTACTAGCCAAATTCGCTGGAACCGCTGTGGTGCACACCACGACAACTCTCGACAGCGCTCGCCCATCCGTGTCAGTCCTGTTCTCTCCTAAGCACTCAGTAAATGCCTAATCCTTCCAGCTGAATGCTGCCGCATCCGTTTGCTTCCGCTGCCATGCTGCCTCTGGCGTCAGGGGCTCGAACCTTGCAGTTTGCGTGCCAGGCTCCGGGTGAAAGGACAACAGTACTTCTGGCTATCAGGTCCGATAGGCCGTGTAAAGAAGGATGTGACACCTGTTCATTTCCCGGGGATACCGGCATGCAGTTACAGTGTGCTTGCTTCATTTTGAGCTGCCTAGTGTGCTACCCGTGGATGAAGCTAGAAATCCCGAAAACGCGAATTGATAGTGATCTTGTTGGTTGATTCTATCTAACGTCGCTGAGGGCAGCACCGTATATTATTGCGACTCAATGTATGTAAACGCTGGGCTCAGATTCAATGCCATATCCAGGCAATGCCATACTCATAAACGGTGCTACGGCCCATTGCTTGACAGCCCTTCATCCAGCACTTGATTTGGACCTTCACGCTGTTCATCAAAAGGTATATGAGTTGACGATTACATGCCTGCAGGCCTGACGGCTTGCTGTATAGTACGCTGCGGTTGTATAATATATGACTATGGAGAAACGCGGTAAGCAGCCATGGTGAGAGACACAAGGCTGAACTTCGTCATACCACTCCGACTTTTAACGACGGTGACCTGCATTGTTGCGCATGAAGTCACATTTACCAGGGTCGTGCATGTTTCTTTCCAGCATGCAGAGGCAGCGGGCCAACATCGGGCATCGGGCATACCAGAAATGGCATTTAAACGCCCACCGCGCGACGCGCCTCCCAACGGCGAACGCGCGGTTTCCATTCCCATCCTCCACTTCCCCTCATTCACTCTCAGGGCTCGGCACGAATCGCTTGAACTGCAGCAAATCCGCCGCAGCCCGGTGAGAGCATGGCTTCCGCAGCGAAGGACCCGCCACTCGGCGCGCAGGTCGAGGTCCCCGCGGGGCGCGGCACAGTGCGGTTCTGCGGGACGACGTCCTTCTCGGCGGGCAAGTGGATCGGGATCGAGCTCGCCGAGCATAATGGCAAGAACGACGGGGCCGTCCAGGGTATCAAGTACTTCACGTGCAAGCCGGGGTATGGTGTCTTTGTGAGGCCGAGCCAGGTCAAGGTCGTTGCGCTCGAGCCGCCGCCGATAGTTGCTGTACGTGGGCTATGACTTGAGGCGTGAGTGTTCCTTGGAGAACTCGTTTGCGGGCGAGAAGAGATCACAGAGCTGTCTTGAATCCTGGTGGTGAGTTAGTTTCGCGGAACGAACGGAACGCTACCTGGACCAGGAGTCTTGCCTTGAGAAGTGTTGTTTCCGTGAACTGAGCAAGGATGTCCAGGCAGTCCTCTCCTGGATGTACACTATTGCAGCGTATAGCCTCGTCGAACGAGTTCTCCCAGGAACCACTTTGCTCGTAACGTACTCATACACTATTCATGCAGCCTTCAGCGACTCGACCAGGTCTCGGACATGCAAGAACAGGAAGCACAGGCGGACGGGTTGCCTCCGCACGTCTCACTCCTGCATCCCCTGGTCGCACCGCTCCTTCTTCTCCAGGCCGCACCGCTCCCTCCTCGCCACGCGCCGTACCCTCTTCGCCACGCGCCACAAGTCCCGCGAAGCCTACTGGACTCACGCCTTCTCCCCTCGCTCAGCGCCTCGGCTCGCCAACGAAGCGTAACACACACTCCCTTCAGAACCGTGCTCCGCTGTCGCGGAGGTCTTCCATTAACCCTGACCCTGCGGTAAGCCCGATACTCAACCGCCAGGGTAGCTTTGAGTCTGCCTCGGGGGATGTACCATCGAAGCCGTTCCCGAAAGGCCTCGCGCCCTCACCTATGTCGATTTCAGCACACGCGCCTCAGCCCCCATCCTCTCTGCGCCGCGTCTCCGGGGATTCCCCAGAGCCCCAGTCACCCGTTATCCAAGAACCTGAACGCCCAAGGACACCAGAGGTAAGCTCACTGCGCAGCAGTCACTCGACTTCCAGCGATTAAATATCCTATCTCAGAAGGCACCAGCTCCGCCCCCACCAGATGACACAGAGCTGCAAGAGCTCCGCGCCAAGGTGCGCGTGCTCGAGGCCAAGCGCGCCGACGACGCACGGCACGTCCGCGAGCTCGAGACACGCCTCGCAGAGGCCGAGTCCTTCGTCGCGCTCCGCCCGAAGCTCCAAGCGAAACTGCAGCAACAGCAGACGGAGCTCATCGCGACGCGCCGCGAGCTCGCGGACGCGCAGCAGCTTGCCGCGCTCGCGGACGGCCGCATCGTGGATTCGCAGGAGCAGCTCGAGATGGCGATGTTGGACAAGGAGATGGCGGAGGAGAGGGCGGAGCTCGCGGAGACGGAGTTGGAGGAGGTGAAGGAGAAGTTGGCGGTGGTGGAGGTTGAGCTGCAGGTAGTGAGAGAAGGCGGAGGTACGTTGCCCGATGTCGGCGTATTCGTTTTGTCACTGACGCATTGATGACTCTGTACAGGAGAGGCGGTCGAAGGTGCGGAGAACAACGTTAAGCAGTCTCTCGCACATGTCCAGTTGGAGAGGCAGAACGAGCGACTCAAGGAAGCACTCATTCGGTATGCACATCATTTATGCTTTTTCAGTTCAATTCCTAATAATTCCTTGTTCAGACTGCGCGATATCACCTCAGAGAGCGAAACTGAGAACCGCAAGCGAATCTCCGAGATGGAGAAGGACGTCGCCACTCTCGACGACCTGCAGGGTGGGCATGAACACTTTTTAATGATACTGCGTCGCTTACAATGTTCGCAGCACAACACGAGGAGGCCCTCTTCAAGTTGGCCAATGCCGAGGTGCAAGTTGAGGAGCTGAAAATGCAGCTTGACGACGCCCTGGGTGCAGAAGAGATGCTTGTGCAACTTACAGAACGCAACCTCATGCTAGGAGAGGTAAGTCAAGTGTCAAAGGTAGCTTGGATGATAGCCACGATGCTCAGCATGTCGCCTAGAAAATCGAAGAGATGCGCATTACTATCGAGGACTTGGAGGCGCTCAAGGAACTTAACGACGAGCTTGAGGAGAACCATGTCGAGACGGAGAAGTCTATGCAAGAGGAGATTGGTACGTTGCTCGCCTGTCATGACATGGCTCTGCTGATGTCCGTCAAACAGAGGCGAAAGAGACACAGATACGCGAGCAGGCAGCCAAGATCGCTTCCTTGGAAGAAGCATGCCAGGACCTCGAGGGCACTATTGTTCGATTCAGAGAGCTTGTGATGCAACTGCAGACGTTGGTCTTCACAATGATGCTCTATGAAACATTGACTGACGTCTGGCGATAGGGAGCTGGACACCCTCCGGTCAGAAACGCAAAGTGCACAGCAAGAATCCGTCACAGCGGCCTCTCAGACCGCCGCCATGATGTCGCTCAACCTCAAGCTGCAGTCCAGTGCCTCCAAGAACCAGGCACGCTACATCGACCTCGAGATCAAGCGCATCGAGGCGAAGGAAGCGCACGAGCTGCTCAGCATCGTCCAGCCGTACCTCCCGCAGGTCTACCTCGAGTCGGACACGGATGCGACGAGCTGCTACTTGTTCTTCCAGCGGTTAGCGCAGAAGCTGGACCTCATCAACACTGTGGCTGCGCAGAATCATAACTTGCCCGAGTCTTTGAACGGCGCTGTGTCCCACGTGCTTGTTGGTGTCTGTGAAGTGCGTACCATTGCATCCATAGTTGGTTGCCTCTCCAGACTGACGATCGCGTCAGATGCGGGGACGCTTGTCCGCTCTGTCCACAACATGCAAACGCTTCGCGTCCATTCTGCGTCAATGCGATGTTGAATCTTTCCTGAACATCGGGCGTATATATACCGATATCGCACCCATGGAGAAACGCATAGACATGCACGTTGACCTCATGCGCCGTGATGAGTTCCGCGACGCGGAGTGTGTCAGCGACGCGGCCAAGTAAGAGCAGCTGGTCTATTATGCCGACTTGTGATACTGATACCTGCCTTTCAGGATGCAGGCCCAATTCGACCATTTGGCAGAGACTTACTTCAATGGCTACGAGTTCGACCTGGGCGAGCGCGAGCTCGGCATGGCCCTTGCGTGCGACCATGACCTTGAGATGTTTGCCGCCGCCGTGGGTCTCGTCAAGACGTCCGTAGCCGCTGTCCTGAAGGATGAAGGTATTCGCGGGTTCCCACTTCGTATTGGAGGTAGCTAATATGCCCACAGATGTCGAGGTCGATCTCGGAGAGTTGGAGCCTGACGCAGTCTTCTTCCAGCCTTTGCAGAGACTGCTCGACCAGTCGAGGAGCGCTCGGGTTTTGTCCAAGTAAGGCTTACTCGCTATGCATGCGACGGTTTCTGACATCTTTACAGGAAACTCTCGAAGAGGCTAGAAGATCTCACACAAGATTCGTCTGCGTTGAAAGCACACTTCGTTCCTCAATTGAAACCCTTGACAAACCTCGCTCCTGAACTCGTCAACTTCGGTTTCTCTGTGGGTGTTGGTGTATCTCTTGCATGTGGTCATACTGACAGCGTCCATTGCACATATAGCTCGCACAGCTAGTTGGGCCATACCTTACCGAAGTTCGTGGGGAGAAATCGGCCTTCAAGTTGTCAAGTATGCTCGCCTTCGTGCAGCAGACTGCGACAGCTACTGTAGGACAAGGACGGAAGGACGATGTCTCGTCTTGGGAGTCGGTCGCGGATTTCATCACCCAGGTCATCCAGGAGACGAACAAGCTGCTACCTGCGTCGATGGAGAACGAGAACCTGCTGAAGAGTACGTTGACAACCCATCAGCTGCTTTGTTTCTTGCTCACGTCGCACAGTCTCTGGGACTGCTCCCTGGGTCGTCCGCGTCGCCGACATCAAGGCCGCTACCGCGATCAACGTCGAGGCCGAGCGTAAGGTCGCGCAACTCAACGACGAGATGCAGGCGCTCGTGCGTACGCTCCGGACGCGCGACCAGCAGATCCAGGAGTCGGGCGTCAAGATCGAGCTCATGGAACACCGTATGGAGGCAAGCAAGAAGCAAGCTGACGCCATTGTTGACCTGGAGAACGAGCTGTTGAAGGCTCGCAAACAAGAGCGGGCGTACGAGGAGGCCATGGAGCAGCTTCAGGCGGATCTGGATGCCCTCGAACAGGACAATGCGAAACTCAAGACAGCGGCGAGTACGACCGAGGCCAAACGTGAGTGTGTTCTCAGGAAGTCATATGAAACGGTGCCGACCTCTTCACTAGCTGCAGGGCCTCAACCGGCAGAACAGGAGACCGTCGCGGTGGAAGGCAGTCTCGAGACCTCATATCTTCTCGAACAAATCGAAGCCTTCCGTGGCACTGTTCGTTTCCTCCGCACAGAGAACTCCTATCTCAAGGGACAGGACCTCCTCCGGGAGATTGAGTCACTACCGCCACTGCGTGAGCCCATCAGTCGCGAGCCAACACCGCCGCTCGTGCCGTCGACGCTCTCAGATTCCGAGGACTCCGACTCCGACGAGCTGCCTCCACCGCCGACGCTCCGCACGCTCGCCGCAGAGTCCAAGCTCCTCTACCGCGAGGTCATCAACTACACCTCGTCCCCGCGCATCGTCGACCTGTCCGTCATGCGGGCGAAGCGGGAGGGCGAGAAGGCGGCGAAGCATTGGGTGCCGAAAGAGAAGACGCCGGCGTACCAGGTGCTGAAACGCAAGATGGAGGGCGAGCGGCTTGGGAGGCGTTTGCAGGGCTTGCTCGAGCGGACTAGTGCGCTTGCGGCGCGGTGATTCTGGTTCCTCGCGGCGGTAGCTAACTTATGTACTTCCTTTTGTCTCTCAGGTAGATTATATCCTACGTACTTAGTTGCATCATACCCTCATGTCTGTCATTATGCATATCTGAACTTGCATTCGCATCCTCGTAGAGCGCGTCAAGGTGCGCGTCGCCCCGCTCTGCTACTCAAACACTTCAAGTTCGTACAGGTACGTATACAGTATACAGCCGTGACTACGGTCCAGTCCATTACAAAGAGGTCAGCCCCGATATTAACTGTCCGCAAGATCAAAGAATGAAGTCAAGGGCACGGATCATACAACACCTCGTCCACAGGCACACGTCGCTCCTATGCTTACAGTTCGTCCTCTGCACTAGCGTCAGTCCTCGCTTTCTTCGTCGCGGAAGCAGCGACTACGCCGCCTAGCTCATCCGCTTCCCCGTAGTCTCCTTGGAGCTCGCCGTCAGGGGTTGTGCCCGCCCTGACCTCCGCTTCAATGTCGTCTTCGTCACGACCGCGCTTCACGCCGGATACTGAAGCCGGGTAGGAGGCGGCGCCGTTTGCACCCACCTCCTCGATCTCCTCGTCGTACTCTTCGTCTTCTTCGTCTTCTGCGTCCTCGCCGCCCGCTGCGGCGCCCTGCAGGAACAGTCAGATGCTGAGTTCTCAAACCATGGATGGAGCCATACGCCGAGGAGCAGTGCCGTTAGGTTGTTCTTGCCGCTCTGGGACAGGATGAGCGAACGAGGAACTCTGTCACAACGGGGTACGCACGGGTCCTGCCTCTCCTCCTTCCTCTTCCTCGACATATTCGTCTTCATCGTCCTCCTATTTCAAAAGAACCAGAGCCACGAGTGAGACACGATTTGCGGCCCGCGTCTCTGCCACCCTCCACGCGAGCGAATGTGTGGTATGAATGTACCTCTTCGACCTCGTACTCGTCGCTCTCCTCACCCTCTAGATGGTAGCATCCTTCAGCCGAGAAGAGGAGTCCACAATGCCGATAAGCCTCACCGTCTTCTAGGTCGGGCTCTTCCACAATCTCAACCGGTTTCTTGGACATGGTCGTGAAACGGACTTGCCAGTGAACACGAGTGGACGACTCGGAGTTGGACCGGGATGCAGTCGAGTTGCTCACAACAGGTGCGCTGTAGATGAAGCGAAGAGAGAGCGTCGGGGAGCCGCTGATAGATGCGCTCCAACGTTCGTGGGCGTGATTGGTGCTGAAAATATCGAAATAGCACCTGTGGACGGCCCTAGCACACGCCAGCGCCAGCGCCGAATACTCACCGCGCGAAGTACCCCCTCGTCCGAGTCGTCGTTTCGTCGTCTAAGTTACCTGCCACTGCGCCCGTCCGGCTGCTGTAGTGGATCGTGGATGCATTTACGAATGTGATATACAGTTTAATGGGTTCTAACTATGTAGCAGTATGGACAGTGATTATTCTACATGAATTTTAAGTTAGGACAGCGATCACAGAGGACGTAGAGAGCGTGCAGTGAGTCCTAGTAGTATGTGAGTGGGGTCCGTGACAGCGACGACAGCAGAGCAAGTCCATCGAAAAGAAAAGAGTGCTAACAAATCCTCCACCAGCGTCCCTTACTTGTCCGTGAGTCCTCTTCCTGTATAGCATTCTCACGGATGACCTTCAAGAAGACGCTCTCCAAGCCCGCCTTTTCGATGGAAAACTCGGTGAGCTCATCCTGTGAGGAGAGAACACCGAAGAGTCGCGCAAGCGACATCCCGTCGTCTATTGGCACCTCGAAGCGTGTTGCGACGTCGTCGGCCATGCGAGCGCCAGGTAGTTGCGACATGAGTATTCGCGCTCTGACGATCTCGTCTCTTGTTCGACATGAGAAGTGAACTTCGTAGGTAGCATACCGTTCGGCCAGAGTCTCTGTCGTCCCAACAGCTACAATAATATGAGAGATCTGAAGATGAAAACATGGAAGATGACGTACCCAGCATCTTCTTCGCCAGGATACCGACTTTTGTGGCGAGCGCGGATGCCTCCTCCATAGAGTCTGCGCATATCCAGATCAGCATTCACATCTGAGCAGAGCATGTACACTACTTACGTGTCGTAATGACAATTGCCTTCCCACCTGCAACGCTCCTGAGCGTGTCCCACATATCGCGCTTCATCTTCGCGTCCACGCCTGACGAAAACTCATCAATGAGCACCACAGCCGGGTTACCCATCAGCGCAATAGCCAACGCCAGCTTGCGCTGGTTGCCGCCCGACAGACGCGCCGCCAACCGGTCTGCGTACTGGTGCAGCGACGTCCCGTGAAGGAGGGCCTCGACGTTGCGCTCAAGCTCCACACCGGGCTTAAGACCCTTGAGACGGCCGTACACAACGAGGTGTTCTCGGACTGTAAGCTCGGAGTCGATGGCAGTGAATTGAGGACAGACTCCGAGGGCGAGGCGGGCTGTTCGGGGGTTCTTCACGACGGAGATACCGTTGATGAGCACGTCGCCTGAGTCAGGAATAACGTCGCCACCTGCGAATGCAAGTATCAGCAAGGAACAACGTAGGCGGAATAGGGGTACGCACGGATCATATTGAACGTCGTCGTCTTTCCGGCGCCATTGGGACCAAGGAGCGCCAGAACCGTATTCTGCGACACCCCAAAGCTCGCATTGTCGACCACCCGGTTGTTCGGGCTTCCGTACGCTTTGACGACGTTCAGCACCCGGAGCGTATCGTCCGACGTTGCGACCTTCATCGCCTCCTCATACACGCCGTGCTTGCTCGCCTGGAACGATTTCCTGCTGAACCGGCGGACGAAGGCGGACGTTGCCGCCTTCGCGGTCTTCTTGCGTGGCAGGATCGCCCCGGAGTCGACCCAGACGAGGATGCCAAACAGGACGAACAAGTAGACAAACAGGTAGATAATCGGCCCCCCGAACCGGGAGGGCATGGCCTCGGAGGCGGCAGTGGCGGGCGCGTTGGTGCAGAGGAGGGAGAATAGGTTCAGAGAGACGAACGCAGCATGCACTGCATTGGCGATCGGAGACAGGATCGCCACGAAGAAGTCTGCGTGTATAGCGTTAGAAAGATGACGCCTTCACCATAAGCAGGTCTGTACTAACGAATGAACGTAAGGTCACGGCTCTCGGAGGTCACGGTGGCATATGTTGCAGTCAGAAGGAAACCGGCGAGGTAGAGCTAGATCGACAATGATTGGTCAATGACAAGCTCAGCTATCAGTGGTGGTTGACCTACCAGGAACATCACAGCTTGGTAGCCGGCTGTAGCCGCGAACGCGGCGAGCGGCGAAGGGACGGCCAAAGAGATGGTGTAAGAGAACAGTGCACCGACGATGCCGTACAGCACCAAGACAAGCCACTGACAAAGGAGTGAGCTTCACCTAAACATCCGAATGTCAAGCGGCGACTCACGAAGAAAGGCAGCGCGGCGAACTGGTTTGAAGCAAAAGCGTATATAACAATAATGAGGGTCGCGATAAATACGGCGAAGATCGAATCAAACATAAGATGTCCGAGCCAGAGGCCGGCAGGGTTTGACAAGCCATTGGAGAACTGCATGGCCTGTACTGCCGATCGTCGCTCCTTGGAAACGTAGAGACCGAAGAATGCTGGGAACACCGACTAGACATCCGTCAATATGAAGTCCAATAAGCAATGCAGAGCGGGACGCACCAAAGCAGCGCCAAAGAACGCCATGAACTTAAGCATCACCAAGATCCCAGAGTCGAATCCTGCTAGCTTCTCGTAATTGGCAGCGATCACGCGCGTGGCGACGGTATTCGTCTCGTTCAATGCGTGATCGTACAGGAGATTCGATGCCAAGTTTAACAGACTCAAGCCCGTCAGCCCTGGCGGTGTGGCCTCCCAAGCAATGAGAGTGGCGCCCGTGTCGTAATCGAGAGACACTCCACCCATCGAGAGATTCCGGTAGTTCTGGTTGACGTAGTTGACGAAGCTCGCGTTGTCCTGGAAGTTGTGCACCGGGATGCCTCCAAAAGAAGGCCCCAGTGTCTCAATGAGACCGGGAGGATATTGGAGAACCCGTTTTCCTGGAATCTTGCTCGACATGAGAGAAACGAGCGGTGACCATGGCACGTAGAGCTGAGTGGGGTACACGGTTTTGAGCGGCTGCACGCAGGTTGGGGCGGCGAGACCAGACATGAACCATAACGGAATCGATGCACCTGCGGCAGTGATCAGGATCATCAACACGGGGGACAACCAGCTGCGCCGTGCAATGAGGAAACGCTTGTAGAAGATCGTCAGTGCCTGGCCAAAAACAGACTTCCTCCGACCGTTCGTCAAGTTAAGCTCGGAAGTCTTCTCGTACGAGAGCATTGGCAAAGATACCGAGCTGTATGAACTTGAACGGAGATGCGCCTTCTGTGAGAAGTCGCTATTTGACTTCAGGGTGCTATCGTGTGTCGAGAATGTCGAGCCATCCAATGACTTGGGGTGGAAGTCGGGTGAGAAGCTCTGGTTAGCATTCATCAGTGTCAAGAAGACGTCTTCCATGGACGTGTTCGCGACGGAATAAGACCCCAGTCGTCCGGCCTCATGCTCCTGCTGAATGACTTCCAACACCTTGTGAACGACCCATGGATCCTTCGTCTGCAGGAAGTACGTGACCTCCGCAAGACCTGCCGAGACGGCGTAGGCAGAAGGCGCGAAGGGCCTAATGACATCCAGCAGCTGTGACGCGTCAGACGAAGGCTTCTCCAACGGCTGCTCTGTGTCGAAAGACACTTGTACGTTGTAGCCATCACCGTAGCGGGACTTCAGGGCCACCGGAGTACCCTGAGCGACCAGTCTGCCGGGGGCAGCGAGTACCGCGACGGTGTCACCCAAGAGATCTGCTTCATCGAGGAACTATTGAACGGTCAACAACGTGCGTATGCGGTAGGGCAATTCGGACGTACATGAGTCGTGAATACGACGGTTCTGTCGTAACGTACAGAAGACAATATCTTCCACAACGCACGCCGAGAGAGCGGGTCCACTCCGGAAGTACACTACAACATAGTGAGCATCGATACGTCCCTGTTGCGTACGATCTTACCTCGTCTACCAACAAGACTATGGACGCTCTGTTAGCCTCGACCATCATAGGGAAATACTATGAACGTACTTTGAGCGCCTCCAACCATGCCGATCGCCAGCTGCAGCTTACGCTTCTGACCACCACTCAACGCACTGGCATTGTAGTGGATCTTCTTGCCTAGATCACAGTCGCGTAACAGCTGTTCGATATCCTCGTCATCCGACACGCCGTCTCTGGGAGGTTTGATGGCCTTCCACAGCCGCAGCGTCTGGTAGCATGTCAGTTCCGGGAACAGGACGTTCTTCTGAGGTACCAGTCCGATGGTGCCCAGAGGCGGCCGGTCAACACCGCCTTCAAAAGTGACAGAGCCCCGTGTCCGGCCAAGCAGGCCCGCAAGGATGGACATCGTTGTAGACTTTCCCGCCCTGCAAGATAGCACACGTGAGTGTCCAGAGACGGATCACAAACGACGTCTCTCACGTACCCATTCGATCCGAGCAGGACGAAAATACCCGTCTTCGGAATATCGAGACTGAGGTCCTCCACGGCGCTAACGATGGTCTTGCGCCCCATGAAGCGAGACGTCTTGAAGTCCTTGCCCAGATGCTTCATGGAGATGGCCACATCCGGTGGTATCAATGGAGCTCTCTCTTCGGCTGTAGAATGTTTTCGCTTCCATGACTTCGATAGGTTCTTCGCGTCGTATAGCCAACTCTCCAGTATCACTGCAAGGCACGGCCAGATGAAGATGTCGGCCTGCATCGTCACTAAGTATACCCCTCTTCAGTAGTTTTTAAAAGAGGGACTCACGATCGCAGCGATAATGATTGGAAGCAGCATCACGTTGTTGTCTGGATCTCCCTTTACTAAGTTGGCGCCGACCTGATGCAGCTCGAAGCCAACCACGGAGCGGATGGCGAAGATATAGAACCCAGGTGGAAAGGCCAGCGTGATGATGACTGCGAGGACATTGCTCACATTCCCGATGACGAGCGTGACAATGGCGAGGATGCACGCGACGACGGCAGAGACGATGGCTGCGAGCTGCGGACTCTTTCCAAACGGTGTGGCGATGAAGAACGACCAGCTCGCCAAGATGAGACCCAGGAGGATGTGGATGAGGAGTGTGATACCGACGTTTGTCGCCGTGAAGATGCGGAAGCGCCAGATGACCGCGACAGCGATCCACCCGGGGAGGTTAACAAGCGACATGCTGAAATGCCAGGAAGTGATGCGAGCGGAGTCCATGAGTCCCATCGCCTTCATGTGGCTCGTCAAGAGGTACGCCCGCTCGCCAGCGAACGCGCCGGGCAACTGGTACGCGATCCCGACGAATGCGATGAAGTGGGCGATGACCAAGATCATGCGTGTCCCGCGAAGGTAACTCAGGCGGATTGCCGTGTACTGCTCGGTGTTGTCCGTTTGCGTGAAGGGCCATTCATAGGGCCTATACGGCGTCGAGCCTGTCACAAGCTCGATGTATGCGCTGTCGACCGCCCATTGGAGGGGCATGAGGCGCTCCTCGACGCTACTCGTGTGCTTCACGACGTCAATGAAGGAGAGGCCGCTATCAGCGCGGAGGGTGTAGTTGAGCACCTGCTTCACACTGTCGGGGTCGCCTGCGGTGGGTAGAAAATTGAAGACGATGACCGAATAACACCGAGAAAGACCGATGAAGTTCTCTGGACATGCCGAAGGAACCTCCTCGGGACTGGCCACTAGCTTGACGTTCGCGCGTTGCTTGGAGTTGAACGGGAGCATGACCTGATTCATGATTGCATCCGCAGACGGAGTGCCCGACCCATTGGTACCGTCGACCCATACGAGAGGCAGAGATCCGTCGTATTGCTCGAGCAGACGTGGGACTGGTGTTGAGGTACCTAAACCGAACTTCGTTGGAGGTTAGTCCAGTTATTAGCGGGATTGGTCTGAGCACGGAACACACGTTGTTGGGTTTGTGCAGGAAAAATTGGGCCGCAGAAAGAAAAACAGCATAACCGATGGGCAGCAATAGGCATCGGACGATGTTAAGCTACGAACAAGTTAGGTCGGTCCATGGCTATCAGTACACAGCAGAGGACATACCCAAGGATGCTTTGAGAGTACGATGAAGTTCTTCCATACGAGGACTGAGAGTTGCCTCCAAAATAAGGTCCCTCCCATAGTGCACTGGGACTAGGGTGTGGGCGAAATCCGTCCTAGGGCAGGTGCTCTGAGTTCAGGTGTTCGACTTGTGTTCGACCCTGAGCAATGTGGCTGTGACGCGGTCAGCTTGGCGGTCCGTACCTTCAATTGGGGTAAGTTGCTTACATGTGTGAGCGCACGCTAGTACGTGTCGGTCGCGTGTACCGTCTGCTGTCCCCTAAGCACGAAACTCAGTATACCGTCAAACACCCGCGCGTCCTTATGGAATAGAATGATATAAAGTCAATATTGTCCGGTGCACGGAATGAAAAGACAAAACAACGGCAGCCGAACAAGGTGAATGGGAGCGGACGCGCGCACAAGAAGGGGAAAATTGGACAGGAAGGGGAACAGCACCCCTATAAGCCGTGCGCAGAACATCGGTCATTTTGACCCGAGCAACCACCAAACGGATTTTGACGCCTCAAGCTGTGGCTGTGAGGTGACAGGCGGCAGAAGTATTGGTCGAGTATTGCCGCAGCAGCGCCGCTGTGTTGGCGGTGCCAATCCTGGGTGCTACCGCCGCCACGGGCCTGTCATTCCGCTGTGCAGCGGGCCCAGTGTGTGCGGATCGCAGCCCGACTGCGGAACCAAGCCTTGACCGTGCGATAGGAGGTGTTCTTGGCTTGAGCAGCATGGTCGAAAAGTCGAATCCACCGAGGCGGTGACGCACGCGTAAGGTGGCAGCCGCTGCGGCTCAGTTCTGTGCAATGGACGCCAAGCGCCGGGGCGGAATGAACGAGGTAGGCGCGCGAGCGCCCTGATGCGCCCTGCGCGATAGATCTGTGATGGCTTCGCTAGAACTGCATGCACGGCAACACGCTGTACGGCATCTCAGCCTCTCGACTTTCGCGTGTTGATCTCGAGGAAGGGCCAATATCGACATATATGTATGTCCACAGTCCAAGGGACGGCCCCGGAGCTCGGCACCTCCCAGCGCATATAATGACTCGGATTCCTCTGTTGGAATGGTGTCAGTTTGAGAACCCCCGTTTGACTGCCCAGGCTCTCCTCCGCCACATATTCATTCCATCGTCGAGCGCGAGGCGATCGGAAGACGACTCATCCGCCGTACCGCACATGAGCCGTCAGTGACCTGTCGCGTCCGGCAAAGGCCCACAGTGCCCACATGTGAGTGTCAGCAAACTGTTATCGGAGCGGCGGAGCCTTTCCATCATAGCACCGTGGGTGGGATGCGGTCTGAGGCAGCGGCTCGGGCGTCGGATGACTAAAAACGAAGTTGATGCGGCGTGGGATGGATAGGCACATTACATCGCTTCTCGCGAGCAGAGCATTCACGTACGTGTGCGTCTTCATGTCTTCCACTGTCAGATCGTAGTCGGGCCAGCGTGAAGCCATACATAGCTATTCTCGGAGGGTGGTGATACCATGATTTCCGCCCAGGACGAGGTTGGGGGTGACCACGGATGCCTTCATTCAGTTGGTATGCTGTTCCGATAGAGCAGACAAGTAGCACCGCTCACTTCAAAAAGAACATCACTGGGTATGTACGTGGAATGGTGAGACTGATGCTACGCACCGCAGACGACCTGCAGGCTGCCAAGGCATTGCCCCCTTCCTAGTAACATGACGTTCTCGAGTCTCTGCGATCCCGAGCGTCGTTTGCAGTTCCCAAGCCTGTCGCCGTGTGTCGCCGCACTGCCGGTACCACCAGCTGTGGCGTGAATATCAGACAGAAGCAAGTCAGACGAAATCTGCCAGACGTCTGAATTCAATGCTTGTGAAAGAACGCAAACAGAGCACCTCCGAGTCGCTGCCGCAAATTGTGGCGGAGTCAGGGCGCGATCACCTGCCCCGGCTTGACGCGTCGCGTCCGAATGGAGCACTTATTGTCAGAGAGTCCCTGGACCTGCAATTGGTCAACGTTCCAACCATCGATGTTCCAGGCACCTACATACGGAGACGGTGTATTCGATGCACTAGCACCACGCAGGAATATGCATTTGTCAATGACATCACCTATGTACATATACAATACGCTATCGATATACTTATGCGCGTGGTGATAGCAACAAAAATGTATGGATGGTGTACAGTCCGGTTGTCTACCATGTAGTGTCACAGTCCGATCTAAGCAGTGCATATGTACTTATGTACTCTATTATGTCCTTCCGGTTGGCTCTACTTGACTGAAATAGGTAGAAAGAATCCAGCGTCCCACGTCTTCAACGACATGCTACTATCAGCAAGTCCTCCACCACCTCCGCCTAGGCGTCGAGCGGTCCTCCTCGAGCACGTCATTCTCTCTAATGACCTTCAAGAACACGCTCTCGAGACCCGCTCTTTCTACGGTGAACTCCGCGAAGTCCTCTTGCGATGAGAGTAGCCCGAAGAGTCGCGCAAGGGACATATCCGTCCCGAGCGGCACTTCGAAGCGTGTTGCGACGTCATCTGCCATGCGCGCTCCAGGAATTTGCGTCATGAGCTCCTGTGCCCGGACGACCTCCTCGCGCGTCCGGCAAGAGAAATGGACCTCGTAGGTGGCATACCGTTCAGCCAATGCATCAGTTGTGCCCACGGCTGCGGCAAATCAACCTCAGTCTTCATGTAGATGACCGCCATGCAAAAGCTTACCTAGCATCTTCTTCGCCAATATGCCGACTTTGTTGGCCAGTGCAGATGCTTCCTCCATGGAGTCTGCAATGACGCTGTCAGTGACGAAGTGACGCACGATTACACAGACACTCACGTGTCGTGATGACAATAGCCTTGCCCACTGCGACTGTCCTGAGCGTACCCCACATCTCACGTTTCATCTTAGCGTCAATACCCGTAGAGAACTCATCGATGAGCACGACAGAGGGGTTCCCTGAAGCACGAAGGTTATGTCCACCGGTGGATCGGTGCAATGATCATGGTGGGCGCACCTATGAGCGCGATGGCCAACGCCAGCTTGCGCTGATTTCCACCCGACAGCCGTACAGCCAGGCGGCCCGCATAAATATCCAACGACGTCGCGCGCATCAACGCTTGAACGTTCCGAGTGAGCTCCTCGCCACGGTACAGCCCCTTCAGGCGGCCATATACGATCAAATGCTCCTCCACGGTCAGCTCGGAGTCGATGGCGGTGAACTGCGGACAGACTCCCAGTGAGAGACGGGCGGAGCGCGGGTGGTGGACCACAGAAACGCCGTTGATGAGGACATCGCCCTCGTCCGGGATGACGTCGCCACCTGATCGCCAGTGTGAGTGATGTCTGACTTGTCAAATACGATGTCAAGAAATGACATACGGATCATGTTAAACGTTGTTGTCTTGCCGGCGCCATTTGGGCCAAGGAGAGCGAAAACTGTGTCTTGCGATACTCCGAAGCTGACGTTGTCCACAACCCTGTTGTCGCTTGACCCAAATGCTTTGACCACATTGAGGACCCGGAGCGCATCGTTAGACGCTGCCACTGCCGCCCCCTCATCGTCTACATCCTTGCGCCCGGCGAGAACAGACGCTGGAGCATCCGTGTGCAATGTACGTAGTCGCTTCTTCGACGAATTGAAGCGCCGTGGAAGGACCGAGCCGGAGTCTACCCAGACTAGTATCCCGAAGAGCACAAATGCGTAGACAATCAAATAGACGATGGGCCCACCGAACCGAGACATCATCCCCATGGAAGTTGTCGTAGCGGGCTCATTATTGTCGCAGAGCAGGGAGAAAAGATTGACAGATACGAATGCCGCTTGTAGCTGTGCTAAACGTTAGTAGAATGCCAAAATATCATAGAAGCCGGTATACGTACAGCGTTAGCTACGGGTGACGCGATAGCCATCGTGAAGTCTACCCACGATTGTCAATAATTGTGCTAGAAGCATGCGACTATACGCTCACGAATAAGTTTTAGATCAGCATTATCCGCCGACGTCTTCGCGTAGGTGAGGGTCAGAAGGAACGCCGCGAAGTAGAGCTGCGGGCCGTAGTGAGCAACGTCTGCATTATCCACATTACACGAGACAAACTTACGATGAACATGATCACTTGATAACCTGCCGACGCTGCAAATGCTGCCAGGGGCGAGGTGACCGCCAAAGAGACGCAGTATGAAAACAACGCGCCAACGATGCCATATAGCACAAGAACCACCCACTACAAGGATTCACCCTCGGTCAGAAACATGACCGCCATATGAGTGCATTACTCACAAAGAATCCAAGACCAGCGAATTGATTCGAAGCGACAGCGAAAACAATTATAATGACACTCGCAATCACGATGGAGAAGCAGGTGTCGAACATAAGATGGCCCAGCCACAGACCAACCGGGTTGGCCAACCCGTTCGACAACTGCATGGCCTGGACTGCCGACCGCCGCTCCTTCGAAACATAGAGCGAGAAGAACGCAGGGAAAACAGACTACCTCGGTGTTAGCATAGTGTCTGTGCGACAGCACATGATCGGCGCGACATACCATAGCAGCTCCATAGAACGCAAGCCACTTCAGAGCGACTAATGTCCCCGCATTGAATCCGACGAGATTCTCGAAGTTCGTCGCGATGACTCTCGGCACGGCGAGCCTCGCGCCTGAGCTGTTCAAAGCATGGTTATACACCAAGTTTGAGGCCAGGTTGAGCATCACTAGACCAGTATACCCCGGAGGCGTTGCCTCCCACGCAAAGAGCATAGAGCCCGTATCAAGGTCCATGGACACGCCACCTAGAGACAAGTTCTGGTAGTTCTGGTTGATGGTGCTGACGAACGTCGAGTTGTCCGAGATGTTCCTGACGGGCACCAACTCCATCGTCGAGCCGAGCGAAGATAGCAGGCCAGGAGGCGACTGGAGGATCTGCTCGCCCGGGACTGTGTAGTTGGCACCTGCCAAAACGATGGGAGACTCCGGCGCATACAACGGGATAGGAATGGCATTATGGTACGTCTGGACACACGCTGGACGCGCCCGACCTGCGATGAAGAACAGCGGGACGCAGGAGCCTCCGATGGCGACTAAGACTGCGAGCAATGGTGTCAACCAGCTGCGGCGGGCAATCATAGCACGCTTATGGAAGATGGTAAGCGCCTGGCTCAGAGGGGACCTCTTGCGCCCAGTGGTTAGCTCCAGTACGGGAGCATTGCCATGGGAGAGCACGGGTAGCAGCGCGGACCCCGTCGTCTTCTCGACCTTGTCATGCTCGCCTGGGACAGGCGAAGGCGAGGCCGACGATGAACGCTCCGACGATTCCGGCGTCCCGGCGTTGTTGGCATGCATGAGCCCCAAGAAGATGTCCTCAATGGAGGTACTAAGCACGGAGTACGAGGCCAGCTTGCCTGCCTCGCGTTCCCCTTCCATCACGTCGAGTACCTTGTGAACAGTGCTTGGGTCCTTGGCATTCAAGTGGTAGGTGGCTTCCCCAGGTGCGGCGGCGGTTACGTAGGCGCCTGGAACGAGCGGCCGTATGCGCTCGAGTACCTCTGCTGGGTCCGTTGGCGACTTCTCCTGCGTGTCTACAGGAGTGTTCAAGGTGACTTGCACAGTATAGCCTTGACCATAATGCGACTTGAGCGCCACTGGTGTACCCTGTGCAACGAGCTTTCCGGGTGCGGCGAGGACCGCAATAGTGTCTGCGAGTAAATCTGCTTCATCGAGGAACTGATGACCATGTAAAGTGATCAGCATAGGGGCATGGATAGGAGGTGTTCAGACATACATGCGTAGTGAAAACTACTGTCCTTTCGTGACGAACAGACGTGAGTGTCCTCCAAAGCGCCCGACGAGACAGCGGGTCTACACCAGATGTGCACTGTATGTAATCCAATGAGCTTCATTCAATGTAGGGAGCATTCTCGCCCACCTCATCAACCAGCAAGACTGCAGCCGAGTCGAGGAATCAGTACGAATCCAGTGTCTTAGCAACCAGAGAACAGCTCACTCCTCGATCCTCCAACCAATCCAATCGCTAACTGCAGCTTCCTCTTCTGACCACCGCTCAGCGCAATTGCATTGTAATGGATCTTCTTGCCCAGATCGCAATCGCGCAGGAGTTGCTCAATGTCCTCCTCATCCGGGCCGTTCTCATTCATCGGCGGCTTGATGGCCTTCCAGACTTTCAATGTCTGGTAGCAGGTCAGCTCTGGGAACAAGACATTCTTTTGCGGGACCAGGCCGATAGTCCCGAGCGGCGGGCGCTCCGTTCCACCTTCAAAGGTGACTGAACCACGCGTGCGGCCGATGAGACCTGCAAGGACTGACATTGTTGTCGACTTTCCAGCACTGAAGGACGCACAGCATCGTGAGTTACTGCAACAAACAGGACGAGCGCACGTTGCCAACATACCCATTCGATCCGAGCAACACGAAGATACCTGTCTTTGGTATTTCCAAACTGAGATCCGCGACGGCTGTGACCAACCCTCCGCCTTTCTTGAACATCGACGTCCTGAAGTCCTTGCCAAGATTCTTGATAGAGATGGCGATACCAGGCGGGACCTGCTGAACACCCTCTTCCTGCGCCGCTGTCTTCTTCCTCCAGAAACGCCAGGAGAATGTGGATGGATTGCGTGCATCGTACAGACGACGCTCCAGTAGGATCGCGAGCCACGGCCACAGGAAGATGTCAATCTAAATAAGCGTTAGATAGTCACGCCTGTTTAGACGACAACTGGTAACGTACGATAGCAGCGAAGATCAGAGGCAGCAAGACCAATTGGTTGTCCGGGTCCGGCTTGATGATGTTCGTCCCAACCTGCTGAAGCTCAAACCCACACATACACCGAATGGCAAAGATATAGAACCCAGGGGGGAAGAACAGCGTGTAGAAGAACGCCGCACCCGTGCCCGCATGCCCATCCACCAATGCCAATATCGCAAACACGATGGCCAGTACCGTCGACGCAATGGCGGCGAGCTGCGGACTCTTCCCGAACGGCGCGGACACGAAGAAGGACCAGCTCGCGAGGGTGAAGCCCAGCAGGAGGTGCACGACGAGCACGAGCCCTGCATTCGTCGCGCTGAAAATGCGGTAGTGCCAGATGAGCGCAACCACGATCCACGCGGGGAGGTATACGAGCGAGGTGCTGACGTGCCAGGAGAGGATCCGCGCCGAGTCCATGAGCCCCATCGCCTGCAGATGGCTCGTGAGCAGGTTCGCGCGCTCGCCCATGAAGGAGCCCGGAAGCTGGTACGCGATTCCGATGTAGCAGATGAACAGAGCGAGCACGAGCAGCGTCCGCAGACCGCGGATGTAGCTCAGCCGGATATCCGTGTATTGCTCGGTGTTGGTCTCCTGAGTAAAAGGCCACTCTATCGGCGTCTCCGGTGTTTGACCTGTTGTCAGCTCGATGATCGCGCTGTCGATCGCCCATTGTAAGGGGAGAACGCGCTCCTCATAGCTACTCGTGTGCTTGGCCACATTGATGTAGTATAGACCGCTATCCGCCCGAATGGTATAGTTGTACGCCTGAAGCGCGCTTGCGTTCGCCGAACTTGGAGAGGTGCTGCTGTTGCTCGGTAGGTTGTTAAACACAACCGCGGCGTAACACTCCGAGAACCCATTGAAGTTCTCTGGGCATGTCGGGGGGATGTCACCTGCGGAAGCTACCTTTTGAAAGTTACCTGACTGCCTCGAGTTGAATCCGCTCGCGATATAGGACATGATTTCCTGAGCCGACGGCGACCCTGTGCCATCGGTACTGTCCGCCCAGACGAGAGCAATGGATCCATCGTACTGGTCGGTCAAACGCGGAACGGCCACTGCGGTTCCTAGCCCGTACTGAGAAGAAGCGTTAGACCAAGACCAGTAGCGGAACATGAGACGTACGTTATTGGGCTTCGTCAGGAACAGCTGTGCTACCGCGAGGAACACGCCGTATCCGATGGGAAGCAGCACGCATCGCAACACGTTCAACTTGATGGGACATTAGTCTATCGTGCAAGCTCGTCTGAAGATTGGACAAGACGTACCCATGGGTGCTTCGACAGCACGATCCAGTTCTTCCACACGAGCGCGGCGAACTGCCTCCAGAAAAGCTTCCAGCTCGCAGACATGCTTCGCGGCGAGACCGAGACCTTGGTACGAGCGAAGAAGGGGGTCGACCTGAGCTAGGTTGGCACGGATGCCTTCGCGGCGAGGACCTTATAGACCTGTTGGTCAGCGCACAGCCGTAGTTCCTTGCCAGTCACAGTAGGCATGGAAAACGAACACACCTTGTGGCGAATCTAATTCTGTCCCGCAGCGCCGGGAGATACTGGAACCGCCCGTGGTGAGAAGATGCCCCCGGAAGCAGAAGGCCGCAGGTTCAGAGTCCAGTCTATCCGATGCAGAAGACAGACACAGTACGAGTGTTTGGCACGACCTTTCCTGGGCGAACAGAAGTTGTGCACACTGGGATGAGACCCGTCGGATTCGGCGAGGAATCCGAAGTACACGGTCGCCGACCAGTCGTCGTAGCTAGTGAGACAGTGCCTACAATAAAAGCTGTCAAAGGAAAGAGGCGGGAGCAATCACACGATGTGTCGTGTCTGTGAAGGCATGGCGTCGAGCAGCCTGGGAGTCGTCGGACACATTCCTGCAGTCGCTGTAACAGTACTCGCGGCCGTCGTCATTCCGCTAAGCGCCCTCGATTAGTTCGGAGCGCCCACGGCACCCTACCAGCGCACGTGCTCTCTGTACCAAACGACAATGAAGGTCCAGATCCAGACGTAGTTGAAGGCTTGAAGCGTACACGGAGTTCAAATGTTCACCAGTGTGATCATCATCAAGCCTTCACAGTGTGGCTCTACAAGAATGCCCGCTCAGTTGTGTAGAATGAAAAACGATACAATAGTATCAACAACAGATTCAACTTACAGTACCTGAGATCTGTTTGAAGTTGCGTTCAACGAGTCGAAGTCCGGGTACTGTACTTGGGGTCAATGCAGTGGGGGAAGGAAGCGGAACAGCTCAATGAGTATCGGTCGCCGCTTTTTATACAAGCGACACATGCATATAAGTCATGCAGTGATGACGACATCGGAGACATGCTCTGCAAATCGAGAACTTGAATCGAGCTGACGAAGAAGGAAAGCGCACTTCCTACTACGGCAACCTCTCCTGCACCTCATGGCGGGCTTTTCGACGAGAACCTAGTAATGACGTCTTCGACGACGATCGTGGCCCGAGAATGCTTTGGCGCTGCGGCGTCACGTCTACGGTAGAACAGTTGGTGTCAATCCTGACATGACAGTGAGCGAGAGTGTCCCCATTCGAACAGAAGCCGTGGCAGAGGGCGAGAAGGCGGCCTGTCGCATGACCTTCCCCAGTCCTTGCGCAGAAGACAGTTTCTCCTATAGATCAATCTCATCTCCCCCTCTACTCCCTACCGTGTACCGTCCAACTTGCCCAGCGCGCCCTCGATGCACGTCACAATGTCCGAGAAGGTACGAGTGATCTCGTAAGCGAAATTTTGACTGTCTCGACACTTGGTTTGGCTATGTAGAAACAGCAGGAGCGAATAGCTGCACTTCAAGAGGAGGTACACGAGCTCCAGCGCAAACTAGGGTGTGTGCAGTGTGCATGCGCTCATGTTGCGGACGATCTGTACGTACTCACTGGTACTCGTGTCTGTCTCCACTACAGAGAGAACGAAGATGCGGCAAAAATCGTCTCGCGGCACATCAAACTCTTGCACCGGTATAATGAGGCGAAGGACGCGGCCCAGGTAGGGTTTTTGAATCCCCGATAGCGCATATAGTCACCTCAGCTGCTCGTCACACACAGATACTGATCGGTAGAGTGCGCATACAACGACCATCCTTGACTGCGTACCGATACTGATCTGACTTGCATGCAGTTGGCTGCCCATAGGCAGACTACGATTAGCCAGATTCACAAGGACTACGGACTTACCAAAGACGATTAGCATACCTCACGTATCAGTAGTATCACAACGATGTTTCAGAGCGTTGGTCCGCATTGAACTGTGCGAATAGATGCCCGCTAGCCTAGCTGTGTTCACCCACCTTGCTCCCGTAACATTTTGCGTGGTACGACCTCAGACCTCCTCAGACAGCCCCATCGGAGACCGTCACGCATATAAGGAGCGACATATCCCAGTCCGACGTCCAATTACGTCGACTCAGCATGGACCAACCAGCGACTCAATCCAACTCGTCAATTTCCAACTCCCTCGCAGACAGCTCATCCTCGAGCTCGCGCGACATCATCCTGGCCACGCCGCCGTAGGCCAACCGCCTCTTGGGAGGCTTCGGGAGCGGACGGGGATTTGGCTTGGGTCGGGCTTATGTGACGGACGCTTGGGTGACGGGGTCTTGGGGAGGGGACGCGGTAGCTTCGGCAGGGAACGATTGCCTGGCCCCGCCGCCATACATTATGGTCGAGACCGACCTCGTGCAAGGATTCATCCTCGGTTATTGTGCGAGTCCACCTGTATGGATAGCGTCAACATCCAGTACGCCACATATACAGATGAGATCGAGTTGATTTACTGTTCTGCGGGGAAGTGCCAAAGCCGGCGAGGCAGTGGCGACAGCGAAGAGCATCAAGAGTACGGTGGTACACCGCATGATGAACTAGAGTCGTAAGACGGACGTGACAAAAAGAACGACGGGCGTAACAAAAAAGCGGGGCTAGCGTTCAAGATCAGCACTTATTGACGATCGCACGGACTTTAGAGCGCAGAAGTACTCACCACCCAGTACCCTCACTTGAGTTGAGCTCGAAAAGAGAAACATAGCTGGGGGAAGCAGGAGACAGCAAGCTTCTTTGAAACTCCCAGAGGGCCAGTCTTCCGGGGTCGTGATGTTGCCGTCGCAAGCAAACTCTCGATGCACAGGGAGTACTTGCATTACATGGCCTTTTGATAATTCCTTCCCGGACCGCCACCGCTGCGGTAGATATTGAGGAGTCGGATGGAAGTTGCGCCAGTGCGTAGAGGCGTAGGCCGGGGTGCGGACGGTACCAGTTCTATTTCTGAAAAACATGCGTCCGTTACATTATGCCAACGCATTTGGACTAGATTATCGATCCGTCACAAAGGCATTCGGGATGACACTCACTGGCAGGGCCGAGCCTTGGACTTCACCACACGCACCACCTTCCAGCAGACCAACCGCCGATAAGGGCTAGCAGAGGCAATGAAGGATAACGATATCTCAACTACGATATCCTACTTCTGACCATGAGTTCTTATGCTGAATCGACCGATCCGTTGCGAGCAGAGCTTACCACATATAAGGGTACCTCGAAGGCAGGGAAGCCAAGCCAGCGTGCTCCGAACATAGCACCCCTTTCGTTCGGGGGCTTCATCGTTCCACGAGGATCCAACTTGTTCCATTGCCTCCCCAAATATTCACCACTCGCGTCCTTGGACTGAGCCCACGCGGAGGCCACATCCTTACGGGAACGCTTGCGTCATCCGTCGAGGCGATCCCGAGATTGCCATGCTCGTTCCATCCCCATCCCCATACCTCCCTTCGCACATCGCCTTCGGATTTCACCTCGAGCAGACACAGAACATGCTCGCTTCCGCATGCCAGTTTCACGACGCTGAGGGACGGGGTGGGAAGGGGGAAGTTGACGCTTGTAAGACTGCGACTCGCTTCGCTGTCCCCTCGACCGAGCTGCCCGTGGCTATTGCTCCCCGTTGCTACTACCCGGTCGACAGCACCATCGCGGCAGACAGCATACGTCCCGTTCCAGGTACATGCGACATCGTGTGCATCCTCCACAGTCTCTAGGAGTTCTCTCTGGGACTTGCGGTTAGAGCCTAAGCCTGAGAGCCGTCGAGACGCGTGTAGGAACACGCTATGCTGGTTTCCGAGAGCAGCGTGCTTGATGGGCCCTAGGGTCATCATCGTTTCGTCAAGGCAGATGCTGTGCGGCGTGGCGTAGAAAGGAGAGGGTCGACTCGCGTTAGCAGGTGCGCCGCCAAGTTGACCATGCCTAGCGGTGCCCCAGCCGATGACACCGTGGTTTGTAGAACCATCCGCCGACGTGAGCTTGACTACGGTGACGACGTGATGTGGCCCTGAATTCAAGGATTGGACGGAGAGAATGACGTTCTCCATGTCTGCATCGGCGAAAGCGCTCAGCAACGGTACAACGTGCAGAGACCGCCCCGCTGCCGTGGTACCCTTTACGCCCCCCACGCCGAGGTTCCCAAAGTCGTCAGCGCCCATGGAGATGAGCATGTCGCTCTTGTCCTGACACGAGAACACGACGTACGATGTCTCCCATCCTGCCGCGACCAAGCGCGGCGCGAACTCCGGGAGGCCTTCGACATGAAGGTCAAGCGGCCGAAATACCGCGCCCGACCAGGATCCTACACGCGCAGAAGGTGTGTATGAAGGCCCTAGCTGCCCCCTACGCCTGTCGCCGCATCCCCATAGTTCCTGCTTGTGAGACCGGGCTAACAGCAGCAGGGTATGGTTCGCGCCGCAGGCGACACTCGTGATCGCCGTGGTACCCTCTGGCAGCTGTCCTGGGGAGCATCCGTCGAAGAGACATGGGGTGAGTATGTGAGCATCCTCAGCATCTCCTGTCGCCAGTTGACCTTGAGCGTTCGAACCAGACGCAAGCAGGGATAAACCAGACATGGCGAAGTGGGTTAATTGATTGAGGATTTCCAGTCCACCGAAGCAACGGTGAGCGCTTGATCAAGCGCCGAATGCTCGCGTCGTAGGCCGATTACATAATCCTACGTCTACTGCCAGCCTTTGCAAATTGGTGGTTCAAATGCAAGTAGAACGCTCGACGTGCGTCGGCCGTCGTACTATCCCGTCGGCGATGGGTACTTGAATTTCTAGCGATCTGTCATCCCAGCGACTCGTTGAAGGACGTCAGTGCCGAATGTCATTCGTATTATGTGCGTTGCCCTCGCGCCCATGTCTGATGATGTGCCACCAGGTCCGGCTCCGTAGTACTACTAGAGTTATCGCAAGGCACATACGCTGCGTGGACAAGTCCGCTACCAGTACTAGAGCACATCAATCGACCGGGCCCGGCCTCCACTTCCTTCAAGTTTCCTCATCCAGCGGAAATGTCTGATCAGGACACCCTTGACCTAGTCTCCCGTAGGCAGCCCACTAGGACGACCTTTATGAGGGGAGGAGGGCGGTCGTCTAGGCCCTTGCATGTCTAGCCAACATCGTTATGTCGTGCATAGTAGGGATTGTCAGAGTACAGCCCGAGGCGGTAAGTTTGCTCGCACCATTTTTTGTCCGGTGAACCGGATTTCTCGATGACCCTCGATCCATTTCGAATCACGAAGCATAGAAACCTCTAGCTCTCTGTCGAACATTAGGGTCCTTTTAACGCGGTCCAGGAGGCTTAATAGTGGGACAGGCTCTCCGATGCTTCGTCAGAGCCCGAGTCATGATGCCGGTGGAACCTTTGTGGTACCAAGGTACCGAGGATTGTCTCAACTTTGCTAGAAGTCGATACAAGCAAGGTACGTTGCGGATGATATCTTTTTCCACCTGTGTCTGGGAACCGTCTGGTAGGGAACTTCATGTGAATCAAACTCCTCAGTGCGTAGCATCTCAATCCACCTGAGTATCACCGCTCGCTGACACGTCTCTTGAACGTCATATTTTAGAAACATAGACATGATGGTATGTACCGCGGCAAGTAGCCACCGAAACTCAACGACAACCTCGCAGATAGACCAAACATAATGTTTACTATCTAGACATTAAGTATAGCCCATACGTGACCACTGGAAACGCTCTCCGATACAACTTTAAGCACTGTGACACACATGGGAATGGAAGACGTCCGTGTGTCCTTATCGAGACACATCTGAAGTCGTTGACAATGCAGGGAAGATAAGGGACACTACTATTGACGCAACTGCAGCTTGCCTTTCCATCATCGCGATCACCTCTACGTGCCGAGGGTGAGTGATACTATACTTCCTGCACCGAGGGAGTACTGGGTGCAATTACAGGGACCTTGCCAACTTTTGGCCATGGAAACTCCCTTATAATCTGGCGGCGTTTCGCGGACCAGTTCTGGCGAGCTGATCAGTACGCCTTACTATCCCAATATTGCTACCAGGGATTGCTTGCCGGTCAGCATTGTTCTCAATGGATCGGTGGAAGCGCCTCTGCTGCGGTGTCAATGGAACGTATGTGTACACTATCGCTTCCCACCACATCGACATCCTGCATTTTCGGCGCGTCGTTAACGTTGTGGGCATATAAAGGCTCTCATGCTGCGGGGGTCCTGGCATCATCGCCAATAAACTCAACGCAGCGTTGAAGACGATACATCAAGGTTTGGCTTTGAGGTCCGTATTCATCTCATGCATTCTAATTGTCACTAGATAACACGAGTATGATTAGGAAGGCCCAACCATCGCTATCGCGGAAAGCATGTCCACGACTGAAGTATAACAGTTGGCTTCGAGATTATTTGACCGGTGCTCACACTGCTCTCCCTACTAGATGTCTCTTAAGGATGTCGCTCAGCTCACCATTGCCAACTTCCTCAAGAACTTGGACTTTACTGCCACTCCTCGATTCACCCGCAAGCCCGAATTGGAGGCTCGTGTCAAGGCAATTACCCAGACGTGGCCATCTGCTGGAGATGGCGCTGGGCATCCCCATGTCACTACCGGCATCGTTGTCGCAGAGACGAGCTACTCCCATCACTCCATCGACGTTCAAGTCGCCGTAGCACTGTACACCGCTGTTTTGACGGCATTCGACAACCCGGATTTCTTTCGCGTAGCGTCTGCGCACAGGTTTCCCCAGATGTTATGCGACGGTTCTGCTCAGCAGGACCAGGGACTCATTGGAGAGCTGGCTCGACTGCTCGTGGACATAGGTCGCATGTTCCCGGCCTTCGGCACAAACTGCATCATCGCCGGCACTCTGCGATGGTTCGCCGGCGAGATGATCGGCAGCTCCTCCGCCCCGCTTTCTCTGGAATCACTGTCAACGAGTTTCATCGACTTCCACCGTAACATGAATGGGAACCCAGACGCCTATGTTGCCTTTGTTTGGAGTAAGGAAGACTTCCCGGACGAAACCTCGTATATTCATATCTTCCCGTGAGTGAACTATTTTCTGTTCACAAAACATAAGCATATGACCGAGGCTTGACAGGGAAGCTTGCATTTACATGAATCAAGTCAAGTATGTAAGATGCTATCGTACCAAGTACTTAGTGTCGTGCTTACTCAGTCTACAGTGATATCCTGTCATTCTACAAGGAGGAGCTCGCGGGGGAGACGAGCTCTTACATCCATTCGCGCGCTCGCGTCACGGGTAAAACCATGTACGAGACCCTCGGCGAGGTGATCGAAGAAGTTGTGGTCGCGGTCGAGCGTATCCGGGAGCATCTCGGTCAGGGTCCTGCAAGAGATGCGTGGGACAACTTCGAAGCAGGTTATGTCTGGTTCCACATACTTGACCCTCGGTACCGGCTCCAGGAGATCCTTGGCACGGAGTACACGATGGATTGATGGACGCCGGCGCAATACTACCGTGACGGCTAAGTACTAATAGCCTTATAGAGTGGAACGGAATATGCCTGGATATGTCACTGTTGGATGGGGTAAATTTGGGGTAAATGCACAAGGATGAAGTACGCATACTTTTCTCCTGAGTCAATGGCGTGCTGTTAGAGGAGGACTCAGCCTGAGGTTCTGGCCAGTGTGGCTTGACGCGACTGGTCACGGACGCGTTATGCGTGACGGAGCGCGTCAGTGGCGCGTGACGCTGTGACACCACGCGTCGACCATCATACGCTGCAGACACGCCACCGAAGTCTTCCGTACTCTGTCCCCTCCCCTTCTCGAGTGTGTTCGGTGATGGCGGACGACAAGCCTCGTCCATCCAAGAGACGCAGAACTGATACATCGGCTGCTACTGGACCCGACAGCGCCGAACCGTCATCCGCACCTCTCAGGCCGCTCCCACCCGCCGTGCTCCTTGTGTCACTGCCCGCGCTTTTGGCCCATCCACCTAATCACAAATATTATATCCCATCACTAGTCCTATCTCTCACTGCTTTGAGGAAATGCTTGACGCTGCAAGGATTGTCGCCCGAGATCGAGTGTCGTGCTTGGACAGGCCTGGCGGAGGTCGGCATGAAGGTGATTAGTGGTGGACTAAGCCAGGATGAAGGCCATCCGTGGGCGCAAGGAATTGAGGCTGAGGTATGATTCATGCTCTTGTAACTTGGGAAGCGAGTGACATGGCGTTTCAGGTAGAGAAAGCTATGAGCAGAGGTGTAAGTACATCCCTCCACAGATGGTCCGGGTCTAGACTATATGCGCTGTCTCCTTCCTCTATGCACTGTCTCACTGTCTGCTACTTCTATGCGCTTTTGGATGCGCATATATGCGAACCTCTGTTCTGACCTTATGCTTCACTCAGTCCATCATCGCACAGAAGGTACGCCATTCATATACTGGCGGGCCAGTGTCACTCATGCATCCCGTAGCATCCATCCCTCCGCCCGTTCAAGCTGCATCTTTCCCTGCTTCAGGCGCAGCTCTCTCAATGGCAACGCAAAGTCAAGTTCGCTCGAAATCAGCTCCGTAAGCTTCTCAAGTCCTTCTTGCCCGGTGACCCGCCGCATGCCATCTACTCCGTCCATCTCGCATACATCAATCTACTCGTTAGTCCCTCATCAACCCGCACTCCCAATTCGTCATCTGCGCCATCTTCTCCACCCGCGCCTAGCCCACAAGACGTACATGCAGCTCTGAGCGCTGCGGAAGATATGGCCGGTGTAGCGAACAGCAAAGGACACAAAGGTGTAGTCCTTCTCTCACACGTACTGCGTCTCCGCATCCTCGTCGCCGCAAATATGTGGGCCGACGTGCCAGAAGCACTGCAAGTAGCTGAGAAGGTACTGGGACTATCTTATCAACCCAGTGACACACCGAAGCCTCGGAAGCCTGGAGGTCAAGACGAGTTCATCTCGTTCGAGGACAGCTTCGAAGGGGCTATGGTGATACACTTGCTCATAATCGCCGTCGTATTCTACACGCACATTGGGAAAGCAGCGGAGGCATCGCCGAGGCTCTCCCATCTTCATGCGTTGATGGATTCTGGGGTGCTGGACAAGTTCCCGGATGGCACGGTCGAGGTGCGTGGAAAGCTCGCGGCAAACAGTCGACGGCACGGAGAGCCAGTCCAGAATGCATGGCAGACTGTCTCGTCGTTCCGTCCGCCATGACTACACGCTCTTCTGATACTTGTTACAATACCGCGCAGATAAGGATGCCCAAGTCCGCCCCCGTCGTCTTGCAAGTGACGCATCCCCGTATCCTCTTTCTCCTCACCTTTCTCGCAAGCGCAACTTCCAAGCGCGATCCAGTCGGGAGAAAGCCGAAGCGCAAAGTCTTCGCCCAAGCAGGCCTGGATGCATGGGATACCGTGCATGATAGCGAGATTACATGTGAGTCGCCTGTTCACCAACGCGAACCACTAATCATCCTGACTGTGTCGTAGTCGCTCTTTGGGCAGGAATAGGCGACGTGGAAGAGGTCGAGCAACGTTTAGCAAGGATTCGCGCAGACTTGCTATGTGAGCTGATCGCTGTATGCATGTTTTAACTTGGGACGTACTCTGTAATTTCTGATCTTTGCCCACTAGTTATCAATCATGCGTAGCGAATTCGGTGCTGCAGAAGAGGTTTGTTCAGGGCCCCAGCATTACAAGTGGATACTTATCGTCGTGTGTTACAGAACCTCAACGCCCTCATCGCGCATACACGCACTTACGACATCTTCCCACTGTTTGCTGCTCGCATCGCACTTCATCATGGCCATCTCGCCCACGCCCTCGGTCGTTCCACGCGTGCCTCCCAATGCTATCACGCAGCGGCTTGCCACTCCGAGCCCGGTGATTTCGTGTACGTAGCCGCTCGTGCGAGTAACTTTGCGCTCCGGCTCGGACTCGAACAACGTGGGCGTGGTGCATTGGACGAGGATCAAGATGAGGATGCGTCCGCGTACGATCGAGACATGGTGGATGAGGGTATGAGTATCGCGCAGGAATGTAAGGGCATGGGCGGTACACTAGAAGCGGTCGGGCAGGTTCTGCTGGCGTGCCTATCTCCGGAAATCCTTGTGGCTAAGTGAGTATTACATGTGTTCCCCTTGTGAGGCTATGCTGACGAATCCCGAAGGCAACACCTTAAGGGGGCTCTGAACTTAGCGACGATAGCACGGGACAACCATCTGCGAGCACTGATACTCGCGTTGATCGCCTCACACTACTTCCACACCGCCGGTGATCATGCTCTCGAGATGTTGCAAACTTGTGAACAGCTTGCCGCCGGGCTCGGCGCGCCCGCCGACAAGTCGAAACTTGATCCAAACTCCAAGGACACCGTCGCGCCCGTAGGAAACGCACCTTTGGGGTTGTGGGTCGGGGAACGTTTCCTAGGTTTGTCGCATGGCTGTATCCGCGAGCTATGTTCCCTCAAACTCACTTCATTACGTCGCAGAACTGTTTAGGAGAGCAGGGAAGGACGCTCGCGTGCACAAACAGCTGGTACGCAACGAGCAGCTTGCCAAGGCAGTGGAAGACCTCGCACGTCGCGGGGCGGAAGACCATGAATTCGCGAAGACCACCCCCTAGCTTACCGCGGGCGTTGACCCGCCGCCTGTTGTCCATCTTGGTGTCCGTTTTCTCACTAGAAGCCACAACCTCTCGTAATTTCTTTCGGCGTGATCATCGACAACTCGCTCTCGTGCTTTGTATGTTTATTAGCTTTGCTATCGTCTACCGTATTTGTCCCTGTATCCATAGCTTTAACCTACTCGAAATCATTCAGGACTCGCGAATTGGCTGTGCATTCGACCCAGTTGAAGAATGAACGAGAAACGAGATTGAAGAATATCCAAGTCGCAGTTTGGCCTGGTCACGTGAATATCTGGCGGAACGTTGCAACTTGCAATGCGACGAACAACACCGGCGTGTCCGATGTCCATGTTGACTCGGACGCTCTACGTTTTCCATATCTTACTCTTCCATAACTGCTTCATTCCAAACCTTACTGGATGACGAATGCTGTCCATGCCGCATCGGAGGCGGGCAACTCCACGCAAGCCTCACGTCCGCCGCCCTCTGCAGAACAGCGCCTGCAGTTGGGAACAAAACATACGGGGACGACGGTCTTCCCGGCCTGATTCAACGACATCGAGCCTCTGAGGGCAAGTTCTACTCCCCGTCTTTACTGCTCACGCGCAGGGCTCCTTGTGCTGACCGTTCACTCGTTTATACTCGCCCATACTTCAGCTCCGTCATGCACAGCGATTCTCGAGCAGGCAATCGCTTAGAGCCTCCAAAGCTACCGTTTTCCTCGCGTTCCACCTTATCGATAAACTCCAAGGATGGGCTGACCTCCGGCATGGATACTGAGGACAAGCATGTCTCGCTCACCGTCAACTATCTGCCAGCAAAGTTCTCAACAGCTCTCCTCTCCGAGGGTCCAAAGCGGCGGAAGGCGTGGAGGAACAGCGATTCTCCGCTTCCGAAGCGGGGTGGCGGGCGTGAGGCATTCAGACGGGACGAGGCACGCATGCCCGGAGAGGGCGACGAAGACCTCGATGGCGTCGAGTTTGTCTTCCGCGCCGGAGGGCACCCGAAACCCAAGCAACGCTGGAATAGGTTCAAATGGACATTGTTTGTCGCAAACGTCATTGTGAGCACTCTATCCACCGTCACCCCCAGATGCCTATCTGACATTCTGTAGTTAACCGTCTATTCCATTGCCGCCCTCGTCGTCTGCCTCTTGATCTGGTTCAATGTTTGGGAACATGCGGACATCATTCGCGTGGGCAATCAACCAGAGCTGATCGTCTCGACGTGCGCCGCAGCCCTAGGCATGTTCACGGCGCTCGTCGGGTGGTCCGGTATCTTGCTGAACAACCGCGCGTTCTTGTCAATATACTGCGCCCTCCTCTGGGCGGTCTTCGCACTCCTCGTGACGCCGGGCTATATCACTTACAAGCGGCGTGCGTTTAACCTCGAGGGCAAGATCAATCAGCAGTGGTCGCAGCAGCTCGGGCTCGATGGACGAATCCGCATACAGAACCAGCTCCACTGCTGCGGCTACTATAGCCCGTTCATTGAGGCTACGGCGAGCGCGACGTGCTATGCGCGCAGCGTTCTGCCCGGGTGTAAGGCGCCGTACATGAAGTTCGAGCGGAAGATTCTCGAATGGTGGTACACAGTCGTCTTCGCGCTCGCGCCTGCGCAGATTGCGGTCATGGTCGCGGGCCTCCTGTGCTCGAATCACATTACATATCGCTTCGGGAAGGGCATGATGCCTAAGGCATATCGACTTGACTCGCGAAGCCTTGCCATGATCATGGACAACTATGCAAGGTACGTCAAGAAAGTGCGCATGTATGCGGTGCACTCATGTATGTTTTCTGATGTAGTCACTTGGCTGAAGAATACGGCACGGAGGTCGCTTCGGACATCGTGTCAAAATCCCGTTCTAGCCTCAGATTGGACGCGATGCCTACCGTTCCCTACTCCCGCAGCAGGTCGTCTTCGCTCTTCAATAGGGTAGACAGTTTCTTGGGCAGAGTACCTCGCAAATGACGTATCGACTCCCGCTTTGTGCACACGCGTTTCGCTGCAGTTCTCATGTGTACTTATCACTTGGCGATCAACATCGGGGTCTCGTATCTTCATGCGCATGACCAACATCTTCGACGAACTCTTACTGTAAGCAAGAATCAGCCTGGTTCATGCAGCTTGCGAAGAACATGTCCTGCTAAAACCTCATGCACATGGTCGAGCAACGAAGCATACTTTGTATGTGCGTCTTCCCTTCTCCCGGCTTGATTCCAGCCACGGAACGATCATGACAAGGAAGGTCATTCTTCTATCCACTAGTTCTATCTGTCCACTTATGCTCATTGCAGAACGAGGCGATGTCCTCCGGTGGGAAGGTGTCTGCGCCGCGCTGACCAATCCTCTCATGACAGCGGCCCTACGAGTCCGATCGCGAGCGAGTTGCTTCAGCGCTGAGGCCACATTGATTGACCGACGCTGTCAGTCAGCCACTTCGTCAGTCACAGGCCTGCCTCCATATGACTTGAACGCGCGTTCGACGTCAGCAGCCATGTGTATCTGCGGCCGCAGATGGATCGCAGCACTCGAACGTCATGCTAGACAATCGATTCGGTCTATCGTAGGCGTCGCAAGGACCAATGTGAACACAGTCCTCAATGCTGTGATCTCGCGGCGCGCTCGACAGGGCCGCGGGGGCCGCCAACGCAGGTTTGGCCGGCGTTGTACACAGAGCGATCGGTCTTCGATGCGACTTACGATCAGTTAGGCTCGTTCCCAGTCGTTCTGGCGAGAGAAAAATTCAAAGTCCGTCACGTTCGCCACTCCTTTTCACACTCCGTCTCCTTTCCTGGACATGAACGATTACCAAAAAGAGGAGTGCACAAAAGGGGACAAGCGCCTCTAAGGACTGGCTTGCGAGTCTAACGATCAGTGACACCTAGCGAGAAACACAGCCGCGACGAGCAATACAGTCATTATGAGTGGCTGCGACCCGCACTTTGCACAACTTCCGGCGTCGGCGTACGCCCATGTGGGCTCGCAAGCTCCGCGCGCGAGACTGGCATCCTCACGGTGAGGAATTCTCAAGCAGTCTCAAGAATGCTGGATGGATGTCGGCCACGTGTCCAGGTCGCTTGTGCCCGACGGCGAAGCATCTCTAGACTCTGCAAATCATATGGAGCGAAGCAGCATTGACGCGTTGTCATCATGCGGAACGGTACCGCCTCGTATGTTGCACCCATGAGGCTAATTCCGCCCCGGCACAACGGCTCCAGTATTCGAGGAGGTACATATAGCGAGCGTGTGTCGAGCGGTTCGGTAAGTACCCGGCACCTGCGAGCGAAGATGTTGGTGTCTGCAATACTGACTCTGGGTCTGACGGCCGTGTCTGCCAGTGCGGCACCGCAGCCTATAGTTGGGAGAGACGTGCAACCCGTCTCGCTGACTGCTCGGAAAGTACCCAAGGGACATGTCGCATCTCTTCGGAAGAGGTCTGGCGTCTCAGCCAACATTGCGCTTGACGACTACTTCAACGGAACCGATCTCCAGTGAGTTCGCTCATGTACTAGAAGAGTTCTGGGGTGAACTGACTGTCCTGCAAGGTGGTATGGTGACATCCAAGGTCTGCGAGACGGATGTTCATGCCTTTCTGTATTAACGGCCTTTTGACTAGTTGGGACCCCGCCGCAAAACATCAGTGTGATCTTCGACACAGGAAGCTTCACACTCGAGTTTACCAGTGAGGCCTCTCGGTTTCTCTGTTGCCGATTGTTGACCTTTCGTCTCCCAGGCACGGAATGTGCCGAAGCGTGTGCGAACCAGCGAAAGTTTGACGTAGACGAGAGTTCGACGTACGTGTACACCGACCAGATATCCACCCTTCCGTTCGAGACTGGCATCGGTGTGGATACGTTGCAATCTGAGGACGAATATGTGCTGTGGCTGCGCGAGGGCTATGATACTGTGTCGGTTGGCGGCGTCAGCACCCCCAATGTTTCGCTGTACACTATCATCAACCAGACGCAGGCCTTCGACGCTGACCCGAACAGTGGTATCCAAGGTGAGATATTCCTACTTTGTCTTGAATGACGTCCCGTTAACTTCGTTGACGACAGGTATGGGCCCTGCGGTTATTGGCTTTTGGAAAGGGCTCGTGGATCAAGGCATTGACGGTGAGTGATTACCATGCATCGTCTTTCCGCGATCATCTTCATGTCGCATCCTGCAGCGCTCTTTGGCCTCTACCTGACACCGAAGTCTGTCGGCAACGCGGAGCTGACGATCGGGGGGATCGACTCGTCAAAGTACACCGGAGACTTGACATACGTCCCGATCTCTCCTACGAGCGATGGTTCCTGGGAGCTCGACTCTCCCGCCGTCTACGTCAACGGCCAGACGGTCGATGCCATCAACACCAAGCGTACCTTCATCTTCGACAGTGGAACACCAAATGTCTACTTCGACGACGCCGACGTTGTTGAGGTCAGTTGCAGTTCTTTTTTCTGAGCGTAGTGTGACTGACCTATCGTATTGGGTAGGCTATTTACGCACTGATTTCGCCCGATATCAAGCCCTACGACACCGAGCCTGGTACCTACGGTATCGCGTGCGACAAGATCGACCAGCTTCCCGCTGAGATCGACTTCACCTTCACGGACACCTCTGGCAAGCCATTCAACCTGACGATCCCGACTAGCGAATTCAACGTTGGGCCGTTCGAAGCGGAACCGTCGCTCTGCCAGACGATGATCAACGCGCTCGACGGCCTGGACTTGATTGGTGGAAGCCTGCTGAAGCACTACTACAGTGTATGGGATATCAGCAATCAGCAGATGGCCTTTGCTCAGAGCGGTATGTAATCTACTTACCTCTGCTACGAAGCGTGAGGCTGACATGCAATATTTAGTCACGGACTCGCAGTGAGATGCCCCCAACACCCTCGTTCCGTCACATGGACATTATTTAATGTACGGCATATATACGAGTTTACTGTCTTTCCTTTGGTATCCCAAGCCCTGAAGCCCTGAACTTGTGTGGACGTTTCGATCGGAAACCCTTGCCTAGTGAGATGCCGCGACACACGTGTCCGTCGATTGAACAGGACCAAATAGCTGGCCGAGCTGCGCTATTTTACTTGTCCAAACGACCACGAATACCAGTCTATGTTGCCAAGTGCCATGTGCGCGGGCCCCTCTTACCCTGACTGTCGACTATACGGCCGCGAGCCGCATCACTCTTCAATGCGACTTGAATTAGATCGACATTCGAACTTCAAGTTATCAGCGACGGCCGATCTTCTTGCGTGAGCAGCAAATCTCTCGATCGATTCTACTGTCATTTTGCGTCGTGGGTTTTTTGTGGAAGTCTGCATACGCGCGGGGTCGTGGTAGTGCCTTCGAGTCGAGCGCTAGCATCATCAATGTGTCGATCAGTCCCAGCCACGTCGGATTGTTTTGACCTATTGTGCAAAGGCCTTGACGCCCACCAGCGTTCTATTTTCGATCATGCCTCTTCCGAAGCGACATCTCTTACGGATCCGGAAGATCACGACTCGCTCTCTGACTTCTTGTATTGGCATCTCCACCTCTGCATGGGTACCAATGAACTATGTATCTCCGCATTCGATCGGAACTCGAAACATCGGTCTCAGGACTGACCATCGTTGAAATCGTTGGCGCTGTCCGACCGCAGCTAGCGCCGAGATATACAATCTTACCTCCTGTCGACGACTACCGTTTGACTTACAACCATGATAGGTGAGGTACTCTGTGCCTTGCTTATCTCGATATTGGTTGCATTGGCGACGCGTAAGGTCGGCCGGAAGGCCACAGTTCAAACGCGCCCGACTCGGCCATGGCTCGGTTCGGCCATATCCGTGTGTCACCGTTCACGCCTATGCCCGCGGCCACCGTGACTGTGCCCTCGCGCCAGCCACGGCCAGCCTCTCTCAGCGCCGCCGCCGCCTCCATCCAGCGCGCAAGCTCATAGGTGGCTTCACTCTGACCCCACGTCTTCACTGGTTTGATACTCCCGGTACTGGCTCGCTGCTCCCGGCTGGTTTGGGCCTTCGGCGCCGCGAGGCCACCTTCAAGCCACCCTCAAAGCTGCCCACCCGTCAGAGCAGCAGGCTGCCAAAACGGAGGCAGCATTTTTGCCCAAGCTCTACGCGTAAGTTGCTCCCCGTACACCTGCCTTCAACGTGTCCTCACCAGTGCGCCCTCAGTCTTCTATAATGCTCCGAAAATCACCACATGACTCGCTGGGACCCCGCCGGCGAGCACATCGTTGTCAAGCAGCCGTCGAGCACATCGTTGTCAAGCAGCCGTCAAGGTCGAGCTGGCGAGGATCGAGTCTCCGCCATTGCGATCCCCTTGGACCTCATGGACGTGCAGCAGCCCGAGGGGAATGTCCTTGTGTGGTGGTCTGCCATGGCTTCTTTCTCAACCTCTACGACAAGGTGCAAAAAATCTTCTGTGCGTTTAGGGAGGTCGGCGGGGGTTGGCGGATAGAAGGGCAGGCTGAGAAGCCTGGGGTGGGACGTAGTTGATGGGTGTTATATATTGTCGCATTGTATCATGAAGGCAAACTCGGCGTTTGCATCGGACTCAGGATCCTTCTTGTCGCCATCCTTGCCCTTCTCGCACTCCATCTTCTCAAGCTCAAGGCTGGCAATATGTGCCGCGAGCTGCCGCTGTCGCTCTGTGCGTTGCGCGGGGTCAACATCGTCCACCCTCGGAAGCTCAACCAGGCGACCTGCGCCTGTAGGGGAAGCTGACCTGCGCTGACTCGGAGGAGGTTGCTCCGAGTTTTCTGGGGAGCGAAACCTAAACACATTTCCTCGCTACTGCATGACATCGGGCGTAAAGTCAATGACTCGGATGCGGTGCCATTAGATTCATTATGTGTGCACGCCGGCATGATTGACTCTACTCTTGAACACCTGTTGACCCCTAATCGCCGTCACTGCCACCACCTTCCGTCACCAAGCCCATCTCCTTGCAGAGATAGTTGCATTCATGTTGCTCAATGAAAGCATCTATCCCTTCCTGACCGTGGTCACCTACACCAGAGTTTCTTCGGGTAGCATTGACATCAGTATTGTGCAACATCGTAAGAAAATTATGATAGATGAGAACGCACCCATCTGGAGTATGGGTCATGATATCAAAGATCACATCGGCCACTGTTCCCGTGTCTGTACCAGCAATTGTACCTGCGGTTGTGACAAGTCAGTGAATCTCATCAGCATTATGAGTTGATCCGACTGACGCACTTTGTAGATCAGCAGCAACGAGCTCGGAGTTTGAGTAACCGTAGATAAAATGGGCAAGCACGGACATGGTTGCCCCCTTTTGACCGGCAACAACTGGGTGTGACATGGTGCCGCTCCAGCGGCGAACGGAGGCTGCTCGACGAGGTTCAATAAGCCAGTAAGCACCGGCTTTGTCAGGTTCGCTGTCACTGTCGATGTCTGCTTGCGAGACGCCTGACGCGAGCGAAAAGCTGCCAAGATCATCAATGACCTCTTTGGCGAGGAGCGGACGAACAAAGCGGAAAGCTAATTCGTCAACAACAATAGAATCAGCAGACAATCAGAATAATGGCATGAGGAAGACACAGACACATGTCGACCTCGATGTCTCTCTGGCGAACCAGTTTGTAGAACTCGTCAAGGAACCACTGGCCTTGAATGGCGCGACACACCTCCTGATAGAGGTTCTGGTAGTTCTGTGATGGGTATACACGCCGGCCTGGGGCTCCGTCACCACCGATGTTAAAGAAACGCTTCGCAACGTATGTTGTGCCGTCCATAAACAGCTGCACGCGAGTAGAAGTAACTGTGAGCCAGTGCTGTGGGCTACAATCTAGAATCAATGCTTACCCGGTACACATGTTTAGTCTGTCCAGACATCATCTTGTCCACCTCAAGCTTCGCTACGACCGTCTTTTTCACTGCAGGCCATGTGATCTCGACGGAACCAGTAGCTGCATCTGTATGTACGTCAGCGAGAACAAGACTGATCGTCTCGGTGGTGTTGACATTTGCTGATGCGGAACTAGGTGCGCGAACGAAAGAAGATTTCGGGAATGGGTTCGAAGTGTCTGTAATGACAGCCCTCCAGCGAGTGAGATACCATAGCGACAGGTATAGAAGTACGACTCACTCCGAGGCTGTTTCCCAACAGGGGCGGACATGGCGTCAGTGTCGGCTTTGCGTTTAGTACTCTTCCTGAGGGATGTGGTGGTGTCGGTATCTTCAATACGATCAGTGTACTGAGAAATCATGATGATTAGCAGGGAGAATGTGTACGAAGAGATCTCAACGTTTACCGCATCCAGCTCGATCAACAACTCGAGTGTAAGAGTGTGTGAGCTTTTCGAGCCGCCAGGTACTTTACGAGTCTTCGGCACATAAATTTCTTTGTTAGCCCCAGTGGTATGCTGTTGAACAAGGAGTGAAAAGGGAGTGGCAAGTGTGAAGGCAACACTTAACAGACTACAAGACCAGTTAAGGACAGCAGTCAATGGAGGGCTTGCAAGGTCTCAAGAGACTGAGAGGGAAGACTCAGCAGGCGTAAGACAAGAGGAGAGACCGATACATTACAGGGGCATCCAGCCCAGTATATATACACATGAGAGAGTCATCACATGATCGTACAGTAAGCGTAAGTAAGCGTTATGTGTAAGCCTGTAGCAGGATGAGTAAGGCATACACACGTTGTGTCATGATGATGCAATATAGTGCAATGAGCGAATACATCAGGATGATGCGATATGGCACTATAGATAGAACGTGCTGGAAGGCACTGGAAAGGACTGGACAGGTCTAGATCAATGATGTGATCAATGATGCGAAGTGATGTGATCAAGGAATGTGATGGAACATCAAGGAATGATCTGGAATATGATGGAACCATGTGGAATGTTCCATAAAGGTCTAGAACAAGTCATGTGCTACAGGTTCTGGATCAAGTCCATCAAGAATGTACGTAATATGTAGCAATGAAGAACATAAGTCCATAACGGGTAAGGATAAGTCCTATCCCGTGTGATAACACCTGAAATAGTCGAAGTTCAACACTCCCACTTGTTCAAGATGCTACAAACATGCCAGAAGACGACCTGAACTTCTCAATTGCTGAGAAAGATGTCCTTGGTCAAACAGTCAACAAGCTGGACTTTGCTAGTGACATGATAGATTTCAGAGTCACCACGCTAGTAGGACTTGCGTCTATAGTGAGATCTGATCTCTATATCCATGGGTTGGCAGTCCACAACAGGATCCACCGAGAGGAAGATATTTCCATGGTTTGTCTAGACAAACTGGAGTAGGAGGAGACAGTCTCCAAGCTCCTAGCCAAAAACAACAAAGCCAAGCCATCTGACAAGTGTCTGAGGCGGCCATATGTTCTGCTTCAACAGAAGACAGACAACCAGTTGGCTGATGTCATGACATCCAGGAAATAGCACAGTAGGCCATCACAATGATAAGGCCAATGCCTGAAAAAACGCGGTGTTTGGCCCAATCTGAGTCTGAGTAGGCAATCAGACCAGAGTCACTGCCACCATCATAATAGAGCGCAAAACTTCTAGTTCCCTTGCAAATAGCGTAGAACATAGTATGCCAAAACGCAAATGCTCTTTAGATGGTTCAAAGTAGACTTGACAAATCACAGTGCAACTGCAAAAGCGATGTCTTGTCTAACTAGTACCTAGCACGCCAAATGCTTCTGGTACAAAACAAAAGCAGTCTCAATACTGCTAAGCAGGTGTAAACCTGCCACCAAACGGTGCTTTGAGCTACTTTGCAGTTGCTCATCCAAAACGTTCAAGGACAGTGTCCACATAGTATTCCTGGTCTACAAAGAGCCTGTGTATAGAACACTCTCAATGTATTCCAAGGACCTAGGAAACTTTGGACTTCCCAAAACCGTCATCTGGTATTCACGAGATAGCCGCTCTCTTTGACCGGGTCAATGAAGGGCTTTAGAGTTACCCAAGAGCAACAAGTCATCAACATAGAATGACGATACAAGTGTGATCTCCAGATCCATAGGCATAAACGTATACACCAGCATCCAAATAGGTGCGCATAAAACCAAGCCCTAGGAGAGACAATTGGACTTCTAGCATTCCATTGGCATAAAGCCTGCATAAGTCTAAAAAACCGTCCTCTCAAGAGAAGACAAAACACAG